TTTCTTCGCACAAATCTCTAAATTTGAAATCAAAAAAATTAGCGGTAATAATATTTCAGGTATACAATTAGCCACATTCAATAAAATAATTAATAAAATACGAAAATTTTCGCCCAAAATTCCACTAAACAATTCCAAAACTTCGAATAACAATGATATCATCGTATTAAAGACTACGGTAATCAATAATTGTGTAAACACTTTCTGCTCGCCTTTTTGGGAATTTTTTGAGAATACTAGCTTGGATTGTTTTCTCAAATGAAGGAATAGAATTAGGTATGAAAATGCGGAGCAAATTGGAAAAATATAAAATATTCGAGAAATTACAAAGTTCCAACCAGATTCATAAGTAATATTCACAAACCCTACAGAATCGTTGTAAATTCTTTGAATATCAGCCATTGTTAAGCTTAAATATGTGGCTGAAATTGATAGAATAAATGTGAAAATAATTGGAATGATATAGTGATTTCTAAATAAAATGATACATTTTTGAAGCCGATTCTCGACTTACATACCCCTCAAAAATTCTCTCATTCCAAGTTTTCGAAACAAAACACAAACACCTATTCAGCGACATGAAAAACATGATAACTTCCGAGAAAAAACTTGAAAAAAATTCCAAATATAGCGAATTTTTCAGACCCCAAGCTGATAATTCCGAATTGATAACCGAAAAGTAGGTAGAGACAAAATAAAACATACATCGAATTGAAATGGATAAAGACAGGATTAGGAGCATTGCAAAGAATGAACCATTTTTCAAGTATTTTTTGATTATAATCAATAAAATATTCGAGGATTGGACCAGAAAATCAAAAATTATAATTAATAGTGGCGCAAAAAATGTGATTTTCAAAAAATCCAGAGTTTTTGTTGGGGCTGGCGTTGCACAGAATGCTGGATTCATTGAACAATACTCTGATCGTTCTGTTCTTGTATCAGGTTTAAAATAAGACATATTGAAAATTAATTTAGACATTTTAAATTATCTACTTTTTGAAATAAGTTAAGTTTAGGCTAGAATTTTATAAAGAAAAAACTTTCTTCTCCATATCCTATTATTATAGGTAGGTTATAATTATTGGAATAAAAACTGGAAATCAATGTTCAACCTCAAAATGAAAAAACCTTTATTCGAAATTTACCACAAAAATTTCGAAAAATTATTGAAGTGGCCCTTTGGTAACTGTAAAACTTCAAATCCTGATCAAATGCAGATGTTCCAACTTACCCTTCACCCCCGGTCCATCATCTTCTTCAGTAGTAACTTTAAAAACTGAAAAACTACCTTGTTTTTTTTTCAAAATTTTTTCTGAAAATCCTCACCTTCACCACCGCCTCTTGGACGTCTTGTAGTTGTTTGAGCAGAAATCAAGGAGATCAAGAGACTTTAAGAACATTTTAAAAGGGTTTTTGAGATTTCTAGAACTTACAGAAGGAGAAGGCTGAACTTCAGGAGCATTTTTGATGTGAAAAATGAATTTGATTCTGATGTTTTATAGTTCTTTTATGATTCGATTTATCAGAAAAATTGAAAAATTGATGCGAATTTGCAGAATTTTCTTCCTCATTGTAAAATTCAAGGAAAAATGAAAAAATATTATTTCGTCATTCGCGTGCGGCTGTGCGTCGCGGTCGGGATTTTTTTTGCTTCCCGACCGCGACGCATAGCCGCACGCGACTGAAGAATTAATTTCTTTTCAATTTTCTGTGAAAAAAGTAGAATTTTATGCTGAAAATTCTGAAATTTTATCACATAAGTTGTCTAACACAAAAAAATCGACTTTATTTTCCCAAAAATGTTCCACAAAAAAAAAACCAATTGAACTACTTGTAATAGGGAGTAACTGAAAAAATTCGAATAAAATTCATTTTTTTTTCTGTATTTTTATAAAACTAACATGCATACACAAATGTTGGTTCCACTTCTGTTGTTGTTTTGAGATGAACTTCAATTTTTTCTCATTAATTTCGAAAATCATTTCTAAATTACTCACTTTCACCGTTCACTTTTGGTCTTGAAGTTGTTTGGGCAGAAATCAGGGAAATAAGCAGACTTCAAGATTTTTTATTGAATTTTTTTTTGAGATTTATTCTACAGAACTTACAGCGGAAGAAGGCTGAACTTCAGGAGCATTTTTGATAGAAACAAAATATGAAAAATTAATTTGATTCTGAATTTTTATATTGACTTGATGATTTGATTTATGATGCAATTTTGTAGATTTTTCTTCCTCAAATTCCCACTAAAACTCAAAAAAAAAAAAATTAAAAATACAGTAAATTTTTCAAAAAAAAAGTGTGCAGTTGTGCGTCACCGTGTTTGCACACAAATAAACAAATTCAAAAAAATGTTTTTTTTTCTTTTTTCAGCGTGACACACGCCTGTTTTGCCTGAACAAAATTCGTCGGTACAGTAATAGGACGTCAAAAAAATAGGTGTCCATTTGGCGGCGCCGCGTTTTATATCTTGGGGGCCCCAGAAAAATTTCAAAACATTCATACATACGTAATTTCATCTCTTCTCTTCGAATAAGTATAGTAGAATCCTTAAAAATGGCGTTTTCACGTAGAAAAACGTGAAAAACTGGAATCGCTGCGAGACCTCACTCTTTCGAAAGATGTGTGCGCCTTTGATTTGCTCAGAATTTGATTTTTAGCCCATAACTTTTTTGAGAATGCGTTTCAAAAACAAGTAAATAGTTTTCCTGGCTCATCTCGACGAGACGAATCAAATGGTATATTCAGCGTTTTCTGAAAATGCCTCTAACATGCTGAAAACGGACTGAAATCACTATCTAGTGTGTAAACACCGCGACGCACAAATGCACAAATTGCGTACCGTAGTGAAATTTTTCACCGTCGCAAAAAAACAGGCGTGGACACGTCATTTTGCCACCGATTCTCGATTTTTCGATGATCCACGTCATTTCTAATCGATGAAAATCAAGCAAAAGGTGAGTTTTTTCATTGAAAATTTCACTAATTTTCACCAAAAACCAAGAAAACTTGTGTAAATTTCATATATTTCTTACAGATTGCTGGAATTCGTCATGCAAATCAATCTTGAGATTCTAGAAGTTTCGGTAAGTTTTTTTGCCACCAAAATCAAAAAAATCCTGCATTTTTTCTAATTTCCTGTAAAAGTTTGGTGCGTGGTAGACGAAATAACAAAACAAAAAGGACAATCATGATATCAAGTTACTTTTGAATTCAAATTTGGCGCAAAACCGGCTCAAAATTCTTGAGAATTGTAGCTTTCTTGGAAATTTCAGATTTTCCGTGGTAAATAGTGATTTGTATTGTAGAAAAATACAAATTTCTGGATTTTTTCCGGGGAAAAATTGGATTTTTTGATAAGAAGAAGCGCTTGCGGCGGCGGCATTCAAATTTTCTGCCATTTTCAAAAAATTCTGAAATCCGAAAAAAAACTAATTTTTGTTCGCCTTGTTTTTCTATATTCATGTTCACATGCTTTTTTCCGCTGCTTTTTTTCGCTCGCTAATTTTTTCTTCAGAGAGCACCTTTTTTGTATCTTCTTTTTTCTCTGCCCTCTCTGCCCACTCTCCTCTCACCACACTCTCTCGCCTGCTGCGCATTTTCATTTTCAGAGCGAAAAAAAAAAGAAAAATCGAGCTCAACACAAGAAGACAGCTAATAACTCGCTATTTCTACTACTACTTCTCTGTGCTCTCGGGGAGAGCACAATTTTTTTTGTGCTCATTTTGTCGATTTTTTTTCTTTCAAAAAAAATAGAATTCTTTCGTGTCACCTTTTTTTCTTTCGAAAGTTTCACTAACTTGGGAGCTCTGAAATTTTCGGAAAAAAATCGAATATTTTTGCAATAATCCTGACTGAGATTATCCAAATTTCCGGATCAATTTTCGCGATTTTTCTCGCGCGCCACATTTTTTTCTCGCATTTTTTCCTGGCGCGAAAAAAAATGTTGAAGCAGAAAAAAAATTAATTAGACTCCCCTCTGTACTTCGAATGTCTTTGACACATTTTTCATTCTTTTTTTCTCGGAACAAAAAATGTGTTGTAGATCAACAAATTGAACACTTCTCTAGATTACTGTAGTTTGCGGGATATTGTGGAATTTGAAAAATAATCGATAATTTATTTATTCAGATCAAAATTGTTGATGAGATTAGTTTACTGTAGTTAGGTTTCTAGTAGTACTGTAGGGTCTAAAAATTTGGGTCCTTTTTTGAAGGCCAGATTTCAGACGGATAGAAGATTTTTCAAGTACTGTACCAGAAATTTCTAAATTGTTATAAAACTAAAGAGTACTGTAAATCAAGTGTTTCCTGAAAAAATAGATCTACAGTACCCCTACAGTAGTAGAATTCAAATTTTCTATAGATCAATTTTTCCCTGAAAAAATGCGTCAAGGTTATCGATTACTGTAATTTTTAGTATTAAAGATATCTAGATTACAGTACTCCTCTACAGTAGTATTCTTCTATAGATAAAATTTTCAAATGAGCACTGATCACTCTAGATTCCAGGGTACTGCTAAACTACAGTATCCCTACAGTAATCAGCTTCCTTTGAGTACTGTAGATCTTATTTTTAATAACTAGGTACTGTAGCTTCAAAAGTACGGTATACCATTGCTCATATTATATTTTCACTTCTATTTATCTGTAGGTGTTGCTCATGTTAATCTTCAAAAAAAAGTCCTAACTACAGTATCCCAATAATATTCTTCATTTTTTATTTCCCAATTTTTATGACTTTTCCTCCGAATAATGAAAATTTTTCTGCAATTTTGCACTTTTTCCTGCCATTTTCTGGTGGCTCGAAAAATGCTATTGAAAATGCAAAATCCGTTTTTTCTTGTGTTCCTCGTTTCGCCCGAGATTTTTTTTGTTTCGAAAATTTCGGCGAAAAAATTCCCAAGAGCACATTTCGTTATTTTTCTCACATATTTTTGTGGCGCAAATATTTTTTGTTGGCGCCAAAAACTTTGTTTTTTTCCAGAAACAACAAATATGCACAATTCAAAAAGTGACTATGGATTTCGAAGAACTTGTATCAGACCGGTAAGACATTCTTCTCTTCTGAAATTTTTCAAATCTCTGAAATTTTGCAGGCTGAAAATCTGGGAACAATTTCGGAAGAATGTCGAGGATTGATTGAAAATAATATGGAGACGCCCAAAAAATCGGCAACTTTTCACGAGTTTTTGAACTTTGGTGAGTTTTACACCTGAAAATTGCGAAATTTTCCGAGAAAAAAAATATATAAAATTACCGTAGTCTAATGGGATTTGGATTTTGATTTCGAAATCCGAGAAAAAATTATGAAAGAAATAATACCTGGTTTCACGGTTCCACCCACTGAAAATTTAATTTTATTTTTGTTGTGCCCTAAAATTTTCAGTTTCAAAATTTTATGATAATTTTAAACTTTCAATACAAAATCAGTGGTATGTCGAAAAAATGTTGGATTTTTGGCATAAAAAGGTTTAAGGATTTTTGAACCCTAATTTATCCAGGAAAAAAAAGAGAAATTCTGAAATTTTCTAAAAAAAATTTTTTTCAAAAATTCACTGTTTCAAAAATCTTCAAAGTTTTTTTTATAAAATGTTTGCTCTCTAATTTCACTGGATATTCTATAAATTTCAGTTAACAAACTTTCCAGTGGAATTTTTTGGCAACAAATTTCGAATTTGGAAAATACTTTGCAAGAAAAAAATCTGAAATTTTCTAGAAAAATTATTTTTCAAAAATTTTTGATAGTTTTTCATAGAGATATTTGTGTGATCGCATTGGAGAATTATGCATCAAAAAGTTGAGTTTGAAAAATTTCACGTGTATTTTCAGCTTCAAGAAAATTTTATTTTTCAAAAATTCACTGTTTCAAAAAAAACAATTATGAAACCTTCAGGCGAAAATTTAGGATTAGAAAAATCTAAAATTTTCTATCAAAAAATTACTGTTTCAAAAAATTTTGATTTTGAGTGATTTTTTTTTTGAAAACGTTCACTCGTTGAAATGCGTTGAATAATATTTTACTTGAATTCAGAGAGCCAAAAATCTGCAATTTTGGCACCCAAAAACCCATTACCCTCCCCATTGTTTTTGTTTTTGTTTACAAGTGATTTTGTTGTTGTTGTTCTGGAATTGGCCCTTCTTTTCTCATTTTTTTCTTGTGCTCATTTTTGTTGTTTACTCGTCGGCTGGACATTTTTTTCTTTTCATTTTTTTGGAACACATATAACGAGAGGATTAGAGAAAGAAAAATTTTTTGAACGAAAAAAACAAGTTTTTTTGTGTGTGGCGTCTAGGCACTGAGAGCTCCAAAAGAGCTTCGTTGGAGAAAAAAAAACACATGACTCTGAATGACCACAACTATTTTTTTTCTTGAAAAATGTGTGAGAAGAGTTTTTTTTTGGAATTTTAAAAATTTGTAGATCAAAAATCTTTTTTTAAAGAAAATTCTATTCAGAAATCACAAATTCTGGCAGAAAATTTTCCTTTTTTTCCGAAATATAGAATCTAGGCTACCAAAGTTCTATAGGTACTGTAATACTGTTTCTTTTCGATACCCAAATAAGGAATTGCGGTGTTCTACAGTAACCCGGAAAAATATTTGTTCAAAAATGTCATTTTTCCCATGATTTCAATATTTTGGTTATTTTTCTCCGAAAAATTCCCACAAAAAATTGTTCGACGCAAAAAAAATGAAAAATTTGCCATGTTTTTTTTTCTGGAGAGCACAAATCGTTCCCCCGAGGGTCCGAAAAATTTTTTGAAAATTTTTCAGATTTCCCCGAGCCATCTTCATCTTCATCGACGACATTGAACACTGTCTCGACAAAGGTTTTTTTAAATACATTTCAAATAAAATTTTGATTTTTTTTCCAGGAAAAAATCAAACGACTTCATTCACAGCCAACAACATCCACATCATCTTCTTCGAGAAAACGATCAATTTTTTATGAGGTTAGTTTTTTTGGGGTGCTGAAAATTTCGAGCAAAACTCGGAAATTTTATGTTTCAAAATTATTTGAAGAAACCATGGCTAAATTTAAATTTTTCAATTTTCAAAATCAGTCTTTTTTGAGCTATGAAAAATTCACTGTTTCAAAAATCTTGTATCAAATTTTTCTCGGGATATTGTCGAATTTGAAAAATGTGGCAGCCGTAAAAAATGAAAACCAGTGCAGAGCTGAATGAATGACAAACTCGTTACTTCGTCAGTCGCGTGCGGCTGTGCGTCGCGGCCGAAAAACAAAGGAAAAAATGAATAATTGATTGATTTTCGACCGCGACGCACAGCCGCACGCGACTGACGAAGTAATGACTTTGTCATTCATTCAACTCTGCACTGTTTTTCATTTTTTACGGCTGCCACATTTTTCAAATTCGACAATAATAAATTGCTAATTCCAATTTCCTTTTACTCAAAAAATTTGAGGAAAATTGCAAAATTTTGAAGTCAAATCTAAGTACTTCGAGAGAGCCAAAAATGCACTGTTTCAAAAGGTTTATATGTTTTTTCCTGAAAATTCGGATTGATTTGTTAGAATCGACTATACTTTAGTTAACTAGTGAAAAATGCCCCAGATTTTTCTAATAAAAATTCGAATTTGTTTCACGAAAAATCACTGTTTCAAAAAATGTGTATTAGAAAATTCTGGAATCTTCAAATGGTTTACAAAAATTTCGATAAATAAAATTAACATCAATAATTTTCAAATTGCCACGTGAATTTTCGCACGTTGATAATCGCAATTTAGCTCACCTAAAATTCACTGTTTCAAAAATTGTGTGTATTTTTTTTCTAAAAATTCGAATTTTTTTGAAGCATCCTGCTCTCAAAAAAATTATCCAGATTTTTCTCAAAGAAAATTTCGAATTCGATTTACGAAAATTCACTGTTTCAAAAAATGTGTATTAGAAAATTCTGGAAGCTTCAAATGGTATGTGAATTTTCGCACGGTTGAAATCGCAATTTCACATTTTCTGTTCTCCTAAAATTCACTGTTTCAAAAAATGTGTATATTTTTTCTCTAAAAATTCGATTTGCTCGGAAGCACCGTGTTCACAAAAAAATTATCCAGATTTTCTCAGAAAAATCTCCGTTTTGATTCACAGAAATTCACTGTTTCAAAATATGCTTATCAAAAAATTTTGGGAGCTTAAAATATTCCACTAAGCTTCAAATCGCCACGTGAATTTTCGCACGATTGAAATCGTAATTTCACGTTTTCTGCTCACCTAAAATTCACTGTTTCAAAAATTGTGTATAATTTTTTTCTAAAAATTCGAATTGCTCCTGAAGCATCCTGCTCACAAAAAGTTGAACCAGATTTTCTCAAAAAAATTCCGAATTTGATTCACAAAATTTCACTGTTTCAAAAACTTTGTATTAGAGAATTTCACAAATTCGAATGTTCTGTTTTGGAAAATTTTAATTTTAATATAAATATTTTTCAATAAAAACTTAAGTTCAATAATTTTCGTGAGCTTCAGAATTTCACTGTTTCAAAAAGTGTAAATCAAAAAAATGTTGAAAACTCGAAATGTTCCACAAATCGCCATGTAATTTTTTTTTTCCAAAATTCAGAATCCTCAATTTCTCCTGCTAACCCCATAAAACCACCGAAATTTATGGGATTTCCAGGTTTTTTTTCTGTCTCTCAATAGAAACCCATAAAAATTTAGGGTTTTCCACCATTTTCGAGGAGGTATAATAATAATAATAATTTTTATTTATTTTCAATCGCTCTCTCTAAAAAAGCAGTGTGAAATAAAATAGAGAAATGTGTTGGAAAATAGACATATATAACATAAGTTGTTCTTCTTCATCCGTGCTTTTTCCCCTACTTTTTGCTCGCGTTTTTCTTCGATTTTGTCCCATTTCCGTTTTTGTTCTTCTCCACTTTTTCCTTCTTCTTCTTCGTTTTTATTTATTATATATTTATAATATTTTTTTTTCTGAAAAAAAGTTTTTTTTTTCGAAAAAAAATTCATACATTTTTTATTTTTCTTCTGATATATCTGAATTTTATCAGAATTTTTGACCCAATTTTTGGTTTCGGGCGAGCTTTTTTGAATAATCTAGAAGTTAGGCTAAGTTTGCGCTGATTATTTTTGAATACGATTTTGAAGAACTTCAGAATGATCAGCCTGAAATTCTGTACAAGTTAGGCGAATTCAGAAGTCCAGATTGTATTTAAGAAGTGAGCTATAACGTGTCAAAATCGAAAGTTTTCCTTGTTTTTTTTCTTTGTCAAAAGTAAAATGGGATATTTTTCCGGTCGTTGTTTTTGCTGTAACCCAAGACCTTTCTTTTTTCGCTCGCTGTTGTGCTGGTCAAAAACAACAATAATTGTTTTTGTTGTTCGGGGTGGTCCGGCCGAGAAAGAATTTTATTATTGTTATTATTTTTCGCTCCGCGCAAGGAGAGCTTCTAACTTTTATTTTCCTTTTTATTGCTCAGAAATGCTAGTCCAAGTTGCCACGTCATAACTTAATTTGATTTAAATCTTCTCTCAAAAATTATGCAAAAAGAATCTAATCCCCTCTATTCAATTCACTGAAAAAATGTTATTCATAAGCGCGCGCTGAAAAAATTAATTTCCTCGTTTTTTGGACTTTTAGTGCATGGTTCAAGAATACCAATGAGAAAAAGGAGAAAAGAGGAGAATTTTAAATTAAAAATGAAGACGCAAAGATGAGACATGTGTCAGTTTTTTTTTTGTTTTTGCTGGGCGCGTGTGGAATTTTTGGCGCGAGAAATTTGAATTTATATTTTTTAAATAGTGTAAAATGCGAATTCACAGCATCCAGTCTTTGAAAATTTCAATTTCAATTTTTTTTGAAACAGTGAATTTTTAGAACACAAATTTGTGCCACGTGGAATTTCTGGCGACAGAGAAATTAATTTTTAATGCAGGCCACACCTGACGAGACGTGTCCAAAATGGACACTGTACATTTTTTTCAAAAGTCACACTGCATTTTTTTCGAAAAAAAACTTTGTTTCCTTTTCATCAACATTTAACTTGGGGAAAATAAATGCACATTTAGTTCAGTGGTAGGCCATTTTGCTAGTGTTCAGAAGGCCCAGGTTCGAATCTTCATTCGAGCTAACTTTTATTTTTATTTTTTCCAAACTTCAAAAACAACTTCAGCTTGCGAATTTTTTGAAGTTTCTCGGTGAAAATCAACTCAGCAGACTTTGTTTTAGTGTGGTAACATAATGTGCAGTGTGGAATTTACGTGACTGCTTAGCAAACCATAGTGTCACTGAAATTTCAAAAAAATTGACTTTCTATGAAAAAACTTCAAACTCCACACTGCACATGGGTAAATTCAAAAACTACGCTTAAAAATACACCAACTTTCTGAATATACCAACCCTTGATATGTGCTCGGAAAAAAATGCCGTCCGATTCATTGTAATGTCCATATTTACCATTGAAATGGACACTCCAAAATAACAGCGAAATAGAGCATTTCCACACTGCACTCATGGTGTTCCACACTGCCTATGACCTTAGCAATCTATCGGAAAAAAATCAACCATATCCGTTAAGCCTAATCTTAGTTATCCTAACTTCAAATTTTGAATAACGTTGCAACGCATTCGTTTGAAAACAGTTTCCTTTCCACCAACATTTTCCCCTCGGGAGAAAAAGAGATGTGGCCGAGAGGATAGCATTTTAGACTGGCGAGCATGAGACCAGGGTTCGAATCCTCCTGCCCGCGGACTTTTTTTCGAAAAACTTGAAAATTTCACGCTGCACATTTTTTTGAAAAAAATTTTCACACTGCACAAAAAATTTGGGACACTCTCTCGTCAGGTGTGATGCAGGCATTCTAACCATAGCATTTTTCAGAATTATATTCCATATAATAGGATTCTCTGAAACAGTGATTTTTTTTTGGAAAAAAAGGGAATTTTTGGCACATAAAATAGAGTATTTCACAATTTTCACAATAGAAATTTTCACTAATCGGTTCTCAAAACAAATCACAGACTTTTATTGATATTTTGAAACAGTAATTTTTTTGTTCTCTTTGGCTCAAAAATCACCAATTTCCCCTCATGAAAAATCAAATGGCCACGTAAAAGTTCAAAAATCCATGTTACATCTTCATCCATTTTATCCTATTTTCAAAAATTGATTCAATTTTTGTCTCGCCACTCTCTCTAATCTTCACACTCTCTCACTCCCCTCCTAAATTCTCTCTATTCGTTCCTTTTTCTTCTTCTTCTTTTCGGTTTGTAATTAGCATTTTTGCTTCATCTTCATCTTCTTCTTCTTATTCTCTTGCTCATCTTTTTCTTTTTCTTATTGTGCTCTCTTCACACAATTTTCTATGAGCTCGCAAAAAAATATCATTTTTTTTCAAATATGATGATTTCAAGAAATGCGAGGGAAAAGCCTTCCTTCCTTCCTGTCTTGTGATTTTTTTTTTGAGGTTTTTTCTGAAATTTTTGAAAATAGTTCGAATGAGAAATTGAACCTGGTACCTCTCGATTCGTAGTTTGATGTCTAACCGACTGATCTATTCCATGTGAAATTTTTCGGAAAATTTCTCAGAATCTGAAATTTCAGATGAATCCACGTGGAAAAATTTAATTTTGATTTTTTTGAAATTTGAAGGCTCTCAAAATCCACGGGACATTTTTTCTCGAAATTCTGTAATCCAAAAATTCCAATTTTCTGAACTCTTTGTGATTTTTGGACCGGAAAAAAATTTGGCTATTTTTTAATCAAAAAATATTCCAACAATTTTTGGTTGTGTCCGAATTTTTGATCTCAAATTCATATTTCCTTCCAAAATTCCCCTGAGCAAATATATTTCACCACGAAAAAAAACGACAAATTTTCAGACATGTATTATGCCTTGAAGCACAAAAAGTGCAACATTTCCTGAACTTTTCTCTTCAGAATTTTTGTGCCGCCAAGAAGAAAAAATGCACTTTTTGCTGCCTGTTGTTAATGTATCTTTTTCTTTTCGTTTTTTTTCTGGAAACAGAGAAAAAGTACAACCAAAAAACTAGGGACGATAAACAAAAAGTGCGCGATTATTGGGGAGAGAGAAGAAAAATATTTTGTTTTTTTTTCTCTTGGAGCACAAGTTTTTGGGCTCCAGAATTTTTGAGAATCCAGAATCCACGCGGATTCACGATTTTTTAATTTCGACGTCAATAAGCCACTTTTTTTTTGAAAATTCTTATGAATTTCAGGAAATTTTCAAGATTTAGAAATCCTAAAAAATTTGGATCTTAAAATTTTTCTTTTGAAATTCTGAATTTCAGTCAGAAATTGCTGAATCCACGTGGCAGTTTCAAATTTTTTAATTTCAACATTCGAAAATTCAGAAAAATCAGAGAATCCACGTATTTTTCATAATTTTTCAAATTTTTGGCCCCAAAAACTTCCTCTCTTTCTCTGCCCTCTCTGCGTCTCTCTCTCTTTCGTGTTCTGCACTTTTTCCTCTCAAAAAATTTCCCAAACGTGAACTTTTGGTTCTTGAAAAGTGTTTACGTACTAAAAGTTCAAAGCAAGTATTTTTTCTCTCCAAAAAAATTTATTTACACGCACTTGATCCACTTTTTCTATTGAATTGAATTTTTTGCGACTCTGAAATTTTTAAGCCCCGCCCCCATTTTTTGGCTCAAAATCTTGTGCTCTCTTATCCTAAAGAACTAGAATCGTATAATAATTTTCTCCATTTTTTGTGATATTTTTTTTTCTTTGCTAACTAAAACAAAAACAAAAACAAATAAACAACATTGAAATAGTGAGAGAGTGCGCAGAGTAGTAGAGAAAAATCATTGGATTTTTCTAGTTTTTCTCGTTTTTTTCTTGTTGTTATGCTTTTTTGAATGTTGTGTTAGGCTTAGGCTTGGATTTAGGCTTAGATGATGAAGCTGAAATTTGGAGAAGATCTGAAATTTTAAGAATTTTTGAACGTGAGATTGTGAAAATTCCATGTTTTTTTTGTTTTTCAAAAATCTTTCAAATTTTGAAATTTTCCTTTTGGCGCGCCAAAAACCTATATTTCATAACTCCCCGTTTTTCCTTATTTTTTTTATTTCCAAAAATAACCAAAAAAAAATCAGCTGATATCGAAAAAAATATCTAATTTTGTTGTTTATCAAAACAACTTTTTTATATAGTTCAACTTCTTTTTTTTTTGGATTTTTTTTTTCGAAAAAATTGCTGTTTCAATTTAGCCCTATAATTAAATTTGAGTTTTATTGTTTCCTCGTGATTTTCTCTGAGTCAGCAATTTTTTGGCTTGAATTTCCCAGTAAAAAAAAATAATTTTTTTGCAGATGGGCGAACGGATTCGTCTATTCTCAACAGCTTCTTTCGTCTCACCGGCTGTTGTGGTTGTTCCAACTTCGTCTCAGACTTTGGCTAACTCATCGCCTCAAAATTCGGGCTCGAAGAACCAAAATGCTCAGGATTCAATTGTGACGGTTGTTAATTCACAATCTATACCAAAATCACATTCATTGAGCAGTTTTGATGGAGATTCAGCGGGTGAGTTGGGGATTTTTGGCGCGAAAATTAAAATTTTCTAAAAAAAATGTTTTTTGCTCACATCAGTTCACATGGATTATTAGAAGCCATAATTTTCTTGAAAATCCCAAATTTCCGAAATTCCAGAAAAAATGAATTTTTCATTTTTCCGCCACAAAAAATTGCTGTACTTTTTCCGGCCCATTACTCGAAATTAAAAAAATGTTCACTTTTTTTAGTACCAAAAAAATTGGTCAGAACGCGAAAACTAATTAGTTAAAAAGGCTCTCCGCGCGTTCGCATTTTTCAGTTTTCTCAAATTTTTTTATTTCGAAAAGTTTGAAAAAAATCCACGTCACAACATTTTTTCCCTCCAAAATTATTGATGTTTTTTGCAGTCTACGTGTCAGCTCGTTGTCCATCACAAACTCGAAAACCGTCTTCAAAAAATCAACAACGAATCGGTTCACTCTTATCACTTCACAGTAATAATCAACAAAATATGGAAACGGATTTGGAAAAATGCGGGAATTTGGAGAAGGATGTGTCACAACTAGGAATACTTTGTCATCATTGCTCGACGACTGATTTGGCGTGTCCGAAAGCGTCGCAAAAAGTGGGTTTTCGGGGGGTAAATATTTCACTGTTTCAAAAATTGAAAATTTTGAACATTCAACTTGTTCATCTCCCTTCAACTCTAAAATATAATTAAAAAATTCACGTGGAATATTGAAATTCTCCAATTTTAGAGCCACAATTCCAGTTCTTCACTAAAAATTGTTATTTTTTTCACTGTTTCAAAAATTGTATTCAAAAATTTAGAACAAATATTTTTTGATTGGAATGCGTTTGTCATAGTTTTAAACAATTTTTGTATAGCTAGTCCACATGGCAAAACGTCAGCGCGAAAAATCCTGAAAAAATTTCACTGTTTCAAAAATTTAGAAAAAACACTCTGTGCTCGAACTTCTGGTTTCGACATAATTTTGAACAATTTTTGTATAAGTAATCCACGTGGCAAAATTTGGCTTGAAGAAATTCACTGTTTCAAACTTTGTATTCAAAAATTTAGAAAAAAAAAATTTTGATTGTCCTTTCTTAAAATAGAACTTACCTTTCATATAAAAATTACCCACTTGGCAAAATTTTTGGAAAAAAAAAAAAATTCTGAAAAAATTTACTGTTTCAAAAATTGTATTGAAAAATTTAGAAAAAACAATTTTCTGATCGAGTTTGGACATAATTTTAAACAATTTTTGTATAAGTAATCCACGTGGCAATATTTTAGCGCGAAAAAAGCAACAAAAAAAATCTGAAAAATTTCACTGTTTCAAAAATTGTATTTGAAAATTTAGAAAAAATATTTTCTGATCGAGTTTGGACATAATTTTAAACAATTTTTGTATAAGTAATCCACGTGGCGAAATTTGGCGAAAAAAATCCTGATAAATTTTCATATCACATTTTCTCACTGTTTCAAAAATGCATTTCCGTTATTCGTTGAAGAAAATTCTTTCATTGCGCAAAAAAAATCTTCCGAATTTCGGTGCCAAAACACAATTCTTCCCAAAAAAAAATTTGTCTTGTCTCCAATTTTCACATTAAAAAAATGAAGTATCAAGGTCATCTCCATCTGTGGACAATAAAACAGGTGCAACTTTTTTTCTTGCACTTTGTTTTTTTTTCCCGCAGATGTGTCAGAAGAAATGGGTGGTACTTTTTTATTTTATTCCATTTATTCATTGTGGGTGATTTAATTGTGTGTGGCCGAAAAATCTAGTATTTTTTCGATTTTGAACTTTGAAAATGGGACATATGGAAATGGTAGGCTTTTAGTGGATTTTTTCGCGCAAAAATGTTTGTTTGGAAATTTCTGAGGAAAGTTCCACAGTGACTTCAAGTTCCCAACTTCCAGGAACTCCCATCACCTTCAGCCTCATCGGTCTATTCACTGGCCCGATCTGATCTATCAAACGAGCCGCTCTGTCGAATCTGTCACTGCTGTTGGCCCCCAGATTCGAATGATCCACTGATCTCGCCCTGTCGATGTTCAGGATCACTCCAATATGTTCATGTTTCGTGCTTGATGGTTAGTTAGGTTTAAGGGAGCCTTAGGGCCTTAAAATAACCCTAATTTTTCCAGCATTGGTTAGACATTTCTTCACGAAAACTTCATCGACCTGCGATTTGCGAACTTTGTCTTTATAAATACCGTAGGCGTCGGGTTTTAAAAGTGAGTTCCCGTAAAATTTCCCCCTAACCTCAAATTCTCTACAGTACCGTGAGATGAAACTTCCACAATGCGCCAACACCGACATCAGATACTACAGTATTTTTGTGATCGCAATTCTAATGATGATGTGCTCCGCATTCGCCACAATTGTCTGTTTTCAATTGGAGAAGACTATTAAAAATGAATATGTGGATCGAGCGATGAATGGACAGGCGGTGGTATCGTTTGAGAGTTCGCAGGCGACGACAATTGTCGCTGTGGTGTCGGAGAGCGATGTGAAACCGTCGCCAGCGGCGGTTGCGGTGCCGCCGGTTCCTGGACCGCTGTCGACGATTAGTGCGAAGAAGAAAGGTGGGTATTTTTATTTAGATCACAAAATTGTTAAGGTTAAAATTTTTCCAGCTGAAACCACACCTCTCAACTCGATTTCCACTGATCACGAGACCACTGAAAGTCTTCTATCCACCATCACTCTCATCGCCGCAATGGTATTTTTCTTGAGTTTTTTCCTGGCTATGTATGCTCACGTCAAATCGGGTCTTTCATTCTGCGGATATGTTTCATTGTGTTGGAGCTCGAATTTGGAATGGTCCATTGAAGAGTATAAACATTCAAGGGACACGCAGTATTTGAACAAGTTGGAGGAACTTCGCAGGAAGATTAATGGTAAGTTGTTCACATCCGGATTCGAACCATGGTTTCTAGATTGCTAGGCAGCAGGGTTACCATTTCCCCATCTTACTTTTTTCCAGAGAAGCAGAAAAAAGCGGCGGATGAAGTTGAACCGTTGCGAAGTTCGGTGATTGTTTTGGAATAATTGTATTCCAAATTTCAATTTTTGTTAGGATTTTATTGTCCCATTTTAACCATATTTTATATGACGAAATATGGACCTCTATTATGAATTTTTGCTCAAGTTTTCCTCGTATTCCCACCCTATTTCTCATATATTTTTTCTGTACAAAAAATGACATTTTATGAAGAATTGCTGTGTTATTTTTGTGATTCTATTTTTTTGTATTTTGACCCCCTCCCCCATGATATTTTTCTTTGGTAATAATTTTGATGATGGATATTTTTTCTAATAAATTATGCAATTTTGAAACGGTTTATTCAATCCTGAAAATTAGAGATCGATTGGGAGAAATCTAAAAAAAAACCTTTAAAAGTTACCATGGTAAGACGTTGTGCACTTCCATTCCCAAATGCCCATTTCTCGGTGGAATTGGACTGAAATAGACTCGTTTGCTCTGTAAATGAACGATATTCATTTCGACGACTATATTTAGATTGTTGCTCACCAATACTCGAATATAGAGCATTCGATAGGCTTGATGCTGCACCAAAGCATCAAATTCCGGTCCGCTGATTGGGACTCTTCCCAGTTTTTTCATCGTTCCCCGACGGAAAAAGTTCAAATAAGTATTCTCTGTTGCGGTTGCGTTCACTGATATCGCGTAGTGTTCTGATTGTGGAAGAAATGAGGTTATTACATGTGTAAGTAAATATCAATTCATTTGAAGAAAAATGTATTCTTACAAGAATTTCTTGTTCAATCTCAAAAGAGTCTAATGAATATTTAGAAGTTTTTGAATAAAACCTCTCTGATGCTGGCTCAATTATTTTTAGACTAGTTACTAGGCCTACACTATTTTATTGAAGCGTTTCACATAAGACTTGTGCACAAACCGTCTTTCAAAATAGTTCGACGCCCATTCCTATCCTTTCCAGAAGGTCGAATATCAATATTGGTTTCTGCATCTACATAGTTCACCAATATGCGACGCTCATTCAGTTTACACGGTGCCATCGGATCTTCCCATTTCTCATCAACTAGACTGATACCAGGGAACCATGCGACTTTGGCATAGATGCTCGCACTACCATAATTTTTATATTGCTGACAATAGTCGTGGCAGAAGAGCACGTCTTTAACACAAGCCTTATCAATGTCAAAAAAGTTTGGCGTGTTAGTAGTGAACGACGCTTTGGCCTCAACAATACCCAGATTGAGTTCAGTGGATAGTGTTAATCGATGTGCCAATGGAACGTATTCGATTTTCAGCGCTTCCCAACATGGTAGGCTAAGCCCTACACTCTCGAGCAAACTTGTTCCCATAATACACAAGCTCACTGCTAGGGAAATACTGGTTTCGATCAATAATTCGAAAAGTTTGTCATATTCCGCATCAAAGTTCATCACTTTATCGAGGGTTTTCAACGGATTCTTCAAATCGACTAAATCTTTCAACTTTCCGGGATCTGGATAACATAATTCACCAGTAACAGAAAGTTCCAGTGGAAGTGGGAGAAGTGCAAGGGAACATTTAGCTTGTGCACATTTTTGCCCTTCTGTGTCGCCTTCTTTATCTAAACTCATTCTGCAACCAGCTGATCGTTTTGCTCTTTTATGCGATGTATTATCTGCCATACTATTACTGAAAGCTTTCTTCAGATCATCAACCATCAACGTTTTACAATACATAATCAGATCTTTACCGTTACAGAAACAGTCCCGCGCCTCTTTCCTAAAATCAATGTTAAATGTTTTGTTTTTTCTATAAACAACGTTTAGACTCACGTGTAGTTTCCAGCTCCTTTGCAGAAATCCCAGCTGCTACGCTCATAATTATCAATAACCATTTTGAAATCCTCATTATTTTCCTTCAAATCTTTTAGTTTCTCATAAACCGTTTCATTTTTGATTACTTCCAAAAATTGTTGTGACAATTTCTCCTGAATCTTCGCATTCTCCATGTTATCGATATAAGCAACATAAGCTTTGTGTAGAGGTAGTGAGACATTTTTCATGAGTTCGGCCATTTTTTCGTGCGCTTCTCGAGTTTCCATTCCAAATGATTGAACACACACTCCAATGTTTTGATTGTGTGGTGCAGTACAATTCAACCCTTTGTTCAAATCTTCGATCATTTTTTCATCAGTTAATGTTCGGTTGTAAATCGAGCTACAATTTGTCTCAGTTTTCCAGCGCGTTGTTTGCGACAGACACCAGGTTGGTTTAAAGTAGCCATGCATTACACAAATCTCTTCAGCCAAATTGATATTCTCACATCGAAGAGTTGGATTGAGGCGTTCTAACCAGGGCACATCCAATCGTTCGCTTCTAGCAATTGATTCACAAGTTTCACCTTTTTTAACTTTGTGAAACCTTACACATTGCAATAATGACGGTGTTTTAGTGCAATAATGTGAGGCATTGGATTCAAGTTGATTCAAAAATATAAATGTATCTCGACTCATTGAAAACCCATGAGCTTGACGATCAACATCCCATTTGGTGCTATCTGGAAATCGGAAATCAAGATTATATCGTTTTGAAAAACTCACTTCTCTTTACTTTTTCGATACAAGTCATATCCGGAAGTTTTCGAATTTTTTTGCTTTTTGAAGGCCAAACACATAATGAAATATTTTGAGGAAGATTGCCTTTACATTTGATACCATGATTGAATTGTTCAATTTCTCTGATTGGAATTTTAAAAAATTGCGATATATGTTTACATGAGGTTCTGTTATTCTCAATCTTATATCGATATTGACACATTTCCGATATGCAAATATCCTTACTTTTTGGTGATAGACTGGTACCACAATTGTATTTCTCTTTCAACATTGCCAAATTCAGAGCATATTTTTTGGCGATCGATGAACAGCTGTTAGATTTATCAATTGTCTCCAATAATTTGCATTCGTCTTCTTAAAAAAATCATTTATGAATTAGAAGCTTCAAATTTTCAAAATAAACGTTATAAATTCGCACCAATTATATCCATCTTTTGGCAAAATTCAAAGGTCAACTTGTCATTTGTGCAATTGGCTCCCGGATTATTTGCGAGAAAGTCAGCTTCAGTTGTATTCAAACTTTTGTACAAATCGGCGCAAACAGTTGGAATCACAACGGTTTTTGTTTCGACACAACCTCGAGTTACGTTTTCTTTCTCCACACATATTCTAAAAAGCAATAAGTCTATTTTTGAATCGGAAGGAACTTAATCTCAAAAAAAAACCAAAAGCTTTTGGAATTTTTTTCATAAACTTACTTTCTTGGCAGTGTTCCACTACAAGTAATATTATTCAATTGTTCAATATCCTTCTCTGTGATTTCGAATTCCTCTGCGATTTTTTGACAATTCTTATCACTCTTCTTCACCAATGTTTTCTCCGTGGTGCAAATCTCCTCAACAACATTATGAAAACTGGGGGCTATGAGCCAGAATACAATTAGACCAAAGACCCGCATGTCTTTGAATAATTTTTTGTGCGGGAAAATCAAACTATAAACCGTTAAAATGTTGACTAATATGTCATATTTTAATTTGACTCAACAAAACATTTTCCTATTAAATTTTTTTGTGAAAAAAATTCAACAACTAAAAATATGTGAAATTCGGAAAAGAATTAGTAGTGTTGTAAAATGATGAAAAAAAATTTTAGTCAACAAATAGAAAACAAGAAAACTCATTCTAACAATGATGAGGACGGGAAAATGGTTGATTATTTTTCTATTTTTTTCGTGTGATTTATTGATACAACAAAGTTATGGATTACGAAGAATTGTTAAGCGATCATCTGGTTCAGGATCTAACTCTGCGTCGGGATCGGGCTCGGCTTCAGGTTCATACGAATATCACTATCCGACCAATTCAAAATCTGATTCAAGATCCAGTTCTTCTGAGTAAGTTGATAAATATTTTGGAGCATAATGTAGAAAACCTATAGGGAAACTCTGAATGTACCAACACCCCCAACTTTGGGAACAACACTTGAAGAATACGGACCCATCTATCAAAGTTAGTAATAAAAGTTATTGATTAAAATAACTTGAGTATGTTTCAGTTAGTGGTCAAACGACTACTCCAACAACAACAACAACAACAACAGTCCAGCCAACGCAACCCGCGCAACCAACATAATCCCCTGGCTAATTTTTTAAAATGAATTTTTGAAAAGTATTTTTTAATTTATAAATGAATTTTTCGAATCCATAAAAAACAATCTTCAGGAAGAAAATTCTCTAAATTCGCATCAATTTTCCTGAAAAATCAAATCATCCCATCAATATAAAACTCCAAAATCATGTTTTCATATTTCAATCGAATATGATATTGAAATTCAGCTTCCTCTTTGTGTAAGTCTAAACAATTTTTTGAATAAAAAATTAATGAATTAAGAATGTTGATTTCCATGGTTTCTGCAAGATCTGTAGAATCAACAACTCCAAGAACTTCAAGAACAAAAATTGGTGGTGAAGTACAAGCACGGACAACTGAGAAATTCGGACCCCGCCATCAAGGTTAGTCATAAAAGTTATTGATTAAAATAATATGAGTATGTTTCAGTTAGTGGTCAAACAACAAAAGCACCAAGTCTTTTGGAACTAACAAAGTCAACTAGATCAATAAAATAAATATTTTTGAATCTATTGGTCGATTTGTTTTGGGATATTAATAAAGTTATTTTGCAAGAACTGTAATTTTTACCTCTAGAAGTGTTTTTTTTTCCAACAAGGAACAAAAATTTCTAAATTCGCATCAAATTTAAATTTTTCTAATACATCAAATCATCCCATCAATATAAAACACCAAAACCATGCGCTTTTTTCATATTTCAACAAAATATGATTTTGAAATTCAGCCTTCTCATTGTGTAAGTCAAAACAATTTTTTGAATAAAAAATTAATGAATTAAGATTGTTGATTTCTATGGTTTCTGCAAGATCTGTAGAATCAACAACTCCAAGAACTTCAAGAACAAAAATGAGTGGTGAAGTGCAAACACGAACAACAACTGATGAGGAATACGGGCCAGTGTATAGTAGTTAGTCACACAACTTATGTAATGATTGATATAATCTGAGTATATTTCAGTTACTGGTCAAACAACAAAAGCACCAAGTCTTTTGGAACTAACAAAGTCAACTAGATCAATAAAATAAATATTTTTGAATCTATTGGTCGATTTGTTTTGGGATATTAATAAAGTTATTTTGCAAGAACTGTAATTTTTACCTCTAGAAGTGTTTTTTTTCCAACAAGGAACAAAAATTTCTAAATTCGCATCAAATTTAAATTTTTCTAATACATCAAATCATCCCATCAATATAAAACACCAAAACCATGCGCTTTTTTCATATTTCAACAAAATATGATTTTGAAATTCAGCCTTCTCATTGTGTAAGTCAAAACAATTTTTTGAATAAAAAATTAATGAATTAAGATTGTTGATTTCTATGGTTTCTGCAAGATCTGTAGAATCAACAACTCCAAGAACTTCAAGAACAAAAATGAGTGGTGAAGTGCAAACACGAACAACAACTGATGAGGAATACGGGCCAGTGTATAGTAGTTAGTCACACAACTTATGTAATGATTGATATAATCTGAGTATATTTCAGTTACTGGTCAAACAACAAAAGCACCAAGTCTTTTGGAACTAACAAAGTCAACTAGATCAATAAAATAAATTTTTTTGAATCTATTGGTCGATTTGTTTTGGGATATTAATAAAGTTATTTTGCAAAAAAAAATCTGTAATTTTTACCTCTAGAAGTTTTTTTTTCCAACAAGGAACAAAATTCTTTAAATTCGCATCAATTTTCCTTGAAAATCAAATCATCCCATCAATATAAAACCCCAAAATCATATTCTTTTTCCCATTTTCAACCAAATATGATTTTGAAATTCGGCCTCCTCTTTGTGTAAGTCAAATTCAGTTCCGAACTTCAGAAAATTTCGATTCAGAATACTTGTTTCCATGGCTTCTGCAAGATCTATAGAATCAACAACTTCGAGACCACCAAAAATAAATGGCGAGGGTAAGAATTTCCAGAAATTTTCAGCCAAAACTCTCGATTTTCAGTTGTACAAAAAACCACAACAATCAGATATACCTTCCCGCCAGTTATAGTCGGTGGGTTTTTTCTCAAAAAAATTTTTGTTCAAGCTAAAAAAAAATTTTCAGATGGTGGTGCATCGGGATAATTGGTTTAAGCATGTGTTTTTCTCGGATAAAGTTATTTTTCAAAAGTTTCTAGTAAATTTAATTTTTTGGCGCGAAACAATTATCTACAAAACTAATCAAAAGATAACAAAAAAGCTTGAAAAAAAATTCAAAAAATTAGAACTCTTGCATAAAATCGCCCTTGCAATAATACTCTTGTAATCTATAACCCCAGGCCTAAAGAAAAAATAAGAGTGTGTCAACACCGACTGCCCGCAAACACCAAATCCTACGCGCAATCTCGACGCCAACCGTATCTTATTTTTTTCTGTCAGCAAAAAAAACAAGAGAGAAAAATAATATATTTTTGCGTGAACGTGAAATTTGTCGTGGCAAATGTCATTTGATTTTTCAGTTATTTCAAATTTTCGGCGAGCAACAAAATGGCAGATGAGTTTTTTCTCTCTTGGGGGCGCCCCTGAATTCCTTGTCCTTTGCGAATAATTCCACGTGTCTCTCCTGGAGTGAAGTACAGCTCAACTTAGCCGAACTCTGGATAGTGAAGCTTCTTATGTTGAGCATTAGCCATTGCAATTGTCAGGAACCTCGACATGAGTAGTTACCTTAACTTGTTTTTTGGTTATACTCTTGACTTTGTCGACTTGATTTGGTTGGAAAAACTGTGATGGGAGAGATCGAGGTTCGCTTTTCAAGAGTTTTTTGAAAAGAAAACGTGGAATTATTCGAGGAGGAGGAAAATTAGATTACATATTATCAGGGAAAATACGATATTTCCAAGAAAAATCATAATTTTTTCAGAAACCGAAAAAAAAACAAAAAAAAACAAAAAAACAGTTTGTTTGGTACGGTACGGTTCAAAGGAACATTGCAATTGGCAACTGAGTCTTGACACACAACACACAAAAAATTCAAAACATGCCCGCGAATTTTTATTTTTTCGACGCGCCAACCGAAAAAATCGATTTTTTTCCGTTTCTTTTTTTTGCGTCGCCCAATATCGCAATATGGCTGTTTTTTGGCAATTCGACATCGGAACGTGATAAAAGATAAGTTTTTTTTTGGGATTTAGCCCCAGTTTCCCTTTCAAATTCTCCCAAAGCCCTCCCTAAATCCCATTCCGAGCAGTTATATGAAGTCTTTGCTCGGAGTTAGTACAGCGCTCGATAAATTTCGAGCGCATTAGTCATTGCCACTACCAGGAACCTCGGTAGGGTCACAATTTTTTGTGGACCGCGGAATACCGCCTGGATTTGACTGGAAAGCAGAGATGAGCAAGACCTGAGGTTCCCATACATAGAACTGCTCTTTAGCCACCGATTTGGGTGGAATGGGAGATGGGACTTGGTTTTGGAATTTTGCCATGGGCGAAGCAACTTGATTGGAAATTGGGGCATTTGTCTTTTTGGGGAATTTCGATCTGGACCTCTGGTAATTCATGGTTTTTTTCAGAAAATCGATCAACCTGCTGGCCGGATAAAATGCTTGATGGAGAACTGTAAATTGGCTTGTTGATCGTGTGAAGTCGAAGGCATCAAAACACCTTGAAATTATTGATCAGTTTTGAGGCGATTTTTTGAGAATGATGCAATTTTAATCAAGAACTTGAATGGGGGAAACAATCTGGTGCATGTGTTCTTCAATTGAATCGTGTCAGATGTACGGAAAAGCATAATCAAAATATGCTCTCATCAATTTTGTCACCATCTGGATTTTTACTGATTCGAGAATATTTACGCTAACCAACACAAGATGTTTGCCTGAAAATTATGCTTCAACTTTCAATAATATCATCATATCCTGGCTGGAACTATATTTGTTGCTGATTGTATTTTGAACCAACTGCATGACTCTACAATGCTCGAAATTCGATTGTTGTTTGGAGCTGAGAAAAATAAGTAAGAAAAATTCTAACTTTGAATTTTGATAGAAAACAACATTCACTTTGACATATTTTATATGAATTTTTTTCAGATCAATATCAACACTTCGAAATGGATTGACCAATGGTGTTCCAGTTTTGGTCTTAAAATTGGTATGTTTTGAAAATTGATATGAATTTCTGAAATATCCTATTTGAAACTAATAAAATTCAGAGTTTTCTTGGTTTTCTTTGTGAAAATCATGAAAACCTTGGATTTTATCAGTTCCAAATTGGAATTTCAGCGGGGATGCGGAAGCTATGCCCAAATTTTGAATTTTTATTCAAAAACTTTGAATTTTGAAAGAAAACAACATTTACTTTGACATATTTTATGTGAACCTTTTTTCAGATCAAAAACAACATTTCGAAATGAATGGACCAATGGTGTTCCAGTTTTGGTCTTCAAACTGGTAAGTTTTGAAAATTGACATGAATTTCTGAAATATCCTATTTGAAACTAATAAATTTCAAAGTTTTCTTGATTTTCTTCATGAAAATCTTGGAAACATTGGATTTTATTAGTTCCAAATGGAATTTCAGCGGGGATGCGGAAGCTATACCCAATTTTTGAATTTTTATTCAAAAACTTATTTTTTTTTCTAGAAAATTCAATTTTTTGTTCCAGATTGGTATTCTACAAATTCACTCGATCAAACAATCGACTTGATGCATTCGGTAAGTATTTATATAAAAATAAAAGAGAACTTCTGAAATATCCTATTTGAAACTAATAAAATTCAAAGTTTTTTTGATTTTCCTTGTGAAAATCTTGAAAACCTTGGATTTTATCAGTTACAAATTGGAATTTCAGGGGAGATGCGGAAGCTATGCCCAATTTTTGAATTTTTATTCAAAAAACTTATTTTTTTTTCTAGAAAATTCAATTTTTTGTTCCAGATTGGTATTCTACAAATTCACTCGATCAAACAATCGACTTGATGCATTCGGTAAGTATTTATATAACAATAAAAGAGAACTTCTGAAATATCCAATTTGAAACTAATAAAATTCAGAGTTTTCTTGGTTTTCTTTGTGAAAATCTTGAAAACCTTGGATTTTATTAGTTACAAATTGGAATTTCAGCGGAGATGCGGAAGCTATGCCCAATTTTTGAATTTTTATTCGTAAACTTGTTTTTCTAGAAAATTCAATTTTTTTGTTCCAGATTTACAGTCTGCAAATTCACTCGATCAAACAATCGACTTGATGCATTTGGTAAGTATTTATATAAAAATAAAAGAGAACTTCTGAAATATCCTATTTGAAACTAATAAAATTCAAAGTTTTTTTGATTTTCCTTGTGAAAATCTTGAAAACCTTGGATTTTATCAGTTACAAATTGGAATTTCAGCGGAGATGCGGAAGCTATGCCCAATTTTTGAATTTTTATTCAAAAACTTATTTTTTCTAGAAAATTCAATTTTTTGTTCCAGATTGGTATTCTACAAATTCACTCGATCAAACAATCGACTTGATGCATTCGGTAAGTATTTATATAAAAATAAAAGAGAACTTCTGAAATATCCTATTTGAAACTAATAAAATTCAAAGTTTTTTTGATTTTCCTTGTGAAAATCTTGAAAACCTTGGATTTTATCAGTTACAAATTGGAATTTCAGCGGAGATGCGGAAGCTATGCCCAATTTTTGAATTTTTATTCAAAAACTTTGAATTTTGAAAGAAACCAACATTTACGTTGACATATTTTATGTGAACCTTTTTCAGATCAACAACAACACTTCGAAATGGATTTCCACTGGATTTTTGTAATTTTCAAATTTTTTTTATTTACTTCAGGTTCTCCTTTTACAAGTCTCGCAGAAAAGCCGAGACTTGTAAATTTTCTTTGTCCGTTGTAGGTCTTCTGATCTACAGTAATCTGGCATAGTTAGGGAAATGTTGGGATTACTGTAGATTTGTCGCGCAAGAACTACGGTATTCGTTGTTTTCTGACGAATTTACAGCAGTCTAGGAGACAGAATAAGAGTACTACGTTTACTGTAGAATTACACTGGGTACTGTAGAATTACGGTAATCCGTGGAACGAAAGGAGTGACTGTCTCAAAAGCACAAAAACTACAGTAATCAGTTTTGTGATAGAGTACTGTAGAAAATCTTGATTCATATTCATCCAGAAAAAAAGTAGCTCGAGCTGGTCCGAAGAAGACAAAGGCCCAAAGCCTAAGCCTAATCAAGCCTAAAAAAATCCCGATTTTTTTGGAGTTTGAACTCTTTCAAGTACCGTACTCCCCTCTCTTCTCCTCCCCAATTTCGCATAGGTTTATTTTTGAAAAGTGAAACTACGTTTCCATATATTCAAAACTAATAGGTCATGTAAATAACTTTCTCCTTTTTTCTGGTGAAAAAGATCGTTCATATTCATATTTTCATATTTTTATTGTGAAAAAAAGATGAGAATCCAAATTTTTCTGCTATTTTTTTGGACAATTTTCAGCAGCAAAGTTCGGACTCAAAATTTAGCCAAACCTATTTATCAATATTTGAAAGGTGAGTCCAAAAATTTATGACAATTTTGAACCTGAATACGGTATGTTTTGGCGGCAAAATGAAATAGCCTCGATCGATAATTTCATTTTGAATATACGTCTCTTTCCCTTCTCTCTCTAACCCTCTCCTCATTTTCCATACTCTCTCATCTACTCTGCTTCTCTAACCTCTCTCTCTCTCTCTCTTCTTTTTTTATATGATTTTTGGAACTAAAATATATCAAATTTGGTATCAAAATGTAGCCAGTGATTTTCTGAACATTTTGAAACCAAATTTGAAATGTTTCGCCTCCAAAAATTATCAAAAAATATTCAAATTTGATGCCGAAATTCCCCAAATCCTCCAGATCTCTGTCCCACCGGTCAACTTCCGCTAACTGGCTCAAAAACCGTCAAAACCTGCGCTACAATTTGCCCGCTGGGCGCAATTTGCTACAAGGGAATTTGTTGTGTCCAACAGCCGCAGTGTCGACATCCCAAGTTCAGGTGAGCTTTTTTCGCGCGCCAAAAACCCTACAGTATCCCTAATTTTCCAGAAGCTCCACTGGTTTTGCCTGTCTTCCAAACGTCAAAAATCACTGTCCCGACAATTCGCAATGTGTTTTGAGCACTCAAGAAGGAATGAGCGTTTGTTGCGCGGCGAAAATTAGCCAGGAGCCCAAGAAATCCGCCACAAGGAAAAATGCTCCGAGCCCGAGATCAGAAATCATAAGTACGGTAGCATCGGAGGCCACAATTTGCCCGGTTTCTCATCCGATTATTGCTCATGATGGAAAGAGTTTGATTTTGTGCAAGGATTGTCATCAGGGGTAAGTGAAATTTGCAGTTTTGGGGGTACTGTAGTGTTTTGTGAATTTCAGAATTCAGAATCTTTGCTGTTAAAAAACATGAAATTTTTTTGAAACAGTGAAATTTTTATCTTAAAATTTTTTTTATTGAAATTAGGCCGTAAATTTTTGCAGCTCGGGTTACTGTATATTTAGTTAGATTGAATTTGATCTAGGCTAGAAGCTAAAACTAATCAACACAAAATTAAATAAATTTCCAAAAAACTTTGAAACAGTGAATTTTTTAAAATAAAAAAACACATAGTTTTATTGGAATTGGGCCCTACAGTATCCCGAATTGCAAAAAAACTGCACATTTTTTGTAGTTTGGGTTACTGTATCTCTAGATTGAATTTGGTAGAGCAGAAGAAAGTATCAACACAAAATCAAAATTTTAGGATTTTCAAAATTTTTTGAAACAGTGAAATTTTCATCTTTAAAAAAGTTTTTCAAAATTGAAATTAGGCTCTACAGTACTCCCGAACTGCAAAAAAACATGAAATATTCCGAATTTTTGCAGTTCGGGGTACTGTATCGCTATATTTCAAATAAGAGAACTTGACTTGAAATTGAATCTAAATAAAAATTTTCAAAAATTTCAAAATTTTTTGAAACAGTGAAATTTTTATCTTTAAAAAAACTTTTTTCTAAATTGAAATTAGGCTCTACAGTACCCCGAACTGCAAAAAACTGTTAATTTTTTGTAGTTTGTTGTACTGTATTGTATCTCCAATTGATTTAACAGAATAAACCAAAATTAAAAAATTTTCAAAAAGTTTTGAAACAGTGAATTTAATAGTTCAAAATTACCACTAAAATTGAGCCCTACAGTACCCCAAACTGCAAAAAAAAAACATGAAATATTCCGAATTTTTGCAGTTCGGGGTACTGTACTTCTATATTTGAATTAAGAGAACTTGACATCAAAAATGAATATTAAAATTTTCCAAAAATCTCAACATTTTTTGAAACAGTAAAATTTTCTATATAAAAACCTCATGTTTTCAAGTCCTATAAAACTGCAACTTTTTCATATTGAAAAAAATCAAATTCTTCAGCTCCTACAGTACCCCGAACTGCAAAAACTGCAATTTTTTATACATAGTCATAAATTTCCCAAAAAATCCCAATTTTTTTCCCTACAGAATCTGTGCGCGCTTCCGAAAATCTCAAGTAGAAGTTTGCTGTCAGAGTTCGGACGACATTTGTGGGCCCGGAAGTCAGGTGTTGATGGATGGATTTGTGCCAAGAGATTGTGGAAAGAAATCGTGTGGAAAAGGGTGCGTTTTGGGATGCCACGTGGCAAAATATGTAGATTTGGAAATTAATTTTTTTTAAACATAATTTTGAAGGGAAACTGTTGCAATCATCGTTTTGGGAGAAAAATTTGATTTTTTTCGGGATTTTTTTGAAACAGTGAATTTTTTTTTGAAATTCAAAAATGAACCTAATTTTGCCACGTGGAAAAGGGTAGTTTTTGAAACAGTGAATATTTATGAATCATCCAAGGTTTTTTGAGAAACCTAGCATTAAAATTGTTATTTTTTAATTTTCTTCATAATTATGGAGTGCTAGTCAGAATCAGAATCAGAATCTACGATTGAACCACACTGATTGTAGATGTAGCTTGAACTTCAGCTCCGCCACATCTAAGCCACTTGGAAAATTCAGCGTTGAACACAAAGATCACACCTCTAAAATGAAACAGTAAATTTTATTTTAATCTGAAAATATCTGGAAAACCCACGTGCTGAAAATATGTAGCAAATTGGCGAGAAACGACGAGGTCCAGAATATCTTCCATTTCTCGGGAATATTTCCCGGAATCCATTTGTAGGCAAAACTGTAGAATAGGACGTAGAGAATTGAGACGAAGCCTTGAATGACGACTTGTTGACCGAAGTTCACTTCGCGTTTACGGACTTCTTCACTTTTGGATTTTAGCACGCGTTTCTGGAAGTTGGGAACTTTAGATTGCGAACTTCTAGGAATGATCGGAGTTTGGAGTTTTTCAACTAGGCTTTAATGCCCTTTTAAGCCCATTTAAGAACTTCGAAGCCTTTTTTGAGCCTGTAAAATCTTTTCAAGCCTTCTGAAGCCTTTTCAAATCCTTCAAGGCCCTTCCAAGTCTTTTGAAGTCCTTAAAGGATTTTTTAAGCCCTTTGAAGCCCCTAAAAGTTTTTAAGCCCTGTTAAAACCGCTTAAGGCTCTTCGAGGTCCCTAAAGGCTTTTTAAAGTCCACTTAGGGCCTTTAAAGCCTTTTTAATCCCCGTTGAGCCCTTTTTCAGCTCTGTAATGCCCTCTCAAGCCCTCTCAAGCCCTCTTAAGTCCTCTTAAGCTCTGTAAAGCCCTGTTAATCCTTGTTAAGTCCTGTTAAGGCCTCTGAAGGCCTCTACTCACCCGAAATCCCACCAGCAAAACAAAAGTACAAATATCCAAAAAGAACGTCGTATTAGTCACCACACTTTGAACACCGCGTAGCAAAACTTCAAATTTGGTGCCGCAAGTCTCAGAAATGATAAATGAGAATACCCAACCATAATGATAGAATTTATAGCCGCAATCATCTGAAACAGACATTTTTCTTGATGTTTTGCTTCATCTGAATTTCCAGTAACTCACAATACCACGTGAAAAGTGGTGTATAAATGATTGGCACAAAATAGCAAAGCGCCACATAAATCCGACGATATTTTGGCTTGAAAATTGCGCTGTAGTAAAAGGGCGTGACGATGGCCAGGAATCGATTTATGGAGATTAGAAAATACATTGAGGCGAGCATTGGGATTAGGGTTGTTGAGATTAGGCCAGGGATTTGGGAGTTGTTGATGATGGGTTTTATATCACTGGAGAATAAAGATTTTGGATGGGTTAGGGTTACTTTTGAAGTTTCCTATGTTAAGCAGATGAGCCTAGAGAATCTTGTTTTCAAGTAGCCGCACCTATAGAGCATAGTTTTCAAGTAGCCGAGGCTAGGAATTCTAGATGTCTAGGACTCGCGCCTAGAGATCAACTCAGGCAAGGAGCCGCGTCTAGAGAGCATAGGTCCGAAGTAGCGACGCCTAGCTGTCAAGTAGCCGAGCCTATAGAGCATACTATCTGAGTAGCCGATGCTAGAAAACTAAATTGTCAAGGATCAGCGCCTTGGGAACAGCGGTGCCAAGAAGCCAAGCCTAGAGAACCTAGGCGCGGTTTCGCTATTGTGATTTTGGCTTAAAGCAACTAAATTTTTGAAACAGTGAAGTTTTTCACTTAAAAAAACTTATTTTTTATTGAAATTGTTCTCTACAGTACCCCGAACAGCAAAAAACTGCAATTTTTTGCAGTTCGGTGTACTGTAAATACGAGAAAAAAAAGAACACAAAATCAAATATGTTCAGATTTTCAAAATTTTTTGAAACAGTGAAAATTTTATTCAAAAAAGCATATTTTCAATTTAAATTAGGCTCTACAGTACCCCAAACTGCAAAAACTTTTTTGCAGTTTGGGGTACTGTATCTATAGATTTTATTTAGTAAACAGAGAGCAGAAAGAACAAACAACACAAAATCAAACATTTTCAGATTTTCAAAATTTTTTGAAACAGTGAAAATTTTATTCAAAAAGTTTTCCAAGCTCTACAGTACTCCGAACTGCTACTATGCAAAGTACCCAAGCCTAGGAATCTACTCCAGCAAGGAGCCGCGCCTTGAGAGCTCCTATGTCAAGCAGCCATGTCTAGAAAACCTCATTGTCTAGGACCCGACTCTAGAGAGCTAGCGCGTCAAGAAGCCACGCCTAGAAACCTTAACTCTCCAAAAAACTCACAACAAAACCCCCAACAAATAAAAGCTTCCACTATTCGATGAAGCAATAATCCTCAAAAACATCTCATATCTCGTCAAATATCCAAAAGACGATTTCATCGCCGGAATCGAATAACAACCCCAAAGTGCAATAATAGCCATGATAAGACCAATAAAACATGGAATGAAAATCAGAAGACCGACTTGAACATCTTCAGAATTTTGAATGTATTGATCGCCACTTTGATAGACTATGTCGGCAAACATTTTGAATAATAAGTGAACGGGGGTTTTATTTGATAATTATCTAGTTGCTGAAAAAGTCTATTCTGAAAAGGTTGGGATATAATTATTGAGTGAGTTATGTTTTGGAGCACAATCTTTGCTCATTTAATAAATGCTCAAACACCTCAAAACTGAAAAATTGTCTCAAATTTATTTTTGAGATTTTCTTGAAACAGTGAGTTTTTTAAAATTTCAAAAATAAATTTTGAAGCCAGAAAGCCACGTGGCAACATTTTGAATTCGGAAGAGATATGTAGAGATGTATGTAGAGAGACATGTAAACCAGAAAAACTTCCTAAAGTTTATTTTGGCGAATTTTCGAAACAGTGAATTTTTTTTAATTTTTGAAATTAAATTTTGACGCCAAAAAACCACTTGGAATAATTTTTAAATTCTATGCAACGAAGAACCAGCGAAACAGAAAAAAATTTCTCAAATTTATTTTGGCGAATTTTTGAAACAGTGAAATTTTTTTTATTTTTGAAATTTATTTTTGGCGTCAGAAAAACATGTACCAGAAATGTTGCTAATTGAAAATTTCAACTGCTATTTATTTTAGCGATTTTTTGAAACAGTGAATTTTGTTTAATTTCAAAAATACAATTTTGGAGCCAAAAAGCCACGTGGCATTTTTTTCCAAATATTTTCAAGCTATAGGTGAGATAAAAAAGAGAAACAAAAAAATTGTCTTACATTTATTTTTGTGATTTTCTTGAAACAGTGATTTTTTTTTATTTTTGAAATTTATTCTTGGCGTCAGAAAAAAAATGTACCAGAAATGTTGGTAATAGAAAATTTCAATTGCTATTTATTTTAGCGAAGCGAGAAAAACCACGTGGAATAATTTTTAAATTCTCTGAGACTATGAGGCAAATACGAAACAGAAAAATGCCTCAAATTTATTTTCGAGGTTTTCTTGAAACGGTGAATTTTTTGAAATTTCAAAAAATAAAATTTTGAAGCCAAAAAATCCACGTGTTGGAAATTCACGAAACAACAATACTTTCCAAAATGTATTTTCGTTGTTTTCTTGAAACAGTGAATTTTTTTTTAATTTGAAAATTGAATTTTTGGAACTAGAAAGCCACGTGGCAGTTTTTCCAAATATTTTAGAACTATAATTAAGATCAGAAATAGAGAAACAAAAAAAATGTCCTATATTTATTTTCGAGATTTTCTTGAAACAGTGAAATTTTTTAAAATTTCAAAAATAAAGTTTTGAAGCCGAAAAATCCACATGTTGAAAATTCACAAAACAAAAAAACTTCCTAAAATTTATTTTAACGAATTTTCGAAACAGTGATTTTTTTTATTTGAAAATTGAATTTTTGACGCCAAAACTTCCACGTGGCAACTGATTAAATTAAATATTTTTGATGAAATAAATGAACCAGAAAAACTTTCTAAAATTTCTTTTTGAGATTTTCTTGAAACAGTGAAATTTTTGAAATTTCAAAAATACAATTTTCGCTTTTCGAAACAAAAAAGCATTTTAAAATTTATTTTAGTTGATTTTCTGAAACAGTGATTTTTTCCAAATCATCAAAAGTGTATAGTGATGATAATATTTTGAGATTATAAAATCCAGAAAACTAGAAAATTTTTTTATTCAACAAAAAAAATTGCTCAATTTTCCTTGTGCTCCAAATCGCCATCATATCCATGGAGCACTACATTTTTCAACGAGCATTTTTCGGGTTCCAACAATCCGACCATTGTGATTTTCGGGTTATTTATCATGATAGTATGGGCGGCGGGAATTAGGCCAACATTATAGACAATATCTGGATCGAAGAGAAGTTTGAGGGTTTCTTTGTGATTGATGAGCATGTGCAAAAAGTCAGCTGAAAAAAATGGAAATTTTTTTGACGCACAAAAATCCACGTGGCAACTTTTTTTGAATTTTGAAATCACGGCAACTGAATTTCTACGTGGCATTTTTTGAATTTTGAAAATTTGGGAAAAAATTAGGTCCGGTAGTACTGTAGCTTCCACGTGGCATTTTTTTGAATTTCGAAATTTTAGCAACTCTAGGATTACTGTAGAAATTGACCCTGTGGATTTTTTTTTTTGGAATTTTGAAAATTTGGGAAAAAATTAGGTCCTGGAGTACTGTGGCTTCCATGTGGCAACTTTTTTTTTGAATTTCGAAATTTTAGCAACTCTAGGATTACTGTAGAATTTGGAGCTGAATTTCTACGTGGAATTTTTTTTCGAATTTCGAAATTTTAACAAAATTAGGATTACTGTGGCTTTTGGTGCAAAGAAGCCACGTTTAAAACTTTTCAAATTGAAAAAAAAATTTCTGAAATTTTTTTTTTCTGAAAAAGCTTAAGACTAACCTAATCCAACCCCGGAAATTTCATCTAAAAATCCAAATCTCCTTCCCAAACCCACTTCTCTTATGAATCCTAGTCTTTCCCCCATCTTTCGGCTCAACATGCAGTGTAAACGATGAATGAATCACCGACAAAACCTCATCGTGAATCGCCTTCCGCCAAAATTCCACACATTTTTTGGCTTGCGCATCATTTGAGGTTGAAGTTGAGCAAAAATTGATGAAAATCAGGAAAATCAGGGTGGAAATTGAGAGATTTTTCATTTTTTTTTAGGAAAAAATGAATTTTTTGATCAAATCAAATCAAATTTTGACTTGGGAATGTGAAAATTGAAAATTCGAAATTATTTCTAGGGTTACTGTAGACATCATTTTTGCAGCTACGAATGCTCGTTGACCCCATCAGGAGTTCGTGTATGTTGCTCAATGGCCAAATGTCCGTCGGGTGTTTTTGCTCGATCAATTTGCGCGGCTGGATGTATGAAAAACGAGAAATGTGTGCCGATTCAGAATGAAATGTGGTGTTGTCCCACACTTCCCGAGGCCAGGAATCGTGAAATGCAGTGCTCGACGAGTGGAGCGTTTTCGTGAGTGGTTTCAGACGGGGATTTTCTTTGAATTTGACTGGAAAGTTAGGGATATTGTTAGCATTTTCCACAATTTCTCGAAAAAATATCAAAAATTTTTGAAACAGTGAATTTTTTTTTTGAAAAAAATTCTGACACGTGGAAATATTGATTGAATTTTTTATTCACAAAAAAAAACTACGTGGCAAAACTATTTTTGAATTCAACATTTAAAAAAACTTTTTGATAGCATTTTTCACAAAATTTAAAAAAATATATTTAAAAATTTTGAAACAGTGAATTTTTATTTGAAATTTTTTTAAGTTTTTTTTCTCAATATTTTATTCGACACGTAGAAATTTTATTGAATTTGTCGGCCCTAAAAATCCACGTGGCAAAACTATTTTTGAACTTGAATTTTTATTCAGAATACTAATTGTCTGTAAAATTTCTCGAAAAAATATCAAACATTTTTGAAACAGTTAATTTTTTTTTGAGAAATTCTTCGTTTTTTCTCACAACGTTTTTTGACACGTGGAAATATTGATTGAATATAATCCACGTGGCAAAAAAATACAGATTAACAATTTTCAGAAGCTTACAGTCACACTTACGCCTATCAATTTTCACAGTTTCTCGAAAAAAATATTAAAAAATTTTGAAACAGTTAATTTTTTTTGGAGAAAAATTCTGACACGTGGAAATATTGATTGATTTTTTTGTCCAATTCAATTCCACGTGGCAAAACTATTTTTATACTTGAATTTTTATTCAGAATACTAATTGTCCATAAAATTTCGAGAAAAACGAGTAATTTCCAGGTAATTGTTCCTGATGATGGTATAAATTACCGAAACGTTGGTAAATGAAATAAAAAAATTTTTGAAACAGTGAATTTTTTTTCTCAAAAAATTCATAGTTTTTTCTCACAAATTTTTGACACGTGGAAATATTGATTTCATTATCGATTTTAATAAAGCAGTTTCACAATTTTTTTTTAAAAATCAAAAAATTCTGAAACAGTAATTTTTTTTGAGAAATTCTTCGTTTTTTCTCACAAAGTTTTTTGACACGTGGAAATATTGATTGAATAAAATCCACGTGGCAAAAATTCATATTAACAATTTTCAGAAGACATGTGAGAAATGGGATCACTTTTCACAGTTTCTCGAAAAAAATATTTAAAAATTTTGAAACAGTGAATTTTTTTTTGAAATTTTTTAAAGTTTTTTTCTCAATATTTTATTCGACACGTTGAAATTTTATTGAATTTTTTTGACGCTACAAAATCCACGTGGAAGAACTCTTTTGAATTTGAATTTTTTTGAGGTCACCATTTTCCACAATTTCTCGAAAAAAATATAAAAACATTTTGAAACAGTGAATTTTTTTCAGAAAAATTCTTAGTTTTTTCTCAATATTTTATTTGACACGTGGAAATATTGATTGAATAAAATCCAGGTGGCAAAAATTCAGATTAACGATTTTCAGAAGACATGTGAGAAATGGCATTATCACTTTGAATATATATATTGATTTCATATGTATTGAATGAACATTTTCCACTATTTCTCGAAAAAAAAATCAAAAAATTCTGAAACAGTGAATTTTTTCAGAAAATTTTTAGTTTTTCCTCAATATTTTATTTGACACTCGCAACTATTCATTGAACATTTTTCACAATTTCTCGAAAAATATTTAAAAATTTTGAAACAGTGAATTTTTTTTTGAGAAAAATTCTGATTTTATTTGACACGTGTAAAATTTATTGAATTTTTTTGACGCTACAAAATCCACGTGGCAAAACTATTTTTGAATTTAATGTTCTATTTATATTTTGAGTTGACATTGTCCATAAAATTTCGAGAAAAATATCAAAAAATTTTGAAACAGTGAATTTTTTCTTCTCAACTTTTTGGAATATTTCCACCAAAAAATCCACGTGTCAAACAAAATTTTCTTTGCAGATCCGGCGATCGTTGTGATCCACAATTTCCAACAACAACATGTCCATCCGGCTCGACGTGTGAGCTCAATCAAGAGCAAACCGCGCACATTTGCTGTTTTCCCGCCGCCGAAAATTCGAGAAATAAAGGTACTGTAGTGAGTTGTTGGGGTACTGTAGATAAAAAAAATTTTCAGGTCAAAAGAAGAAGCCCACTTTTATCCCCGTGATTTTGCCATCAACTTCTACTGAAATTTCAACGTTTCCAGAGGAGGAATTGGGAGAGACTATGTGAGTTTGGAAGGGGCCTTAGGGGGCCTAAGGGTTTTAGGGCCTTAGGAGGCCTCAGAGGGCCTTAAGAACCCTTTTTCCAGCCTAACATGCCTCGATGGCTCGCAAGTGCTCTTCGAAAACAACCTGAGCGTAATGTGTCCAAAACTCGGCGAGCCCTGCAAAAAAGCCGGATTCATTTGCCAACTCTCCGACCTGGATGACGTGTTTATTTGTTGCTCGGCTGCTCCGAAATTGATTCCCGAAGTGGAAAAACAATCGGAAATTCAGCCGAGTTGTCCATTTTCATATGTTCCAGCGAAGAATCCGGGAAATTTGAGTGAAGTTCATCGATGTTTGACGTTGTTCTCGTTGGAGTAAGTGAGAGGGGTACTGGAAATGCGTCAGTGAAATACTAAGTTACCAGAAACACGTCAGTAAAGTTTCCGAGCTACCAGAAATGCGTCAGCTAATTTCCAGGCTGCTAGAAATGCGTCAGTGAATCTTTGAGCTACCAGAAAAACGTCAGTATAGCTTCTAGGGTACGAGAAATGCGTCAGTAAACCTCTGAGCTGCAAAAATTGTGTCAGCAATTTTCTGAGCTTCCGGAAATGCGTCAGTTAACCTTTAAGATACCGAAAATGCGTCAGTTAAATCCTAGGCCACCAGAAATACGTCAGCAAAGCTCTAACCCAAGCGTCAGTAAAGTTACCAAGCTACCAGAAAAGCGTCAGCACACCTATCTGCTAGCCCAAATTTTATACGTTTCAAAAACTCCCCAACTAAAAAACCTCATGATTTCAATGATCCATCCAATATTTTTTGGTGACGTATTTCTCGTGCTGGCGTAAATTTCGTAGGCTCTCTGAAATCCGTCAGTAAACATTCAAGCTACCAGAAATGCGTCAGCACACATATTTGCTGGCGCAAATTTTGTAGATCAAATTTCAAATTTTGCAGCTGTCCATTCGGCTTCACCTGTCTACCATCTTCAACAACCGACAGTTATTTATGCTGCCAAAGAAAACCGCTTTGAATTTTCGAATTTGGAAAAACGATAACGATTTATTTCAAATAAAACGAATTTTAATTTTTGGTTCAATTTTAATATGAGAAAAAATATTCACAACACATAGAAAATTTGGGTAGCAAAAACAAAATTCGAATCTTGATTTTTGAAAGTTCACCAGGCTGGTGGTGGATGTGGTGGAATACCGTATTCGAAAGCGTGTCGAATTTCTTCTGCTGTGGCGAATTGACCGTCAAAACGTAACCATTCGTACTGGAAGAAAAATTTTAATTTGAATTTTTTTTGCGTCAAAAAAGTTAGCTCACAATGTATTGGTTTTTTTATTTAAGATTTTGACAAATTTTGGGGCTAAAATTTCACGTGGCATTGATTTTTGCTCAAAATTAATTGAAAATTCGAAAATTTTTGATTTTCTGTATTGTCCGTTTGGAAATCAGATTCACCCCGCGAAAAAATAAATTTGAATTTGCTGCAGGAGACGCAGACAGCGAGAGAGTGCGCTGGCAAACAGCCAACGGGGGTTTTGTATGGGAAAGCGACCGCAACGCACACGCATCGCGGGGGTAGGGGAAATTAGAGATTTTCTCAAATTCAAATTTATTTTTTCGCGGGGTGAATCTCATTTCCAAACGGACAATAGATTCCAGATTTTTGAAGCTTCTGTTGTGATTTTTGATGAACATTGACCTTCAGAAGCTTTTGCTGATTTTTCGTAAAATAAACAAATTCAAATGTTGATGACAAAATTTCTAAAATCAAATATATGTGGTTCAAAATTTTATATCAGAATGTTTTGAAACAGTGAATTTTTTTTTCAAATCTGAAGGAAAATCAAAAATGTTTTACTGACAATTGTATATCAGCATTTTTTGAAACAGTAAAAATTTCGAAAAAATTTTCAATTATTTTTAGTTTTTCAGTCAGAAATGATGACAAATCGATGTTTTTAAAGCTTCTGGAGTGATTTCTGATGAAAATTCACCTTCAGAAGTTTTTGCTGATTTTTCTTAAAATAAAACATTTCAAATTTTGATGAATTTCGAAAATAGGATTCTCGAATCTTATTTTCATCAGAAATCATCTCACATCAGAAGCTTCAAAAATCTCATCATTTTTGGCTGAAAAATTCGAAAAACTAATTTTGACATTACAGAATTTCTAAGATCAAATATTTTGTGGTTCAAAATTTTATATTAGAAATTTTTTAAACAGTGAATTTTTTTTTTCAAAATTATAGGAAATCAAAAATGTTTGACTCACAATTTTATATCAGGATTTTTTTGAAGCAGTAAAAATTTTCGAATTTTAAATTAATTTTTTTTTATTTTACTTTTTCGAGTTTTTCAGTCAATAATGATGACAAATCGAGGTTTCTGGAGTGATTTCTGATGAAAATTGACCTTCAGAAGTTTTTGCTGATTTTTCGTAAAATAAAAAAATTTCAATTTTTCATCAAAAATCACCCCATAAGCTTCGAAAATCTCATAATTTTTGGCTGAAAAACTCGAAAAAAAACTAATTTTAATCTACCCTGCTCAAACATACATGGCATCTTTGCCCAACAGACCCTCCATGTAATGATCCCCCCCCTCCCCAAAATTTTGAAATGTCATGATCCCCCTTTTTTTTTTTTTTTTTTTTTGTCAAAAATTTGAAAAAATAAATGGTGAAAAAAATGAAAAATATCCAAGAGAGGGAAGGGGGAGTTTCATTTTTGACATATTCTTTCAGGTTCGATAATTTGGAAACTAGCGCTTCTAATATCGGATGTAGAGAAAGGGCGAAGAATTCGACGAATATATTTCATCGGCTAATTATTCTTATTTCTCATTTTATTTCTAAAATTCTCAATTATTTGTTTCTATATCCTTCTAAAATAAAAAATGCGTTTATTGTAGTAAGTTCATCTCAGAACTTTTTACAAATTATCATTCTCAACTTTTCTGAACAATTACATATTAATAATCATAGCCAATGCGATATTTATTTGATAATCAAATTGAAATCCAAAAATATTGAATTACAAAACAAAAGAAAAAAATGAATTCCACCGAGAATTCGATCCAAAAACCCTCTGATTATTAGGCGCGATCTCTACCGACTTGACCACGAGGCTACTTATTTTCACACGTTTATTTTTAAGTGATAAATAAGGGATAGAAGGGGAGAGAAAATGAAAAAGAGAAGGAGAAGCGGAAAAAAATCATGAAATTTTTGAAAAATTTCCATTTTTCATCGAATTTTGCCGATTTTGTTATATGTTAGGATTGTATAAGTAACTTAAGGATGATAGAAAGGAATGTCTGTCGAAATTATCTAAAAAGATGGTTTATTTCTTGAGATATGATCCCCCCAAAATCGAAGCCGTTTTGCTATGTCATTTTGGGGGGTATCATATCTCAAGAAATAAACCATCTTTTTAGATAATTTCGACAGACATTCCTTTCTACCATCCTTAAGTTACTTATACAATCGAAACATATAACAAAATCGGCGAAATTCGATAAAAAATGGAAATTTTTCAAAAATTTCATGATTTTTTTCCGCTTCTCCTTCTCTTTTTCATTTTCTCTCCCCTTCTATCCCTTATTTATCACTTAAAAATAAACGTGTGAAAATAAGTAGCCTCGTGGTCAAGTCGGTAGAGATCGCGCCTAATAATCAGAGGGTTTTTGGATCGAATTCTCGGTGGAATTCATTTTTTTTTCTTTTGTTTTGTAATTCAATATTTTTGGATTTCAATTTGATTATCAAATAAATATCGCATTGACTATGATTATTAATATGTAATTGTTCAGAAAAGTTGAGAATGATAATTTGTAAAAAGTTCTGAGATGAACTTACTACAATAAACGCATTTTTTATTTTAGAAGGATATAGAAACAAATAATTGAGAATTTTAGAAATAAAATAAGAATAATTAGCCGATGAAAGATATCCGTCAAATTCTTCGCTCGTTCTCTACATCCGATATTCCTAAAGCACTAGTGTCCAAATTACCGAACCTGAAAAATTAAGTCAAAAATGACCACATGCAAAAACCCAATTTTTTTCTAGCGTACCGATTTCACTTTGAAAAAAAAATTAGGTTTTTTGTATGTGATGTCATGATCCCCCCTCGAAAATTTTTTCCAAATGTCATGATCTCCCCCTCAAAATTTTGAGAGCAGTGCCATGTATGTGCTCAAAATCCACCCAAAAAAACTCACAAATTCAAAATTTTCAGCAATATCACTATCATCATCATCATCTTCCAAATCCCAATCCAAAGGCTCGAAAAATCTCGCCGCCACATTATGATTATTATTGTTGACAAACACAAAATCATTTCGATCAGGAGCGGGTTCATCCATAAATAGTTCAAATGCCGGTTCACCATTTCCACCGTGTCCACCGTGTTTTAGTGACATGTGTGAATAGATTTGGCCCATTGAGTCGGATTTGAAGAGGCACAACCAGCAGAAATGTGTGTGACAGAATGGACATTCCACGTGGTTGCAACCGTCGGCCTGCAAAATTTTAGATTTTTTGAAAAAAAAATTCGGTAATTTTCTCTACAGTAATCTTCTAGGTGTACTGTAATGAAATTTTAAAAAATAAATCCGGTGAAAATTGTTTGAAAATCGATAATTTATGAATCTACAGTAATCCTAGTATACTGTAGTGATGAAATTTCAAAAATTGGTCAGAAATCGATAATTTTCTGAACTACAGTAATCTTCTAGGGGTACTGTAATTGAATTTCGAACAAAATCCGGTAAAAATTGGTCAGAAAAGATTTTATTCAGAACTTTTGGTTCAAAAATCGATAATTTTATCTACAGTAATCATCTAGGTGTACTGTAGACGCTGATTTTTTTCAGAATAATGGTTTAGAGAATTTTCATATAATTGTTTTTATTTTCTGAACTACAGTAATCCTAGTATACTGTAATAACTTAATTTCAAAAAATGGTCAAAAATCGATAATTTTCAAGCTACAGTAATCCTGGGAGTATACTGTAGATGTTTATTTGCTCGAAAAATGGTTACCATAATTTTCCAAACTACAGTAACCCTGTGGGTATACTGTAGATGCTGATTTTCTAAAAAAAAATGGTTTACATAATTTTCTGAACTACAGTAATCTTCCAGGTATACTGTAATCAAGGTTTCTCAAAAATCCCGTTAAAATCGGACAGAAATCAATAATTTTCAGAGCTACAGTACTCCTAGTATACTGTGATTCAATTTCCAGAAATCCAGTAAAAATCGGTTCAAAACCAATCATTTCCTGAACTACAGTACTCCTAGAATTTTTCGCGCCTAAGGATTACTGTAGAAAATTGAAAATACCTGAAAATCCATCATTTTCAGCGCAAAATGGCTCATTTTTCGTGCCAAAAAATGACCTACAGTACCCCTACCGTACCTTTTCAATAACAGCTTTACAAGCACTAGTCGGACATCGTTTGAACATGCGATTTTTGTTGGATCTCGCAAATTTCTCCAGCGACAATTCGACATCCTGTTTCAATCTACCGTACTCTTCACAATCTTCCACTTCCGGATGCGGTTCTTCCAAACAATTCGCACAGTATACTGTATCACAATCCTGACATATTACTGTAGAAGGAGGGGGTACTGTAGCTGTCGATGTTGATGGTCCTTCTTGCCAATCATTCTGCGCGCACTGAACAAGGCCTTGACAATCGGGCTTTTTGCAAAATTTGAATTTCGATCCGGGCTTTTTCACAATTTCATCCATCGAGTTCTTGAAGAATTCGCGAATTTTCAGCGAATCCAGCGATTTCTCGCGCGACACTTCGCTTCCTAATATGAGCAATCGAAAATCTTGGGGGCAAATGTGTTTGGTGCATGTGTCGACGAGACAATGTTTGCCTTGGTTTTTGACGAGATTATTGAGACATTCTCGACAATATGTATGACCGCATGCGTCGAGACGGTAGAAATCGGGACCGGCTGGAGTTCGGCAAACTGGACAGTTTGGAGAATTTATGGATGGGGGAAGTTGTTGCGTGAGTTTGGTGAAGATCTGCAATGATTGAAATTTGGAACAAGAAAACATTTTTTAGAAAAAAAATATAATTTTTTTGAAACAGTGAATTTTTTTAATGGGGCTATTCAAGTAATTTCTCAACATGCTGAGAAAACAGGAGAAATGCGGAGAAAATGTATTTTATCCACTTTTTTCGTATTTTCTCAGCTTACCTGAATAGGTTTTCTTCGCTTTTCTCAGCGTTGAGAAAATAACTTGAATAGTCCCATAAAAGATAATTTCAAGTTTTTCTGGATTTTTAACATTCAAATGAAATTTGAACTTACAAATAATCTAATATTTTATTTTTGAAACAGTAAATTTTTCGTTCTGATTTTTTCTCCATTTTTTTCTTGGAGAAAAACACCTAAAAATTATCAAGATAAAATTTAAAACATTTTGAAACAGTGAATTTTTTGAGAAAAAAATTTGAAACATTTTGAATAAGAAATTTGTTCTGATTTTTTCCTGGAGATTTTCATATCAGAATTTGAACAAAAATAAAATTAAAAAAAAATAAAATCTATGATTTTTGAAACAGTGAATTTTTCATTTGGAAAATAATTTTTAAAATAGAAAAAAAATTCTGAAGAACTAGATTACAGCAAAAATATCAACAATCATTTTTCGAAAAAATCCTAATTTTTACAGCAAAAATTGAATTTTCATTTTTATAAACAACAAACCGAAATTTTGGGAAAATAGAGCAAAGTTCCAATTTTCAAAAAAAAAATCTATGATTTTTGAAACAGTGAATTTTTGGGGAAATTTTTTTGAATCCTTCGGATTTTTTTGGAACATTTTCTGCACAGAAAATGCGTAATAAAATCAGTTGCAAAATTTTCAACATGAAATTTTAAAAAATTTTGAAACAGTGAATTTTTACAAATATGTGAAATTTTTTTTTGCGTTGGTAAAGCAAAGGCCAACATTTTCCAGGAAATATCTACATTTTTTGAAACAGTGACTTTTTACAAAGTTCAAAAATCTAGCATAGATAAATCTTGAAATCAAATTTTAACCAGAGTTGACATCCCTAGCAGCAAAATTCCAATTTTCAAAAAATAAATCTATGATTTTTGAAACATTGAATTTTTTTTAAAGAAATTTTCAGATTTTTTCTTGCAATTTTTTTCTGATGGGGCTATTCATGTATTTTCTCAGCATGTTGAGAAAACAGGAGAAATGCGGAGAAAATACATTTTCTCCGCTTTTTTCGTATTTTCTCAGCCTACCTGAATAGGTTTTCTCCGCTTTTCTCCCGTTTTCTCAGCGTTGAAAAATAACATGAATAGCCCCATGAGAACAAAAATTATTAATTTTTTAAACGTATATTTTCCTTGTCCCCAAATCCCCCAAAAAACTCACATCCCGATTAATCTTGGCCATCAAATCGGCAAAAATCTTAAACGACACAAACGGTCCATCATATTCGACACATTTCTCCATCGAGTTCACCGAAATCTTTGCTCCCAAGTCAATTTCCAGCGATTTCAGGACGCGTTTTCGCACAATTTGTCGCATATTTTCATTGAAAACCGGGGCGGAAAATGGGATTTTCGCGTGAATGAATAGATGTTCGGTGCGGAATTCGTTTAATTCTTCGATGAATTGCGATGTTTTGTCGCCAAAGATCCAAAGTTTTTGATTGAATCGATCGAAATCCACAACTATTTCATCGCGCATTTTGGAGATTAGGTGTTTGACAAAAGCTTCTCCTCTTCTGCAGGGAAAAAATTGAGTTTGAGTATTTTTTGGCGGGAAAAATTATACAAGAACATTTTGAAACATAGAATTTCCTGGAAAATTTCTGGCTCAAAAAATCCCAGAAATACTGTAGATTAGTTCAAAATTCTCGATTTTTCGCGATTTTTGGTTCAAAATTATCGATTTTTCATGATTTTTGGCTCAAAATTATCGATTTTTCATGATTTTTCTCGCCCCAAGCAACCTACCCATACAACAAATCCGAATTCACCCCATCACACGAAAATTCGACCGGCTCAAAAATCTTGCTCATCTCCTTCAGCTCCTCCTCAACAACTCGCACCGGCCAACCTTCAATTCCACACATTCCCCAAGTTTCATCAACCGTCTCCTGATCTTCCATATTCATATCCAAAACTCTCAGAAAATTCATCTCAATTCCCTCTGGCCGCTCCTTATTTTGTTCCTCATAATCCGCCCAAAGATATCGTAGTTTCTCGTCGAATCTGCGAACACCTTCGGCGCATGCGACGCGTACGCGTCGCGTGCGTGGCACCAATTTGCGATAGGAGGCGGAAATCCGGGCTGGGTGGAAGCGTGGCTGTTTGAACTGCATGAAATGCGTGAATTTTTGAGAGACCGTGTAGCAATCTTCGGCCAATCTTTTGCCAAGCGCCACATTTTTCCCGTAAAATTTGGCCAGCAATTTTCGCTCGCCATTTTCTCCCATACCGTATTCATCAAATTCTTCAATAATAAATGGATGTTTCGTGGAATCCTGCGCAATTCGATCCAAATCCGCATCATTTCGAATAAATTCGCCCTTCCACAAATTCCGACGACACGCCATTTCGATCAAATTTCGCGCGAAAAGTTGAGCTGGATCACGGAGTTTTGATCTGTTCCAAAAATCGGATCTTTCATCTAGATCTTGCACTTGCACGGTGTCAAATCGGATGAATTCGTAGTAGATGTCATTTGGTGCCAAATATTGATCGATGAACCATTGAAGATGGTCGACGGTGTCCAGGAATTCGGGAAGATGCGAGATTGAGAGCTGGAAAATATTTGGGTAAAATTATAGCTTGAATTTAGGTTCAACTGAAAATTGTATATTTGAAAAAAACATTTATCAAAAACTTGAAACAGTGATTTTTTTTTTGAAAAAAAATTCTGGATTTTGAAACAGCAAATTCATTGACTGAAAATTCAGGTTTTCTGAAATTTTCAGAGATGTTTTTAAAATTTTGAATGAGATGCTCGGGAAAAAAAGTAGCAAGTCTGGCGACAAAACATAGACTTTTAGCCAGCTTGCGACCATTTTTAGCAAGCTTGCTACATTTTTTCCCATTATAAAAATTGTAGCAAGCTTGCTAAAAATGGTCGCACGCTGGCTAAAAGTCTATTTTACTTTTTTCCCGAGTGAATTGGCTTTTGGCTTACTGAAAATTTCATATTTAAAAAAAATTTACTAAAAATTTGAAACAGTGATTTTTTTTTTGAAAAAAAATTCTGGATTTTGAAACAGCAAATTGATTAACTCAAAATTCGGGTTTTCTGAAATTTTCAGAGATGTTTTTAATGTTGAAAATAAACTTTGTACTGAATATGTAATATTGGAAAAAAATTATCAAGAATTTGAAACAATGATTTTTTTTTTTGAAAAAAAATTCCGGATTTTGAAACAGTGAATTATTTTATTGACTGAATTCATTGACTCAAAACTAATTTTTCTGAAATTTACGAGTCATTTTTCGATCAAAATACTTGCAATTTTTGATGAAATCAATTGTAATTCTTATTCTTAACATCTTCCAAGTACCTTCAATACGAAAAAAATAATTAAATAAGTTTTTTTTCAAAAAATTGATAGATGACTTCATCCATGGCAAAATTAGGAAGCCTTCCTAATTTTGCCACGGGTCATTTTTTGTTCTGTGGACAATAATTACAGAAAAAAAAGTGAAACTGAAATAAATGAGAAGACTGTTACGCCTGGGGGCTAACAGCCCCTAGTCAGAGATACCAAAAATTTGAAACAGTGAATTTTTTTTTTTTTTCTGAATTTATTTGTAAAAATTTAAGTTTTATGAAAAATTTTTTTTTTTGAAACCAGCTACAGATCGTTCTACTGAAAATTGCACTTTTGAAAAAAAAATTATCAAGAATTTGAAACAGTGAATTCATAGTGAAATTTTTTTCTAAATTTTGTAAAATAAAAAAGACTCAAAATTCAGGTCACAGCTCAGAAGTCTTGATTTTCCGAAAATTTTGATAAACTTTGAAATTGAAAAGTTTAGTAGCTTCAATTATTATAAAGCAAAACATGCCAAACATTTTTGAAACAGTGAAATTTTCAGAGATTTTTTCAAATTAATTTTGAAATGTGCTACAAACGGATTCACTGACAATTGCACATTTGAAAAAAATTTACCAAAATTTTGAAACAGTGAATTTTTTTGGGTAGAAAAATCACAATTCAATGAATTTTAATTAATTTTGGGTGAAAAAAAATTGAATTTTAGGGTAAAATTCGGCTCAAAAATCAAGTTTTATGAAATTTCGAAGAATTTTTTTTTGATTTTCAGAATAAAATTGAGAAGACTGCTACTGAAAATTTCATATAAAACAAAAATTTACCAAAAATTTGAAACAGTGAATTTTTTTTGGGTAGAAAAATCACATTTTTATCATTTTTAATTGATTTTGGGTCTAAAAATTTAAGGTAAGGCGCTCTAAAGCAAAATTCAGCGTTTTCTTGATTTTCAAACGCTGAAAAATTGCGATTTCGGTTTTTTTCCACAATTTTCGACTGAAAATAACCTAAAAATTTCGAATTTCAGCTCAAAACCATTATTTTCAGCAATTTTCCCCCGCACAAACCTCTCGATTTCCCATCCTTCCTCCATTCTCCACAACTCTTCGTGGCAATTCAACCATCATTCCAAAATCCGACAAAATCCTTCTGGCAAACTCAACATCCCGTGACGATCTTAGTCGAAGTCTGGCACTTTTCCGATTCGTTTTCATCGTATCAAATCGCACTTCAATCGTCACCATCTCATATGAATTTTGTTCCATAGTTTCATCAAAAATCCCAAAAATTTCTTCAGGTTCTTCGATTTTCAGGCCAATTTTGTCAAAACTTCTTTGAAAAGCCAAATTTTTCGCTTCAAAACTATCGAATTTGATCAAAAACGTGTCGATTTTCAGCGGATTTTTGCGATTTTTCGAGAAAAACAGTCTCTGGACATAGGATAACTTCTCGATTTTTTCGATTCCTGAATTAGCTCCAAATTGTCTGGCACAATATTCAGCGGGCGTCAGAATTCCACGTTGCGATTCGGAAATTTCCAGAATTGCGTAGGGTGACATTTTGGCGTTTTCCACTATTTCAATGTCACCTTCTTCGTGTAAAATCAGCTGGAAAATGGGGAATTTTTGTCAAAAATAAGGCTCCGCCCCATTTCTGCAAGTCTGGCACAGTTTGTCCTCAGAAATTGTGCCAAGCTTGCAGTATTTCAAGCTCCGCCCCTTTTCTGTAAGTCTTGCACGGTTTTTATTAAGGGTTTTATTTTTGACATGAGAAAACTGTGCCAGGTTTACAATTTTTGAGACTCCGCCCCATTTCTGCAAGTCTGGCACGGTTTTTCTGAAGGGTTTCATTTTTGACATGAGAAAACTGTGCCAGGTTTGCAATTTTTGAGGCTCCGCCCCTTTCTGTAAGCCTGGCACAGTTTTTTCAGATTGAATTTGCGAGGTTTATCATTTTTAGCTCAAAATTCACCGAAAAACTCGGTTTTTAGCTGGAAAATTAGGCTCCGCCCCTTTTATGCAAGTCTGGCACAGTTTTTCTGAAGGTTTTTATTTTTGACATGAGAAAACTATGCCAGGTTTGCAATTTTCGAGGCTCCGCCCCTTTTCTGCAAGCCTGGCACAGTTTTTCAGAGTGAAAATTGCAAATTTATCATTTAAGCTTAAAATTCACCGGAAAACTCAATTTTTGGCTGAAAAAATGAGCTTTCTATGTGAAATTTCGTGATTTTCATCATTTTCAGCCCAAAAATCCCAAATTCTGGCTCAAAACTCACATAAAAACTGGCACCAGGTCCAGCAAACTCAAACGACTCCTCGGTTCTTTGCGCCGAATTGAAATACACATCCAAATATTCCGATATTCTACCCGCCGTACTCACTCTTCTCTGCGCACAAAACACCATGAGCTGCGGTGAGCATAAGAAGTGCGCGTGCCGCGAGTTGAATCGCGGCATATTTGGTGTCTGAAACAGTGGAAAATTCATGATTTTTGGTGAATTTTGACCTAAAATTGATCATTTCTCATCAAAAAACTCACAAAATCCAAAAAATCCGGTCGTTTGTGTCTTGTTGATTTCGCCGTTTTGCAGTTTTCTCAAATATTCCAGGCATCCGGAGGGTCCGATTGTGGCGAATTCGGTCTCATTGCTCAGCTGCAAGAGAATTTTATTTTTGGGGTAGAAATTTGCCACGTGGCAGTGATTTTTGGTAAATCAAGAGTATAACAATTTTTATTCAAAAAACTATTTTTCCGAAATTATTGAAACAGTGAATTTTTTTTTGAAAAATTGATTTTTTGAGCCGAAAAATTTGTGAAAATATGTTTATTTTTGAAAAGAGTACACCAAGAGAGTAACAATTTTTTATTCAAAAAATTAATTGTTCTTATATTTTTGAAACAGTGATTTTTTTTAAAGAAAGAAATGCCACCGAAGAAAACAACAAATTTTCAATTTAAAAAAATATTTTCCGAAATTTTTTGAAACAGTGAAATTTTTATTTTTTTCTTGGCTCTAAAATTTGCCACCTGGAAATTGATATGTTTATTTGAGAAGACAAAATAAAGAGCGTAACAATTTTTTACTCAAAAAAATTAATTTTTCTTATATTTTTGAAACAGTGAATTTTTTTGAAAAAAAAAACATTTTTTAAAGAAAACTATGCATCGAACCAACAACAAATTTTATATTCAAAAAAAAATAATTTTCCGAAATTTTTGAAACAGTGATTTTTTTTTTGAAAAATTGTTTTTTGTTTGGAATTTTTGAGCTCTAAAAATTGTTGAAAATTCCAAGATTTCAAGCCAAAAAACTCACATTCAAACCATCAAGCACACACAATTCCCGTCTCAATTTTCCCAAATATTTCTCAAAAATATCACAAGCCAAATCATTATCAAATCTCACAGTTTCCCGATCATAATCCTCATAAACATCCAAATTTTCGAGATAAAATCTTCGAAATTTGGTAGCTTCATCTTCTTCATTTTCAGGTTTTTTTGCATTGTAAAGCGGGCATTTTTGCACCGATTTCGGCACCAAAATTCGCCTTCGATACGGTCGTTTTGGTCTCAGAAATACCTGATTAAGCCGATCTTGACTGTCATAATATTGTCTATCTTGCGCATTTCTAATTTGAAAGTCCTGAATTGGCCGAACTTGAATCAGATCTTCAAATTCTTCGAGAGGTGGTTCAGGAATCTGGAGGTCTTCTAGATCTTCTGAATCGGAATCAGGTCGATTGTAGTGGTAGAAATCGACAAATTCTCTTCGATGACTTCGCTGATTTCGTCGATTCATCTGGAATATTCAGAACGATTTGGGGGCTAGAAAATTGTTTTTTTTTGTTGGTTTTCTAGGCCACCAAAACTCGGCCAGAAATATTTTAAGAATTTTTAGGTGACCAAAACTCTCACAGAAAGATTTGTGGGTTTCTAGGCCATCAAAACTCTTCCAGAAAGATTTTTGGGATTCTAGGCCACTAAAATTAGGCCAGGTTTTTTTGAATTTCAAAAAAAATCGGGTAGGTTATCCTTGGTGAAATATGAGCCATCTCATGAAATTTGAGCCTAGAAATCATGATTTTCTACCTGAAAATCAGAATTTCCATGAATTTCGGGCTGAAAATCACGAAATTTGAAGAATTTTAGAGGCCTAGAAAATATTTTGAAAACAAATTTTGAATTCAGGATTAAAATTCAGAAAAAAGAAAAAAAACATTCAGAAAATATTTTCAAAACAAAAAATTTTCCCATGGAAAATTGATGTGCGAAAAAAAAGGCCCAAAAATGTTATTGCTCTCGGGAAAAGAACTGCAACTTACCGCAACTGTGGCAGCATTTGTCGCAGCGCTGCGGCAATTTGTCGCAGCGCTGCGGCACTGCAACACATGCGCCGGAGTTGCGCCCATTCCCGCAACAGTTCACGCAACAGTTGCGAGTTTTGTCGCAACTCCGGCGCGTGTGTTGCAACAAAAAAAATGCTGCAGCGATGCGACAAATTGCCGCAGCGCTGCGACAAATGCTGCCACAATTGCGGTTCTTTTCCCGAGCTCATCTCAAAAATGTGTGTACATTTTTAACATGAGCAATGAAATTTTTTTCCTAAATCCCCCCTAATTTTCCTCAATTTCAAGAAAAAAAAATTAGTTTTGTTAACAAAAACAAATAAGAAACAAAAACTACACATATTTTGGCTGCGCGTATTTGTCCATACATCTCTAGCACTCTCCATTAAACCTATGCTCTCTCATTTTTTGGCGAGGTCAACTATTTCCGTTGGCCACGCCCATTTTCGGCAGGATTTCGAAATATTTTTTTGGCCCATTTCCAGAAAGCAAAAAATGGATTTTTAGATGAGAAATTGAGGTTTTTGACAAGACAAGGGAACTTTCTCCATAGATTTTAAATATAAAACTATTTTCTAGTAGTTTACATACACAACAACTCAAAAAACTCAATTTTTCACATAATTTTTCATTGAAACAGTGGAAAATTCTTGAATTCCAGAACAAATTTCACCTCAAAAAAGATGACAAGGGAACTCTAGATTTTGAATAAAATATATGTTTTCTAGTAGTTTTCGACCCTAAAATTGCACAACTCAACTTCTAATATGAGCTATGACGTGGCAGATTTTGAAAATTCGAGAATTTAGGAGCTGAAACCTGCGAAAAGCTTCAAAAATGATTTGCAAATCTGAGGGTTGTTCAGAAAAGTCGATCTTTCTGAACAACCCTCAGATTTGCATTAGAAAAAATCATTTTTGATGATTTTTTCAGATTCCAGCTGCTAAAATCCCAAGTTTTCCAAATTTGCCACGTCATAACTCATATTAGGAGTTGAGTTGTGCAATTTTAGAGTCGAAAACTATTAGAAAGCATATATATTTTATTAAAAATCTAGAGCCTTGAGGCATTTTCAGGTGAAATTTGTTCTGGAATTCAAGATTTTTTCACTGTTTCAATGAAAAATTTTATAAAAAATCGAGTTTTTTGGGGTTGTTTTGTTTATCAATTAAGTTGAAAAAAATAAAAATTTGAGTGGATTTTCTTTGGTAAAATTTTCGACTCACTGTGAAAATTCAACAAAAAATGGCAGTTTCAAAAATGAATAGAACTAGAAATGACCGCGAAAATTCAATTCAAAGAAAAATTAAAATTGTATTTTGCCACGTCAAAAGGTCACGTGGCAAAATTTTTCACTGTTTCATGGTGGGATTATATGAAAATCTAAGATTTTTCACCAATATCGATCAAATCACCCGCAAAATTCCCAAATTTCAACAAAAAAACTGATAAAAAGCACACGAAATAATGGAAGGTGACTAAACCTTTCTCTCTACGCAAAAATGTTCAAAAAACTGATAAAAATCTTCTATTTCTATTTATTTACAACATAGATTAGATGTTTCGTGGAACCCTCTTCGAATCCACAAATTTCTTGAGTAATTGGTAGACGGGGCACGAGGCGACTTCTTCAGGAGCAACTTTTTTGTCCGATAAATAATAGAAGAGATCCCACTCCATGTGTTCGCCATTGATTAGCTGGAAATTTTGGGGAATAAAGTGTTTGGGTAGAAATCCGGGGAAAATCATACCTTATCATAATTTACGAGTTGCTCTGGTGTCATTTTCGATAGATTCTCTTGCGCAAAATCGCCCAGCAAAATATCATTCTCCAAAATCCCACGCTTCTTACTCTGGTACAACAATCGTCCACGTTTCGCATCCAAACTCTCATTCACCTTATCAACTCGCGCCAAACTTCGACAAGCTTTTGATAAACTCAAAAAACGTCTCGACAGCATCTCTAATCTCTGTAAACAAAGCCGTTTCCATGGTGATAAACTCAATAATCTCTAAATGATGCAAATATCAAAATCAGTATTTTCAAATCCCAAAAATAAAAGAAAACAACGATGCGCCACATGCCTGTTGTTTAGCGTAAACCTACATGTAAACGACGCTCCGGAGTTTTTTTTCGATTTTTTACACTTTAGCCTAGTTTTACGCGCAAGCCTGAGAAAATGTGGCCCGATGATTGGCAGATTGATCACGACACCTTAATTGATGCTGGAGGATATATGCAGAAGTTGAAAATGTATCCGTATTTCGATATTGCGCATTATCTGTTGGTGAGTGCGTTTTGGGGCGGAAAATTGGGATTTTTTGAAGAAAATGTGGCTTTTGGAGATAGAAATGTTATGGAAAAATGGAGTCCAGGAGCAAAACATCGCGAAAAATCGCCTATTGGAGCTAATTTTCATGAAAATTTTAGTCGAGATGTTAAAAATCGCAAATTTCCATGTTTTTTGTGAATTTCCAAGTCCCGATAGGAAAAATCGTGATTTCACAGGATTTCAGGGTAGTTTTCAATGAAAATTCGAGCCCTCAATCTAAAAATATTCAAATTTCGCGCTGAAAACCAGATTTCGAAGGGAATTCAGCTTCAAAACTAGAAATCTAGCAATTTTCAGCTGTAGAACTCGAATTTTGATTGAAAATTACTGTGAAATCACAATTTTCCGCTCCAAGGTTCAAAATCTCATCGAAAAACATTAAAATTTGCCATTTTGACTCAAAATTTCATGAAAAAAAACGGAAAATGACTGAAATTTTCTACAGTTTCAACTAAAAACTTCAGAAATTCCCACAGAATCCTAAAATTCCTCCCCTAACCTTCGGATTTTCCAGACATGCATCTCAGTGCGTCAAGATCTCGGCACAACCAGTCTCACCTTCTCCCGAAAGCACCCATTCTCCTGTTGGCTTTCAGCAATGCTCATGTCATTTGCCGGCTCATTTCTAGCCAGTTTCTTGCTCGGCGAGCCAATTATTTCACCTCTCAAACATCATCAAGACGTGATTTTGGCCTCCGTTGTTTGGTATTTGGTTTTCTATTCACCCTTTGATATAATCTTCAAATTGGCCCAACTTTCACCAATCAAAACCGGTCTGATTGTGGTGAAAGAAATCCAGAGGGCGCATAAAATCGCAGCCGGTATCAAATATTCAGCCCGCCTTTATCCTGAATCATATCTGGTGCAGATCTTTGTCGGTGTCTCGAAGGGTGCAGGTTCTGGCGTGGTGAAGATTGTGGAGCAATTGGTGCGCGGCTCGTGGAGCCCGGCGAATCACGAGATTTTGAAACCCTCCTTCACCACTAAGGCTTGTGTGATTGCATCGATTGTTTTCACGTTGGAAAGGCATAGTATGTATGTGACGGCGCCGCATGATTTGGTGTATTTGGTGAGTTTTTTCACCATTGCTCATATTAATTTACCCCTAATTAATGTTTTATTTAAAAATACGATGCTAAGCTAAAATATTATGCAAATTAAAAATTGTGAGAATATCAGATTTTTTTGAAACAGTGAAAATTTTAGATTCAAAAATTTGAAAAATAACCAGATCAAGAAAAATCCAAAATTTTGAAATTTCATAATTTTTTGAAACAGTAAATTTTTCTAAATTTTAGAATGAATCAAACTTTTTTTTCGTCACCCAAAAACTACAATATTAACTTGAAAATCTCAATTTTCATATCATGCCACTCTGAAACAGTGAAAAATTTTTGAAAATTAAATTTTCCCGCGTGACCTTGTGACGTGGCAAAATGAATTTCCGAATTTTCGCTCATTTCTAGTTCTATTCATTTTTGAAACTGGCTTTTTTGTTGATTTTTCATGTTAAACCATTGCTCATGTTTTATTTCAAAATACAATGCTTAGCTAAAATATTATGGGCCTATGCAGAATAATAATTTGTAATAAAAAAACATAAAAAAACATTTTTTTCCTATGCAGAAAAACGTCGAAAAAACAAAATATACAGTTTATTATTTTGAGTAGAGACAACGTGAAGTTGAGAGAGTGCAGAAAAAAAAAACCCATTTTATGTCTGCGCTCTCTCAATTTCACGTTGTCTTTATTTTGTTTTTTCGACGTTTTTCTGCATAGGAAAAAAATGTTTTTTTATGTTTTTTTATTACAAAATATTATTCTGCATAGGCCCATTATGCAAATTAAAAATTGTGAGAATATCAGATTTTTTCGAAACAGTGAAAATTTTAGCTCTTAAAATTCGAAATAATAACCTGATCAACAAAATTCCAAAATTTCAAAACTTTTAGAAACAGTGAATTTTTCTAAATTTTAGGAAGAATCAAACTTTTTTTTCGTCACCTAAAAACTACAATATTAACTTGAAAATCTCAATTTTCATATCATGCCACTCTGAAACAGTGAAAAAATTTTGAAAATTAAATTTTCCCGCGTGACCTTGTGACGTGGCAAAATGCAATTTTCGAATTTTCGCTCATTTCTAGTTCTATTCATTTTTGAAACTGGCTTTTTTGTTGATTTTTCATGTTAAACCATTGCTCATGTTTTATTTAAAAATACAATGCTTAGCTAAAATATTATGCAAATTAAAAATTGTGAGAATATCAGATTTTTTTGAAACAGTGAAAACTTTAGGTTCAAAAATTTGAAAAATAACCAGATCAAGAAAAATCCAAAATTTTGAAATTTCAAAATTTTTTGAAACAGTAAATTTTAGGATGAATCAAACTTTTTGTGGGGTCACTTAAAAATGCAATATTAACTTGAAAATCTCAAGTTTTCATATAATTTCACTTTGAAGCAGTGAAAAATTTTCAAAATGTTGTCATTTGATTGATTTTTGATGAAAAAATGTGAGAAATTCGAAATTTTGAGACAATTTGCAAAACTGATTCAAAAATCTCAAGTTTTCATATAATCCCTTCATGAAACAGTGAAAAATTATGACTAAAAATTTAAAATTTTCCCCACGTGACCTTGTGACGTGGCAAAATGCATTTTCGCTCATTTCTAGTTCTATTCATTTTTAAAAATGGCTTTTTCTGTTGAATTTTCAGTGAGTTGAAAATTTTGCCACAGAAAATCTATGAACTCAAATTTTGTTTTATAAAGTTCTCGAACAACTCAAAAAAAACTCAATTTTCTCATAATTTTTCATTGAAACAGTGAAAAAATCTTGAATTCCAGAATAAATTTCACCTCAAAAAAAGATGACAGATTTTTGATAAAATATATATTTTCTAGTAGTTTTCGACCCTAAAATTGCACAACTAAACTCCTAATATGAGTTATGACGTGGCAAAATTCGAAAATCCGGGATTTCAGGGGCTGAAACCTGAAAAAGCATCAAAAATGATTTTTTCCCATGAAAATCTGAGGTTTCTTCAGAAAGATCGACTTTTCTGAATAACTAAAATCCCGAATTTTGCCACGTCATAACTCATATTTGGAGTTGCAATTTTAGACAACTAGAAAACATACTTAATATGAGCAATAGGAAAAATACAAAGAGTTACCCTAACTTTCCCCCGATTTCCAGTGCGTTGTTGGTTTCTTCATCTACTTCAAACTCGCCGCCATTCTCTTCGGTGTTCAAGACGCACTTCTGCCCATCGAAAATGTGATTTGCGCCATTTTCATGGGCGGAATTTTCGACGCATTCGCGAAAGCGGTGAACGCAACAAAACAGGCGGTGCGAAATAATCGAGTGATGAGCGAAGAGGAGATTTTGGCCAAAGAACGAGAGAAGGTTCAGAAGAGGAAGAAGACGCAGGCTGGAAATCAGATGAATGGAGATTCGAAGAAGAATAATTAGACATGGGAAAGGGGGACGTTTTGGGTGGATTTTGATGTGAAAAATTGTTGGAAATTCTGATTTTTGGCCTGAAAATCTTGGAAATCTTGGAAAATATTAGTTTTCAAAGAATTCTCAACTAGAAATTCCTACCTGAAATTTTTTTTGGGTGGATTTTGGTGTGAAAAATTCGATGAAATTCCAGAATTTCTGACTATTTTGGATCAAAATTTCAGGTTTTTTGGTCCGAAAATCTTGAAAAATCAAAAGATTCTCATGAGGAAAGTGTGTTACATAGATTTTTCTGTACAGTTTTACACGCTGAGAAAAATTCTTCTTTCAGTTTTTGCTAAGCAAAAACTGAAAGCAGGATTTTTGTGAAAAACTGTACAGAAACATCTATGTCTCATTGAAAATCTCCGGATAAAAATTTTTTCAGTCAAAAAACCTGGAAATTTCGGATTTTTGGCACCAAAATTCATCATTTCCAACCTCAAAATCCTCCCTTTTCCCCTATTTTTTTCTAATTTTTTGTTAATTTCCCCCCTAATAACCCTAAATTTCTAATAATTTTGTTAAATGGGTGAAATCTTTTTTGTTTCAAAAAATGTCCATATCACACTGAATTTTCACACAGTCTTTTATAATTTTTCGCTTTCTGTTTGTATTTTTTATTGTTAGTCCAGCTTGCCATTCTAGTCTTTTTTGATCAAATTTTTTATGCTTTTCGGGTAAAAATCCAATTTTTTCTGGGATTTTCATTGATTTTTTGAAGCGTTTTGGTCGCTGTAATATCTGAAAAATAATTGATTTCAGATTTTTTTTCTGAAATTTTTAGATTCAGATGACTTTTCTGCTGGAATTGGAGTTGAATTCGTCGCTGAAAGCGACGATTCAAAAATTGGATGAGGAAGAATCCAGCATCAGCAGAAAAAGTAGGTTTTGCCGCCGAAAATCTTCTTTCCAAATTCAATTTTTCCCCAGAACAACCAGAATTGATGTTGGAATTATGGGATAAATTGGCGAAAAATACGGCGATGGCTAGAAAATCGATTAGATGGCCGATTGGACAGGTTTTGCCGGAAGAGGTGGGGAATTTTTGAGCGGAAAATTGAAATTTTTGGGAAAATTTGGGTCCTGGAGCTGAAAAATCAACTTTTCTATTGTCCTTCCGAAAAAAAAGAACCTTGGAAGAGAACCGACATGGCCTAGGAAACCAATACTACAGTAGACTTCGCGAAATTTTGGAGTCTATTTGAAAAATAAAATGCGAAATTTACACGCTGGCTATTTGCCAACCAGTTTGATATGCATGTGTCACGTCATTATTAGTCTACTGTACGTGAGCGCCAATTCAAACGGGGGTTCTTTTATTTTCGGAATGACAATATATGAAAAAGTGAAGTTTTTGATGGATTTTGAGCCTAGAAACTTGAAAACCTTTAAAAAAAGAAAAAAACAAGTGAAAAATTTCACTGTTTCACAAATTTTACAAGCTTACTGTTTGGTTATTTGATTTTAGTTTGATCGTTGTGCACATGTGGTAATCGAAAAATAAACATGAATTGAAATCTTTAAATAATGATATTCAGGTCTCGGGGCGAAAATTCTGATTTTTGAGCGGAAAATTGAAATTTTTGGAAAAATTTGAGCCCTGGAGCTCTAAAACCAACTTTTCTATTTGAAAAATTGAAATTTTTGTGAAATTTTGAGCCCAAAACCCTGAAAACTTTGAAAAATAGAAAAAAAAACAATTGAAAAATTTCACTGTTTCACAAATTTTACAAGTTTACTGTTTGGTTACTTGATTTTAGTAGTTTGATCGTTGTGGTAATCGAAAAATAAACATGAATTGAAATCTTTAAATACTGAAATTCAGGTCTCGGGGCGAAAATTCTGATTTTTTGAGCGGATTGAAATTTTTGGAAAAATTAGAGTCCTGGAGCTCTAAAACCAACTTTTCTATATGAAAAATTTTAATTTGTGATGAAATTTGAGCCCAGAAACTTGAAAACCTACAAATTTTTGTGTAAAAAAATTCAATGTTTCAGAAATTTTACAAATTTTCTGTTTGGTTTTTTTTTAAAATTTAGTAATTCAGTATATGAGGCAATCGAAAAATGAACATGCTTTGAAATTTCTAAACAATGAAATTCAGCTCCCGTAGCGAAAAATCTGATTTTTTAAGCTGGAAAAATGGAAAATTAATCAATTTTGGGTCCTGGAACTGAAAAATCCACTTTTCTTTATGAGAAATTAAAATTTTCGGGAAAATTTTAAGCCCTGGAACATGAAAACCTACAATCTTGAACTTTTGAACTCCGGAGCTCAGAAAATTGATTATTTGAGAAAAAAAAATGTGAAAACTTCTTAGTCAATTCAAAAAAATGTTATACAAAAAATTCACTGTTTCAAAAATTTCACAAGTCATTTGTTTACAAGATTTTTGATTATTGATTTTCTGTAGATTGATATCGGTAAATCAATGAAAATTAAGATCCACCACCTAATACTACATTTTGTGAGCTAAATCATGAAAAATAAACTTTTCTTTATGAAAAAGTGAAATTTTTGACGGAATTTGAGCCCAGAAACTTGAAAACCTACAAATTTTTGTGTTGAAAAAAATTCACTGTTTCAGAAATTTCACAAATTTTCTGTTCGGTTGTTTTCTTGTTTCAGTCAAAAGATAGTTTTGTCTTATATTCTAGAGTGGAAAATCTGATTTTTTGAGCTAAAATAATGAAATTTGATCCAAGGAGTTGAAAAATTTAAATTTTTCACTCTGAAGCTTCAAATCCTCAGATTCTGATGAAATTCAAACCCAAAAATGTATGTGAAAAACCTCGCAGTTCAAAAAAAATTATAGAAAAAATTCACTGTTTCAAAATTGCTATGATTTTTTCTGTTTGGTTTTTTGATTTGATATTAGTTTCCAATAAGATATAGAAATATAAGAATACATCAAATTCAGGCTCTGAACCTAATTGTAAAATTAATTTTTTTCTCGAGAAAAATCGAAAAATAAACATTTTAGAACTGAAAATAATCACTGTTTCAAGAATTTTACAAATTCTTCGATTTTTCAATAATTCGATAAGTCGATGTTGCATTTTTGTGAAACAAAAATTTCAAAATTTTACAAGTAAAACATTCACTGTTTCAAAATTTGTCTGAATTTTCTAGATCTCCTACGACGATCAAAAAGAAGTGATTCTACTCAAAGGAAAAACAACAAAAGCTGAAATTCCATTACCGTAAGATTGTTTTCACCAAAATTCATATATTTCCCACCAAATTCCCTCCAGAAAATCAAAAATCGATTCACTTACCGCTGTCTCAACTGCAAAAACATCGACGTCAGCAAAAGTCAAAACATTCTCAACATTTGCCGTAAATCCAATTGAAACCAATGATATTGGAAATTTGTCGAAAAGTGTGGAAAGTGTGATTGAGGGACCTGTGAGTTTTTTTTGGGGAAGAATTTGGGAATTTTTGATACTGAATTTGCCTAGAAGGCTTACAATTAAAATAGCCAAATTTCGGGCCCTATGGGGAAATTTTGAGTTTTGAAGCTCATGAAAAATCCCAAATTTTATCTAAAAATGCTGGAAATCTAGGTTTTCAGAAGGAAAACCCTGAAAAAAGCTTCAAAAATGATTTTTCCCATGTTTTCATCAGGTTTTCGTGAAAAAATAATTTTGAAGCTTTTCAGCAGTTTCAGCTCCTAAAATCCCGGATTTTCGAATTTTGCCACGTCATAACTCATATTAGAAGTTGAGTTCTGTAATTTTAGACAATGGAATAGTGATTAGCGGGTTGAAAACTACTAGACACTATATATTTTATTAAAAATCTAGAGTTGAAGTTCTCTTGTGAGCTCGAAATGTTGTTTTTGGTTTTCTAGGCCATCAAAAAACTAGGCCAGGTTTTTTGAATTTCAAAAAAAATCCATTATTGTCGGAGAAAATTATGATTCTTTAAAAGACCGAAAATCGCTAATTTTTTCTATTTAAAAAAATTATGAAAATTTTGAAACCGGGAATTTTTTCAGAAAATTTTTTTTCAAAAAAATGAAAATTTTTTTGCTAACAAAAAAGTTAATTCAAGTCGAAAAAAAATTTCACTGTTTCAGAATTTTCATGAATTTTTTGAAAGTGTAGTCGAATGTCTCTGAAAAAATCTGGAGAAAACCTGATTTTCTTGAAATTAAAAAAAAAGGATAAAATTACGTTTTTCGGCAAAAATTTCGATTCAGCGGGTTTTTCCCAGAATTTTCTGAAAATATCGCAAACATTAACTATACTATTTTTTTCTATTTGCTAAAAAAATTATGAAAATTTTGAAACAGTGAAATTTTTTACAAGCTGCAAAACAAGAACTAAGAATACATACTAATGTTTTCTTATTTTTTTAGGAAAATTTTGAAAAGTGAATATTTTTCGGAGAAAATTTTGGAATTTTAAGCTATAATTTTTCCAGCTCAAACAAAAACGCTGGAAAAAGTTGGTGACAAGTCTCGAGAGCTTGGAATCCGGTGCAGCCAGTGGCGCCCTCTCCACCATCGAACAATCTCAATTAGTCGAGGCGATTCGCGAATTCGCAGCCGACGCTGACACCGAACAACAATTCGTCGACGAAATTCTAAAATCTGTGATTTTGGCGCGCATTTTGACGTATCGAAATGAGGATAATCTACTGAAGTACTGTATTGAGATGGGAAAATTGGAGTTGGTTGAGATGATTTTGGAAGATGAGCAGAGGGTTGTGTCGGAAATGGTTTTGGCGAATTTGTTGAAATTGGCGGCTGGGTAAGGTGTTTTTGGTGGGAGTTTATGGGAAATTGGGAAAATTTGCGATTTTTTGAGTCAAAAAGCTTGAAATTTGATCTGGAACTTGCTGAAAACCACATTTTCCACCTTAAAAAAATTCCAGAAAATCCGAAAAACGCGCGGATTTGCTGAAAATCCTCTCCCGAAATTTCTCCCGCAAATCAATGACCGAACAAACGTCGCAAGTTCTCACAACTCTTGAATCCATCGAAATTATGCTGGAACTAATCGATATTTATAAGAGCTTTGAGGAGCCCAAAAATCAAGAGAATGTGGCCAAAAAAGCGCTTGGTTTGATCACAATTTTGATGGATGCACATGGTTCGAGAATTATTTATGAGGATGAATTGCATCAGAAATTTGCGCAAATTTCCAATTTTATCATTGAAATGGTGGGTTTTTGGGGGATTTTGAGGGGAAATTTAAAAATTTTCGAGATTTTTTTTAGCTCGAATTAATTCCACCTTAACATTGACCTAAAAATTGTTGAGAAAAATATGTAAAAATTTTGAAACAGTGAAATTTTTTGAATGTAAAAATTCAATTTTTGAGCTTGAAATTATGGTTTTAATGAGCAATTGATTAAAAACATTGAAATTTTTTTTTTGAAATTTATTTTGACTAGAATTCTGAAACAGTGAGATTTTTAGTGAAAAAATTGACCTAAAATTTGAAAATCTTCGAAAATTGTTCATGTAATCAACAATTACCCTTGGAATTAAGTATGTAGAAATTTTGAAACAGTAAAATTTTTTAAATGTAAAAATTCAATTTTTGAGATTGAATTCATCATTTTGGTGAGAAAATGATCTAATATTTGTGGTGTCATCGACTTGACAATTAATGAGAAAAATATACAAAAATTTTGAAACGGCGAAATTTTTAATGTTAATTTTTTGAATGTGTTACAGATCTGGATTATCAAACCGCATTCATCAAAATTTAATATTGAAATTTTTGAAACAGTGAGATTTTTTTTAATGTGAAAATTGATGTGCAATTCATAAAAAACATTGAAATTTTCTACTAGAAATTTATTTATACTAGAATTCTGAAACTGTGAGATTTTTAGTGAAAAAAATTGACCTAAAATTTGAAAATTTTTGAAAATTGTTCATCACTCTACCCAACGATTGACCTAAAAACTGTTGATAAAAATATTTAGAAGTTTTGAAACAGTAAAATTTTTTAAATGTAAAAATTCAATTTTTGAGATTGAAATCATGATTTTGATGAGAAATTGATCTAAAATTTCTATCATCATCGACTTAAAAATTTATGAGAAAAATATGTAGAAATTTTGAAACGGTGAAATTTTTTTTAAATATAAAAGTTCAATTTTTGAGCTAGAAGTCATGGTTTTAATTTTTTTATCTAGAATGCTTTTTTGTGAAAATTGATCTAAAAATTGAAATTTTCCAATTTTTATTGACACGAACTGAATGAAAAAATTATAAGGAAAAATATACAGAAATTATGAAACAATGAAATCTCTAGAAATTTTTTTTTTGAATTTTTGAGCTTGTTTTTTTTATGCCTCTGGTGAGAAATTGACCAAAAAATGTGTTTTGTCTGCCTCATAAACTCAATCGACTTAAAAATTAATGAGAAAAATATGTAGAAATTTTGAAACAGTGAAATTTTTTAAAATATAAAAGTTCAATTCTTTTTTGTGAAAAATTGATCTGAAAATTGAAATTTTCCAATTTTTATGGACACGAACTGAATGAAAAAATTATAAGGAAAAATATACAGAAATTATGAAACAGTGAGATTTTTTTGAGTTGGATTTTGTTGGAATTCAAGATGAAAATTTGAATTTCTTGAATTTTTATATAAAAGCTTGAAAACTGAGATATAAATTTTTTGACTAGATTCTAGATCAGAAATTTCAACCTGAAAAATAACCTGAAAATTCCAGATTTCCCCCTCAATTTTCAGCCCGAAAATTCTGAAATTCCTCCCATTTTTCCAGCAATCCCTCCTCGGAACTTTTGCCAAATTCGAAACCAAAAACGAAGTTTCAAAACTCGACGACGATTTCTCGCAAAAATGCATTGTTCGAAAAATTCAACTCGTCAAACACAAACTTGCTTGGTAATCTGAAATTTCCAGATTTTTTGGCTGAAAATCTTTTTTAATTGTTTTTTGTTGATTTTGATCTTGTTATAAATTTTTTTGTTCCGAAATTTTTTTTTTCAAAAATTTAAGAGTTGAAGTTTTCTGATTTTATTTTATTTCAAAGTTTTTAATTTTTGAAAATTTTCAGAATTTTTCAGATTTGGAAATGGGCCTGATAAGAAAAATGAGGAAAATTTGTGAGTTTTTTTTATTTAAAAAAAACACCCGGAAAAATACGTTTCAAAATTTTTGTAAATTTTTGAATTGTTAAAACCTCTGTTTAATGCTCCAAAATTTTGAAAAATTCAGAACTTCTAAAAATTTGACATTTTTCAGCCTGAATTTTCCAATTTTTTGACTAAAATTTATATGAAATGCATCAAAAAAATTCAAATTTTCCCGCTAAAAATCAATAAATCTCCCGCCATTATTTATTTACCCAAGTCCCAAAAATCGATCTCCGACCCGAAAATAAACATCATATCTATCTATCAAAAAATAGGAAGAGGATAAAAAAGAAGAAGAAGAAGAGGAAATTTAGCTTTTCTCTTCTTTTTTTCTGAGCTCAGGAAACTGAGCAGCAAAAGTGAAGAAAAGATAGGCGGCGGCGGATTTTTTTTGTGTGTAAAGTGAGCTGGAGCACAGCTCCAGCTCTTGTGAATTTTGTGAACACAACAAAACATATATGTGTTTAGTGTGATGTTTTTTGCTGGGAAATTTGGATTTTTGACCTGATTTTGAGCTAAAAAGTCCTGTAAAATCACAAAAATCACCCACAAAAATTCACTGTTTCAAGAAATTTCTATGAGATTTTTCAAAATTCTGAAGCTTGTTATTCTTTTGTGGATGATTCTGAATTTTCGTGAACTTTTTCCAAATGGAAATTGGAATTTCTGATAATTTTTGGCTTGGAGTTTCAACCCTAACACATATTTTATTCCCCCGAAAAATTCACTGTTTCAAAAAAATTGTTTATTTTTCGAAGGTTTCTTGAATTTTGATCAATTACTATATTTTCCCTCAAAAATCAAGTTATCTATTTTTTTACCTAAAATTTCTGATAAAAAAAATTATCCCCAAAAATTTACGTTTCAAATAATATGCATGTTCTGCGGTTTTCTAGAGTTTTGATTATGATATATTAGGTAGTTTTCAATAATAAAAATCAAATGTTTCAAAAAGCAGCAAGTTTTGAATTTTTCCGACTCAAAAACTAGAATTTCAGTTCAAATTTTCAAGCTAAATAGATCCCAGTGAAAATCTGAACTTTTCTTTTCCCAAAAATTTACTGTTTCAACAAAAAATAATTTTTTTTTGAATTTCTCATTATTTTGATTGTATCAGGGCTGTGAAAAGGGCCTCGATTTTCTGCGGCCGGCCGGCCGGCCTCAAAAAATCGGAGGCCTCAGGCCTTCGCGGCTTCTAGGCCTTTCAAATATAAAGGCTCGAAGCCGTTCAGGCTTGAAGCCTCAAGGATGAAAATTTTCAGAAATTAGTTTTATTGAATTTGTAACTTTTTCTGAATGAAACTTCGATCTTGGTGTGATGGTGTGATAGTCTGGGTGTAGTATTGGCGCCATTGGTGAAGTTTGCACCATTTTTGAAAATTGCGCCATTGGTGAAGTTTGCGCCAATGGTGAAAATTGCACGATTGGTGCAAACTTCACCATTGACGCCAATTGCACCAATGGTGTAATAGGCACCAATGTGGAAACGGCGGAATTGACGTGATTGGTGATTGGTGAAATTGGCGCCAATTGTGGTGTAATTTGTTTGGAGCCATCCACCAATATCACACCAATACCACACCAATGTTTTTTCACCAATCCAATCATCACACAAACACTATCACACCAACAGAATTGCATAAATTCATCCCACCATCCAAGTCACACCAGAACAGGTGAAAATGAAGAATTTACTATGCAGGCCGGCGGCCGGCCTTTTTTCAATTTATTTTTTTTCTCCGGCCGGCCGGCCGGCCTCTCCAAATTTTCTCGATGCGGCCTTGTGGCCGAACAAGGCCTTTTTCACAGCCCTGGATTGTATTGAGGATTCATTTCCCCGAAAAGTCTCTGTTTCAAAAAAATTTGTTTATATTTCGGGGGTTTCTAGAATTTTGATCAATTTCAAGTTATCCATTATTTTTTACCTGAAATTCTTCAAAAAAAGATAAAAATTATCCCCAAAAATTTACGTTTCAAATAATATGCATATTTCTAGAATTTGACTGAGCAATTATTGGTGTTTTTCAATTTTCAGCCGTTTTTGAAAAATGTTCTGACTCAAAAACTAGAAATTCAGCTCTAATTTTCGAGCTAAATAGATCCCAGTGAAAATCTGAAATTTTCAGCCATCATTATTTTTTCCCCAAAATATCACTGTTTCATCAAAAAAATATTTGTTTTTTTCGAATTTCTCATTATTTTGATTGCATTAGGATTTTAATTAGTCCGAAAAGATCACTGTTTCAAAAAAATTGTTTATTTGTCGGGGTTTTCTAGAATTTTGATCAATACATATTGCAACCCTAGCAATATATTTTTCCTCAAAAATTCAAGTTATCCATTTTTTTTTTACTTGAAATTTCTGAAAAAAACTTATCCCCAAAAATTTACGTTTCAAATAATATGCATATGTTCTGCGGTTTTCTAGAGTTTTGATCATGCAATTGGGATTTTTCAAGAATAAAAATCAAAGGTTAAAAAAAACAGCCTTTTGAATTTTACCCAACTTAAAAACTATAATTTCAGCTATTAGAAAATTTTCAGACAAAATTTTTTGTCAAAAAAAATTCACTGTTTCAAAAAATATGCATATTTTTCGGGTTTTTCTAGATTTTGATGTGTTTGATTGTTTTTCTTTCAAATTTCCAACAAAATTAATTGATTTTCTACCCCCAAAAATCACTTTTTCCCCCTCTTACGTCAATAAATCGAACAAAAATTGCCATGTTTTTTTTTGTTATCAGTTGAAAAATTACCAATTTTTCTACTGTTTTTTGAACTTTTTCTGTCCAAAATTTTTGTTTGAATTAATTTTTGAAACGTATTTTTCTCGTAAATTGCAACTGCGCTCTATTGATAACCCCAAAAATTCAAATTTTCCGCATTTTTTTCTAGTCATCAATAGAGCACGTTTGCTATTTTTTTTTCTTGAAGTTACCTTAAAATCTCCCATTTTCCAGGTCAATTATCCCTCCCAAATCCATCCAAAAATGGTGCCCGAAAGTTTTCAATTGGATCAGGAGATTCTGCTGGACGCCGGTGCTCAATTGCACCGTCTGAAGATGTATCCATATTTTGATATTGCTCACTATCTTTTGGTCAGTTTTTTGGGGGTGAAAATTCACGGGAAACGCTTCATTTTGATGTAAAATGGTGCAAATTCGAAAATTTCATATATAGTTTACAATTTTTTCCATTCGGTATTCATATTTGCTGTTGAAATTGTCTCATCCCAATCTGGCCAATATTGCACTTTGATTCGATTTATGTAATCGATCTGAAGTTGAAAGTTAATATGAGCAATGAAAGAACAAAAGAAATTTTGAATTTACCACATTTGGCGCGCTGGTTTCAATGTAGTTTTTGATCTCATCGCTGAATTGTGGAGTGTAGAGGAGTTGGGATAAGTGGGCGAATGCTGTGGCATCGATCTAAAATGGGGATTTTTTAGCCTAGAAGCAAATGCGCCCCATTGAACACTATCAGATTTGTCGGAAAATTTGAATTTTCAGTTGAAAATTGCAAATTCGCTCTACTGAACACTTTGAATTTATCCGGGAAATTTGGAAAATTTTCAATAAATTTCACTGTTTCAAAAATGATTTTTCACCATTTCTACGATTTTCAGTCTGGTATTTCCGATATTTCTGTAGAGAAGCAAATGCGCCCTATTAAACACTCTGCATTTTCCAAGAAAATTTGAATTTTTAGTTGAAAATTGCAAATTCGCTCTACTGAACAATCTGAATTTGTCTTCAAAAATTGAAGAAATTTTCCAGATTTTTCACTGTTTCAAAAATGTTTGATATAAAAATGTAGATAAATCTTTATTAATCGATTTTCTATGTTCACAACGTGACAAAATTTATAAATTTACATTTTTAAATAGCGAAAGCATCTTCGCTCTATGGGACTCAGGAGATGTTTCAGAAATATTCGAATTTTCCTCCCAAAAAAAAACCCACCGTTTTAATATCACCAAACAAGAATTGTTTACTTCCCAATTGTCCCGAAATCGCATCAATATCCTTTTTCGCTTCACCAATTATCTCTTCCTTCGTAAAATGTCCGATTCCCTGCGCCATACAATTTCCTCGATATTTCCTTGTCATTTGTCCCAAAATCAGATTTTTGAACGCGAAACCTTTGACACCAGTTAGTATTCGACCGTAACCCTTGTCGGTGGCCAACCAACTAGAGTCTAGTGATCGAGAATAGACTGTGATCCAGGCGAGATGGTGTTCGAGGAGAGTGTAGAAGGCACGGGCTGTTGATTTGTCAGAAGTGGAGAGGAATTCAAGAGAGGTCTGGAAATTTGGTGGATGTTCATTTGAACTACTGTACCGTTGGGTTCTTCAATTAATCTCATCTCAAAAATTACATCTGAATATGTATCAGTTATGACGTGGCATTGTTGTCAACAGGCTCAAGTGAAGCAAGTGTATGTCCCTTTAAACTACTGTATATTTTAGTCAATCTCCAGTCAAAAGCTGCATATGCTATGACGTGGCAGTGTTGGGCCTATGATTTATTCATGAATCAATTAACAACAAGGTGTGCTGAATATCCTTGCCACGTCATAACTCAAGGGCATAGTCAACATACTCTGGATTCGAAGAGGTCTATGTTATGACGTGGCAATTCATATTGGACTTCTGAGGATTCATGAAAGTGATGTACTCCAAAGCTAAAGTAGCTTGAAGGGACATACACTCGCTTCGCTGGAGCCGCTTACGAAAAATTTTGATATACACTCGCGCCAGTGGCGCTCGAGGTAAATCCTCTAAAAGACCATACAGTATGTAGTGCTTTTAGCGCGAGTGTAGATCACCCAAACCTACAGTAATTTAAAGGGACATAAACTCGCGCCAGTGACGCTCGAAGTAGTCTGCCACGTCATAACTCATTTTTCCCACCCGTCACAAACCTTCTCAAAATGTTCAACCAAATGATCAATAATCAGTGAACTATCAGCATGCTGTCGACCATTTAATTCAATAAACGGAATTTGTCCTTTACTCGATTTCTTCGTGAAATCATTGCTAATATTAGTATACGGTATATTAGCGATACGAAGGAATGTTTCGACTTTTAGGGAATAGGAAGACGGTGTAGGAATTGAGCCGGCTCGGGGGAATTGAATCAGGTAGACATGGTCTTTCTCCCAGTCGGGTTTGATGAGATTTGTTGAGGGCATTTGGCTGGCTGAAAGGTGAAATAAAATAGGAAATGAAAAAAAACTTTGTGGTCACAAGGTATATTCCTATGGAAACAAACAACTCGTGGTTTGTGATCGGTTCAAAGTTGTCCAAAATGTTTTGGTGAAAATGACTCATTTCGTTTCGAAACCACCGACAACACAAAGATACTTGAGCCAAACTGACAATTTTTTCGGCCATGGGTTGAGCAAATATTGGCTCAAATTACACACTGTTTCTCTAGTTGGCGTAAAAAAGCTTTATTTTTGGTGTAGCAAATTTGGTGCACAAAATTCATATATAATTATAATTACAATTTTTTCCATTCGGTGTTCATATTTGCTGTTGAAATTGTCTCTTCCCAATCGGGCCAATATTGCACTTTGATTCGATTTATGTAATCGATCTGAAGTTGAAAGTTAATATGAGCAATGAAAAAAGAAAATTTGAATTTACCACATTTGGCGCGCTGGTTTCAATGTAGTTTTTGATCTCATCGCTGAATTGTGGAGTGTAGATGAGTTGGGATAAGTGGGCGAATGCTGTGGCATCGATCTGAAATGGGGAAACTGGGGATTTTAGAGCTTAGAAGAAGCAAATGCGCCCCATTGAACACTGTGTCGGAAAATTTGAATTTTTCGGTTGAAAATTGCAATTTTTCTCTACTGAATACTTTAAAGTTTCTGGGAAATTTTGAAAAATTTTCCAGAAATTTCACTGTTTCAAAAATGATTTTTCACCATTCCTACGATTTTCAGTCTGGTACTTCAGAGATCTTCGCTCTATCGAACTCAGGGGATGTGTTAGAAATATTTCCTCCCAAAAACCCACCGTCTTAATATCACCAAACAAGAATTGTTTACTTCCCAATTGTCCCGAAATCGCATCAATATCCTTTTTTGCTTCACCAATTATCTCTTCCTTTGTAAAATGTCCGATTCCTTGCGACATACATCTTCCCTTCAACATCTTCTCCATTCGTCCGATCAGCACATTTTTGAAGGCGAAAAGTTTGACGCCGGAGAGCAATTTGGCGAAACCCTTGTCGGTTGCCAACCAACTCGCGTCTTGTGATCGAGAGTAGAACATGACCCAGACTAGATGATGCTCGAGAAGAGTGTAGAAGGCACGGGCTGTTGATTTGTCAGAAGTGGAGAGCGATTCCAGCGAGCCCTGGAAGAAACAACTCAAAATTAATTACAAGAATCTGGTTTCATTCACCCAAATTTTTCACTGTTTCGAAATTTCCCCAAAGATTTTCTGGGATTTTTTCGAGTGATAAGTTCGAAGTAGCTAGACAAACTGATGTATGACGTGGCAAAGATATTCAGCACACCTTGTTAATTTTGCTACGTCATAACTCATAATCAGATGTTGACAGGAGACTCTTGCCTGAAGTGCCCAAAGCTGCACTCGCTTCAATGTGTATGTCCCTTTAAGCTACTGTAGGTTTGGGTACTTAAATTTAAAAAAATTGCATAAATGGCAAAGTTGCTCTAATGGTTTGTTCATAAATTTTCACGTGATTTTGAAACCTGCAATGTCAGAAAATATGTCATCGTTTTTTTTTGTAAATATAAAAATTTTTCACTGTTTCAAAAATTTTCCAAAATATTTTGTGGGATATTTTGAGTGATTTGAAAACTCCGAATTTTCGAAAAATAAATTAAAATAGATCACAAAATTTTCACTGTTTCAAAATCTTTCGAAAAAAAAACATTGAAATTTGAAAAATGTTAGGCTGCTCAGTCATGGGAAAAAATTCAAGAATAAATAATCTAGTTCTTTTTAGTATAACAAACTTTTTTTTTTCACTGTTTCAAAAATTTCACAAAAACCAATCCGGGATTTTTTGATGGTTTGAATGTTGATAGCTTTTCCACGTCATAACTAATTATTCAGTATTTGACATGGGATTAATTGAGGTACCTAAAGCTACAGTAGTTTAAAGGCACATACGCCAGAGGCGCTCAAAGTAGTCTGCCACGTCATAACTCATATTTCCCACCCGTCACAAACCTTCTCAAAATGTTCGACCAAATGATCAATAATCAGTGAACTATCAGCATGCTGTCGACCATTTAATTCAATAAACGGAATTTGTCCTTTACTCGATTTCTTCGTGAAATCATTGCTAATATTAGTATACGGTATATTAGCGATACGAAGGAATGTTTCGACTTTTAATGCGTATGGAGAAGGTGTGGGGATTGTGCCGGCACGGGGGAATTGGACCAAGTAGACGTGGTCCTTCTCCCAGTCGCGTTTTAGAAGTTTTGTTGAGGGCATTTCTGGAAATTTCGTATTTTTTTGGTGAAGAATGGGGAAAATTAGTGGGGAGTGAAGGTTTTAAGAGGAAAATTAATTCAAAAAAAAAATCAAATAAACCTCAAAGGTATTTTTTCATGAGTCAGAACTTTTTGTTCTTTTCTGACTCATGAAAAAATTAATTAAAAATTGTTATTAATTTTTTTTGGCAAATAGGGTTTCGGGTTAAAAATTCTTGTAATTTTCATCAAAAATTGGACAAAAATCACATAGGAAAAAGGAAGAAGGTCAATAAGATTGATTTATATCAGCAGACCTTCTTACCTAGCCCGCAAAATTATATTGTTTACCCGTTGCGGTAAATACATAGAGTGTGAGAGACGCAGAGTGAAAAAGGTCAAAATCTTGTCTTGTTGGAATTTTGCCAAGGTTACTTTTTTTTTGGGAAGTATGTAATTGGGCGGAAAATCGGAAAATTTCCCAAAAAAAATGTGAAAAATTTTGATTGCAAAAAGTGCTTCTCCGAAAATAAAATGAAAACTTTTTTATCAGAAAAAGGAAAAGAAAATTCTTGAAAAATGTGTGGTTTAAAAAAAGGAATTACGTGACTTTTATCAGAACGATGATAAATTCGGGGAAAATGATGAGAAATGGGTGATTTTTGTGTTTTGGCGCACAGAAAATTTCACTGTTTCAAAAAATTTGGGAAAGTTAAATTTTCCAAATAAATTTTGATAACCGGAGGAGGCAATTTTCTGGAAAAAAAATCCACTGTTTCGAAAATTGTATAGGAAAATTTATAAGTTTTCGAAAATTGATCCGCGTTTTTTTCTTTCAATAAAACGAAAATTCCACGTGGCCTTTTTGACACATGAAAATTCATGAATTTTTAAAAATTGAAAGAATTTATTTTCCTAAAATTTTACTGTTTCAAAAAATGTTGGATAGCCGACTTTCTGAAATAGTTTTGATGGATAATTGTTGGAAAACAGGAAAAAGGCGAAAAAAAAAAATATTGATGAATTTGAAAATTCACGTGGCGCTCATTTCTGACTCCAAACGCTGCAAAAAAACTGAACTTTTAATTTTCATGTCAAAAAATTTTCACTGTTTCAAAAATTTTTCAATAAAAAATATACATTTCCGAGCTGATCATTTCGCTAAAAATAGTTGTGGAGAAAAAATTGATTTTTGCCCCAAAAAAATTCACTGTTTCAGAATTTTAAAAGAAATTTCGGAATCCGGAAAAATTAGGCTACAATTTTACCCCAGAAATTTCGAAAAATTTGAACTTTTTGATCATTTTTTGGTTCCTGATAAGAAAAAAGCACAAATAATGACAAACATTGACTAGAATGTAGTTTTCAACTGAATTTTCAGGATTTTCCTGAAAATATAGGTTTCAAATTTTTGTAAGTATAAAAAATTGATTTATTTATTTTACAAAAAATTTCAAACTTTTTTTCAAAATGAAAAAAAAAAAGTTAAAGTAAATAAATGGAGCATTATTTGAACTTGCACAACTCAAAAATGTGTGTAAAATTCGAGAAAAATCAGATTTTTCTTGCTAAAAATGATGAATTTTCAGCAATTTTTCAAGAAAAATGATGATTTTTACACATAAATCGAAAAAAAAATGCTATTTTTCACTCAAAAAGTGTACTTGAAAAAGAGAAAAACCCGAAAAATTTGAACAAATTGGCTGAAATTATTTATTGATTTTTGGCGTTCGAGAAAAAATTTTTAATTTTGTGTTATGAAATCAAAAATTAATAGAAAAGACCACTCCCAAAAATTCTTTTGTCAGAAAAATGTGAAAAAATATGATTAATGGTCTAGGAATGTTTTTGGACCTGAAAAATTAGAAAAAAACTATTCGAAATTTGTGCCACGTGGATTTCAAAGCTGGAAAAAATAATCTGAGAAACCCCAAGTCGCGAAAATTCCCCCTGAAGTGTTAATTTTTTGCAGATGATCATCGAAGTTCGTGATGATCTCGGAACAGCAGCTTCGATCTTCTCCCGAAAACATCCACTCTCATGTTGGCTCAGCTCAATGTTGATGTGTTTCGCCGACGCATTTCTGGCCAATTTTTTGCTCGGCGAGCCCGTCATTGCACCATTCAAACGACACGATGATGTGATTTTGGTAGGTTTGAGTGGGGCCAGGTTTTCAGGCCTAGAAGCCTGATAAAGCCCCCAGAATTATCATAAGACAAAAATTTTTTTATGGAATCAAATTTCTGAGTTTCCAAAATTTTCAAACATTTTCTGAAACAGTGAAAAAATTTTATTCAAAAATTTTGTTTGGAAATTTTTTCACTGTTTCAAAAAACCTGGAAAAATTAAATTTTGAACAAAAATTGACTCAAAAAATAAAACTAAAAATCACAAATATTTTTTTTTGTTAAAAATTTCCTGAAACAGTGAAAAAATTTTATTCAAAAATTTTGTTCAGGAAATTTTTTCACTGTTTTAAAAAACCTGGAAATATGACCTAAAATTAAATTTTGAACAAAAATTTCCTTAAAGAGAGATGAACTAAAAATCACAAATTTTTTTTGTTAAACATTTTTTGAAACAGTGAAAAAATTTTATTCAAAAATTTTGTTTGGGAAATTTTTTCACTGTTTCAAAAAAGCCCTGAAATTAAATTTTTAAAGCTGAACTGAAATTAAATTAAATTTTGAACAAAACTTGTCTGACTGAAATGCTTCCTAAAGAAGCCCGAACTTTTGTTTTGACAAGAACTTTGTGAGAAACTTTTTTCACTGTTTCAAAAAAATCTTCAAAATGACTAAAAATTTGGCTGAAAATAATTTGATGACCGCTTTCATTTCAAATATACTTGAAGTTGTCTAAGAATCCTATCAAATATTTTGTGTTGTTAAAAATTTTTTGAAACAGTGAAAAAAATTTTATTCAAAAATTTTGTTTGGGAAATTTTTTCACTGTTTCAAAATTAGAAATTTGGCTGAAAATAATTTAATGTGGGCATTCAAAATTACTGAAATTGTCTGAAATAGCTTAAAATCTTGTATTTTCAGGCCTAGAAGCCTGAAAAAGCCTCCAGAATTGTCACAAGCCAAAAATTTTGTTCGGTAAAAGAATTTTCGATTAACTAAAAGTTTCAAACATTTTTTGTTGTTAAAAATTTTTTGAAACAGTGAAAAATTTTTATTCAAAAATTTTGTTTGGGAAATTTTTTCACTGTTTCAAAATTTGAAATTTGACTGAAAATAATTTGACTTAATTATTCGGTTCAAAACTACTTAAACTTGCCTAAAAAGCCTGTATTTTTCAGGCCCCTCAATCTCCAGCCCAAAAAAGCCCCCACTTTTTCCAGGCCACCATAATCTGGTATCTCGTCTTCTACGCTCCCTTCGACGGCATCTACAAACTCGCCAAAATCACACCAATCAAATGTGTTTTGGGTGTGATGAAAAGAGGTGAAGCGCGCCTACAAAGTGTCGCATGGTGTAGCCCATGCCGCAAAATTATATCCAAATTCCTATTTGGTGCAAATCTTGGTGGGAACTGCGAAGGGCGCCGGAAATGGAATAATCAGAACTTTGGAGCAATTGGTGCGCGGTGTTTGGATTCCGGGACAAAATGAGATTTTGCGACCCAGCTTTGCCACCAAGGCTTGTGTTGTGGCCTCGATTATTTTTGCTGCCGAAAAGAGTGGATCGTATTTGACGGCGCCGCATGATTTGGTGTATTTGGTGGGTTTTTTCGAGCTTTAGATTTGAAAATCAGGGTTTGTTCGAAACAGTGAAAAATTTAAATTTTTTTTCACTGTTTCAAAATATTTTTAACAACAAAAAAATGTTTGGAATTTTTAGTTAAGATTTCGAGTTAATTTGTGTTAAAAATTTTTTGAAACAGTGAAAAAATTCCTAACAAAAATTGTTGTCCTCTAGAAATCTCACTTGTCTAGGAGCCGCGCCTTGAAAGCTTCTATCTCAAGCAGTCGAGCCTAGGAAACCTAGTTCTCTAGGCCCAGCGCCTTGAAAATTACAACCTCTAGGCGCGGCTACTTGGTTAAAATTCAATTTCACAATCAGGTCAGATTTTTGAAACTGAAAAAATTCCTAACAAACTTTTTGAATTAATTTTTTTCACTGTTTCAAAAAATTCTCAACAACAAAAATTGTTTGGAATTTTTAGTTAAGATTTCGAGTTAATTTGTGTTAAAAAATTTTTGAAACAGTGAAAAAATTCCTATAAAAATTTTTTGAAATCCTAATTGTCAAGCAGTCGAGTCTAGGGAACCTAGTTTTCAAGTAACCGCGCCTTGAGAGCTTCTATGTCAAGCAGTCGAGCCTAGGAATTCAAATATTTTTATTCTCCACCTCCTTCATCATTTCTTCGTGACTTCTCCCTTCCTTTTCTCCCAATCAACCTCAGGTGTCATACAAATCGTATCATATTTCGAAGAGTCACTTTGAGCTCGAGCTTCCTGCAAAAAAAATTTTGAATTTCAAAATTTCGCGCCGAAAATTCCCGGCCTACCGTATCCGCTGGCGGACGATACGTCAACGCTTTGTCCACATTCTTCTGCGGCACATTTCCCGGTGTGGGACCCAAAATTGTGGGCGGACCATCGCGTGGCAAATATTTGAAACCTGATGAATCAACGCTTTTGTTGTCCTGAAATTAGTAGAATTTTGAAAAATTTCGCCACAAGGGACCCTAAAACTCACTTTTCCACTATTGTACAACACCGCTCCTCCACCACCACCGCTGTTTTTGAGTTCCGGAAATAGAAGACTTAAAACGAGACCCATTATTTATTTATTAGTCAATTTTCGAGCTAGAAGATTTATGAAAACTGATTGTGAGGCGGATTGTCTGCGGAAGGCCTTGCGGAAAATGAGGAGGTCACGCGGAAAAAATCAAATTTAATTTATTTGTTTTTGGAAAATTATTTTTCACTGTTTCAAAAATTTGTTGTGGAAATTTTCATTTTTTCCGAATTTGATTCCTGTTGCCACTCAAAATGCCACTCAAAAGCCCAGAAGCCCCAAAAAAAATATTTTTGGTCAGAAAATAATTTCACTGTTTCAAAAACATTATATTAAAAATTCGATTTTCTCAAATTTCAATGTGATATTGCCTGTGTAATCAAAAAATATAACTTTTTGAATCCACGTAGAAAAAGTTCCCTAATTATTGACCCAAAAATTCTTCGAAAGTTTAATTTAACTTTTTTCTGGAAAAATATTTTTCACTGTTTCAAAGGTTTTATATCAAAATTTAATTTTTCTCGAAATTTAATGACTTTTTTAAAATCACATTTTCAAAATAAAATCAAGCCACGTGGCAAAAATGCCATAATTTCTTACTGAAAAAATTCAACTTCGAAAATTTAATTTCATTTTTTGGTATAATTTTCACTGTTTCAAAAATTTAATATGAACATTTTTATTTTTTCGAAATTTGATCATTTTTTCGAAATAGGATAATTTTAATTAAACCATGCCATGTGGCAAAATGCCCTAATTTTTGAAATGTATTTTTCACTCACAAAATTCCTCTTCGAAAATTTTTTTAAATAAAAATAATTTCACTGTTTCAAAAATTGAATTTAAAAATTTTCATTTTTTTCACATTTTGATAATATAGTCTTATACGATTTTCCTCAATTTTTAGCCCCTTAAAAGCCCCTCAAAAGCCCAGCCAGGAGCCCTAAAAATGTTTTTGGTCAGAAATAATTTCCACTGTTTCAAAAATCTTATTCTAGAAATTCGATTTTCTCAAATTTCAATATAGTCTTTCTTGTGTGTTGAAAAATATAACTTTTTGATCCAACAAATTCCTTTCGAAAATTTAATTTAATTTTTTTTTGATAAAAGTAATTTCACTGTTTCAAAAATTTGATATATAAATTTTCATTTTTTCGAAATTTGATTCCTTTTTCTTCCAACGGTTGAAAAATATACCTTTCTAAATCCACGTGGCAAAAAAAATCTGTTTCAGCTTCAAAAATTGCTGAAAATCTGAATTCTAAGCCCTGAAAAGGCCCCCTAGAAGCCCAAAAGCGCAAAACCATAGCCTAGAATGTTTCCGGGTAGAAAATCACTCGAAAATTCTGTTTCAGCTTCAAAAAAGCCCAGAAGCCCCCAAAGGCCCCCTAAAAAGCCCCCTGAAAGCCCAGTACATTTTCCAGGTAGTCGTCGGCTTCTTCGTCTACTTCAAACTGTCGGCCGTCATTCTCCACGTCACCGATCCATTCGCTCCCATTGAAAATCTCTTCTGCGCCGTCTTCATGGGCGGAATTTGGGACGCGGTATCGCGCGCGTTAGCCGCGTCGCGTGACCGCCGCGCGGCAACCGCCAACGAAAACGGACAGATTTCGGCGAACGCCGAGAAGAAAGATCAATAGGAGACGATTTTTTAACGAATTTTTTTATTTTATAAAGTTTTTCCGATTCCGAAATTCCCTGATTTTCCTACCCAAGTGTGTGTTTTCAAATTTCACAATGTGTGCTATTTTCTAACCTTTTTTTTCAGGAAAAAAATTTAATTTTTACAAATTTCAGGAAAATGACAGATTCCGAAAGTTCTAGCGAGTCGAAAAGTTCGAAAAAATCAATGTTTGAAGAGATTCAGGTGAGATTTGGGCTTTTTTGAAGGGAAATTTGGGATTGAAAGCCTGGAAAAAGCCTAGTAGGCCTGAAAATATTTAAAAATTAGCCTAGAAGCCCGAAAAGTTGCTCTAGAGCTAGAAAAAATGGTCTAGAATTTAGATAAAAGACCTGAGAGCTCTAAAAGTGGTCCAGCAGCCTAGAAATTGGCCAGACGGCCTGAAATTTTCTAAAAATTTATAAAAGTAGCCTTTTACAAATTTATCAAAGATTCTTATTTGCAGAAAAATTATCGAAATTTTGAAACAGTAAATTTTTTCTGAGAGAAAAACATTTTTATTTTGAAAATTCAATCGATATTTAATTAATTAATTTAATTTATGATGCCACGTGGTTTTTTTTGAAGATTTTCAGCTCAATTTCAGACTATTTTTCTAAAAAATCATTGTCAATTATTTTTTGGTGAAGTCTGTGTATTAGAAACTTAACTTTCACAGAAAAATTCATGAAAACTTTGAAACAGTGAATTTTTTCGGAACATTTTTTGCCTCACATTCCCTCAAAACTTCATTGCCAAGTTTTTTGAGAACATTTTTTCATCGCAAAAAAAATTAGATTTTTGATCCAGCTAATAAATAAGCTTGTTAAAAAATCAGAAAACGAAAATAATTAAATTTTTTTGACGAAATAAAATAAATTAATTTTTGGTACGTACTCTGATTGAAAAATTGATATTTCAGAGATCAAAAAATCTCGATTTTTCCGAAAATTATTGGAATATTGCGAAATTCAGGAAATTCTCAAAAATCACAGATTTTTGAAACAGTGAATTTTTGGGAAAAACAAGTTTTTCAAAAATTAAATTGAGCTTAACAAAAAAAACCAGCAAATTCTCAAAAATCAAGAATTTTTGAAACAGCAAAAATTCGTAAAAATTTTGAAACAGTAAATTTTCAGAAAAACATTATAGGTTAAAAATCTAAATTTTCTGGCTCAAAAAGTTTTTCAAAATTTGAATTTGAACCGATTGACGTAGCTTCACCAAAAAACCAGCAAATTCACCAAAATCAAAAATTTTTGGAACAGTGAAAATTTTAAAATCAAAATGTTAAAAAAAATTCTGAAACAGTGAATATTTCTGAAGGAAACTACAAAATAATTATTTATTTTCGAACTTCAATTTTCAAATTTTTTTAAAACAGTGAATTTTTTTTCGAAACAAAAAATTATTTTTCAAGATCTGGGCCTTGATTCCGGGCTCCGGGCTTTCAGGCTTCTAGGCCACCTTTAAAAACCTTCCCCCAAGTCCCATTTTCCAGGTCATCGAACTAAACCGCTCAAACTTCCAACAAATCTGGCCCTATCTTCTAATCTCCATCAAATCCGCCGACTTCATCGGCCTAGATCTCGAATTATCAGGCCTCGGCGGAAAAGGCCTAAGATCCAAGGATATTCAGGAGAGATATCAGGCTATTAGAGAAGCAGCAAAGACACGAAGTATTTTATCGCTCGGAATCGCCACGTTGAAATTGGTGCAGAAAAATGAGAAGAAAAAGAGGCTGCGGTATCAGGCGCAGGTTTTCAATATCATAACATTATCCGAAAAGCCCTTCACAATTGAGCCAAACGCTCTGAAATTCCTGGCTCGCCACAATTTCGATTTCAACAAGCTAATCAAGCTTGGGGTCCAGTTCCAAGGAGCATCAGGTCAATGTCCACTGAAAGCCCTGTTCTTCGAGCTATTCTCAAGCTCTTCAAGCCTTTGTCTACACAACGGCCTGGTCGATCTGGCCTTTATCTACCAGCAATTTTATGGCGCCGAACTACCGGATAATCTGGATAAATTCTGCTGTAATCTGGCGGATCTTTTCCCGCTGGATTTTCTGCCTGTTTTGGATTCGAAATATTTGGCTGAGTACTCGACTCGACTCCCATCTTCATATTTGGAATATGTATTTCGACGTAGCCAGGGGGACAATTTATTGGAGAGGGAGAATTCGCGATTTTGGGTGGATGTTGTCTTCCCGGAGCATCGTATGGAAATTGTGAAACAGTCGATGGATGTGGTGAAATGTGCACTGCCTGATGGATTTCCGAATCATCCGATTCCTGTCGATTTGCATAATCATGTTTGTAACTCGTTTGCGGTGAGTTTCTTCAAATTTTCTCAAACTTCTTCAAAAAAATCCGACGTGGCAATTAATTAAAATTTTGATTTGAAAAAAAATCCACATTTTTCCTATCTCAAAAATTTTTCACTGTTTCAAAATTTCCATAATTTTTGCAATTTGCATTTTTTTTAATGTTATACCCATGGGTCTATTCGATTTTCGCTGGAATTTCAAAATTTTTGAAGCAAAAATTTTGAACATGTTTTTTTTTTTTTGAAAAATTCACTGTTTCAAAAAATCGATGAATTTTTCTTGGTTTTTTGTGAAAAACGATCTCTAGGGCAAAAACAGCAATCCATCAAAAAAATCCGAAATTTCAGAAAAAAATTTTCCACGTCATAGATATGTTTTCTCGAAATTTTTCTAGAAATTAGAATTGAAAATCCTTGATTAATTAGAAAGGACAGAGACAAATGCCACGGCATAAGCCGAAAATTTCAGCTAATCTCGAAATTTTGTAAAGAAAAAATTTCACTGTTTCAAAATTTCGATGAATTTATCGGGATTTTCGTGAGAAACGATTTTTTAGGCGAGATATCCATTAAAAAAGTTCTCGAAATTTCAGATTTGTTACAATATGAAAAATTTGCCACGTCGTAAATATGTTTTCTCAGAAAATGAGGTTGAAGCGGAAATTTCGTTAATTTTTCGTAACCAAAAAAAATTCACTGTTTCAAAATTTTGATGAATTTTTCTTGGTTTTTCGTGAAAAACGATCCAAAAGAAAATTCTCGAAATTTAAATTTTGCCACGTCATAGATATGTTTTCTCGGAATTTTTCTGAAAATAAAACTGACAATCCATAATTAATTAAATCTCAAAGGACAGAGACAAATGCCACGTCATATGCCGAAAATTTCCGCTAAAAGCTAAAATTTCGAAATTTTTTGTACAACAAAAAAATCACTGTTTCAAAATTTTTATGAATTTTTTCTGGACTTCTGGTGAAAATCGTAGCAATTTTCCAAAATCTGAAAACATCTGAAAATCCACGTGGCGAAAATATTTTTTTTGTAATTTTCATTGAAAATTTCAGGATTTTATGAGGTTGAAACTAAATTTTTTGAAAAATTTTGTGAAAGAAAAATTTCACTGTTTCAAAAAATCGATGAATTTTTCTTGGTTTTTGTGAAAAACGATGAATTGATAATAAATAACCAGCATATTCGAATTTTTCCAGAATCTGAAAACAGCTGAAAATCCACGTGGCAAAACAATTTATTTTGATTTTGATCGAAAATTCCAGGGTTTCGTAGGTTGAAGCAAACATTTCGAAAATTTTTTCTTTCGAAAAAATTCACTGTTTCAAAAAATGGATGAATTTTTCGGGATTTCTGGTGAAAAACGATATGTGATCTCCACCAAAAATCAATTTTCAGCTCAAAAAATCCCCTCAATTTCCAGCATCACGGCTTCTGTCAAAATCCTCAAAACTGCGTCAAACTTCATGACGTGGATTCGGCCATCGATTTGCAGCGAATCAAGGAAAATAAGAAGGCTTTCAAAAGGAAACGAAGATATCATAATATAATTTCGGAAGGAGTTGTTGAAGAACAATTGGAAAATGAAATGGAGTGGAAAAAAGCGAAATTCGAGAATAATTTGAAGGTTCGCGATATTAAGGAGAAGATTGTGAATCGAATGGCTGAAAATGGTGAGGGTTTTGGGGAGGAAATTTTGGGAAATTGGGCTGAAAATATGATTTTTGGTCAAAAAATGGCTGAAAATTCAGTTTTCTTCATAATTTTTGACCTAAAATTAACCTTAAGGTGGGAAACGAGTCTAAAACTGAAATTTCCGTCTAGAAAGCGCTCAAAATTGACTGGCAAGCACCTTAAATTGACCTTAACGATCTAAGGGATTTAGGGTACCTTTTAGAGTAGTTTGTGAATTTTCGGGTGAAAAATAGGCCTGAAATCATGAATTTTGACCTGAAAATCCTCAAAATTCGCAATTTTCTATGATTTTTACTCGAAAAATCTGAAATTTTGACTGAAAATCAAATTTCCACCTGAAAATGCTTCAAATTGTTTCAGGTCTTCATCGAGCTGGCGTCGACGCTTTCATGACCGCTTTTTCGGTGATTTTCCAGCAAAGATTGGAGCTGGCAAGGGATAATTCGGTTTCTGTTGAGGTAAGTCTGAAAAGCCTGGAAATGGCCCCAAAATAGTCCAAAAATTTTGTATTTAATAATCGAAGAAATATCTTTCCCGACAAAAAAAATTTATCAGAATTTTGAAACAGTGAATTTTTTCCCCAGCACGCCAACAAACTTCCTTTATCCGGAAAAGATCAGCCACTTCAATTGACTCATCGTCAAATCATCGGCACCTTCGAAAATCACGAACATTTGGAGAATTTGGCGAAAATCGAGAAAAATCGCGAATTTGTCAGGAATAATGCTGCGAAATCTATGAAATAATATTCTTGTTGATTGATTTTTTATTTTGTTTTAATTTATGAATTTGTGTTTTCAAAAAAAAATTCACTGTTTCAGAATTTTCATAATTTTTTAAAAAAATTTTTGTGAAATAATTCTTCCATGCCTAGTTGTAAAAACTTAATTCTAGCTCAATTTTAGGCTTTATGAAGGTTCCTATGCCACGTGGCAAAATTTTCACTATTATTTTTCGAGGAAAAAATTCACTGTTTCAAAATTTCAAATATTGCAGAAATTTTTAAATAAGTTTTAAAAAAAAAAATTCACTGTAACGATTTTGCAGATTTTCAGCAAATTTTCAGCCAAAAACCCTGAAAACAATCTTATTTTTAGGCTAATTTCCGATTGAAAATAAGTTATTTATTACTATAATATAACATCTGTCTCCCAATTCGTTTTTATTGGCGCCCAAAAAAATAATTGAATTTTTTTTCGGAGCTCAAAGTTTTGGGAGATTTCATTGATATCTGCATTTTTATTGAAAATGCACTTTTTGAGATTTTGCCACGTCATAGCTCAATTTTTTTGAAGATTTTTTAGCCTAGACTTAAGCTAGGCTTAATTAATTAGTTGATCTTTGAAGCTTTGCAAAAAAAACAGAGAAAAATTTTGTTTTTTGAAAATTCAGATTTTTGCCACGTCATTGGCCCAAAAGTCCAGAGTTTCCCTAAATTCGAAATTTTCTGAAAATTTTCAAAAATTCAATTTTGCCACGTCATAACGCATTTTCTTTAAAAAAAAATACCGTACCAGTTAAAAATATTGTTTAAAAAAATTTTTTTTTGGAAAAATTGAGTTATGACGTGGCGAATTTAAAAATTAGAATGGGAATTTAGCCTAACTTAAATTAGATTTCTAGAGCTGGCTTAAATTCAAAATTCTCCGAAAACTTATGAGCTATGACGTGGCAAAATTCAATTTTGTAGGCAAATTTTCCAGAATGCCGTGCAACACTTCCACCAACTATTTTGCCACCTCCGATTTCTTTATTTTCTCTGTCCACTTGATTACAATCATCTCCACACCATTCCATATTTTTGGTGCATTTTGCATTTTGAGCCGAACACCAAAACTGATGTCATCAGCCAAATCCACACTTCTGAATCTCCACATCACATCTTCGATTCTCGATTTGGTTTACGGGTGTCTGGCGTGCCCATTTATTATGTCACCCACCATTTCGATGGTGTTTTTTGGGGTTTTGGGAGGATTTTTGGATGGGGCTGGGATTTATTATTTGGTGATTTTGTCGATTGCATTGACGGCTAATGCGATGGTTGTGTTGTTTGAGAATCGATATCATTGCTTGGTAAACGGACAGGAGAGCGTGAGTTTTAAGGGGATTCCTTAGGGTCCTTAGGCTTAGGTGTAACCCGAAGAGCAAATTCTTAGGACATTAACCATGTTGTTGTTGGTGAAGTAGAACTTTGAGAAAATTCCGAAATTGTTGTATAAAAATTTTGAAACAGTGAATTTTTTACGCTCAAAAATTAGGAAAATTCAGTGCCACGTGGATTTTTTAACGTCTGAATTACCAATGCATGGAAAATAACTTTGAGAAAAATCCTGAAATTTTCATATGGAAATTTTGAAACAGTGAATTTTCTTTTAACAAAATAAAAATTTAAAAAAAAGATTTTTTTGAAAATGAAGGTGAAAATTAAATTTTCCTAATTTTTCGTTCTCAAAAATTCACTGTTTCGAAATTTTTATACAAAAATTTCGGGATTTTAGTGATGATAACAGCATTTTTTTCAAATTTTTTAAGGCCAAAAATCCACGTTGCACTGAATTTTCCCAATTTTTTGTCCTCAAAAATTCACTGTTTCGAAATTTCTATTCAAAAATTTCGGGATTTTTGAAAATCTTCAGTAGCTCCTCTAATCCATTTCTGAATTTTCTTAATTTTCTGAGCGTAAAAAATTTACTGTTTCAAAATTTCTATATAAAAATTCCTGAATTTTCCAAAATTTAGTGAGTGAACAACCCAAAAATCCAAAAAAATCTTCCAGAAATCCCGTCATCGTCGTCCGATCTTCTTCGCCATCAATATAATCTACACTTTCATCTGCCCAATTCCATTGCTCATATTTGCTCCAAATCAAGCCGATGCCAACATCTACTACCAAGATCAACTCCAAAAATATCATCCGTGTATTTTGGAGTCGAAAAAATCCGAGATTTTCGTGTTGGCAATCGATGGATGGCTTCTCATGTTCTCATTTTCATTAACCTCAATTTTCTACGTTTCACAAAGTATCTATTTTGTGACATTCACGATTTGGAGTCTGAATCGCGTCAAAACTAGTGCCTCGAAGTTGACACTGAGCCTTCAGCGAAGATTTATGGTGGCGATTGTGGTGCAAAAGGCCGTGCCGACGGTGTCGCTGGCTATTCCCGTGTTTTTTATGGCCGCTAGTATTTGGATGGATTCGAGTAATCAGGGTGAGCATTTTCGTAACTAAAATTTAGAAAATCCAGAATTTTTTTATGAAAATTTTGAAACAGTGGATTTTTTCCGGGTGAAAAATTGGGAAAATTCAATTCCACGTCGATAATTTAGCGTCTAAGAAGTTCTAGAAATTTTTTTGAAAATCTCGAATTGAATCTGAAAATAAAAATTTTTTAGATAGAAATTTCGAAACAGTGAATTTTTTCAAGCTAAAAAATTCGGAGAATTCAGTGCCACGTGGATTTTTGGAGAAAAAATGTCAAAAATTTAATCGAATGATTTTAGTGAATTCATAAATTTCTTATGAAAGTTTTGAAACAGTGAACTTTGGACCCAAACTTGATTCCTTATTTTATTTTCAAAAATTTAGAGTCAATTCTCAAAAGAAAAATCGAATTTAGAAAATCCAGAAATTGTCATATAAAAATTTCGAAACAGTGAACTTTTTAAAGCTAAAAAATTGCAAAAATTCAATGCCACGTGGATTTTTGACGCGAAAATGCTTAGGAAATGTATAAAAAACACAATAATGTTATTGAAATTGAAAATAAAATTTTTTTTAGATAGAAATTTTGAAACAGTGAATTTTTTTCAAGCTAAAAAATTAGGAAAATTTAATGTCACATCGCAAGGTTAAAATTTCAAAAATTCAGAAATTTTCATATAAAAAATTTGAAACAGTAGATTTTTTGAGGTCACCCAGAAATTTGGAAAGTTCAATGCCACGTGGATTTTTTAACGTCTAAATTCACGAAAAATTAATTTTCATCTTCAATTTCAAATATTTTTGCTTGCCGTTAATTTTCAATGCCACGTGGATTTTTTAGCGTCTGAGAAGTTCTAGAAAATTTATATATACCACCAAATTGAAAATCACGAATTGAAACTGAAAATAAAAATATTTTTAGATAGAAATTTTGAAACAGTGGATTTTTTTAAGCTGAAAAATTAGGAAAATTCAACTTCACGTGGATTTTTGGGCAAAAAAAATCATTAAAATTTAAAAGAAAAAGAAAATTTTAATCTAATGATTTTAGTAAATTCAGAATTTTTTATATAAAAATTTTGAAACGTAGATTTTTGAGGTCACCCAGAAATTTGGAAAATTCAATGCCACGTGGATTTTTGACGCGAAATGCTTTGCAAACTGATGTATACCTCCAAGTTGAAAAATACAAATTGAAATTCAAAAATCAAAAATTTTTATATAGAAATTTTGAAACAGTGAATTTTTTAAGGAACATTTCATCAAGCGAAGCAAGTGTAAATCGCAAGCTTATACTTACACAGGCTAACATGAGCAATCCCATTTTACAGCAATCCCATTTTTTTCCAGCCATCACCAACATCTTCCTAATCCAAGTTTCCCTGCACGGAATCATCGCCACATTAGCCATGTTAATAATGCATAAACCATATCGACAAGCAGTTTCACAGTGTATTTTTGGGTGTAATTGGCGATTTCATGATTTGTCGAGTCGAACTTCGATTTCTGTCACACATATTCATTTGAAACATCAGTTTTCCTAAATTTTTTAATGAAAATTTTATTTTTTTTGTATAATTTTTGAAACAGTGAAAATTTCTAGCTATTTATTTTTTGTTGCCAATTTAATTTTAATTTTTTTTTATTTAATTTTTTTTTTTACATTTTTTATTGTAAAATTTTTGAAACAGTGAAAATTTCTAGCTATATTTTTGGTACCCATTTTTTTCAATTGTATTAGAGATTACTCAAATTAGATTTAATATCTGAATTTTTTTTTGAAACAGTAAATTTTTGAGCCAAAAAATTCAATTTTCACGTGACCCAGATTTCAAATTTTTTTTTTGAAAACTCAAAAAAATCAGAAACCCCATCAGTTCTAAATTTCAGTCCTCCACTATCAGGTGAGTTCTTCTAACTTCCAGAATCTACAGTAATCTAGAATATTTTTTCAGCAAGCAAAATGGGTGTTGAATTATCTCTTGATCCACCAGTTTGTCCAATTCAGGCGATGGGCGGAAAATCGACACATAAAATGACGAATCATACGGATAGACATATTGCATTCAAGGTGAGCTGAATTTACAACGACACTCCGCGTTTACACCTTTGAAAATATAGTTTTTAGCACAAAAAATTCAAATTTTTCTCGAAATTCCAATAAACAACGACACTCCGCTGTTACTTCCAGATCAAATCCTCAAACAACTCCAACTACAGTGTCAATCAAATCTTCGGAATCATCAAAGTTTGCGAAACTTTTCAATTGATCATCACCCGAAAACCGGGAAAACCGCAAGCCGATAAATTGGTCATTCAATACGTGGCAGTTGGTGAAGATGTTAATGATGCCAAGGCTTTTTTCGCGGGTCCAAATCCACCGACTGGAGTTTTTGAGGGCGAAACTGTCATCAAATTGTCGGCTGCTGAATGATTTTTGAGACTTTTTTTTTTGAGAATGAAAATTTTGCCACGTGGATTTTGATCAACAAAATTTTTTTTTCGAAAAAATTTGAAACAGTAAAATTTTAACAACAAAAACAAAGTTAACCAAAATCAGGTAGGAGTACTGTACAAGAAAATCCAAAAAACGACGACACTACGCGTTTACACCTTTGAAAATATAGTTTTTTTTCTAGATCTAGAAAATCTACAGTACCCCCTACAGTACCCCCGCTACAGTACTACTTCAAAAATCGTCCATTTTTTGTCAATTTCAACAAATCCTCAATTGTCCACGCGACTCCATTATCGATTTTTGTGCCGTCCGGATTTATACTTACCGTATCCACCTCCTTGCGGAGTACGGTATCGCAATCGACTTGTGAGAAAAATGCGACGGTCTGAAATTTTGAAATTAGGTTTTGCGAGCCTAGAAATTGCCACGTCATAAATTTTCAGCGTAAAAAATATTTGAAAATTTTTACTGTTTCAAAAAAATCATATAATTTTTCGAAAATTCATGAAAATCAGTTTCATTTAACTTTCTAGCTCAAATATTTCGTGAAAAATCAAAATTTTTGCGCTAAAAAATGCCACGTCATCATTTTTAGGGTCAAAAAATATTTGAAAAATTCACTGTCTCAAAAATTTCATAGAACTTTTCACAAAATTGATGAAATTTTGTTTTTAATGCGAATTTATAACACAAAATTTCATGAAAAATCTAATTTTTCGCTGAAAAAATAGCCAAGTCATAAATTTTTAGCGTTAAAAAATATTTGAAAAATTTCACTGTTTCAAAAAAATCCTATACTTTTTTTTTCAGAAAATCGATGAAATTTTGTTTCCGAAGCGAATTGATAACCCAAAATTCAATGAAAATTTAAATTTCCGCTGAAAAAATAGCCACGTCATAAATTTTCAGCATCAAAAAATCATTGAAAAATTCACTGTTTCAAGAAAATCCTATAATTTTTCGAAAAATTGATGAAAATCAGTTCTATGTAGATTTTGTAGCTCAACAATTTATGAAAAACCCAAATTGTTGAGTCAAAAAATTTCACTGTTTCAAGAAAACCCTATAATTTTTCGAAAATTCATGAAAATCAGTTTTATTTTACTTTCCACATCAAAAATTTATGAAAAATCTGAATTTCCGCGCTAAAAAATGTCACGTCATAAGTTTTCAGCGTCAAAAAATATTTGAAAAATTTCACTGTTTCAAGAAAATCCTATAATTTTTCGAAAAATTGATGGAAATCAGTTTCATATTGATTTTCCAGCCTAAAAATTTTATGAAAAATCCAAATTTTCGCTGAAAAAATAGCCACGTCATAAATTTTCAGTGTAAAAAATATTTGAAAATTTTTACTGTTTCAAAAAAATCCTATAATTTTTCGAAAATTCATGAAAATCAGTTTTATTTTACTTTCCACATCAAAAATTTATGAAAAATCTGAATTTCCGAGCTAAAAAATGTCACGTCATAAGTTTTCAGCGTCAAAAAATATTTGAAAAATTTCACTGTTTCAAGAAAATCATAGAATTTTTCGAAAATTCATGAAAATCAGTTTAATCTTAGTTTCCACATCAAAAATTTATGAAAAATCAACTTTTCGCTGAAACAATAGCCACGTCATAAATTTTCAGCATCAAAAAATCTTTGAAAATTTCACTGTTTCAAAAAAATCCCATAACTTTTCTGAAAATTGTTGAAAATCAGTTTTATGTTGATTTTTCAGCTCAAATTTCGCTGAAAAAACAGCCACGTCATAAATTTTGAGCGTCAAAAAATATTTGAAAATTTTTACTGTTTCAGAAAAATCATAGAATTTTCAGAAAATTGATGAAATTTTGTTTTTGGAGTGAATTTGCAACCCAAAATTCGATGAAAAATCCGAATTTTTGAGTCAAAAAATTTCACTGTTTCAAGAAAAATCCTATAATTTTTCAGAAAACTGATGAAAATCAGTTTCATTTCATTTTTCCCTGCTCAAAATTTGATGAAAAATCTAAAAAACTCACATTCGGCAGCTGACAAATCCCAACTTTTTGTGAAATATACGCTCGAACCAACAAATTTGACAATTGCAAAGCCAAAGCCAATCTTGGAGCATCTTCCTCTCGACACATATACCGTACCTAAAAAAAGGCATACTGTAGGGGTACTGTAGATCCACTACCGTACCTCATCATGAATCGAAATCACAAATCTCGCCTCAATTTCATATTTTATGGTCAGCCATTCCATTGAGACCAAAAGGAGGTGCAAAAAATCGACGGCGGATGATTGAACAATCTGAAGAAAAATATCTGGGGGTTACTGTAGAGTACCGTGGATTACTACTGTACCCAATTCATCACCGATCGCTTGTATTTTTTGTCGAAAAATTTGGCGTCTGGAGTGCCGTCGGGAAGTTTGCCGAGCGAATCTGGAAGGTTTGCTGGGTTTTTTGAAACAGTGAAAATTTTTTGGAAATATTCTAGCGCCAAAAAACATTTAGATTACTGTAAATAGATATATTTTTCGAATGTACATAGATCAAAATTAATTATTTTTTCGAGTTTTTCAGCCAAAAATGATGAGATTTTCAAAGCTTCTGGAGTGATTTTTGATAAAAATAAGCTTCTAGAACCATATTTCACCTCAATTTATTAATTTTTCCGAAATTTGAAACTTTTTATTTCAGCAAAAACTTCTAAAGGTTAATTTTCATTAGAAATCACTCCAGAAGCTTCAAAAATCTTGATTTGTCATCATTTTTGGCTGAAAAACTCGAAAAACTGATTTTGACCTGTTTTTCGACATTTTTTTGAATTTTCGTGAATTTTTAAACATTTTTTTGTTCGTGAATTGTTCAGCCCTAGTGAAAATATTTTGAAAATTTCCAAGATCAAATATTTTTGGTTCAAAATTTTATATCAGATTTCCCATTCAAAAGTGGCTCACCAGCAATTTGACATTCCAAAATCGGTGTTCGCAAATTCTGCTGCGCGGCTTTCATTTCCAAAAAATTGAAAGTCGACGATTCGTAGCCGCCCACAAATAATTTTCGATTTTCGCCCAATTTCTCGTAGATTCCACAAATCAGATTTTCGCGGTTTTCTGAAGAATCGGGAAAATACGTGGCAATCATCCAATCTTCGAACTCAATTGTTTCTTGGCTGCAAAAAAACATATTGGTGTAGAGGCTCCAAAATCTACAGTAATCCAACCCACGCATATTTCGACGTATAAGTTGGCAAATAAAACGCGCCATCGATTGTCAAAATTTTCGACGAATCCAAATTCCTGTTTCTCGCCAGAAATTTATCGACAAAAATGTTGAAATTTGGGTCGATTTTCTGGAATTTCGACACGTCGCCTTTGGTGAGCTTGAAGAGTTGTGAGGCGGTTTTTTCCGCTTCCGCTTGCTTCATTCCGCCGATGCGCATCAGATGTTTGGCGGCGTGCGATTCGCCGGAACCGTAGAGACGAGCGTAGTTGAGGGTCTGCGAGGAAAAAACCATCATGAGAAAAATTCACTGTTTCAAAATATCCATTAAAATTTATGATTCAAATTTGAAACAGTGAATATTTTAGTATTAAAAGTCCGAAATTTTGGGATAAGTTTCTGTAGAATTCAACCCAAAATTTCGGATTTTTAACTCTGGAAAATTCACTGTTTCAAATTTTAAATATCAAAATTTTTGAGATGCTACATTTGTTGGATTTCAACCTCAAAAATAAAAATTCCTCACAACATTTTTTCACTGTTTCAAAAAATCCTCAAATTTTTTGAAGAATATTTGAATCTAATGGCATGAATGACACTCTCATTCCAAAAAATTTTAGTTTTATTGAACTTCCATTTTATTGAAAAATATTTAAACTAAAAATATATAATCTCATTTTGAAACAGTGAATTTTTGTAATTCGAATTTTTTTTTAGAAAAAATATATTTAAAAATTCACTGTTTCAAAATATTCATTAAAATCTACGATAAAAATTTCGAAACAGTGAAATGTTGAGCTTTGAAACTCCGAAATTTTGGGATAAATTTCTGTTGAAAATTCACTGTTTCAAATGTTAAATAATGAAATTTTTGAGCACAAATTGATGTTTCGTCGAGGTTTTACCATCAAAAATTATAATTCCTCACAAAATTTTGTTTTAGCAAAACAAATTCACTGTTTCAAAAAATCCTCAAATTTTTAAAGAATATTTGAATTCAATGGAATGTCAAAAATTTCATCGTAAAAAAATGCAGAGATGAATTTTTCTAGTTTTTTCCCGGCAAAGTAGATAGCATCCAAATATTGAAAAAAATTCAAACTAAAAATATATAATCTTATTTTGAAACAGTGAATTTTTTCCATAAATCTGAGGAATTTCAGGCCGAATTTCACGTCAAAGCTGAAAATTTAGTGTTTCACTTTTTTCCTATTTACGAGAAACTTTCATCATCTCAAAGTCATCCCAAAAAATTCACAAATAATTTTGGGATAAATTTCTGTAGAAAATTCACTGTTTCAAATTTTGAATATCAAAATTTTTGAGATGCTACATTTGTTAGATTTCAACTTTAAAAATTTGAATTCCTTACAAAATTTGTGTTAGCAAGAACTCACTGTGTCAAAAAATCCTCAAATTTTTCCAGTCTTTTCCCAGCTCCACTAAAACATTTATTATTAAAAAATATTTTTGCTCAAAATTGATAACCTAATTTTGAACCAGTAAATTTCCCTCCCATAACTCTCGCTCACCTTCGCATGATTTCTACTAATTTTCAGCTGATTCGCCACCACAGAATGCAAATCCGTATTATCAGATTTCGATCCAGCCAACATCATATTCGAGAATGCAGTTTTGCCGGCGACTCGATTCGCCAAATCTAGTCGTTTTTCAGCCGAAGCATCTCCGTATAATGCAGCGAGCCACTGAAAAATGTTCACATACATTTTCAAATCAAATTTGTTTATTATGATTGGATTTCTAGTGATAAAAATTTAATTATTTAAAATTTATACAAAATATATTGTAGAATTTGATCATTAGAAAAATCTCATCTAAAACCTCATAAAAATTTTGAAACCTAAATTTTCATGGAAAAAATTCACTGTTTCAAAATTTCAAATTTAATTATTTAACATTTATTTCAACGATGTGAACATTAGAAAAAAATTATCTAGAATCTCATGAAAATTTTGAAACCTAAATTTTTCAGGAAAAAATTTCACTGTTTCAAAATTTCAAGAAATAAACTGTCAAATTAAAAATTTTCATTAACGACTTTTCATTCACCTTAAAATTAACTGAATTTTTTTGACGCTGGAAAACTCGACGTGGCAGTTTTGAATTCAAGTTTACTGATGATAAAAAATATATTTTTTTAAAAAATTTCGAAGACAGAATCATTAGTAAAATCTCATCCAAAACCTCATAAAAATTTTGAAACCTAAATTTCCCAGGAAAAAATTCACTGTTTCAGAATTTCAATTCCCTAGGCTTATCTAGGCTCAAAAAATCACAAATTTCTGGCTCAAACCTGCTCCTGTGAATCAACATCAGCTCCAACCAATCTCGCACCATTTGATGCTTGTACCATAGCTTTAATTCCAGTTCCAATAACATGCCCACCAGATTGATTGGTTAGTGTCACCCATAATTTGTGAACACTTCGTCGTGAGACTGTGCCGGCTGGAACGACGGCTGCTGCGATTGCTCCAAGTTTTTTGGCTGGAAAAATGGGATTTTGATGCTGAAAATTGAAGCTTCAGGCTGAAATTTAACATAAAAATCCTCAAAATCAATTTTTATTTTAAAAAATTCTGGTCAATTTTTCACTGTTTCGAAATTTTCATGAATTTTTTTTTGATTTCTGTTGTTTTTTGATTCGCAAATTTGTTCGATCAAAAAAATTAAATCGAAAAATATGGCTAGAAAAATCAATAAATTTCAGCCTGAAAATATATTCATTCTAAAAAATTTGTATTGGTCAATATTTTTTCACTGTTTCAAAATTTTCATGAATTTTTTTGATTTCTTCTGTTTTTTGATATATGTAAAGCAATATTTTTTTCAAAAATACTGAAATTTTTGATTTTTTGACTGAAACCCCCTATATTTTTAGAATCAAAAATAGATTGAAAATTTAGAAAAAATCTGGAAATTTCTGGCTTAAAATCAATAATCTGAAAATCAATAATCAATAATTTTCAGCCTGAAACTTCAAAAAATTTCGTTTTGAAAATTCAAAAAAATAATTTTCTGATCAATATTTTTTCACTGTTTCAAAATTTTCATGAATTTTTTTGATTTCTTTTGTTTTTTGATGTGACCAAGCATAATTTTTTTCAAAAATACTGAAATTATAGATTTTTGACTGAAAACCCCTATATTTTTAGAATCAAAAATAGATTGAAAATTTAGAGAAAATCTGGAAATTTTAGGCCGGAAATCGATAATTTCTGGATGAAAATTCGTTGAAAAATCAATAATTTTTTTTTAATTAAAAAAAAAGTAATTTTTCATTTAAAAAAATTTTGTTCAATATATTTTCACTGTTTCAAAATTTTCATGAATTTTTTTGATTTCTTTTGTTTTTTGATGTGACCAAGCATAATTTTTTTCAAAAATACTGAAATTATAGATTTTTGACTGAAAACCCCTATATTTTTAGAATCAAAAATAGATTGAAAATTTAGAGAAAATCTGGAAATTTTAGGCCGGAAATCGATAATTTCTGGATGAAAATTCGTTGAAAAATCAATAATTTTTTTTAATTAAAAAAAAAGTAATTTTTCATTTAAAAAAATTTTGTTCAATATATTTTCACTGTTTCAAAATTTTCATGAATTTTTTGATTTCTTTTGTTTTTTGATGTGACCAAGCATAATTTTTTTCAAAAATACTGAAATTATATTATCAAAGTAAAAAAATTTGGCAAAAAAAGAGAAGCCAGAAATTCAAATCCCAATTTCCCCAAGTACGGTATTCCTCTGCGTCACTAACACCGTTTCGAGACCACACCATTGGGCAGAGAAACAAAGTCAAAGACGCACATATGGGTCTCGCAGCGACTGAAAGAAACACCGTACTTGGGAAGAGTGTCATTTGAATTTCTGGGATCCGTTTTTTGCCAATTTTTTTTATTTTGATAATAGATTTTTGACTGAAAACCCCTATATTTTTAAAATCAAAAATAGACTGAAAATTTAGAGAAAATCTGGAAATTTTAGGCTGAAAATCAATAATCTGAAAATCAATAATCAATAATTTTCAGCCTGAAATTTCAAAAAATTTCGTTTTGAAAATTCAAAAAAATATTTCTGATCAATATTTTTTCACTGTTTCAAAATTTCGATTAATTTTCTGCTTTCTGTTATTTTTTATTAATTAAATTATTAATTAAAAAATAGTGAAAAATACTCAGTTTTCAGCCAAATTTCAGAAATTTCGGCTCAAAATTCACCATTTTTCAAATTTCCCCACCCAAAATCTCTCACCATCCTCCTGATTTTGCTCATAATAAATCGCCACCTCATCTCGATATCTTTCACTATAACTCGTCCAAAATTGCGTTGTCTGAATCGAATCCAAGACAGTTTTCTCAAAAATCTCCACAAATCGAGTCGGTCGAAGTACACGCTCTTTCAAATCTTTTTGGAAATGTTTAGTTAGCGGATCTCCAACATTTCCGGCGCCATTTGGATGATCTAATTGGTAGAATTTGATGGCCCCAAATTTATCCAAATCCCATCCTTTTTTCTCGTCGGAAATCGGAAAATCGCCGAATTCAAAGATGTTGTCCTGCACAGTTTCGTAGAATTTTTTCAGCGGAAATTTCGCTGATGAGCTTGACATCGTGAAATCAGTGTGAACTTCGATGAACTCCTGATCTTCTCCCAAGAACTTTTCGATGGTTTTTGTGCATCCTGGCGCCAGAAATCCCCAGCCTTTTGAGCGCGTTTTGAAGAGTGGAAAAGGACCGTAGATGAAGCCGAAGATTGAGGGGATTAGAGAACTTTTGAGGGCCTGGAATTGGTATTTTGGAATTTTTTTGAAACAGTGAATTTTTTGTGGAAATTTAAAATTTTGAAACGTATATTTTCCAGTTGTCACAAAAATTTTATACTGAACTGAAATAAATTTCAGAATTGAATTCCAAGAGGATTTTTTTGCTGATTACTAACTCTGAAAAACTGAAAAAAAGTTAATAGCATAATTTTGAAACAGTAATTTATTTTACATACAAATTTTCTCACTCCAAATTTTTTGAAAACTGAAATTATAATTTTTAAATTCGCAAAAGTGACATAAAATAAAGTACAGACTGTGGCTCAAAATTTATAAGAAAATTTTGAAACAGTGAATTTTTCATGAAATTAATTTTAAGTCGAAAATCAATAAATTTTGTTTATAAGTGAGTATAAAGACAAAGATTCTATCATTGCCAAATTTTTTACTGAAATTTATATCACAAAAATTTGAAACATATATTTTCCAGGCTTTTTTTTTGAACTGAAATTAAATTTGGGAAATTCCTCCTGGATTGAATCCAAAATGTTTACTCAAATTTCGAAACAGTGAATTTTTCAGGAAAATTTTGTGAGGGTAAAAATGTAGACTTCAAATATTTTGTTAAAATTTGGAACGATAGTATCGATACCAATAGATTTTGGGTCCTAAATTTATTTTCAAAACGAAATTTTGAAACAGTGAATTTTTTTTTCAAGCTTATTCAGTCTCAAAAAATCGCAAATTTCCCCCCAGCCCCAAAAGACTCACAATATGATGATAATCAACTTCATCCAACTCAAGTTTCGCAAAATTCCTAGCTTTGAACAATTTATTGAACCATTCGGGTTTTTGCTGATTCGATTTTATGGTCCAATCTTGGGACCACATCCAGATATCCTCTTCAATTTTTCTGCAAAAAATTTGGAGATAATTTTGGCTGAAAATATGGATTTTCTCACGATTCCGAATTTTCTTCAGTTTGCGCCAAAATCGAAGCGGCTTCCACGATCTTCTTGGCCGATGCTGTTTTTTTCTCCTCACAAAGTTGGGCATTGTACTGGAAAAAATATTGATTTACAGTAGTAGTTTTGCCACGTCATAGGTTGAAAGCGATTTAAAAAAACTAACCCGATCAAATCGAAATTTTGAGGAAAATTTTATTAAAAAAATTTGAAACAGTGAAATTTTTCAAGAAAAAAAATCAAAAATAGGAAATTTTGAATTTTCAAAAACTTCACTGTTTCAAAATTTTCATATCAAATTCGATCATTAATTCAGAATTTGGTTCTTCTTCTACTTTGTGCCAAAATCTACCGTAATCCTGACCTTTTTCCACGTCATAGCTTTATTTTTCGCAAAAAAAAATTTTTTTTGAAGTTTCAAAAATTTCACTGTTTCAAAATTTTCATATAAAACTTTGTCAAAAACTCAAAACTTAATTCTTGACCTTTTTTTCCCTCTCAACTCACATCAAAAAACTGTTTCCAATATTGATTAATCGGCAAATACACATTTCCCATATTCAACATTCCATACAAAGTTGCGGGATGCGGAAAACGTCGACGAAATTCGGGCCAAAGTTTCAGATAGATTTCCGCGCTCAGAATATTGTCCCTGGCACAATATGACATGAGAGGTTGGAAGTCTTCGCGAATTTTCGAGATTGGATCTTTGACGAAACTGGCACGCATGCTTTTTTTCGAGAATCCTTCGGCCGAAACTGGAATTATTTGGGGACATTCAGGCTTTCTTTGGAAAAAAAAATCAAACTGGGCAAGTTTTCTGGAAAATAAAAACCAACTTGCATTATTTTAATTTTTGCCGAATTGTTTTTGAAAAAAATTTGAAACAGTGAATTTTTGGTGTCAAAAAAACGCATTGAAATTTCTGAAGCAGTAGGTTTTTTTGTGCAAAATATCTATTCCACGTGGAATCAAAATTTCTTTAGAAAGTGAATTTTCAAATTTTCATTTTAAAAACATCAACGGAAATTTCAAACCTTATAAATCTTTACAAAAATTTTGAAACAGTGAATTTTCAAAAATTCAAAAAAAAATTTTCTTTTTTTCATGTTACCCGGGCTTATTTGGTGTCAAAAAATCGCAAATTTTCTGGCGCTCCAAAAAATGCCACGTGGACTTTTTGCACCACTTTTTGTGAAACTTGAAAAAAACATATCGTAAACAACGAAAATTAAACGTTTACGACCGATTTTTCTTTATTAAATTTCTGAAACAGTAGACTTTTCAAATTTTAATTTTTGGCGCAAAATATCTATGCCACGTGGAATTTTCTGAAATTGCATGAGAAATTCCCATTTTGTTATATTTCTGTTAAAAAATTTTCGAATCAATTTGTTTCGTTAATCAAAATTGCTGTTCAAACTTTTTTATTTAAAAAAAATTTTGAAACAGTGAATTTTCAAAAAAAAAAACATTTCTATTTTTCATGAGACCCAGGCTTATTTGGTGTCAAAAATCGCAAAATCTCAAGAGCTCCAGAAAATGCCACGTGGCGAATAAAAAACCAACCTTCTTTATCCGGATACAAATGATCGTGTACAGCAACCAGTGAGTTTTTCGAAACTCTTCCCTTCCACGCATTCATCCAATCGTTCTGAAATTATGAATTTTCCAGCTACAGTACCCAAATTCCGTGAATTTTGGGTTAAAAATCATCAAAAATTCACGATTTTCAACCTACAGTACCCCCAAAAACTCACATTTCCCTCAATTTCCTCAATATCATACATTTCATAAAGCGATTGTTGATGATCAGCCATTCCGAACATCGGAATCGACATCGACATTGTGTCCATAAATCGGATTTTGGTGGATTTCGGCGTGGAATATGCTTCTTGGCAGCGAGCTCGATCGAAACCGATGTTGTGACCGATTATGATCTTTTCGCGGGAAGTTTCTGAAGAATTTTTGGGTGAATTTTTGTGGGAAAAGGTGAATTTTAATCATGTGTTTCTGAAACAGTAGATTTTCTAGAAATTTTCAGATTTGAAAAATTCAGATTTTCATTAGTTTTCCGAAGAAGTTGGCAATAATCAAGAAAATTTTCAAACCCAAAAATTATATCAAAATTTTGAAACAGTGATTTTTTTGAGTAGTCAAAATTGGTTTTTGACCCACAAAAATCCACGTAAAAATTTCATATGAAGAAAATCCGAGACGAACTATAGTTTTTAAACCAAATTTTTTAATGAACAATTTTCGAAACAGTAAATTTTAAAATTTGAAAAATTTAATTTTGATTATTTTCCAAAGATACAGCTGACAACTGTCATTGAAGAATATTCCGAATCAAAAATATTATATAAAAATTTTGAAACAGTGAGTTTTTTGAAAAGTCAAAATTGGTTTTTGGAGTCAAAAAATCCACGTGACAATGTCATATTTTTATTCAGAATCTACATAGAAATATAATTTTTAACCACATTCGTAAATAAAAATTTTCTGAAACAGTGGATTTTCTAGAAATTTTCAGATTTGAAAGATTCAGGTTTCGATCATTTTTCGAATAGAGCGATATTATATTAAGAAAATTTCCAATCAAAAAAATTATACAGAAATTGTGAAACAGTAAATTTTCTGGACGTTTTCGGATTTGAAAAATTCAGATTTTCATTAGTTTTCCGAAGATAGACGTTGGCAATAATCAAGAAAACTTTCAAACCCAAAAATGATATCAAAATTCTGAAACAGTAAATTTTTTCATAGGCCAAAATTGGTTTTTTGCCCTAAAAAATCCACGTGGCAATTTTGTATATTTTATTGGAAGTTCAAAACCAGTATGTACAACAATAATTTTCAACCACATTCTTAAATAGAAATTTTCTGAAACAGTAAATTTTCTGGAAATTTTCGGATTTGAAAAATTCGATTTCGATTAGTTTTCCAAGGGTAGAGATGAATCAAGAAAATTTCCAATAAAAAAAATTTATACAAAAATTTTGAAACAGTGAATTTTTTCAGGATATTTTTCAACCCAAAAATCCCTAAAACCAACCTCCAATTGGAATCAAATGCTCTATAGTGGGAAATTCAGGAACATCCGAATCATTGATTAATCGATCACTACACCAACCGTACCTGAAATTAAAATCAGGGCATGTTTGGTGTCAAAAAATCGCAAATTTTCCCGGCAAAAATGTCACTCACCACGCATCTTTTCCCAAGGCAATCGCCAAAGTTGGTAGCCGTCCATCTCTCACCACCAATTCGATATCAAAAAATAGCACATCATCGAGTGGCGCCTCGATTTTCTCGCTGTTTTTCGGATCCTCGAACGGGTATTTATACCAACCGGGTTCAAATCGCCACAAATCTTGATTATCGATTGATTTCAGCGCAATTTTAGCGGAATTCAGGTCGAAAGTGGTGGCGAAATCCAATAGTTCACGGTATTTTGAGACTTGGCTGTCGGCCAGAATTCTGGAATTTGAAATTCGGTGATTTTGGTGCGAAATGGCTTGGAGTACTGTAGATTACTGTAGATTTTGCCGCTGAAGTTCCCCAGAAAAACATTTTGAAATTGTCAATTTTTTTGATGAAAAAATTTTGAAACAGTGAAATTTTCAAATTTTTTGGCCCCAAAACCTACAGTACCCCATTTATATTCGGTCTCAAAAAATCGCAAATTTTTGCGCGCGTGGCATAGCTCACCTAAAATGCTCAATAATATCATCGGCCATAAGTTGGGGTAACTCTCCGGGATAATCGATTTTTGATGACGTGGATGGAGTTGGCACATGTGGGAAGAGGTATTGATGGAGGCGTGGACAGACGGTTTCGATGGTTTTTCGTTCGAACTGCAAGGATTACTGTAGGTGGGGGGGGGGGGGTACTGTAGATAGGTTTGCAGTTTGGGGGGATGTATCTGGGTTACTGTGCTTTGAACTAATATCTAGTAGATATTCTTGCAGTTCGGGTTACTGTAGAAAATGATTTGGCAGTTTAGGATACTGTATCTGGGTTACTGTATCGCTAAACTACAATCTAGTTGATTTTATTTGTAGTTCAGGTTACTGTAAATTTGCAGTTCGGGAAGACATCTACAGTAACCCGGACTGCAAAGTATTTAACTACTGTAAACAGCTTGGCGTACTGTAGAGATAATTTTTGCAGTTCGGAAGTACTGTACAGTAGTTCTAGAACCTCTACAGTAGCCCAATGAAAATCTACAGTACCCTAGATACAGTAACCCACAGTAAACTCACAATTTTCCGGTATTTCAAAAAATTCAAAATGATTTTTTCTGAGCTGGATTTTTTGTCACGTGAAAATTTCACGCGAAAAATAATTTTTTTTCAATTTTGTTTTGTTTTTTTTGAACTACAGTATCTCAGGGGGTACTGTACCTACCGTACCTCTCTCCGTTTTGTCGTCGAAATCCTCCTTATCAACTGCCAAAATCTGGGTTTCAGCATTTTCTGGCTGAAAATTTTGAAATCTGAAATTTTTTCATCAAAAATATATCAAAATTTGATGAAAAATCAACTTTTCTGGGCAAAAAAACCGCGAAATTTCCAAAAAAAAAGAATAATTTATGTATTTACATTCAAAAACCGCGGATTTTCAGCACATTTTCAGATTTTCCTTAGCGATTCGAGTCCAAAAGTGCATTTTCGCGTGCAATCACCGATTCTTCGAATTGTATCACGTAGGCGGTTTCGTTGTGCCAATGGGCGGTGACTTTGCATTTGAATGAGGCGCTCTGCAGAAAAATTTCACCGTTTCAAAAATTCGATACATTTTTTTTGACAGTTTTTTCGTGGTTATGGTTATAAACTTTTTCAAAAATCCAAAATTTTGATTTTTAATGAAAATTTAGCAGTTTTCAGCTTTTTTTTCAAAATTTCAGAATTTTCTGGAATTTTTGGATGAAAAATCAGATTTTTGATCATTAAAAATTCACTGTTTCGAAAATCCTATAAACTCAATTTTCAAAATTTGGTTTGATTCTTCAACTCAGAGATTCGCTGGCCAGCTCGCCACCAGGTGGGGAGGCTGGCTGACCTGGGAACCACATGGAAACCATGTCGCCTGGTTTTTTTCGCTGGCAAGGTGGCCAGGCTCTGGCTAGGTCACGGCCACATGGCTACCACGTGGTGGCCACATCGCCTCGTCAAAATGAATTTTCATGAAAATGTCTGAAAAACTTGTGAATTGAGGCTTTTCGAAAAACTTGGCTCATTTTCTGTTTTTTCGCAGCACTTGAAACCTTAGGAAGTGAAAAAAACAGTAGAAAATGCAGTGTTTTGAGTACAAACCACCGTCTTGCCAGCTTTTCAGGATTTCAAACACATAGGCCACGTCGCCGGAAAACTCAAGGCGACTTGGCGGCCATGCGGTTTCCAGGTGGCCGCAGCGATCTGGTGGCGAGCTGGCCAGCGAATCTCTGAGAACATTCTCAATTTTTTTAAATGAAAATCAAGATTCAAAATAAATCCAGTAGTAATAGAATTCTTACAGTGACTACAGAAAATTTATTTGAAAATTTATCAAATTTTTGAAACAGTGAATTTTTGAGGAATAAAACATGCATTTTCTGTCTTATTTTGATTTTGGGATTTTTTCTTTCAAAAAAAAAGGTTAGAGAAATTTTTCCTTTAAAAAATTCACTGTTTCAAAAATTCTCAAAAAATTTCTCCAATATTCAAAATTTGGTAACAGCGGAAGATTTGATGAAAATGAAGATTTTTCAGATTAAAAAAAAACAGAAAAACAATTTTTGACTTAAAACAGACCCCCACCAAATTTTCACCCAAAATCCCACCTCCAAAATTGCTTCAATAATTCCAGCAGCAAATGCGGCACAATTCAAAACTCCTTTATCTTTTGGCACCGAAATATACGTGTTGACAAGTGGATCTTTTTCGATTAGCAAATCTGTGAAGAAAATTGGGGGTTTTGAGAATTTTTTGTTTTTTTTTGCTTCAAAACGATGCCAGGATTGCTCGAAAATGTTCAAATTTTGAATTCAAAAATTTTTGAAACAGTGGATTTTTATTATTTGTAAAAATTTGGAAAAATTCAATTTTAGGTAAAATTTTCTCTAAAATTTGAGTTCCTGGTCCAAAATTTATGAAATTTCCGAATTTTCGGTCAAAAGTTCAGTCTGAAAATTCAGATTGCTCATATTAACAGAAATTATCATTGTCAGGTCAATTTTCCTCAAAAATTCGAATTTCTGGCTCAAAATTGATCAAATTTTCACTTCCAGCTGCCCAAAATTCACGAAAAACCCAAATTTTCCCTCAAAAATCCCCCGTCCTCACATGTACAATGATCATCATTCAATCGTTCCAATTTATCCGCCTCTTTTCCGAACAAATTTTTCCAAACCGTCGATTTGATGAACATCAACATTCCCAACAATTTCGTCTCTCTTTTATAGCCTTTTTCACGTAGTGTTATGATATCAAACATTCGATAGCCGACTTGTTTTCCGTATTGAGCTATTCTGCAAAATTTTGGATAAGTTTTCATGAAAAAAGTTTCGAAAATTCAAATTTTTGATTTTTTTTAGTAATCAGTCAATAATACCATCGATTTGAAATTGTTCAAATTTTATAAACAAGAATTTTGAAACAGTGAAAATTTGAATTTTTTCAGCAAGAAACCTAAACAATGATAAACACTTTGAAATCTTTCAAAATTTTGTAAATCAAAATTTTGAAACAGTAAAATTTTGTTGGAAAGAAATCTGCAAATTTTTTTTCGAAAATTACTGATTTTAGATGAATTTTTCAGCAAGAAATCCAATTTTCGATGAAAAAATCTCAAAAATTAGAAGTTTACAAACTTTTTGCGCTAAAAATTAGTTATGACGTGGATTTTGTTATCTACAAATTTGAAATGAACAGGCATCATTTCGAAGGCTTTCAACTTTTGTAAATCAAAATTTTGAAACAGTGAAAATTTGCATAATTTTTGATGAAGAAAATCCGAAAAATCCTACATTTTCATTGAAATTTTTCAATTTCCACATTTTTTTACCACCCAGAAATTCCGTACCTATCATGAATATCAGTCACAGTTTCCGATCGATTTTGTGCATACAAAACCATTTCGGAAAACAACACGGCAAACGTCGACAAATTGATTTCGGTTTTTCCGCGGCTCAGCGATTTGTCGAGAATTCCAGTCGTTTTTGCCATCTGAAAATTAAAGATTTTCTTGGGGGGAAAATGGAAAAATAGAAGAAAAAAGAGAGAGATTCAAAGAGACGCAGAGAAAATGGATAATTTTTCATTATAAATTTCAGATTTTCTGCAAAATCAAGACTTTTCCAGAAAAAAGGCTTTATAAATTAGATTTAGCTTAGCTTGGCCAAAAGCTTACGAGAAAAGTGGTTTTTTCGACTGAAAATTATGAATTTTGGGCTGAGAATCTGAAAAAACCTGAATTTTTGAAAAAATATATGTTTCTGTACAGTTTTTCACACTGATAAAGATCCTGTTTTCAGTTTTTGCTGAACGACTCTCTGAAGAGCCCAAAAATGAGCCAAAAGAGGAGAATTTTTTGAATTTTCGTGGTTTTAACAACGTGATGAATTCAGTTTTTCATAAAAATCATCTCTAACATGAGTTATGGGCTCTCAAATTCACGAATTTTCAAAAATTCCCAACTTTTGGCTCATTTTTGGGCTCTTCAGAGAGTCGTTCAGCAAAAACTGTAAACTGGATATTTCTGAGCGTGAAAAACTGTACAGAACCATCTATTTTTCAAAAATTGAGGTTTTTTTTCAGATTTTCAAACCAAAATTCATAATTTTCACCGATTTTCTTCAAATTTCACCCTACTTTTTCCCTATTTTCCCGGGCCACCCGGAAAAGGGGAAAAAAGAAGGTCTTCCCCTCCGAAATGTTGTCTAGGCAACACAAAACATGCCAAAAAATCCATAAAAATGAATAAATGAGGTATTGGCGAAGAAGAAAAAAAGAGCAAGTAATCTCTTTATTTATTATTACGTTTGTTTTTGCTGCTCGCGGAGCACAAAAAACACTATGGAAAATTTCCATAATCAACTCATTTTGCCGAATATTGGCGAGTTTTTGGGCAGCTTGTTTTTCGCGTTTTTGTGTAAGTTTGATGATTTTTGAGCTAGAAATCATCAAAACTCATGTTTCTAGCTCAAAATTCATCAAAAATTCCAGATTTTCAGCCAAAAATCCTCAATTTTTGCAGCCTGCTTCATAGGCGAATATCAAAAATCACTAGGCTACCCGATTTTCATCTCAATTTCCCTATTCATCTCTCGATCAATAGTTCAACATTGCACACCGGCTCATTTCAATCCAGGTGAATTTAGGGCTGAAAATCTGGTCATTTTCAGCCAGATTTCGAGATTTTCCCAGAAAATCCCACATTTTTTGCTCACCTCCAACGGTTTTGCCAAAAATCGACGAGTTTTATCGAGTTTTTTGAAAACTTGAAATTTTTCCGCTGAAATTGGCAGCATTTTTGCTCGAAATATTCGAAATGAGCAAAAAATGTGGAATTTTTCAACATTTCACGTGAAAAAAAATAAAAAAATCAATGATTTTGGCAAAAATTTTGGAATAATAAACAGTTATGGAAAATTCGCGGGACAGGTGAGAGAGTGCAGAGAAACAGAGAAAAATGTTTTTTTTTTTGAGATGTTTCTCTGCATGCACTCTCTTCATATCACATTGTCTCTAGGAAAAATTGAAAATGGTGGATTTTCAGACAAAAAAAGATAGTCTGGAATTTAAATTTTCAGCATTTTTCAGGTCCAAAAAAGCACTAACAAAAAATAGGATTTTCGCCTCAATAAATCACATTTTTGAAACAGTGAAATTTTTCTAGAAACACAAATAACAATTTATGAACTTCGGGTCAAAATGTGTCCATTTTCCAAGAATTTCAGCTAAACATCTCTTGAAAATCATGATTTTTGGAGAAAAATCACTATTTCCAGATCTTTTCATACGTATTAGGTCGAAATTTATCAAATTTCCTGATTTTCAGCTCAATTCTGAGCTCTGTTTCAACTTTTCTAAAAAAATATATTTTTTCTAGTAGTTTTTGACCCGCTAATCACTAATCCGTTGTCTAAAATTGCACAACTCAACTCCTAATATGAGCTATGACGTGGCAAAATTCGAAAAATCGGGATTTTAGGAGCTAAAACCTGGAAAAAAGCTTCAAAAATGATATTTTCCCCCATGAAAATCATTTTTGCAGATTTTTCCAGGTTTCAGCTTCTAAAGTCCCGAATTTTCAAAATTTGCAACGTCATAACTCATATTAGAAGTTGAGTTGTTCAATTTTAGAGTCGAAAACTACTAGAAAATATATATTTTTAAATTAAAATTGAAAATCTGAATTTGAGACAGTTTGCAAGAAAATTTTCCCTTGTAAGAATTTAGCTGAATTAATGAATTTTGGGTTGAAATTTGACAAACTTCATGATTTTTAGCTCAAAAACCTCGAAAAATGTCAATTTTGAGATCAGGTTAGATGAAAATTCCTTAAATTCCATGATTTTCGTGTCAAAAACAGTTTGACAACTTTATCTTGATTTTTAGGTTAAAATTTATCAAATTTCACAAATTTCTGGGTCTAGAAACCCATGAATGCACTCGAAATTGATAAAAAAATGAATTTTGGGTTGAAATTTGACGAACTCTATGATTTTCAGCTCAAAAAAACAGGATTTCCTTGAAATTCGGGTGAAAATTCATCAAATTCAATGAATTTTGGCCGTTTTTCACGAATTCCACGTCAAAATCCCCAAATTTCTAGCCATAACCCTCCTTCAATGCATTCGCCAGCGTATTTCACCAATTCTCGCCACCTCCTTCATAATCTGCCAATTTTTCGGCCTTCTTTTCGGCGTCACATTTTTCCGTTGTCTGGTTTCACAAACCGAATTCAACGATGATATTGTGTTTTTCGATTTATCGACAGAAAATTCGAAAATCAATCGACTTCAGGCATTTTTCTTGGAAGTTTCGCTAACTTTGGTGCTTTTGCACAGTTTTTCGCAGGGAAATCGAGATTCTTCCAATTTTTCTAGCGAAAATTTCACATTTTCAGCAAGTTGGGTGAGTTTTTCGGGCCAAAAATCGATGATTTTCTTGAATTTCAGGGTCTAATTCAACTGATTTCCATGCCATTCTATGGATTTTCATCAAATTTCACATTTTTATGCGTCAATTTTCTGACAAGTTGCATTTTCTCACCAACAACGACACCGTCTTTCAGTTTGATCTACCTCAATTTTTTCGCCATGATTTTGGCGGTTTTTTTGGCATGGCTGGTGGATTGGTGAGCAAAAATTCATGAATTTTCGGAGAAAAAAGCTCCCGGGAAAAATATGTTTCAAAAATTTTTGAAAAAAAAATGGGAAACAATTTAGCTATTCATATTTTAATACAATACTTACAATTTAGCTAAAAATCATGTTTTTTCTGATTTTTCTGGAAAAAAAATTCTGAAACTCAAAAACTGGAATTTGATGAATTTCACCTGGAATTCAGGAAAACAGCAATTTTCAGCCAAATTCGAGAAAATAACGATTTTTTGGGCTGGAAATTGAGATTTTTCCAAGTATTTTGAACTAAAGATCGATTAATTTGGTCTATTTCAACCTAAAATTGAAAATTGTGAATTCAGAAATTTTTTGACAAAAATTGATGTGTTTAGACACCTAAAATTAATTGAAAATGCTAAATTATGAGCTGAAATTTTTCAAATATCCCGGGAAAAATAGGTTTCAGAATTTTCATAAACGAAACATCCAAAAATATTTTCCAATGATATGTTCGTTTTTGTTTCACAGAAAATATGAGTGAATTTCAGACTTGAAGCAAATTTTGAAAATTCAAACGGTGAACAAAGAAATTTTACCAAATGAAAAATTTTCCAAAAAATCTAAAACCAAATTTTGAAACAGTAAAAAATTTCAAATTTCCAGGCTAACTTCCCCAAAATCTCCCAACACCTTGCAAAACGGCCAAACTTCAGATAACAAATTAGTATAAAACCAATCAACACCTAATTATTCAATTATCGATTTTTTAGTTGACCGCAAAATATATTTATTATCATTTTTTAATAAACCAATTATTATTAAAAAATAACACATTTTTCAGGGAGAAAAAGAGAGAGAGAGAACAAAAATAATCAAAAAAAAATGTGTGGGTGGGGGGATTTTTGTGCATAGCTTGTGTGTGGAGCTCAAAATTTTTTGGGGAATTTTAATTTTGCACAAAAATCGAACCAAAATGATACAAAAAAAGGAAAGAAAGAAAAAGAAGATCTTGTTGGGAGACCGGTCAAAAATCGAAGAATGAATGAGAAAAAACGCGGGATGGGGGAAAACCAAACACCATTTTAAAATGGCGGTGGATTTTGTGATGATGACGTTGCAGAGTTCGAGTTGGACGAAGTCGGTGGAGCTCGCCATGGATTTGTGGCCGCCGATGATAATGGATTGAGCATTCCGAGATTGGCAAACAATGCGGAACCTGTGGGAAAATATTGATTTTTGGAGGATTTTCAGTCAAATTTTCAGACAGCTCTGAAATTCCACGTTTTTTGGAGTGCCGGTTACGGGTTGAAAATTGCCCATTTTCATCCCGAAATCGCGACACCCAGAGTCGAAAAATCGCTCAAAAATTATAGGAGAATTTTGAAACAGTGAATTTTTTTAATGAAAAATTAGTGTGAAACTTTTTCGGACAAAAACGATTTTGGGTCAAAATTACAGCAAAATCACGATTTTCAGGCTGAAAACCCGTAAAACCTCAAATTAGAGGCGAAATTCGAAATTTTTTATGAAAAATAAAATTGAAAACAAAAAGGTGTAAATCAATAGATTTTTTATTGAAAATTTTTTCAATATGAAATTTTTGAAATCTATTTTTTGCAGGAAATTTAATTTTGTGTCAAAAGTAGGATTCCCTATCTGAAAAACCTCGAATATCTAAATTTTCAGGCTGCAAACCCGTAAAACCTCAAATTAGAGGCGATCTTCGAAATTTTTAATGAACATTCAGATTGAAAACAAAATGTGGTCTGAATGATTTTTTTTTCTGAAAATTTGTTCAATATGAAATTTTTTGGGTAATCATTTCTGGGTGATTTTTTAACAAAAAATCCAAAATTTTTCGGCCAAAATCATGAATTTTTCGTCCAAAATCAGATTTTCCCAGCTAGAAACCCCTCAAAATCTCACCATTCGACATCTGTTGATGTTGTTGTTGTTGATCACCAGCTCCATTATGCGGTGCTCCATAATAATTCGCAAGTCTTTGTGGCTGTTGTTGGCTGCTTGGAGTGTACTGTTGTGGTTGAGCTTGATAATTCCAAATATCCGTATTAAATCCAGTCAAAAACGGTGTAGTGGAGTTAGTGGAAGTTGCTGGAGCTCTTGGAGCCAATGGTGCTTGTGAGATTTGTGGCGGCGCAGAAATCTGGCGTGATGCTTGAGGAGCACTGACCGAAGAATTCAAAGACGAACTTCTCTGGAAATCCGATCCATTTCCATTCATCGCCCAAATATCACGATGGAGTTGATCAAAACTACTATTGAAATTCGAACTTTCGCCAAAACTTCCAAGATTTCCAATAGTATTCCATGACCAGAAATTGTTGGGTTCCGAAGGTTTCGCGGCACTCGAATTATTCACCGGTGATGGAAGGCGGGAAACGCGGCTTCGCGACGGCGTCGAGCACGCGGAAACCGTCGGCGACTCTCCGCTACAAGTATTTGTCCGCGACGCCGCTGATGTTGTAGCAGAAGATCGTTGGCCAATAACTCCCGGTACAGATGACGGCGCAACAACTTGAACTGGCGGTGGTTTCACCAATTTCGGCAGCGGATCGGATGGAATTTTGATATCACCAATTTGGGACAAGGTTGATGAACCCGATCGAACATTTTTGATAGATGATTCGTATTGCGAGGTGGTTGATCTGATGTGTTGATCGCATTTGTCGAGAGCTGTTCTCCATTCGGTGAGCGATTTGCGAAGAAGATCACGGTCAGAGGCTTGGCGAACTCTGGAAAACAGGAATTTCAGATTTTCGTGAAATCAAAATTTTCTTTAGATTTTTGGGTGTTGAAAATAGAAGAACCTATCAAAATGAGGAAAAAACCTCTAAAAATTGATACATTTTCTGAAACAGCAAATTTTTTCGAAGAAAAAAAACCATTTTTGATTTTTTTGAAACAGTGAAAAGTTCTGTGAATTTTTAGGTGCAAAAAATAATTCATTAATTTTTGGAAAAACCTCCGAAAATTGATAAATTTTTTGAAACAGTGAATTTTTTCAATGAAAAATTCCACTGTTTCAAGATTTGCACATATTTTCTGGTAATTTTGCGAATATCGATGGTTTTTTCATAGGTATGCGTAAGCTGAATTTTCAGAGCAAAATTTTTCAAAAATATGGAATTGTTTTTCTAATTTTTGTATTCCACTGTTTCAAAGCTTTCTCATATTTTCTAGTAATTTTGTGATTTTGATAGTTTTTGTGGAATCTTACAGCGGAAAATTGCTCAAAAATTAAAATGTCATTGAAAAATATCCACTGTTTCAAAAATTTCTCATATTTTCTCGGAGTTTTCCGATTTTCGTTATGTCTTTAGAAGAAAAAAACCAGAATATCCGATTTTTGTGTAGAACTTCTAGTCACAAATGACCATGTTTGGTATCAAAAAAAAACCCGCATTTCCCCCAAAAATCACTCACATATTCAAATTCTTCTGTGTCTCATCAAATCCACTTTGCAATTCAGTCTTTCTTCTATTCAACACATCCAAACATCCACTCATTCTCGCCTCCAAAACACTCGCCTCCGCACTTCTCGCTCTATCCACCATTTGTCCCAATTGACTATTCAATCTGCCATTCTCCTTTTCAACACGATCTTTCACTTTTCTCATATCCTCCAAATCTCCCATCGCTCGATCGCGCTCTTTTTCACGGGCATTTATTTCGTTGGCTTGTGCTCGAATTGTTTGAGTATCGCGGTCCTTCTCTTTTTTCGTTTTGGTTCGCTCTTCGGCCGACTTCTTCTTGACCGAATCGAGTTCTTTTCGAAGTGATTTGGCTTTTTCTTCGGCGTCGTTGAGTTGGATTTGATTCGAATTGGCACGATTTCTGGAAAATTAGGGAATGTTCGAGGTAATCAATTTTACAGATTTCTAAATTTCCAGCAGAAATCTTCAATTTGAAAATAAACTAAATTAGTTCCATCGAGAGCAAAAAAACTAACAATTTCCTAATTGTAAGAAATCAATTCAAAATTTTTTGAAACAGTAAATTTTTCAAATTTTTGATTGGGATATTTTTGTTGGAAAAACCCAAGAATTTTCAAAAGTTCTAGATTTTCAGCCATTTTTTCCACAAAAACCCTAGACATCCAAATTTGGCCTAAAAACTTTTTTGAAAAAGACCTAGAAAATCAAATTTGTAATTTTGAACGTGTTTATTTTTATATTGAAAAATCAAAAATCTTATTCCTGGGAAAATATTTCAAAATTTTTTGAAACAGTTAATTTTTGAAAATTATGATTTTTCAATTTTAAAGTTTTTTCTGTAGAAATTATGGATTTCAGATAAATTCCAAGTTTTCAGCCAAAAAAAACTCACTCCTCTTTTGTCGCTCGATTCTCAGCCTTCTTCAACGTATTCCTAACATCCTTAATCTCTTTGGCACAATTCTTATGCTTATCCTTTTCCACCAATAATTCGCCACCCAAAACACTCGCACGCATTTGTAGATTGTCATTTTCGCGCTTCAACTCATCAACTTGACACTTCAATGTGGTGATTTCGTCATTCAACGCGTCCATTTGATTGTTTCGCGATTCGTACAAAACGCGCAGCATTTTTGGAGCACCTTCGTCGCCAAATATTTCACCAACTGATTGACGCAATTTTTTTCGAACTCATACGAAGTCGATGGACGAGGGTCTGAAGAAGAAAATTATGAGAAATTTTTTTGAAAAAAATTATAAACCTATTTTTTTTGGGTATTACCTGATTTTTTTCTGAATTTAATTTTGATCTAAAAAAAAGCACAATTTTTCTAGATATTTTCAGGCCCGATTTTCAAAATAATTTCAGTCATAAAAAAAAACTTTCTGAATTTTTAAATTCCAGGTCGATTCTAGTACAAATTCGGGTTAAAAATTGAATTTCAGATTAATTTTCTAGTAGTTTTCGACGAACGCGAGATTTTAGAAGCTGAAACTTGGGAAAAAACTTAAAAAAAAACATTTTCAAAGCTTTATACAGGATTCAGCTCTTAAAATCCCAATTTTTCGAAGTTTGCCACGTTTTTGGTCTGGAAATTGTGATTTTTCTCAAAAATCAAGAAGAGATTTTCAGCTGAAATTCTTGAAAAAATCACTAATTTTCACCCGAAATTCATAAAAATCTGCCAATTTTCAACTTCGACTGAAATTTCAGCAGCTAAAAAAATATTAAGAAGACATAAACTTCGTTTCAAAATTGTCATTTTTTCAAGAACTTCAGGTGAAAATCTCTTGAAAATCATGAGAAAAATTCTATTCAGTTTCCAGCAAAAATTTCACTGTTTCATCATAAATGTGGCTTTTTAAGGTGAAAATCCTAGTTTTCGGCTAATTTTGATTCCAAAAATCTAGAAAACTCACACTCATCCACTCATTCATATTTCTCAAATTCAATTGCAAATCGGTCAACGTGTTGACAGGTCCAACAGGCAACTCAAAATTCGCCGGCTCATTCGCCTCCTCGTTTCGATTCACCGAATTCCGCGTGAAAACCTGCCGAGTTCGTCGCGCAATAATCGTATGTCGATTTTTGGGCTTTGCTCCCGATGTTGCCGCAGCGCTAGTTGTCACAACTTTGGTAGTGGTCGTAGTAGTAGTCGTACTCTCCTTTTGTTGATATTTCGTGTGCAAACTAGATTTATCAATTCCATTCACCTCACCAATCAATGGATAGATTTTATCCTCCAGATTATTCCGAATCTTCTCGCAAACATCTAACATTGTCTGTGTTTCAGAATACAAAACTTTCGATTCCTCCAAAAACAATTGTGCAGAGCAGAAACTGTCACGAAAATCAAGATCAAGGGTGACAATCAATGGGCTGATCTTTGCACTTAGATCATCAACAATATCCTTCCGATCATCATCCGACAATCTTCCCAAAACACTATCCTCCTTCAAATCATGCAAAATCGCGCCTTCCACATTGAAATAGTCTTTGAGCAACTTGGCGTCGTATTTGACCACTTGTTCATGTTCGGCACCTTCATCCGGAGTTTCGTCGCCGTTTTGAGCTTCCACTGATTCACCGGAATCGTCCAAATTGAGTTCGGCGAAACCGCTGGTGATGATTTGGGCGTTGATGAGTTTGGTGACGTCGCCGGATGTTTTGACATTCTGGAAAAACTACAACATCGGTCAGATTTTTTTTAGACCTGAAATTCGCAAAAATTTCGATTTAGGGCATTCTGAGGTCAAAATTCGACTTCAAATGCAACTTTTAGGGTAAAAAGCAAGGGCAACCTAGTTTTCCATCCAAAATCCTAGTTTTCAAGCACAGCATTGGACGTAACTAATTTCTGAGAACTAAATTCTTTTTATTAATCTGTTACAATAAAATTTTGCTCTGGTATCGTCTGGAAAAAAAAAAATTAACATTTTTGAACAATTTCGCTCTGAAAAAATGGTTGGGCAAAAATCTAAATCATTCAAAAACTATTAGAACCTGGAATTAAAAACCTAAAATTTTCAGCAAGCCAATTTTCAGATCTGAATTCAAGTCAAATTTTCATAGAATTTGACCTCAGAATCTCAAAAATTCCAAATTTTGCAAATTTTGACACCAAAAGTCTCAAAAATCTTCCCGCACTCACATCCATCCACTTTGCATGAAACTCCATAGACGGTGTATAATGATTATGGCTGTGCTGTTGTTGTTGCTCATCACTATCACTATTTGTGCCGCCTCTCTCACTTCCATACTTTTTCGAAAACATATAATTATAGCAAGCCATGCTATCCGACAGCAAAACATTTGGAAATTGAACTTCTCCATTTTTGGTTGTCGCTGATCCGATAAGCCTTGCTGCCAGGTCCAAATCCTCTCGAATTCTTTTGAAAGGCGGACAATCATTATGCAATTCTTCATCATCATCTTCCTCCTGATTATCATCTCGGAACAAATCAATTGTGTTAAATGACGTGTCATGAACACCTTCTTCCTCAATTTGTTGCTCTGGATCATTTTCAGTTTGGGTAACTCGATCACACATCACAACTTGTTTACTATTCTCCCCTTGATACAACAATTCATTGTCTCCGGTTGTGATTCCTGATTCATCCCATCGATTTTCGTCGTCATCATCGTCATCGCCAAATTCCTCGTCTTCAACTTCTTCGATAAATTCGGGCTCCGGGCATTGACCATTGTTGAGGGCTGAAATGGCGTGTTCTGGTGGACATTCGACGTCGCCAAAGATTTCATCTTCGTCTTCGTCCGACATTTCTTCGGGTGGATTTGGGTAGGACTTGAGTTCTGCAAAAAAATTGAGTTTTCTGGAGGAAATTTAGCATTTTTTGCACTTCAGATTTGAGTGAAAAAGGTTTTTTTTGGGATTTCAAATTGAAAACTGAAAATTCTATCTTTTTGAAGCAATTTTAAATAATTTTGGGGCCAAAAATCAAAAATTTGAAAAAGATTTTTTTGCGCATAAAATTTCAGCATTTTCTGTAAATTTTTTGAAAATAGGTTTACAGGCGCGAAAAAATCAGATTTCAAATTTGAATTTGAACTTTCGCGTCAATTTTTTGCCTTAAAATTCTCCACGAACAAATTCTCAAAAGTTCATTTTCGTATAGTAAAAATTTCCTTAAAAAAGGCTTAAAACTACAATTTCTCGAAAAAAATTGTAGTGTATATAGCTAGTTGAAAAAAATATGAAAATTGTGGGAAAAACTAACAATTTTCAGATTTTTATGAAATTTGTCTCAAAATTCATCATTTTCACTGAAAATAAGCTTGAAATCCAAAATTTTCAGTCAAAACTCACTAGCATAACGTCGATCATTTGCCTCATTATCCTCATATTTCTGATACACAAATTCCTCTTCATCTGACAAAAATCCCTCCTCATCCGATTCACCCAATACTCGTCGTCTACAACTGTCATCACAAACATGACCCGGTGGGACTGTTGGTTTCTTGTAATTAACAAGCGACGGATGTATCTCCGTTTTCTCAGGTTCTTTTTGGGCTGCTGATGCTGAAGCTGCGGCTGATGCGGCCGCTTCAGATTTATTATTGTTTTTTCGAATTTCGACGAGATCTTTGACTGTGGAATTTCCATTGCTGACACGTTGCTGATTTGTACTATTGTTTCTGGAAAAAATTCTTTACTGTTTCAAAATTTTCTGATAACAGCTATATATTTGGGAAAAAATGTTCGAAAATCGCAACAAAAATTACTGTTTCAAAGAATTTTGAAAACTTCTGTGGAATTCTTCTGGATTAATTTTGCAGAATGTTTTCTCCTTTTTGTTGAAAATTTGAATTGGGTTGAAAATTACACACTGTTTTTAGGAAAAGAATCCTAGTCAAATTTTGATTTTAAAATTAGCTCTTTTTTTGCCACGTGGATTTTTAGTCAAAAATTTTCTAGAATTAATTTTAAAACATGGTTTAGAAGCTCAAAATCCACGTGGAAGTTTTCAAAAACTGAAAATTGTGCACAATTTTTTCTGTATTGATTTTCAGGAAAAAATCCTCAAAGAATTTTGACTCCTATTTTTGCCACGTGGAAAATCTTTGTTTTTCGCTCAAAAACCCCAAAAAAAACAAACTCATACGGTTTCTTCTTATTTTTCATGTGTTGAACAGTGACAACAGCGCGCGTCTTCTTTCCGCCTTTTGCTGTAATTTTGCCGCTCAACGTCTTTTGCGCACCGGACAACGCTTGACGCAACGACGTCGGTTTGCCGTGCGTCGGTTCGACGCATTGCACCGGCGTTTTGCCTTTGGATTCGATTCGTTGAATACTGCTCACAAGTTTGGCGTTGACAAAGATTTTGCGTTGATCTTCGAGTTTTAACAGACAGTTGTCATCTTTTCCTTTGCAGAATTTGATGGCCTGGAATTTCAAAATTTCAGATTTGTTACTGAAAATGGAGATTTTCAGGTGTATTCCACGTGGATTCCTGCAGCAATTTCAGACCAAAATCCATAATTTTTAGCTCATTTTCCCATCAAAAACTCACACTTTCATTCGCCTCCAGCGCCAAATCCACATTTCCCTTCGTCATTTGCATATCGGCCAAAACAATCCATTTCTGGATTTTGTCCAGAAAATCAGAGTGGCTCCTAGAACATTTTATTATTGAATATTGTAGAGAAAAATTCCAGAAAAACCTGTTTTCAGCCATTTTTTGGTTTTCAGCGAAAAATTTGATATTTATGAAATATTGCCTCTTAAAACCAAAAAGATGTTATCATTGAAAAAAAATGTGGAGAAAAAATACAAAATGTGTACATTTTTTTAATTGGATTTTTTGTTTTTAAAAATCACATGTCATTTTTATTGGGGAAAATGGAAACGGGATATTTTCAGAAGATTTGAACAAAATGTGCATTTCCAGACCAATTTTCAGCCAGAAAACCAAACTCACATCATATTCTTGGGTGCTTCAGCTTTGACTGCAATTTCCAGAATCACACAATCGTCATTGATATATCCTTGACTCTCGTCCAAAATATCCTGAAACAAAAATTTCTAAACTAAATTTTCAATTCTGAAACTGATGATACTGGGGCGGTGCTTGAAAACTTGCTGAAAAATGGGAGATAGCCTATATTCGTGGTAACTATGGAGATGTGTTTGATAAAAAAAAGTAGGGGAAAAGTATACATTTTAGTATAGATATACTAATTATAGACCTCCTAGTTGAATAGTTCAGAAGCATAGAAAATGTGTGATAAATATAGGTTTTGCGGGGGAAAATGGAAAAATTAAAGGAATTTCAAGAGGAAAATTATAGTATTTTTGGTTGAAAATTTGTACTATCAATTTTCATCGAGAAATAGATAAACAAATATTTTCAGACTGAAAATTTTTAGATAAGAAAACTGCGAAAAGGCGCATTTTCTTTCTTATCGAAATTTTGATTTCAGGATCAGAAGATCAAGTTTTTTAGCTTATTGTCAATCCCGGCTTAAAAATTCGCGATTTTCACAAGTTCCAGCCTCAAAAATCTCCAATTTTCAGCTCTAAAACCACTTACAGCCCACGTCATGAAACACGAATAACCCCAATCGTTTTCTTTCGATGTATAAGTGTGTGTCGTTCGTCGCGCGAAATGCGGAATTGACGCTCGATAGGAAAGCATTCGCATGTCGGCGATTGCGTGAACACTCCATTGGCTACAAAAAAAAATTGTTTTATGGGGATTTTTCAGTGAAACCGAGTTTTAGGTCTGATTTTGAAAGTGAAAATGATCGTTTTTTTTCAAAAAATAAAATAAAGAAATGAGATTTTGCAACGTCATAGTTCACGTTTTTGATTTTCTTTTTTTTTTTGAAAAAAAATAAGGTTTTTTTCAATTTCAAAACGTGAAAACCATCATTTCTGGTTTTATATTTGAAACAAAATCGCTGCATATTTTATTTGGTCTTGAATAAAAGTAAGTCAGCAATTCTTCAAACTGTTTCAGATTTCACTCTGGATGTTTGATAAAATATATTTTTTCTAGTAGTTTTCGAGCCGCTAATCACTATTCCATTGTCTAAAATTGCACAACTCAACTCCTAATATGAGTTATGACGTGGCAAAGTTTGAAAATTTGAGATTTTAGGATCTGAAACCTAAAAAGCTTCAAAATGATTTTTTCTCATGCAAATCTGATAACATAGGATTGTTCAGGAAAGTCGATAACATTAGTTCAGAAGGTCCATTCAAAAATTGATCACATAATGAAAAAACATGAGAAGACTTCATATTTTTATTATGTTGTCAAATTTCAAATGAACCTTCTGAACTAATGTTACCAGATTTGCATGAAAAATATCATTATTGAAAGTTTTTCAGGTTTCAGCTCGTAAAGTCCCGATTTTTCAAACTTTGCCACGTCATATCTCATATTAGGTTCGAATTGTGCAATTTTAGACAACGAAATAGTGATCAGCGTGTCGAAAACTACTAGAAAACATATTTTCCTCGCAACTCACTCGGAATACGCTCTCTCCGGCGAGCACTGCAAAAAGAATCCCATACACTTTTGCTGTCGTTTCTGCACCATATGTTGTTTGGGCATCACCATAATCTTCCACGACACTCCCTCGATCATTTTCGGTTCGGAGCACAACGTTTCATCGAGATGCGAAAAACTGCGAATGCACAGACGAAGTTTGCATTTCTCGTCGAACCACGATGGTCCTTCCGATTTTCCGCCATTCGAATTATTGTTGGAATTGGTGTTGCCGTTGGTGTTGTTGGTGGTGGTGGTGGAAGAGGGCTGCTGACTTCTCACACATTTTTTACCCTCTCCAACGACTCCGGTTGTTGAGGAAGTTCGATTCTTCGTGTTGTTATTGGAGGAATATCCGGAATTTGAATTCGAACCAGGAGCCGCCGTTTGTTTATCCGCAAAATAATCCGCAACACTATCCGGATTCACGCCAGCTGTAGACTTCTTCGAAGTCGAATTTCTTTGAGCTTGCGTTTGAGCCTGCGCTTGCGGTTTATTCGACGATGAGGCGGAACCACCTGGCGAATCGCTAGCCGGTCCCGAATCCGACCAATCACGCGAGCATTGTTGCTGACGTTTCTCGCTGACGTCGGTTTGGCAACCGATGTCGCTCATTTGACGTGGCGGTGAAGCGGGTGCGCCATTTGTTCGGCGAACTCCCTTTGATGGGATATGACTATTGTTGTTGGTGCGACTACTTTCCATTGATACTATGAGTTTGATTCTTTTTAGGGAAATCGAACTGGAATATTGAAGTTGAGGAAGGTTTTAAGGAGAAGAAAAAGAAATTTCAAAAAATGAGAAGAACTTTAAACTTTTTCTCGGTTCACAGTTTTTTAGCGGAAACTAGATTCTAGTTATCATATTGTTCAGTTTGACCTGGAAATCTAGTCTTTGGCTCTGAAAATTGTCTAAAAGCCCTTTATCAGCCCAAAATTCAAGTTAGAGCTGAAAACAGCCATTTTCAGTCAGAAGTGCTAATTTTCCGCAAAGAATCGATTTTCAGTCAGAAATGTCCTCTCGATTTTTGCTGAAACTACATTCTAGTTGTCATAGTATTTAAAAACCTCCTGAAAGGCTTGAGTTTCTCAGGTTTTTGAATACTTAAACAATATGCTAACTAGAGTATAGTTTCAGCACAAATCTGTGAATAGAGAAAACATTTGGGATTGAAAATTGATTCTTTGCGGAAAATTAGCAATTCTGACTGAAAATGACTGTTTTCATCTCTAACTTGACTTATGGACTGATAAGGGGCTTTTAGACAATTTTCATAGCCTAAAACTGAATTTCCAGGTCAAATTGATAAGCTTTATCTAGTACAGAAACAACCTAGAAACTTAATTTTTGCTCTAATCTAGTGATCAAGATACAAAAAAATTGTGCACTATAATATGCATACAATTTCAAACTAAATACATAAGCACAATTTGCTCCTATCAAACTCTTAAAATTTCCGGAAATGAAATCACCATTGGCCTAAAATAAAACAAATTGACTGCGCCAAGGGCGCGAGAGTCTGTGAACACAATGAAAATCGAAACCGCCAGAAGCTTCTCGTGGAGACGCAGACGGCGAGGCGAAAGAACACCCTCAGGCAAATCGTCCCACCGGCGCAACACCAAATAGAAAAAAACACCGGTGTTCCACTCAACTAACACTGATTGAACACCGTTCTAACACCAGCGCAACACCACTTCCCACCGGAGTAACACCGCTTAATTTTTCTTTCCAACATTTTTTACCCCACCAGTGGTCCACTTAACTAGCACAGGTTTTCCACCTAATCAACACCGGTTGTCCACCTTTCATCTGGTGTTCCACCGGTGTTGATAAAATGGAAGACGAGAATTGAAAACGGCCTATCAAAAACATAGCGGCGCGCGCGCCTCGCGAAACGTCGGTGAACTCACTACATGACCTTCCACGAAATCCGCGAATTTCAACTTCAAAATGCTTCTATTATTGAGGTTTTCTCTTGTCAGGAGAATTTTTGTCTCTTCATTAAAGAGATAGTCAGAAAGTTCGCTCTGGCGAACTAATTTTGCTCAAAGGAATTCAAATATTCCATTCTGAACAGAAAAAATAAAACAAATAAATTTCTCTCAAAAACTTTTCCAAACCCACCGGTGCAACACCTAAATCCCACCGGTTGAACACCTGAACGCCACCGGTGCAACACCAAAACTCCACCGGTGTTCCCCCTTTTCCCACCGGTGGAACACCGAAGCTCCACCGGTTTCCCACCGGTGGGCCCACCGGTGGAAGAACGGTGTTGAGTGAGTGGAGATTTGGTGTTGCGCCGGTGGGACGATTTGCCTGAGCCGTTGGCGATTTGCCAACGGGTGTTTTTTTCGCGGGATTTTGAAATTTGAACTTGAAAGAGGTGGGAAAATCGTACGAAAACAATGAATTCAGACATTTCGCACATATTTTATCGACCTCCCCCATAAAATTATCATTCTTAATTTAATTCAACAAAAATCATCGGATGATGCAATAATTTCAACGTTTTGTCTCCTGGGAGACCTGGGATTAAAACTAGAAATAAGCAAAAATTAATCAGCAAATGGTGACGAATTTGTCAGCTTTTTCAATTTAATTATGGGCTAAAGCTATTTGATGACAAGAGATTTACTTTTTAAAAGGGGATTTAGATTAAAAAATAAGAGGAATCAATAAGAGAAAGTTATTGTTTCAGCTAAAAAGAAAACAATATCGTTTTTTTTTGCGAAAAGAAAAAAAAAGGAAGAAAAGTGAAATATCCAACAAGTCACGCGATATTTATGAGGTTTTTAATTAAATTTTTTGGAAAAACCAATTCGATTCAAGTCTATATTTATCTCTTTTCATATAAAATTTGTAGCTAGAAGCTAAGAGCTCAAAAGGGGAAGAAATAAACATTGGAAAAAACATCTGCCAAAAAGCAAAAAAATTTTGTGAGTCAAAAAAATGCACTTTTCCTAAACGCCGAGAGCTGGCGAATAGTGCAATCGATAGGGGAAACAATGAGCAATGTTTTTGACATGCTGGAAATCTGAAATTTTCAGCGAAAAGTTCAAAAAACAGGAAGAGAATGGCTCGCTGGCTCCGTCTCCGCACACATTCACCAGCAATCGCGACAAGACCCGAGGGAGCGATGCGTGCGTCCTCCCTTTAATCGTTTTTTTTTTCATTTTCGAAATTTTTAATTTTTGCGGTTTTTTTTGGGTTTTCGGGGGGCCTGTTTTAAGATTTCGTCTAAATTTATATAGTAGTTTTAGACCCGATGATCATAAAATTGTTACCAAGAAAACCGCTCAGCTTAACTCCTTGTATGAGGCGATTTTTTGAAAGTTTTGAAAAAACGTGATTTTTTCAGAGTTAAACCAACAATGTATAACGGGATTGGAGTGCAAACCGCCAGGGGACTGGAACAAATGGCTATGTTCAATCGAATTTATCGCATCTCATGCAAGCTCGCCGAAAAATCGATTATAATGGAGAAGAGGATCTGAAGCGTATGGAAGCCGAAATCAATCGAAAACCCAATGAAGAGATCCTAGATCACAACCGAAAACGACACGTTGAACTGAAATGCGCGGAATTTGAGATGCTTTTGGAGGACAAAGGTTTCGATGAAGATGAGATTGAGCAAAAAGTGGGAGAATATCGAAAGAAGCTTTTGGGACAATTGGAAAGCGGTGAATTGGATGTGGATAAAGAATTGGATACTAGAGAATCACATGCGAGACGAAAAGCTGCGGCGATGGGAAGAGAAAAGATGAGAAATGCTTTGGGATTGGGAGAAGATTATGTTGCCGGAAGTTCGATGGCGAAAATGAATAAAAGTGATATTGTTGGAGCAACTCTTGAAGCTGATGCGAATTCGAAAACTGGAGCTGATCAGAAGGAAGGTCTTCTAGAAGCTTTGAAGAATCATCAGAAGAAAAAAAAGAAAGGAAAGGAGGAGAGTTCTTCAGATTCGTCTAGCTCTTCTACTTCTTCTTCAGAATCTTCATCGGAGGATGAAAAAGAGCGTAAAAAGAGGAGAAAGAAGAAGGAAAAAGCTCGAAAGGAAATGGAAAAACGTCGGGAGAATACACGGCGAAAGGAGAGAGAATTGTGAGTTTTTAAAGTGATTTTCAGAGCAAAAACCCTGTGTTTTCAGGCTGAACGAATCAGAAATCAAGAAGGAAATTACTGATGATGAAGATGTGCGAACTCCACCGAGAAGACATCGAGAAGAAGAGGAGGATGTGAAAGATGTTCGGAAAATTGAGGAGACTTCGCGGAGAAGAAGATCGAGGTCGAGAGAGGATCGTAGAAGAGAAAGATCTAGAGAGACTTCCAGGAGAAGAGAGAGAGATCTAGAACTCCGGAAAAGCGAAGAAGATCTAGAAGTCCTGAAGTTTCTAAGAGAAGGGAGAGATCTCCAGAAGTTTCGAGAAGACGTGAAAGATCTAGATCTCCAGACGTTTCGAGGAGAAGATCCAGATCTCCTGAAGCTAGATCAAGAAGAGAAAGATCACCTGAAGCTTCTAGAAGACGTGAAAGATCTCCAGAAGCTTCCAGAAGAAGATCCAGATCACCTGAAGTTTCTAGACGAAGAGAGAGATCTCCAGAAGTTTCGAGAAGAAGATCAAGATCTCCTGAAGCTAGAAGACCTAGAAGATCAAGATCTCGAAGTGAGAAGCGTAGAAGACATGACTCAAGTTCGGATGAGGATAGAACTAGAGCCAAGAAAAAGAAGATTGTGAGTTTTTCTAATTATAAGCCTGAATTTCGAAAAATTCTAATTTCAGGACGACGAAAACATCGATGGCGTTCCGATCAAACTCGAAGAACCCGACAGCGATGATGATCAGACAAATCAACGTGTGAATCCGAATCGATCTCCGGTCCACAATCCACCCAAGAAATCTCGAAGATCCCGAAGTTCCAGCTCCTCTGGAAGTGGCTCTGGATCTTCAGATTCTGATTCTGATGGAAGTTCGGGCTCATCTGGATCGAGTTCTGGAAGTTCGAGCTCATCGGATTCAGAATCGGATTAATTTTTGATTTCAACCTGTTTCATATGAATTTTATTTATTTTTATTTTTTTGAATTTTTTTTTCTGTTTGGAACAGTTTGAATTTCTTTATTTTCCTGAATTCCAAATTCCAGCGCAGATTTTAGGATGGGACATTTCGAGAAGAACGATTTGTTGGATGTGATTAGGCATGAAATGCGATTAGATGATGAGGATGGATTTGGAATGTGTGGCAGGACGATGCGAAATGTGACGAGGTTGGAATTTTTGGGAAAAATTGCGGGTTTTTAAGCCAAAAATCGGGGAAAACTGATTATTTTGAGCAAAAAACTGAACATTTGAAGAAATTCAAGATTTTGGAGCTCAAATTGATATAACTCATGAATATAGTTAGCCTAACTAAACTTCAAGCTTTCCACGTCAAAACCCATTAATTTCCTCATTTTAATGCTAAAAATCACCAATTTTCAAGAAATTCCCCGAGTTTTCGCTCCAAAATCATAAAATTCAAATTCATCTTCCAGGCGCGCTAAATACGGTGGTCTTCCATTGGATTTTCACCGAAAAACCGGCGATTTTCACGATGATTCCGATTCGGATTGCTATGACGCGGTTTATGAGGTGAGCACTTCGATTTTTCCCGCCAAAAATCCGAATTTGAAAATCCAAATTTCAGATTCCACTCTACGAGGAGCCGCTGCATACTCGAGCAATTATCAATGAGCATTTGAATGAGCGCACTGAGCAGAAGATTTTGGAGGAAAAACGCGTGGAAGGTGAGGGATTTTCGTGTTCGCTGGAGCGCACTTGAGTTATTTTCAGACAACACCTACAAAGGCGATTTGGCGGAACTCTTTGTCAAACGAGATGTCAATTTCATCGCTCCCGAATATCCGGAAGACTACAAATCGATAATTGATGTGTATCTGGAGAAAAACGCGGGAAGATTGAATAATCCGTTGAGCGAATATGCACAATTTGCCGGAACTTCGACGGCACCGAAAAAGACGGTTTTGATCATTTTTCCCAATCGAAAAACGGGCGATTTCAAGAGTTTTGAGGTATGGTGAGGTTTTGCGGCGGCGTGTTTACAGACTTTATTTTATTTGCTGCTTTTTCTTTTGTTTTTCTTGAGAGGGGAAGGGGGGTGGTTATTAGAAAGCATGTAGAATTGAGAGACAAAGAGAAGTCAGACAGCCAGAGACGCAGAGAAACGTTTCTACCTCATCTAGAAATTTGAATATTTTCTTTAAGTTTTCATTTCTCAATAGAGCGCACTTGCTTTTTCAGAGGTTTTTTAAAATTAATTCATGTAATATACATATTGTACACTAATTTTATTCCACAAATTTCTGAAACGTACAATTTCCCAGAAGCCAAAAAATGAGTCACAAGATCAATTTCCGAGTCCAAAGTTTTACACCACTACACTTTGTTTCCAGCTACTTACGCCGAACCAATTCAATTACCCATAAATAAATATAAATACGTGATAACGTTTTTTTCTTTTCCAATATTTTTGCGCCGACTTCTAATCCAATAAAATCTACCGTAGAGCTTTTCCTCCTCCTACTCCGCCGCATAAAAAATAAAAACATAACCAATTTTTAATAGTAGGTTATAAAATGTCGCTTGTCACTGAGACAGCCCTTTTCTATTCTATCACTTATAACACTACGGATGATATCGACAACCTTAGGACAGCCTTTAAGTGGCCGTATATTGTCACAACTACGATTAGACTACCGCTCACCGTATTTTACGTGCTCGTTTTGATAGTTATTGGAAGTAAATCTATCAAAACCAGCAGTTTTTATCATATATTTTTTCTGATTGGAATACTCCATATAACTTCTTGGTATACCTTTGAAGGTGTACTATTTTTCTATAGATATAATCAATATCAATATTATACGATACGATTTATATGTAGACTTTTACATTTCATATTGTATAATTCAACATGGCTTATGAATATTATTATAGTATTGAATAGATTTTCTGCAACGTTTGTAACCTACGGAAGACTATGGAGTACCCTACATATAAATGTGTACTTCATAATATCTTGTATAATTGGAACTGCGGTAACCCTGCTAACAACAGCTTGGGCGGATAATTACACACTCTCTGATGAGAAGATTTGGCGACGGAGTAGTTCGAATATCTCTGCTGGAAACATGCGAACCACTATTGTCTTCGCTAAAGTTGTTACCGATGTTATTCTAGTGTATTTTACATTTTTGACATATCGAAGGGTGCAGCGGATTGATGTGACGAAGCAGAAAAATGAGCGGAAGATGATTTGGCTGTTGGTACTGCATTTTCCGGTGCAGATTTTGTCGTATACCTATCAATTGTATACGACGTTTATGCCAAGTACAGCAGCTGTTGTTGATTTGGTGCGTTTTTTTGTATTGTTGTTATTTGACATGCGATTTATGTTTTGGAAAAAGTCAGAATAATAATTCTAGGTTTACGAAACCTTGGTTGATTGATCTGTGGGTATATTAATACTTTTTTTATCACAAAACAAGATTTGAAGTTTAAGTTTTTGAAAGTTTAAGGTTAAACCTTCCAAATCTTAGTTTAATACAAAGTATTATTATTCCTCGACCCATAGATCAAACAACCAAGGATTCGTAAACCTAGAATTAATGTTCTGACTTGCAAGTATACATAATTAAGATTCTGATTATCGAAACTAGTTATGACGTGGCAAACTCCCGTATTCATAACAGTGGTATACCAGAACGTAATGAGAAAAAATTCGGGCGTACCAAAATTTTTTTTGTTCAGCAATTTTTGGTACGCCCAAATACAAAAAATCAATAATTTTGACTTTTTCCCAGTGTTCCCTTTCAGTTTTCACCCAAATTTTCCAGCTCGACGAGCTCAGTGTACTCGAATATATCAGTGATGGTTTCTTCATTGTCTACATTAATCCAAGTATTCGTGTCAAGTTGCTCAAACTCATGCCATTTTGCGGAGAGAAGACGAAAACAATCGCGCGGAAGGACATTACTACCACTTTTTGATTTAATTTGATTCAATTTATAAAAAAATAGGAAATAAATTTGTTTTTTCTCTTGCTCTCAATGTTTTTTTTCGCACACCTGCGACTTCCGTTGATCTACTTAAAAAATCTCCGATTTTTTTGAAGATCTGCGTCACGTGCTCGGCTCGAGTCAGAGATGTGATTGGATATTGCATGTTGCAGTATTTTTTGGAGTTTGGCCCGGAATCTCTGCAAGGCTCTGTTGAGGATTATAACCTTCACTTGGCTGAAAATGACGGGGAAGTTGAGTACGATCTTCCACCATTGGATAGAGCTAAACTAATCGGACAACTCGGATTCGATTGTCTAGGCCTAGTTGGAGCCGAGAGGAAGTCTGGGGGCAAGAAGAAGTCAAGCTCTGTGATAGCATATTTCGTGGATAAGGAAAGTTATGTGATAGAAGTGGATAATATGGAAAAACCGTTGAGATGGTTGAGAGATGAGATAATGAAGCGAAGGTTGGAAGATGTCGAAGATCCGGATGATGGGATCATTCGAATCAAGGAATATTACATGGAGACGGTGGATAATTTTGATGTTAGGCTGGATCTGGAGATGACGATAGCGTCGGCGAGGAGTCTGGAATTTGTGATGGTTCGCGAGAAATCGGCAAGGGCCGGTTTTCATCCGAGAGGTGCGCGATATGGACGACAGATGAGTGCGATGTTGACACTGAAAATGCCGAATAGTCCCATTCCGGCGGGACCATCTACACCACTTCCGAAAGTTGTGGAGGAACATGAGGGTGTGGGCGAGGGGCCGATGAGACCGATGTGTGAGTTTGCCACGTCATAGCTTTGGGGGGGGGGATTTTCGATTTTTTTCATGGAAAAAGCCCTAAAAACCTTTTTGGTCTTGATTTTCGAATTTTTGAATTGGAAACCGCTTTGTCATTAGAGCGCACTTTGACATTCTCATCGAATTTTCAAAAAAAAAAATTGAATTTTTGAGTTTGAAGCGGGAGCGCATTTAACATTTTCATTGCATTTTTTGAAAATTTCGAATTTCCACGCATACAACCGGTTTATCAATAGAGCGCACTTGAAATCTTCAGACAAAAACAAGAATTTTTTTAAAAAAATGCATATTTTTAAGTATAAAAACGAATTTCTCTATGGAGCGAACTTTCACATTTTCGAAAAATTCAAATTCTCAATCAAAAAACCGATTTGTCAATGGAGCACACTTTGATTTTCTCACCAGAAAATCCAACTTTCTGCCACGTCATAACCAAATTTCCAGCACTTTCTTCACCAACTGTAACATGGTGTGATGGCGGCGGACAATTGTCCTGTTTTGTTGTCCAAAGATGTCACAAGTTCAAGCCGAATTGGAAGGCCAAATTATGTAAGCTTAGAAAATCTGAAGTTTTAAATTTCAGCTGAAAATCTGAAATTTTGCAGACATTTATTGGACCCGTCTCGAAATCGACAAATTCAGTGTGGATAAAAACGCATTTTTACCGCAGGGTTATCAGAAAAAGACGAGTGTTCCTTGGGAATATGTGGGAGGAGTGAAGGTCAATCAGAAGGAGCCGAAACGTGAGTTTTTGGTGGCCTAGGGGATTTTCTAGGTCACGAGCATTTTTGAAATGAAATTTGGAGCATTTTGAGCCCAAACACAGTGTGCTTTGAGCGCTGGTGGCCTAGAAAACCAAAAAATGGGGATTTCTAGGCCATGAGCATTTTTGAAATGAAATTTGAAGCGTTTTGAGACCAAACACGGTGTGTTTTGAGGGTTGGTGGCCTAGAAAACCAAAAAATGGGGATTTCTAGGCCACGCGAACTTTCTAAATGAAATTTGGAGTGTTTTGAGCCCAAACACGTTGTGTTTCGAGCGCTGATGGCCTAGAAAACCAAATTTTGGGAATTTCTAGGCCACGTGGATTTTCTAAATGAAATTTGGAGTGTTTTGAGCCCAAACACGGTGTGTTTCGAGCGCTGATGGCCTAGAAAAACAAATATATGAAATTTCTAGGCCACGTGGATTTTCTAAATTGAATTAGGAGCATTTTGAGCCCGAACACGAAGGTTTTTGAACCTGTGGCCTAGAAAACAAAATATGAAATTTCTAGGCCACCGTGTAATTTTCCATGAAAAATTCAAATTTTCATCTCATTTTTCCAGCCAATCGCGCTGCAACGTGGCAAATCACAATATTCTGGCTGCCCGAATTGCCAGAAGAAACAATTTCGAAAATCGTTGGCGACGGCGGTGAATGGAGCCTTCAACACGTCTCACAATTGTATTCAGAAGTCGAAAAATGGAAATCGATTGTGGTGGAAACCGGGAAAAAAAGAGGATTGTGAACAGATTGAAAGTCAGATTATGTCGATTTTGATGGCTAGAGAAGCGGCTATTTATAAGGTTGGCTGAAAATTTGAATTTTTCACTGTGGAAACCAGTTTCTCACTAGAGCGCACTTTCTATTTTTTATCACAAATTTTTGAAACGTATTTTTTCATGTGAAAATTTTAAAGCAAAATTCGAGCGCATTTGCCACGTCATAACTAAATAGCCCCACATTTTCCAGACCTTCAATCATTCCGCATCCGGAACGCGCAACCCATCCGCAAGCGCCGAAAACGCAATGATGGACTGCGCCGACGCGTTGATCTCATCGCCAACTTCCGAAAAACCATCCGAAAAATCGACGTCCAAGGAAAAAATGGGAAAAATTCGGAAAATGTCCAGGATTCTGATGGGAAAACCTGCGGAATTTTGAAGCGAATAGGAAATTTTGTCAATTGCTCAGGTTAATTTGTAATTAAGTCAACTAATTTTTTAACATAAACTAACTTTTTTCGGTAAAAATCCACGATTTTTGGCGGCAAATCAGCTTGTTTTTGCATGCTTTCTATTGTTTTTTGTGTCTTTCGGCCCTACAGTAACCTTGTAATAAGTCGACGTGTAAGAAAACGGGACAAAAACCGGTTTTTTGCGTCCAACTCATCTCTTCCCTTTTTCTTCCTTCTTCTTCTCATTTATTCCATTTTTATTCATTCTTTTCTGGTTTTTGGAAGGCGAAATCCACAAATTTTGATCATTTTTAATTAAAAATAACCATGGAAATTTTGCCACGTCATAGCTTTTTTTTTGCCCCGAAGATAACAATCTAATCTTTCTTTGTTTTTCTACTGCCACTTTTTTTTTGTTATCCAAAAAAGCAGAATGTCAAGGTCACCCAGAATATTTGACCTAATCCCATTTTTTGATGATCACTTATAATTTTCTTCTACATATCCCAAAAAATCCACATTTTTTTTAGGAAAATGAGATTAAGTCTCGTTTGTCTGCTGGCAGTGGCTTGTGGATTTGCCACAGCGAGTTTCGATAAGATCAAGGATTCGATTCAGAATCCATTGGCTAGAGGTGGGTGAAAATCTGAAATTTTGGGACACTTTGATATTGAAAATGGTCATTTTTATGAAAACATCATCGGTATAATCGAAATTTTGAAATTCCAAACAAAAAATGTATATATTTTTTGAAACAGTGAATTCTTTTTTGAAATTAAAAAAAAACTCACTGTTTCAAAATTTTTTGTGATTAAAAAATTGGTAACAGTGGACAAAAAAATCTTCCTAATTATAAAAAGAACTTTAAAAATTTTATCAGAAATTTTTAATTCTTGAAGTTTTGGAAAAGTTTGAAGATGCAAGGATCAAAAATCTGAAATTCCCGAAAAAAATGTATATTTTTTGAAACAGTGATTTTTTTTGCAGAAAAAATTCACTGTTTCAAAAATTTTCGATAAGCTTTTTCCATGATTAAAAATTGATAGCAATGGGCAACAAAATCTTCCTAATAAAAAAATGAACTTTAAAAATTTTATCAGGAAATTTTGAATTCTCGAAGTTTTGGTAAATTTTGGAGCTGCAATTCAAAGGATCATCAAAAAATCTGAATTTCCAAAAAAAAATTGTATATTTTTTGAAACAGTGATTTTTTTTTGAAATTTAAAAAAAAATTAACTGTTTCAAAAATGTTCGATAAGCTTTTTCCATGATTAAAAAATTGGTCACAGTGCGAAAAAATCTTCCTAATAAGAAAAGAACTTTAAAAATTTCATCAGGAAATTTTTAATTCTTGAAGTTTTGGGAAAATTTAGAGAAGCAACCTTCTTTGATCAAAAATCTAAATTTCCAAAAAAAATTGTATATTTTTTGAAACAGTGATTTTTTTTTTGAAATTTTAAAAAAATTCACTGTTTCAAAAAATTTTCGATAAGCTTTTTCCATGATTAAAAATTGATAGCAATGGGCAACAAAATCTTCCTAATAAAAAAATGAACTTTAAAAATTTTATCAGGAAATTTTGAATTCTCGAAGTTTTGGTAAATTTTGGAGCTGCAATTCAAAGGATTATCAAAAAATCTGAATTTCCAAAAAAAAATGTATATTTTTTGAAACAGTGATTTTTTTTCGAAATTAAAAAAAAATTCACTGTTTCAAAAATTTTCGATAAGCTTTTTCCATGCTTAAAAAATTGGTAATAATGGAAAATCTTCCTAATAATAAAAAGAACTTTAAAAATTTTTAATTCTTGAAGTTTTGGGGAAACTTGGAGCAGTACATTTCGCTGATCAAAAATCTAAATTTCCAAAAAAAATGTATATTTTTTGAAACAGTGATTTTTTTTTCGAAATTTAAAAAAAATTCACTGTTTCAAAAATTTTTGATAAGCTTTTTCCATGCTTAAAAAATTGGTAATAATGGAAAATCTTCCTAATAATAAAAAGAACTTTAAAAATTTTTAATTCTTGAAGTTTTGGGGAAACTTGGAGCAGTACATTTCGCTGATTAAAAATCTGAATTTCCCAAAAAAAATGTATATTTTTTGAAACAGTGAATTTTTCAAAAACTAGAAATATTCAGATTTTCTACTGTAGTTTTCGCCCCCGAAAAGTTACAGTTTCCCAAAAACCTGAAAATTTCAGATATTTTGCGAGTACTGTAGATTTGTCTGAAAAAAAAGAAAATTCGATTTTCAGCTTTTAAAAATTACTAGAAAAACTTTTTTCAAATTTTTAATTTAAAAAAAAATCCACTGTTTCAATGCAAAAGTATAGAAAAACCAAAGATTTTCTACCATTCTATTTGATTTTTCTATTTTCAAAAAAAAAATCATATAAAATTTTGAGATGTTCGCATAATTCTACCAAAAATCCCGAAAATTTTCCAGGATTTGGTGACGACATCGCGTGGGTAAAATGGGAAGATGCCATCGAAACGGCTCTCGACAACAACAAGCCAATCTTCCTTTTGATTCACAAATCCTGGTGTCACGCTTGCAAAGCGCTCAAAAAAACCTTCCAACAATCAAACGCCAAGAAGGCTTTCAAACGATTATCCGAATATTTCATCATGGTTAACACCGAAGACGATGACGAGCCATTTGAGGAAGAATATCGACCAGATGGCAAATATATTCCACGTTTATTGTTTTTGGACAAAAATGGTGATCATTTAGTCGAATTCAAGAACCGAAAAGCTGAATATAAAAATTATGCGTACTATTATTCATCGCCGGCTGATATTTTGAATTCGATGAAAGAAGTTTTGAAACATTTTGATATTGAAGTTCCAGAATTGAAGAAGGGTGATAAATTGAAGCCAAGAAAGCCGGAAGGAAAGAAGAAGGACAAAAAGGAACTTTAAGATGAGCAATTGTTGCATTTCTAGTGATTTAATGGTATTTATTTATTGGATAATTTATGAATAAATTTTGGTTTTCTTCTCGAGATCACAAGGCATCTAGATATCAAAGAATTCAGGTTGTTAGAAAATTTAACAATTTTCTGAAACAGTACATTTTTGGAGCCAGATTTTTGTGTGAAATTTTAGAAAAAAAGTGGAAAAAAGGGGGAAAGTCTGGAATCCCAAAAAAGTGGTAAATTTTCTGAAAGTTTTGAATTTCTTGGTGCAAAAATTATTTTCGATGGAATATTTTTGTTTAATTTTCCATGGCTTGATCAAAAATCAGAAATCCCAAAAGAAGTTGTATATTTTCTGAAACAGTGAATTTTTTCTTACAAAATTTTTTTCACTATTTCAAAAATTTTTCATAAAATTTTTTTCCAACATAAAGTTGATAAAGTTCCAACAGTTTCGTCTGAATAATAAAAAGTTCTTCAAAATTTTTATCAGGAAATAAAAAATCAGAAATTCCCAAAAAAATTGTATATTTTCTGAAACAGTGAATATTTTCTTCCAAAATCTTATTTTTTCTATTTCCATTCGTGATTACAAAATCAAAACCATCAAGAAAAAAATATATTTCCGCATTTTCTGAAACAGTGAAAAAATTCACTGTTTCAAAAATTTTTCATAAAAATTTTTTTCAATATAAAATTGTTCTTGAAAATCATTTGTATTGAAACCCTCTAGAATTTTCATTCATCTACCATCAAAAAGTAACTTATAATTTGTACAATAACCCATTTTTATTTTTCAGTATTATCTCTGATAATGGAATAGGTAAACATTTTTCAAATTTCAACTTGTCGCTATTGTAAAAACAAACATCCCAAAAAATGTTGTAAATTTTCTGAAACAGTGAAAAATTCAAAAATTTTTAAAAACATTTTTTCCGCATGAAATTGTTCAACATCGTGTAAATTATTTTCAAGAAAAAAATCCACTGTTTCAACGTAAAATCATAGAAAACCACCCAATTTTCTACTAATTTTAGATGGTTGGTTTTTAGTTATTTATTGGAACTATTCTATTTATGAATAAATTTTTATTCAATCAAAAAAGAAAAGAAAACAAGTTGAGGAAAAAATCACAAGTAAAAAATGTCTGCTTCAGGCTTCAGTCTTCAAACATACGGATTGTATTGTTGTTGTCGATTTCCATGGCCAAAATTGTTGAGATGTTGTGGCGGTGGTGGATAATTGTTGAGTGGCGAAGGCGCTGGTGACACCCCAGGTGATTTTTTTGAAGCAGCAGATTTCGAAACCGCCGATTTTTTGCTGCTCTGATTTTTGAGCGAGGTCACATCCGATTTTTGTGAGGAGGCCTCTTCTTTTTGTGTGGCGTCGGCGAATTTGCCGCCGGGTTTGTGGAGGCTGCAAAAAATTAGATTATATTAATGAAAATCGGGTAAAAACTGAAAATTTTCCTACAAAGTACCCCATGACTCACACAATCAATGCAGCAACAATAAAAAGGCTGACAACACTAACAGCCATCCCAACACCAGCCACAATTTTTCCAAAATTGATCACCTTCTTCAAATTCTCGTAATCCTTGATGACTTCGGGTTTTTTGTTCACAATTCGAACCATTTCCTCGGTCGAATCGCCGAAAAAACTCAAGACTAATGGAACAACTTTTTCGAGTTCCTTGACTAGAATTTCAGGATTTTTTATGATGCCTCTAAACTCCGTTACAAATTTATGAACCCCTTCAAAATAATCACTTCCAGCCGCATTTACCGCGCCTGTTACCTTGTTTATCGCGCCACCCACAATGGGTATATCAACATCAGGAATAGGAATAGGATCAAGACCAAATGGAAGTTTCGGGCGGCTTGGCGCCGGTTTGGGCGCACTTGCAGCCTTCGCCTTTTCCTCAGCCGCCTTCTGCTCCTCCTCATGTTTCTTCTTCGCCAACTTCTTCATTTCCCTCTCAAGCTCTTCAACCAACACATAATGTGCCTCCTGATGTTTATGAATCATGAAAACTGAGATCAGCGACCAAATAAAGCAGACGAATTCAATAATAAGAAGCAGAAAAATGATATAAAACATGATGTGATATTGAAGAATTGCGAAGAGCAGACAGAAAACTCCTACGATGAATGGCATGACGACACCTTTGAGTTGAGAATTGCTGTCGGTGTAGCCTTTTTCGCCCACTCTTGACAGAGCCGCTTTAATTGGTGCGACCGCTTTGTCTTCGCTGGAAATGTTGGGGAATTTTTGATTAAAATTAATTTTATGGGGAGCATACGGAAAAATTGACAATTAAAATTAACAGCGATTAATTTCACGTTTTTTGTTAATTTTTTGCATTCATTTCTAAAAAATAACATAAAACGTGAAATTAATCGCACTGTTTTGTCAATTTTTTTGTATGAATCACCCCATTAAAAAAATTTAATTTAATTTTAGGGAGTGCAGAATTTAAAGGCGCATTGGAATGGCTAGATTTAGAGATCGGACCTCCAGACATTCTGAATCAAAATTCGGGATTCCAAACCTTCCGATTCGAATCAGGGCCGATTTGTTAAGAAAAGGATTTTTCGCCTCCGAAATCAAAAAAAAATCACATTTTTGCTTGAAAACCTGGTCTTCAATAAAAAATTTTTTCCCTGACATTTTTTTCTGGAAAAAATCCTTCGCATGCACCGGGACTCGAACCTGGGACCTCCAGAAATTCAAGGCGCATCTCCCCACCCCAAAACTCACGCCACAACCTGCATCGCCACCCAAATGCCCAATCCAATATGCGCGAGTCCCAGCACACCGATCGCCGCTCTGATGTACCAGCGCATCTTGATCTTCTTTTTGTAATCGATTTTTTTCAGAAAACCCAATTTTCCCATTTTTCTTCTTCGAATTGAGCACTAGACAATGGCGGGTTTTGGTTTTTGGGCTCTTTTATAGCTGAGATTGAGGTTAAGGTGACGGGGCGTTAAACGGTGTCACGTTTGGTTCACGTTGAGGTTTTGATGACGTGAATTTAGGTGAGAACACGTGGAAAATTTTTGACGCGAAATTTGAGAAAATTCGAAAAAAAAACCACTGTTTCAAAATTTTGTCAAATGCGTTTTTTTTTGAGGTGAAAAATTTTTATTTGGAAAAAATGTTGTTTCTGAATTTGTTCGATCTCTTATATCCAGCTTCAAAAATTCAAAAATATTTACTGTTTCGAAATTTTGTCAAAAAAATTTGAGATGAAAAATTTTGATTTGCTTTCAAATATATATCTCTAAAAAATTTACTGTTTCAAAATTTTCATTAAAAATTATTGGTTCTGAATGTTTTGATTAATTTTTATTTATGGCGATGATGCAGATTAGTTTCACCCCCGAGCTAATTGAGGAGAAAGAGGAGAAACGTGTTGCAGGTGGAGGCGAAACAATGTATTTTTCGAATTTCGCCCCATTTCTCCTCATTTCTCCTCGGAGGAGAAACTCATCTGCAACATCGCCTATGACTCGAAAAATTCAGAAATTCAAAAAAAAATCACTGTTTCAAAATTCTGCCAAAAAATTTTTTGAGATGAAAATTTTAGATTCATTTAGGAAGAATTTACTGTTTCAAAATTTTCATAAAAAATTATTGGTTCTGAATTTTTTGATTACTTAGTATTTTTCGACACAAAAATTCAGAAATTCCAAAAAAAAAATCACTGTTTCAAAATTCTCCCAAAGATTTGATTGTGAGATAAACAATTTTAACTTTACCTGGAGATCCAATGAAAAATTTACTGTTTCAAAATTTTCGTTAAAAATTATTGGTTCTGTATTTTTTTATTACTTTTACAAGAGATTTTCGACAAAAAAATCAGAAATTCAAAAAAAAAACACTGTTTCAAAATTCTGTTAAGTAAAACTTTTGAGATGAAAAATTTTCATTCGCTTTCAAATATATACTCTGAAAATTTACTGTTTCAAAATTTTAATTAAAAATTATTGGTTCTGAATTTTTTGATTTTTTTTATGCGAGAGATTTTTGACGTAGGATTCGAGAAATTCAAAAAAAAATCACTGTTTCAAAATTAATTTATTTCTAGCTACAAAATTAACATGAGCAATGACTTCACTCAGCCTCAATTTCATTCACATCTTCTTCCCAATGTAAAACAACAGTTTCTGTTGTGAAAATACTAGCCGGCGAGGGTTGAATGTCTCGAATTTGAAAACGAACAATGATTGGAGGACTCAGAAGAATTGGCACTGAAAATGTGTCGCCTTGATGAATCGGATGATTTTCGAAAAATAGAGACAAAGATGAATCGATCATTCTTCTGTAAAATTTTTTTTTCAAGAAAAAAATCAACTGTTTCAAAATTTCCATTAAAAATCAATTTCTAATTTTTTCAATGCTCCTTTCCTCTCTCTTCAAATAAAAACTTACCTATAGATTTCGCCAAACTTTTGTCCATCAATTTGACAAAAATAAACTCGTTCCGCATTTTTCAGTTCAGCTTTTCTCAACTCCACAACTTCTCCAGTTTTATATTCCAAATTATTTAAAAATGTAGAACTTATTTTAACTCTTCTGTTTATCCAATTTTTATCCAATTTCACTCTGGCGACAGTTTCATTTCCATTAACACTCTGAAAATCTTTTTGACTGTAGAGCGCATTTTCCCATTTTCCCTACCGTTATATACGCAATTTCACCTTCATTCAGACGAAGCCACCACATAACATGTTGTATAATTCGAATCTCAAAAATTTCAGCATCTGTGTTATCATGAGCTATCATAAATTGAGTTCTCTCCGCTTCAACATCTTGAATTGCCGAACTACTGAAAAATATTCACATTCACAAAAAAAAATCCTGCTCGCACCCGGCATCGAACCCGAGGTGCAAAAGGTGCCTGATTGTGAGGCGCGTACGCTAGCCACTTGTCCACGCGTGCTTGCAGAAACGGGAGTGAAATTTCATAGAGAACTCACAGTTCATTATTCAATCCTGGCCTGTTTTGTCGCAATTTATTTCTCTGTCTTTCTTCGTATAATAGGAGGCATATAGCAGGAATTGAAGCAAACGCTAGACCTCCGATAATGAATGGTAAATCACTCATTTTTATTGAGAAAAAGAAAAAAGGATGCGAAAATTGTTATTTTTGTTGTTTTATACTTTGCGAATCGTTTTATACTTTGCGATATGTTTTATACTTTGCGATAAGAAAAAACATGTGATGAGAAATATTTCAATTTTTTTATTTGAAAGAAAAAACGGATTTTTTGGATCTTCAAACCTTGAATTTTCAGAAATTCGAAAAAAAAAACATCACTGTTTCAAAATTCTGTCAAATAAATTTTTTGAGAAGAAAATTTTCGATATGTAATTAATATCGCAAAAAAATTACTGTTTCAAAAATTTCATTTGAAATTTTGTTTTTTTTTATTTTATAAAAAAAACAACATGTAATTTTTAGATATGCCCCGTGGAAAAGATTTTCTGAAATTAAAGATATTTTTTACTGAAAAAAAAATATAAATGAATTTTTGAGATGAACATTTTCGATTCTTCATTCAAAAATTGCACAAAAAATTTACTTCTTCTGAATTTTTTGATTTTTTTTATTATTGTGAATTGGAAACAACATGAAATTTTTGAATTTAAACAAATTATTTTTGCGCAAAACCTTCAAAAATTCAAATAAAAAATTACTGTTTCAAAACTTTGTCAAATAATATTTTTGAGATAAAAATTTTCTATTGTTATTTAGATTTTCTTCCGAAAAAATTTACTGTTTCAAAAAATTTCATGTATTATAAACGTAAAAAAAAATGGAAATGGAAAATATTATTTTTTGAATTTCCCAAAATTACCGTATACCTTTCTCTCCTCCTCAGTTTTGTTCGCTGCGAGATATCCTTTTCAAAAAAATGTGTGTGCCTTTATTTTGTTTTCAAAAAAAAGAAAAACAATTGCGCTTTGTTTATTCAAATTTTTCGCTCGAAAATGGATGATATGCCCGAACTTGGGCGAGAATTGGTGTTGAACAAAGCAACATTATCATATAAAGGACAAGCAATTACGAGTTTTCGACGAGGTAAGTCAAAAAATGTCATTTTTTCAACGTTCAAATAATTTTGTTTTTCAGCGAAAAATCCGCAAAGCATGAATGATGGGAAGAAAAAAGATGAAACCTGTGAAATTGATTCATTGTTTTCCACGCCAAAAACGTCAAAATCGCTGAAAACTTCAAAAAAATTGATTTTCATCAAAAAACCGAGAACAACCGTCGGATTAACATTTTCTACTCCAACTCCCACAAATTCCGATATTATTGATTGTAATGAATCAAATGTTCGACAAATTTATGCGACAAATTCATTAGGAGATGATAAAACTGGTGCTGGAAGGGATGATTTGGCAAAAAATCGAATCAATAAAGAAAATGTTTCCTGACGCTCCCAACAACAGTTATTTTTTTGAACAGTAATTCTTTTCTCCTCAATAAAACCTGAATTTTATAGGATTTTTAAAATGAATTTGAGAATAAAAATAAAACATTCGCAATAAAAAATGAAACTAAAACAAAAACGTTGAATAATACGCTCAAGTATTATCATTTTCATCTTCATCTTCGTCTTCTTCATCGCTAGAAATTTGATAACTTTGTTGAGCAATGGCAATGTCCCTCGCTTCTTTTTCGGCAATTTTTTCTCTTGAAATTCCAAAAATAACAAAAAATGTCGAAATATGCATTTCGAAACTGACCGAGAAATCGAAGGCTGGTGCGCATGGGGTAAGTTCAGGAGTAACATTTTCAAGAAATAGTTAAACTCTTAGTGTCATTCAGTCTCGGAAAATACCTAAAAATATGAAAATATATATAAATTTTTCAGTGATATATGAACTTGACTTACATCATCGGCAATTTGGAAACATTTCAAAAATCGCAAGCATCAGAGGTTACATCATTTTTCATTCGCGCCCAAAGGAGCTCTATACCATTGAGGAAGCAATGGTACGGCGGAATTCTTAGAAATTCGATGCCAAGTGTTTCTTTTGCCCATAAATCCAATCTGAATTTTTTGACAGCCAAGTTGAAACGCCCGCCAACCGATGCAAAAGCTAAAGCGTTCATTTTCCGAGAAAAGAGACAAGTTCCGGTTTTTTCATCGACATTTCAACATGTATTTTTCCATCGAGATAATCGACAATATCCTGCTTTGAACTGTTGCTTGTGGGCAGCTGAACAAAATTTTTAAGTTGCACAATTAAAAAAAAAAGGGTACCTTTTCATCGGTTCCGCAATGAATTTTGACGCATTGTCCAACAAAATAGAACTGGGCGCTCTCCTCGCAATCGAGCCATATGTGCGAATTTCGGAAGAACTTGTTTCATATAAGTCTCGTACGAATTCGTATCAAGATCTTCATGATAATCGATAAGCTTAGCTTCTTCTTTTCCGGATATTATTATCCTTGCCGAACCTGGTACAAGCCCGATTTTTGTCATGATAGCCATTACAATTGCTCTTCTTCCTTTATTTTTGTAATTTGCAGAAGGGCCAGATCGAGGTTGTGACATATCCGCCATTCGCGCAATCATATATCGTGTCGGGTTATCATACATCCATCCAGAATCTGGCCCTTTGTCATATTTTCGAAAATCCAGCTCTCGTCAAAACAACCATAAAATGCGCGCCGTATCAGAAACTGGTGGATTATCGGCAAGGAGTAATTTTTATCCGGAAGAAGAAGCTAAGCTTATCGATTCTCAAGATCTTGATTACGAATCTCGTCTTTCTTCGATATGAAACATTCTTCCGAAATTTCTTGCGATAACATAGGCCCATCCCATGTAACAGCAATAAAAAATATGATCGACTTTTGGAATAATCTAAAGCTTCTTCCGCCCAATTTTTCAATTGTTTTACAGTGACATTTCTCTCTTCACCCCACCGGGCATCCAACCATTGTCGAATTTGATCTTTCACATAAGCCGGAGTTCTCGCAGCAAAAAAACAGCTGAACTTGTCGGAAAATGAACGCTTTAGCTTTTTTGCATCGGTTGCGGGAGTGTTTCAAAAAACTTCTTCATAACAGTTCCATGAGCGACCCCGGTGAGCTGACTTGTCAAACTACCAACGTTGCTGAAAACGGTATTTCTTGCCTCAATGGTCCAAGTGTTCGCTTGAACATCGTCACCGCATCATATACATTTCTAACCATATTTATTTTTGAAATGTTTCCCTTTCGCCGGTTTGAAGCTTCTTTTTGAAATCTTCATAATTCGCTCCCCAATGTTTTTCGCTTTTTCCGAGACCTGAATGACACTAAGAGTTTAACTATTTCTTGAAAATGTTATGAAACACTTACCTCATCCACCACTTCGATTTCTCGGTCAGTTTGAATATGCATATTTCGACATTTTTTGTTATTTTTGATATTTTCAGTTTGAATACCTCTTGATATTTTTTCTTTTTTTCGTTGACAATATCGTACTATTGGTTTGGATGCTTCACTCAAGGGAGAAATCAACAAGTTATTTGAGGCAGCTTCAAAATTCGATAGAAAAGTTGATGTTGATCCAATACCCGAGAATGTTTCAATTTGTGTGGAAGATTCAGTGTTGAAAATAGCCGATATTTTTGGTTTTTTCCTGACAATCGGTGTATTGTTGTTGGGAGCGTCAGGAAACATTTTTCTTTTATTGATTCGATTTTTTGCCAAATCATCCCTTCCAGCACCAGTTTTATCATCTCCTAATGAATTTGTCGCATAAATTTGTCGAACATTTGATTCATTACAATCAATAATATCGGAATTTGTGGGAGTTGGAGTAGAAAATGTTAATCCGACGGTTGTTCTCGGTTTTTTGATGAAAATCAATTTTTTTGAAGTTTTCAGCGATTTTGACGTTTTTGGCGTGGAAAACAATGAATCAATTTCACAGGTTTCATCTTTTTTTCTTCCCATCATTCATGCTTTGCGGATTTTTTCGCTGAAAAACAAAATTATTTGAACGTTGAAAAAATGACATTTTTTGACTTACCTCGTCGAAAACTCGTAATTGCTTGTCCTTTATATGATAATGTTGCTTTGTTCAACACCAATTTCTCGCCCAAGTTCGGGCATATCATCCATTTTCGAGCGAAAAAATTTGAATAAACAAAGCGCAATTGTTTTTCTTTTTTTGAAAACAAAATAAAGGCACACACATTTTTTTGAAAAGGATATCTCGCAGCGAACAAAACTGAGGAGGAGAGAAAGGTATACGGTAATTTTGGGAAATTCAAAAAATAATATTTTCCATTTCCATTTTTTTTTACGTTTATAATAAAATTTTGTTTTTTTGAATTTTTCTTCGAAATTTTATGTTGTGAAAAAAATTGATTAAAAATACCACGTGGCCAAATTTTCGCGCGAAAAATTCAGAACTTCAAAAAAAAATCACTGTTTCAAAATTCTACTAAAAAATTTTTGAGATGAACAATTTCGATTCATCTTTACTTTAAAAAAAATCTTCAAAATAATTTATTTTTCTCATCTTCAAAAACCAAAAAACATTCGAATTTCGGCATTTTTTACAAACTGCCCGTCGAACTTGCGATGGAATCAAAATGAGCAAAAAAATCGCGAAAAGTCCCCATGGAAAAAGTGCCAAAGACAACAGGAAAGTCGAAATGAGCAGCCAAATTATTCGGAAACCAACGAGTTGAGCGATTTCGAGTGTAGCGCGATTTCTGGAATAAAAATATGTTATTGCCGCGAAATTAGAAAAAAAACGATTATTTTTTCATTTGAAAAAATTCACTGTTTCAAAAAATTCTATACAAAAAAAATGTTGCTTGACTTTTTGATTATGAATTGGCCATAGTAATGACATCTAGACCGAATTATTGAACTAGAAAAATTCCACGTGGCAAAATATCTGAAGTTTAGGGCCAAAAAATGCCACGTGGCAATTTTTTCGTACATTTTTTGTGTGCTATGAACTGGGAATGCCTGAAGTATAATTTTATCAGACATTTTTTATCAAGCTACTTCTTTTTTTTCCTCGAAAAAAAAAGTTTCATGTGATTTTTGGTGTTGTCAATCAGAGATCACATTGATTTTTGACATCAAAATTCGAAACTCACACAATCCTTGCACAATTTATAATCGAACTCATAAACAGCCATCGAATTGCTCTCCAAATCCAAATTTTTCTGCTCCAGCTCGATTTTCTCGGCCATCAGAAGTGAATTCGATTCACTCGAACAACACTCGCCTTCCTGATTCTCTTGAAAATCCCCGGAATTTAAATTCACGTCATTTTCCATCATCAAATTCGGATACAAGTTAGCGAAAATCGTGGGCTCTTTCAAAGTTCCATAACCATAATAAGAAGTGATCAACCATTCGTGTAAATTCTCATTTTTCTCCGAATTTTCACAATTTTCAGGTGCATTTTCAGCCGAAAAATCGATATTCCTGGCTGAAAATTTTCGATAGGCTTCTTCATCCAAGTCATCTGAATCTTCTACTTCATTTTTTGAGTGTGTGGAGAATTTGGGAAAGTGGTCGAAAATTCGAAAACGGCTCGAAGTTGAGTCGAAGGATCTGGAAAATTTTGTTTTTTTTTTGAAAATTAATTTTTGGCGGGGCATTTTTGCCACGTGGCAAATTGATTTTTGCGAAAAATCGATTTTAAAATCCATGAATTTTTTTTTGAAGAAAAAATTAGAAATTCTGAAAAAAACTTAATTTTGTGTTCCAAAAAATTCACTGTTTCAAAAATTCATTAAAGAAATTTCAAATTTCAAGCTTCACAATTTTTGCTTTTAGAGTGTTTTGAAAAGACATTTCGACCTTTCAAATTTCCTTTATCAAAAAAGCCTCAAAAATCACATAAAATATGTTGTACTCCCCAATTTTTCGCCGAAAAAAGTAGCTTATCAATGAAAAACGTAAATTTTTGTACTTTTTCATCAGAAATTCTAACTTACTTCGGTGAACTCGCGATTTTTTGCTCAAAATTCATTGAAAAATCGATAATTTCAGTACTATTATATTTTAGTATTAATATATTATTCAAAAAAAAATCAGAAAAAATTGGTAGACAACAGTAAAAAGCGAATAATAAAGGAGAACATATGAGTTGAGAAGTTTGATAAGATAAAAAATAATAAAGAAACAGTAGGGAAATGGGCGGAGCTTAGAGTTTTGGTGCATTTTTCACCTTCTTTTCAATTTCCCTCTTTTTTGGCGGGAAATTCGCATTTTCAGCGCTAAAAATAATTTTTTTCAAAAAAAAAATTTGGAAAAAATTCAAACAAACAATTTGCGCGCGCCGGGTCTCGCCACGACGCCACACAATTTTATGAATGTTCCTTTGAACCGTATTGTATTTTTGTTGCGTCATTTTCCTTTTTTTTGCCACGTGTCTCCCTCCATGTGGAGCTCCACAGCATTTTATAATCAAAAAAAAGAGGTGGCGTCTATTAGGCAAAGTGCATGCACGCCTAACCTAACAACAAAAAACGCGTCAACATTGAGTCGGCTTGACCGCATTTCTTGTCGATTTATCGTGATTTTGCATATTTTCAGCTGATTTCTCGATGGAATCGAGCGAAATGAACGGATTAGATGTTCTACATCAAATTATCACCATTTATGAGCAGGATTCGTTTCAATTTTACACGAGATGCGATCGGGTTAACACGAAATTCTCGGGTCGCTTTAATTTCGCGTTTTTTGCCAGGAAAATCTTTGATCCAATTGCTACGGATAAGGTGAGTCTTTAAGAATTGGATAAGGTATCTTGAGGTGCTCTTTAAGGTCCTTAAGGTCCCTAAGGAGCATGTGTCCTAAATTTTAATAAAATATATGCTTTCCAGTAGTTTTCGACCCGCTGATCACTATTCCGTTGTTTAAAATTGCACAACTCAATTTCTAATATGAGTTATGACGTGGCAAAATTCGAAAAGTCGGGATTTTAGGAACTGAAACCTGAAAAATCTTCGAAAATGATTTTTTTTTCATGAAAATCCCTATGCTACTAGATTTGCATGGGAAAAATCATTTTTGAAGCTTTTTTCAAGTTTCAGCTCCAAAAAATCCCGAATTTTCGATTTTTGCCACGTCATAACTCATATTAGGAGTTGAGTTGTGCAATTTTCGACAACGGAATAGTGATCAGCGGGTTGAAAACTACTAGAAAACATATATTTTATGCTAAAGATCCTTAAGAAGCTTCGTAAGACTCCTAAGATGCTCTTTAGGATCTTTAAAGCACTTAAGGTACCTAAAGTGTCTCTTTAGGTTCTTAAGGCCTCTAAGTCCCGTGTTAAGGTCCTTCCTAGGTCTCTAAGAGCCCCTAATTCCAGGTTGGTCAACTCTACTTGGATCTCTTTGAAAATTCCGAGCCCTACATGCATCAGACGAAAAAGAGCTATCTGATGGTTCAGGGATTTCCGATCAGCAAAATTAGTATACCGGAATTGTTGATGAATGTGAGTTTTTTGGGGGGAAAATAGGTTAATTTCGGGTCTAAAAGCTCTGAAAAGCCTGAAAATTATCGAAAAATACTTGAAAATTTGAAATTTTCAGCTGCAAAACTTCTGAAATCATCGAAAAAGCTTCTAGTTTGGACCGGAAACTCAGGGTTTTGTTCTGAAGCCCACAAAAAAGCCCGGCAGGCTCAAAAATCACAATTTTAGCCTGAAAAATGTCCAATTTTCGTCTGATAACCAAAAATTATCGATTTTTAGTCTAAAATTGGACCTAAACTTCATATTTTGTCCAAAAGCCCGCTAAAAAGCCCGGGAGGCCTGAAAATCCCAGATGCAGCCTGAAAATGAAGATTTTTTTGAAGAAAAGCTCTTTCCAGGCCGAAAAAACTTGTTTATAGTTAAAACATATCGAGTTTTTCTTGAAATAGCGTGAAAATCTCAAGGAAGCCTGAAAATCACAATTTCAGCCTGAAAAATTCAGATTTTCCCTTAAAATTATCGATTTTTCACTTCGAAACCTAATTTTAAGTCAAAAATGCCCAGAAACCTTCTGAAGTTATCCAATAAGCTTCAGATACTCGTCCAAAGGCTTAAAATCACTATTCCATCCTGAAAAGCCCTGAACATTATCGATTTTTTCTCTGAAAACACTTTCCGGACCTACAAAACTCACATTTTTCCCTGAAAATTATCGATTTTTCCTCTGAAAACCCCTTCCCAGGTAGAAAATGCTCAATTTCCAGATGATTCTCGCCTATCAGTTGCCACGTCAAACCCACGACTCGGAATCCAGTACCACCACCACCACTTCGAATTCGCGTCGCCGTCCTTCGCACAAAAAAACCACGATGCCACGTGTCACTCTCACACGTCAACAATCAAAAATCCTCGTCGAACACATGCTCAAAATCCCGCTTGGCCCCGAATCCAACCTCTGGAAACAGGTCAAATATGTGCTGAATCCGGGTGGCAATCATCAAACGCATTCGGATATCATGGAAGGTGTGCGGAAGAGTGCGGAAGACGGAATGATCTCCTACGCGGCACTCGTGTTTTTCATGCGCGACGAGAAGATTCGACAGGTCTTCAAAAACCCGGCCACAATTCTGCACGCACTGTATTTGGGACCGTTGGATGCGACGACGGTGGAGGGTTTTGCGTCGAATCGAAGCGATGCGTTTCGGCAAGAATGTCAGAATTGTTTGAGGATTGCGTTGGCCGCGTGTTATAGTAAAGAGATGTTTAGGTGAGTTTTTTCGCCCTAAAATTGTACGTTTCAAGATTGTTAGACATTTTTCTCAAAATTATCGAATTTTGATCATCCAAATCATCCAAAAATAATTCACTGTTTCAAACATTTTATGAAGTTATTTAGAATATTTGATCATTTAATGTCAATAAGTGGCCTTCATTCAAATCAATGAGATCGCGCATAAAATCCACGTGGGAAAAAAGGGCTGAAAATCATGAAAATTTCTCAATTTTTCAGCCAGAGAAAGTAGTATTTTTCCAGCTGGAATTAAGGGCATTTTTGGAAGTAATTAGGTTAATTGTAATGGTTTAAAACTTGAAAGTCTGATAGAATTCTATTTTAAAATTGATCTGAAAATCAAGAAAATATTGATTTTTTGATGAAAATCTAGAAAATCCTCTGAAAAAATCCAATAAATTTGGCAAAACACTAAATTTTTTATTGTAAAAAATTCACTGTTTCAAAAAATTTCTATAAAAATTTAGAAACCAAATGTATTTGATACATGGATTTTGCCAGAGGATTTTCTAGATTTTGATCCAAAAATCAATATTTTCTTGATTTTCAGATCAGATTTTCTAGTTAAAAACTATTATAATTAACCTAATTACTTCCAAAAAGCCCCTATTTTCAGGTGGAAAAATGGTTACTTTCCCTGGCTGAAAAATTCAGAAATTTTCACAATTTTCAGATCCAAAAAAATCCACTCTTTCAAACATTTTATGAAATTATTTAGATTTTAGAATGTTTGATTCAATGGGGAAATTTGAATTTTCGCGATAAAATCAACAAATTTTCAGCGCTGAAAATCATAAAATTTCTGAGATTTTTCAGCCAGGGAAAGTAGTATTTTTCCACCTGAAATTTGGGCTTTTTTGAAAAAAATGATCTGAAAACACACCTCGGCCAAGCCGTGGCTGGCCAGAGTACAATTTTTGGAAAAATTTGAATTTCAGTTTTTAGAGTACAAAAATTGAAAAATTCACAATTTTTGTACTGTAAAAAGTTAGCGTACAATTTTTTATTTCGGAAACCACGATTTTGGCCGAGGTGTGTCTGAAAATCACGAAAATATTGATTTTCAGATGAAAATCTAGAAAATAAAATCCTCAGAGAAACTCAAGTATCAAATAAATTTAGCTCCAAAATTTTTATCGAAATTTTTTGAAACAGTGAATTTTTTTTTATTTTGAAACATTGAAAATAGCGTCTAAAACACGAGATTTTCACAATTTTTGCTGAAAATCACCCAAAAACCGCCCAATTTTCTTCCAGCAATCACCTTCCCGTCCACATCCAACCCGGACACCGTGACCTCGTGCCATTCCACATTTTCCAACAAAATGTGCATAATCTAAAAGCGGCGCTAGTTGGCACAAGTTCGAATTATTATCCGATTCCGGTCAGTTGGGCGATGGCTGCGTTGAAAAAGTTTGGACATAAAAGATATGTGGAAAATGTGAGTTTGGGGGCACAACATTGAAATTTGTGATTTAAAACATCGCGAAAAAAATGAACTGAAAGTTGTACGTTTCAAAAATTTGATATATTTTTCTATGAATCTTTTCCATTTGATTCATCGATGTTTTTCAACAAAATCCCAGAAAAATTCACTGTTTCAAACATTTTATGAATTAATTTTGATTTTTAGAATTTTTAGTGAGTTGAACTCTTAGACTGCCCCGAAAATCCATGTGGAAAATTCTGAATTTCAGCAAGAAAATCAAATTTTGCCACGTGGATTTTCAAAAAATCCTAGAAATTTTCACATTTTTTAAAAATAATAATACCTAGAAAGCTTTAAAAAAATTCACTGTTTCAAACTTTTTATGAATTAATTTTGATTTGTAGGAATTTTAGTGAGTGCCCTGGAAATCCTATTTGGAAAATTCTGAATTTCAGCGCAAAAATCACATTTTTCCACGTGAAATTTCTGGCTCCAAAAAATCCTAGAAATTTTCATATTTTTGAACAATTATACCTATAAAGCTTCGAAAAAATCCACTGTTTCAAACGTTTTATGAATTAATTTTGATTTGTAGAAACTTTAGTCAGCTGAACTCTTTAATTACCCGAAAATCTCACTTGGAAATATCTGAATTTTGGTATTAAATTCAAAATTTGCCACTTGGGATTTTATGGTGCCAAAAAATATTCAAAAATTCAGTTTTAAATTTATTAAAAATATTTTGAAATAAAATTTTTTAGTCAAAAAAATGTACTGTTTCATAAATTTTATGTTTTTTTTTCTAACACAATTTTTCTGATACACCTCTCTCACATGCTTTAAAAATTTCAGATTTTCAAAATCAATTTCCATACAAAAAATCCACATTTCAGACCTGGAACGACGAACAACTCTACGATCTGATTTGGACGATTTTGGCCCAACGCCCACACATGAAAAAACACATTTGTGAAACACTGGACAATAAATTCCAGGATCGACAAGCTGCCGCTTTTTGGCGACGAATGCAACCACAACAAATGTCCAAGACACATATTCGAAATTAGTGAGTTTTTTTGCCAGAATATATGTTTTCTAGTTACCAACTAATTTTAAATTGAGTTATGACGTGGCAAATTGGGAATTTCGGATTTTAGGAGCTTTTTCCCAGGCTTCACCACCTGAAATCGCAATTTTTCGAATTTTGACACATTAAAATTAGTTGCTGACTAGAAAAAATATATTTTTGGCTAAAAATGCTGAAAATCTCCCAAAAACTCTCATTTTGCAGCCGGGAAAATGAAGTTTCGTCGACTTTTCAATCCGAGACCTATTTGAATTTTTTGCCTGAAATGAGTTGGGTGAGTGTTTTTTTTTCAAAATTCTATTTGAAATTTAATTTTTGACGCCGAAAAATTTCAAATATTTTTTCACTGTTTCAAAATTTCTATACATTTTCAAGAATTTCAACAGAAAATTGATCTTTTTTCAATTTGAAATTCTAAAAAATTTGTTTCCCGACGTCAAAAAGCTACAGTATACCAAAAAAAATTCCAAATTTCTCTACAGCCTCCAAATTTCGTCACTCTCGACACCGACATCCACCAACTCATCCGAACTCTCAAAAAACGTGTCCAAAAATACGGTAGGATTACTGTAGGCGTCGACGCCGAATGGAGTGCCTACACCTTTCCCAGCAAAGCCACAATTCTCCAAATCGGTCTGAGAGATACGGTATATGTGTTGGATCTGGATTCGCGAAACATTGCTCATGATAGCTATGCTGAATTCATGCAAACTCTTTTCGATGACCCAAATATTGTGAAAGTCGGATTTAATTTTGGCGAGGATTTACATCAACTACGTGGCAAATTTCGACTGTGTAAAAGTTTGTATAACGCGAAAAAAGTGATTTGTATCGGAAAAATGGTGTCGAAATTGGTGGATGACGTGGAAATGTTGGATAATGCGGCGGAGGTGAAAAAAGAGATTTTGCCATTTTTAATCGAGGAAAAAGTGGATTTGGGTGAGATTTTTCGAGATGGGAAGGTGAAAAATCATGTTTTTAGACGTTTTTTGACCCCAAAAATTCACTGTTTCAAACAATTTTTATTTTTGAATTCCAAAAATTATGGAATTGCAAAAAAAGGCTCATTTTCCGACCTGAAATTCAAGTCAAGGCAGAAATTTATCTGAAAAATCTGAATTGTTGAAAATTTATACCTAAAATTGATATTTTTGACCTGAAAAAATTCACTGTTTCAAAATTTTTTCAAATTTTCTTGAGTTGCAAAAATGATAATTTTGATTATGTTTTGACCTGAAATTCAAGTCTAGATTTGTATTTCCAAAATTCTGAATTATCGATGTTCCAGACTGAATATTATCTGGGGAAAATCAGAATTTTTTGAAAATTTAAACCTAAAATTGATATTTTTGACCTGGAAAAATTCACTGTTTCGTAAAATTTTCAAATTTTTATTTTTGAATTCCAAAAATGATAAATTTGATTAGTTTTGAACTGAATTTCAAGTCAAGATTGGTATTTCCAAAATTCTGAAATATCGATTTTTAAGGCTGAAAATTATCTGAAAAATTTGAATTGTTGAAAATTTATACCTAAAATTGATATTTTTGACCTGAAAAAATTCACTGTTTCAAAATTTTTTTCAAATTTTCTTGAGTTGCAAAAATGATAATTTTGATTATGTTTTGACCTGAAATTCAAGTCTAGATTTGTATTTCCAAAATTCTGAATTATCGATGTTCCAGACTGAATATTATCTGGGGAAAATCAGAATTTTTTGAAAATTTAAACCTAAAATTGATATTCTTGACCTGGAAAAATTCACTGTTTCGTAAAATTTTCAAATTTTTATTCATGAACTTTGAAAATGATAAAATCCTTTTTTATTTTTCGACATGAAATTCAAGTCAAGATTTTTATTTCCGAAATTCTGAAATATCGATTTTCCCAGGCAGAAATTTATCTGAAAAATCTGAATTTTTTGAAAATTTGAACCTAAAATTGATATTTTTGACCTGAAAAAATTCACTGTTTCAAAAAATTTTCAAATTTTTGATTCTTGAATTGCAAAAATGATAAATTTGATGAGTTTCGACCTGAAATTGAAGTCAAGATTTGTATTTCCAAAACTCTTAACTATCGATTTTTCCATAAATTATAAGAAAAATCTGAAATTTTTTGAAATTTTAACCTATAATCGAAAATTTCCATCCCAAAAGTTCACTGTTTCAAAAATTTCATATAGAAATTTTTTGTAAATCGTTCTCATTAATCACCCAAAAGAAATGCCACGTGGAAAATTTTAAGCCAAAATATTTTCTTTTCAGACGACAGTTCTCTGTCAGCCGCCGATCGTTCAATGGATTCCTCAAAACTCGAAGAATCCATGTTAATCGATGAAAATGAGCCCGAAATGAGCCCGAATAGCCCAGCAGCCCAGGCCCAGTCCCAAAATCCAACCACCGACAGACGGCCCAAAAAAATCCTGCCAATCACAAAACCATCGATTTTCGTCAACAAAGGATTGTCGTTCATTTGCGAGAAAATATTGGGAAAACCGCTCGACAAAACTGAACAATGCTCGGTTTGGGATCGAAGACCGTTGAGAAATTTGCAGGTTTGTAGTGGGGATTTGGGGATGAAAATTGGGAAAAATGGGGGAATTTTGAGCCGAAAATTGTGAAAATTAGGAAAAATTGATCTAGAAACACTGAAATTTGATGAATTTAAAAGATGAGAAAAATCCAGAAAATTCACTGTTTCAAAAATTTGTTATGATTTTTCGAAAAAAAAATAATTTCAATAGTTTTGTTTTCATGGACTAGAAAACTTGAATTTTGATAATTTTGAGTTAAAAATCGTGAAAATTCATTGAAAATTGATGAATTTCGTAGCTAAAAAATCCCGAAAAATCACTGTTTCAAAAATTTGTTATGATTTTTGGAAAAAAACTTTAATTGTTTTGAAAATGATAATCCTTCTCTAGAAGTCTAGAAATCTGGGAAATTGACTATTTTTGAGCTAAAATTGTGAAATTTCATTGAAAATTGATCTAGAAACCTTGAAATTTGGAGAATTTCGTAGATGAAAAAATTCCAGAAAATTCACTGTTTCAAAAATTATATGATTTTTCGAAAGTTTCCAATTGTTTTGATACTGCGATAAGGTTACGATGTATAATAAGAAAACATTTCACTTTTTCAAACATTTCTAGTGATGAATGTTCATCCAGAAGTCAGGTAAATTCGGGAATTTTGAGCTAAAATTGTGAAAATCAGGAAAAATTGATCTAGAAACACTGAAATTTGATGAATTTTATAGCTGAAAAAATCCAGAAAAATCACTGTTTCAAAAAATTCATTATCTTCGAAAATTTTTAATTTTTTCAATATGTCGATGGAAAATTTTTCTATTTTCAACAGTTTTTGACAAAAATTATCGCAAAATTCAAGAAATTCTGATTTTTCTGGAAATTTCGGGAAATTCTGAATAGAAAAGAACTCGGCTAACAATTTTCAAATGTCTATAATGAATTTTGAATTTTTTTGAAACAGTGAAATTTTTGAACTTGAAAATCATGTGTTTTTGTCTAGAAATCAGGAAAATTGACTAGTTTTGAGTTAAAAATTGTGAAATTTCATTGAAAATTGATCTAGAAGCCTTGAAATTGGATGAATTTAATAGAGGAAAAAATTCAGAAAAATCACTGTTCAAAATTTTCTTTAAATCGAACTTTCACGATTTCAAAATTGATGCATAAGTGTTATGCTTTGTTCAGAAAATTCCAGAATGTCCGAAATTATTTTCAAAATTGAGAATTTCTTGGATTTTCAGATAAGACTTGCCAAAAAATTAATAAATTTCAAGTATTTTTTGAAACAGCGAATTTCTGGAAGATGAAAGTTCACAATAATTCTGAGAAGTCTTTTCAAAATTCTGAAAAATACCCAATTTTTTCAGCTCCGCTACGCAGCTCTCGACGCACACTGCATGTTAATGCTCTACGACAAATGTGAACAACTATTCGCGCACCTAAAAATCGATATCAATCAATATATCGATTCTCAATCAGCCATCAAAGTCTCTTTGCCATTGTTGACCGAATATCCACTGTAAAAAAATGGTTTGTTTTTGGTTTTGGGCCAAAAGACACACGAAATTCATGAAAAATCAACTGTAAATATATAAATTAAGCTTTTTTGATCGGAAAAATCCGGATTTTTCGGACTGAAATCGCCTGTATTTGTTGTTACTGTTTTTGAAGATGATGAAAAATTTTATTTATTTTAAAAAAAGTTTACTGTTTCAAAAAATTTTGATAGAAAATTCTGGATTTTTGAAATAATTCCATAATTCAACAAATTGGTCATTAAATTAAATTCTGAAATTTTACTAAACAAAGTCATTAAAAATTTCACTGTTTCAAAAAATAGTAAATAAAAATGAGAAATTTTGAAAAAATTGATTTTTGACTTTTTTATATGTACAAATTAAAATTTTTTCCTGTTTCAGAATTTTTTGATTAAAAAATTTTGATTTTAGAAATGATATTCAAGGTTCCAATCAGCATATTTTAGACCTGAAATCAAATTCTGGAATTTTTCAAAAGAAATTCTAGAAAAATCACTGTTTCAAAAAAATAGTAAATATAAAATTTGGTAATTTTGAAATTAATTACAATTTGTTTGTCCAGAGATTTTTCACTGTTTCAGAATTTTTTGATAAAAAAAGTTTGGATTTTTGAAATGATTAAAGATCTTCAGTGAATATTCAGACCTGAAATTGCAATTAAAAAAATGTTCAAAAAATTTCACTGTTTCAGAAAAAAAGTAAATAAAATGTGAAATTTTGAAAAATTGATTTTACTGATTTTGTTATACAAATTAAAATTTCACTGTTTCAAAAATTTTTGATAGAAAAGTTTGGATTTTCGAAATGATGTGGATTTTTCAGCCAATTTTCACACCTGAAATCAAATTCTTGAATTTTTCAAAAGAAATTCTAGAAAAATCACTGTTTCAAAAAAATAGTAATTAAAAATTTTGTAGTTTTGAAATTATTCAGAATTTATTTGTTCATAGATTTTTCACTGTTTCAAAAATTTTTGATAGAAAAAATTCGAAAGTGATATTTTTGATAATACCCAAACACAAAAAAAATGCCGAATAATTTATTTCCAAAAATACATTAAAATACTCGTATAAAAAGTACACCAAAATGCGATTTCATTCCACCAAAAATCGCCTTATCTCCTAGTTCCATCCTCATAAAACACACCGCCATCAGCGCTACAATATTTCGGACACACGCCCTTCTCTCCGCTCGATCCATCAGGCCCGGGCCGGCCTGGATTTCCAGGCACACCGTTTTCCCCATCAGCTCCATCGTCTCCAGGCTCTCCGGGCTCTCCAGCCTCTCCCGGTTGTCCATCCTTCCCATTGAGGCCTTGAGCCCCCTTCGGCCCTCGCTTTCCAGGAATTCCTGGTGGCCCAGGTGGCCCGGGAACCGCCGGAACTTCACGCACATCCTCTCCAGGCTCACCGACCTCCCCAGCCGGCCCATGTTTACCCTTCTCGCCTCGTCGTCCAGGCTGTCCAGGTGGCCCGGGTGGCCCGGGCTCACCCTTCTCACCATACGGCCCAGGTTGTCCAATATTTCCTTGAGGCCCTGGGGGGCCCGCGGGCCCTTGTGGGCCCTGTGGACATGGCTTGCATGGTGGAGCGGTTGGCACAATGCAAGGCTTCTTGGTAGGCCTGCCCGGGTTTCCTGGGTAGCCATTAGCTCCGCCTTTTCCTGAGGGACCTGGTCGGCCTGGTGGGCCTGCCGGGCCTGCAGGGCCAGGCAAACAGCAATTCTCACAAGTTGGTTGGGGTGTTGGGGCTTCTGTTGTGGTTGTTGGAGGTACTGTAGTTGTTGGTGGTACTGTAGATTTCAAATACTCCAAGGTAGAAGTTCTGGTAGGCTCCTGTGTAGTGCTAGCTTCTTGGGTGGAGCTCGCAGAAGGTGGTGTAGGCTCCTCGGTGCTCGGCTCATATTCTTGTGTAGTGCTCTTCTCTGTAGTAGGCTCCTGGGTTGTAGTCTTCACCAGGCGCTTCTTAGTCGTAGTGGTACTTGGAATCTCTTGAGTTGTGCTCTCAAGCTCCACTGGCACTGGAGCTGGTGGACTTGGCTCACTGTCATAACCACTACTGACATCGGAACCGTGATGATTGTTGATACCCAATGTTGGAGGTGGTGAGAAGATTGTGGGCTTCTGAAAGGAAGAATTTCTCACTGTTTCAAAATTATGATGTATATTTTACAATATTTTATGTTAGGGTTGATTTGCTTCTGATATAGAAACCAATATATATTGAGAAACTCTCAAAATGTTATACATTTCAGTTTTTCTCATGAAATTTTTCACTGTTTCAAAATTTTCATATAAATTTTATTGTAGAATTTTTCTGATGTAATCTTTCGATATCGCAGAAAAATTAAATCTGAATTTATTGAGCTGAAATTTTTAGATGATAAAATTATTCACTGTTTCAAAATTCTTACCCAGCTATAACTTCACAGAAATTCCCGAAAAATTAAAATTTTTCATTTTTTTATGAAAAATTTTTTCACTGTTTCAAAAATTTCATATAAATTTTTTTTCCATTTTTTTTTCGATTTCAAATATAATGTTGTTATTTTCTTTAATGGGGTGATTCAATTCGTTTTTTTACGGTTAATTGACAGAAAATCCGAGTCTTTTTTGTGTGACTTTTTCACGTTTTTGTCGATTAATTCCATATTTTTTGCAATTCATTGCATTCAAAAATGAGGAATTGCAAAATGAAATAGAATTTATTTGACCTTTTTTTCGAAACGTGTTCTTAATTTTTTGGTTGGTTTTTTAATTCATTTCGAAATGAAAGAAAATTGAGAGAAGATGAGTTTTTTGTTGATAATTCCAACTCATATAGGTCACGTTTAAAAATATTGGTCAAATAAATTCTATTTTTCATGCAATTAATCGCATTTTTTGCCAAGAAATGAAAGCGAGGAATTGACAAAAACGTGAAATTAATCGCCCTAAAAGACTCGGATTTTTGTCAATTAATTGACAAATTCACGTCGATTAATTCGACTGAATCACCCCATAAGCCAAAATCTACAATTGCGACAAGTTGAAATTGAAAATCTTTTTTATTCCAACGTTCGTAGATTTTGGCTTAAAGAAAATAACAACCTTATATTTGAAATTCAACTAACAATGCGATTGATTAACTTGTTCCCACTCAAATTTTTTCGATTTGTTAGATAAATTCGAACCAAAAAAACCATGTATACAAAATTTTTCACTGTTTCAATAATTTGAAATAATTTATGATGCCACGTGGAATTTTAGCACTGGTTTCTTAGAAACTGAATTTCAAGCTTATATACAGCATACAGTTTAAGCTGAAAATCTGAAAATGTTGGATTTCCACAATGTTTTACGTATATCTAATTTCACAGTAATTCTCGACAATTTTCACTGTTTCAAAAATTTCATATAAATTTTTTTGCGATTTTTTTCTGATGGGACTATTCAAGTTATTTTCTCAACGCTGAGAAAAGCGAAGAAAACCTATTCAGGCAGGCTGAGAAAATACGAAAAAAGTGAAGAAAATACATTTTCTCCGCATTTCTCCTGTTTTCTCAGCGTGTTGAGAAAATACTTGAATAGCCCCATGATACATTTCTTTTTTCTATCCCTCCATCAAAAAATCCTTGAAAATTGCAAGAAGAAATTATTTTGAATTTTTCGACTATAAAATTTTTCACTGTTTCAAAATATTCATAATTTTTTTGTTGAAAAGTTTTTTCTGATCATTGCGAATTTTACACCGTGTGAGATTAAAAACACAATTGTTGGCTCAAATTTCTCACTGTTTCAAAATATTCATATCTATTTTTTGTGAAAATATTCCGGAATATTTGAGATCCTCACCTCATTCTCCGAATAATCATATCCAGCTTGTCTTGCAGTTCTATTCCCTCCTGACTGTTTCAGCATATAAACATCGACCCAAAGTGATTTCGCCGAATTTTGACATTGATTCATCTCGATTTTCATGGATGTTTGGATTTCTCGAATATAAGAATGAAGAATTGGCAAAGTGACACACATTGAGATGATAACTAATGTTGAGAGGGTTACGGTAATGTAGCCGATTATACGGTAGGCCTGGAAATATTGAATCTTAGGCTAAGTTCAAACTGGGTCCGGCCTGAAACTACAGTAACCGTTCCTACCTTCGTATTCGAATCGGCCTCCATATTTTTTTGCCCAGCAAAAATTTTCCAGAAAACTTTTCTGCCAAAAAAATGCGGTTGGCATCGGCTTAAATAACAAAGCCGCGCGCACACAAAAACTTGAAACACACCCATATTTTTTGCTGAAAAAAATCGACTGAAAAAATCTGGAAAACTTGATATCCGTTCTTCTTTTGCGCCGCAATTGATCAGCGATTATCAGGAGAGAAAAAAAACAGCTTACGCGGTCAGCGAAAAAAAATGAATAGGAATTTTTTCACTGTTTCAAAAATTTTATTTATTTTTTGAGTCAATTCATTTTTTAATTTTAATCGGAAAAAAACTTTATGATAAAACACAAAGAAAATTCACTGTTTCAAAAAATAACTAATTTTAATCTTAATAAACTCTAGTTAATATCTTAATGAAAATTTCTGGAAAATTTTGAGTTCGGATAACTTTTGGAATTTTTTGTTCACCAGTTTTCCCAAGGTTTGAAGTTCAATGCAATTTTCTATCAAATTTTTGATGATCAAAAATTTCACTGTTTCAAAAATTTTAGAATTTTTGGAAGAAAATTGTTCATCTTGATATGACCCTGCCTTCTTCGTGATCTAAAAAATTTGAATTCGAAATTTCTACTGTTTCAAAAATTTTTGATTGTAAGCTGTTTTTCAATGAAAAAATTCACTGTTTCAAACAAATTATTATAAAATGTTAAATATTTGCAAGTCGATTTCCAGAGTGTATACCGATCAATCTGAAAAATTTTATTCATAGACATTTATCACTGTTTCAAAAACAATTCAATTATTTTTGCGAAATTCAGTTTCTGATTCGACGATTTTAAATATCGATTAAAAATTCTGTTCAAAACCAATATTCAATAACTAATTAAGACTCTAATTAACACATTAATGAACTTTTCTGGAAAATTTGGAGTTAGGATAACTTTTGAAAATTTTTTGTTCACCAGTTTTCCCATGATTTGAAGTTTAATGTAATTTTCTATCTAATTTTTGAGGAAAAATTTTCACTGTTTCAAAAATTTTAGAAAATTGTAAATTTTGTGCATCTTGATTCCATCAAGTCTGCTTGAATGTATCTTAAAAATTTGAATTCGAAATTTCTACTGTTTCAAAAATTTTTGATAATTTTTCTTCAAATTGGAATCTTGTGCGATTTCGGGTAAAAATAATTTTCAAAAAAAAATTAATCATAAAAAATTTCACTGTTTCAAAAAAAAAATAAAAGTTTGAATTTTTCCAGTCGATGCGGAGTCTATAAAAAGTCACCAAACTCTAAAAATTTTTGAGAAAAATTCCACTGTTTCAAAAATTTCAGAATTTTTGGAAGAAAATTGTGCATCTTGATATAACTCTGTCTTCATCGTGATCTAAAAAATTTGAATTTGAAATTTCTACTGTTTCAAATATTTTTGATAATTTTTCTTCAAATTGGAATTATCGTTTCAATTTTGTGTGAGTTTTGGTAAAAATAATTTTAAAAAAAATGTGATCATGAAATTTTTCACTGTTTCAAAAAAAAAATAAAAGTTTGAATTTTTCCAGTAGACGATGATCATGAATCAGAAAAAATTTCACTGTTTCAAAATTTTTTATTAATTTTTTTCGAGACTGGAAAAATGATGATCCGCAAAAAAAACATTCATTTAACAAGAAAAAAGAACAAGAATATATTAAAATGAAAAGAATATAAATTAAAAGTTCGAAATCGCAAAAATCCTGAGTTTTTGCGAGGGGCGAAAAGTGAAAAACAACCGGAATAATTTGAAGGAAAAACACACACACACACACAAAGTAAAGCTAAAACTAAAGCACGGGGTTTTGAAAAAAAAAACATTTCAGCTGAAAAAAAATGGCTGAAATTGGGTCGATTAGTAAAAAAATGTGTTAAAAATGAAAAAATGGCTGTAAATTATGATTTTCTAGCTCAAAATCTCAAAATCTACTATTTGGCTCCGCGAATATTTTCGGAGCTCGAATCACTCGAGCCTGGAGTCATTGGCAATTCGGCCGCACTTATCGGATTGCTCATCAAGAATTCCAAGAAATCCGAAAGTGACACCGCTCCGATTGGCTTCTGATTGTGAATCACAAACACGGTGTGACAAGTTGAGCTGAGTAGTTGGTCCAAAACTGAGCCAATTGTGTCTTTTGATGAGATTTGAGGGGGATTTTCTTGTTTTGCGAGGATTGCCGAGATTTTGGTGTCTTTCATCCATTTCTGCAAAAATTCGGGGGATTTTTGAGCCAAGAATATTTTTTTTTCTCAATTTCCAGAATTTTCATGATCTAGGAGTACTGTAGGGCTAGAATTTCGCAGTAAAATCATAATTTTATGGGATACTGTAGATACAGTAGCTTTGAACTACTTCTAAACCTGTAATTTTGGAATTTTTCTGGACTCGAGATTTTCTTAAATGAAAATTATGTGGATTCAGGGATACCTGTAATTAACTACAGTACCCGGAGATTACTGTAAGCAAAAAATTTTAATTTTCAGTTTAGTAGTACTGTAACTACCGTACCCCAAATCTAAATCTAAATTAACCCAAAATTTTACCGAAAAAAATTCACTGTTTCAGAAAATCCACAAGTTTTTTTTGTAGAAAATAAATTTCAGTTATATATTCATAGTTATTCTGAAACTTATGATTCTGGATTACTGTAGCTACAGTATTCGAAAAATATTATATTTTTCCCTTCAGTAGTACTGTAGATACCGTACCCCAAATCTAAGTCTAAATTAACCCCAAATTTTTCAAAAAAAAATTCACTGTTTCAAAAAATCCACAAATTTTTCGCGGGGAACAAAACTCTAATATCACGCCGAATATTATTTCGTTAAAAATGTCTACAGTACTCCTAAACTACTGTACCCAATAGTACTGTAGTATCCCAAATCTGAATTCAATTAGCTTCAAAGAAAAAATTCACTGTTTCAAAAAATCCACAATTTTTTTTGTAGAAAATCAATTTTCAGTTGTTCATATTTGATTGTTTGCAAACTTAGAATTTTAGATTACTGTAGCTACAGTATCCAGAAGCTTAACAAAAATTATAATTTCAAATTTGGTAGTACTGTAGCTACCGTACCCCGAATCGAAATTACCAAAAATTTTCCGAAAAAAAATTCACTGTTTCAAAAAATCCACAAATTTTTCGCGGGGAACGAAATTCTAATGTGCCATATGCTGATAACTTATTACAGTAATCATCTCGGGATGCTGCCGGCGGCGATTCGGCGGCGTTGCCACGTTTGGCAACATTCCGGCGACGTTGCCAAAAAAGCAGCAACACCTTGCGACGTTGCCACAAGAAGCAGCAACGTTGCTTTTTGTCGCCAGATATTTAATTTCGATTCTTGCTCCCGGCGACTGAAGGCAACGTTGCCAAAATGTAAAACACTGCGACGCAATTCTGCACAATCATGAAGTTTCGAAATTTTTGTTTTTTTTTTCTTTCTGGCCTAAATTGTGTTTTTCTGCTATTTTCAGTGAGTTTATCATGAATATTACTATATTTCAGCATGTATCAAGCAAGGAATTGATGGTTTCGTTGGATTTCATCGTAGAAAATTGAAGAATTCAACAAAAAATAGGAAAACTGTGATTAAAAAGGTTAGTTGACTATACATTTTCTTATTTACAATTTTTGAGAGTATTAACTTTAAATATTTCAGTTTGTGCCATTCAACAAGTGATTTGAAAATCATCGATGACTTCTCAATTGCTCAAGACTATTGGAGGAGACTAGGATTAAAAAACTTTGTTGAAAAGTGAGTTGTTTTTTTTTTTAATTTTCGTTTTCAAATTTAACTTTAAAACTAAATCCACTTTTCCTTGGATACTTTTCCAAGAATAAATCTTGAACAAAAAGTTTTGAGAAATTTCCTGTATTTGACCGAATACACTTTCAAAAGGAAAATGCACACAAAACTAGTGTATTCAGGAGCCCGACCACTTAATTCTCAAGCGTTTTTTAATAAGTTGGTCAGCAATTTAGTTTGAAAATAACATTTGGGAAAACATTCAAAATTGATTTTTAAAATTTGGGATAATATATAAGTGAAGGTTCCTAATGAAAAATCAAGCTAGAGTATTTTATAATGATGTTTTTCTTTTTCAGGTGAACAAAGTCATCTCAATCGCCCATACAATCTTATCGTCAATTATGTTTCAAAAACAATACAAAAAACATCAAGCCCATCAGATTCTACCTTTTTGAAGCTCAATTAATTGAAAATTTATTTCATGTATTCAATTATTATGTTATATGATTTGATTATCATTTTCCAAATAAATATGTTGTAATTATAAAACCATGTTACTATCGAAGAACAGATATATCAAATTGAGTCAAATCGGGAGAAATACACTGACGCCGCCTCTCGCTGCCGCGAGCTGCTCGCTTGTTGCCGAGGCTGTCGCCGAATCCCGCCTGCGCAATTTGCCCACTTTTTCATGCACTGCCACACCTTGCCTATCCTCGCCGCTCTTAGAGGCAACGTTGCCGAGCGCCGCCGAGGCCATTTCCCAAATGGCGGAGCACTCGCCTCTCTGTTGCCGCTTATCGCCGTAGCAAAAACGTCAGAAAATTATCGAATGGCGACGTTGCCGCGGGGCTGCCGGCGACGTTGCCGAAAAAAGGGTCGGCAACGTCGCCGAATCGCCGCCGACAGCACCCCGAGATTCAAAAACAATGTCTACAGTACTCCAGGAGTACTGTACCCAAGAAAAACCAACCTTTGGGCTTTTGTTATCATCCGGAAGTGCATTGCAAATGTCCCGTTTTGTCAAAACGCCAATCATCTGGAAATTCAAAATTTGGGGCTTAGGATAACTCTTGGGATAAAAAATTATGATTTTTCCAAATTTGAAAATTTAGGGACTCTGGGGGCTCAAAATTTGGGCTCAGAATTTGAAGTTCAAAAAAATCACCCACATTTTTCTGATCATCCACAATCGGCATCGTCGAGAATCGGCATCCGATCATCTCTTCAACAGCTCTCCAAATCGGCATATTCTCCCCAATACTCTTAATATCGGACCATGTTCCGATATTCGACATTCCAATCGGTCGACTCAACCATTGCGCAAAATGCAATGATCGATTTTGTTTGTGAATTGCGGCGAGAACGCGGCGAATTGTGAACATGAAGACAATGTTGCCGAGTTCATCGCGGACTGCGATTCGATGCAATTTGTTGGTCAGCAGTTCGTGACACGCGTCGAGGATTCTGTAAGGGGAAATTGGGATTTTTCATAATTTTTGAAATTTTCTGATAGGCCATCAAAGTTGCTCCAAACATCTCAAAATTTTGTTTTTTTGATCTAGAGGTACTATATGTATATACAGTAACCCAAGCTTATTCTAGAATTTTTATTTACTGTCAGTCATGTCACCTCGAAGATAAGCCCTCTCCATATTATTTTTGAAATTTTATAAAAAAAGTTATGAAATTTTTGAAACAGTGAATTTTTTTTGAATAATATTTCAACTGTTTCAAAAAACCTATGAAAATTTCGAATTAAACTTCTGAAGAGAATTTCATGAATTGAATTCAAGGCTAAAAAAATACTCTGAATTTTTCTGAATGCCACCTGGATTCTCCACGTCTTTATGCAAAATGATCAGTTCTCAAATTTCATCAAAAAAAAATTATGAAATTTTTGAAACAGTGAGATTTTTCTGAATAAAATTTTAACTGTTTTAAAAAATCTATGAAATTTTTGAATAAAATTTTTTTTATTGTGAAAACAATTTCAAAATTTTTCTGAATACCACGTGGATTTGATCTAGATTTTTTATTTTTGGTTTTTTTACCCTGATCGCGCATACGGATTATTAGTTATGCAATAGCATCAAAAAAATTATGAAATTTTTGAAACAGTGAGATTTTTCTTCGATTCCAGAAAATTGTAACTGTTTCAAAAAATCTATGAAATTTGTGAACAGTTTCAAAAAAATTAATTCTAAGCTAAAAAATCCCTGAATTTTTCTAAATGCCACGTGGATTCTTTACGTCTAAAATTATGCAAAATCACTTTGGAATAATTATCAGTTCTGTTAATTCATCAAAAAAATTATGAAATTTTTGAAACAGTGAATTTTTTCTTCAATTCCAGAAAATTTTAACTGTTTCAAAAATCCATGAGATTTTTGAATAAAATTTCTGAAAACAATACCAAACTCTGAATTCAAGGCTAAAAAATCCCTGAATTTTTCTGAACGCCACGTGGATTTTGAACAAATGCATGATCAGTTCGGAAATAATTTCCGAAATTTCATCCGAAAAAATTATGAAATTTTTGAAACAGTGAATTTTTTTTGAATAAAATTTCAACTGTTTCAAAAAACTCATGAGATTTTTGAATTAAATTTTTTGAAAACAATTATAAAAATTCAATTAACAACCAAAAAAAACCCTGAATTTTTCTGAATGCCACGTGGATTTGATCTATATTTTTTATTTTCGGTTTTTTACCTTCATCGCTCAAGATGCTTTATCAGTTCTGCAATTTCATCAAAAAAAAAATCCATGAGATTTTTTAATTAAATTTTGAGTGTCAAATTTTTCTTGAGTACAATTTTTCAAATTTAAATATGAAACAGTTCAAATTAATCAAAAAAAAATTGTGAAATTTTTGAAACAGTGAGATTTTTTTTGAATAAAATTTTAACTGTTCCAAACTTTGGTTAACTCTCGATCAATTTTTTTCTGGAATTCTGCAAAAAATTTTTCTGCATGTTGAAAAATCCACTGTTTCCAAAAATTTTGATACCCGAAAGAAAATCTCAGATTTCCACCATATTTTCTACCCTGGCTCCCAAAACTAACTTTGTCGAAATATCCACAGTCACCAATTGATTTCCCGACAAAATATTCTCCACCAAAAATCGCCCATCCTTCTCCGAATTCTGCAAACAATTGAAGAAATCGGTCAACGTCACAATTGACAGCAATTCTTCGGAACTCGAATCCCAAACCAGAAGACTTCCGACTTTCTGTTTTTTGACAATCGAGAAGGCTTTTTGGGTGCTCAGCTTTTTGTCGATGACGTGGATTTTGGAGTTTTGTGGACAGAGTTCGTAGACATCGACTACTTTCATGTATTGACGATAGGGATCGGTTTGTTGGTCTGGAAAAAATTTCGGAGTTGGGGTAAGTGAAAAAACTTCACTGTTTCAAATTGTAACTAATTTTTTCGGGGAAATTCTGAATTCGATCAACACCAGGAACAATCGCGAAAATAAACAAAAATTTCGAAACAGTGAACTTTTGAAGCTCAAGAAATTTTTTTTTTCAAAATTCCTTGACTTTTAAAAATTTCAGCTCAATTTCCTAAATCTATAAATTAGCCTAACTGGAATTTTTTCTTCTTCTTGAAAAAATTCACTGTTTCAAATTTTAGTTAATTTTTTTTGGGAGAATTTTAAATTCGCTACTTTTCTTACTCAGAAAACGTCTCGTCAGCCGTCCGCGAGGTTGCGAGCTGTCGAAAGCTAGCAGAGGCATTTCGACAGCTCGCCGCGAGGTTGCTAGCTGGCAGAACCTAGCAGGCGCTGTCTGCGAGCTAGCAAACTGACAAATTAGTATCAGAATTCGACGGCCGTCTGCCGGCTTGCGGACGGTTGACGAGACGTTTTCTGAGTATCAACTGGCCAAAAATGAGAAAAATCAAAAAAAAATCATCAAAATTCCAATATTTTCCTACCAAAAATTCACTGTTTCAAATTTAAGCTAATTTTTTGGGTGAATTCTGAATTCGCTACATTTATTCAACTAAGGAAAAAAAATCTGAAAATTTGAAAAATCCTAAAAATTCCAATATTTTCCAACAAAAAATTCACTGTTTCAAATTCCAGTTAATTTTTTCTCTTAAATTCTAAATTTGCTACTTTCCTTTCATCTGGCAAAAAAATTTGAAAATTACAAAAAATCATCAAAATTTCATTATTTTTATACCGAAAATTCACTGTTTCAAATTTCTGTTAAATTTTTTTTGGGTGAATTCTATATTCGATTTATTTTTTTAAGAGGCTTTTTAAAAATATGAAAATTAGAAAAATCCAAAAAATTCCAATATTTTCCCACCGAAAATTCACTGTTTCAAATTTCTGTTAATTTTTTTTGGGTGAATTCTAAATTCGATTAACTTTTCCTATTTTTCAACAGGCTAAAAAATTTGAAAAATCATAAAATTCCAATATTTTCCTACCAAAAATCCACTGTTTCAAATTTCAGCTAATTTTTTTTCTGGGTGAATTCTAAATTCGATTGAATTCTATTATTTCAACAGGCTAAAAAATCTGAAAATTACAAAAATCCAAAAAATTTCAATATTTTCCCACCGAAAATTCACTGTTTCAAATCACAGTTAATTTTTTTTCAGAAAATTCTAAATTCGATTGACTTTTTATTCCCAGCAGGTTAAAAAATCTGAAAATTAGAAAAATCATCAAAATTCCAATATTTATTTTCCTAACAAAAATTCACTGTTTCAAATTTCTGTTAATTTTTTTTTGGGAGAATTTTAAAATCACTTATTTTGTTCTACTTTGGCTAAAAAATTTAATAGGCTAACAAAAAATCATCAAAATTCCAATATTTATTTTCCTACCAAAAATTCACTGTTTCAAATTTTAATTAATTTTTTTAGAGCATTCTAAATTCACTTCACTTATTTTTAAAAGGCTAAAAAATCTGAAAATTACAAAAAACTCATAAAAATTCCAATATTTTCCTTCCAAAAATTCACTGTTTCAAATTTCTGTTAAATTTTTTCTCTTAAATTTTAAACTCGCTACATTTATTCAAATGACGGAAAAATCTGAAAATTACAAAAAAAATCATCAAAATTCCAATATTTTCCTCCCAAAAATTCACTGTTTCAAATTTCAGTTAATTTTTTTTGGGTGAATTTCAAATTCGCTTCTCTAGTTTTAAAAATCTGAAAAAACCTAAAAATTCCAATATTTTTCTACCAAAAATTCACTGTTTCAAATTTCTGTTAATTTTTTTTCTCAAATTTTAAATTCGCTACTTTTGTTTCGGAAAGGGGGAAAATCTGAAAAGTTCCTATATTCTCCTACCGAAAATCCACTGTTTCAAATTTAAGCGAATTTTTTTTTTAGAAAATTCTAATTTCGATCCATTTCCAGTATTTCCAACAGAGTAAAAAATATCCGAAAATTAGAAAAATCATCAAATTTCCAAAATTTTCTCACCGAAAATTCACTGTTTCAAGTTTCAGTTAATTGTTTTGTTAAGAAAATTCCAAATTTGATCGAATCCTATTACATATTTCAACAGGCTAAAAAATCTTTAAATTCCTCAAAATTTCAATATTTTTCTACCAAAAATTCACTGTTTCAAATTTCTGTTAATTTTTTTTGGGAGAATTTTAAATTCGCTACTTTCCTTGTCAACTGGCCAAAAAATGAGAAAATTCAAAAAAAATCATCAAAATTCCAATATTTTCCTACCAAAAATTCACTGTTTCAAATTTCAGCTAAATTTTTAGAAGAATTCTAAATTCGATTCATTTCTTTTATTTTTAACAGGCTAAAAAATCTGAAAATTAGAAAAAATCATAAAAATTCCAATATATTTTCTTACCAAAAATTCACTGTTTCAAGTTTCTGTTGATTTTTTTCGGGTGAATTCTAAATTCACTACTTTGCTCAAATAAGGGGAAAAATCTTAAAATTACAAAAATCCAAAAAATTCCATTTTTTTCCAACCAAAAATTCACTGTTTCAAATTTCAGTTATTTTTTTTTTCTCAAATTTTGAATTCGCTACTTTTCTTATGATCTGGCTAAAAAATCTGAAAATTACAAAAAATCATCAAAATTCCAATATTTTCCTACCAAAAATTCACTGTTTCAAATTTCTGTTAATTTTTTTTGGGAGAATTCTAAATTTGATTCATTTCTATTATTTTCACCAGGCTAAAAAATCTGAAAAGTTTCAATATTTTCCTACCAAAATTCCACTGTTTCAAATTTTAATTAATTTTTTTTAGAGCATTCTAAATTCACTTCACTTATTTTTAAAAGGCTAATAAATCTGAAAATTACAAAAAATCATAAAAATTCCAATATTTTCCTACCAAAAATTCACTGTTTCAAATTTTTCATAAATCTAAAAAAAAAAATTGATTTGTGATTTTGATTCATTGATCATCATTACTGAAGATCTTACGTTTCGAAGATTTTTTTTCAAGAAAAATTTCGATTATTTTTTTCTTCGAGCGGAGCGAGTGTAGACCGCAAGCTTCCGCGTAAGCGGCACTATCTTCCGCGCAGCGGCAACGTTAGGCTAACTTTTAAATTAAGGAAGTTAAGCTAACGCGGAAGCTTTACACTCGCTCCGCTCGAGAGCCGCTCACGCGGAAGCTCGCGGTCTACACTCGCTCCGCTCGATACTCACCAATAAGTCCAACAACATTAACCGAAAGTGGTCTCGAAGTTTTTCGCAAAATCAAAAAATCCGAACTATTAGATCTCGGGCGTCGGAATGCGGTCTGCAAGAAAAATTTATTTTTTTTCAATTTCAGCTCACCCCATTTCCCACTCACATCATCATCATAAAAGCTATTATCATTTTTGTGTCTCAAATCATACACATCATCCACTTCACAATCGGCAATCTGAACCTTCCGACCACCTGCCAAATCACCGTGATTGCGACGAAACATTTTTTCGCCCATACTTCTCGAGTGCCACATATTTTTAAGACCACCTAGAAGTGATGGACGACGTTGCGGGGAAGATGTGGTGGTAACTCGCGGACGATTTGGTGGGGTTTCTAGAAGATTTGGGGATTTTTGGGTGGAAAATTCGAGTTCTTCGGGGAATTTTGGTCTAGAAATGATTTTCGGGGTATTTTTGGCACCAAAATTAGTGATCTATGTACAAATTATTGGACCTTTTTTTGGATTACTGTAGTTTTTGGCCTCTGAACATTCATGTTTTACAAATTTCTAGACCTTTTAGGTAGTTTTTGACCCCAAAAATCCACGTGGCACTAATTTTCTAATTTAAAAAATGTCACTGTTTCAAAATTTCCCAAAAGTTGAAAAAAACCTTCTTGAATAGCTGGAAGCATCAGAAATCGTGGAAATATTCTCCATTTTTAAATAGAATTTTTTCTGAGTTCTGAAATATTTTTTTAAAAACTTTTTCCGAATAAATAAAATGAAAAAACAAGAAACATATGTGTTTTTTCTTTTTTCTCATTTTTGTAAACATGTTGTTATTTTTTTTGGCGAAAAAAAAGAAAAGAACAAAGAAAGTGTAGAAAAACAACACCATTTGGCCAATTTCTATGGGAAAATGGGAAATTTTTTGAATTGCAGACGGAAATTTGTAAACAAGAGGAGAAAAAATCACAAAAATTGCCAGGAAAATTGGGATCTGGGGTGATTCATACAAAAAATCGTGATTTTTTTGGTCAATTTTTTTCGTATGAATCACCCCATTATGATAAAAAAATATCACTGTTTCAAAAAATTTCTAAATTTTGGATTTTATAAAAATCAATTCGATCTGGTCATCTTAACAAAAATCACACAAATTTCAAAATAAGATTTTTTTTCCACCAGAAATTTTTCAGAAGCATTTTACTGTAGATTTTTCTGAGTTACTGTATCTTAATTTTTTAAATTCAGAAAACTCAAAAATAATGTTTCAAAGAAAATTTCATTTTTTTATTCAGAAAAAATTTTACTGTTTCAGAAAAATCATAACTTTTTTGAAGAAAATTACAGATTTGATATTTTGGTTATATTTTGGGAAAGTGGAAAATTCCAGATTTGAATCTGACAATTCAGAGCGCAATTTTATTTCACTGTTTCAAAAATATCACAAAAATGTTTAATGAAAATTGAGAAATGATTACTTCATTTCTTTCAAAAATATCACTGTTTCAAAAAATTTCTAAATCTTGGAATTTGAAAATCATTTCGATCAGCTCTCTTTTTTGATTATGAAAGAAGTGAACCTTGAAATATTCACTGTTTCAAAAAAATCACAAAATTTTTCGGCGCAAATTGAAAATTAATACATGAGAGATCGAATTTTCAATAGTATTTTTTTTTGAAAAAATCACTGTTTCAAACAAATTATTAATTTTGGAATTTGAAAATTGTTTTGATTTAACTTGGTTACTATGAATATTCGAAACTTCAAATTTTTTTTAGATTTTTAAAGAAGTTTTGGTAAACCTGAAATATTCACTGTTTCAAAAATATCACAAACATTTTCGATGAAAACTGAGAAATGATAATTTATTTATGGAAAATCACTGTTTCAAATAAATTATTAATTTTGAGATTTGAAAATCATTTCGATCAGCTCTTTTTTTTGATTATGAAAGAAGTGAACCTTGAAATATTCACTGTTTCAAAAAAATCACAAAATTTTTCGGCGCAAATTGAAAATTAATACATGAGAGATCGAATTTTCAATAGTATTTTTTTTTTGAAAAAATCACTGTTTCAAAATTTTCATATAAATTTTTGGGATAAAACCAATGTTGATAAATTGTACGAAAATTAATTATAAAAGTTCAGAAAAAAATCACTGTTTCAAAAATATCCCAAAAATTTTCTGTGAAAATTGAAAATTAATAGTAATTGTTCATTTGCCAAGAAAAATCACACAAATTTCAACATCAAAATTTTTTGGGCCCCAAAAAACTCACCCTCATAGCAATTTTTGGCGTCATTATTGGTGGAATTCGCCGATTTCTCACAACCCTTCTCGATCATTGTCATTCGGTTCATTTTCCTGCAAAAAAGTGGATTTTTTTGGTCGAAAACTGTATTTTTTCTCTGCAAAAAAGAGAAAAAAGTGTAAAATTACAAAAAGATGATGAAAAAATAAACAAAAACAAAAACTTTTTTTTCTGCACAAAAATTGTGAAATTTTTTTGGGGGGAAAACAGAAAAGTCACGCGATATCTCAAAAACCGGAAGATTTTATTCAGACATTCTGGAGTACTGTAGATTTTTTGGTGATCTACAGTAACCCAGGTATCTGGGCACCAAAAAATTATAGATCAACTAGATTTCAGCTTAAAAATCTACAGTACCCTAAATTTAGGTCAGATAATTTTTTGAGCCTAAAAATCTACAGTAACCCAGGTTTTTTCAAACCCCTGAGTTACTGTAATTTTCTTGTTTTTTTTTAAATTTAAATAATCAAAGATCACTAACAAAGTTTCATAAATATAAAATTCCTTATCAAAAAAAAATAACCAAAAAAAATGTATGATGGCCTAGAAAACCAACGATTTTCTAGGCCACCAATATTTTTGAAACAGTAAATTTTTGTGTGAAACGAAGAAGAAGAAGAAATGAAACAAGAAAAAACTGAAGAAAGTGAGAGATTTGGAGACGGCGAGAGAAGTAGAGAAAAAGTTGTGTGCGGGTGCGGCGAGAGAGTGTGGTGAGGGAGGAGAGACGGCGAGAGAAGCAGAGGCGATTTGCACTTTTTGGTCAATAAATGGACGAGGAAAAAATGAAGGAAAAAAAAGAAAAAAAAAAAGAGAGGAAGAACAAATAAACAACACATTTTTAGATCAAATAAAATAAAAAAATACACATTTTTGTGTTGGAAAATAGAAATTGAAATAAAAATAGATCGATTTCAAATAAATATTATTGTTTTTTGGGTTACTGTAGATTTTTGGGCTAGAAAACAAGTTGATCTACATTTTTTTTTGGAAACTTTGTTGACACCCTTTTGGGTTACTGTAGATTTCTGGGCTAAAAACAAGTCGATCTACAGAATTCTGGATTTTTTTTGCACTTTTGTTGGGTTACTGTAGTTTATTCAGAGCCGCATTAGCGCGATCAACATTTTCGGAATTTTTTTTGGAATTTTTTTTGGGTTACTGTAGATCCACGTGTTTTTGGAACATTTTCTAGATCTTAGGGTTGAAAACAAAACTTTGTTGACACTTTTTTTTGGGTACTGTAGTTTTCTGGGCTGAAAACAAGGTGATATACAGAATTCTGGGTTTTTTTTGGGTTATTGTAGTTTTTTTCCGCCTAGAGTTTTTCTGATCTAAATTTTCGGAACTTTTTTTTCGGCACTTTTTTTCCGGGTTACTGTAGGCTATTTTAAGCCATTGTTCTCAAGTGCGAAAGGATTTTTGCCTCATGAAAAATTCCAGGGTTTTTTGTTTTTTTTTTTTGCGAAAAAAAATCTTTTTCCTTTTTTTCCTTTCTGAAAAAAGTGCATCATCAAAAAATCTTTTGAACTTTTTTTGAAAAAAATTAGAAAAAACCTGATTCGACAAAAATTATCAGACGATTTTTGGGCCCAGAAAAATCCAAAAAGAATTGAGAAAAAATAAAAATTGTCAAAACATCTGGGAAAAGAAAAAAGGGGCGGAGCCTGAAATGCGGTGCAACCCGGCACAGAACAAAAATGACCAATTTATTGATGGGCCAAAAAAAAGGGAGCTACAGTAACCCTAGAAAAAAACCTACAGTAATCTAGTGATTTTTAAAGGAACACAGGGATTTTTAGAAGCTACAGTAATTCAAAAATTCTTGAAGGGACATGGAGCTTCCACAGTAATCTGCAACAATTTTTAAAGGAACATAGAGATTCTCAGGAGCTACAGTAATTCAAGAATATTTAAAGGGACATGGAGCTTCTACAGTAATCTGGGACAATATTCAAAGGAACATAGAGATTCTTAAAAGCTACAGTAACCTTCCAGTTCTCCTAAATTTTCTAGCTATAAACTACAGTACCCCAAAATTCTAAAAATGTAGTTTCTGCCTAGAAAAAGTGTAGTCAGTGGTGACATAAATAAATAATTAATTAGAGCTGAGCCGACTTCTTGGAACTCATTTATATTCTGGAAAAGCTGAAAATTTTGTTTTTTTTTTGTCAGAGAAAAAAAAATACATTTTTACTCTGAAACAGCAGATTTTTTTCTGTTTTTTCAAGGAAAAATATATTTTTCTAGAAAAAAATCAGGAAAAATGAAATCACATATACACATAAAACATCTGCCAAAAACTGATGTTAGAAAAACATGGTGACAAAAAAAATTTGGTGCGCTGGGGCGCACTTGCTTCAGTCCCTGTGGACATTTTTTTTGGATTTTTTTGTTGCGCAAAAAATTTTTTCCCGGGAAAAATAGGTTTCAAAACTTTTTCAAATATTTTCACGCGGAAAACTTTTGATTATGAAAATTGAGAAAGTTCAAGCTACAGTACCCTCTAGAAATCTGTGCCGAGGAAAATCCAAAAATCTGTAGATCAACCCAAAACTACAGTACCCCTTGGGAAAATCCATGTGGCAAAGAATTTTTTATGAGATGAAAATTTTGTAGTTTTTCACTTGAGCCACGTGGCAACTACAGTACCCTCTGGAAAATGTGCCAGTAAATTCCGAAAATCTCAAGAAAATCGAAGATCAACTGGATTCTAGCGCAAAAAACTACAGTACCCCTAAAAAAATCCACGTGGCAGAATTTTTCCTGGCATTTTCATGAGATGAAAATTTTGTAGTTTTTCATCTGAGCTACGTGGCAACTACAGTACCCTCCAGGAATTGTGCCAGAGAGTTCCAAAAAATTTGTAGATCAACTATATTCCAGCGCAAAAACTACAGTACCCCGAGGGAAATCCACGTGGCAGTATTTTTTATGAGTTGAACATTTTGTAGTTTTTCATTTGAGCCACGTGGCAACTACAGTACCCTCTGGAAAATGTGCCAGTAAATTCCAAAAAATTTGTAGATCAATTGGATTCCCGCTCAAAAAACTACAGTACCCCTAAAAAATCCACGTGGCAGAATTTTTCCTGGCATTTTTATGAGATGAAAATTTTGTAGTTTTTCTTTTGAGCCACGTGGCAACTATAGTACCCTCTAAAAATTGTGCCAAAAAGTTCCAAAAAACTTGTAGTTCAACTGAATTCTAGCGCAAAAAACTACAGTACCCCTAAAAAATCCACGTGGCATTACAAAGCTACAGTAACCTCTAAAAATTGTGCCAAAAAGTTCCGAAATTTTTTTAGATCAATTGGATTCTGAAGTCAAAAACTACAGTACGCCGCTGGAAATCCACGTGGCAACTACAGTACCCCTAAAAATTTTGCCAAAAAATTCCGAAAATTTTGAAGATCAAGATTTTCACTGTTTCAAAAATCAAACATCCCATCCCAAAAAAATCCCATTTCGCAAACTTTTTCGAAACAAAGTTTAACAACATTTTTTCTAGTTTCATTAATTTATTTTATTTATTTATTCAGGTTTAGCTCACTATAAAAACCAAAATGAATCATTAGCAAACTCAAAATCACAAATTTCTGTGAAAAATGCAAGCCTTTGCACAAATTCTGTTGATTCTCTCAATTTTCGCCGCAAAAACCAACGCGGCTTGCGTGGATTTGGTGAACAGCGCAACCGGAACCAGCGACTGTCCCTACCGCACCGCCTATTGTACGGTGACCGCCTACGTCAGTTTGATGAAGGTGCAATGCCCAAAAACTTGTGGCTACTGTACTTCGAGCTCTACAAGCTCCTCGAGCTCCTCCAGCTCAAGCTCAACTTGCGTGGATTTGACGAATGCTTCGACTGGAGTCTCAGATTGCACCAGATTGTCATATTTGTGCACAAGTTCTGCTTATGTCACTTTGATGAAGACACAATGTCCAAAAACATGTGGTTACTGTACTAGTGAGTTGCTGGGGTACTGTAGATTTTTGTGTAGAAAATTAGAATCTACAAAAGGTCATATGCTACATAATACAATTAAAAAATAATGAACCTCAAATAAATTTGAATATTTTTTGAAACAATTTTTGAAACAGTGAATTTTATTCAAATTTTTTCTCTCGAAATTAGTTTACTGTACTTGAAAAACTACCGACAATAAAAAATTCTGAAATTCAAAACTTTTTGATAAAATTTTGAAACAGTGAATTATTTTTTCAAAAAAAAATAATCAAAAATTTGGTTTTGAAATCTTATTTTCATTCGATTTTCAGATAAAACAAGTGACCTGAAATTAAATTTTGAACAAAATTTTTCTAGAATTTTGTTAGTTAGGCTAACTGTACTGTAGAGAAAGAAAATTAATAGACTTCGCGGAATAAAAAATTCTGATTGCGAAACACAAAAAGTTTTTGATAAAATTTTGAAACAGTGAATTATTTTTTCAAAAAAAAAATCGAAAATTGGATTCTGAAAACTAATTTTCATCTTATTTTCAGATAAAAGAAGTGATCTGAAATTAAATTTTGAACAAAATTTTTCTCTTGAAGTTAGTTAGGCTAACTGTACTGTAGATTAATATACTACTCGAAGAGGCAAGTATCAGAAGTTCTGAAGTACAGAAATTTTTTGCTAAAATTTTGAAACAGTGAATTTTTTTTCAAAAAAAAATAAAAAATTGAATTTTGAATACTCATTTTCATCCTATTTTCAGATAAAAAAATGACCTGAAATTAAATTTTGAACAAAATTTTTCTAGAATTTTGTTAGTTAGGGTAACTGTACTGTAGAGAAAGATATATACTAGAAATCCCAGAATCAAAAATTCAGAAACACAAAATTTTTTGATAAAACTTTGAAACAGTGCATTTTTTTTTCAAAAAAAATCAAAAATTGGATTCTCAAAACTAATTTTCATCCTATTTTCAGACCTGAAATTAAATTTTGAACAAAGCCTTTGTTATGTAAAAATAGGTCAAACATGTGTCTTTAGGGCCCTAAAAGCACCATAAATCAGTTAGCCCGCAAAGTTTTATGATTTTCTGAACATCTGGTGAACGATTCAATTTAAGAAACATTTTCAAATCTTTAACAAAAAACTCTCAATTTTTTGAAACAGTGAATTTTTTTTGGGGGGAATTTCGAAAAAATTCTAGAAGCCTAAAAATAGTCTGAAAAATCTTCAATTTCAGGCTCCAGCTCTAGCTCCAGCTCCTCCAGCTCAAGCACAACTTGCGTGGATCTGACAAACGCCTCAACTGGAACTTCAGATTGTACCAGACTCTCATATTTGTGCACAAATTCCGTCTATCTCTCATTGATGAAAACACAATGCCCAAAAACTTGTGGTTACTGTACTTCGGGATAATTTTTGATTTTTTCCACATATTTTGTGGAATTCTAATTCAAGTAGTGGTATTTATAGATAAATTTTCATGCAAAAAGAAAAAAACAATGCGAATATTTTCAAAGCTTCAAAAATTGAATTATCAACTTTTTGAAACAGTGAATTTTTGTAGGGAAAAATTTCTGAATTCTAATAATTAATTTCAGAAAATTCACTGTTTCACAAAATTAACATGAAAATTTTAAGACCTGAAATTCTCCCTGAAAGTCTGAAAATCGCCCAGATTTTCAGAAAATCCAAAAATTTTCAGAAAATTTTGAAATTTTTTTCTCAAAAAAATTCACTGTTTCACAAAATTAATATCAAAATTTCCGGGCTTTTTTGAAAACTATTCAAGCAATCAGTCACGATTGAAAATGGCCTAGAATCCCAAAAAAATAGGCCGAAAAATAGGCCCAGAAGCCCAAAAAGTGGCCCAGAAAACAGAGAAATCCAAAAAATGATACGAAAACATTCACTGTTTCACAAAATTAATATCAAATTTTCAGGTTTTTTAAAAAGTATTAAAGTTCTTTCAGAATTCTAGTTTTCCTGTGCAAAAATTCAACCTTAAATTAGCCTAACTCTTCATTTTCCCATCAATTTTTCACATGAAAAAAGCACCTCAATTTTCTCGCCACTTATCAAATCTCGCACAACAATCGGAATTCCCTTCTGTCCCACATTTTTCGACAAATCAATTTCGAGCCATTTTGTGGGATTCGGTTGCGTTGAAACTACTTTACCGTCCATTGAAATTCTGAAAAAATCGATAATTTTTTAAATACAGTAATTCACAGCTACAGTATCCACTTACTCCGCCAAAATATCCTTGTCAAAAACCAGCGTGGCTGGTCTGGAGAAGCTTTCGAGTTCAACGACTTGTCTCAAGCCATCCGGGTTTTCTGGAAAAACATTGGGTTACTGTAGGCTAGAGGGGTACTGAAGGAATCTCATTTTGACATCTACAGTACCCCCTGAACCTTACAGTAATCTAGAACTCACTCTTCAAAATCACATCATTTTTCGCCTTCACCAAATTGAAAGGCGCCGAATTCACAGCAAAAATCACACCAAAAACGACGAAAATTTGAAAATTTTTCATTTTTGCTGATTTTTCTTGGATTTGGCACACACTTTTTTATAGTAACAATGTTCCCAGACACACATTAGGCTAATTTTTAATTTTTGTGGGAATTTTTTTGCGGTCATAATTTATTATTGTGTAATAAATCTGTTTTGTTACAAAAATATATAGATTTCACTTTCTTTGAAGAAAAAAACCGCGGGGGAAAAATAAGAAAGAAGAAATGTATAGGTAGTCATGAGGAAAGAGGTATTTTTGACGGCGGTTTTGGCAATTGTTTTTGGTGATGCAGCGATTTTTGAGAGGTTAGTTTGGGAGATTTTTTTGATCCAATGAAATTGGATTTTGAATTGGAAATTTATGTGGAAATTTTGAAACAGTGAAATTTTTCTCAAGTTTTTTTTGATTATCTAGGAATGAGGTTATTAAAATTCAATTTTTTGGAAAAATTTATGAGAAAATTTTGAAACAGTGAATTTTTTCTCTTGCTTTTTTGATTTTTTAGTAATTCCGTTATTAAAATTTAATTTTTTAAAGAAAATTTATGTGGAAATTTTGAAACAGTGAATTTTTCTCATTTTTTTGTTGCTGTAATTCCCCGTATAAAAGTGGATTTTGAATTGAAAATTTATGAGAAAATTTTGAAACAGTGAATTTTTTTTCTTGTTTTTTTTTCACAATCTACAAATTGTGATATTAAAATTCAATTTTTGGAAAAATTTATGAAAAAATTTTGAAACAGTGAATTTTTGAAAGTATAATAATTGTACTTGAACATCGGCTGGAATTTTTTCTAGAAAATATATATTGAAACAGTAGAATATTTATTGTCTATTTTTAATAGAATTAGAATCTAATTCGAATAAAATTGGATTTTGAAACGGAAATTTATAGAAAAATTTTGAAAAAATTCTGTCAACAAAATTTGATTTTTTAAAGAAAATTTATAAGAAAATTTTGAAACAGGAAATTTTTTCTCAAGTTTTTTTGACTATCTACGTAGGAATAGTGTCATCAAAATTTAATTTTTTAAAGAAAATTTATGTGGAAATTTTGAAACAGTGAATTTTCCTCTCTTTTTTTAGCTATTCAAAAAAAAATGATGTCATCAAAATTCAATTTTTTTCAAAATTAATGGGAAAAATATGAAACAGTAAAATTTTTCTCTTTTTTTGTTGGATATCTAGAAATTATCGAATAAAATTATATTTTTTGGCAAAATTAAAAAGGAAATTTTGAAACAGTAAAATTTTTCTCTTTCTTTTTTACCACCTAGGTCAATAAAATTTGATTTTTTTTTGAGGAAAATTATGAGAAAATTTTGAAAGAGTGAAATTTTCTATAGGAAATTTGCAATTTTTCACTGGAACAGAAGAATATTGCTGACAATGAGGTTATTAAAATTTAATTTTTCGACAAAATTAATGAGTAACCTTTGAAACAGTGAAATTTTCTCATTTTTTTTAGCTATTCAAAAAAAATGATGACATCAAAATTCAATTTTTTGCAAAATTGATGAGAAAAATTTGAAACAGTGAATTTTTCTCATTTTTTTGTTGCTGTAATTCCCCGAATAAAAATGATTTTGAATTGGAAACCATACATAAAATAGGTCCCCCGAGTCCGTATTCAAAGTTAGGGTCCCTCCTTGAAAATTTTCCAAAGTTAAACACCTTCCTCACATTTTTGAGCGAATTTTGGACAAATCTAGGAATTTTGGTAAATTATCAGCAGAAAATTGGCCAAGTTAGACACCCTTCCCTTCAGATTTTTGAAAAAAGTTAAGCCCATACATGTTTTTCTATCCGGAAGGCCCTTCGGGTTAAAGACCCCTTTTTGTCAAAAATGAAAAAGTTAAAGACCCTCCACCGGAAAAATGAAGAACAAAAATACTGCCAAAAATCAAAGTAAAACCTCTAGCCCAGAACCGAACCTTTGTAGCAGGATTAGAAAGCGCGAGGCTAACCGACTGCTCTATGCTCTCGTTGTTTTCTCCTCCTTTGTTTTCCCTTGTTATTATAGTTGGACATGGTTCGAAAAAAACCGAGCGAAACCAGTTTTTTGGTTCGCTCACTCATTTGGTTTTCGGTTCGCCCATTTGAAATGGTTTGGTTTGGTTTTGGTTCGCTCACTCATTTGAAAACCGGTTTTCGCTCAAATGTCAACTGGTTTTGGGGTATTAGGTATTGATGAATTTCGAGGTTTTCGGCTATGGAGATTCACGTGATGGACTTATTTTCACGTATAATCACTCTTAAAGGCACACACCAAGCAAAAAATTTTTTTTTTCGAAAAATTGGGTATTTGGGCACGGGGAACATTTTGGTGAGGTTTACGCTCCAAAACAGACTTTTAAAGACACATGCCAGGTTATTATACATTTTCGAGACACAAAAACTATTTTAGCCAAAATGCGTATTTTCACTCCTTAGGAGCAACATTTGAATTTCGGTCCGATGAGAAAAAATTTAGCTGACGACGAGAACGTCAAAATGGCTGTCGAAATTTTGAAAAAGCTCAATAGATGACAGAGTTATGATCGTTTTAGTTTTTGTGTCTCGAAAATGTATAATAACCTGGCATGTGTCTTTAAAAGTCTGTTTTGGAGCGTAAACCTCACCAAAATGTTCCCCGTGCCCAAATACCCAATTTTTCGAAAAAAAATTTTTTTGCTTGGTGTGTGCCTTTAAGAGTGATTATACGTGAGAAGAAGTCCGTCACGTGAATCCCCATAGCCGAAAACCTCGAAATTCATCAATACCTAATACCCCAAAACCAGTTGACATTTGAGCGAAAACCGGTTTTCAAATGAGTGAGCGAACCAAAAACCAAAACCAAACCGAAACCATTTCAAATGAGCGAACCAAAACCAAATGAGTGAGCGAACCAAAAAAACTGGTTTCGCTCAAACCATTTGAAAAACCACTCATGTCCAACTATACTTGTTATGCAACACTCATCTTTTTTCTTTTTTTTTGTTTTTTTCACAGACAATTCAAATCAAAAGCAAAACTTAACAGCTTAACGGCAACCAAATGAGCTAAAAATTTTCACAGCTCTACTTCAAGATATTTCACAGGGTTCGAAGACCTAAAACTTTCAAATAAAGACCGTTTTAAGGGAAATAAAGACCTATCCGGAAAAGTATAGTGTCATCCTATACTTTTCCGGATAGGTCTTTATTTCCCTTAAAACGGTCTTTATTGGAGGTTTTTAGGTCTTCGAACCCTGTGAAATATCTTGAAGTAGAGCTGTGAAAATTTTTAGCTCATTTGGTTGCCGTTAAGCTGTTAAGTTTTGCTTTTGATTTGAATTGTCTGTGAAAAAAACGAAAAGAAAAGAAAAAAATGATGTGGGCGGAGCCAGGTGCAATGAGAGATATGGTGTGTGGCGCTACCAGCGAACTGTCGGCGATGAGAGATATTGAAATATTTCGCGTGATGCAGAATGAAACAAGGCGAAATTTTTGTGGAAACCGTGCTCCTCTTTGAAAGAAGAAGCTGATGCAGAGGTAATTTTGATGACTTGAGAAATTAATAGTAATTTTTTTCATAAAAGTTAACGACCTATTTTTCATGAAAAATAAAAAAGTTAACGACCCTATTTTATACTTTTCCGGACCAAAAACATGTATGGTTAAGCCCCTCACCCCGATTCTGGGGACCCATTTTATGTATGTTGGAAACTTATGAGAAAATTTTGAAAAAGTGAATTTTTTTTTATTTTTTTGTTGATTATCTAGAATTTATCTAATAAAATTATATTTTTTGGCAAAATTAAAAAAGAAATTTTGAAACAGTGAATTTTTAATACTATAATTGTATTTGAAAATCGGTTGGATTTTTTTCTAGAAAATTTATGAGAAAACTTTGAAACAGTGAATTTTTCCTCCAGCCCCACCTCCACCCAAATCCGCACCAAACGCAACGATTTCACCAACAACTACGGCTACGGACCATTCGGTGTAGGACCAACAAATGGCGGTTTCGACAGTCACGGTTTCTACCGCGACAAATTCTACAATTCCGGTCTGCCACCGTTGTACACTCACGCGGCTTATCGCAATTATTATCATGAGATATCGTTCCACAAGAATAAATATGGAAAACCGGCGCCGACCGATTTTGAAGTCTTGCAACAGGAAAGATTTGGACCGTATTATGATGGAGTTTGGGGATATTCGGATCATTCGAATAATTGGTTCGGAAAACGATAATTTTTGTTGTGAAAAATTGTATAAATGTATTAATTGTTGAAATCGCAGAAAAACACGCAAAAAAAATAAAAAAATGACACCATGACGCAAACTTGCACACTTTTTCTTTTCTTTTTTGAATACTAGATTTTTGGGCCTAGATTTTGATGAGTTAGCCTAACTTTTTTCAATTTTTCCCGAAATCCCTCCCCAAAAAACTCACCAATCGCTTCTAATCACACAAAAATCATCGAAAATCCAAAATCCTCGAAGTTTTCCACATTGAAATCGAATTGTCCATCAATATTTCAAGCTGAAAATCAGAAAATTTGAATTTTTCATGAGTTCTGCTAACTCCATTTCCCCGGAAAATTGAAAACCCAGCGAAAAAAAACGAAAAATGAAAATGTTCTCGTGTTGCGCTAAACAGCGGGCAAGCCGGCAAGCGCGGAGTGTCGTTTGCAAAAATAAAAAGACGTCGGTTCTGAATGTATATTTAGAAAATCAGTTTTTGCGTGACATTTTTTTCACGTCCCACTCCAAATTCTGTCTTTTTCTCTGTGTCTCTCTCGATTTGCATTTCAAAATTTTTATTTAGCCACCAACTAATTTCCAGGCGCCGGTCTGCAACAAACCGCTCGCAATTTTGGAAGATGTTTTTTACGTAAAAATTTTAAAATTCAAAAAAAAAATTTCAAAAAACAAAAACAAAAAAATGCCGGTTCGCGTCGAGACCCGTGTGTGTATGCAATGTTCCTTTGACAAAAATACCGTAGTGTTTTTCAAAAAAATTTTTATTTTTGTTTGCTCGCCTAAAAAAGTTTTTTCTCCTCGTGTGTAGATCAAAGTCACACTGTATTTTTTCTTGCCAGTTCTGAGAGACGCAGACTTTAACGTGGGCAGACAAATCTCTCGCCGAAAAGGGGAGAGAAATAGTGTGTGGCAGACACACATCGTGTCGAGACCAGTCTCTTTCTCTCTCTGTCTGCGTCTCCTCGGAATTGCATTTTTCTATTAGAAAAAAACACAGTGGTCAACCCGCGAGCGGGAAATATTTTTCTAGAAAACATTTTTCTAGGGCCGCGCGGTTTTGAGACCGCCACTTCATTTTTCGAGGTTTTCAAGCTGCAAATTCAATTTTTCTAGTTTTCCAGACTACTAACAAGACATGGCAAATCAATTCGATGATCTAAACGTAACAAGTGCAGAACTCCAATCCGCGCCTCCAAAAAAACAACCAGGAACACGGGGAGACGTTCAAAAATTCAAAACTAACGCCCAAAAAATCACACTCGATCGAAATTTGGCGCTCTTCAAGTATGACGTGGATATCAGACTAATCTTTCGAAAACCCGATGGAAGTGAAGGCAAAAAATCATTGACCAAAGGACCACGCAACGATTGTCATTTGCAATATCGCGTGAAATATGCAGCAATAGCGCTGAAAGTCGCGTTAACAGAAAGAATTGCAGAGGCGGATTATTTCTATGATTTGCAAGCGAATCTGTACTCAACAACGCAACTCAAAGAAGATATCGTGAGTAACACGCGCTCCACCCAAATAAACACGCAACGCAGACCTTGAACCGTTCCCTTATTTGTGTGGTGCGGCGCGGTCTGCGTTGCGTGTCTATTTCGGTCCAAAAAAATAATGCAAAACATTTTCAGCATCTAACACTTCCTCCAGGAGATGTTATCCCAGACGATGCAACTTGTATCAACGTTAAAGTCAGCATCACAAGAGTTGCCGACACGTTCCAAGTTTCCACCAACGACACCGCAAGAACAGTCAACGCAGTCTACGGAACAGCCGACGTCACTCTTCTCGAAGCTCTCAACACGTGCGTCAGTGGTTCGTTGCTCGATCGAGACAATCTACTCAGCTACAAAGGTCATCACTATTTTGCCAATACACCCGAACTTCAACAACGAAATCTGTTGGCAGAGATTCAAGGTTCACAATATCTTCGAGTTGGAATCGCGGAAGCTGTCAAACCGTACGAGGTTCGAGATGAGAAGGGAAAATTGGAAGAAAATCAAGTTGCACTTCATTGTGTTGTTGATATGAAGAAGACTGCTTTTCATGAGGATTATGTGATTTTGGTTGAAAAGTTCAGGGCGATTTTAGGTTTGAATTTCAACGTACGATTTCCTCCTATCAGCTCAAATGATCCAAATGGCAAATTTTTGCTAGAAAAAGTGAAAGGTAATAAAATCAACGAAATCGGGAAACAATCAATATTATCGAAAATCTCACCACGCGATCCACCGAAATAAACACGCAACGCATACCGCCTCGCGCCACAACACACAAAAAAGGGAGGGAATTTTAATCGTTCCCTTTTTTGTGTGTTGTGGCGCGACGCGGTCTGCGTTGCGTGTTCATTTCGGTGGAGCGCGTGATGAGATTTTCGATAATATTGATTGTTTCCCGACCGCGACGCACAGCCGCACGCGACTGACGATGAAAAATGTTATAATAGTTTGTTTTAACATTGAAAGATCAAAAGTCAGGTAAAAATTAAAAAGAGTGTTTTAGCCAAAAATGATGAAAAATCGACGATTTTTAAGCGTCCGAGGTGAATTCTGGTAAAAAATTGACTTTGGTTTCCACTTTTAAGAAGAATCAGCAAAAACTTCTATAAAGTGGATTCCTAGGGTCAGTTTTTACCAGAAATCACCACAGATGCTTGAAATTCTTCGATTTGTCATCATTTTTGGCTGAAAAACTCGAAAAAATTAATTTTGACCTTTTTGACTTTTCTTGAATTGATCTTTCAATGTTAAAAAAAACATTTATAACATTTTTTTCGTTCGTGAATCGTCAGTCGCGTGCGGCTGTGCGTCGCGGTCGGCATACATGAATTATTAGAGAAAATGAATATTCTTCAGGATTGGTTGTTCATCTCAATTATGCCCGCAACCTAAATCGAGGCGAATTTGCCAAATCAATAATCATCGGAGGATTCGGTCCACCACCCTCAAGAGTTCGATTTGATTATAATGGCGAAAACACCTCGATGGTCCAATACTTCGAAACACGATTTAATATAAACCTTGCCTATCCAAATCTCTTCACAGTTTTCGACAGAAAAAATCCCAATGTGTATTTTCCACCGGAACTTCTTCTACTCGGCGAAAAACAGCGTGTAACAAGTCGACAATTGCTTGCCGAAGGACAACGCGCATTGGTGGAATCGACGGCGATTCTGCCGGCTTTGCGAGAGCAACAAACGCGCACTCTTGCGACAATGGTTGGTTTGGCTGGCGATAATGCGAATGAAAAACTCGAATCAACTGGAATCCATATTGATCGCAACAATCTTCTAGTCAATGGCAGAGTTTTGCCAAGTGCCAAGATTATTGCTTTTGAGAGAGAAACTTCTATGACCAAGAATAGTTGGACGTATCGCAAGTTCCTAAAACCTATGAGAATGCCTCAATGGACGCTTGTCATTCTCCAGGTTCTAATCGATCAAGATAATTTCTTGAAGAAATTGAGAGATCGAGTTACGGCAACTGGAATGGTATGGAATCGACCAGACACAATTATTCGAAAGAATGATGGTGATCAATATAGTGTTGAGAATATTATGTCTGCACGAAAAAAAGCTGGGACGAAATTTGTGTTTTTTGTTGTCAGGGATAAACTTGAGTTTCATCGTAAGTTGACTCAACTTTCACATGACGTGGCAAATTTGCTCTTTTGGACCATCAAAATCATGTTTTTTCACTTCAGAACCATTAAAATCATGTTTTTTCGCCTCAGAACCATTAAAATCATGTTTTTTCGCTTTGGGACTATAAAAATCCTCAAATTTCGGTCTAGGAGCTAGAAAATCTTGCTTTTTTGCTCCAAGATCCAAAAATTCTGCTGAATTTGCTCTAGGACCCGAAAAATTATCAGTTTTCGCTCTAGGACCCAGAAAATCATGTTTTTTCGCTCCGGGACCATCAAAATCATGTTTTTTCGCTCCAGCACCCAGAAAATCATGTTTTTTCGCTCTGATACCATTAAAATCATAAATTTTCGCTTCAGGACCCGGAAAGTCATGTTTTTTTTCGGGTCAGAATCATTAAAATCATCAGTTTTCGCTCTAGGACCCAGAAAATCATGTTTTTTCGCTCTGGGACCATTAAAATTATTTTTTTCGCTCTGGGACCACTAAAATCATCAGTTTTCACTTCAGGACCTAGAAAATCATGTTTTTCTAGCTTTGGGACCAATAAAATCGTGAATATTTTTTGAAATTTGCCACGTCATAGCTCACATTGAGTTTTGCAAATTTCGTTTTCACGAAAAAAACCTTTATCTTGTTCAGAAGAAATCAAACTACTGGAGCATAAATATGATCTACTAACTCAAGAAGTTCGCGGAACAGTTGCTGTCGAAATCGTCAAAAAAGGCCAACCAATGACTGTGGCGAACATCGTGAATAAAATGAATTTGAAGTTGGGTGGATGTAATTGGGAAGTTGCCGGATACACACAGGCTGGTCAGGATATTATCCGAGGCTCGCAATATCTCTGTCAAACAAACGTCTATCGTCCGCTGATTGTTGGATTCGAAACATCAATGGGTCTTGTCGATAATTTGGTGTGTGTTGGATATTCGGCGAATCCAACTAAGCAGATGCAAAATTTTATTGGCAATTACAAATATGTTAAGCAGCATAGTAATGTAAGCAGGGGTTTTTTACGTTTCAACGGAAAATGTTCAAATGCACTTCTTCACCAAAAAGTGAAGTTGAACATAGTAAATTTCAGAAAAAAGAAATATGGCCGAACTATTCCGGTGGCCGAGAAATGTCGGGAATTCGGCCACTCGCTTCGATACGATTTTCGCAACATTAGAGCGAGTTTGTGGCTTTGGCTGAATTCGCGACGTTTCTCGGCCACCGGAATGGTTCGGCCACATATTGTGGAATTAAAAAAATGTGGCAGAGGAAAAAAGAGTCAGCTAGTCCCTCGTAAATATTTCGAAAATGAATGAATGTCTGTGTGTGCGCGCAGTCGCGATGCGGTCGAAGAAATCAACATTTTTGAAGGAAAACAATGCAAAAAATTGCCGATATTGATTTTATTACGACCGCATCGCGACCGCGCGCACACACAGACATTCATTCATTTTCGAAATATTTACGAGGGACTAGCTGACTCTGTTTTCCTTTGCCACATTTTTTTAATTCCACAATATATCTTTACATTTTTTTCTGAAATTTATTATGTTCAATTTCAATTTTTTGGTGAAGTAAGTGCATTTTTAATTTTTAAAAGTGCCCATAATTTAAAAAATACAACAAAAAAAACGTGATTTTACAGATTTATGGACAAGTTCTTCGCTCAGCGTTGGATGAAATGTTGGACAGATTTGTTGAAGCAAATAGGGAAAAAATGATGCAAATCCTGCCAACCCATTTATATATCTATTTGAATGGTGTATCCGAAGGACAATATCATTTGGTTGCCAATAGCTATTTGCAAATTGTGAAACAAGTGTGTTTAGCAAGACGTCCAACTCCAAAATATCAACCAAAAATATCGATTATGTGTGTCTCGAAGACTCCAAACGAACGAATCACTCGGGTGAAACCAACAGGAGAAAAGGCTTCACTGCAGAATATTCCACCAGGAACCTGTATTGATACAATGATTGTTAACCCGGTGATCAATGAGTTTTTCCTGAATTCGCATTTAGCGATTCAGGGGACAGCGAGAACCCCAAAATTCTCGCTGGTTGTTGATGTTCCGGGAATGGATATGGATTTTCACGAGGGCCTGGCACATCAATTGTCGTTTTTGCATGGAATTGTTAGCTCGACGACGGCTCTTCCCGCTCCGCTTGTTGTTGCTGATCGATATGCGAAACGTGGCAGGGATAATTATAAAACACACTTCAAACGACGCGATGTTCCAAGGTTGGCAGATTCGGAAGAGGTGGATTTTGAGCAATTGAATAAACTTCTAACATATACTGAAAAAGAGCTGGTCAAAGTACGTTTCAATGCTTAAAAGGCTATAATTTATTGTATATTTATTTATTTATTCACATTATTTTTGAAATTTTTTTGAAAAATTTTCACTATTTGTATGTATTTTTGGCCTTGTACTTATTAACTGCTCAATAAACATGTCATTTTTTAAATCCCCCAGAATCTCAAAATGCAGTGTTCCTCAAAAATTTGACGAGTCGGATTATATGACAGCCGGTTGGGTCACTTCCCCCCATTTTCGCTCTGTGATTGCAATTAGCCACGTGGAAATAGTGTGGAGATGTGAGAGAGTGCAGAGAGCGAATATTATGGAGGAGAAGAAGTGCATTTCGATAATCTTGTCTCTTTTAGTCGCCTCGTCTAAAAGCACTTGAGATGTTTGGAAGGATTTTGATGATGCAAATTGGAAGCTTAGTTGCCACGTGGCAAACTGGAAATATTAAAACCAAAAAATATTTCACATGATAAAAGGCGGAATTAGATTTAGTTTTGTTGAAAAATAATTTCTAAACATTTTGAAACAGTGAACTTTTTTCAAAAAAAAAAAAGAATTTTTTCAGGGTAAAAATTGGAAATGATTGGTGGTTTGAAAAATGGATTTTTTTTCTGGAATTTTTGAAACAGTGAAGTTTTTTTGCAAAAAAAAATCAGTATTTTTTTTCATTGACATTTGGATTTCCACGTGGCAAAATGCTGCTGCAGAAATTTCCACGTGGCTGAAAAAAATTTTATCAAAGAATTGAAAACTGGAATACGTTTTGTTAAAAATAATTTCGTTTTGTTAAAAAATAATTTCTAAAAATTTTGAAACAGTGAACTTTTTTTTAAGTCACATTTAGATATTGGGGATAAGGAAAATAAATTTCATTTCATGATTTTTTGAAACAGTGAATTTTTTTGGTGGAAAATTGTTTTTTGGGTCTTGGAAATTTCAAGAAAAATGCCACGTGGCTGAAAATCTGAAAAAATTTTATCAAAAGAAAATTGGAAATTAGAATAAGTTTTGTTAAAAATAATTTCTTTTCTAAAAATTTTGAAACAGTGAACTTTTTTTTCATAAAAAATTAGAATTTTTTATTGAAATTAGGTTGTTTTGGTTGGAAAATGCTGAAAATTTAGCGATAAAAATTGCCACGTGGCTGAAAATCTGAAAAAAAAATTTTATCGAAAAACAAATGAAAAAATTAGATTAGTTTTGTTAAAAATAATTTCTAAAAATTTTGAAACAGTGAATTTTTTTTTCGAAAAAAATAGGATTTTTTATTTTTTCAGTTTGGTTTTCCACGTGGCAAAAAACAATTCTGAAACATCAATTTTCACCATCGAAAAAATGTAAATTAGATTTATCTTTGTTCAAAAATTATTTCTGATCTTTCTGAAACAGTGAATTTTTTTTTGAATTTGAAAATAAGCTTTGAAGTTTTACAGAAAAGTTCCACGTGGCTAAAAATATGAAAAAATTTTATTAAAAAAATGTAAATTAGAAAAAGTTTTGTTGAAAATTTTTTTTTTCATAAAAAAATAGGATTTTTCATTGAAGTTTGGTTTTCCACGTGGCAAAAAACAAAAATTCTATAACAATTTTGTTCCCTAGCGAAAAAGTTGGAAATTAGATTTAGTTTTGTTGAAAATTTTGTTACGAATATTTTGAAACAGTGAATTTTTTTACCCAAAGCAAAAAATTCAGCGCACCCAAAAATCCTGTCATTTTTCATTCAAGGTCCCCAATGTCCACGCGGCTTTCTTTTTTTTTCAAAAAAAAAAACGTAAAAATTCTCACAAATCATAATCTGTAGCTTCTTCCTTTTCAGATCTCAAGGGACCATTTTATTTCCGCGAAAAAAAATAAAAAAGTTTCAAAAGATTTATAAAATGAAAATCAAAATCAAAACACCGTGTCAGGAGAAGAAGCTCATCTAGAAATAAAATAAAATAAAATTCACACAAAAAAAAAGTTTGAGATCAAAAAAAGTGGATGTTTAGGATCCGAGGGTGTTTAGAACCCTCTGAAAAATCAAATTCAAATCGCCAATTCAAAAGTGCACTCGAGTTTCGGAATCGGCACATATTCTTTGTTTCGTGGTTGGTGGCGAGCACGTTCGACCATTTCGCGCAACTCTTCTGAGCGAAGCTGCAAAAATCGATATTTTTTGAGGCCAAGGGGGTACTGTAGGCTACAGTACTTTGGAAAAATGTTCTAGGTATATTGTTTTGAGATTTTTGGAATACTGTAGATCTAGGATTTCCAAATATTGAATCTACAGTAATTTAACACCAGGAGGGTACGGTAGATACAATATCCTGAAAAGTTGGTCTACCTGACTTTAGGATACGGTAGCTACAGTAACCCAAAAAATTTGTTAGATCTAAATATAGGTTTAGAAGGTTACTGTAGCTTTGATTTGTTGTTGATAGGAGCTGACCCTACAGTAATCCAAACATTGTCTAGACTTGAGAATAGGCTTTTAGGATTACTGTAGTAACTTGTGGTACTGTAGAATGGGAAAACCACAGTACTTTTTCTCTCTTTAAAAATTGTGCCAAAAGATTCAAGAAAATTTGTATATAAAAAAATCCAGATGAAGCTACAGTAACCCTTTCAGAATTTCCAAAAATTTGTAGATAAAGAAAATCCAGGTAGAACTACAGTACCCATTCAGGAAAACAGTGCCAAAAGATTCCAAAAAAAAAATGTGGATCACAAAAATCTGGATGGATCTACAGTACTCTTCATATCCTCAAAAATTGTACCAAAAAATTGTAGATCAAGTGAATCTTGCTGTAGTACGGCCCAAACTAAAAGGCCTTATTCTGGACCGGCCCGGACCGGGCCAACTCAATTTCAAATCCTACCTGCAACTCCAAAATCTGTTGATCCAGTTCATGCAAAAATTCATCTCTCGCCAATTCATCGTCCGTAAATTCCCGGCGTTTTTCACTGATAACTCCAAAAGGCTGTGCATAAATCGGTTCGAATGGTCGATAATTACAATTCACCAAATCAATCGGTTCTCGGTCACGAGGCGAGATTTGAGAAGAGCTCCAAGGCTCCGCGTAAATTGGCTCATCTTCTCGGGATTCTGGAGAGTTCGAATAACTCGATGTGGAGCCCAAAATGAGCTCATGATAGAGCTCCTCCTCCTCATCATCAATGAAATTTGCGCATTTTTGATGTTGTTGGAAGTTGAAATATTTTCCACCCCAAACCATCGAAGTGTCAGGGCTGAAAGGAGAAATTTTTTTGAAAAAAAAATTTTTTTTTGGAGCCATACCCCTTCAGAGCAAAACAAATATTATGCTCATAATTGAATTAAAAGGGATTAGTGTAATTTATTTTTGCTATGTCATCTGCCAGCAAGCAGATGACACATTTTTGAAACAGTGGAAAAATTTTAATTATTTTTTTTTCATAAAAATTTGAAACGTAGAAAATTGTGGATTTTTTTTGCTCTAGGCTTATCAGATATCAAAATGCTCCAAATTTTCGCGCGCCAATCCGCAACGCACCTCGAATCATGCGACGCGTATCCCGAACTGCACATGCTCGTATCCGGACTCGCCACACACAATGAAGCTGGCAAATTTCGTGGTTCCTAAAAATGTAATAAATTTTTTTCTGTATAGCAGAAATTTATGACCCAAAAACCTTATTTAGGTCATAAAATTTATATAATAAGGCTATAAAATTTTCGGGAAAAGGAAAAAAAGAGTTACCCAGTTTCTCGTGGAACTTGTCATTGAACTTGTGCCTGATGTTGATGAGCTGGAGATCCAGGGATTTGTTCGGATTTTCTGGAAAAAATTGGGATGAGCCTAGAAAAACTTGAAAGGCCTAGAAGCTTCCAAAAAAAAGGTCTAGAATAGTCTAGAAGCCTGGAAAAATGAGCTGAGCCTAGAAAGGGCCTAAAATAGCTTGGGAAAAAACTTGGAAAGCCTAAAGGCTATGAAAATTGCTTGAAAGCCTCTAACAATCAAAAAAAAGGCCTAGATTAGCTTAGAAGCCTGGAAAAATGAGCTGAGCCTAGAAAGGGCCTAAAAATAGCCTAGGAAAAAGCCTGCAAAGCCTAGAGATTACCCGAAAGCTTCCAAAAAATCAAAAAAGGGCTAAGAAAGGGCCTAGAAGCCTGGAAAATTGAGCTGAGCCTAGAAAGAGGCCTGGAATTAGCCTAAAACCCCAAAAAATACCCCATAATTCTAAAATACTGCCTAGGATTTCAGAAAAACCTTGAAATTCAGGATTTTCAGATCTTGCTTCTAGAATTTCTAAACTTCTAACATCAATAAAACAATGCTGAAAAAATTTCCAGAATTCTAGATTTTTCAAAAAGTTCTGAACTTCAGGAAATTAATTTCAAATTTCTGAAAAAAAAATTCAAAATTCTCTCCCCTCATGTAATGTAATCCTCTAATTCCCCTTCTCCCCCAATCCTGTCAAATAATTCAAAAATCAGATTAAAAGTGCGTGCACACAAATGACTAAGATGGATTGGTTTGATATGAAAAGAGTATGTAAATGAGTATACACATTACTTTTATTTGATTTGATGTGGCCTAGAAACATGTGTGGCCTAGAAATCCAGATTGCGGCCCAGGAATTCTAGGCCCTCAAACATCGAGATCAAATTTGAACAAATCACGTTTTTTTGGCTTCTCAAGTGTTACAAAAAAAATCGCGAGGTTACAAGGTAAATAAATAAAACACTGTGCTATTTATTAATTCGAATTAGAAAAAAAAAATGTTTTGATGAACTTAGAAGCTTTAGGGGATTTTGAAACCATTTTCAGAGGCTTCCAGACAATTTTCAAGGCTCCTAGGCTTTTCGGGCCCACCCCAGGCCACTTTTAGGCCCTTTCTAGGCTTAGATAAATTTTAGAGGCCTCTAGGTCTTTCTAAGCCTCCTTCGGCCCGATCCCCCGACTCACATTTCGTCTCGGCATCGAATTCACATCAAAACCCTGCATTGTTGGAGGCGGTGGTGGAAAATTGAAATTGGTGAGGGTTACTGTAAGTCAGGGGATTATTCAAAAAACTTTTTTTTTGAAAAATGAAAAAAATGATGATGGATTTGCATAATTTTTGACTTTTTGGAAAATTTTGAAATCAAAAAGCTCAATTTTTTGTCCAAAACACAAGTCAAATTTAAAATGCAGTGAAAAAAAATAAGGAAAACCCACCTGGTCCCCGTGTCGTCTGCGATTTATTGGCGACTTTGTCGCGTGTCGCGTCATTGACTCGCGACGTGTTGCGACGTCGCCGACGTCGCGCGTCGCGGTTTAGCGATAGTTGATCGAACCAACTTTGAATTCGTTGCATGACTGGAAAAATTTGGGAGATTTTAAGGGGGAAATTTAAAAATCAAGAGTTCAAATTTAACGCTTAAAATAAGGCCTAAAACTAGGCCGAATAGGGCTCGGAATTTGGGCCAAAGGTGGTCTCAAAAATCGAATTTCACACTCAAAATTGATATATTATTAGGCCCAAAAAGCCCAGAATTAGGCTTGAAATATGAAAAAGGCCTTAGAATCATATTTTTTTTTAAATTCCTAAATTTGAATAAGCCTTAAAAGTAAGGGGCTTAGAAAATAGGCTAAAAAGGGCCTTACAACAATATATCCTAGAATTAATCCTCCAAAATTTAGGGTCAAAATTAGGGTGCTAAATTTAAGGCCTAAAATTACAGTTAAAAATTAAGGCTCTTAATTAGCTCCCAAACTTTGGGCTTCAAAAATAAAGCTCTAAATTTAGCCTATGTTTTTCTTAGCTCAACATTTGTCACAAAATTCCGAAAATCATCCGGTTTTTTCCCAAAATATTCAGAATCCGAAAAAAAATCCGAAAAAGATACAAATCTCCGCCAAAAGCAAAACAAAAAAATAAAGAAAATAAATTATTTTTTTTTCTTTTCTGCCTTCAGATAACAATCAGCCAACGACAAAAAAAAACAGAAGAAAATTGAATTTTTCCCGGGTCCCCGGGGAAAAATTCAATTTTCTTCGGGCTCTGTTTTTTCCTTAGCTAGCTATTTTCGAAATCTAGTTATCGTAACTCCATTCTGGAGTTACAGAAACTTGCGGAAAAATGAAAAAGATGGAAAAATGTAAAGTGGGGGAGTTGGAATAAGTAGAGAAGAAGAAGAAGAAATGAAAATGGCGCAAGAGGGGAAAAAGTGGGCGGAGCTTATTTTGGGAAAAAAAAAAGGGAGGAAAATGGGGAGAGTTATGCGAACTTGAAAAAATAAAAATAATAATTGGAAAATTTCACTGTTTCAAAAATTGTTTAGTTTGAATTTGTGAGATTATGAGATAATGTGAACCCACTTTTGTCGAAAATTATTTTTTACTGTTTCAAAAATTTGACAAATAAAAATAGTAAGAGCAATTTTCATTAAGTCGATTTTTTTAAACAAAAATATTTTCAGAAAAAAAATTGGTGCTGAGAATGCCTCGTAACAGGATTCCTATCTAGAAATTTCTACGTGGCAAAATTAGATTAAACATTTTTTTTGAAAGTTATTTTTTACTGTTTCAAAAATTTGAGAAATTAAAATAGTTTGCGCAATTTTCATTGAGAAGAATTGTTTGAGGCGAAAAATATTTTCAGAAAAAATCGGTGCTGAAAATGCCACGTGGCAGCATTTTTTCTTGAAACTTCCACGTGGCAAAATAAGATTTTAAATTTTTATTTGGAAAATTTTTTCACTGTTTCAAAAAAATTTCAAATAAAAACAGTTAGCGCAATTTTCATTGAGACGAACTGTTTGAGGCAAAAAATATTTCCAGAAAAAAATGGTGCTAAAAAGTATTTTTTCTTGAAATTTCCACGTAACAAAATTAGATTTCAAATTTTTTTTCGAAAATTATTTTTCACTGTTTCAATAAATTGACAAATAAAAATAGTTTTAGGAAAAGTGTGGTGTACCAGCAACACAGCGAAAAAAAAATTTTTCTGTTTCCGTGTGGTACGGAAACTTCCACGTGGCAAAATTATTAGATTCAAAAAAAAAATTTTTTTTTTGGAAAACTATTTTTTACTGTGTTTCAAAAATTTGAGAAATTAAAATAGTTAGTGCAATTTTCATTGGGGAAAATATTTTGAAATCCAATAATATTTCCAGAAAACAATGGTGCTGAAAATGCCACGTGGCAGGGGTTTTTATCTTAAAATTCCCACGTGTCCGGATCAAATCTGGATTTTAAATTTTTTTTTGAAAATTATTTTTCACTGTTTCAAAAAATGTTCGAATAAAAATAGTTAGCGCAATTTTCATTGAGACGAACTGTTTGAGGCAAAAAATATTTCCAGAAAAAAATGGTGCTAAAAAGTATTTTTTCTTGAAATTTCCACGTAACAAAATTAGATTTCAAATTTTTTTTCGAAAATTATTTTTCACTGTTTCAATAAATTGACAAATAAAAATAGTTTTAGGAAAAGTGTGGTGTACCAGCAACACAGCGAAAAAATTTTTCTGTTTCCGTGTGGTACGGAAACTTCCACGTGGCAAAATTATTAGATTCAAAAAATTTTTTTTTTGGAAAAATATTTTTCACTGTTTCAAAAATTCGACAAATAAAAACAGTTTTCACAATTTTCATTAGAATAGCAAGTTTTTTCGAAAAATATTTTCAGAAAAAATTGGTGCTGAAAATGCCACGTGGCAGGATTTTCTCTTAAAATATATATCCACGTGGCAAAATTAGAAAAAAAATTTTAAAAAAAATTTTTGTGAAAATTATTTTTCACTGTTTCAAAAAAATTTCAAATAAAAACAGTTAGCGCAATTTTCATTGAGACGAACTGTTTGAGGCAAAAAATATTTCCAGAAAAAAAATTGATGATAAAAATGCCACGTGTCATTTTCACTCTAAAAAAATTTACTGTTTCAAAAAATTTTCAAAATAAAAATCAGCAATTGAATTCTGGTTGGTGAACTGAGAATCTTCCATTAAAAAAAAATGCCACGTCATAACACTGACTGACGCATTTCTCAACTATCCATTACCAGATTTTTTCTTCAGAAAGTGTCTCAAATTTCAGATCGCAGTCAAGAAAAAATACACCGTGAGAACGCTGGTCCTGTTTTTGCTATTTGTTTTGTTTTTCCAGATGTAACCACTTGAAAATTTCAATTTGGCTGGTACTTGAATTCGGTGGAAAATGGGCCGAAATTGGAAAAAATCGCGACGATTTTCTAGTCAAAAATCGAAAAATTCCAATTTTTTTGGTGAATAAATGAATAATAAAATGTGTTTGACATGGAATAAATAAATAAATGAATGAAATGTTTATTTATTATTTTTTGCGATTATATTTATTTTTTTTGTATAAATAATTGGATTTCAAAAGGGATGGATGCTTGAGAAGAGGATTCTATAGGGATGGCGCCTTGAAAACAGGATTGAGTAGGGTTGGTTGCTTGAGAAGGGGTTTCCATAGGGGTGGCGCCTTGGATAAAGGGTTGTTTAGGGTTGGCTGCTTGAGAAGGGGTTTGAATAGGGATGGCGCCTTAAAAAAGCTTTGAGTAAGGCTAGCTGCTTGAGAAGGGGATTCTATAGGGTCAGCTACTTGAGAAGGGTTTTGCATAGGGGTGGGACCTTTTCCGGCCATTTTTCCAACAAAAATGCACTTTTCCGTCATTTTCAATTAGCGAAAGCCGGAAATTGACTAGAAAACATTTTTTTTTTCAGACAAAAAAATAGGAAAATGTTTTCAGACATTATTTGCACATCAAAAATCGGTCAGAAATTGGGAATCTCTGAAAAATTCAAGAAAATCGTCAAAATTTCTGCACCCGGAAGCACATCAATTAGAAACAAAAAGAAAATGCAGTGCGCGCGAGAAATCCGACACTTTTTCTCGATTTTTTGCTGCTCCGCGAGCCAAAAGTAAGACGATACGGGGCTCAGACAAAAAGAATGAAGGAAAGGAAAAAAATATAAAGTGAAGTGTACTTTTTTTCAGTGACCAGAATTGGAAGAAATTGGGCTTTTTAGGGTGGATAAAGGCCCGGGCCTGAAAGATTCCGGAAAATCATTGAAAAATAATTTTCCAGGTTTTAAATTTGACTGAAAAGCCCGAAATCAGACTCAAAGGAGCTCAGAACAAGGCCGTAAATTTTAGGCCTGATAAACGGGCTGGGGCTTAATGTTTAGGCTTTGAAATCAAGTTTGAAATCTAGGTTTAGGCTTAAATTACAGGCTTGATATTGAAGTTTAGGCTTAGAATGAAGCCGGAAATTCTGCGCTCAAAATTGACGTTGAAGCTCAAATTTCAGACTCAAAAATTAGGCTGCGATTTTAATTTCAGGCTTAAAAACTGGACTTAAAATTGAAGATCAGGCTTGGATTGTAGGCTCAAAATTTAGGCTGGAATTTGAAGTTTGAGCTTAGAATTTAGGCTGAAAAATTCTTTAACCTCCAAAAAATGTGCACCAAAAATATACACATTTTTTCTGAGGACCATGAATAGAAGGTCCTTGAGCAAAAAGTGGACTCCACAGAACAATATGTATTTTTCTCCACGAAACAAATTCAATTTCTTTCCTTTATTCCTAGTAAAAGTATGTGGATGTGTCCTTTTTTTCGTATAGTAGTCATTAGCAAAAAAGAACGGAAAAAAGGGGAAAGAAGAAGAAGAAGTGAGAATTACTCCTCAGAATGGATTTAATTATCAGCAAAGCGAAGAAATTTTGAAGAACGAGGAAAGTAGGAGGAAAAAGGGATTTGATTAGAGCCTAATTTTGGCGAGCCGATGGTGTAATCCAATTGGATTAAACTCGCAGAATAAATAAATAAATTCAGGAGGAAGCCGGAAATATTTTCAAGGATTTTGAGGATTGGAAAAGCCTGGGGGATTTTAAATCGAGGATTTCTGGGAATGTTAGCCGCGTCGCGTGTGCGTTGCGGTCACTTTTAAATACAAAACTGGTAACTATGAGAATTGTGTCGGGATTTTTTTCAGCCTGGATTTTTCAAAGTAGGCTCTAGGCCTTTCTAGGCTCTTCTAGGCCTTTCTAGGCTCTCTAGGGCTTTCTCTCTGGGTTTTCTAGACTCTCTCTCTCTTTCTCTGCTTCTCTAACTTTCTCTACTTTTCTCTAAGCTCTCTAGGCTTTCTAGGCTCTCTAGACGCTCTAGGCTCTCTAGGCTCTAACCTTCTCTACGTCTCTGCTTCACTAACCTCCTCTACGTCTCTAACCTTCTCTACGTCTCTGCTTCACTAACCTCCTCTACGTCTCTAACCTTCTCTACTTGGCTCTCTGTGCTCTCTGGCCTCTCTCTAAAGAAAAAAATCCGCCTCCACCATTCCTCGATCTCACCACTCCCAACCCAAACTCTCAAATCTAACCGACTTGACCACGCGTGACAATTGTTGAGCATTTCTAAAATGCTCTAAAATATCTGGAATTTCTGGAAAAAGATTCTGAAAATAAAATCAAAAATAAAAAACGTGACCCAGCCGAGAAAAAAAAAATTGAGGAAAAAAATGAAAAAAATCAGAGCCCCTCATTTTTGATTCAATTAGAAATAGTAACAAGCTAGGCTGAAATGGTGATATTTTTATTATTCGCAATTCTATCGATTTCCATTGTTGGATGTGATTCTAGAAATTCTAGAAATGTTCAGAAGAAATCTGGAAGATCTGGAAAATCTGGAAGATCTGGCACATCAAGAAGATCAAGAAGAAGATCAGAGAAAAAACCAGTCAGATCTTCCAAAATCCTGAACACCAACACCTCAGCAGATCTCTCAATCAAATCTCGAATCTCAGCCGAATTCTCCACAAGTTCATCGGAAAATTCCGAAATTTCGGAGAGTGAACAAAAAACGGTGCCGTTACCGCTGGAAAATATTCGAGTTGTGCCAAATCAGCTGATTTTTAACGAGATTGGTGGATTGAAAACTTTCAGAGTGCAAAATTTGACCGATTCCGAGATTGTTTTTATGGTGAGGACTTTAGGCTTAAGCTTCTTAGGCTTGAGCTTCTTAGGCTTAGGTTTCCTAGGCTTCTTATGCTTTTTAAGGCTTTTTCAGGCTTTCTAGGCTTCTTAGGCTCAGGCTTCTTAAGGTTAGGCTTAGGCTTCTAAGCTTAAGCTTCTTAGGCTTAGGCTTCTTGGGCTTAGGGTTCTTAGGCTTAGGCTTAGGCTTCTTAGGCTTAGGCTTCCTAGGCTTAGAATTCTAAGGGTTAGGCTTCTCGGGCTTCCTAGGCTTAGGCTTCTTAGGCTTAGGCTTCTTAGGCTTAGTCTTCTCAGGCTTAGGCTTCTGAGGCTTAGGCTTAGTCTTCTCAGGCTTAGGCTTCTGAGGCTTAGGCTTAGGCTTCTTAGGCTTAGGCTTCTAAGGCTTAGGCTTCTAAGGCTTAGGCTTCTAAGGCTTAAGCTTCCTAGCTTCCCAGGCTTCCTAGGCTTCTTAGGCTTCTTAAGCTTCCTAGGCTTCTCAGGCTTCCTAGATCTTTCAAAATTTCTAAAATTTTTCAGATGAGATGCGCTGATGCTCATTTATTCGCCCTCGATCCAATCTCCGGTCGAATTCCAGCCAAATCTGAGATCAAAGTAAATGTTCTACGGGAAAATGGGATCTACAAAAATCTGAGTTTGATGATGATTTCGACAAAATCACAAGGAGATTTGGAACCGGAGGAGATTTTTGAAAAATTATACAAAAGTGATGAACAAGCGGCTTGTGAGATAAATGTGAACGCTTTGCCTTTGATCACAAAGAAAATGGTGGTTTTTGAATAAAGTTTTGGATTTGGATATTATTTTGAGCTCTTGGGAGCTCTTCGGAGCTCCTCAGAGCTGCCAGATGTTTTTTCTCGAGCTCCAATTTGTCATAATTAAATTTATTTTTTTTTTTGAAAAAAAATCCAGGAAACTATAATAGATGAAAATGAATCGGTTTTCATTTTTCAAAAAAAAAAACTGGGTACCATGACAACGTGTACAAAAAGACAAAGTGTGAATTTTTGATGAATCGCGGAGAAAAATTAGCATTTTCGGGGGTTTTGGCGCCAAAAAAATCCACGTGGCAATGCATTTTCATCTTCTCTGGAGTTAGAGACGTAGAGGAGGTTAGAGAAGCAGAGGGAGTTAGAGAAGCAGAGGAGGTTAGAGAAGCAGCAGAGATTCCTAGAGAAACAGGGGAATACACACAGCTAGAGACCCTAGAAAGCCTAGAGAGCCTAGAGAGTCTAGTGAGCCTAGATAGCCTAGAGAGTCCAGAGAGCCTAGAGAGTCTAGACAGTCAGCGAAGCAGAGAGATTTAGAGAAGCAGAGAGAGCCTAGAGAGCCTAGAGAGCCTAGAGAGCCTAGAGTGTTAGAGAAGCAGAGCACAACCATACAAAGCGCCCGTTGAGTCAGACGCGAGACGACGAGAGTATTTTGCAAAAAATTATTTTCAATAAAACATGTGTGTTCCTTGAAACAAAATACGGTATTTTTTCAAAGGGACACACATTTTCTCAAAAATATCTCGAAGCGATGTCTTAGATGACGTCATCAGACTCCCTTCGTCTCTCGAGAGTCTAGAGTGCCTAGAGAGTCTAGAGAGCCTAGAGAGTCTAGAGAACACAGAGAACACAGAGAGAGACCAGAGAGCCTAGAGATCCTAGATAGCCTAGAGAGTCTAGAGAGCCCATAGAGCCCAGAGAGCACAGAGAACACAGAGAGAGACTAGAGAGCCCAGGGAGTTAGAGAAGCAGAGTGAACAAGCCAATAGATCAAAAATACTCTTCAAAATCCAACAAATTTATTTCCTCCTTAACTTTTGCGAACAACAAAAACATTGCGATTAACAATCGCCCCATCAACCAATTCCTTCACAGCAAATTGCTTCATATCCGGACTCGTCCAACTGCCAAACGCAACAAAATCATTAAAATTCGGAGCCCCCTCTCGATAAACACCCTCTCCATTATTCGCCCAATACCAGAGTCGAACAGTGGCTGGAAGTCCCAGGTAGTTTCCCGTGATCTTTTTCCACATCTTGGCGTTGGTGAAGATTCCAATGTTGAAGTTGTGTTGCTAGAATAAGATACCTAGGTGGATCAGATGTTCGGCTAACTTACAAGTCCTCTCTGGACTATGGAATCAATGAACCAAACATTGTCAGCAGTGTACTTCGAGAAAAGTTTCGTATCATTAACCTGGATCCAAATCGCGTTCAGATTCACCAAATTATTCGCCCGCAAACCATCATAAACCTTATCAAATTGATCCGGACCATTCAAATTTGCTAACATTGTTGGTGCCATGTAGCCTTCAACACGCAGGCGATTCGCAACTGAGTTAGTCAAAGTCGAAACCATTGATTTATCGAAACTTGTTGTATTCGTTTGAAATACTCGAGCTATGATTCCAGCGTATCTATGACTGGCCATTTTGACTATGGAATCATTTGTGAGAGGATCGGAAACATCTAGAGAATATCCATCGATGGAAGAATCTTGGATGGGGGAGGCTGAGATTGAGATGGCGCAAAAGATCAGGAATATCAAGGTTGATTCCATTTTGGTTTTAGAATGACGAGAAGAGAAGCTCTTATATACGAATGATTTCATTGATAAAAATGTGAGATCAGAACACCAATCTGATAAGAAAAATCATAAATTTCGAGCAAACAACTTATCAATTTTGCTACTATAAATGATGCCATGTTCAAACTACAAATTGGCCCCCCAGAAAAAGGGCCAAAATCCAAAATTCCCCCAATGCAAAAATATATATTTGCATGCAGATAACATCGGCTTGTAAAAACATAACTGGAACTACATGGCTGAAATAAAATTGAAAGTGCTGGAAGTGGAAACATCTGAAAATCAGATAAGTATCTGGAGAATTTGGTTTTTGTACTCACAGGGAAATAGGATAACTTCAGAAAATTTCTAGAACTTCTAAGATTTTGGAAACCTTGAATTTCAGTCAAAGCTCATCTGAAAATCCAGAAGAGATTTTTGAAAAATTCCAATCTCAGAGAAAAATTCACTGTTTCAAAATTGTGTTTAAAAAATTTCCGATTACAATTTTTCTGATGAGATTACAATACACAAGAAAAATCTCAAAAATTTTCAGACGATAACTAAGAAATTCCAGTCAAATCTGAAATTGAATTTTGAGTGCCACGTGGATTTTTGGGACTAATCCTAAATTAAATTGAATTCTAGAAATAAAATCGGGTTTCAGAAAATTTTTGATGGCTTCAGATGTCTCCAGAAGGCTTCAGAAGGCTTCAGAAAACTTTAGAAGGCTTCGGAAGGTTTCAGAAGTCTCCAGAACGCTTCAGAAAGCTTCAAAAGAATTTTAGAGGCTTCAGCAAACCTCGTAAGGCTTCAGAAGGCTCCAGACGGCTTTAGAGAGCTTCAGAATACCTTTATAGGCTTCAGAAGGCTCCAGAACGCTCCAGAAGCATTTTAGAGACTTCAGAAGGCTTCAGAAGCTATTGAGTTAGCTCAAGTTCCCCTAAAGAACATTTGTTGATCCCAAAAAACCTCCCAAATATTTTTTTCCAGAATAAAACAAATTTTAATTTAAATTTCCAGCCAAACTCAATTATCTCTCCCCCCTTTTCCAAATCTATAATTTCCAGCCAGATTTAATTGAAACGCATGTCTTCATTTTCATTAAAAAAAATGACGATGAAGACAAAAACAAAACATCTATCTAAAGCAGATAACATCTTCGATTCATAATAATTCTTTTTCGCTTTGAAAAGTTTTAAATAAATAGTTTTTCTGTGACAGAAAATCTGATTTGATTCAATAAATTTGTAATTCCCTTTTTTTGATTGAAAAGGTTATGCTTATTTGTTGTTGAGAAGAAATATCATTGGAACAAGTTTGTTTCAAGTTTGGCGGCAAATCAATTCCACGTGGCACTTCAGAAGCATTTTGGTGGATTCAGAAAGATTCAGAAGACTTCAGAAAGCCTCAGTAGCCTTTAGGAGGATTCAGAAGGCTTTAGAAGGCTTCGGAAGAGTTTTAGAGGCTTCAGAAGACTTCCAAAAAAATTCAGAAGGCCTGAGCGGACTTCAGAAAGCTTCTGAAGGCTTCAGAAGACTTTCAAAAGACTTCAAAAGGCTTCTAAAATTTTCAGAAGGCGCCAGGACGCTTCTTAGATTTTCAGAAAGCTTCGGTAGGCTTCAGAAGGCTCGAGAAAGCTTCAGGAGACTTCAAAAGGCTTAAGAAGGCTTCTAAAATTTCCAAAAGGTTTCCAGAAGACTTCCGAGATTTTCAGAAGAATTTTGGTGGCTTCAGAAGATTCCAGAAGGATCCAGAAGACTCTCAAAAGCTTCAGAAGGCTTCTATAATTTTCAGAAGGATCCAGAAGGCTTCCAAAAGCTTCAGAAGGCCAACAGTACCTTCTAAACCACAGGAATTCCATGTACAAATACAAAAAAAGTTTCCAGCCCATAAATTCACACCTTTGCAACATTTTTTTATTCTCACACATCAAAATGAAAATGAACATTGAAAAATGCAAATCGCACTTCTTCTTTTTTTGCGCTAACCTATGTACTATGCAAATGGCAGAAAGTGAAAGAAAAATATAATAGATACAGAATAAAAGCTGCATGGACGAAAAAAAAGCTGACAACAATTATCAATTGTGTAAGTATACATCATACGAACTTGTTCAAACTTGTTCACTTTTTCACACAGGCCAAGCTTATTCTTTTTCTCATAATTTTCTTCTGGATGGCACTTGAAATTTCGAAAAAGAAGAACAATGAACTTTCAATGACCGTTGTTTGTTTTTTTTCACTGTTTCAAATTTTTAAACTTTTTTTGTGTTTTGAAACTTGGTGATGGCATTCTGGAGAATTTGGGTAGATCCAGAAGGCTTCTGCAGAATTTTATAAGTTTCAAAAGGCTTCAAAAGGCTTTAGAAGGCTTCAGAAGGCTTCAGAAGAACATTGGAGGCTTTAGAAAGGCTTTAAAACGCTTCAGTAGGCTTCAGAAGGCCCCAGAACGTCCCAGAAGGCTCTGGAAACTTTTAGAAATTTTTAAAAATTGTTATTTTCCAAACGCGCTCTATTGAGAAACCGAGTTGAATTTGAAAATTCAAAATTCAAAATTTAAATTTAAAAATCGGTTCTAAACTGGATACTAACATTGACAAATATAAGTGTTTATGACGTGGCAAAATTCCAAATTTAAAAAAATATTCCAACCGCGCTCTATTGAGAAACTGAGAATTCAAAATTAGTGGCTATGCCGTGGCAAAGTTCCCACAACTCGAGGTTTTATTCTGCCACGTGCAATCTCCAACCAAAACACAAAATCCCTGCCACGTCATAACCAACCACTCTTTAAAGTTTAAGCCCCCCTTCCCGTTCCACTTAATTAAATTCATTTCATTCAATTCCCGATCATCATCTACATATGACGCAACTTAGCCTAACTTAGAAATCGAAAGTGCGAGAAACAAATATATGGCAACATTTAACTTTCTCCTCTTCTCGATTTAGCTTTGGAAGTTTAAGCCCAAAAGTTCAGAGGGTGATAATAAATTCAGGAATTTCGAAATTCTTGGGTAATAAAATGACCATGAAATTGATAGACCAGGATTTTTCCGCAATTAGAAAACGACCCTGAGAGGTGACTAATTTAGGAAACAGCCAAAAAAAAAGTCGAACTTTTTTCCCTTACGCAATCAGATAGCAATAAATATTAATGTTAGAGAGAGGAATAGAGGTAAATTTACATATCGGAACAGGTTCCCACGGCCAGGCATTAAAATTATTATCTGGAAAAACTTGGATTGAAATTGATGATGAAGTCGGATTTGTTTTTTTAAGACTGACACCTTTGGTGATTGATGTTTGGGGAGAGAGTTAGGCGAAATAAAAAAAAATCGAAATTAAAAAAGTTTTTTTTTTGATGAAGATGAGTCATCATCGATGATTGCATGAACTTTTACTTTTTAGCAACATCTACATCAAAGTTAGTTTTCTGTAAGAAATACGGTTTTGTGAGATAGATTGGATTTTTGGTTTAAAATTGTGTTCTATTGAAATTTGCCACGTCATAGTACGGGAAGCGTCAATCTCAGGGATTTTTGAGGGAGAAAACTACTTGATCTACCCACTACCACACCATGTGTTCAATGTTTTCGGACGCGTGCGGCTGAGCGTCGCGTGTCTCGTACAGTCCTTATAGCTCAGCGGAAGTGCTGGTGTCTAGCAAGCGTAGGGTCAAGGGTTCAACTCCCGGTGCCCGCTCTTTTCGCAATCTGTTCGATCTACCCACCAACACACCGTGTTTTCAATGTTTTCAGACGCGTGCGGTCAAGCGTTGCGTGCTTGGTATAAGCCCTGTAGCTCAGTGTGAGTGTTGATGTCTAGCAAGTGTAGGGTCAAGGGTTCGGTCCACGGTGCTCGCTCTTTTCGCAATCTGCTTCTACTGTGTTTTCAGACGCGTGCGGTCAAGCGTCGCGTGTTTTGTACAGCCCTGGGTTCGAGGAACCTTTGTTTCTCCCGACCTCTAATCCCTAATCCAATTCGCCTCCAAAAAGCGGGCGCCAAAAAGAGGCGGGTCCCCCCTCTGAAAAAACTTCTACTTCTACTTTTTTGCCTCACCGAAACGAAGCGGGCTACACAGTTTGCTTGTTTGTTTGACGAAGGCCCGCCCCCAAATTCGGAATGTCCTTCGCTCTTATAAAAGGCGCAGAGAAAGTCGGCTGATTGGCACTCTTTGACTTCTTCTTCTTCTTCTTTTGCTTATATATGTTAGCTTGGTTTTTTTTCGCTTAAAAGGATTTCTATATGAATAGTCTCGTTTTAAACTTTCAAGTGTTCGTGAGTTCCATATACATTCCTCTTCCATTCCCTTTTCATTTCGTTTTTGGCCTGTTCACTTAGCCTAACTCAAAAATATTCCAGAATGAAGTTATCGCTAGTCTTGGCGATCACAATTGCAGCAGTCGCCGTGTACTCGGCACCATTGCCCTTAGTGTAAGTTAGCCTAACTCCTACCCAACTAGAACTTCCCATATTCCAGTGAGAAGATCAAACGAACCTTGGCGTATTTGAAGAAGGCGCAGACAATTGGAGAATATGCGATTAATACGGTAAGTTAGTTAGCCTATCTCACATAAGATCTAAAAAGTATGTAAACAAATAATATTTCTGTTTCAGCCAACTGGTATTTATCCGATCAAAGATATAAATGACGACAACTTTTTGGATATTTTCAAGTTCCGACCTGAGATTGAGAAGTTGCGACAGGAACAGAAGGCGTCGTCAGCTTCCGCATCCGCTTCCGCGGCTTCCGCATCGACAGACGAGGAGGCTCCGCTAACATCGGATGGAAGTGGATATTCTACTCCGGCTGCTGAACCTCAGCCCGAGGGTTCGGGAGAAGTTGCTGCTTCGGAAACCGCTGGTGAAGGTTCGGGTGATTATGGATCGGGCGCAGCTGCGGTGGGAGAAGCTTCGGGAGCTGCTCCAGAAGCCCCAGCCCCAGAAGCCCCAGCTGCTCCTGAAGCCCCGGCTGCTCCTGAAGCCCAAGTCCCAGAAGCCCCAGCTGCTCCAGAAGCCGAGGAATCGTCTGGAGCTGCTGTCGAGGGATCCGGCACAATTGCCATTGAATTGCCACCACTTGCGCCACCAAAGAAACTTCAACCACCAGCGAGTGGATACGTGACGACTGGGGGAGAAGCCGGACTCAGCGAACCACCACCACCACCTTCAGAAGAGTATGCTCGACCAGGAACATCGGGAGATGTTGAAGGTTCGGGTGCCTCGGAAGCCCCGGCTGCTCCAGCTCCAGAAGTAGCAGCTCCAGAAGTCGCAGCTCCAGCACCAGAAACCCCGGCTGCTCCAGCTTCAGAAGTTTCAGCTCCAGAAGTTGCAGCACCAGCTCTAGAATCTCTAGCCGCCTCAGCCCCATCTGATGGATATGTCTCGGGAACTGCTGATGCTTCCGCTGCTGCTCAAGCTCCAGAACCTGCTGCACCACCAGCTGATAACACTGCAGCTGTCGAATCCTCAGCACCAAGTCAAACCTATGATTCAGCTTCATCTTCATCGACTGCTGATTCGGGAGTTGCACCACCAGCCGGAGAACCACAACCACCAGCAGTTGAAGCTGCAACAGAAACCCCGGCTTCTCCAGAAGCCCCAGCTGCTCCAGAAGCCCCAGCTGTTCCAGAAGCCTCAGCCCCAGCTCCAGAATCTTCTGCTGCACCGGAAGCCCCAGCTGCACCAGAAGCCCCAGCTCCAGCTCCAGAAACTCCAGCTGCCCCTGAAACCCCGGCTGCCCCAGAAGCCCCAGCTGCACCTTCAACAGATGCTGCTGCACCTTCGGGAGGATATGATTCAGCCGCTGTACCGGAAACTCCAGCTGCTCCAGAAGCCTCAGCTCCAGCTGCAGAAACTCCAGCTGCACCAGAAGCCCCAGCTGCTCCAGAAACCCCAGCTGCCCCAGAAGCCTCAGCTGCACCAGAAGCCCCGGCTGTTCCAGAAACTCCAGCTGCACCGGAAGCCCCGGCTGCTCCAGAAGCCCCAGCTGCACCATCGACAGATGCTGCTGCACCTTCGGGAGGTTATGATGCAGCCGGATCTTCAGCCGCTGTACCGGAAACCCCAGCTGCCCCAGAAGCCTCAGCTGCACCAGAAGCCCCAGCTGCACCAGAAGCCCCAGCTGCACCAGAAGCCCCAGCTGCTCCAGAAGCCTCAGCTCCAGCTCCAGAATCTTCTGCTGCCCCAGAAACTCCAGCTGCAGAAGCCTCAGCTCCAGCTCCAGAAGCCCCAGCTGCTCCAGAAACCCCAGCTGCTCCAGAAGTTCCAGCCGCCCCATCGACAGATTCTGCTCAACCATCAGGAGGATATGATGCAGCCTCAGCAGGATCTTCAGCCGCTGCCCCAGAAGCCCCAGCTGCACCGGAAGCTCCAGCTGCACCGGAAACCCCAGCAGCCCCAGAAGCCCCAGCTGCACCGGAAACTCCAGCTGCTCCAGAAACTCCGGCAGCACCTTCAACAGATGCTGCTGCACCTTCGGGAGGTTATGATGCAGCCTCAGCAGGATCTTCAGCCGCTGCCCCAGAAGCCCCAGCAGCACCGGAAACCCCTGCTGTTCCAGAAGCCCCAGCTGTTCCAGAAGCCCCAGCTGTGCCAGAAACTCCTGCTGCTCCAGAAACCCCGGCTGCCCCAGAAGCCCCAGCAGCACCGGAAACCCCTGCTGTTCCAGAAGCCCCAGCTGTTCCAGAAGCCCCATCTGCACCCGAAACTCCAGCTGCACCGGAAACCCCAGCTGCAGAAATCCCAGCTGCACCTTCAACAGATGCTGCTGCACCTTCGGGAGGTTATGATGCAGCCTCAGCCGGATCTTCAGCTGCCGCTCCAGAAGCCCCAGCTGCAGAAGCCCCGGCTGCTCCAGAGACCCCAGCTGCACCAGAAGCCCCAGCTCCAGCTGCAGAAACCCCAGCCGCCCCATCAACCGACGCAGCCACACCTTCAGGCTATGACTCATCAGCAGCCGGATCTTCAGCCGACACATCAGCAGCAGTTCCAGAAGGTGCAGCCCCACCTCCACCGCCACCCGCTGACTCCGCAGCCTCATACGATTCGCAAGGCTTCGCAATCAACGCGAGAAAAAAGGTTCGACGAGCCGCATTCGTCGGATGGGGTCGAAACAATCAATAGATTTTTGACAAGGGAAAAAGGACCAAGAGATGCCATGTCTATATATAATTGTTGTACATGTTTTTGTTTATATTTGCTCATTGAAAAACTCATAAACCTTATTTATTTTCTGAACCGGGATACGTTTCAAAAATTAAATATAATTTTTTATGGAATTCCAGGAATCTCGATGTCATACCTTACACTTATTTCCGAAATTTAGGGGCGTTAAGTTTCTGATGCTCACTATTTGCCTTAATACTTACCACTGACAATGAAAATTGTTTTTTATCGCAGTTTCACATTTTTATCAATATTATTATGCATCACCGCGTCACTTTTCTGCTTTTCATTTATTTTTTCGCACTCACAAAATGTCAGAGCCAAATTTACAACTACAATGTGATTTTGACTGAAAGCGCCGCTGATCAACCCGCAGTTCAGCGGACTGTCGAAGTTGTGGCTGGGATCAGTGCGACGTCGGAGAATTTGTGTTATATCAATGTGACGTTTACCAATTCCGACAAGGTCACTTTTTACGTGCACGTTGGAAATGTGGAAAATTCGGTTGTCGGGAATTTACCTCATGGTGAAACGATTATAGTGAATGTGACCAGAGGAACATGGGTAAGTATTTTTCGAAGAATTCCCCTGATATTTCCCTCCTGTTTCAGAGCTTGAGTTTGTTCGAGCTTAGTTGCTATGATCCTCCGATAGTCTCAAGCCTTGGGTGTAGTTTTGATGCTAATATGGATGAGTGTTATGATCTTACGACAAGTGTTGCCTTTGATAGATCATATTTGGAGTCCGTTTATGCTCGACGAAATCAAACAACCGATTGTGTGACTCCAAATACAACTACAGCATGGTAGGCTGGATCTGGGGAGGGGTAGATCTAAAGGGATACGATATCTGACTGGTGAGAACTCGCTGCAGAGGAAGAAGTGTTGAGTTTTCCCGAACACCCGAACACTCAAACACCCTGACACCCCAAATACTCTTTCCCCGAACACTCGAAGTATAAATATGATTAATCATGTCAAAACCTTCAGATTTCTCGATTTGAGACATCGCTGAATCGACAACATCTAACATTATTTTTCATGATTGGATCTTCAACATGTGAAGTCAAATCAAGTGTTGGGATGGTATTGTATGAATAAAAATCAATTACCACCCAAATATCACCATTTTAAGACAGTCACAAGTGAAATTTCCCAAAAGTTGAAAATCTGAAAAAAATCGGATTTTCGATTTTGGTCCAATACAACCTTCAGAAGTGTTGCGAAATACATCTGAATGATTGAAATAGTGTGAATCGGCGTAAAAAATAACCCTAGAAAAGTTTCCAACATTTTCGGGCTGTTTTAGTGACTTTATCCATCAAAAACAGTTAGTGCATTTCTTTTTTGCCGCTACTGTACACTAGGATTCACTTAGGATGTTCGGGTCACCCGGGATGCCCTTTTACACGTAGCTGAAAGGGGTAGTTTGGTAGGTATCGCTCCTTGTGCAGAGACAGTCCTCCCAGGCCAAACCCTTTTCCAAGATAAAATATAATTTCCAGTGATGGGTATCCTCAATGGTGGTATCAACCAAATGGCGGTGCCACAACACTTCTATCGACACTCCCAACAACTACTCTCACCACCAAAACCACCTCCCCCTCATCAACAACCCAGTCGACGTCAACCACCCGAACACAACCAACCACCTCCCCTAGTTCAAACCTCCAAGATCTCGCAAATCAAGGTGTCGGCCTCAACAACATCTCTCAAATTCTCAACATCACCTACACATATGCACAAATGGGTCCCGCCTTGAACTCCAGTGATATTATGGATATCACGACTATCCTTAACAATAGTGCAAGTGTCAAAGGAATATCGACTGATAATTCAGTGCAGATTTTGTGGAATATTGATTGTGTGATGAATGCAAATGAGGATCAATTGAAAAACTCGACTGAACATTTGCTAAATATTTTCGGGAAAATGGTGCATAACACCAATGGTTCGAGGGTGGAATATTTGGATGGGATGAATCTAGGATTCAGCTCGAAGCGGATAAATTGCCGGAAATTGGGGGTTGATGACGGGTTGATTGATATGGGCAACGGTTTTGAACCTATCAATTCGACTACAAACATCCAATCAACAGAGAGGAATGGGCTCATAATCCCCTTGAGTGATTTATGTAAAACTACGAGATGTGAGTATTTTCAGGTTCATTGATGAGTTTCCGTGAGTTTCAGTAACTCACATCTTCTTCACCATCTATCGCGATCGAAAATTGTTCGCTGGCCGTCGACAACATCGAACTTTCGGACAGCGTAAAAGATCTATCTATACCCCGGGTGACGATGAACAGATTGATCCGGACATCGAAGTTCCATCTAGATGTATCCCACAGATTGCCCTAACATCAGATGTTCCTGTGATGAGTGCAAGTGTTATGAATAACGGTGTACTTGTCTCAACAGCTTCTACTGACAATGGAATTATGGCGAATTTGCAATTCAACATTGAGAATATACCAAATCCTCTTCACGGGAAGTTTCAGGTAACCTGGTGGAACACTTCGTCAAATCAATGGGCTAGTGATCAATATTGCACAATCACTCAGCGCACGGATAAATTGATCTTGGCACAATGCCCACATCTCACTGACTTCACAGTTATTGTGGATGGAACTCTAGACGATCAGATTGTTTGTAATAAAGCTCTCGCGGTAACTGGTTATGTAGCTAATTCGATTTCTGTACTCTCTTTGATATTTTTAACAATGATAACGGTTATGGTTTTGTTAGTTACTGCATAAGTTGAGTGACCTATGCATGATTTTTTTGCAGCATTCCCAACAAATCAGTCCGAAGTTTCCTGCTGATCATCCGCGGTCAAGACACTAATGGCGATGTGATACTTTTGGCATACTACACTTCCCTGTTACTATTCTACGTGTTGTTTTTGAGTTTTGCAGTGGATAGTTTCTCACAGGTTGGGTGTACTATAACGGCTATTTTGATGTATTTCTTGCTATTGTGGTGAGTTCAATACAAATATTTTGGCATTAGAGCGTATTTTCTTGTTTTAGTTGGTGTGTCAAAGCGCTTGTAATCTCTAAGGAAAAAAAACTCTCTAAACCCTAACAAGTGACTTACATTAGGGTGATAATGGGTTTTGAAATAAGACAAGTACAGTCTTATGTAACTCGATGCGCTGATCACGATGCCGCAAAAATCAGCTGTTGAGCTCCGAAGGAAATTTTGATTCAAAAAAATACGAAATTTTTGAATTAAAAAGATTCCCGTTTTTCGGCCCAAACAACCCTAGGGTACTTTTATTCTACCCAAAACTTACTTATTTCATATGAAAATTAAGATATTTTGAGCAAACTTCGGAGCTCAGCAGCTAATTTTGGCGGGATTGTGATCAGCGCGTCGAGTTACCCAGTACCGCACTTATCTCATCTCAAAACCCGTTATCACCCTAATGTAAGTCCCTTGTAAGCCTACCAAATTTTCAGCTCAATAATGCTCAACATCATCCAAGGAATCCGAATAATCCACACATTCTTCCCCCCAAAAATCTTCAAATTCTTCTCAATAATCCTATCTCCCCCAGCAGCTCTAACAATCTCATTTGGTATCCCAGCTATCCTATGCACTCTTCTAGCCACTCTCAACACCTCATTCTTCGAACGAAATGATTCATTCTGCTGGATTCGTCCCGATTACATTATAACTGCTATAGTTGTACCTGTCACTATTCTATTGCTGAATGCAGTGGTCTGCACATCATTCGTCATTTATAAAATGTTCTTTTTTGCAAAACGAGCTTCCCGTAAGGAGGTAAGCTAGCTTAAATTCCACTGAAAAATCACCCGTCGCCTTTAGCTAACCTTCTACGACGCTGAATTCTGGTCAAAGATCATGTCGATCTTCATAATGGAAATTTCACTCGGTGCACCTTGGATCATCCAATATTTCACATTAGCCTGGCCTGACACAACGTTTTGGAATTTTTTGTTCACAATTGTCCTTGGATCTCAGGGAACAATTTTACTTTTGATATTTTTGTACAGACGACAGAAGTTGTATCGGCAAGCGAGTATTAATAGCACCAAGTTTTCGAAAGTGTCAAAATAAATTATTTGAATTCAAAATTTTATTGCAATTACCGGGGGCGGAATTTTGGCTAGGCAAGATTCGGGAATCAATTCAACTGTCACACAATAAAATACAAAATACAATAATCTATAATGGGTTATGCATCAATTCTCGTCGAATTTCGCTGCCTCGCGGTGGAATCGATCTATCCAAAAGTCCAAGTTCACAAATACATCTATATTGATCGGGAATCTCGAGCAACGATTGAACGGCGACTTTTACATCGCCGTCTTCGAGGTTTGCCGATTTTTTGATAATGTCGTGGAATTCGACGAAATGGAAATTGTCCCATGGACGTTTGGGGAGAGATTCGTCGAAGATCTGCAACCTTTTCGGTTGGTTGGGAACTTGAAGTTCAGGCTTAAGGCTTGGCAATCTTGAAGTTTAGAGTTAGAGCTCGGCAATCTTGTAGTTAAGTGTTCGGCAATCTTGGAGTTTGGGAAGGATTAGAGCTCGGCAATCTTTGAGTTAAAGAACAATCAGAGTTCGACACAGGCTTGGCAATCTTGAAGTTCAAGCTTGGAGCTCGACAAACTGGGAGTTAGGAAGGATTAGAGTTCGGCAACCGTAAAGTTAAGGTACAGAGCTCGGCAATCACAGAGTTAAGGAAAAATTAGAGTTCGACAAACTTGAAGTTAAGAAGTTTGAAGTTAGAGATTGGCAATTTTGGTGTTAAGGTAAGATTAGAGTTTCGCAATCTTGAAGTTAAGGAAAAATTAGAATTTAGCAAACTTAGGGTTAAGGAAGGATTAGAGCTCGGCAATCACGGAGTTAATTTAGAGTTCGGCAATCTTGAAGTTAAGGTAGGATTAGAGTTCGGAAAACTTGGAGTTAATGTTTAGAGCTCGACAGGCCTGAACTTTAAGCTTAGAGCTCGGAAATCTCAAAGTTCAAGCTTAGAGCTCAGCAATTTAGAATTAGTGTCCCTCCCAAAAAGTCAGAACTCACCGCAAACTTCAGTACCCAGCCCTCCCCAAGCTCTTTCCCAGCCCTCCCCAAAAACCTGTCCCCACCTTCATCATATCCCACGGTCCATCACCAACACCAACCACAATAATCGACAACGGATGTTGGCAGGCCTGCACAATTGCTCTACGCGTTGCTCGTTCGTTCGTCACCTGACCATCGGCAATAATCACCAGAATGTGATAGTCTCGCGATTTCTGACAAGTCTCCATTGCTTGATAAATCAACGGGGCGAAATTGGTGGGACCACTCAATGAGACGTTGGGTGTGACGGCGTTATACACGTTGAGAACATCATCCAAACTTCGACAATCGCCTTGTGATTTGAGATTGAATGTGCTCCAGTCGCCGGTTTTTGCGTCACCAAAACCATACACACCGATGTTACCGTGGCCAGCGAATGGTGCAAGGGTTCGACCAAGAATGGTGATCACCTATAGGAAAATTGTGGTTATGACGTGGCAAAAAAATCCAGACCTACCTGCTGATAAGGATTCTTGACATTCGGATGAATAGTGTGCAAACTTCTACCGCCAAACGAATCCTCTCCTTGATACTTGTTACTTGCCGTGTAATCGATACCGAAAATCAGATTTGTCGTTTCGAGACCCGCTCTACGCATCGCTTCTGATAATGCGTCCAAACTGTTGATTTGCAATAACATTTCTTGCATGGAAGTTACGCCAAGAACCGAGAGAAGGGATGATTGTTTACGGAGCTGAACAGGGAAATATGTGAGTGCGGAAACATGCTTGAGTTTTTGTTTTATGGATAATAAATTGAAACCAGATGTTTGTGTTGAGATTTTTTTAATTTTGAAAACTTAATAGAACTTGGAACTAAAAAAATTCTAATAAGAATGCTAAAATTCTCTGGACCTCTAGACTTTTCTAAGCTTATCAGGTTTATCAAGCAGTTTACCCTATACAACATTTTGTACAAGGCTCCATCCCTATATAAGTCTCATCTCAAGCGTCTAAGCCTATGAGCCACCTGTCCGCAGGCCTCACACCTATACAATACCATTCTCAAGCACCTAACCCTATTCACCCATCTTTCCAAGACCCCACCGCTATGCAAACCAATTTTCAAGCAGCTAACCCTATAAATCACATGTCCCAAGGCTCCACCTTTATAGGTAGGCTTATTTCTCAAGCAGATAATCCTATTCAACGTTTTTCCAAGGCTCCGTCGCTACACGGAGGCTTTCTCAAGCATTTGATCCTATGAATATATCGTTCCAAGGCCCCACTCCTATACAAGCCTCATCTCAAGTATCTAACCCTATGCATCCAACGTTCCAAGGCCCCACCTCTATGAAAAACCCTTTTCAAGCAGATGACCCTTATCAACTATATTCCCAAGGCCCCACCGCTATGAAAACCCCTTCTCAAGCAGCAGACCCTAGTCAACCTCTCTTTACAAGCCTCCCATACTCACATTCCTATACGGATACATATCCGAACTTCCCGATCTTCCAGATCCCAACGACGAGTTGCTTGTCGCCCGATTGCCAAACGCCGGTAAAATCTGTGGAGCCTACAAAAAAACCCGTTTTATTTTCAAAAAAACATTTTGGGACATGCAACAAATAAGCTTACACGACCGACGGGTTTTTTGTTGGACACTTGGGCACGATTGGGCGGCTATAAAAAACAAAGGGGGTTAAAGCTGGGACGGACAGGGGGACATCACAAGATCCGAAAAAAACATAACTAACCTGTTTCTTGAGAGTGTCTTGTCGAAGATCTACAAATAGAATCAGGCTTTGGATTGTTTGGAAAAAAAAACTAAAACTTACCATGAATCTGAGCTTCTGAATCAGCCGCAACTTTATCAAAATAGTCAATCATATTCTCACTAGTCTCACTCATTTGATCCGGCGGAATCATAACTGATTGAATTTCTGGAGCATACGTCATATCATCATGCTCATCGTGTTCGACACGCTCAAAAACATCGTTGGTTCGAACTTGTCGACTCGTCGCTTCGCCGCTCGGCATTTTTCGAAGACTTTTTTGCTGCTTGGGCTCCTCGTGGCTTCGCAACATATCTTCTTCCATGACGAATGGTGCAGGTTTCTGAAAAAAAAACAGAAAATATTGAATTTATTTTTGAAAAAATACCTGCTGCCCTCCCAAATACTCGATCGCATCTTGAACAAACAAATCAGCGGTGGCTAGATTCTTGGGATCATCTCGACCTTGGATGGGGATGGGACGATTTATCGGGACATTGATGATGGTTTGTGGTTGGGAATCTTGACGATGGAATGGGTCTTGATGTTGTTGTTGGGGAGCTTGATCTTGTCGTCTGAAGGGGTCTTGATTTTGCTGGTAGAATTGATGTTCTTGGGTGGGTTCTTGATGTTGTTGTTGGTAGAAGTTCTGTTGCTGGATTGGTTCTTGCTGGCCTCTGAATTGATCTTGGTCTGGCCGTCTGAAGGGGTCTTGATGTTGCTGATAGAACTGTTGTTGTTGAACCGGCTCCCCTCTAAACTGTTCCTGATTCCTTTGCGACGCCACTCCCGGAATATCCAATCCCAAATCATATTCCTGACAAAGTTCCTGCAATTGCGCCGCCTCTGTCGGACTAATCCGCTTCTTCTCCGACGTTGGCCGCGGTGGATAATCATAAATCGGCTCGTTCACCTTGACATAATCATCCGAGTCGTTAGTGGTACGCCGTTGCGCCTCCTCAATCCGCTGTGGAATCTGCTGATATCCCGGCTCCGACCAGTTACTCTGCAACAAACATATGAAGGAATTTAGTTTTTGATCATTTTCCTACCTCATGTGCATTGAAATCACTGATATCGTAATCGGTGAGTTGCGAATCGCGTACACTGCAATTTAACGATCTTGTTAGTGTCTTTTTTTATCACTTCTCTCTTTTTATGAATTTTCAACATGCGTCTTCCTATTTTATTACTATGCTTTTTGTCAACTCAATCTTACGGACAGAGTTCTACGATTTCTAGCCCTATTTTAACAACGGAAGCATCTGCTGAATATATTATAGACTATTTTTTTGACAATGGACAAAACATTCAAATAAATGCATCAGTAAGGCCGTATAAGAGTGCACTCAATGAAATCATGTGTAACTATACCATTGTCTGGTCTACCACCGATACCGACCTTTACTGGGTTCACGGAAAGAATGGGACAGGGGATGAGCTAGTTGGGACCGCACAGAATCAAGAAAATATTTGGGTCCAAGTCAGTCGAAACGAATCGGTAAGCAAATGAATAAATTGTTATCAGAACAAACTATTTCCAGAACTTGAGCATTTTCAACTTCACATGCTCTGCTTCCCCCGAAATTCTCATTGTTGGTTGTTCAATAACAAACAACACTGATTTACTGGCAGATTTCTGTTTGGAATATAACAATACTTCACCTTTCAACGCGAGTTATACAGAGGTTATACATGTTCGTAACAGTGCAGATTTGCCGTGTGTTTCACCTCAAAAATCAGCAACATGGTGAGTTAGACCAAATAGGAAAAATATTTGAGATAAAAATACACTTTAGTGTTGGCAACATACATTGGTGGGATATGAACACACTTACAACGACACCAAAACCAATCAGCACAAGTGCACAAATTCAAACCACTGAGCCAGGCAATTTAAATAAAGAATATAATTATATTGTGGACTTCATATTTTACGATAACTATATACGAAACATCCAAATAAATGCATCTATCAATGTGACCAATGAGCCCAAATGTGATTATTCATTTGATTTGTTTAACAATGAATATGATGATAATTACTTGCTTTATTGGAACCATGGAGGAGATTGGCAGGATGGCACCGCAATGGACCAAGAAAATATTTGGTTAGAAGTAAGACGGAACACTTCGGTAAGTGAAACAAACCCAAAATGTCCAAAAAATACGTATATTCGATAAAGACCCTGACTATTTCCAACTTCACATGTTCTGCTATCCCTCAAATTGTAACTGTTGGTTGTTCATTAACAAACAACACCGATTTTCTGGAAGGACGATGTTTGGAATATAACAGCACCTCACCATTCGATGGTTATACTAATGTTATAAACGCTCGAAAAACTATCGATTCATCGTGTAGCTCACCTAATAAATCAGCAAAGTGGTAAGGTTTATTGTGATTCAAATAGCACGGTGGACTTATTTCCAGTGTGGGAAGCATGCATTGGTGGGATATGGCACCAACGCCAACCTCTTCGCCTCTTCAAGATCTAGCCAACCAAGGTGTCGGTCTCAATAACGTTACCCAAGTTCTCAACACCACTTTAGGATATTCACAAATGGCGTCGAATCTGAGTTCCAATGATATTATGGACATCACAACTATTCTGAAGAATAGTGCCAGTTTGCAAGGTATCACTGCCGAGAATTCCGTGCAAATCTTATCAAACATCGATAGTGTGATGAATGCCGGGGAAGATCAATTGAAAAACTCTACCAACAATTTGCTAAATATTTTTGGTACAATGGTGCATAATACAAATGACACCAAAGTGGAGTATTTAAAGGGGCAGAATTTGGGATTCAGCTCGAAGAAGATTGATTGCTCTAACTTGAGTACAGATGACGGATTGATCGATATGGGAAATGTTTTTGAAACAATAAATTCTACTTCACATATTGAATCAACGAAGAATAGTGGGGTAATAGTCCCGTTGAGTGATTTATGTCAAAATACACAACGTGAGTTTCAGCTAAATCAGATCATCTCCTGAATATGTTTCTTCCAGTAACTCATATCTTCTTCACAATATACCGTGATCGAAAATTGTTCAGCCCTCGACGACCTCATAGAACTTATGGAAACCAAGATGATATTCAACCCGTGCAAGATCTAGATGAGAATGCTCTATCTAAATGTTCTCCCCAAATTTCAGTAACTGCAGATGTTCCAGTTGTCACTGCCACTATTTTAAATGATCGTGTAGAAGTGTCTAGAATAGCTCGAGATGGAATAATGGCTAACGTGCAATTCAACATCGAAAATATACCAAATCCTCTTCACGGGAAGTTCCAGGTCACCTGGTGGAACACTTCGTCAAATCAATGGGCTAGTGATCAATATTGCACAATCACTCAGAGAACAGATAAATTGATCTTGGCACAATGCCCACATCTCACTGATTTTACAGTAATCGTTGATGGGAGTCTCAACGATCAGATTGTATGTGACGAAGCCCTTTCAATAACTGGCTATATCGTCAATTCATTTTCTGTTTTATCACTTTTATTTTTAACAACAATATCAATACTTGTTTTGTGAGTCATAACAATTTTACTTTACAACCATCAAAGTTCATTATTCAGCGTTCCCAGTGAGGCTGTCAGAAATGTTCTGGTGATTATTCGCGGTGAAAAACGTAGCGGTGATTTACTATTTGTCACGTATTATGCATCACTTCTACTCTTCTACCTAATGTTTTTAAGTTTTGTACACGATAATGACTATAGCACAACAGGATGTGTTGTAATCGCGGTGTTTATGTACTTTTTCATTTTAAGGTTCGTGTCAACTATACAGGGTGACCCATAAGTATACGACCAGGTCTGGGAGTTTTTCCCCGGCACCGACCGTGAAACATGAAATGGGTATTTTACGGTTTCAAAAACCCTTGAAAAATGTTATGTTTTTGTGAAGAATTCATTCCTGCATACATTTAGTGAAGTTTTTTTTAAACCGTAAAAATCAAAAATTCCCGGATCGTATACGTATCGACCACCCTGTATATAAGAAAAAAGAGATTTTTCAGCGCAATAATGCTCAATATCATTCAAGGAATCCGAATAATCCACACCTTCCTACCCTTCAAAATCTACAAGTTCTTCTCTATAATGGTATCACCCCCGGCAGCTCTAACAATCTCATTCGGCATCCCAGCTATACTATGCACCCTGCTAGCCACTCTCAACACCTCATTCTTCGTGCGAAATGACTCATTCTGCTGGATTCGTCCCGATTACATAATCAATGGTATCATAGTACCAGTGTCGATTTTATTACTAAACACCGCTATTTGCACATCATTCGCCGCCTATAAAATGTTCTTTTTCTCAAACCGCTGTTCCGATCAGGTAGAGCATTTTGATGGCGAGTTTTGGTCGAAAATTGTGTACATTGTTTTGACGGAATTATTTCTCGGTGCACCGTGGGTAAGTCAAAAATAAATACCTGATAAGCAAAACATTTTTAAGATTCTTCAATATTTGACCCTTGCCTGGCCCACAGCAACCTTCTGGAATTATCTTTTCACAATTGTCTTAGGATCGCAGGGCTCAATATTATTGCTCATATTCCTTTTCCAACGCATGAAAGTTTCCGGCTCCAAAACGTCTTCCGAAGCCACAAAAACGTCTAAATAAACATCATCATACCCCCTCCTTTTTGTCACCGCCTACATTTTTACGAGGTTTGCTATCATTCCCCTTATCAAATTCCCCCCAAAAAATTTCCAAATAATCGGTTTATGTGCTTCTCATGTGCTCATGGTCTATAAGATTCCTAATTTTAATTATCATCTGCCTAATTAGTAAAAAAATCGATTGTGGTCCCAATGACTATACATATTCGTTCAAATTATCCGAGACGGATTTGAGTAATTTCACCAATTTTTACTCGATAAGTGTTGTGATTTATGTGAACTATCTGCCAAATGGGATAGGTCAATTTAAGACAAATGTCTATAATTTGTCACCATTGCATTTTTCAATGTTTGCAAATGATGAAAAGTGAGTCAGCTTCACATTTTTCCAAAAAAAAATTCTTCAAAAAAATTTTTTTTTCCTCAGTTGCGGCATATTGTCGCGTGTTTGTACCTTCAATTTACAAAAGGGCGAAACCCTGCAAATAAAAATCGTTAAAATCGATCAGGTGAGCGAGTGCTATGACGTGGCAATATTCAAATATGTATGTTCTAGGCAACCAAACTTCTCACGTTCCTCTATATCGATCAAAATCAGGAGCCGCAAATCAATGCGGGCAAGTGTCCAGTGACGTTTCCAGGGTTAGACCCGGTGAGAAATTGCGTGGCTGCTGAGGAGATTCATAGCGATACGATTGGGAATAGTTACTTGGGTGATTTTTGCATTTGTGGAGCGCCGTCAGCTGATTGTTCGCCGACTATTGCGAATGATTCATGGTAGGGGTGGATTTTTGAGAAAATTTTTTTTTCAATTTAAAATTCACTGTTTCAAAAATTGTTCATATTTTTCCTAGAAACTGGAATCACAATCTTCTCTTTGATCTTTTCTACAAAATTTCAGATTGACTTAAGATTTTCAGTCAAATTTGAACAACCCAGAGTTCTGAAGTAACAAAATGTTTTCTTAAAATTTTTCAGAGAAACCTGGTGGAACACTTCGTCAATTTTTTTTTTCATTCGAAATTTCACTGTTTCAAAAATAGTTCATATTTTTCCTAGAAACTAGAATCGCAATTTTGACATCATACAATTGAAAAAAATTCTAGAATGACACCCAGACTTCTCAAGTATCACCTGAACATTTACAGAAAAATTCAACATTTTTTTTGAAAAACAAAATTTTTTCTCAAAATTTTACAGAAAAACTTTCTGAATAATTTTCGATTTAAAATTCACTGTTTCAAAAATTGTTCATATTTTTCCTAGAAACTAGAATCGCAATTTTGACGTCATACAATTAAAAAAAATTCTAGAATGACACCCAGACCTCTCAAGTATCACATGAACATTTACAGAAAAATTCAACATTTTTTTTTGAAAAACAAAATTATTTCTTAACATTTTTCAGAAAAAAATTCACTGTTTCAAAAATTGTTCATATTTTTCCTATAAACTAGAATCGCAATTTTCTTTTTTCAAAATTTCGAAAAAAAATTCTAGAATGACATCCCCAGACTTCTCAAATGTCACCTGATCATTTACAGAAAAATGCAACTTTTTTTGAGAATAAAATGTTTTCAGCGAAACTTTCTGAATAATTTTTAATTTAAAATTCACTGTTTCAAAAATTGTTCATATTTTTCCTAGAAACTGGAATCGCAATTTGTACTTCACAAAGTTAAGAAAAAAATTCTAGAATGACATCCCCAGACTTCTCAAATATCACCTGAACATTTACAGAAAAATCAACATTTTTTTGAGAATAAAATTTCCCAGATAATTTTCACTGTTTCAAAACTGTTCATATCTTTTTCAAACATTATTCCAAAATCATTTCAGAATGGTCCCCCGAACAATCACAGAAAAATAATTTATCAAAAAAAAAATTCCAGCATCAGTAATCAACCATGGTGGCACCAGGATAACCCATCCTCCTCAACATCTACAACCCCAACAACAATAGTGACCACATCTAGACCAAGTACCACAACTAAACCCAGCCTCACGACAGAATCAACTAGCACCTCCACTTCTAGATCTACGCCCAGATCAACTAGCACATCCACTTCTAGATCTACGCCTAGTTCAACTAGCACAACCTCCCAAACATCCACCTCTACCACCAGCATGACGTCACCAACCACAAGCACATTAAGCTCCACAACAAAAATTTCTACTACAGTGACGACTACACAATCTACTCCACTACCAACAACGTAAGTTAGGCTAACTCAAGGATTATCAGAGGTATTAGAGGAAAATAAATTATAGAACGCAGACAACTTCAACAAACTTCCCACCGTCACCAACTTCAACGCCAACGCTGAAAAATTTGAGTGATGTTAGTAGCATTCACGCGTGAAAATTTTTTTTGAAAAAAAATTGTTTAGAGCGGTGTTGGGATCAATAACGTGTCAACGATATTAAATGAGACGCTGGTTTACTCGAAAATGGGGCCAAATTTGAATTCGACACAGGTTTTTGAGATCTCGACAATTTTGTATAATAGTTGTAATGTGCCGGGATTGACGGTTAATGTGAGTTGAAAAATTTACTGTTTCAAAAATTGGATTTCCAAAATTTGAAACAGAATAATTAGTTTGGAGACAGTAACCATACATAGAGTTTGAAAAAAATTCCGAAAAAATTCACTGTTTCAAAAATTCCATAACTTAAAACCTTAATTAATCGTCAATAATTTAGAATAATTTGTTTTTGGAAAAATAAATCCACGTGGCAAAATACTCAAATCTTAGGTTAGGATGAAAATTAATACAAAAAACCCGCAATCAAGACTATAAAGCCTAGTTGTCAAGCAGCCGAGCCTAGGGAACCCGAGTGTATAGGGACCGCGCCTAGAGAATCACTATGACAAGGAGCCGCTTCTAGAAAATCTAGTTATCAAGCAGCCGAGCCTTGTGAACATAGCTGTCAAGGATTCGAGCCTAGAAAACCACTATGACAAGGAGCCGCGCCTTTAGAGCTTTTATGTAAAGCAGACAAGCCTAGAGAATCTACTTATCAAGGAGCTGAGTCTAGAAAATCTAGTTGTCAAGCAACCCAGCCTAGAGAACATGGCTGTCAAGGAGTCGAGCCTGGAAAATCACTGCGGCAAGGATCTCCACCTTCAGAGCTTTTATGCCAACCCTGCCTAATTTTAATTTTTTTTCAAAAAAATTCACTGTTTCAAAAATGTCTTAACTAAAATCCCTAAATTTGCAAAAGTAATCATATTTTTGTACTAAACTGGGGAAAAAAAGCCGATGATTTTTTAGTTAAGAAAATTAAAATCCACCAAAAAAAATTCCTCCAGAACTCCCTCCAAATCCTCCAAAACCTCGACAACATTCTCAACGTCAACGAGGAGACTTTCTATCAAAGTGGAACTAGTTCATCTCAACTTCTATCGATGTTACCATCAATGGTTCATAATACGGAAAATCATCGGATCGATTATCTAGAGGGGTTGAATCTAGGCTTCACTGCGAAAAAAGTGGATTGCACGGTGAGTTAGGAATTTTGTATCTCTGAATCTGAATCTAGATCTAGAACTCTTTAGAATCTAGACCACGACGATGGAATTCTCGATCTCGGAACCCGCTTCGAACTTCTAAATTCCTCTTCAAAAATCTCAGAAACACATCAAAATTCAATAGTCATCCCATTATCAGATCTATGTGGAACTCAAGACTGTGAGTTTCAGATTTTTTGGCTGAAAATCTCTAGATTGTTTACAGTGACTCATGTGTTTTTCACAATTTATCGACAAAAAAGTTTGTTTGTCGGGCAGCAACAATACAATATTTATAATGGAAAATCGACGCCGCTTGGGAAACAAACAATGATTTTGAATGGGAAAAATGGAATGGGGAATCGGGTTCGGAGAGATGCCGAAAATCAGACGCGTGAGGTTTTTTTGGGAGGAAATTTTAGAAACTAAAAAATCTAGAGAGGCCACAGGAAATCTAGAAATTTTGAAACAGTAAATTTTTAACGTTATACAGACGATATACTGAATTTCAGAAGAAAAGTGAAATATTCCTAAAAGTTTTGAAACAGTAAATTTTTCCAAATTTTTGAAAATTATATTTTTTTGACAGAAGCTATAATAGAGTTACTGAATTTCAGGAGAGATCTGGAATATTCATAGAAAATTTGAACCAGTTAATTTTTCTAGAGAAGTTTTGGTGATTTTTAATTGTTTACCCCTTACATCACTAGCAAAAAATCTAGAAAAACTATAACTTTCTAAAATTTTTGAAACAGTGAATTTTTCCATAATTTTGAAAAATTATATTTTTAAATAGAAGTCATTGAAGTACTGTTACCGCAAAAAAAAAAATGAAATATTCATAGAAATTTTGAAACAGTGAGTTTTTCTAGAAACGTTTTGATGAATTTGAATTTTTGATCTATTCAAGCAGCAGCAAAAATTCGAGGAAAAACTACATTTTGTAGAGATTTTTCAATAGCAAAAACACCTAGGAAAACTATAATTTTCTATAATTTTTGAAACAGAGAATTTTTCCCTTATTTTTGAATATTATATTTTTGGTGGAACAAAAATTATAGAACTACTGAATTTCAGGAGAGAACTGAAATATTCATAGAAAATTTGAAACAGTGAATTTTTCAAAAGAATTTCTGAAGAATCTGAATTTTTTAACCCATTTAATGACAAAAAATCTAGAAAATCTATAATTTTCTAGAATTTTCGAAACAGTGAATTTTTTCCCATAGTTCTGAAAATTATATTTTTTTTGGCAGAAGATTTAGAATTACTTAATTTCAGGAGAGAAAAAATTCACGGAAATTTTGAAACAGTCAATTTTTCTAGAAAATTTTTCATGAATTTGAATTTTTGACCCATTCAAACAGCAGTAGAAGTTCAAGCAGCAGCAAAAATTAGAGGAAAAACTATGAATTTCAAGAATTTTTGAAACAGTGAATTTTTTGGAAATTATATTTTAGATGGATACGAATAAATTGATACTGAAATTCAAAAGAAAAATGAAATATTCATAGAAAATTTGAAACAGTGAATTTTTCAAAAGAATTTCTGAAGAACCTGAATTTTTAAACCCATTTAATAACAAAAAATCTAGAAAATCTATAATTTTCTATAATTTTTGAAACAGAGAATTTTTCCCTTATTTTTGAATATTATATTTTTGGTGGAACAAAAATTATAGAACTACTGAATTTCAGGAGAGACCTGAAATAGTCATAAAAATTTTGAAACAGTGAATTTTTCAAGAGAATTTCTGATATATGTGAATTTCTAGCTATATCGAAAATTCGAGAAAAAAACTATAATTTGCAAGAATTTTTGAAACAGTGAAAATTTTTCAAAATAATATTTTTTGACAGAAACTTTAGTATGATTTATGACTGAAGTTCGGAAAAAAAAATGAAATATTCATAGAAATTTTGAAACAGTGAATTTTTCAAGAGAATTTCTGATAAATTTGAATTTTATAAAAAAATTTTTTTATACATAGTGACAGCAAAAACTCCAAGTAAACTATAATTTTCAACTATTTTTGAAACAGTGAATTTTTTTGTCCGAGTCGAAATTCTAAAATTCACAAGCTTATGTTAGTCTCATTCAGCAACCTATAGCAAAATTAAAAGTTAGCCCAACTCATTCATATTTCCAGAAACCCCCGCACCATCCGCCTGCTCTCGCCAAACCTCTCTCATCAATTCCCCCGTCCTAAGCGCCACAATTCTCAACAACGGCGTCACTCTCAAAACCACCACCAGCCAAGCAACAATGGCGGTTCTCAAATTCAACACCACCGGAATCCAAAAACCGCTGCACGGTCAACTGAAAGTGACTTGGTGGGATACCGGTCGACAACTATGGGCAACTGATAGACAGTGCACTATAATATCAGATGAGAACGGGATAGTTACGGCAAATTGTTTGCATTTGACGGATTTTGCGATTATTGTGGATGCGGCGTTGAATGATCCGAATGTTTGTGATACGGCGCTGATTGATTTGGGATATGTTGTGAATGGATTTTCGATTGTTGCCTTGATCTTTTTGTCGGTTTATAGTATTTCGACCTAGTGAGTTTGAGAGGGGTTTCTAGGAGCATCAGAGGGCCCCTTTTAGGCTCCTGATGTTCTTGATGTTCTACAAATATCCAGTGTTTCAGATTCCCAGTAACTTCTAGAAAGATGAATCTAGTTCGGAAAAATATCCAAATTAATTATGACGTGGCAAATTTTTGCCCAGAAATCCCAAGACATCTAACAATTCAAATTTGATTTTAAAACTTTTTGTTAATTGAAAATCCCTGGAGCCTGAAATTTTTTTGTTAAAATTAACTGTTTTAAAATTTCTACTAATATGTTATTTTTCTTTTGAAATTCAGTTAATAATCAAGATTCATCAGAAATAAAAATATGATTTGCAAAAATATTGGAAAAATTTCACTGTTTCAAAAATTCTAGAAAAACTAGTTTTGCTGGATTTTTTTGCTTTGTAAAAAATTGATTGACGTTCAAATATTCTCTTGAAAAATTCCCTGTTTCAAAATTTTTATGAATATTTCTTTTTTTTTCAAAATCCAGTAAATGGTTGATTTATATTGTCAAAAATATAATTTTCAAAAATAAAGGAAAAAAAACTGCACTGTTTCAAAAATTCTAGAAAATCTAGTATTGCTAGGTTTTTTTGCTAGAAATTTGATGAATGTTCAAAAATTCTTTTGAAAAATTCACTGTTTCAAAATTTCTATGAATATTTCATTTTTCTTCTGAAATTCAGTTCATAATCAAGATTTTTCAGAAATAAAAATTTAATTTTTAAAAATGTGAAAAAAAAAACTTCACTGTTTCGAAAATTCTTTTAAAAAAAAGTGATTTTCCTGGATTTTTTCGATAAAAAATAACTCATTAGAAATTTTCTTGAAAAATTCACTGTTTCACAAATTCTATCAATATTTCGTTTTTTTTCAAATCCAGTAAATGGTTGATTTATATTGTCAAAAATATAATTTTCAAAAATAAATTTTCAAAAAATTTTTTTTAATGAAAAAAAAACTTCACTGTTTCAAAAATTCTAGAAAATCAAGTTTTGCTAGATTTTTTTAATCACCAAAAATTCTCTTGAAAGATTCACTGTTTCAAATTTTTTTTATGAATTTTTCATTTTTCTTTTTAAATCCATAATCAATTCTATTTTAATTGAAAAAAAAACTTCACTGTTTCAAAAATTCTAGAAAAGTTTTTCTAGATATTTTTTCTAGTGTTGCTAGATTTTTTAAATCACTGAAAATTCTTTTGAAAAATTCACTGTTTCAAAATTTCTATGAATGTTTCGTGTTTCTTTTGAAATTCAGTGAACAATTTAATTAGTTCTAAAAAATATGAAACTTCACTGTTTCAAAAACTCTAGAAAATCTAGTTTTCCTGGATTTTTTGCTTTGACCAAAAATTCTTTTGAAAACTTCACTGTTTCAAATTTTCAATTAAAACTTTTCACAGATATAAAAAACTATTATTGAATTATTCTTACTTTTCAAAATATTCTTAAGAATCAAAAGTTCTCACAAATCTACGGAGACTTTCCCTAGATCTTACAACCATTATCAGATTAGAATCTTCAAAACATCCAACAATTCCAAAAAGACCTATGACGTGGATTAACCCCTAATTCTTCCAGCAACCGCTCTCTCTCCTCCCTCCCACTCTTCAAATATCTCCACGGTCATTCCCTAGTCCGCCGCGACTTCATCTCTCTCGCCTACCATCTCGACCTTTTCCTCTTCTACCTTCTCTTCACAATCTTCTCCAACCAAGACACCTCGGGTTCCCTATGCACAACAATGGCCGCAATCATGTACGCTCTACTGCTCTGCTCACTGTTGTTAACAATCTTCCAAGGAATCAGAAATATTCTAACCTTTCTTTCCCCAAAAATCTACAGATTTGTCAACATTCTCCTAAGCTCTCCCTCAGTTTTATCCTTCAGTGTGGTAATCCCCTTCTCAATATCAATCCTACTTTTGGTATTCACAAACTTCTTCGATAGACAAGATTGTTTCTGCTGGGTTCGTCCAGACTACATAGTCTTTGCGATCGTGGTCCCAGTCACCGTGCTCCTTCTAAACACCCTATTCTGCAGCTCCCTAATCATCTACAAAGTTTTCTTTGGAATGCGTCGGAAATTGAGCAGTCGTGAGGGAAACCATCATTACGACCCGAATTTTACCACCAAAATCGTCTCAATTATTATCATGCAAATATCGCTGGGTCTACCGTGGATCCTTCAATTCGGCACACTTTATTCACCCTACACCACATTTTGGCATTATCTATTTACAATTGTGATGGGATCACAGGGCACTATGTTATTGCTGATATTTTTCTACAAGAGGTATAAGATCAGGATTTATGAGAGTGAGCAAAGATCAAGCTCTCGGCAAGCAAAATCGATTGAAAAACGGGTAATTCATAGTACTGATGAGGAGACTTTAGATAATAACTCATATTAAAATTATTTTTTTTTGTAAATATAAATATTTTTCCCCAAAAAAAACTAACTTGTTCAAATTCTGCGGAGCCAATTGAGCCGGTTTCTTGGGAGCCGTTGGTGTTTGATGAATCTGGGCAACTTCTGGACTATGACTATCATATGAGATGTGCGAGGCTGGTGCAAAATGATCGTAGGCTTTGTTGGAGGAGGAGAGATCGGTGTTGGAGTCGCCGCCCGCCACGTGGTCCAACAGTTTTTTGATGCGATCCGCTTCGAGCAACGCTTTTTCTTGTTCCCAGTCTTGGAGAGCACGTTCGTCTCTGGAAAAAATTGGGGATTTGGGGAGTTTTGGAAGGGTTTTGCTGATTTTAAAAAATTGCCACGTGGATTTTTTTAGTTTAGAAAAAATGGTAATTTTTGAATTTCATGAAATTTCATCCAAAATGCCACGTGGAAAAAATTTGGAACTGAAATTGTGTATTTGAAAAATTTGTACCTGCCACGTGGCAGTTTGAAATTTAATTTTCACGCGAAAAAAATGCCACGTGGCATTTTGAAACCAGATTTTTTGATTTGAAAAATCCACGTGGAAAAATTAGAAATCGAAGTCCGAAAAAAAATTTGAATTTCAAAATCCAGGTCCCAAATTTTCCACTCGGAATTTTTTTGAAAAAAATTCTTCCGTGATAAAAAATGCCACGTGGCAATTTGAAATCTAATTTTCTAGAAGAAAAAACTTCTCCGCGTGTAATTTTAGAATTAGAAAAAAATAGGGTTCAAAAATCTAGGTCCAAAATTTTCAGTCGAAAATTCTGGAAAATTATCTGAAATTGTTCCACGTGGAAACCTCAAAATCAGAATTTTCTAATAAAAAATTTATACTTGCCACGTGGAAATTCAAAATCTAGTTTGGTAGAAAAAAAAAATCCACGTGGCAATTTTTGAATTTGAAAAATTTGAATTTCAATTTTTTTTCCAGGTTCAAATTTTCCACTAGAAAAAAAACATTTAGGAAAATTTTCACGTTAAAAAATGCCACGTGGCAATTTGAAACCTAATTATAAAATAATTTGAAAAATGCCACCTGTCAAAAATATCCCTCTAAAACTCACTGCTCACTCAATCGTTTCTCCCGTTTGGCAACCGGTGCAAATGCTCCACCAGCTCTCGAGCCAGGCGATAATTGTTGTTGCTCATATGAAGCTCTGGAGTTTGGCGAGAGTTGCGGTAACTCGGCAAAACCAGCAGCAGCTTGCTGCTGAGTTTGAACGTGGATTGGTTGCGGAGCACCTTGTTGATAGAAGTTCTGAGCTCCAAGAGCTCCAGGAGCTCCAGGACCATCATAAATATCAAACTCTTGCAACAACTTCTGCTCGGTCGGACTTATCGGAACTTGTTGATGTTGATGTTGAGGCACAGGTGGAGGTGCATTTTGATGATCGGCGAATTTTCTCAGATGTTCCGGAACGTGCTCAAAATCTGTGACGTAATCTGAGATCTGCTCGAAATTCGACGTGGATTTTGGTGAGAGATCCATTTTTAGGGTTTCTTGCAGATGATTGTTGACCGAGCTGAGGGTGTTGTCGAATTGCTCTTGGTGCAATTTTGGGTGGCTGAAAATGAATTTTTGAGATCGGAACATGATTGGATCTTGTAGATCTGAAAATCCTCTATAAAATGAGCTACAGTACCCCTAGATTACTGTAGAACTCACCATTTTCTGAATTCGGAAAACTTTGAAATAGTTGGATTTTTTTTTGAAAAAAAAATCAAAAAAAAATTTTAAATTTGGGTCACGTTTGGAAATTTTTTTTGAATTTTTTTTGAACAGAAAAATTTCCACGTGGATTTCTTGAAAAAAAACTATGCCACGTGGATTTTCAGCCCCCAAAAAATTCCAGAAAAAAATTGCTACGTCTACAGTACCCCAAACTGCAAGGATTACTGTAGAACTCACCATTTTTGAGATTTATAAAATTTTGAAATGATTAAATTTTTAAAAATTGAAATTATGAAAATTTTAAATTTGGGTCACGTTTAAAAAATTTTTTTCATTTTAATTTTTTTGAATAGAAAAAATGCCACGTGGATTTTCAGCCCCCAAAAATCAACCCCCAGAAAAATTGCCTTGTCTACAGTACCCCAAACTACAAAGATTACTGTAGAACTCACCATTTTCTGAATTCGGGAAATTTTGAAATGATTAAATTTTTAAAAATTGAAAAATTGAAAAATTTTAAATTTGGGTCACGTTTGAAAATTTTTATTTTTTATTTTCATTTTTTTGAACAGAAAAATTGCCACGTGGATTTTTTAAGGATTACTGTAGGTCAACTGAAAGTACTGTAACTTAAAAATCCGGAAAAATTACTGTAGATCAACCGAAAATGACTACAGTACCTCAAACTGAAAAAAATATGAGGAAAAATTGCCACGTGGATATTTTGGTGCCAAATTCGAAAAATTTAAAAAAAAACTCTATGCCACGTGGATTTTCAGCCCCCACAAAAATTCTAGAAAATTTTTTTTAAAAACTATGCCACGTGGATTTTCAGCCCGAAAATCCCAGAAAACTATTCCACGTGGATTTTCAGCTCAAAATTTCTAGAAAAAATTTCAGAAAAAACTATGCCACGTGAATTTTCAGCCCCCAAAAATTACCTCATATTAATATCCAGCTCCAAACTCGGAAATCGATTATTACTATCCACCAAATTTCCACCACCATTGCTCATATTAGCCACATTTTTCACACCATTTTTCAAATATTGATCAGCTTCTCGCAACAAATCCTCAGCATTCCGGGGAATTTCTTGCAAATTTCGAATTTGCTCCAATTTCGGCACAATTTCCTCAAGACTTTGCTGTTTTGGCTCAGCTTCTGCTTGCTCGGGCTCAATTTTCGACGTGCCATTTTTGTGCTCATCGAGCAATTTGAAAAAATAGTAGACGAATGCGATGGCGGCTGCGGTGAGCAAATATCGTGTGAATGGGGAGAAGACCAGAAAGTGCTCGGGCTCCGGACACTCTTCCCATTCATCTGGATCATACCCGAGACGAGAGTTGTAGACCATGTCTGGAAACATGGAGATTTTGGGATGGGAAAGTGGGGGAAATCGGGAAAAATTGAGATTTTAGGGAACGAAGCTGGGGGGAATCGGGGGAAAAATGAAGATTTCTCAAACGACACTACGCAATTACGACGAAATCTAATAAAGGGAAACATTATGTATTTTAGAATTTTTAATTCGAAAAAAATTGGAGAGAAACTATTTTGAAGAAAAAAAAATAAAAATGCAAAAAAATTATATTGCGGCGTTTTCTCAAACGACACTACGCAATGACGACGCTCTAATTTTCACTATTTAGCGAGAAAATAAATGAATTTGAATTTTCAAGTTTTTACCGCGAAATTCCTAGCTAAAGGACGTTCAAAATTGGACAGAAACATTATTAAAAAGAAAAAAAAATGCAAAATTAACAAAAAATATTAATGTTGTGGCGTGTTTTTCAACGACACTACGCAATGACGACGCTCTAAATTTCGAATATTTTGCGAAAAAATAAATTAATTTGAATTTTAAAGTTTTCGCGCTAAAAAATAAAATTGGACAGAAACACTTTTTGAAGAAAAAAAAAATAAAAATGCAAAATGAACAAAAAAAAATATATTGCGGCATTTTCTCAAACGACACTACGCAATGACGATGATATTTTTTGAAATAATCAATAAAAAATTTGAATTTTCATTTTTTTGCGCTAAAAAATCAGTTAAAATTGGACAGAAACACTTTTTGAAGAAAAAAAAATAAAAATGCAAAATGAACAAAAAATATTGATGTTGTCGCGTGTTTTCCAACGACACTTCGCAATGACGATGCATTTTTTCATTTTTTTTTTATTTTTACAGGTTTTACACCAAATTTAGCGCTTTTTTTTTGAGTTTTAGAATTGAAGAAAAAATGGGGGCTCAAATTTCACTTGGAGAAAAAATTCTCTGTTTTTTTCTTGAGAGCAGAAAACATTTTGGCGCGAAATCAAAATCATATGAGTTATCAGAAATCGCTCAAATCTTGGTCACAGATAAATAAATATTGACATTTTGCAAAATTTTTGGTGCCAGAAATAAAGCTTGCTCCAAAAAATGTGTTTTTTGTGTTTCTAAAATCAGAAAAAAACAAGCAAATAAAAAATCTCCAAGAAAAATCTCGGGAAGCAAAAGAAAGAAAGAAAGAAACGGGAAAATTTTTACAGCAGTTCGCAAAAATGCGGCAGTTGTTAAGAAAAAAGAAGAAGCACAAAAAGATAGGGGGAAAACTTGAAAGAAGAGAAGAGAAGCATTTCGAGTTAGCCGAAATCGATGAAGAGGCGGACAAATCATGTGTATAGGAAGAAGAAGAACAGAACAGATTTTTCTTTTTTGTTATTATATTTTTCCCGGCTGAGATGGATTAATCGATTCAGGAGGAACATGTTGGAAAGTCTAGGAGAGCACTGAAAATTACTGATTTTCAGGGGGCAGAAAATTCACTGTTTCAAAATTTCAATTAAAATTTTTCACAGGCTGAGAAAATTTATTAGCGTTCTTGTTTTTGAAAATAAAAAATACAGATTTTTTTTTGTAAAATTAACTGTTTCAAAATTTCTATGAATATTTCACTTTTCTTTTAAAATTCAGTGATTTTTCAAATCTGGCTTCATCCAAAATAAATTATGAAAAAAATTTACTGTTTCAAAAATTCTAAAAAATTATAGTTTTTCTAAATTTTTTGCTTCTTCGGTTTTTTGCAAAATCATCAAAAATTCTCTTGAAAAATTCACTGTTTCAAAATTTTTCTGAATATTTTATTTTTTTCTGAAGTTCAGTACCAATGTGATTCAGTATCCAATATAAATTGTTTAAAAAACGAAAAAAAAAACACTGTTTCAAAAATTCTAGAAAATTATAGTTATTTTCTAAATTTTTTGCTTATATGATTTTTTTTTCCTACACCAAGAAAAAGAAATTCAGAATCATCAAAAAGTCTCTAGAAAAATTCACTGTTTCAAAATTTCTATGAATATTTCACTTTTCTTTCTAAATTCAGTAGTTTTGGAAATGTCGTGTGATCAAAAATATAATTTTCAAAAATATGGAAAAAAAATCACTGTTTCAAAAATTCTCGAAAATTCTAGTTTTCCTAATATTTTTGCTAGAATATTGATGAAAGTTCAACAATTCTCTTGAAAAATCCACTGTTTCAAAATTTGAATGTTTCATTTTTTTCTAAATTTATTGTCAGTAGTTTTTTTCGAAATTAGTGTGATCAAAAATAAAATATGAAAAAAATTCACTGTTTCAAAAATTCCAGAAAATTCTATTTTTTTCTAAATTTTTTGCTTCCTCTATTTTTTGCAAAATCATCAAAATCTCTCTTGAAAAATTATTTGTTTCAAAAACTTCCATGAATATTTCACTTTTCTTTTAAAATTCAGTAATTTTTCAAATCTGGCTTCATCCAAAATAAATTATGAAAAAAATTCACTGTTTTAAAAATTCTAAAAAATTATAGTTTTTCCAAATTTTTTGCTCAAGCATCAAGATAATTAAATTCAAAATCATGAAAAAAATCACTTGAAAAATGCACTGTTTCAAAATTTTTATGAATTTTTCACTTTTTCTTTCCAAATTCAGTAATTCTCGAAATTAGTGTATCAAACTTGGTGTAGCTCCAGAACAAATTTCAATTTCCAGATTTTTTCCAGATCCAATATTACAAAGTACATCGAAACCAAGCTCACATCATAAAAATTATCCAAGAATCATCATTTTCAAGTCATTTTCGAGGGTTTTTCATGTTCAGAGATCACTTGGTAATTCATCATTCACAAAAGAGATGTTTTGAATTTTAAATGGAATTTGTGCCGAATAAAAATTCTAGTTTGATTTTTTGATACAAATTAATTGCAAATTATTCTAGAAATATGATTTTTCCAGCACCTTTGGGGATCATATTTTCATGGAAAATGACTGAATATATCATATTACGAAAATAGAATGTGCTCAATAATTTTAAGCACAAGTTTTCTCAGATAATTTATTTTTATTTTTCTAGTTCCTTTTTGAAAATTCATTCATTCACAAACCCTTCATTATTTTTTTTCAGCCAATTTTATTCCAGAAGTAAAAAATGTGCGCAACTTTGGAGCAACTCGAAATGTACAACTCAAAACTATACTTTTGTATTCTAATTATCAATCTATTTACAATTGCCACCTCATTAATTGCAATTATTTTGGCATTTCGAAAATTATATCAGGATTCGGAATCGGTGATGAATTTTCCAACCAGGATTTTTTTGGGGCTTATTTTGGTGTATGTTTTTATGCACCAGTTGGCGTTTTTTGTGCTCAGGGTGAGTTTGCGAGCGCGGAAGCGCGAGTGTAGACCGCAAGCTTCCGCGCAGCGGCCAGTTCCTCTGCGTCTCTAACTTTCTAGCTGTCTGATTCAAACTTCCGCCCTTTTATCCCTTTCTCTGAGTCTCTAACTGTCTAGTTGTCTGATTCAAGCTTTTATCCCTTTCTCTGCGTCTCTAACTGTCTAGCTGTCTGATTCAAACTTTTATCCCTTTCTCTGCGTCTCTAACTTTCTAGCTGTCTGATTCAAGCTTTTATCCCTTTCTCTGCGTCTCTAACTTTCTAGCTGTCTGATTCAAGCTTTTATCCCTTTTTCTGCGTCTCTAACTTTCTAGCTGTCTGATTCAAGCTTTTATCCCTTTCTCTGCGTCTCTAACTGTCTAGTTGTCTGATTCAAGTCTCAGGTCTCTATTCACTTTCTCTGCGTCTCTAACTGTCTAGCTGTCTGACTTCTCTGTGTCTCTCAAAAATTTTTGAGATTGCTCAGGTTAAACTAATTTTTCATCCAGCTCCAAATAATCTACCAATTCTTCAACATCCTCTCCGATCCTTGTAAATCAACCTACACCGTCCAGGAATGTTCAATAATAACCTATGGCTTAATCACTGGAAACACCGGAATAATTTTCATCGAATCAGCAATGACAATCGACAGATTCATCGCAACAATCTTCAAAAAATTCTACGAGAAATTCAAAAATCAAATTTTGTTAATTCTAGTCGCAATCGCTATTATTTTCGACCTAATTCTAATTAATTATATATTATCTGGAATTAATTATGAGGAGCAAATAATTAATTGCGGATCTTTGCCAAGTGAAAGTGTTTCAAGATTTGCGAAATATTTAGAAGTCTCCTTTTATTTATCGATTTTTCTGATTTTCATGAATTTTCTATTGCTTTTTGTGAATTCAAGATCGGAGAAGAAGATCAGGTGAGATAATATTTTTATTTTAATATGAGCAATCCAAACAACCTTCTTAAGATCTTTAAGATCTTCCTACAACGTAAATCAACGTTTCCAATCAGTCGAATCACTTCGCTCCAGTCAAGCTATTTTTGTGGTTATTATGGTGCAATTTCTGTCGATGTTATTATACTCAATTTTCACGAGCTTTTATTTATATATTCATGACAAAATTTCAACCCTGAATTATGGAATTTTGTTGTCGATTAGCTATGTGAGTTTTTTTCTGTTTTTTTTACTAATTGTTAAGAATTTAATTATAGCTCTGAAAAATGGGGAGTTCTGAAAATGCACTTTTTTAGAATAACATGATGATAAAAAATGTTCAAAATATAAAATTCCACTGTTTCAAAAATTTTAAATAAGGTTTTTATGGAAAATCAGAGTTTGATCAGCTTTAAATTTTTTTCGGAAAACTTCATGAGAAATGATAATGAGAACATTTTTTGGAAGGAAACATTTCACTGTTTCAAAAATTATAGAACATGATAATATTGTTTTTATAAACCCAATTTTGTCGTCAATAAGATATATGTTTCAACGTTTGCCACGTGGATTTTCAGCAGACGAATGTGCTGAAATTTTAAAGCAAAAATTATTTCACTGTTTCATAGTGTTTTGATAATATTCATCAGGGAATTTAGGGGAAATTTTTATAAAAAATTTAGAATTTTTATCATCTAAATTTTTTACTGTTTCAAAAATTTTTGAAAATATTTTGTGGGAATTTAGTTTTGATAATTGCTTTATACCCGAATCTAATATTTTCTCTATTTTTTCATTTTCCTGGGAAAAATTCCTTTAAAAATTCACTGTTTCAAAAATTCTAATTCAAACCTTTTGACAATTTCATTTTTAATATGCTAACCACATCAATATTGTTTCAAAATATCTCAAAAAAATGTTTGCCACATGGATTTTCAATGGACAAATTTGGATAGATTATCATTAAAGTTTCATTATTTCCTGAAATTCAGATCACAAAAAAAATTTCCAAATTTCAAAGAAAAAATTATCTAGAGTTTTCACTGTTTTAAAAATTGTTGAAAATCTGGGGATTTATTGTTAGTTTTGCTGTCTCGAGTGAACTTTAGTTATGAAAAATACCAAAAAACTCTAAATTTTCCCTAAAAATCTTCCAGACTCCAATCTACTCATCGCTCATCGTCCCATTGCTCATAATCCGAATGATCCATCACATCAAACAAAATCGCGCCTCAAAAATCAAAACCATGACAACAAAACACGAATCCCAGGAAGAGCATATGAGAAAAATGAGAGAATTGTGGAACAAGTAAACAAGGCCAACTTATAATTAATTTTGGTTGTCAGGAATTTTTTTGCCTATTTTTTTTCTGGGCATTTTTCATCTAGAATGAATACTTCTAACAATTGTATAACTATTGAACAACTTCAAGTCTACGAATCAAAATTATATTTCACCATTTTACTTTGGAACTGTTTCATAGCCATGATCACCCTAGTTACCGTAACTCTAGGAATCCGAAAACTTCTCAAAAAATCAATATTACCTTCATCAATTCGAACATTTCTAATAATCTCGTTAATCTTCGGAATGATTCATCAAATCGCATATTTTTGGATGAAAATTCGATTGATCTTCCGGATTTTCTCACATGATCCTTGTGCAATTCCTGAAATCTCATTTGATTGTCGATTTATTTCCACGGGAACTTTGGCTGGAAATTGTGGAATTATACTGATTCAATCTTTTATGTCAATTGATCGATTCATTGCCACGTGGTTTTCCAGATTTTATGCGAAGTTTCAGCATATTTTGACGGGTGCGATTAGTTTGGTTATTGTGAGTTTTGAAATAGTGAATATTTTATAGCATTATTGCAAGTTGAATAGCAAAAATCAAATATTTCCGAAAATATTATCAAGAAATTTTGAAACAGTGGAAAATTTTTAAACATAAAAAAAACATTTTTTTAATTACACGGGCAAAATGAAATGGGTCCGCAGCGGGTCCGCTGCGGGCCCATCTCTAAAATGGCCCCGCAGCGGGGCCATTGTGGGGCCACATCTGAGCCACACATCGCTATGGTGGTTGGTTGGTGGCTCCACCGGTGGGGCGTCGGCGGGTGTTGGTGGCGCAATGATTTTTTTCAAACTAATTATCACTCTTTCGAATAGTTGAGACAAATTTGAGCATGGGAGGTCGTTCAGGAGGGTCGAGAACATATATTTCGACTTCAAAATTGAAAAAAATCTTCCTAACTTTGTTTCGGTCTTCTGACCCGCAGCAGAGCCGCCGCGTGGCTGTGTAAAAATATGTAGAAAGGACAATATTTTGAACATATGTTTTATATATTTTCTTTATACTAACCCGATATCGACAGAACCATCCGAAAAATCAAAGGCTTTGAAAGCCGAAAAATCTTCAAAGCCTAAAATCACCGGTTAGCGGAAAATTAGTACTTCGAACTTACAAAAATCTCAATTTATTTTTTGTTAGAAACTTTTTAACAACGGATAAAAATCATCGTACACAATTCACTAAAAAACCAATAAATTATTAATTTTTGTGAAAAAGTTCAAAAAACTTCTCGAATTTTTTCTGATGGTTCCATGATGGAACTTCCAACCACCTTTCAAATTCTAAATTTTTCGAAAAATGTGAAGTTTTGAAATTTTGGCATGAACGAGTGATTTTTAGTAAATTAACAACGCTGAACATTTTTCAGTACTCGGTTTATACAGAAAACTGTTTCCCGCTGAGATATAATGGCTTTTTGGAGCCTTTCTGTCGATTTTCGGAATTCTGGGGAAAAACTATTGAATTAATGATTTTCAGGAGGGAAGTTTGAAAATGCAGTACCACGTGCCTTTGCTCTAATCATACTTTTCGTTTCAAACCGACTTTACTTCGAAAATATTAATTTTATGCTTGAAAAACTAGAAAAAAATGCATTTGTTACTGTAGCGCGCGAAATGTGTGCAAACACACACACACACACACACATTTTATTTGACGCGCACTTATTTTTGTTTTTCGTTTTTCCTATTTGTCCTATTTTAACGCTTTTTTCTTGTTTCTTCCAAGTTTTACATGATTTTACATGATTTTACAGGTATACAATGGGCAACAAGTCATCTGCATCAAGAAGAATTTGGAGAATTCCGAAAAAAAGTAAGAAAAATCATGAAATTAGGAAAAACAAAGAAATTCGATTTTTCAGGGCGCCGCCTTCACAAACAGTTCAATTATAGGAGCGAACTAAAAGATAGTGCTGTTAGTGGATTGGTCGAATAAAATGGACTGTTGGTGAGTAGTTTTTTGTTTTTGAGCGAGTAAATTTCAAACTCGACATTCTATGATTTTGTGAACTTCAAGTCTGACCATTTGTATTGCAAGAAGCATCTGCTTATGTTTTACACATGCCAAATTTAGTAAATATTCAATATCAAAATGAAAAGGCTGTGAAGAGCTGAACAAATTACATGTTTCTCTCAAGACATACATATGTCTCGGTGGAGAATGCTAAACCAGTTTTCAACCCAAAATTGGCCGAAATGTTGATAAAAGTTTGGTGAAACTTTAGCTAAGTGTCATCCGACTCTAGCATCCATACGTATTTTATAACATAGAAATTAAATGAGAAATTTATTGAAAAGAATGATAGAAAACTTGAAGTCTTTGGATAATTGAATCACCATTGCTTGTCGATGTTTTACATTTCACAAAACATTTGAAACTGTATTACGAAATCGAGCACAAGTTTCAGAATATTATTCAGACTTGGAAAGAAACAAAATCATAGAAATCAACAAAACTATACTTGTCATACTAACTTTTTTTCAGACATCACCCACCAACACCAAAAATGTCGACTTCAGATGACATCTGCCAACAATCGATTTTGGACAACGTCGGACTAAATAAATGTTTTTTAGCCTTAATAAATTTTTTTTCAAAACTTGTGAAAAAATTTACAAAAATTTACAGAGCCACTAGAAAGCCGCAATAGAGCCACCCACCAGCCACCGAAAAAATCAGAGCGCACATTATGGGTCCGCCGCGGCTCAACCATTTTGTGGGCCCGCAGCGGACCCGCTGCGGAGCCATTTCATTTTGCCCGTGTAATAAGTCATCCAGAGCAAGAAAAGAATTTCCAGGAATTTTAACTAGAAATTTTGAAACAGTGAAAAAATTTTTAAACAACTTTTTTCGAAACTGAAAACTAGAAAAATTAATTAATTAATAGTTTTTAGTCAAAACCTGCACGATAGCAAAAATCAAGCTTTCCAAAAAAATTATCAAAAAATTCTGAAACAGTGAAAAATTTTTAAATTCCCAGGAATTTTTTTTATATGAAATTTGATTGTGAGCAAAAACCAAATCTTCCAAAAATTTTATCAAGAAATTTTGAAACAGTGGAAAAATTTTTGAACAATTTTTCTTCGAGATTGAAAACTAGAAAAATTAATCAATATGTTTTTCTTTCACAACCATGGAAGCAAAAATAAAATCCTCCAAAAAATTATGAACAAATTTTGAAACAGTGAAATTTTTTAAAATTAGATTTTATCATGTTTCCATTTGAAACTTATTAGGAAAATGTTGATCAAAAAAATAATCAAACCTAATGTTCAATAGTATTTTTTGAAACAGTTGAAAATTTACTTGACAACAGAAGAAAACTGAATCATCAGAAAAAATTCGATAAATTTTTGAAACAGTAATTTTTTGCAGAAATGATATCATTTTTGAGGCAATCAAAAATCTAATGAAAAATTTTTCCAAAAAAAATTCACTGTTTCAAGAATAGAATAATGTTTTATGAATTTATTCAACTGTTATTCAAACTAATGAATATAAATAATTCTATCCTAACAATAAAATCAAAAAAAAATCCCCCGAAACTTTTCCAGATTCTTCTAAGTCTCTCCATGTACAGTATCCTAAGCATCGATGATCCTTTAAACGACTACATTCCATCCTGCGCATACGCGCCCGCAAAATCCAATGAAAAATTCATGAAATTCCTCAAATTCTGTCTAATTTTCTCAATTTTCATCATGCTTTCTGATATTTCCCTAATATTCTGGAGCTATAAACGCGCAAAAATTCAAAATTTCGACATGCGGAAGAAGTACGCGGAAAGGGAGACATTAAAAACCGCGCAGGCCATTTTTATCCTTTCAATTTACCATTTCTGCTTCTCATTTCTATATTGCACATTGCTCATATTTACCGATTTTCTACGTGGCAAAATATCGATTTTCAACTACAGTATCTCAGTGGTTCTGGTTTACGTAAGCCAAGTTTCAGATTTTTTTGCTGAAAATTTCAGATAATTTCAGATAACTCCATATTCCTGCTTGCTATCTCCTCTCGTAATTATATTGATTTTAAACAAAATTCGGAGCGCGCGAAAAACTGATATTCAAAAAATGACAAATCAAAAAGAAAGTCAGGAGGAATATATGAAGAAAATGAAACAAGTTTGGAATTAATTAGGGCTCTAATTAGGGCCCTAACTTCTTTAAAGCTAAAGATTTCTTTGAAACGTATTTTTTTCAACAAATATACAAATTAGTGTCAAACCTTAATTAATCACCTACAATCTTCACATAAACTCTTAGCCCTTCCGGTTTTATAAACATGGCATTCAAATTGTTCACCACATTTCGAGCAAACCAAAATCTCGATATCATACTCCAAATCATCGCCAACTTTATTGATTGCTTTTTTTGCTCCAAATCTAGCTCCAACTCCACCAATTACACCACCAACTATTCCACCAACTATTGTGCCAATGCCTGGAATCAGAATTTTTTAACGAGAAGTTGACCAAACATTGTTATGTAGTTGAAAAAACTATCAAATTTTTTTGAAACAGTGAAAAGTTTCAACAGAAAATGTTCGGAATATAACCAAATTGAATCAGCTTTTGTAAGAAACTCGAAAATTTGAAGAATTTTTGAAACGTATTATTTTGCTGAGAAATCAAACATCTGGACCTCAAAAAAAAATTAGAAATTTTTGAAACAGTGAAAAAATAAGGAATTTTTTTGAAATTTTCTTTTCCGAAATTAGAGTCTTCTTTGTGTGGAATACTAATTGTACAAAAATTCAAAAAATTATTAATAACATTTTGAAACAGTGAAAAAATTCAACAGAAAATGTTCGGAATATAACCAAATACATAGAATCAGTTTTTTTAAGAAGCTACAAAAATTTGAAGAATTTTTGAAACGTATAATTTTTGGGTTTAAAACAATGCTGAGAAATCAAACATCTGGACCTCAAAAAATATTAGAAATTTTTGAAACAGTGAAAAAATATGATTTTTTTTTGGAAAAAATCAGGGATGTTTGACACACACACCCGCTCAAACAATGAAAAAATAAGAAAAATGCTGTTCTCATTGGCGTACCAATTTTCGATAACTTAGAGGTCGTTATATGAAAAACTAAAAATACCATTAGAATCAGCGTCTCAAGATCTACATTAAACTATGTGACTCATATTTTTAGGGGTCCTGCGAAGAAAGTTACGATTTGCGTCGAGACCACGCGGTTAAATAAATACATGTCCCTTTGATCAGCGTCTCTGCGTCTCTCGAAAATTCACCATGTTTTGTTCGTTCAAAGGAACATACATTTATTAATTTATTGGGTCTCGAAAAGCTGGCCTTCCTGGGCTCCTAGGAATTATGAATCTTATGGTTTAATGTAGATCTCGACACGCTGAATCTCGTGGTATTTTTCATTTTTCTCTAACGCCTGTTTTCCTAACGAAAATTGGTACGCCAATTATTTCATTGATTTACGTTGCTGATTAAAGGAACACGTATTTATTTAACCGCGTGGTCTCGACGCAAATCGTAACTTTCTTCGCAGGACCCCTAAAAATATGAGTAACATAGTTTAATGTAGATCTTGAGACGCTGATTCTAATGCTATTTTTAGTTTTTCATATAACGACCTCTAAGGTAGCTAAAATTGGTACGCCAATGAGAACAGCATTTTGCTAATTTTTTCATTGTTTGAGCGGGTGTGTTGACTAGATTTTGGAGATTTTTTGTTTAATTTCTGGAATTATTTGAATGAAGTATACATGCTCTTAACATTGAAGTAGAAAAACTCAAAAAATTATAAGAAATTTTTGAAACAGTGAAAAATTTTCAACAAAAAATTTTTCCCGAAATAGTACCTTCGATTTCAAGCTGTTTTGTGAGCAACTAAAAAATTTGAAGAATTTTTGAAACAATGAAAATTCAAAAATGCATAATTTTTTAAATTTCAGATTTTTTTTCTAAAATTAGAGCTCCAAAAATAACATCCGTGTTTTAATTAAAAATTAAAAACCTACAAAAATATCTAATTTTTTTGAAACAGTGAAAAATTCTCAAAATCAGAATCAAAAATCATATTTTCTCCCAATTTCTGCAAAAATTATGAGAAAATATCAAAAAGATCAGTTTCCCCGCGCCAAAAATCCCCTTCTTACCTGGACAAATCGCAGTTCCAGCAGTGGCTCCCACCAATCCACCAGCCACACCTCCACCAAATCCAGCCGTGGTCGCCGAAATTGTTGTGACCGTATTGCGAGTCGTCGAATTCTTACGATCATCGTAGACACTTAGACCCACGTCGGCCACGTCTAACGCAACACCTACGGCACTTAGGGGAGTGGATTTGGCGACTGTGCCAGCTACAGAGACGGCCTGCAAATTTAGGTGAGTTTTTGTGGGGGATTTTTAGATGATCAAATATTTTTGGCTGAAAATTTTGAAAAAAATTCACGGTTTTCATTTTTTTGAGTTCTCTAACTTTGGAATCGATAAAAATTATTCTGATAAATTTATCAAGATTTTTTGAAACAGTGAATTTTTGCTAAACAAAAATTCATAATTTTTCTTTGTCGTCTTTTTTTTTTTGATAAACTAAATTAAATCACTTTCAAAAAATTAATGAACAATTTTTGAAACAGTAAATTTTTGTCTAAGTTTTTGGATCTGGAATTTGACATGAAATTTATAATTTCCCGAAAAACAATTAATTCTATAATTTCCCGGAGAGAAGGCGCGAATTAAAAATAATAACTGTTATGAATTTATAACGATTTCTTGAAACAGTGAACTTTGGCCAACCAAAAATTCAGTTTTTTTGGCTAAAATTCATAATTTTTCTTTGTCCTCAATTTTGATCAACTAAAATAAATCAATTTCAAAAATCAATGAAAAATTTTTGAAACAGTAGATTTTTGTACTTTATTTTGAATCTGGATTTTTTTGGTTGTAATTTATAATTTACCACCACTATGAAGTACGAACTGAAGAAATTACTGTTATAAAAATATCAAGATTTTTTGAAACAGTAAATTTTTGTCTAAGTTTTTGGATCTGGAATTTTCGACATGAAATTTATAATTTTCCCACAAGACATGTGAATTAAAAAAAAATACTGTTATAAATTTATAAAGATTTTTTGAAACAGTGAATTTTTGTCAATCAAAAATGCTGGTTTTTTGGCTGAAATTCATAATTTTTCTTTGTTTATGCTAATCCTCATATATTGATGAACTGAGATAAATAAATTTCAAAAAATTAATGAACATTTTTTGAAACAGTAATTTTTTGGCTAAATTTTTGAATCTGAATTTTTTGTTGTAATTTATAGTCTCCCATGAAAGAGGTAATTCGATTAAAAATAATTATTGTTATAAATTTATAAACATTCTTTGAAACAGTAAACTTTTGTAATTTTTTTTTGAAATTTCACCGTGTTCAACTGGAAACTTTTTGGCTGAAATTTTAAATATTGTGAGATGAAACATAAAGCTATTATAAACCTAGATAAATTAATGTTCTATGAGAATTCCTGAAACAGTAAATTTTTTCCAAAATTTTTTGTCGGAATCTCTAGCACCAAAAATCTTGAATTTGAGCTCGAAAATCCAAAAAATGCTCACCGCTTTTGTCACATTCAAAGTAGTGTGCTGATTTTTCGTGTCATCCGACATTTTTCGAAATATTTTTTTTTCGAAATAATTTTTAAAAATGAAAAATTTTCCACGTTTTCACGTTGTTTTTTTAAATTTTTATTTTCAAAAATCCGATCAAAAGTGCATTTTTCGGAAAAGTGCTTTTATTTATTTTTAGCCAGACAAATAATTATAGCTTTTCGATTTTTATGGCGCCAAAAATCGCTGCGTCATGTTTTACACCAAAATCTTCACAGCTCTGTAGATTTTCCGGGTTCAGAATAACTAGACTTTTGCTAAATTCCCAATTGTCACCATATTTCCGCGAAAAATTTATAATTGGATTTCCGAAAATCATAGATTTGTGTGCGTAAATAAATTATAAATCATACTTGCAGACATTTTATAGCTTGAAATTGAATGAATGCACGATTTTTGGATTAAGTCTAAGTTAAGTTTAGGTTGAGCCTTTTTTTTTAAGCTAAAGGTTAGGCCCAACTAGCTTAGGCTTAACCTAGGCCTAACTAGTTTAGGCTTAACCTAAGCCTAAATAGTTTAGGCTTAACGTAAGCCTAACTAGTTTAGGCCAAACTAAGCCTAAATAGTTTAGGCCTAACCTAAGCCTAACTAATTTAGGCTTAACATTAGCCTAGCTAGTTTAGGCCTGACCTAGGCCTAACTAGTTTAGGCTTAACCTAAACCTAACTATTTCAGGCCTTAACTGAGCCTAACTAGTTTAGGCTTAACCTAAGCCTAACTAGTTTAGGCTAAAGCCTATCCCTAAGCCCAATTCTAACAAAGTCCAGGGCCTGAAACTCTACGTTCAGGCCCTAGACTTAGCCTAACTTCCAGCCTAGAATCATAATCAAGCCTATTTAGCCTAACTCTATTTTTTCTCCCCCAAAAATGTTCTCTGCTCATATTATTCATGAAAGTGTGTCATCATTTTCAATTAAATTTTTCAATTTCAATTTCAGAAATTGAAAAAAAAAATTTATACGATTTTTGAGGCTCGTGATGTTATTTTGAACCTAGATGAGAGCTCAAAAAATTAGGGCTCTTAGGAGCTGCATTACGGTATTTCTCAAACTTCTACTAACAAACTTAGCCTAACTCCAAGTGTGAACCTTCCTAATTCCAGAAACCATGTCCTCCGACTGTCTAACTCCCGAACAACATGCCATCTACAAATCCCCAATCTATCTCTGCTTCATCACATGGAATCTACTTATCGCAACTCTCACCTTCATCCTAACCTTCTTCGCCCTAAAATCCCTAATCTATCGTTCAATTCTCCCCAAACCCACAATTCTTCTCCTAATCTCTCTACTCATTTTCGGCAATATCCATCAACTATTCTACATTCTCATGAAAATCCGCTTCATTTTCCGCGTCTTCTCCGCCGAATCCCCCTGTGATATTTTGGATTATGCGGTGAATTGTCGAGTTATCACAAGTGGAATGTTGGGCGCGGCGTGGGGATGTGTATTCATGCAGATTGCACTGTCTTTTGAGCGCATGCTGGCCACGGTTTTTGAGGCGGTGCATAGGAAATTGAGGTATTGGTATTGTGGAGTGAGTATTGGATTTGTGGTGAGTTTGGGGCTGGGCTTGGGGACTGGGCCTCGGTTTAGGCTTGGGGATATGGATTTAGTACTTCAGGCTAAAACGCATTTATCAACCAACAAAAATCAGCTTTCAAATAAAACATTTTTTTGAAACAGTGAATTTTTTTTCCTAAAAATCGGGCCTAGACTAGGATTAGGCTTGGGATATAGATTCAGAAATCAATGCTCATTGCCACGTGTATTTTTGACTAAAAACATCTTGAATCTTGAAATTCAGAATCTTGATTTCAAAAAAATTTATTCTGAAATTTCAGATCCCTAGAATTTTGGCCTAGAATCTAAGGCTCCTAGGCTTTAGGGCCTTTAGGCTCCAGGCCCCTTAGGCCTTATTGTTAGGGCTCTTAGGCTCCAGGGCCCTTAGGCTTTACGAGGGGAAATCAGGCCTGATCCTAACATGTCTCTTCAAATTCTTTAGACCAAAAATCTAAACTTTCATAATTCAAAACGAATTGAATGTACCAACAAAAAATTAATTTTGAAAAACAAAAACATTTTTTGAAACAGTGAATTTTTTTCAAATTATTTTTCATCTTAAGGGCCCTTAGGCTTCAGGGTTGTTAGGCTACCGTTCCTAATTTATTTTTAATCAGTTCAACCTGAAATTAGGCCTGATCTTAACTTGTCTCCTAGGCTTCCAAAATTCAAAACCTATTTCAATTCGCGATTGCAAAAATCAACCAAAAAAAATTAATTTTCAAAAACAATAACATTTTTTTGAAACAGTGAATTTTTTTTCGAAATATTTTCTATATTTTCATGATTCAGAACTTTCAACTGAAATATCAAAAAAATCTCGCCAGAATAATTTAATTTTGATGTGACAAAAAACGATTCCTTTAGTCATCAACAAAAAATTCAAATTTGAAATGAAAACTTTTTTTGAAACAGTAAAATTTTATTTTTTTGTTCAATTATTTTTTCCAAAAAAAAATTCTTGCCAAAATATAATTTTGATGTCAAAAAAATTAGAATGAAGACTTCAGATTATCAACCAAAAATTCAATTTACAATTAGCAATAAAATTTTTTTGAAACAGTAAAATTGTTCAATTATTTTTCTAGTTCTGCTCCTCCTTCTCCCTAATCCCAATTATCTCAAATCAAGATTCCGGAGAAGATCGAGTTCAAAATTGTGGATATCTATCAACACAAGCCGGTCAAACAATCAATATGATCAATGACATTTTTCTGATTTTCACAATTTTTCAAGTGTTTTTTGACATTTTACTATTGAAGTACAGTGTAGTTTTGGAGAAGCGGTGAGTTTTTTGGGGGCAAATATTCAACCAAATGTTTGGCAGTATTGGAAAAATTTTATTGAAATTTTAAATACACAATTTTTGAAACAGTGAATTTTTTATGAATATGGAGAGCCCGGCGGCTAGAGTTAATAGTAAAATGAGAGACACAGAGAAGCTAGGCAGCTAGAAAGCTAGAGAAAATGAGAGACGCAGAGACTTAGAGAAGCATAAGGGCTAGAGGCACAGAGGGACTCACACTCGCTCCGCTCGAGAGAGCGTGTGCAAAAACGAGAGAGCTAGGTATTTAGTATGCGGATTTGAGAGACGCAGAGAGATCAGGCGACTAGAGTATATGGTAAAGTGAGAGACGCAGGGGGACTTACACTCGCTTCGCTCGTGAGACGCAGAGAAGCCAGACGGCTAGAGTGTATGGGAAAGTGAGAGACGCATACTCGCTCTGTCTCCTCTGCCACGTGACAAATTATCGATTAAAAATTAATTTTTTTGCAGAAAAAACTTCAAAATCACGGAAAGATATCAATCAATCGAATCGCTAAAATCCACCCAAGCCATGTTTTTCCTATCAATCTCACATTTCTTTTTCACAATTCTAAACCTGACAATTATCGTAACTCTGAATTATTTGCGATCATTCATCTCATTTCAAATCTTATCCCTAATTTTGACAGTGATCTATGTAAGTTCTGCATGGGTTTTGGATTAAAATTGATTTTTTTTTGTTACAGATCACACCGTACTCTTGCCTATTCTCACCAATTGTACTTTTGCTAACTCTGAATCACATAAAAAATCAGCGAAAAACCACAATTCGATCGATGGTTCAGCAGAAACAGACACAATCTTCACATTTAACAGAGATGCGGAAAATGTGGAATTAGATTTTGAATTTTTACATAATTTTGAAAATGAAGCTTTCTACAATGACAAAATTTTGAAACAAATATTTTAGAATATTTTCAATTGTAAAGAAATTGGTTCAGCTCAAATTAAAGAAAAAATTAGATTATTTTTGAAACAGTGAATTTTTGAAAAATGAATTTTGAGAAAATAATTTTTTCATAGAAAAAATAACCGTTTCAAAAAATATTCATCAAAAAATATTAGCAAAATAATTTAATTAATCTGTTTCAAAAATGTTTGAATTTTAAAATCAACATTTTGTATTTTCCCTTTTACATAATTTTGAAAATAAAGCTTTCTGCGATGAACTTTGGTGAAATTTTGAAACAGTAATTTTTGCTGAAGAAAAATTTTTTCTGTATAAAATGAGCACGGTATTTTAGAATTTTTTAGATTGTAAACAAATTGGTTCAGCTCAAATTCAAGAAAAAATTAGATTGTTTTTGAAATAGTGAATTTTTGAAAATAATTTTTTCATAGAAAAAATCACTGTTTCAAAAAATATTCATCAAAAAATATTAGCAAAATAATTCAGTTTTAAACCATCCAATATAAAAATAATTACTGTTTCAAAAATATTTCAATTTTAAAATCAATTTTTTTTCACATAAAACTCAACTCAGAACCTCAAACTTTCTCAAAACCCCCAAAAAACTCACATTTCCTCCAGTTTTCCTCGAAATTCACAATCATTCGCCTCATAAATTCTTTCGACATTTCCACCATTTCGCTGATAAAAATTGAATCGTGTTTCCTGTAAAATAAAAATGAGTGAAATCTAAAAAGAACTCGAAACTAAAGAAAAATTCAAGACAATTATTTTTTTTTTGAGAAAATAGTTTTTGAGCACCAGTTTTACTATAAAACTATCAAAAATGATTTAAACTTGTTTTTGTACTAGGAAAATAGATAAATGTGAATTTAACTACAAGTTTCATTCAAATTCATGGAAAAATAACAAAAAATACGCGAATACATCCAAAAACCTAAGAAAGAACGAAAAAATAAGAGTGTGTGTCAACACCAACAGCCCGCAAACACCAAATCCTACGCGCAATCTTGTAAAAATAAAATAACGACACTCCGCTCAAACAGTGTGTGAAAATTAAACAACAGGCAAGCGTTGTTTTACTTTTTTTCGATTTCCGAAAAACACAAAAACAAGAAAATAAAAGTAGAAATGGAAGTGCGCCCCATTGATAAAAAATTTAATGTCTCGCACTCTCTCAAAACTGTGTGTGTTTTTTTCGTCATTCCTGTTTTATCAGACTGAAAGGGTGTTTTTTGTGAAGTTTTGAAACAGTAATTTTTTCTGATGCAAAAATTTTGTTATTGCACTACATAGACAAACCAAACTTCAAGATTAATTCAAAAAGCATCCAGCTGTGAAATTTCAGATACAAAATCACGTTGTCTCATTTTTTTTTCTTTTTAAAAAAATGAGTGAAGTTTGTCTAACTCAATCAGAAATCGATATTCTAAATTCAGCATTTTACATTTCAATAATATCAATAAATCTATCAATTCCAATATTTTCCACATTTTTTCGCAATATTTGCGCTCAAACGACTATTTTTCGCCGGAATCTTCCCGAAAACTGTCAAATTCTTTCTAATTTTCACAATTTTCTACGAAACCATTCATCAATTCGCATATTTTCTCATAAAAAAACAAGTTTTTCTCAAAATTTTCGACCAAAACAAAAAATGTGGACAATTTGAGAATGTTTCGAATTGTTTTTATGAATCAAGTGGTATTTATTGTGGAAATACTGGAATATTATTGATTCATTTTGGATTATCGATTGATCGATTATTTGCATTGAAATGGGCGGGATTCTATGAAAAATGGAAGAGAATTTGGATTTCTGTGGCTAGTTTAGTTATCGTAAGTTCTATCACAATTTTTTTTTGTTTTAAAATACGGTAACTTTTTCTTCCAGCTCCCCCTAAGCTTCTCAATATATTCCCTATTAACCCTAAATGATCCATTTGATGAAAAAGTTCCTAGTTGTGGTTATGCTCCTCAAAAATCCATTGGAAATGTTCAAATGTATTTTAATATTAGTATGGCTTTAACTATTTTTACATTTTTTGGAGATGCTGTTATGTATTATTGGAATCGAAAAGGAGAAAGGAAGATGTGAGTTGCCACGTGGAAGTTTTATTTGAAAAAAAATGAATTTTCTGAAACTGTGAATTTTTTTCGGACTTTAAATGGTATAAAATGAAAATTATATCAAAGTTCAAAATGTTCGAGAAAAATTAATGAAAATATTGAAACAGTGAATTATTTTTGTGAAATAATTATTGAATAATTCTCTCAAGATTGTTGAACTTTAGCAAACTGTATTCTTCAGATATATCATTAACTTTCAAAATTTTCAGAAAATATTAATGGAAATTTTGAAACAGTGATTTTTTTGGACTTGAATGAAATAGAATCAAATTTCAAAATGTTCGAGAAAAATTAATGAAAATATTGAAACAGTGAATTATTTTTGTGAAATAATTTTTAAATAATTCTCTCAAGATTATTGAACTTTAGCAAACTTAAGAGACGTTTTTTGCAAAAAGGTAAATTTTATTGAAAGGGCTCGGACAACAAAAAAGGGCGTAATTTTAGAATCGGCTCAAATTTTTTTTATTGATACATGGATGGATGGTGAACATTTTCCACCATATAATTTTTCATAAAAACGTTGCACCAATTTGGTGGAGGGGGGTGAAGACGAAAAAGGGTATTTTTTCAAAAAATCAAAAGTCAGCTTAAAATTCATAATTTTTGATGATCAAAAAAGGATTTTGTAGCTCTTGGGACGCTCTATAAGCCTGCATTAACGAGATTTCAAAAAATTCAGAGGCAAAATAGAAAAATTGAAGAAAAAATTTTGACGCCAATTTTCACCCCTTAAACGCAATTTCCGCGATTTCTCACTCGATCCATCGTGTTCCTCTCGCGATTTTGATTCAGATTAGTCAAAAAAAATCGAAAAAAGGGGGACCCCCAGAAAAGTTTTAGATCAGTTTTTAATTTCTACTCACGCGCGCAACACACAATATCAACGACACACATGTGTGTTGTGTGCTTAGGCGCTTGAAACATACACTGTTATTGAAAATTTTATTTTTTGTTGTTTTTTTTTTTGTAAAAGATGAATAATTCAAAACTTATAAAAAATTATTGTGTAATAAATATCAAACTCACGGATCCCTTTCCTTGTTTTCTCATAGCAATATGTCCATATACATTTCTGTACCAGCCAGTCAACAACTCGTTGATATGATTCTCACAAATGTACTTTTTTTCGAATTCGGCAATAACTTCTGGCTTTGAAGTGTCGACGTTGCTGTGAAATTGACTAAGTGTTGTTCAAAAATAAGTCACTTACCACTGTGCTGCACCTCTACATAAAAGTAAACTGAGAGCATCATTTGCACCGAAGAGTTTGTTCATATGGAATTTGTTCACTTCTGTCATTCTGTGAGTAAATTTGATTGATGGTAAACAAAAACAGAAAAATAGCACATACTGAATCATGGTACTGTCTTTATATCGACGTACAGCATATCTGTCAAGTCGCTCGCCATGCTCAATTTCATCAGAAGGGAATGTGTAAAAAAAACAATCTTTTTTCTCCAAGTGTATCTGGGGATGTTTCCACTGTATCTCCACTGTCCGTAGTTTCCTCGGTGACTTCGCCACCGGTTTCCGCAGACTGAAAAAAAACTTCATAATTTGAGAGAAACTCACGGTAACTAAGAAACATACCCTCCTTATAGGCATACATTCATATAAAACAAGTAAAATCGCCAAGTGAATGAGAAATTGAAGACGCATTTTATTAAAATGACAATTTGTTCGTATAAATTGTTCGTATACAAGTGAGGCAATGAAATAAGATGAACAACTTTATACCTTTTCAAGAAAAAAAAACTGGAAAAAAATAACAACAGTCTCGAACAAACACGGCCTTGACCTGAGGCCGCAATATTCCTGGTTAATTAAAAAAAAATCCATCTAAAATTTTTTATAAGTTTTGAATTATTCATCTTTTACAAAAAAAAAACAAAAAAAAATAAAATTTTCAATAACAGTGTATGTTTCAAGCGCCTAAGCACACAACACACATGTGTGTCGTTGATATTGTGTGTTGCGCGCGTGAGTAGAAATTAAAAACTGATCTAAAACTTTTCTGGGGGTCCCCCTTTTTTCGACACAGGCAATCCGCAAAGGATCCTTTAAGGACGCTTTAAGGATCCTTCCAAAATTGTACAAAAGGGGGCTTTAAGTACATCAAAAAGGACGAATTAAGGACGGTTTAAGGATGGATGAAAAATGGACCTTTCATTAAATTTTGAAAAATTTTGGTGATAAATCTGTTAAACAGATGATAAACAAAAATAGAAGTCCGAAACTTCAATTAAATATAGACTTCTGCGGAATAAAGCTGAATTGCCTTTTTTGCAGAGAAAATTTATTTATATAATCTGCATGACGGACACATGGCGAGCTGCGCGCACTGTTATTTTTTGTGTAGGGGGCGGAGCTTGCCTTCCTTAAAGGATCGTTTGAAGCACCCTTAAAGGATACTTTTTTAAGGTTACATTTTTGTTGGAATTTTGTATTGTTTCATGATTATAACACATAATTTCGGCCTTTTGAGTGTGTGACATCAATTTATTCTCACTACGAGCATGAAATGAGCCCGTTTTGGCCCACCCTTTTTCCGGCCTTTAAAATTTAAGGATGAACAAAGGACGCTTAAAGGATGAACGGTCCTTTAAGCGTCCTTAAAGGATCCTTTGCGGATTGCCTGTGGATTTTTTTTGACTAATCTGAATCAAAATCGCGAGAGGAACACGATGGATCGAGTGAGAAATCGCGGAAATTGCGTTTAAGGGGTGAAAATTGGCGTCAAAATTTTTTCTTCAATTTTTCTATTTTGCCTCTGAATTTTTTGAAATCTCGTTAATGCAGGCTTATAGAGCGTCCCAAGAGCTACAAAATCCTTTTTTGATCATCAAAAATTATGAATTTTAAGCTGACTTTTGATTTTTTGAAAAAATACCCTTTTTCGTCTTCACCCCCCTCCACCAAATTGGTGCAACGTTTTTATGAAAAATTATATGGTGGAAAATGTTCACCATCCATCCATGTATCAATAAAAAAAATTTGAGCCGATTCTAAAATTACGCCCTTTTTTGTTGTCCGGCCCTATTTGCCTTTTTGCAAAAAACGTCTCTTAATCCTTCATATAATTTTATTAAAGTTCAAAATGTTCGAGAATAATTACTAAAAATTTTGAAACAGTGAATTTTTTTTGAAAAAAAATTATTTCTAAAGACTTTTTCTCAAGGTTTCTGGAAAGTTTTATGGAATAAAAGTTCAAAATTTTCAAAAAAAATTAATGAAAATTTTGAAACAGCGAATTATTTTTGTGAAATAATTTTTAAAAAATTCTCCCAAGATTATTGAACTTTAACAAACTTTAGTCTTCTAATATTATTAAAATTCAACATTTTCGAAAAAAATAAATGAAAATTTTGAAACAGTGAATTATTTTTGTAAAAATATTTGAAACAAATGCGTGTGCGACTCTCAATATGGAAATATGACTCGAAAAAAAGTATATAAAAATTTTGAAACAGTGATTTTTTTTTTGAAAAAATTACTTTTTTTCGGACATTAAATCATATAGAATCAAAGGTCAAAATGTTCAAGAAAAATTAATAAAAATTTTGAAACAGTGAAATTTTTGTGATATAATTTTAAAAAATTCTAACAAGATTATTGAACTTTAGCAAACTTTAGTCTTCTGATATAATTAAATTTCAAAATTTTCAAAAAAATTAATGAAAATTTTGAAACAGTGATTTTTTTGGACTTGAATGAAATAGAATCAAATTTCAAAATTTTCGAGAAAAATTAATGGAAATTTTGAAACAGTGAATTATTTTTGTGAAATAATTATTGAATAATTCTCTCAAGATTATTGAACTTTAGCAAATTTTAGTCTTTTGATATATCATTAACTTTCAAAATGTTCGAGAAAAATTAATAAAAATTTTAAAACAGTGAATTTTTTTTTGAAAAAAAATTATTTCTAAAGACTTTTTCTCAAGGTTCCTGGAAAGATTTATGGAATCAAATTTCAAAATTTTCAAAAAAATTAATGAAAATATTGAAACAGTGAATTTTTTCTTTGAGAAAATTATTTTTTTTCGGTTTACGAATGCAATAGAATCAGATTTCAAAATGTTCAAAAAAAATTAATGAAAATTTTGAAACAGTGAATTATTTTTGTAAAAATATTTGAAACAAATGGGTGTGCGACTCTCAATATTGAAATATGTCTCGAATAAAAGTATATAAAAATTATGAAACAGTGAATTTTTTTTTGGAAAAAAAACAGTAAATTTTTTCTTTCAAAATCAAAATTTTTGAGAAAAAACTATATGAAAATTTTGAAACAGTGAATTTTTTTCTTTTAAAAATTTAAAATGTTGTTCTCAATATTGAAATTTTTCGAAAAAAAAGTTGAAAAAGTGAATTTTTCCAGCTCATCCTACGAAATCTCATCTCGCTACTATCGCCACGAGACGCAAAAATCAATCCAAGCCATTTTCCTCATCCAAACCACCCACTTCATTTTCACTTTTTTGTATATTTCAGCAATGTTTTTAACCGAGATATTCAAAGTGGCATTTTCAATGTCACAATTTACAAATTCCCTGGTCATTAATTTAGTCTACGTGAGTAAAATCAACTAAAAAAAAATGTTGCGGGCAACGGGGCTCGAACCACGGCCTAGTGAACAAAACACACACGTGCTAACCACTCGGCCATCACGCTTTATTTTTCAGCAGACGAAAATTTCGCTTATAAAACCGCGGTCATTTTTTTAAAAATCAAACTACAGTGTAGTTATTTCAGCTAACTCCATATCACTGCCTATTTTCGCCAATTCTAATAATTCTAATTATCAATCATGCGAAAAATGAGCGATGTGAACGAATTAAAAATATGACAAAGAGGAAGGAAAATCAAGAAGAACACATGAGAAAAATGCAAGAATTGTGGAATTGAGCGAAGATTTTTGGCGCCAAATTTAAAAATTCAAAAACGTGACCCAAATATTTTCAAAAATTTTAAAAATCAAAAATTCGAATCATTTCAATTTCCGGCAAAAATGCCAAAACGCCGTGTAGATCAGAAATTCGAAATCGAGCCAATTATTCTCACCGACTCATTCTTCACCGATGACGTGTTTTTGTAAGTGCGCTCAATTGAGAACAGCGCGGAAAATCGCGAAAATTTGAATTTTATTTTTAAGAATGTGCACCTATGAACCGGAAATCATTTGCTATGGATCGATTTTGTGAGTTGCCTGGCGCGAAAATTTCAAATCCAAATTCAAAAATTCAAATTTTTTGCAGCGATTTGATTGGGATCTTCGGACTCATCGCATTTTTAGTGCTTTTTTTGATGATGACATTTTGCGGGTTGTTTGGAATGTGTGTTCGACCGAAATTGCGAAAAATCGCCGGAAAAACGCAAAAACATAACAACAATGATGATGGAAAATCGAAGGATAAAATGAGAAAATGAGTATGATTTTTGTTTAGAAATATGAAATGTTTCCTGTATAAAATGAGCTACACTGTATTTTAGAAAAAAATGTTTGCTGTTCTGGTGGATTGGTTCAACTCAAATTCAAGAAAAAAAATAGAATATTTTTGAAACAGTGAATTTTTCAAAAATTAGAATTTTTGTTTTGAAAATAATTTTTTCATAGAAAAATTCACATTTAAGAAAAATAACTTAATAAAAAAATCACTGTTTCAAAATTTCGATTAATGTTTCGGATGACTATTGGTAATCTGATCGAGCGTGAATTTGAAACAGTAAATCTTTAAAAATGTATCAAATATAAGGCTCTATCGCAATATATGGGTCCCATGGAAATATATGGGTCCGTGAATTTTTTTATGGGTTCCAAAAAAATAAAAGGGTCCGAAAATAAAGTTACTAGAGGATTCAAAATTTCTCTATTATTTCAGGCTTAGGCTTAGTAAACCCCCTGGAAAAATACTGACTGGCTAAAAAAAATGTGAAAAAATTACAAAAAATACTTTTTTATGGACCCTCAAAAAAAATAACGGACCCTTATATATTTTTGGGACCCATGAAAAAATTCACGGACCCTTATATTTCTGAGGGACCCTTATATGTTTTTACGGACCCATATATTTCCATGGGACCCATATATTGCGATAGAGTCAAAATAATTAGAGGAAAATAATAATTTGGCGATTCTGCGAAGAAAACAATTGCATAAATCAATGCAGCAAAATGTGAAAACGCATAAGATTTGTAGTGGTTTAGTAATGTGGAATATTTTAAATTTCCAAATTTCAGGAATATTCGACTAGATATATTTAAAAATATGAAACAAATTGTTGAAAATATTAGAAATATAATGGAAATAATTTCAATTGATGTAGTGGACCCGAAAAGTTGAGATAAAATATTGTATTTGTTTTCGAATATCAATCCAAGAATTGTGGAAAGTTTTGCGAAAAAATATGAAATCACAAATACAACTAATGGTCGATATAGACTTTTATTGAATTCCCAAAGTTTGAAAGATCGAAATTCGGTTTCATCTGAGATTAGAAGTCGGGTATGTTTTATGAAAAGACAATATGAAATGAAGTCTGGAACTAGTGAAATACATAATAGAATATTGTCGAAATCCCACATTTTTCTAAATTTTGTTAGTTGAAAATGAAAATTAATTCTAGGTTTGATAAGAAAATAATTATATATCTTGGAAATTTTAGTTGAAAATTCTACTGTTTCAAAATTATCATAATAATTTCACTCGAAAAATTGCGGTTAATAAAGTTGCCATTCGCTTTCAGAAAAATTCAATAATAAATTAAATGTTATCCAAAATCAAAAATCCACTGTTTCAAAATTTTCCCAAATTTTTGGTGATTTCCACAAGTATCGTTCAGAACCTCTCAAATAAAAATTCACTGTTTCAAAAAACCTATGATAAATGTTGGCAAAAATTATTTGTTTGCAGCTAAAAAAAATTCCACGTGTATTGTTATTCAGAAATTTATTCTACTGTTTCAAAATTATCATAATCATTTCATTCGAGAAAATGTGGCTAATAAAGCTGTCTTTCATTTGCAGAAAGAATCGATAATAAATTGAATTTCTCTCAAAAATAAAAATTCACTGTTTCAAAATTATCCCAAATTTTTGGTGATTTTCACAAATATCGCTCAGAAACGTTCAAATAGAAATTCACTGTTTCCAAAAACTAGGGGCGGTGCCCCTAGGCGAAACAGTTGTACAAATCCTCAAAAATTTCAAATTTCGAAAAAAAAAAACTATTTTTTCGCATGTTTCAAATGATCATTTATAAATTAAAGAAATAAACAGGTTTTCACGTAGGCATTCGTGGTCAAGTGGTACGTGACTTTACCTTGTGATCAGAGTATTTTTGACGGGTTCGATTCCCGGTCGAAGCATTTTCCTATATCCGCTATGATTTTTAAAATTTCTGAAGAAAATGTGAAAAAAATGGTGAAAAAATGTGCGAAAAAATTTATAATCAGAATGCATACCTACGGGATTTTATAAAGAGGTTAATCTATGATAAATTTCATCATGTTGGCAAAAATGATTTGTTTATTGCAGCTAAAAAATGTTCTCCACGTGTATTGTTTTTCAGAAATTTATTCTACTGTTTTAAAATTATCAGAATAATGTAATCTAGAAGTTGTCGTCTATTAGTGCATACATTTTTAGCAAAAATCAATAACAAATTAAATTTTTTCAAAAATAAAAACTCACTGTTTCAAAAATTTCTCAAATTTTTGGTGATTTTCACAATTATCGTTTAGAGACGTTCTTACAAAAATTCACTGTTTCAAAAAAAATCTATAAAAAAAATGGCTTCATATTTGCGAAATTGATTCTCCATCTTATCCGATGTGAAAATTTTTCAGCTAAAAATTAGATCTATGCAAAAATCAAATTTTTGATTGAATTAGCAGATTTTGGAAGATTTTTTTTCAAAAATTTATTTCACTGTTTCAAAATTATCATATAGATTTTATTCGAAAAAAAAATTTGTTTCAGCTAAAAAATTTTTGATCATTTAAATAAAAATTGTGCCAGAATTTTGAAATGAAAACTTTGATAAAATTAATATTCGGGTATCAAAAAAATTCACTGTTTCAAAAAATTTAAAAAAAAATGGCTTCATATCGGCAAAATTGATTAGTCGACTCAACTTGCCAGAAAATTAAAAAAGTTATTTCACTGTTTCAAAATTATCATAAAAAATTAATTCAAAAATTTTGTTTAATCTTGCATAGACTATATTTCTTCCCAAAAATAAAAATTCACTGTTTCAAAAAAATCCATTAAAAATGCATCATTTTGGCGAAATCGATTAGTTATGTTTTTTGCAGCGAAAAAAAATGTTGTGATTGAATTAGCAGGGAATTTCAACGTGCCCCAATTTTTTTCTTTTTTTTCCTCAATTTTTTTCAACTAGTTGCTCATTTCTGAATTTCGGCAAAAATGAAACTAATTTTGCTATTTCTAGTTCTTCGTGTTGTCTACTCCTGGAAAAACTGTCAAAATTTCTCCGGAAAATGTGAAAAGTCTCAAAAACCCCTAGTTATTCTAAGTCTCGATGGTTTTGCGAGAAAATGGTTGGCGAAAGTGGAGAGCTTGAGTTTCCTGGCAAAATGCGGTGTGAATGCGGAGAAAATGTGGCCAGTTTATCCATCAAAAACCCTCCCAAATCACTATTCAATTGTAACCGGGCTATATCCAGAAAACCATGGAATTGTGAATAACAAAATCTATGATCGAGAAAAATCAGAGTTCGAAAATATCAAAAAACCGGAAAATGGCGAATATTTTGGGGGAATTCCAATTTGGTCAATGTTTAAGAAACATTTTCCACAGAAAAAAGTGGAGATTTACAATTGGATCGGGTCAGAAATGCAAATCTTGCCAGAATATCCAATTGATCATGTCGAACCCTTCGACAAACATCTCAAATACCGCGAAAAATTGGGGAAAATTCTCAAGTCTCTGGGCTCCGAAAATCCACCAGAACTTGTTTTGGCCTATCATAATGAGCCTGATGAGACCGCGCATTATTTTATCAACAAACCGGAGAAAATCGAGGAGGTTTTGAAAAGCGTCGATGAAGATTTGGATTATTTCCTGGGCGAGTTAGACAAACTCAAATTGCTTAACTGTATAAACTTGGTAATTCTAAGTGATCACGGCATGCAAGAGATTCATCAATTGATAAATCTTACAACCCTAGAATCTGGACTCAAGGATTTTAAAATTGATGAAAATATTATTGGGATGATTTATGATTCGGATAACAAGAGCAATGGTGATAAAGTCAAGGAAGTTGTCGATAAATTAGCGTGTGAAATTGAAAATGTCAAGGTTTATGATGAGGAAAGTATGCCGTTTCGAAAACATTATTCGAAATTGAGAAATTCGAGGATTGCCGATATTGTTATGGAGGGAAAGCCGGGTATTACTTTTGGAAGAGATCCTGTCAAATTTCCGGTGAGGTTTTGGGCTTAGATCTATGAAATTGGGCCTATCAAGCCTCAAAAGGCCTTAATTCAAGCCTAAAAGAGCCTAGAATCCCTATACTTGAGAGACGGTTAGAGAAAACAACATTTGTCAATAGGGCGAACATGCTTTTGCTTTCAAAATTTTTTAAAATAAAAACAATGTTGAAAAACTCACTTTTCCTCCAGATTTCCTCGAAATTCACAATCATTCGCCTCATAAATTGCTTGGATTTTTCCATGACGTTTTTCCTGTAAAATAGAATTGAGTGAAATCTAAATAAGAACTCGAAACTGAAGAAAAATTCAAGAAAATACATTTTTTGCTTTTTGAGCAACAGTTTTAGTATAAAACTATCGAAAATGATTTAAACTTGTGTTACTTGTATTAGAAAAATAGATAAATATGAATTTTGCAACAAGTTTCATTCAAATTCATGGAGAAACAACAAAAAATCGATCAGCAACGACGAAAAAAAACACACACAATTTTGAAAGAGTGCGAGACATTCTATTTTTATCAATGGGGCGCACTTCCATTTCTACTTTTATTTTCTTGTTTTTTTGTTTGTCGAAAACATTTTTTCACGTATTTTTGTTGTTTTTCATGAATTTGAATGAAACTTGTTGTAAAATTCATATTTATCTATTTTCCTAGTACAAGTAACACAAGTTTTAATCATTTTCGATAGTTTTATACTAAAACTGGTGCTCACAAAGCTATTTTAGATATGGAAAAATGTGCTTTTTTTTTGAATTTTTCTTCAGTTTCGAGTTCTTATTTAGATTTCACTCATTTCTATTTTACAGGAAAAACGACATGGAAACATCGAGACAATTTATGAGGCGAATGATTTTCAAAAACGAGGAAAACTGGAGGAAAAGTGAGTTTTTCAACATTGTTTTTATTTAAAAAATTTTGAAAGCAAAAGCATGTTCGCCCTATTGACAAATGTTGTTTTCTCTAACCGTCTCTCAAGCCGAGGCTCTTTTAGGCTTTGTTTTATTTATTATCAGACTCAAAGGGTGGCTTTAGGCCGATGTTTATCTTGGAAAATATAAAGCCTGAATTCGAGCCTAAAAAGCCTTTCAACTGGGCTCAACCAAAGCCTGAAATTCGGCCTAGATGCAAGCTTTAAACTTAGGCTCTTAAGGCCTAAATTCAGACCTTATTAGAGCGTTTCAGCCCTATAATCAGGCCTAAATCCAAGCCTAAACTAAAAAAGCCCAATTTTTCAGGGAGACCACGGCTACGATGCCATTCAATCCAACATGAATGCGATATTCATTGGCACCGGTCCAGATTTCCGCCAAAATGTCAAAATTCCACCGTTTCAAAACATTCAACTAATGAATCTATTCATCGATTTGCTCGAAATCCCGCCTCACGAAAAGCTGAAAAATGACGGAATTGATGGAGTTTTTGACAAAGTTGTGAAAGATCGAAAAAAAGTTGCGATGAAAAATCGATCTTTTCGATCTTCTGAAGTGTTCGCTGAAAATGCTGATTATTTTTGGGCTGAAAATGGAGCGATTTTGAAGCATAAACAGAATTCGAAGGTTTTGGTGGCTTTTGGAGCTGAGAAGATGAGCGATTTTGAGCTGCCAGATCATTTTAGAGATCGTGAGTTTGCGGGGCGTCAAGGAACAGTGCCTTGGCATAAGGGGAATCAAGGGATGACGCCTAGAAACCCTGTTTGTCAAGGGATGACGCTTAGAAAATCTATCTGACAAGGGACAGCGCCTAGAAATCCTTCTTGTCAAGGGATGACGCCTATAAGCCATCCGTGTCAAGGGATAGCTCCTAGAAACCTGGCTTGTCAAGGGATAGTGCCTTTAAACCCTGATTGTCAAGAGACGGCTTCTAGAAAGCCTGCTTGTCAAGGGATGACTCCCAGAAACCATGTGTGTCAAGGGATAGCGCCTTGAAAACCTGTTTGTCAAGAGATAGCTTCTAGAAACACTGCTTGTCCAGGGATTACTCCTACACACCCTGTTTGTCAAGAGACGGCTTCTAGAAACCCTACCTGACAAGGGATAGCGCCTACAAGCCATGCTTGTCAAGGGACAGCGCCTAGAAAATCTATCTGACAAGTGATGACTCCTAGAAACCCTGTCTGTCAAGAGTTAGTTTCTAGAAAGCCTGAATGTCAAGGGGTGACTCCTAGAAACCCTGTTTGTTTAGGGATGACTCCTAGCAACCCTGTTTTCAAGGGTTGACTCCTACAAACCCTGTTTTCAAGGGTTGACTCCTACAAACCCTGTTTTCACGGGTTGACTCCTACAAACCCTACCCGTCAAGAGACGGCGCCTAGACCAAATTGTTTCAGACATTCTCACAAATTTGGACGGATTTACACGGGATTTTGTGAGAAAGCACAAAAAAGTGCAAGTAATCAGTGGAACTGCCGAAAATGCTGGAAAAATGTATTATTTTCGAGTTTTGCTAACATCTCGCCCCAAACACCTGCAAGCCTTCATTTTCCCAATTATCTCGCCAAAATCCTGGAATTGCTTGGTAAGATTAATTTTTTTGAAATCAAAAAACAAAAATAATTTTCCAGAGCTCCGAAGAATTGCTCACCGAATATTTGGCGAGTTTGACAGATGTCGAAAAATTGAGCGGATTGAAATTTGCCAACAACATCATCGAGCCAATTTTCAAACAACAACAAATTGAAAAATTGTGGAAATCCGAGTTTTTCGCGGGGAAATCGATTATTGTGAATGGAAGCGGAAAAATTGATGGGAAAATGAGCATTTTGATGATTTTATTTGTGTTGCTCATTTGAATGAATACTTGGATATTTTTTTGAGAAAACTGAAACTTTAGAAAAATTATTTGAAACAGTATTAAAAAATTACCCAGTTTTTTACGTTTCAAAAAATATATATCGTTTAAAAATAATTTAAATTTTGTTTTCATGTTAATTGTTTATCTCTTTAACAAATTCAACTCCGAAAAACTACACTGTTTCAAAAATCTACCAAAAAAAAACAATTTTTCAGAACATTTTAATGATGTTTTCTTCATTAGCTTGAAAAAATAAGTTTGAATATATCAGGTCTTAAAAATCTGAAACTTTAGAAAAATTATTTGAATTTAATTTAAAAATTCACAAAACCTCATGTTAATTTTTCAATTTTCTTCAACAATTCAATTCCACAATAATCCACTGTTTCAAAAATCTACCAAAAAAATCCATTTTGCTTGAAAAATTAATTCCAAAAAGGTCTAAATTTCAACTTGAACTTCCTTTGAGAAAACTGAAACTAAAAATTTACCCAATTTTTTACGTTTCAAAAATTATATATTGTTTTAATTTTCTTTAAATAATTTCAATTTTGTTTGAGTTTCAGAAAAAATCCACTGTTTCAGCAATCTACCAATTTTCAATAATATTTATATACATTTTACAAAAAAAAACCCTCTAAATAAAATATCACAAAACTTCCACTTCACAATTCAAAATTCACATTTTAGATCTAGTCAACCAATGATCAGCTTGTGGTTTTCTCTCCGAATCCGTCGAAATCAACGCATTTATAACCGTGGGTCCATCAGTCTTTTGATAAGCCCATTCCAAAGCTTCCTTGATTTCCGGCACACTTCTCACAACTCTTCCAGCTCCACCAAAAGCTTTCACCATCTCTTCATATCTACATTCAGCAGTTAGACTAAGAACCGGTAAATTCAGAGTTCGATCTCCATCAACTTGTTGATCATCTTCCGGTAAAAGACCTCGATAAATTCCCGAATTATTAATAATCACTGTCACAACTGGCAATTTATATCTAGCAATTGTTTCGAGTTCCATGGCTGAGAATCCAAATGCTGAATCGCCTTGGACCACAAGAACTTTTGTGTTTGGTGAATTGTCGCGAGCCCAAAGAGCAGCAGCTAAAGCATAACCTTGTCCAACTCCCATTGTTCCAAAAGTTCCGGCGTCTAATCTTCTTTTTGGTAATGTTGATGGCATCATTGTTCGACCGATATCCATTGTATTTGCACCTTCGTTTACGACGATTACATCATGTTTTGCGAGGAAATCACGGATCTGGAAAAATGGATTGAAAATATAAAGAGAAAAAAATCACTGTTTCAAAATTTTGATATTTTCAGTTGGAAACTTTAAAAATTTATAAATTTCTCACTGTTTCAAAAATATTTTTTTCAGAAAACTTTGGAAGTTTTGTTTGATTAATTATTTTTCATCCTTTAAAAAATCCACTGTTTCAACATTTTCTAAAAACTTCAAAATTGAATTGAAAATTTGATGTCTCTCGTTGGAAATGGTTATGAAAACTTTGGAAATTTTGTTTTATGAATATTCAATTCTTCTTTGAAAAAATCTCTGAAATCTACTGTTTCAAAAATATTTCTTTGGAAATTGTGTTTGTTGAGTCTGTTGAATGACTGCTTTAATTTCCACTTTGCAAAAATCCACTGTTTCAAAATACATAATCTCAAAATATTAGAATTTATGGGAAAAATTGATCGGTACATGTTAGTCTCTCGGTTGAAATTTAGTTGAAAATTTTCAAAATTTATAAATTTCTCACTGTTTTAAAAATATTTCTTCAAAAAAACAATTTTTTTATTCAATATAAACCTACGGGATTTTATAGAGCGGGTTATTACTTCAAAATTGGCCTGGAAATTTAATTTTTCAAATTACAACTGAAAAATCCGGGACAAAATACGCTTTTTGGATAAATCTATCAAAATTCTAAAAAAAAAATCTACTGTTTCAAAAATATTTCTTCAAAAAACTTTGGAAATTATGTTCGATAGATCAATGACCCAGCTGACACTAGTGAAAAATCCACTGTTTCAAAATAATCTCAAAATATTAGAATTTATGGGAAAAATTTGATTGTATTTGAAATTAGTCTTTAAAAATTCATGTGAAATTCATAAATTTCTCACTGTTTCAAAAATATTTCTTCAAAAAAAAATTCCAACTTTATTTGCTAGCATGTAAAAACTCTACTGTTGCTTTTTTATTATTTAAATTTGAAGAATATTTCTGAATTAGAAAATTCTACTGTTTCAAAAATATTGGTTAAGAAAACTTTGGAATTTTGTTTGATGAAACTATGGAACGACTGACTTAATTTCTACTTTGCAAAAATTTAGATACTGTTTCAAAATAATCTCAAAATATTAAAATTGGTTGGTAAAATTTGATTAATTTTGACATAATTTTTCAAAAATTCATGTGAACATTTATAAATTTCTCACTGTTTCAAAAATATTTCTTCAAAAAAAAAATCCAACTTTTTTCTGATGTTTAGTTTCGTGGCATTGGAAATTTTTAGTGAAAAATCTATCATTTCGAAATATAATTGGATAAGGGCAGAGCTTAACATTCAAAGATTAATTCACGAAAAAACATTGTAGATCAACATTTTCGAGTTTTTTAGTTGAAAATGATGACAAATCGAGATTTTTGAAGCTTCTGTAGTGATTTCTGATAAAAATTGACCTTGGAATTCACTTTTCAGAATTCTTTTTGATTTTTAACATTTTTTTGTTCGTGAATCAGCCCTGATATAAATTGTGATTTTTTTCAAATAAATTTATTTTAAAATATATCTGAATTTGAAGAGCATCTCTGAATTCAAAAAAAAATCTACTGTTCCAAAATAATCTCAAAATATTAGAATTTATGGGAAAAATTCGATTGTATTTGAAAAAAGTCTTTAAAAATTCATGTGAAAATTTATATATTTCTCACTGTTTCAAAAATATTTTAATTTCGAATCAATTAATTTTCCAAGGTTTAGAACTGGAAAATTCGTGATAAAAATTTAATTTTTGGATATATTTGAACTTCTGATCACAAGTCAACATTTAAAAAATTCTACTGTTTCAAAAATATTTCGTCAGAAAACCTTGGAAATTGTGTTTGTTCAAGCCCATTTCTACTTTGAAAAAATCCACTGTTTCAAAATTTTCTCAAAACTTCAAAATTGGATTGAAAATCCAATTTTCTTGTACTTGTGTTACTTGTAAGTGTTTTGAAAATCCGGGACAAAATTTAAATTTTGCATAAATCTCTCCAAACTAAAAAATGCTACTCTTTCAAAAATTCCCCCTTCCCAAAACCAACCGGATGATAAGCGGCATAATAATTGAGTGGAGTCGAATGATCTTGTACCAATTTCTCAACAGCATCTCGATTCTTCTCCGCATTCGCTCGCAATTTCTTAAACCACTCACTTTGCTCATCATATTGCCATTCGCCTAATCTTGGTGTTAATTCGGCCAAAGTTTCACCAATGTCTCCTGCAAAAATGAGATGAGCGAATTTTTTGAGAAGATAAACCGTCATAGTAATAATTTCACGGAAACTGTGAAAAATCTATCAATTTTTTGAAACAGTAACTTTTTCAAGATCAAAAAACTTCGAAAACGTGGCAAATCATTTATCGATCAATTCGATCGGTTTTTTTTTAAATCAGAAAAATTCATAGATTTTCTGAAACAGTGAATTTTTTAAGATCAAAATTTTTTTAATTAATTGCTTTGCCACGTGGAATTCTCGAAGCATTTGAGAAGACGATTGGTTTTGTTTTCAAAATCAGAAAAATTCATAAATTTTTTGAAACAGTGAATTTTTTGACACTGAAAGAAACTTTTGGAAATATGTATATTTTTCGGATCCAAAAAAATCCACGTGGCAAATGATGAAGCTAATTTTGACTTTTCAAGAGGAAATTTAAATTTTCAAAAAAAAATTTCAGCACAAAAAATCCACGTGGAAAAAGTATTTATACATTTTTGCCACGTGGAATTCTGATAGCCTTTAAATTGATTATTGGTTTTGTTTTCAAAATCAGAAAAACTCATAGAAATTTTGAAACAGTGAATTTTTTTATAAACGGTTTTTTGGATCCAAAAAAATCCATGTGTCAAAATCAGGATTGAAAACTGAAAATTTTCTGAAATTTTGGTTTTTCAATGGAAACTTAATTTTGTTTGGCTGAAAATTCAAATTTTCATCACCGAAAATCCACAAAAAATTAATTTTTCGAATTTTTCAGTCAAAAAATGATGACAAAATGAGATTTTTGAAGCTTCTGGAGTGATTTCTGAAGGAAATAAGCTTCGAGAACCTCATTTTCTTCAAAATTCATGAAAATTTGAATTTCTTTAATAAAAAATCAGCTTCTGAAGGTCAATTTTCATCACAAATCACTCTAGAAGCATCAAAATCTCATCATTTTTGACTGAAAAACTCGAAAAACTAATTTTGTGTCGATTTTGGTTATGAAATTCGAAATTTCAGCCGAAAAATTGAGTTTCCATGTGTTAAAAATCCAAAATTGCAGAATTTTTTTTCAGTTTTCAATTCTAATTTTGACACGTGGATTTCTTAGCTCCAAAAAACTATTTTCAAAATTTTCTTTTGGTGTCTAAAAATTCACTGTTTCAAAATTTCCATGAATTTTTCTGATTTTGCAAAGAAAACCGTTTTCCATACTATTTGATCTCGTAGGTTTCAAGAATTCAACGTGGCCTAAATAAATTCAAGAATAATTTTTCCACGTGGATTTTTGGTGGTGAAATTTTTTTTTGAAACTTCAAATTTTCTCCTAAAAAGTCAAAATTCACCACATGAATTTTATAGCACCAAAAAACATTTTTCAAAATTTACTGTTTCAGAAAATCTATGAATTTTTAAAAAAACAGTGATATTCTTTTGGAAAATAATTTTTCTTGCGTTTTCAAACACTCACCCAAAAGCGGTACTTCAGTGAGCACATTTTGATGAAATTCCTCAGGACACAAATCAATTTGCACAACTTTCACATTCTTTCTGAATCTTGGCGGCAATCCAAAATGCAAAATCCAATTGAACCGCGCACCAATCAAAAATACCGTATCCGCTTCTCTTAACGCCAAACTTCTGGCCTGTCCGATGAATCTCGGATGCAAATCCGACGCGACTCCTTTTCCACCAGGCGTCGCCAACCATGGCAACTTGGATTTCGTCAAAAATTGTTGAACTTGTGTGGCTCCCCGTTCCGACCAGGCAGCTCCTTTTCCAACAATCACTAGTGGATTTTTAGCGGCTTTCAGTGTGTCCACAGCTTTTTCAATTTGCGCGATTGGTGGGATCGAAACTGGTGCTGGAAGTGGAACCTGCGCTGGAAATGTGATCTCCTCTTCGGTCTGAGTGAGCACAAGATTTCCGGGTAGATCGACATAAACCGCGCCGGGTCTACCGTACATTGCGGCTCTCACCGCTTTTTCGATATGCGCTGGAATTGTGTGGAGGCTTGTCGGGCGGGACACGTGTTTGCACGCCGTTTTGACGGATTCCTGTTGCGACCATTCTTGGAACGCGCCGCGCGTTTCGAGACCAACGTCGGCTGTTCCACCAATGCAGATTACTGGCCTGCAAAAATATGGAAAATTTAATTTTGACTCGTGGATTTTTCGCGTTGAAATTATATGAGATTTGAAAAAAAGCTATTCTTTTAAAATTTTTCTCCTCAAAAAATTTACTGTTTCAGAAAATTCATGAATTTTTGAGGAGTTTTGAACAAGTCAGTTAATTTGTATAAAATATTATTCACAAAAAATTACTGTTTCAAAAATTCTACAATTTTTTTGTATGATTTATAGCAAACAATGGGCTCCACAGATGTGTATCAAAAACTGACGAAACTTTTTTTTCAAATTTTTTTAATTCAAAATTGAAATTTCCCTCAAAAATTTCAAATTATTTCGCTCCATCATTTGCCACGTGGATTTCTAATTTTTGACGCTGAAAAACTCGAAGAACTCAAAAATACAAATTTTTGATTCTCAAATAATTTACTGTTTCAAAAATTCCACAAATTTTTCTCATGATTTTTAAAAGAACAATCAAGCTTTCATCAAATTTGAAGCAAAAATAAATTCACTGTTTCGAAAAATATTTGAAGTTCTCAAGATTTCGGGTAAAACAATTCGTTTTGCCTTCTGAAACAAAAAAATCCACGTCGCAAAACTTTTCAAAATTTCTACGTGGAATTTCAGAATAATACGCTGAAAAAAAATTAAGAATTTGTCCAAAAAAAATCACTGTTTCAAAGATTTCGCAAATATTTTCGTGAATTTTGAAAAAAAATGATAATTGAACCAATATGCTTCTATAAAACGTGATTTGATCTTTGAAAAAAAACTCCACGTCGCAAAAAATTTTGAAAATTTTCAACTGAACTCAATTTTCAATTTTCCCCGTGGAATCCTGAATTTTGGCCTCACAATCAAAAATAACTCAAAAATCTAGAAATCTAAAATTTTGTTCAAAAAAATCACTGTTTCATAGATTTTTTGAACTTTTCGAAAAAAAATAAAATAAAGAATTCAAAAAAAAAATTCTGAAATTGTTAGCAAAATCTTTTTTGCCACGTGGAAATTTATTACTGTTTCAAAAAATATTGAAACAGTGAAAAATCTCAATTTTCGAGAATGTTTTTAATAAATTAGCGTTAAAAAAACGTACCATTTTTTTTCAAATAAAAATTTTGAAACAGTGAAAAAATCTAAATGTTCGTAAATTTGCACAGCAAAAAAATTCATCATTTTTTTGAATAAAAATTCTGAAACAATGAAAAAAACCCACCAACAATTGACAGTCGCATTGGCCAATCCACCAATAGCATGCAAGATTCCGGGTCCCGAGACGACGAGCAACGCGACCGGTTTTCCGGTCAGATAACCCATTGCTTGCGCGGCGTAGGCGGCAGCTTGTTCGTTGCGGCACGCGACGAAGCGGATGCCGTGCGCTTGTGCGGCCATGCCGACTTCGATTACTGGGAATCCGACGACGCCGAACATGTATTCGACACCCTGCAAAAATATGAGTAAGCTTCCGCTTCCGCTTCCGCGTCCAAGTTGGACTAATTCCTGGGAAATTTGAAGATTACTGTACTTTTTATAGGTACTGTAGCTGATTTATCCTAAATATTACTGTAGAATTTTCCGAACATTCCTCTAGATCTTCAAAAGTACTGTAGACTCATCTAGGCTTCCTGAGGTTACTGTAGATATTTTTCCCCAGATTTTTCCGGATTACTGTAGATCTTCTATACTACTGTAGTTTTTGATTTTTGAACATTCAAACCCCAATCCAAACATCTCTCATTTTTCCCTGATAACCAGAAAATTTATGATAAAAAATAGCACGTTATTTTCTCTGATAAGCAGATAAAAAAAGGTCCAAAGGTTGAAGGTTTTTTTCTCTCTGGGACCCGAAAAAATCCACGTGGCAGGGAGAAAATTATAATTGTTTTGAAAAAATAGAGCTCTCATTTTTTCATGATGTAATGAATTATTTAAAAAAAGTTTTTTTTTCATAATTTTTTGAAACAGTGAAAATTTTGCGAATATGTTTTTTTTTGAGATTTTTCTCCGTCAAAATTCCACGTGGCAGTTCAATAATTCAGAATTTTTATCTTCAAAATGATGCAGAACTAATAATATATCAAAGAAAATGTTTTATTTATTTTTTGAAACAGTGAAAATTTCAGAACAAATTTTTTATGGACCAAAAATTCCGGTCGAAATTTTTACGCTGAAAATCCACGTGGAAGTCGAAAATTCAGATTTCTAAAGAAACTTTTGATAATAAATGATATGTGCCAACTAATGTAATATGAAAGAAAAATCCATTTTTCAGAATACGTTTCGCGCAAATCTCGCGGTCGTTCTCCTGAGTTTTTACGAATTTTTTGAAACAGTGAAAATTTTGTGAGTGGATTTTTTGGTGCCAAAAAAAGATCCACGTGGCAGTTTGAAATTTCAGAAATTCTTGGATTTTTCACAATTTCCACATGATTCAATTGACTGAACGAAAAATCCAGTTTTTTTTCATAATTTTTTGAAACAGTGAAAATTTCAGAAAAAATGTTCTGGTTGAAATTTTCACGCTGAAAATCCACGTGTAAGTCGTAAATTCAGATTTCTAAAGAAACTTTTGATAATAAATGATATGTGCCAACTAATGAAATATGAAAGAAAAATCCATTTTGAGAATATTTTGAAACAGTAAAAATTGTTTGAACAGTTATTTTGCCAATGCCAAATCATCATTTTTCCCCAAAAATTTGAAATTTTTACGAATTTTTGAAACAGTGAAAATTTTGTGAGATTTTTTAGTGTCAAAACAGATCCACGTGTAATTTTCACGCTAAAAATCCACGTGGCAGTTTGAAATTTCAGAAATTCTTGGATTTTTAACAAATTCCTCGTGAATCAATTAACTGAAATATGAAAGCAAAATTCAATTTTTTTTTTCATAATTTTTTGAATCAGTGAAAATTTCTTGTGAGCAATTTTTCGTGAGATTTTTATTGTGAGGAAAAAATAACATGCAATTTTTCAGCCAAAAATCCACGTGGCAGGAAAAATTTTCAAATTTTTTCACGAAACTTTTTGCTATCGAAAAAATAAAAGGAAAGATTCAACAAAATCTCGATTGGGTGATTTTTTGAAAATAAATTTATGAAACAGTAAAAATTTCTGAACAACTTTTTTTCCAAAAAAAAATATCCACGTGGGCCAAAATTTTTCATAATTTTTTGATTTTCATTGATAGGTCTAGCAAAATTAGAGCAAAAATAACATTTTTTGATAATTTTTTGAAACAGTGAAAATTTCTGAACAAATTTTTTTCCAAAAAAAATATCCACGTGGATTTCTAGGGCCAAAAATTTTCAGAATTTTTTTGTTTCAAATTTAAGGACTAACAAAATTAGGGGAAAAATAAAATTTTTGATAATTTTTTGAAACAGTGACAATTTTGGGAACATTTTTGGATCAAAAATCCACATGGCAAGCGAAACTTACAGAGAGAATAAGAGATGTATTCAATAAAATTTGATTTAAAAAATTTTTTTGAAGAATTTTTTGAAACAGTAAAACTTTCTGATCATTTTTGTTACAAAACACGTCATTTTTGGTCATTTTCCAACCAGAAAAAACCATTTTCCACCAAATTTCCGGCCCCGAAAAAAAATGCTTGCTGACCTGTGATTTGAGTGCGGCAGCAGTGACAGCAGCTCCATCCATCTTCGATCCGTCAGGTTTCGTCTTCAAATTTCTCGAATTGATTCGACTATCTTTTGCCGAATAATCAGTGATTTGTCGACGAGAAATTTTTTGAGAGAGAAGATTATTTTTGGTATTGATTAGTATTTGTTTGATAAGACCACGTTGTGGTTTGGCAGAAGAAGAAGAAGAGGAAATTGATAGGAAACGACCTAAAAATATTGTTTTTTAGATCAAAATATAGATTTTTGTAGTCGAAAATTTCGAAAATTTCAGGAATTTTGACCTTTTCAAAAAATAAAGTGTTAAAAATAATCAAAAATTTGAAATTTCATGATTTTCGATGAAAAAATCGATAAAAAATTGTGGAGAAAATTCAACACTTTTTTGGTAGATCAAATAAAATTTGGTCAAAAATTTTGAAAATTTAAACCAATTTTTCTGTTGGGAAGACTGGTTTTCAATTGAATTTTGGTTTTCAACAAATGTTCAGACAATTTTGTTTCAGATAAAATTTTGATTGACAAATTTTTGACTGGAAACATTTTCAGAGAGAAATTTCTGGTGGAAAATTCAATTTTTTTTTGGAAAAAATCTCACTGTTTCAAAAAATTTTGAAATTTTAATTTTTTTTTTGAAATTTTTAATCTCACAGCGAATCTTCGCCGCCAAAAATCACATTTCAGATTAAAAAAATTTCCAGACAAATTTTCAGACAATTTTGTATCTTGATTGGCGAATTTTGACTGAAAAAAATTTGAAATAGGAATTTTTAGCGCATAATTCACTTGACACGTGGAAAAAATCTCACTGTTTCAAGAAAAATTTTAACATTTTTATTCCCTTAAGATAGGATTTCCGATGGAAAAATTGAAATTTCGGCACCAAAAATCACATTTTTCGGAATTTTGCCCTCGGATTTGCATAAATTTCCCCCCAAAAAAAATAGACTTACCAGAACTCCGAATACATTTTGTGGTGGTCGACAGCAATCGAGTAGACATTCTATTCTGAAAAAAATTTTGAAAAATCGATAAAAAATTTGATTTTTTCGGGTAGCAGCAAAGATCACACACATATAAATAGAAAATAAAAGAAGAAATGACTTGATTTTGCATGTGATGCAAAAAAGGGAAGAAAAAAGAAGAAATTGAACTTTTCTTTTTGTTTTTGAACCCAAAAAAAGAGAGATTTTTTGTTTGTTACACATGGATTTTGTTTCGATGATTTCTGGTGTCAAAATTTAGATTTTTGAACTAATTTTTCAGAACCCATATGAAAATTTTGAATATTTTTTGAAACAGTTAATTTTTTGACTAATTTGACGCGTGGAATTTCAGTCTTGGAAATAAAGGCAAAATTTTTGCCACGTGTAATTTTTTTTGTTTCACTAATTCAGCAATTTTCAATATAACAGTGCAAACTTGAAAACTTTTTGAAACAGTAAATTTTTTTGGGATATGAAATCTCAAAACAACAGTGGAAACTTGGGGATTTTTTTGAAACAGTGAATTTTTGTTGAACAAAATTGAGTTGATACGTGGAATTTCAGAATTTTCAGACAGCCGTACCCTAATTGGATAATATTGTTTTCAAAAATCACAAAACAAATTTGACAAATGTCTGAAACATTGAACTTTTGTTATGAATGAAAATGGGAATTTTTCGAATCAAAAAATCAAAAAGACAAGGGAGTTTTCAGACCAAATGAGAAATTTTTGAATTATTTTTTTGAAGAATTTTGCCACGTGGAATCTTAGATTTTTGAAAACGAAAACCTGCAATAACTGACTTTTCAAAAAAAAATGAAAATTTGGGGATTTTTTCGAAACAGTGAATTTTTTTTGACTAATTTGAAGCTTGGAATTTCAGCATTGAAATATAAATTAAGCTTAATTTTTCAAACTAAAATTTCCAGTGTTTCTTGTGTCTTTAATTGGATAATATTGTTTATAAAAAACACAAAAAAATTTTTGACAAATGTCTGAAACAGTGAATTTTTGTTGAATGAAATGGGAATTTTTCGAATCAAAAATCAAAAAGACAGGGAGTTTTCAGACCAAATGAGACATTTTTAAATTAATTTTTTGAAGAATTTTGCCACGTGGAATTCGAGATTTTTGAAAAAGCATAGCTACAACGAGAGAACTGATTTTTCAAAAAAAAAATAGAAAATTTGCGGAATTTTTGAAACAGTGAACTTTTTTTGATAAAAAAAAACAGAATTTTTCAACAAAAATTTTTTCCACGTGGAATTTCACCTTTGAAATATGAATTCAGCGTAATTTCTAAAATTTAAATTGATTTTTTACGAGAACTTTTTTGCCACGTAGAATCTTGTTATTTCGAAAAACAAAAGTTAAAATAACTGATTTTCAAACATCATCTAAAATTATTAGGGATTTTTGAAGCAGTGAATTTTTTGTTAAACAAAAAAACAGAATTTTTCAACAAAAATTTTTGACACGTGGAACTTCAGAGTTTTCAGGCCAAATGAGAAATTTCTGAAGAATTTTGCCACGTGGAATTTCAGAATTTTCAGAAGTGAGCCAGACTGTTTACAAAAATCACACATAAAATTTTTTAAATTCAAAACATGTATAGCTATTCTGATTGATCCAAATGGTGAAACTAAAAAAATCTTCAAACATTTTTGAAACAGTAAATTTTCAAAATAAATTCAGGTCAGAATCACATCAACCCTCAAAAAAACTGATAAAAATAAATAAATTGATGATAAAATCAAGTCACTTTCTTTTATATTAAAGGGAGAAAAAAATGTGATTTTTGATTCCAATAGTTCGGCGATCTCAAATTTTGCATCATCATTTCTGATGCAAAAAAAATCATATTTTCAGAAGGTATTTCAGAATGTTTTTCAACATAAAATCTATAGAAAATCTCGAAAAAAATTAAAATTCATTCCACAAAAAAAGGCAAGAAATATACAAGAATCTAGAGGTAAGTAGATCTAATAAAACCCGTTTTCAGCCAATAAAAAATTCCAGAAAATTCCAGATTTTCAGCCACTGATTTCAGAAGACAAATCCGAGTCATTTATCGCATTTTCCCACTCTTCATCTTCAGAATCTTCAAGTTTTGGAGTTATCTTAACTTCTTCTTCTTCCTCCTTGATTTTCAGTTTTTTCCCGCGCTTTTTCGATTTCTTCGGAGATTCCTTCAGATTTTCCGGCTCGGATTTGAGGAGAAGTTGATCAGGAGCAGGAGCACATAGGGAACTTTGAGGTTCGGATTTATGAGTTATGATAAGTTGAGAAGTTGGAGCTGCGGTTGGAGCATCTTCCATATATTCGACCATTTTGGAGACTGACGAGCTGAGGAATTTGAGCACTGAAAATTGAGATTGAAAGTTTTTTGGATGAAAATTTCAACTTTAGGATTTAAAATATCAATTTCAAAAAGATTCAAAAGGTTTTGTTAAATTTTTGAAACAGTGAAAATTTGACAATGTATTTTTCATGGAATTTTCAAAAATTCGACATTTTTAAGGTGAAAAATTTATTCCCAGCGAAAAAAAATCAAAATTTAAACTCAGGTTAATTTTTTTCAGCTTTTTTTTCAGTTCAATATTTTTCACTCCAACGAAAAAGATAAATTGATAATATCAATTTTGAAATGTTCAAAAAAAAATTTGTTAAATTTTTGAAACAGTGAAAAGTTTAATATTGAAATTTTTGAAATTTCAACATTTTTCAGAGGAAAAACTAATTTTTCAGCGGAAAATTTCAAGAAAAATCTCAAGTTTCAGATTTAAGTCAAGTTTTTCATTAGATTTCATTATTTCAAAATATGTTTCTTTTGTGATCAATTTCAAAAACTAATAATTTTTTAAATGAATTTTTGAAACGGATTTCTAACGGCAATAATCAAAATTTAAATTCAGGTTAATTTTTTTCAGCTTTTCCTCGAAATTTAAAATTCAGTTCAATATTTTCCACTCCTACAAAAAGGACAAATTGATATCAATTTCAAAAAGCTCATTATTTTTTTTGATACATTTTTTGAAACAGTGAAAAATTGAATAATGTATTTTTCATGAAATTTTTTAGAAATTTCGATATTTTTCAGAGGAAAAACTAAATTTCCATTTTAATTCAGGTGGATTTTTTTTTAGCTTTTCTTCGAAATTTGAAATTCAAATCAATATTTTCCACATGAAAAGTAAAGATTCAATATCAATTTTGAAATGTTCAAAAAATTTTTTGTTAATTTTTTGAAACAGTGAAAAATTGAGTGATGAAATTTTCATTAAATTTTTAGAAATTCTGATTTTTTGACGTTTTTCAGGTGAAAAACTAAATTAATTTCCAGTGGAAAATTTCAAGAAAAATTTCAATTTTCAGATTTAGGTCAAGTTTTACATCAATATTGCACCAATTTCAAAAAGCTCAAAAATTTTTTGTTAAATTTTTAAAACAGTGAAAAATTTTCTAATATATTTTTCATGAAATTTCTAGAAATTCGATATTTTTGAGAAGAAAAACTAAATTTCCAGCGGAAAAAAAATTTAAATTCAAGTGCAATTTTTTTCAGCTTTTCATCGAAATTTAAAATTCAGATGAATATTTTCCACGCCAATGTTATCATTTTTGAAATCTTCAAAACAAGTTTTTGATAAATTTTTGAAACAGTGAAAAATTGAATAATGTATTTTTCTAGAAATTCGATATTTTTTAGAGGAATAACTAATTTTTCAGCGTAAAATGAATCAAGTTTCAGATTGAGGTCAAAATCAGTATCAATTTCAAAAGGCTCATAATTTTTTTGTTAAATTTTTGAAACAGTGAAAAATTGAAGAATGAAATTTTTGAAACTTCGACATATTTCAGGTGAAAAACTAAATTTCCAGCGGAAAATTTAAATTTGTAAAATTTAATTTTAAAAAGCCAATGCATTTTTCATGAAATTTTCAGTTTTTGAGAATTTTGTGTTATTTTCCCTTCAAAATCCCCCCAAAAACGCACTCACAAATCGGTTCATAGCTAAAAAACGGCGTCTTGATTTTTCCAAAAGTCGCAATCAAAAAAACAGTCATCACAATTTGTGCCATAATCGGTGTTCCTTCATACAAATCCCGGAAGAATCGTTTGAAATGTTTGGCGCTTTCCGAGAAAAATGACAATAATCCCGAAGCCACAGTCTCCGAGAACACTTCAATTGGTGAAATCTCGAAGAAAATCGATATAAATTGATGTTCAATATATTTTTGACAATCCGATTTTGGTTGATATCTGATAAGTGAAAGCATTGAATCGCTGAATCTTTGGAGCAATCCTTCAGGAGCACAAGCATCTGATAAACTATTCAATTGTTGGATTTGTGCGAAACGTCGTGCTTCAGCTTCCTGATATTTTCGATTATATCCGCAATACATTGAGATGATGAAAATTGTGGAAATCAGGAGGATATAGAAGTTTTTGGGACGGATGATTGATTTGATGATGACTATTAGAGCGGCTGGTAGAATTAGGATGTTGAGGGTAAAGAGGATGGGTTGAGATTTGCGGATGAGGTCTTGGAAGTTGTTCTCGATGTAGTCGTCGTTCTGGAAAAATTTGGGATTGAGAAGAGGGATTTTGTGTATGATTTTGGCTTAGTTATCAAACGCCTAGAGATTCGCATTAGCAAGGAGAAGCGCCTAGGGAGCTTTGATATCTAGTAGCCGCGCCTAGACAGTTTGATAGTCAAGGATCAGAGCTTAGGAATTCACTACGGCAAGGTGTCTCTCCTTGAGACCTATGATGTCTAGTAGCTAAGCCTAGAGATTCACTATGACAAGATGTTGTGCCTTGAAAGCCTTTATGTCGAGCAGCCAAGCCTATAGAGCTTCTTTGTTAAGCAGTCGCACCTAGAGATTCACTTTGGCAAGTAGCCGAGCCTAGACAGTTCAATCGTCAAGGAACGGCGCCTTGAGAGATAATTTTTCGAGTAGCCTCGCCTTGAGATCTACTCTGGCTAGAGGCAGCGCCTTGAGAGCTTCTATGTCTAGTAACCGCGCCTTGAGATGCACATTAATAAGATGTCGCGCCTAGAGAGTTCAATTCTGAAGGAGCCGCGCCTTGAGAACTGCGACGTCAAGTAGCCGAGCCTAGACAGCTCAATCGTCATGGAACTGCGTCTTGAAAAATCATATCTCAAGTAGCCGCGCCTTAAGAACTCCTATATCTTTGAAAACATGTTTTTCATCGATTTTTCGAAATTTTGAAGTAAAATTTTGATTTCTTCAACAAACTTAGGTTGATTTTCAGACAAAACTATCAATTTCTATATGAAAATTGTTGATTTTCACATTTTTTTTTAATTTTTCAGCTCAAAATTCCAATTCCCTTATCAAATAATGGTTCTTCAATTTTCCCGCCAAAAATCTCTTCCCATTTTCCCATACATCTAGCATTTCACACCAATATTCCAGCCTTTGGGAAGCGTGGTCCCCAGAAAAAGTGGGCGGGGCCTAGAGGTGCTATTTTCTGTGTTGTTATTGTTGTTGTTTATTTTTTCATTATTTACTTGAAGTTAGCCTAACTTCACTTCCATTTTGCCTAATTTTTTCTGGTCTCAACTTTGAATTTTCAGCTAAGTCCAGTTAAAAATGCCAATTGTTCCACGTAAATTCCTCGGCAAATTCAGAAAATTGAGAAAGGATTCTGAAGTGAAAGCAAAGGAGATGAGAAAACTCAGAAAGCAAGCGGAACATTTTGAGGATTTGTGGGAGAAGCAGAAGATTGTGAGTTTTTGGGGCGGAAAATTTATTAAAGACGTACAGAATACACGTGGCAAATATTTAGAATGCCACGTATGGAATTCTGCAAATTTCTAGTTTTTTCTGAATTTTTAGTTTTTTTTAACAAAAAAAGTGAAAATGGTTCGAATTTAAAAAATCCAAACTTATCAGAATATTTTCAAAAAATCCGAATTAATGTTAAATTTTTGAAACAGTAAATTTTTCTAGACCAAAAATTTTGGAATTTTTGGAGACTTTCAGAATTTAAAAATAAGAAATGCCACTTGGCAAATCCTGAAAATTTCTAGTCTTTTTTCTGAAAATTCTATGATTTTTCAATTCACGTGGCGAGTTCTGAATGAATTTTTCAAGTTTGAATGAATGGACCAACGGCTTGAACTTCAAAAAATCCAATTTTACTAGAATATTTTGAAACAGTCAAATTTTTCTAGACTAAAAATTTCAGATTTTCTGGGAAATTTAAGCTAAAAATCCATGTGGCAATCTTGAAATTCAGAAAATTCTTATTTTTCGAATTTTCCCTAATCAACATCATTTGAATGGGTTAAAATTCGAAAAATCCAAATTTATCAGAATATTCTGAAACAGTAAATTTTCTAGACCAAAAATTTTGGAATTTCTGGAGACTTTCAGAAATCAGAAATGCCACGTGGCAAATCCTGAAAATTTCCAGTTTTTTCTGATTTTTTTAGTGGAAAACACAAAGCGAAAACAGTTCGACATCAAAAAATCAAAATTTATTAGAATATTTTGAAACAGTCAAATTTTCTAGAATAAAAATTTTAGATTTCTGCAAAATTTCAGAATTTTTGAAGCTAAAAATGCCACGTGGCAAATCCTGATTGTGAGAGTTCAGGTTTTTTTCTGAAATTTCTATGATTTTTCAATCCACGTGGCGAGTTCTGAATGAACTTTTCCAATTGGAATGAAGGTAGTAACAGCTTGATTTTCAAAAAATCCGAATTAATGTTAAATTTTTGAAACAGTAAATTTTTCTAGACCAAAAATTTTTTAATTTTTGCGGATTTTGAGAAATTAGAAAATAGGAATGCCACATGGCGAATTCTGAAAATTTCTAGTTTTTTTTAATCTGAATTTTTTCGTGACACAAGCAAATCGAAAACGATTCGAATTCAAAAAATCAAACATTATCAGATATGTTTGAAACAGTGAATTTTTCTAGACCAAAAAATTTAGATTTCCTGGAAAATTTAAGCTAAAATTCCACGTGGCAAATCCTGAAAATTTCTAGTTTTTTCTGAATTTTTCCGTTGAAAAAAACAAAGAAATAACGGTTCGAATCCAAAAATCCAAATTTATTAGAAATTTTTGAAACAGTAAACTTTTCTAGAGCAAAATTTTTGAGTTTCTGCAAAATTTCAGTTCTGAATTAATTTTTCAATTGGAATAAAGGTAGCAACGGTTCGAATTCAAAAATCCAAAATTATCAAATTATTTGAAACAATACAATTTTCTAGACCAAAAATTTCAGATTTTCTGGTAAATTTAGCTCAAAATCCACGTGGCAATCTTGAAATTCTGAAAATTCTTAATTTTCGGAATTTCCACAGGCAACTAACTCAATTGGAATGGTTTAAAATTAAAAATCGAAATTTAGTAGAAATTTTTGAAACAGTGAATTTTTCTAGACCAAAATATTTGGAATTTCTGCAAAATTTCAGAAGTTTTGAAGGTAAAAGATCCACGTGGCAAATCCTGAGAATTTCCAGTTTTTTTTCTGAATTTTTTTTAGTTAAACGAACGAAGTGAAAACAGTTTGAATTTCGAAAATCCAAATTTATGACAATTTTTTGAAACAGTAAATTTTTTTAGAATAAAAATTTCAGATTTCTGGAAATTTTGAGAAATTAAATATAAGAAATGCCACGTGGGAAATCCTGAAAATTTCTATTTTTTTCTGAATTTTTTTTAGTTAAGCGAACGAAATGAAAACGGTTCAAATTTCAAAAATCCAAATTTATGCCAAACTATTAAAACAGTGAATTTTTCTAGACCAAAAATTTTAGATTTTCTGGGAAATTTAGCTCAAAATCCACGTGGCAACCCCTAAATCCTCTCAAAATCATCCCCGAAATTCCAGACAAACATCCGTCTTCTCACCGAAAACATCGAACTAAAAGATGAGCGTCGGAAAAGACAGCGAGAAGACGCGCAGCCAGGAAGTATGGCAAAACGCGTGACATATTTGAGCGAAGCGTTGGCTCGCGAAGAAATGCGCGGCGATTATTATCAGCGCTGCTATAATGAATTGTATGCGGCGAAACGGATTGCGATGGCTGAGGAGCGGCGGAGAACTTTGAGATTTGTGTATCATGCTGAGGCTGAGGATGAGAATCAGGGTCAGAAGGAGAATCAAGATTCTGCTTCGGAAACTGAGAGCAGTGAAGAATTAGATTCAGATGGGGAGGTGGAAGATTCTGATGCTTCTGATGATCAGGAAGATCAAGGAGTTTATCGAGGTCCATACTTATTCAAAGAAGCCGATGAGGAAGGTGAGTTATGACGTGGCAAAGACTTATTTTTGAAAATATTTCATTTTCAGAAGACGATGAACTCCTCAATTGCTAGAAATTCGGAAAATCCCAGGAAAATTCAAAAATCCTCCCAAAAATTAGAAAATCTCTTAGAAAAACCCAAAAATTATCAATTTTTCGCTGTTTTTGACCAAAATTTGCCTTTAAACCCAAAAAATTATTGATTTTTCGCTTGTTTTTGTACATTTCTTTGTTTTTTAAATAAACCCGTTCCCACAAAAAACTCACAACTTTAAAAATATCCGCCAACGCGCTTCTCACAATTTCCCTCGACATCGCCGTATCCTCCGATGTCTCCTCATCAGCCGTCAAATATTTCGACAAAACCGACATGCTATATTTGGGAATTTGAATTTTGACGTCACGTGCCACGTATTCGGGAATTGTGTAATCCACGTGTAAATCGTGCATCATTTGACGTAGAATGAGTCGAAGGTATTTGTCGTTATTGATTTTTTCCTCGCAATTATTTGTTTGAGAGGGTTTGCGATATTTTGCCGTGGGGTCGTTGGGGTCCAGCCATACATTTTCGGTTGATGGAGGTGTTAGACTCGCGGAGCATATTGGAATGAATAGGAGGAGAAGTAAAATCATCCTGAAATTTGTCTAATTTGAAATTTTTCAAGAAAATCTGGCGATTTCGCAACTTTTCTGCACTTTTTTCGAAAAAAAAAACAAAAAAAAACATTTTTTTTTTGAAAATGAACATACGGTAGTCGATCGGTGTTTGCACATGTCGTCAATTAGTGTGTTTACACACCCGAAAAATATTTTCATTTCTAGTTGTTTCTTCTCGTTTCTCCTCGTTTCGCAGGCAAAAAATGAAATTTTGGGACGCGCCAAGATCCTCATTTCCCTACTCGTTTGATGAAGTTGTCGCCGCATTTTGGGATAGGTAAATTTATATTTAAAAAAAAACCCCTCTAAAATTGTTTCGTTTAGATATCCAAATTCGCATGCAAAACACATTTTATCGGAAGATGTATTGGATCGAAAAGTGGTGGGCAACACAATTGTCACCAAAAAGTTGATTGTGAAGCAAGGTAGCTCGATTCTAAAGCGAGTTCCCCGCTGGATTTCAAGAATGACCGATATTCGCGTTGTTCCAGTCATCGAGGAAAGTATTTATGACAAAGCCACCAAACGGCTAACCACATACACTAGAAACGTCTCGCATTTATCGCTTTTCCAACTCCACGAGCGATGCATCTACAAACCAACCGAAAATCATCAAGAAACCACGCCATTTCTAACCGATGTTCTACGAACTGTCAACGTTTCGATAGATTGCGGTCGAATGAGTTCGGTTTATGAGAAGGTTTTGATGATGGGCTTCAAGAAATCGATCAATAACACGACGAAGGGGATGTTTGAGAAACTTGAGGAGAAATTTGGCTTGAAACATTCGCCGAATAGCGAAAAAATGAAATTGATCAAGGAGAAGATCATTAAATCCTCGACAAATCTTGTCACTCATGTCAAATGCGAAGAAGAGACTGTTGTTTAATAATAATTTTGATTCCAAAAGAAACATATCTTTCACTTTCCCTCTCTGAAAATCTCTATTTTCCCCCAAAACATTCTTCCTAGTAATGTAAATATGCAATTCCGTTGTTAAAAAATGATTAGATTTTATTGTTGTGTGTTTAGAGTTGTGAATTGGTCTTGAAATCCAGTTTTATTCAAATATCTGACATTTTTCTTGGAATTTTTTTTTGTGAAAACTAGTAATTTCAGGTCAGGGTTAACCGATATGGCCACCACTGTTTATCGGTGAGTTTTTGTATATATATTTTATTAGAAATCTAAATAGAGTGAAAATTGAAATAGTTTCCTTTGACAAGGAAAGTTCATAAACTTTTGATAAAACATATACCAAATCGACCATGCTGATCAGGATTCCGAAGTCAAAAATTGCCACAAATGCCTGTGAGCACTTTTCTGGAGCTACTTACAAAGTTAGAATTGAGTTTTGGTTTTCGCCCATTTTCACCTTGTTCCCGGGTGGAAAATCAATTTTTATAATATGAATAAGGTTGTTCACAACATTCGAACCCCTACTCAGAGATTCGCTGGCCAGCTCGCCACTAGATCAGGACCAGGTGGCCGGAAAGTTCAAAACGAGCTGAATTTGATTCGGCCACCAGGTCGCCTTGAGTTTTCCGGCGACGTGGCCTGTGTGTTTGAAATCCTGGAAAGCTAGCAAGACGGTGGTTTGTACTCAAAATAGTGCATTTTTTACTGTTTTTTTCACTTCCTAAGGTTTCTAATACTCCGAAAAAACAGAAAATGAGCCAATTTCTTCTATAATGCTCGGATTCACAAGTTTTTTGGTCTTTTTTCTTTTAAGCGAGACGATCTGGACGCGAAGTCGGGTCGAGCTGGACAACCTGGGCGAGGTGGTCTGCATGAACTGAACCACCTCGCGACCAGGTCGTCTGGCAAAAAATACGGGCGATGTGGTTGTCCGTGTCAATTTCAGATGGGCAGTCGACCCCACCTAGTGACCAGCTGGCCAGCGAATCTCTGAGTATCAGCTTTTTAGTATTTCAAAAATATGAAAACCGAGCTGAAAACTGTAATTTTTAAAAATGCACAAAAAACTTTGAAAAACGTGTGCGTTTTCGTGCCTTTTCTTAAAAATTACAGTTTTCAGCTGATTTTTCATATTTTTTTAAAAAGTTAAAAAGCTGATATGTTTTCGAATGTTGTGAACATCCTTATTCAAGTTATAAAAATTGATTTTCCACCCAGGAACATGGTGAAAAGTGGCGAAAACCAGAACTTAATTCTAACTTTGTAAGCAGCCCCAGAAAAGTGCTCACAGGGGTTTGTGGCAATTTATGACTTCGGAATCGTGATCAGCACCGTCGATTTGGTATAAGTTTTATGAAAAGTTTATTCCGGGACCTTATGAACTCTTCTTGTGAACATGACGCTTGAAAAAACAGAAAAAAACCTGGATTTTCCCCCAGAAAATCTTTAAAAACCGCCCAAATGTTTCCAGCTTGATCACCATAATCTCGTTGGTCTCTCTCCTCCACTGTGCCTATTCAGCCGCTCAACATCGCTCCTATCTTCGGCTCACCGAGCAACCTTTCATCAATCTTCCATCCGACGTTTTGGCTCAAACCATCGTCTCATTATTGGCGTTGATCTACGGAACATCTTTCCTCTCTGCACCTTTTCAATTCATCAAAAAAGATCAGGTTTGTATTGCAAACTTGTATAGATAGGAAAAGCTTGAGAGAAAAGTGGCCACCGCCTGTTTTTCTCTAAATCTCGCTGTCTCTCACCAATTGGTCAATTTTTATGATTTATTTTGTTGTTTTTTTCTGATTGTGAGAGGGATATGGGAGATCTGGGAAAATGTGAGATTTTTACTGAAAATAGGGGGTGGGAGATATTTTCTGTTGAAAATTCAGATATTTCGGACTTTGAAAACATGAATTTTATATTGGTTTTCAGCTGAAAATGCTTATTTTCACCCAAAATTCAAAAAAAAACCGAAAAATCACAATTTCTAGCTCAAAACCAGAGTTAAAAGTCCCTGATTGTTCCCTGGAATTAATTTTTGAGATTTAGATTTCTAAATACCTTGAAAGCTTGAAATCAACCCGAAATACAAAGATTTTGATATGAAAATTCAGATTTACAGCCAAAAATAGGATTTCCAGCTCAAAATCACAAAAATCTCAATTTCTAGCTCAAAACCACAAAAAAATGGCCTAGAAACCCAAAAATATGATTTTGATGGCCTAGAAACAGAAAAAATTTGCTTTTGATGACCTAGAAATCCAGAATATGGCCTAGAAACCCAAAAATATAATTTTTATGGCCTAGAAACCCAAAAATATGATTTTGACGGCCTAGAAACCCAAAATATGACCTAGAACCCCGATAATTTGCTTTTGATAGCCTAGAATCCCAAAAAGTTGCTTTTGATGACCTAAAAACCCGATAATTTGATTTCGATGGCCTAGAATCCAATAAAATGGCCTAGAAACCCAAAAATGACTTTTTTCCAGCACCACGATCGAACATGCGACGAAGCGCTCAACTGTCCCTCATTCATCACCTTCGACAATCGAGCCAAAGCAATGTCGCCCGAATTCGCAATGATGAAAGCGATTCGCGAGGCGAACGCGGCGCGACGAGTCGAAATGGATGGCAGAGTCGCGGCGGCGGCGGCTCGCGAAGATCTTATTCATTAATTTTCAATAATAATAATTATCACTATCATTATCCATATGCTTCAAATCGACATTTTTCAACAAAAACTTCACCATTTGCCAATGAGAAAACTAGTAGTAGTAGTAAAAATACGCTCAATTTTGATAATATTCCGGGTGCCAGGTTGGTTTTTTTTTTGTTTTTTTGAAAAAAAAAAGTGCTCAAAATACATTTTTCTTCACAAAAAATTGAAAAATATCAGTGGCCGAAGTATTTTGGCGGCCGAGAAATGTCGGGAATTCGGCCAACGCAACAAACGCGCTACAACTCATTGTCTATTGAAATTATGTTATCGAATTTGAAAAATGTGGCTGGCGTAAAAATTGAAACCAGTGCAGAGTCGCGTGCGGCTTTGCGTCGCGGTCGAGAAAAATTCAATAAATCTTTGTTTAATTTCAATAGACAATGAGTTGGAGCGCGTTTGTTGCGTTGGCCGAATTCCCGACATTTCTCGGCCAAAATACTTCGGTCACATATATTTTTCAACTTTTTGTGAAGTAAAATGTGTTTTGAACCGTTTTTAATCGGAATTTCAAAAAAAAGTGAATTTCAGAGTGCCAAAAAATGCGAAACCAACTCGAATTCTAGAAATCACCAAAGAACAAGCTGATGAGGCAATCAAAAGTTGCCTAGATTTGATTCGAAAACACGACAGGGAGAGCTATTTGACGATTTTGGCGATGCCGAAAGCTGTGCAAGTTGAGCTAATTGCGGTGAGTATTTTTGAGCCAGGAAAAACTTTAAAAAATAATTTTTTCACTCAAAAATTCCACCCTGAAGATTCTTGAAAATCACAATTTTTAGCTTTAAACCATACGTGGAATTAATTTTTGAAATTAGATTTCTAAATAGCTTGAAAGCTTGAAATTAACCCGAAATACAAAGATTTTGATATAAAAATTTAGATTTACAGCAAAAATAATATTTTCACAAGGGAAGTGCATAGGGTTAGGTGTTGAACTTTTGATGAAACGTTCGAAATAAACCAAATCGACCATGCTGATCACGAATCCGAAGTTAAAAATTGCCACAAATGCCTGTGAGCACTTTTCTGGAGCTCCAAAGTTGAAATTGAGTTTTGGTTTTTGCCCATTTTCCCCTTATTCCTGGGTGGAAAATCAATTTTTATAACATGAATAAGGTTGTTCACCACATTCGAAAACCTATCAGCTTTTTAGTTTTTCAAAAAGCATGAAAAACCAGCTGAAAACTGCAATTTTCAAAAATGCACGAATAACTTTGAAAAACGTGTGTATTTACGTGTGATTGTGTGTACTTTCAGGACTTTCTTAAAAATTACAGTTTCAGCTGGTTTTTCATGTTTTTTGAAAAACTAAAAAGCTGATAGGTTTTCGAATGTGGTGAACAGCCTTATTCATACAATAAAAGTTGATTTTCTACCCAGGAACAAGGTGAAAATGGGCAAAAACCAAAACTCAATTTCAACTTTGGAGCTCCAGAAAAGTGCTCACAGGTGTTTGTGGCAATTTTTAACTTCGGATTCGTGATCAGCTTGGTCGATTTGGTTTATTTCGAACGTTTCATCAAAAGTTCAACACCTAACCCTATGCACTTCCCTTGTCAGCCCAAAATCACAAAAATCTCAATTTCTAGTTCAAACTCGACCTGAAATTTGTTGTTAAATTGAGATTTCTAGCCTGAAATTGACCAGAAATTTCAGATTTGAAGCCAAAACACAGAAAATACCCAAATTTCATCAAAAATAGCTTGAAAATCCAAAATTGCACCCCTAGAAGCCTAAAAAATGACCTAGAAACCCAAAATATGATTTTGACGGCCTAGAAACCCAGAATATGACCAGAAATTTCAGATTTGAAGAAAATAGCTTGAAAATTCCCAAAAATCTCAATTTTTAGCTAAAATTCCGAACTAGAAATCCTCAAATTTTATGCTAAAATTAATTTTTGAATTTTTTTCTTTCAGATCAACGCGCTCAACGTCGAGTTGGCTCAAATCCGCGACAAAGTCGACACTCGCCGCGGCGACACCTCAGCCATGTATCGCCTTCAATTCTGGAAAGACGCGCTCGCCTCGATTTTCGACGCCTCTCCCCTTCCCGTCCCACGACAACCCGTCGCAATCGCTCTCTGCGTTGCCGCTTCTCGCACGCGCCAACCGGAATTATTGGCGAAATTGGTGCAGACGCGGCAAGCGACGATTGGCGACAAACAATTTGAGAATATTGAAGCGGTCGCTGAATATGGCAGAAATACGACTGGCGCCATTTTGCAACTTGAAATTGATGTTTTGTCAAGGGGAAGCGGAGTGGATGACAAGGTTTTTGAACTTGCGCGCGAATTGGGTGCGAGTTATGCGATCGCAAATCTAATCCGATCTACACATCCACTTCTAGCTCGAGGAATTGTCTTGTTACCCCGAGATATTGTGGAATTACATGGCACTTCTGCAGATGCGATTTATAATAAGAAAAAAATCGAGGAATCTCGGGGAGTTGCGAAGGATTTGGCTAGAGAATCGGAGAGGATTTTGGAAAATGTGAGAGATCAGATTGATCAAATTCCCAAAGATTTACGAATTGTTTTTGCTGGCCACGCGATTTCTATCGATTTTATACTTGGAACATTGAAGAAGAAGGATTTTGACCTGTATTCGGCGTTTTTGCAAAGACCCAATGGATTGATGGTGTGGAAATTGTTGTGTTGCAAATTGACGGGAAGATTTTAAGATTTTTATTGGCATTGGTGAATTTTTTGTTGAAAGGTGAAGATGAAGCTTTATTTATTTATTAAAATTGGGAAAATTCAAAATCCACATTGCAAATATCAAATTTTTCCCCAACATTTCCAATTATCAACCGGTTTTTTTTAACAAACAGAAAAGTTTTCGAATATTTCTTGAAACAGTGACTTTTTTTTAGAAAAAAAAATCATTCCAAAAATCCACGTGGCAACAGTTTTTCCATGCAAAAAACGCTGAATTTTCAGAGTTTTTTATTGGTTTTGAACCGGATTTTCAGCAGAATCCTAAAAAATTAATTGAAACCCTTCAAATATTCGAAATTCACGTGGCAAATGTTAATTTTCTCACAATGCTCCATTGGGAATAGATTTTTTGAAATTCAAGAAAATTTTTGACAAATATTTGAAACAGTGACTTTTTTTCCGAAAATCAAAAATAGAAATTTGTATCGTCCTAACAAATCAACAACATTTTTCATCAAAATCCAAAACTTTTTGACTAATTTTTGAAACAGTTAATTTTTCAAAACAAGAAAATTGAAATTTGAATTCCAAAAATCCACGTGGCAACTATTTTCCCATGCAAAAAAAAACGCTGAAAATTTAGTGTTTTCCGGATTTTCAGCAGAACCTTGAAGCTTTCCAGAAAAAAATTTATTTTCAAAAATCAGAGTTATCGAAATTTCCTACAGTAACCGAGGTACTGTATATTTTTGGTCCTAATTTTTAACCAAAAATAAAATAACTTGAATTTGTCAGGAAACGATATGATGTTTTTAAAAAATTCCATCAAATTTTCAAATATTTTTTGAAACAGTGAAATTTTCGAATCGGAAATTTACATTTGGCCTTCAAAAATCCACGTTCCTGAAAGCTGAAAATTTCCTGGATTTTCAGCAGAATCGTGAACTTTTATTTTTCAAAAATCGAAATTACTTATCAAAAATCCCGTTTCCCCTCCAATAAATCCTTGCCATCAATAATCGAAGTCAGAAAACGATGAGAACCCGGTCGACAATTTGTAATATTCTCATAAACCAGGAATGCGCTGCCTCCTAATATCACTGCTTTGTAATAGTTTGTGGATATTTGTGGATCTCCAACATCAGCAGTGAAAAACATCTCATCATTCGAAATTCTTGCGTGGATTATTGTTGTGGATCTGGTTTGAATTGATTGTTTGATCTTGTGGAGCGCCTTAGTGATTTGAAGTTGGTTGAAAGATTTTTCTGATTCTCCTGAACATGGATAAATTATAAAATCTGGAGTTGTTGATTTCTGTATTTCCCTGTCTTTCAAGGTGGTTTTATAATGATTCAACATTCCGGCAGCGCTGTTAAAGGAGAATTTAGATTCTAGTTTATTTTGAAGATATGATTCATATTCTTCCTGTGCTCGAAAATTATTCCCGCCTTTTTGAGCTGCAAAATTGTTTGGGGATTTTGAATTCTGAAATTCTTCTGAAACATGTACCTGATGCTAAACAGACTAAGAAAAAAAAATAATAATGTTCATGTTTAATTTTGACTAATAAAAAAAAAATCAAAAAATAAATATAGATAGATAGAAATATTTTCACACAGTCTGCGGAAAATGAAAATTTTCAAAAAAAATTAGATAATTTTTTTAATGTTCAGAACTTCACCCAGCCAATAGCCGAAAATTGACCGATTTTTTGAAATTCAAGAAAATTTTTGACAAATATTTGAAACAGTGACTTTTTTTCCGAAAATCAAAAATAGAAATTCGACACGTCTTAACGAATCAACAACATTTTCCATCAAAATCCAAAAATTTTTGATTGATTTTTGAAACAGTAATTTTTTTCAACGAAAAAAAGCTTGAAAATCGGAATTTTCAACTTTTGTTGTTGAAAGTCATGAAAAATAGCCAAAATTGAAGGTGTAAACGCGGAGCGTTGTAGTTTTTCCACATTTTTATACATAATTGTTGGTCAAAATTGCGAACCAAAAACCAAGTTTGATTCTTTTTCACACAGTCTACAGATAATCAAATTTTTCTCCAACGAATTTTTCAAAATGTTCAGAATCCTGCTTATTTCATGTTTATCACTAATTTTTGCACAAAAAGGCGGAAATAATCATCGCGCAGATGAAGACAATTATTGGTATGTTCAAAATGAATTGAGAAAATCAGCAATGAAATCGAAAGCTGAAGGATTGCTGGAATTCTACAAGAAAACTCTGCTTGCCCAGAATATTGAATATTCTACGATGCCATATTTTCAAATGATTCAATGCGATCAGGATAGAATATTCCATCGAAATCAAGTGAATTCTATGCTCATTGCGATGAATCCAAAGAACACAAGATCAACTAAAGTTTTAGAAGCAACGTTTAAAAACGGAAATTTTTATTTTGTTGTAGATGTTGAGAATGGATTATCAAGAAATGTTTACGAGGCAACAATTGTTGATAATAGAGCTTTTCTGATCTACGAAGAAATGACAAATTGTAACAAAAATCTACTGCTAACATCGATTTTGAATGACACTGAAATTATGAGCAATATTTCCAGAAACCTTATATATAATTATCGATTAGGAATAAAAATGAGAGATGAATTGAGTTTACAAGATTCACTTTCTCCCAATTTCATTCTGCAAACTTGTTCAAATTATTTTCTGCAAAGAGATCAACTGATTAGATATATTCTTACAATTAGCACGGAAATCCAATTAAGTGAATTCAAAATTATTGATGGCTTCGATGTTTTTCAAGATCATTTCACATTTATGATTTATGTGTCTGGAAGTTTCATTAGATTTTCTGTGAAATACATTGATGACAAAAATAGATATCAATTTGTGTCAGAATTTCCTCAACTTTGTAGAAATGAATTATCCGAAACAACTGAATTGATCGATCCGAACTTAGAAGATTCGAAATACCTGAAAGAATTTTGGATGAACCTCCAACAATTTTCAAACTCATTCAATGAGAAAGATCTGCCAAAACTGGCGTCAGATTCATTTTTTGTTGATGATTGCGATGATCAAAAACACAAATTCCTGTGGTTTATGGATAATCTACTGTTTCAAGGATATTTCAAAGACGCTGTGATAAGATCAGCTAAATATCGGATGATCACAGGGAATATTGATTTTGAGGTCAAGAATTATAGGTTTACATTGGGTGAAGACAAAAAGTTGAGGAAGGTTGTTTGTATTTGAATAATAAATGAAGTTTTGCAAATTTTTAGGAAGTAGTTCCAGAAAAAAATGTGCAAAATAAGGTTCTTTTTCCGAAAAAAAAATGGAAAACCCGAACTCGTTTTGGAGCCCTTGAAATTTTCTACAAAATGAGCTACAGTAATCCAGGACTACTGTAAAAACTGGTTCAAAATAATTGTTATTCGTTCATGAAAAAATGAAAATTGTTTCCTCAAAAAATTCACTGTTTCAAAATTTTTACAAATTTTCTCGATGCTGAAAAAAACTTGATAAGTAGAAATTGTTATGGAACTATTCAAGTTATTTTCTCAACGCTGAGAAAAGCGAAGAAAACCTATTCAGGTAGGCTGAGAAAATACGAAAAAAGTGAAGAAAATACATTTTCTCCTCATTTCTCCTGTTTTGTCAGCGTGTTGAGAAAATACTTGAATAGCCCCATTAATTGTAAATTCCTCAAACTTTAAACTTTGGGCTCTTCTCGAATCTTCATAATTTACTGACGTGTTTGTAGCAGTGTGGAATTTTGCTGGCGCGTTTTTGGTAGCTCTGAAATTCCCTGATTTCCCCCCAAAATCACTTGTGAAAATATTTTTCCCCCAAAAATTCACTGTTTCAAAAATTTTTCAAATTTTCTCGATGCTCAAAAAAACTTGATGAGTAGTGATTTTTCATTATAATAATCCCCAAACTGCAAACTTTGGGCTGGAAATTTCAGGAACAAGAAACATCCATGAGCCCAAACAGATTTTGCTGACACATTTAAAGCAGCTTTGGAAATTTGCTGCGCATTTTTGGTAGCTCTGAAATTCGCCAATTCCGCCCAAAATCATTTTTATTCATGAAAAAGTGAAAATATTTTCCGCCAAAAATTCACTGTTTCAAAATTTTTTCAAATTTTCTCGATTCTGGAAAAAATCTGATAAATAGTATTTTGGTAACTCTGAAGTTCGCTCCCCCAAAATCATTTTTATTCATTAAAAAAATTCACTGTTTCAAAAATTTCCCAAATTTTTTGCGTGAAACAACGTGACCCAATAATCCACCTATAAAACCTTCCGAAATCCAAAATTCCCCCATTTCTACCCGCTCCCCAAAAAATGTCAACAAAAAAAACGTGTCGAATATGCCAAGAAACAAAAAACGAAGAAGATGTCATAGAACTGAATTGTCATCACGAATTCTGTTCAATGTGTATGATTGTCTACCCGGGAACCCTATGTCCAGCTCGATTTTGCGAAGGAACTCGAGCCACTGATGTTGTTGTTGATGAGATTTCTGGAATCAATATGGATTCGAATGAGAATCGAGCGATTGTTAATCATTTTGGAGCTGGTGGATCAGGTTCATCATTTTCAAGATTGGATATTGGAGAAAAACAAAAATGCGATTCGTTTCGAAAAACTCATCGATGTGTGAATATTGCGAGAATGTGTCTGATTCATTGTAGACATCGATTTTGTTATGATTGTTTGATGGCTAAAATTCAGTTTGCTTTTGATAATAGTGAGTTAGAGCTAGTTTTCAGCTGAAAATTTTTTCTTCAAAATAAAAATCCACTGTTTCAAAAATTTATCAAATTTTTCTGATTTTTCGAAAACAACCCCAAACTGAAACTGAATGTTTATTTTCAGAATCTGGAAAAATTTGTGGATTTTTTGAAACAGTGAATTTTTGAAAACATTTCTAAAAGGTTGAATTTTTCACAAAAAAAATCGAAGAAAAAGTTCACTGTTTCAAAAATTTTATAAATTTTTGAACATGAAAAATTTTTCCCAATCAAGCAAAATTTTTTTATCTGAAAATCATGAATCCACGTGGCAAATCCTCTGAAACTTCCAAAAATAATTTCCCACAACACAATGTTTATTTTCAGAATCTAGAAATATTTGTGGATTTTTTGAAACAGTGAATTTTTGAATGTTCAGAAAATCATGTTTTTTTTTGTAAGAAAAATTCACTGTTTCAAAAATTTCACAAATTTTGAGGATGGCATTCATTTTTGATTTTTTTATGAATCATGTCGGATCAAGGAGAAAAATATGCCACGTGGCAAAAATTATAAATTTTTCCGCGCCAAATTCAATTCTTCCAGAAACCATCGCATATTGTCCAATGTCACGCTGTTGTAATCGTCTCTCACCATCCGAAATACTGTGCAGTATGAGTCAATTCTCCTCGCTCAACTCTTTCGATTTATCAACTCAACAACCATCGGATCAAATCACAAAACTTCAAAAACTCTGCGAAGCCTTCGAAAAACAATCGTCAAACTCCAATTTCTCTCAAGAATCTCTTCCACCATCAATTATAGTTCCAGCAACTCCAAATGAGATCAATATCGATTGTTTTCTATATGGCCATGAGCAAAATAAAAAATCGATAATTTTTCCGAAATCCGCGTTTATTGTTGACGCAATTAAGGCGGTTTTTCAACTACACCACATTTTAATTGCTAATTCATTATCCACAATTGACGTGTTTATTCGGAAAAAATGCGGCGAGAAAAAGGAGATGAAATATAAATACGAGAAGATTATTGTGGAGGGAAAATGCTCATTGAAAGACGCATTGTGGACGAATACGGTAAGAAAAAAAGCGCCGGAAACGAAATTCGAATTCTTTTTCAGACTACAATTGTGATTGATGCGGATTGTCAAATCTTGAAAGCTAGGAGAATGCGTTGAGAAAAATGAAGTTTGTGGATTTTTTTTCACTGTTTCAAAACGTTTTGATTTTGGAGTTCTGTTTTTTTTATGTTTGCACCACCTAAAATATTCGAAAAAAAATTCAGAAACTTGAAAAAACAGTGGCCGAGTGGTTTGCACGCTTGCATACTATTTGCAAAACCAGGGTTCGACCCCACCCTATAGTTGGACATCGACTAAATGACATTTTCAGGGTTTTTAAGCAAGAGTGTTGAAATATTGAGTTCTAATGTTATTCATATGATAGAATGGTCTAAGACGAACATAATGATATAAATTTTCATGATTTTAAGCGACTTATCGACTAAATATCTACTAAAAGTCGCAAAATCACTTATGGATAAGGTAAAGTCATCAAAATTTATATCATTCTGTTCGTCTTAGACCATTCTATCATATGAATCACATTAAAACCCAATATTTCAACTCAATTGCTTAAAGACACAACATCCACTAGAAATGAACAGAAAATGAGTTTGTTATTCTTTCATAACACCTTTCAAGTAATCGAAATTCATAAAAATCAAGAAAAAATTTTGAGTCTGGCAAAAGTGAAAAAAACAAAATAATTGTTTTTGAAATCGCTCAGCCGACGGGATTTTCGAAAGAGTTTGCACACAACGAAGCAATAGAGCGCACATGCTGTTTTTGTCATTTGAAAATAAATGCGGGAAATCTGTTTTTTCCAGTGGCTGATGTGTCTTTAAAAAAAAACATGAAAATGTCATTTCGTCTATGTTTTTTTTCAAAAATCTTGCTTATTTTCCTTATCTTCACTAATTTCTAAGTCACAAGTTTTTTCTAGCCTAAAAAACCTTGAAATGAATAAACAAAGCTAACCTTGGGTATCGCAACAACTAAAAAAAGAGGTATATCAAGTTTTGATGATATCTCCGCCCGCCCTACACAGTGTATTCTCGCAGGTATAAAAGGGAGATGCAAACATTAGTTCATCACTTCCTTCTTTGAGTCATCATGGATTTGGAACATCGTATTAAAGCGTATCGCTTCGTCGCCTATTCGGCAGTCACTTTCTCAGTTGTCGCTGTTTTGTCAGTATGCGTTACTTTGCCAATGGTTTACAATTATGTTCACCATGTCAAGCGTACCATGAACACTGAGATTAATTTCTGCAAAGGATCGGCTAAGGATATCTGGAGCGAGGTTAATCACTTGAAATCTCTTCCATCTGCTAACAGAACCGCCCGTCAAGCTGGTTATGATGCTGGAGTTACTGGAGGATCTGCGACCGCTGGAGGTTGCGATGCTTGTTGCTTGCCAGGAGCCGCTGGACCAGCTGGAACTCCAGGAAAGCCAGGACGACCAGGAAAGCCGGGAGCACCGGGACTTCCAGGAAATCCAGGACGCCCACCACAACAACCATGCGACCCAATCACTCCACCACCTTGCCAACCATGCCCACAAGGACCAGCTGGACCACCAGGACCACCAGGACCAGCCGGAGATGCGGGAGCCAACGGAAACCCAGGACAAGCTGGACAAGACGGAGCACCAGGACAACCAGGAAACAAGGGACCAGCCGGACCAAACGGAAATCCAGGAGCTCCAGGAGCACCAGGACAACCTGGACAAGACGCACCATCTGAGCCAATTGTTCCAGGAGCACCAGGACCAGCTGGACCAGCCGGGCCACAAGGACCAGCCGGACAACCAGGACAACCTGGACAAGACGGACAACCAGGAGCACCTGGACCAAAGGGACCAAATGGAGCACCAGGACAACCAGGAGCTGATGGAAATCCAGGAACACCAGGAGAGGCCGGAACCCCAGGAAGCTCGGGAGAAAAGGGAATCTGTCCAAAATACTGTGCTATCGATGGAGGAGTCTTCTTCGAAGATGGATCACGTCGTTAAGAAGCGATTTTGTCATTCGAATTACGAAAATAAAAACATTTTTCATCTCTTTTTGTGTTTTTTGTGTTATCAAGTTTTTCGCGCAGGAAAAATTTTCAGGGGAAAAAATGTGTGTTGATCAAGTTTTTTCGGTCTGACACAGATGTTTTTAGCGTAGGAAGATATATGTTGAAAAAAAAACGATTTTCGGTTTTTTGGACATCGACTAAATGACATTTTCAGGTTTTTTAAGCAAGTTAGTTGAAATATTGGGTTTTAATGTTATTCATATGATAGAATGGTCTAAGACGAACAGAATGATATAAATTTTGATGATTTTACGTTATCCATAAGTGAGTTAGGGACATTTAGTCGATCGATTCGGCTTGTCGACTAAACCTCGCTAAATCACTTATGGATAACGTAAAGTCATCGAAATTTATATCATTCTATTCGTCTTAGACCATTCTATCCTATTAATACGATTAAAATCCAATATTTCAACTCATTTGCTTAAAAAACCTGAAAATGTCATTTCGTCGATGTCCAACTATAAAATCTACTAATTTTCGCGATAACAAACATTAAAAAAAAAGAAATTAAAATTTCATCGCCAAAAAAAAATGCACGTGACCCAAAAACCTCGATTTTCCCTCCAAAACCCCAAGCGCTTCTTATTTTTGATTTATGAAAATGTTAGAAACCGACTGTCCTACATGTAGTAAGTCATACAGAACCTATATAGCCCAACTCCAACACCAAAAATATCAAAAATGCCTTCAGAATACCCAATAAGCAATTCTCGCGACTCTCGTCTCACCTCCGAACTACAAGACTCCGCAATTCCACCGCTCAACTCGTTATTTGTCCCGAATTTCGGGCGAATTCCGATAATTAAGGGGGATTTGACGTGGATTAGCCCCAATTTTTTGGCAGCGCTGCGAGAATATGTGGCGATTTTGCGGCCAGCTTCGATTAGAATTTGTAACGGAAGTGTTTATGAAGCCCAAACTTTGAAGGATATTATAATAAAGAGACAGGCAAATCTTGGAATCGCCCCGCTTCCTGAAGCGATTCAACAAAATCCACCCGAAGCTTCTGTCGAAGATGAGATTCATATTTACTCCAAAACTTCTGAAGTTTCGTATTCGGAAAGCTTGGGAATCCGATATTTGACAACTTCGGCTTATGAAGCTTCGAAATCGGAAAGATTTGAGGGATCAATGATGGGAAGATGCTTATTCGTGGTTCCATTTGCGATGGGACCGATTGGCGGGAAATTCACACAATATGCTGTGCAATTGACAGATGATCCGGTTTTTGTGCTCAATTTGAGGAGTATTTTTAGGTAATAGAGCGCATTTGGTATTTTCACCGCCAAAAATTAAAAAAAACAAACTTTCAATTAGAAATAAAGAAAAAAATCCATTTTTCTCAAAATTTCTTTGAAAACAAATCATAAAACCCTACATTTTCAACAAAATACTTTAAATTTTCAAGCCGATCCAACATTTTTCAGCATGAAATAGCGAATTTAGGCCAAAAACCTGTTTTTTCGAATTTTTCGCGAAAAAAAAATCCTCCGAGAGAAATACACACATTTGTCCATAGAGCGCACATTCTTCTCTCAAACAAATTATCGATTTTTTCGCACCGCCCATTTCAATTTTTCACATTTTCAGAATCTCCTCCGCAATCTGGGATGCGATTGCCTATACCTCACCATCTCGAGTCATCAGATCAATCCACTCAATCGGTCTTCCTCGCCCGGTCATCCGAAAAAACCCGCAAATCCTCCCGGAAACCTTGAAACCATTTCTCGTTGTGCGAAATGATGAAAACGAAGTTTGGCAATTTGGAAGCGGATTTGGTCGAGACTCGGAAAAAGTTTCCAAGTTTTTCGGGTTGACTTATTCGAGTCGTGTTGGATTCAAGAATGGTTGGCATACGCTTGGCGCGCAGATTATCAAATTCACAGGTAAATTCATATTTTATGGAAGGTATCTTAAAAAATGTGTTTAGATTCGAAAAATGAGATTTTCTACATAATCTATTGCTCTCAAACGCCATTGGAGAAACTCGAAAAAGCTGGCTGGAACATTGAGATTTCGCCATTTTCGATAACTTGGTTAAATCATCGAGACGGGAAATTTGTCGCAATTCAACCCGAAAACGATGAAATGTTGCAAGTGGCAAAGCGCGATAATTTCGCAAAACTCTTCTCGAAACCCGAAGAATATGAGATATTCTCAGCCAATCCGCAAGACACAAAATATGGCGAATTCGAAGTGGCCGCGATTATTTTTGCGACAACTCGCCGTGGCGACGAAAAATTGCCGGTGGTTATCGAGACTGCCTCATGGCAAGAGGGTGTTGTGTTGGCGGCTGGTGCGAAAGATTCGCCAATGCGTGCGAAAATTGCGATAGAGTTTAGCGATTTTGTCGCGCATTGGTTGCAAATCCCCGGATTATCGCAATTTCCCTACACGTTTTTGATAAATTTCTCCGATTTTTGGAAGGAGGGAAAGGATAATTGGCGAATTTTCGAGTGGATTTTCAATCGACTCAAAGATCCCAATGATGTTTCCAACGCAAATTCGACGCCGATTGGAAAATTGCCCAAATCTTTGAATATCGAAGGGATGGAAAATGTGAAAATGGAGAATTTGACGAATGTTGATGTGAGATTCTGGTTGGAGGAGTTGTCGAAAATGGCGGCGTTTTTCAAAGAAACTATGGGACCGAATAAACCGAAACATATTGATCAGATTTTGGCGGATATTTCGTCGAAATTGTAGTAGAGATTTTTTGAAAGGGAAATGAAGATTTGGAACAGTTTTTAATGGGCCTATGAAGAATAATATTTTTAATGTTCTGGCTCCATCCCAAAAAAAATGACGTCAATGCGGAATGTCGTTGTTTTTTCAAATGTTTTTGATCTACCCGCCTTTATTTCACACATCCTAAAAGTCTTGAATTCAAAAAATTCAAAAATTAATTTTAATAATTTTTCTTCTCAACTCTCATGCCTTCCTACGCTTCCGGTTTGATCGGCTTCGATTTTCCCAGATCCCACAAATCGCCTTTCGCAAATGCGAGGAGAATCGACAGAGTTTATAGCGAATTTTTGAAATATGGTGAGGAATTGACTAGAAATTTGGAGCAACCAGCGATTTGTCGAGCATATGCCAGTTATTTTGAGCAGCAAGAAGAGAGGAGAAATTCGGGAAGAGAGGAGAAATTGAAAAAGAGGTGAATTAGGATAACTTGAATAAATATAGCATTAGTTTGATTTTCAGATCATTAAAAAGACACTTGCACTTGGTTTCACATCTACAAAACCGTGAAATCGGTCAAAATTCCCATGGAAAGCGAAATTTGGCGAGCACAATCTTAAGTTCAGAATGTCGAGAATTCCGCTTCGATCAAACACTCTACGGTCGACTCGAAACAATGCAATTAATCTGGAGAAATCGTCGAATAATCGCGGAAGATTCGGAAAAACTAATAGACTATGAAACGATGAACAGGATTTGTGAATTGAATCCAGTGTGCAGATTATTATCAGTAGATGTGGCAGATGTGATTTATTATCCATTGAAAATTGATCAAATTATGATTGTTGATGTATTTGGGATGGATAAATATTTATTGATTCTAAGAGACGGATTTTTACAAGTGATCAATTGGGAAAATCCCACAGAACAGGAAAGACAATTTGATATACCGAATGGTTTGAAAAATCGAAAAATTGGCTGGAAAAATATCAATGAATCGATTTATTTCGAAGGAAAACGGCGAAATGAACAGAAATCTTGTGATGAATATGTTTTTATGGTTTTCAATGCGTATCCTTTTGAATTAGTGACTAGTTTTACTATTGATGAATTCGTAAGTTTTTCTGGAAAAATCGCTGGAAAATTTGTTAATTTCAGGCTTGCCCGCGTTCACACGGTATTTCAAAACAAATTGCGATAAATGATGATTTTATTGAAGTTTTGACGGAAGAAAAAGCTTTGCTTTTTTCATTTGATGATATTTTGACGCAGCTTGATGAGATTGGATCGACTTCCTGGGACTTTGGAGGAGAACCTGATCTCAATCTTCCTAGATTTGGAGAACCTTTGAGGATTATGAATGGGAATTTAAAGGGATTCTACTGTTGTCCAAGACTCAGCCCGCTTATTGTTGGATTTCCGGAGAGCGGTGCCTTATTGATGCAAAATCTGCGAGATTCTGAAGGTCTCGTGGAATTCGATGAAAATGCCAGCAGCGATTTTGGAATGGTATCGCTGAAAAATTTGATTTTCCCAGACCCCCCCACTTCTGTATTTTTGGTCTATGAAAATTGCGATTTGGTGAAGTATTGTGTTGGATATTTGACTGAAAATCATCGTTTGAGAATCGAGGAGATTTGGAGAATTCGGATGTTTCCGAAGGTTGAAGATCGGAAGAGGGATAATGAATCTTTGGAGGATTGTGTGGTAATTTTTTGGGGACTTTTAAAAATATGTGGCCGAGAAATGCCGGGAATTTGACCACGCGCGCTCTAATGTTGCGATAATTAGAGCGCGCGGCCAAGTTCTCGAGATTTCTCGGCCACATATTTTTTTGTGAAGTAAAAATCTGACAAACTCTGATTTTTCCCCAGAATTTTGTACGTTTCAAAATGATTCAAGTTCAAAGTTTCTCACGATTTTTGAAAAAAAATATTCCAATTTTTTCCAGAAAATCCACGATACAACTTTGGCCGACGAAAATTTGATTGTAAATCTATCGATCGATTATGCAAACATCCACCCAAACGGCATTTTTGACCCCAAAATTCACCCGGAAAAAATTATTGTTCAATTCACATATATCATCGATTTCAAAAATGGCGAGATTCTGCGTGTCATTCCGATTGTTGGCCTGCTGCAAAATCAGCGAGCAATGCAAATCGATGATGATTTGCTGATTATTGAGAAGAAATCGGAAATTATTGCGGGATTGGAGGTTTGGGAATTGATTGAACCTCAACAATTTATTGGATTTCAACGAAATCACCGGGAAAATTTGAATTATGGAAGTCGAATTTGACACGAATCTGATGGTAATTAATTTTTATCTTAAAATATGCTGGTTAAAAACATAAAAAGTTCCCTTGCCACGTGTCAAGAAAAAAACTTCATTCAATAATTGTTTTGTACAATGAAAACCCGTAATTTACTGTTCATTTCTGAATGTTCCAAATTTACACCAAAATCCGTCGAGTCGGGAAGAATTCGCCAATATTTCTCTCCTCGGCCCCAAATGGCGATTTCACTGATTGCTTAACTTCGGTACTCGAAAGCATTTCACGGTCTGTCAATTCGGCCAATCTCCATCGACGAAACTCCGCCATTCCATGACCATTGTCCTAGAATATAGATTTGGAAAACCCGGTACTTAGTCTAACTCACCTTCACCATAACATTAACCTTCTTCTTCTCTCGTTTAATTCCCAAAAAATCGGTCGAAATGAGTCGGGCTCGCGGAGCTTCCTCGGGTAGATCAAAACTTCGCACCGGATTTATATTGGTCCGCAATTCTTGCATTGTTTGGCATAGTGCCAAATTGAAAATAGTTATGAAAATAATAAAAGAGAAGCGCATCATCATGAAAAGCTAATAGTGAAAAATAAGAATAAGTTAGGCTAAGTTGTGTAACACCGCCTATTTTTTTGCTGTTGTAAAGTACACAGATCTTATCTTTTTACAACTTTGGGTGGAACTAATTAGATAATCAAATTTTTTTTTCTGTGTTTTTTACCCACAGAGAAAAAAAATATTAAAAAAAAACAACGACACTCCGCATTGACGCATGTGTTTCATCCGAATTCCGCAAAATTCAAAGTTTTTCTTTAAAAAAACAACGACACTCCGCATTGACGCATGTGTTTCACCCGAATTCCGCGAAAATTCAAAGTTTTTTCTTTATAAAAAAACAACGACACTCCACCGCTTCCGCTCTACATAAAATTCCCAAATAAATCACAAGTAATTCCACATTTCAACATACATAAATAAAATGAGATAATATTATTTACCCACGCCCAAAAAACGACTTTTCTAGGTCATTCGAAGATTTTCAAACACATGTCCTCTTTTTTCTCTTCATTTTTTTGTTCGTGTGTGTTTTTTTTGGATTAACAATAAGTAAATAATTTGTGTTTTTCAAAAAAAAAAAAATTTAATGTAGTGGTAGTTAGGTTTTATTAGTTTTACACAGTTTATTGTGTTTTTTTCGTTGTCCAATTAAATTTTTATGAGAAATTTTGATTTTTAGTTCAAATTTTGATGAAACTTTCCTGTTTTCCTTAAGAAATTTGAGAAAAAACCAAAGATTATTATGGAAAACCAACCTATCGTCATCGCGGAGTGTCGTTGTTTTTGCACATCCTGAAGATAACAAAAAAAAAACGACAATCCGCATTGACGAAGGCTCTTTTTGGCGGCTAATTCAAAGTTTAAAAATTCTACTGTCTTTATTTTTTTTTCAAAAATTTTTCAAACAAAAACTTCCCTGTTCGCACTTCAAATAAATCATAACTTTTTGTCTTTTGACCTTCAAAATTGTCTCAATTTTCCTGAATTTTTTTCGACCAAAAACAAGAAAATTGGAAATTGAAAGCCGATTTTTTTGGGCGTGGCTTTGTTGTGGATTAGAGATGCAGAGACGCAGAGAAAAATGGACAAATCAGATCGAAAAATGATTTCGTATAGTTTTTGAATTTCAGAATTTTCAGAAAATATGGTGAAGCTGAAGCAGAAAAGAGCGCTGAGAATTTTGCTGCCTGATAGACCGCTGAGAGCTGGACACGTGAGTTTGGGGAAAATTTTGCCACGTGGATTTTTGGCGGGAAATTTAAAATTCGAATTCTAACTCGAATATCATTCGCGAAAAAATTCAAATTTCAAAAAAAAATTGTTCTGGCGGGAAATCTGAAAATTCAAAATTTTATTTTTCCTCTGCCCCACGTGGCTTCCAATTTTCCCGCCAAAAACCAGAATTTCATTTTTAATCCTCTCAATTTTCGTCTTTCACCACAAAAAAACCAGAATACATTTCAATTATGAAATTTGCATCCGGTTGAATTACTTCTTCAAAATTTCTCAACAAAAAAAAATTCCAGAAAGAATTGATCGAATTGTGTCTGAAAATCCCGGATGCCGTGCAAATCGTGGAATCGAAGGCGGTTTTTGAGGGAAGGTGTCGAGCCTCGTTTTCGGGACAAGATTCGGTGAATGTTTTGGCGGATGAGAAGTTGACGATTCCGTTTGAACAGGTCTCGTTGCCCACTTCTAAGGTGAGGTTTTTTGAAATCAGCGGGAAATTTGGATCACAATGATACCAAGAACGACACTCCGCATTAACGTAGCGAATTTTTGCAGGGCTTCGACGTGATTCCCGAAGGATCTCACCGCCTCCCAATATTCCTCCAAGTGCCACCAAACCTCCCCGGAACTTTTCAAGCAAAATGGGGTGCGATTGTGTATCGATTGGTCTTCAAGATCAAAATCAAGAGGTTCACATCGGGAGACGAGGGAACTATTGAGTGTGAGAAGAATTGCGAGGTTTTCGGCAAGGTTGCCTTGCAACAACAGCCGAGTTATGCGAAATCGGTGAATTTGGAGAGACATGTGAAGAAGAAGGTGGGGAAACATTTTTTGGATTTCGAAAAAGTCCACATAATTTTCAAACTTCAAAATCCGTATTTTGAGAAAATTTTGAAACAGTGAATTTTATTTGAAAATTTTTTGTGCCGAAAAATCAGAAATCGTGAATTAAATTTGGCGCCAAAAAAGCCACGTGGATTTTTATTTCAAAAAAAATTATACTAAATTTTTGAAGTTGAAATTTTGAAACAGTGGATTTTTTTTTTGAAATTTTCAAAATTTGTGATTCCGATTCCACGAGAATCACAGTATTTTTTTTAGATTTTAAAATTCTACATCATTTTTTTCTCGTGAAATTAAAAAAAAAAGCTAGATTATTTCGAATTCCAAAAACTCAAATTTGTGAAAATTTTGAAACAGTAAATTTTTTTGTACCAAAAAATCAGAAATCGTGAATTAAATTTTGCCACGAGGATTTTTATTTCAATATGAACAAATGCTATATCGAAAAAAAAATTATACTGAATTTTTGAAGTTGAAATTTTGAAACAGTAGATTTTTTTTTGAAATTTTCAAAATTTGTGATTCCGATTCCACGTGAAATACAGTACTTTTTTTGAATTTTAAAATTCTACATCATTTTTTTCGTGAAAATAAAAAATACTGGATTATTCTGAATTCCAAAAACCCAATTTGTGAAAATTTTGAAACAGTGAATTTTTTTGGACCGAAAAATCAGAAATCGTGAATTAAATTTAGCCACGAGGATTTTTATTTCAAAATGAAAAATCTCTGTATCGAAAAAAATTATACTGAATTTTTGAAGTTGAAATTTTGAAACAGTAGATTTTTGTGAAGCTTTTGAATTTTCCAAAGCTGCGAAAAATAATCGAATATCCTTTCAAAAATTTTTTTTGACAAAATTTTGAAACAGTAGATTTTTTTTTCTAAAAATAATTTTCCCATCCCAAAAAATGACTCAACTCTTATCAAATCTCACTTATTTTTGAACAGTCACCAACCGGTTTTTTTCCAAAAAAAAAAATTCTTCCAGATATTCTTTGTGAATCGACTTGACGCAACTCTAAAAATCGAGCTGGAAAGAGCCGCATTTCTTGTAGGTTTGTGATATTTTTCAACTATTTTAGTAGAAAACCAGATCTTTTGAGACAAAAGTGATTTTTTTTTGAAAAAATTGTACAATCCGGTTTTCGCACTGTTATGATAAGCTAATAGTCATGTTTTTCAAGGTGAATATATTTTGGTTTCGGGGAAAATCGAAAATCATCACTCGAATATTCCGATCAAAAGGATCGGTATTGAGATTCGACAACATTTGATTTATGCCAGTGGAGATGCACAGAAAATTGAGTTAGTGGAACTTGGGGTGATTTTTGCGCAAAAATTGGGGTTTTTCCCGCGAAAAAGTGACCTGGAAGATTGCAAAGATGTTTTCGAAAAATTCACTGTTTCAAAAATGTTGTAATATTTTTTATGGTGGAAAATTAATGCTACATGTCATGACTGTTTTGGAATTACTACTTTTCGAGCTCAAAATTTTTCAATTAAAAAAGTTCACTGTTTCAAAAAATTATAATTTTTCATGTTGGAAACTGAATTGTTTGTTTCGGCAAAATTTTTTGAAACAGTGTTTTTTTATATTTGAAAAAAAATTAGTTTAGGTTTGAAAAATCGCAAATTTTCAAAGGTAAATCTAATTTTTTTCCTGAAATTTCTGAACAACTAAAGTAAAAATTTTGAATTGAACGAAGTCTGCAAAACCTTACAACTTTAATTCAGAAAAATTTTGAGAAAAACTTGAAACAGTGAAAAATATTCATTTTTTCAAATTGCAAAAAAAATATTAGGTTTGCAAAATCGCAAATTTTCAGAGCTGAAAAATATCTTCAAGGTAAAAATGCAAACAATTTATTAAATAAAGTAAGAAATCCAAACTTTCCAACTTGGATCCAGAAAAATTATGAGATAAACTTGAAACAGTGAAAATTTTATTGGATTTTTTTTGTTGAAACAATTGAAAAAAATTCCAGGCAAGGTTAGGTATCAAAAAATCGCAAATTTCTGAAATTCCGCATGAACTCAATTTTACTGTTCAACTTTCTTTCAGAAAAAAAATGAGGAAAACTTGAAACAGTGAATTTTTATGAAGCCGATAATTTTGATCCAAAAATTTTTCCGGTCAAATTCTTCCCCAAAAAATCCCCTCAAATTCCGTTTCCAGCTCTCGCCTGATGTCCAAACAAATCATCGGCTCCGTGCCAGTCAATGGTCAATTCCAAATCCATCACTCCCTCAAAATCCCCCACGATTGTTATCCGAGTTTGGTCCTAAACGGAAGCCCGATTCAGGTAGGCTTCAGCCCAATTTCAGCTCGAGCCCCCCGAATTTTCCAGGTGACCTACGAGATTTTGCTGGTGCATTCGGGACATTTCGAAGTGGGCGTTCCGATTTTCATCGGAAATTGTGGTGCCACACCGAATCGTCACAGTATTTTGGGTGCGGAGAGTGTTAGCACGGTGTATTGTGTGCCGCCGTCGGAATTTAGTGTGGGAGGAGGCGAATCGCAGGCTGCCACGTCACCACCTCCACCACCATATTCGACTTTTGGAAGGGTGAGAGATTTTGAAAATAGTTCCAGAAATTTTTCAAAAAAAGTTTCACTGTTTCATAAAATTCTAAATTATTTTCAAGTTTAAATCAGATTTTTTTGACAAAAAAAATTTTCAAATTTTGCCACGTCATGAAATGATATGGCCTAGAAAACCAAATACTGTAGATTTGGTTTTCTCTTCCACGGCTCAAATATAGAGAGGCTTAGTCCAAATCTTAGGCTTACTCAGCGTTTGCGTACGTAGCTTAAACGTAGACGAACCGATGTCAGCCGCTGACATCGGTTTAGCTACACAAATAGGTACGGTTTAGCTACGCAATTTGTGTTTGTGTGCCGGAAATGGGTTTTGTTTTCATTTTTCAGTCGCCCTAGGAATTTTTCTATTTTTAACACATAGAATGGAACTTGTGATGTATTTATTATACAATTTATATGTGAAAATGATAAAATAATAATTTATGACGACACTGAAGGTGTTCGCAGCAAAAACAAAGGAATATATAAAACATGGAAGATAAAAATTAAGAATGAGTTGGGTTTGAATTTTTAAAAAGGGAGATTTTCACGCGATTAGAGCACGCATGATCATTACCATTTAGGAATGCCCAATGGTCTCGACGCCTCCACGAAGAAGGCCGAGATTTGTCTGTTGGTTTATGGCATCTCCTCTTCGTGGAGGAGCCGAGTAGTGAACACACCCTTGGCAATAGATGGATCAGCATACCATAATCGGTGTTTTTTGCAATAATGACATCATACAACCGGGTGTTTCATTCAATTTGGGTGTGGAGGGAGAAAATTAATCATCGGCAGTGTTTTGAAGAAGAAGGAAAGGGTAGATGGTGAGCGGTATTAGTGTTTGATCATGGATCATTGTAGAAGTTTTGATAAATCGAGGTTGAGCTTATTGATTTGCTTAGTGATTCTCCCGGAAAATGCGTTGGATCGGATCTTTGATTTTTGGTTTCTCGAGGTGGACAGCCTTGGTTTGTGTCTTTTGGATTTCTGAATAACTTGGAAGAATCTGTAAAAATTTAGATCAACTTTTCCGGCTGCCATTTTTTGGAACATTTTAAAGTCAAAAATTTCGCGGCGGTTTTTTAAGGATTGGAGTTCGAGGTTGATATTTCTCGTCTCGGGACTTACCCTACCCATATTCTGATAACAATCGAATCCAAATTTACGCATAAATACTTTTCTTGTGAATAAATTTTGAACCTTTTCGATACTTTCTATACCACATTTTTCTGCTGGAGATGTTATTGTTGTTCCATATTCCAGTAATGGTCGAATATATGTTTTGAATAATGATGTGAGAAATTTTGGGTCTCTTGAATAAAAACTTTTGAATACTAAATAAATCAGTCTTTTTGATTTCAAAATTTGATTGGCCCAGTGGGATTTGAAATCTAGACTTGGCGTGACTGTGAATCCCAAGTCGCGAACTTCTTCGACTCTCTTCATTTGTGTTCCATCGATTGTGTAGTTATGGTGTGTCAATTTTTTCCAATCGAAATCACTTGGGTTTTTGTTTTTGATAGACGCAAGTCTGAATCTGCACTCCATTCCACAACTAAATCGATGGCTGCCTGGGTATCTGAAAAGGTTTGCGCCAGCCTCGAGTCGGCTTGCGCGTATAATTTCAAATCATCGGCGAACATTACACAAGAAATCGACGGAAGTTTAGATGAAATAAAATGGGGGAGATCAGAGGTAAAAATCGAGAATAATAGCGGCGACAAGACACATCCTTGTGGAACCCCACTCGGACATTCAAGAAAATTAGAGATAAAGTCCGTTACGCGAACACAAAATTTTCGGTTAGTTATAAAGTCTATAATCCACGCGACCACTTTTCTGTGGACTCCGATTTGTTGTAGTTTGTGGATTAGTTTTTCGTGATTTACGGAATCGAATGCTTTTTCATAGTCGAAAAGTACCACATCTATTTGTTTTTTCTCTTCCAGTAAATCCCACCAATCTTCAGTGGCCACATGCATTGCGGTGGTTGTTGATCTTTTGGAACGAAATCCATGTTGTTCATGAGGTATAATTTGATATTTATCCATCAGTTCAGTAAGATTCTTCTTGATTATTTTTTCGCATAATCTGGCTATTTGTGAAGTGAGCGAAATGGGGCGGAAATCAGATACGGAGTTAGGTGAGTTAGTTTTGGGAATGGGAATTACAATTGAGTTTCGCCAGCGGGTGGGAATTTTAGAGTGCATGAAGGTTAGATTGAAAATATAGGATAGAGGGAAGGAGAGAAATATTCTGAGTGTTTTGATGAAGGTGAATGGAATCTCATCTGATGTGAGCGTGGTCGAGTTTTTCGCATCCTTGATGAGTTTCTCAACCTCAGCGGGAGATGTCCAGGGAATGTTGTGCTCTCGAATTGGACCTTGAACTTCGCCAATAAAGTTTTGGGGGTGTGGTACATAGAATTTCGCGAATTGAGCCAGGAATCCGTTGGCTTTTTCCTCATCCGTAACTAGTTGTGATCCCATATCGTCAATAATTGGGTCGGACTTGCGGGTATTTCCCGGTTTCAGCTTGTTTTTAATGAATGAGAAGAATTCTCTTGAGTTCTTCTCGTCAAATTTTCTTTTTTCGATGGTCCGATTGTGCTTCTTCAGTCGACTTTGGAACTTTTTGTTGTAGTTCTGGTATTCGACAATTCGGCTCTCCGTGCGAGAAAATGTGGCCTGGGTCCACAGGATTTTTCGGTGATCATACATTTGCTGCAGATAGTTTGGCAGGATGTCACGTTCCACATTTCTTTTTACGAGCTTTGTTGTGGAGTAATAAACATGCTCCACTATCATCAAGAATGTTTCATATATTTTGTCGATTTCGATGCATGTTCCAAATAGAGTAATCCAATCAATATTCAGTAACATTTTTGATGCCAGATCGAAGTCGAGATTCTTGATGTCGCGGTAAATGACGATTTCTTCTTGGAAATCCACTTCTGTGGGGATTTTGATCTCCACCGTGTTATGGTCCGAAGATCCAATCGGCGGTTCAATTTTGGGTCGAGGAACATCATTGATGTTCGTGATAGCAAGGTCGAGGATGTTTGATTTTCTGGTGGGCTCGCGAATTATCTGAGAAAAATGATGTGCCAGAATAAATTCAGAAAGTAACTTATCCTTGGCTTCTTTACCCCCGAAATCGGATGAGTTCCAATCAATATGTGGCAAGTTGAAATCTCCGAGTACTACGATTTCACTGTCAAGTGATGATAAATCCGAAATATTATCCAGAAGCTCTTCCATGTGTTCCGGATGTGAATTTGGTGGGATGTATACGACAGCTATGATTATTTTGGCCAATGAGTGTGAAGGTGTGACTTCGACTGCCAGGAGTTCATAGTTGGATTTTTCAGATGAAGAGAAAATAATCGTGGCTGGAATTTGGTTAGTGATTAGTAGCGCCACGCCGCCACCCTTTTTCACTGATCTGTCGCGACGCATTATCTTGTAATCGGGCAAGCATGACACACAAAAATATAATTTCAACAAATAAAAATTGAATTTTGAGTACATAGAAAAATTTATTTGAATTTTCGGTGGTGGTGGGAATTGTTTTCTGGCTGGCAAGGTGGCTACTTCTGTTTTGATTGATCGGTGGTGGAATCCAAGCTGAAAAACGGAATTATTGAACTGAAAATAGACTGCGAAGTGAAAATATTTATCAAGAACTAGAGATTCAAGAGAAGTGACGTTATTACAAAAGATTGGACGAAAATTCCAAAAATCCTCCGTTTCTAGACTCTACCGATCATAATAATCAAACAAAAACTCACTTTTTGTTTCCAAAATTCACTTCTTGACGAGATTTTCACATTTTTCCTATTGAAATCTTTTTTTCGTCCAAAAATCAATTTTTTGGGCGAATCAAACGGTTTCTCTGCAAGTTTATACATTACATATGGTAAAATTAATATTTTAATGTAACTTACCTTCTCAAAACCGGTTGAAGTCGACGAAACTGTGATTTTGTAGCAATTTTAGGCCGCGAAAAACAAAAATGAAAAACAAAATGAGCAACCGCAGCGCACTCAAAAGTACTCGCCTTGCAACGCGGTCAGCTTGTAAAAATGCGTAGCTAAACCGTAGCTACGAATTAGCTAAATGCACCCTCTGTCTACGTTTAAGCTACGCCCGCAAATGCTGAGTAGGGTTAGCCTAAAGCCTTAGGCTTAGCCCTAACCCTAGGCTTCTCCAAAATCCCAATTTTTGCAGCCCGACCCAATATTCATCCCAATTCACATGCTCAAAACACCATACCGCCCATTCGGTCCACCAAATTATCATCACCACCCAAATTACGATCAAAATTTCAATAATCTGAAGTCGCATTCCCCACCACCGCCACCAAGATTCATTAAAATCGAGGAAATTGTTGATGATGAATAAATTTTTTTTTGAAAAAATTTACTGTTTCAAAAATTCCTGATTTAGTTGAGTGATTTTGGAATTGTTGGTAGATGAGTTGTTCTTTTGAAGATTTTTCAAATTTCGAAAAAAAAAATCCACTGTTTCAAAATTCTCTCAAAAACAATTTTTGAAAAATAATTTGATTTCTTTGTTTTTTTTATGGCAATAATTCAAGTGTCTTATAAGAATATTAGGAGAAAAAATCCACATGGAACATTGAGACGCTGAAATATTGACTTGAAAATGTGTTTTGAAAAATTCACTGTTTCAAAAAAATCATATAATTTTTTCGTTTCCGCGATATTTGATAAAGTGTTAACTTTTTTATTAAAAAATTCACTGTTTCACAAAAAATGGATAAAATTTTTTTGGATTTCTGGAAATTTCAATGTTTATGGCGGTCTTTTTAAAAAACTTCAACAAAAATTGACTGTTTCAAAAATGCATATAATTTTTTCTGTTTTTGGAAAATTTGATACTTCCACTGTATGTCTAAATTTCAACATTTTGGAGCCAAATTACCGTGAAAGCGCGAAAATTGAATCTTCAAAAAAAAAATTACTGTTTCAAGTAAATCTGATTTTTGTTGATGTTTTCTAAACTTTCTAAACTTGTTCTCTGTTTTCATAAAAAAAACCAAAATGTGCCCAAACTTTTTGTGACCTTGAGTAAACAAAAATACACATTTCATCATCATTTTTCTCTCCGTTCGAGCGAAAAAACAAAATATAAAAGAAGATAAGAAAGTTTTTTGTTTATCTGTTTCAAAAATATAAAAGTTTTGTGAGTAAAAAATAGCATTTTCCAACATTTTTTCGTTTTTCACGTCATTTCGAGCATTTCTAAGTTCACAAATAGGTTTTTGCGTCATTTCTGATGTTTCTTCCGTAATAAAACACTAAAAATGACGGGAAAATGCAGAATTTTGAATTTTCAACAGGAGTTCTGTGATTTCACGTCATTTCTAGTGTTCTAAGACGAAAGATATTCGATGTACTACGCCAAACACCGAAAATGACGCGAAAATGCAGACTTCTGCAATTCTGCGTGATTTCTAGTGTTTCCTTGCAGTTTTGCCTCAAACCTCGTGTTTTCAGACTAAAAATCTTTAATTTTCCACGCAAAAAGAGAGACTTCTGCAATTTCCCGTCATTTCTAGTGTTTCCCGACCAAAAATCTCCAATTTTCCAGGATGGAATATTTCGGCTGGACAAGTTTGGCGGCTCTCAGTTCAGCAGTGATTTACGCCAACTTGCCAACGCGTCTCACAATCGGAGCAGTTGTGCCAACATTCGCGCATCTCGCAAAAGCTCAACTCGTCCCAATTTCCGGTGAACCAAATGACCCGGAAGTTATAGATGAATCGAAATCATTGGAAGCTTCGAAGCTTTTCGATAAAGGCGCGCATTTGGTGATGGCAGTTCGACGTCCCGGTTGCCTTTTGTGTCGCCGCGAAGCCGCCGAAATCAACAACCTCGCTCCCGCTCTCAAAGCCGCAAATATCAATCTAATCGCCGTTGTCCATGAAACCCTGGGTGCCAACAAATTCAAAAACTATTTCACAAATGGCCAGCTTTTCCTCGACACTCAACGCACATTTTACGGCCCAAACGAGCGATGGCTTCCGATTTGGATGGGATTTTTAAGAATCGGCACTTATATCAATGTTCGGAAGGCCAAGGAGGCAAATGTGAATGGAAATTTGAAGGGGGAAGGTCGACTTTTGGGTGGTGTATTTTTGGTGGCCGATGGCGAATTGAAATATGCACATTTGGAGAAGGAATGGGGAGATGCGGCTGATATTGAGGAAGTTAAAGCTGCCATTGAGAAATATGCGAAATCTCGTTAATTTTTGTGTTTATTTTGTATGTAGTTTGCTTTAATAAAATTTCGATGAGATCTTCAAATGTTCATTTTAAAAAATCAACAAAATCAATCAATAACCACGCTCATTCTCATGTTCAGTCTGATATTTCTTAAGTGCTCCATCCAAACGATGCTCCAAAATCGACAATTCTCCAATCAGATCCGTGATCGCCGAATTCAACGCGTCAGCTGGTGTCGATTCGGCAGTCGTCTGGACTCGCAACAAAATCTTGTGCTCCAATGGATGCGGGTTTTTATAGCCGGCGAAGAGCACTTGAGGATCGCGAAGGAGTTGGCTGCAAAAAATTTTGCGTTAGAAAACCCAAGGAAAATTTAAAAACGGGTGAAAACCAACCATTTCAGCATATTTCCCAATGTGTGATCCTCTTTATTGATTGTGAAAACTGCGGCATTCGGAACTTTTGTGTCTTTCTCAATCTCGATCTTCTTGTCACCTTCGAATAAAAGAAATGATTCGAATGCTGCTGGCGCGTTCATTTTTGCTGGAAAAAGCGGTTTTTTGTGAGAAACAAAACAAAAAAAAGAAATTCGAAAAATTGTTTGTGCGCCTTGCACCGAACATTGACGCGTTTGCAGTGCGTGTTGGCGCGTTTGAATTAGGAACGTTTTTTCTTGTAAAAGCGATTATCTGGGATTCTGAATTTAGGATGTTGTTGGCAATGCAAAGACCAACATTTTAAGCCCAAACATGCCGTATTTGCGACTGGAAAAATTTGGGGACTCATAAATTTCAAGAACAGCTGTTTCATTTTCATTTCTTATTTTCGTTTCTTTTCTCATGTTTTTCCCGCAAGAAAAAATAAAATAAAATAAAAATTTTTGTATAGTTCCACTTGTTCAAACAAAACAAACAAAACACCGTGTTTCTAAATTGCAAAAATTTTAAAGATAAAATGAAAATTGAAATGAAATTTTTGTATAGTGAAAACTTTTTTTCAAAAAAAAAAACTTTCAGTTGTTTTTTTGGTTTGTTCAGTTGACCAGCACTTGACAAATCTCGGCTTATTATTCCGATTTTTGTGCAAATAAAGTGAAATTTCTGAAGAGCCAATGGAGCACTCGAATTTGTGTCTATCGGTGTTCAATTTTCCTAATGCTGCTGATTTTTGGCGCGAAATTTGGCACTTTTATTCAAATTTTTATGGGTTTCGAGATTGTATTGCCAATATTTTTTGATTTAAACAATTTTAAAGTTTTTTACGTAAAAATTTCGAATTTTTGCCCTCCCCTCCACCATTTCAAGTGCGCTCTATTGCAAAAACTTTCTAATATAATTTTTTTTTGAATCCACTTGAAACTTCATGACCCTCATGGTTAAAAATCACACACAATAAGGTTTGAAAGTGACCAATTCTCTTCCGATTTTTCGCCTCGACACTCGAAACCGATCTATTTACTTTTCTTCATCATTGTTATTTTTATTTATACATGAAAATGTTTTTGGTGGGGCTACTTTGGCTAACACGAAAAATCGTTTTGAAACCGATTCGTGTTAATTGATTTTCCGGTTCTTTTTGAATTGAATTGAATTGAAATCCACTTCACTTTTTTTCCGCCATCATAAATTAGAAAATCAACCTGTGTTTCCAAACACCCGCGTAGCTCAGCGGCTATCACACGCGCCGTCCACCCACACAACGGCGTTTTGCTCAAGTTCAACCCCCAGCCGAGGCTTTGATTTTTATTTTTTTGCTGCAAACCACTTGAACTTCTCGGTAATTTGTCTGTCCTTTCTTTTCAAATGACACACTTCCTCCAAAAACTAATTATCCTTTGATTCTCGAAAAAAAAAACACACAAACTTCAAAGTTTTTGTCCACTTTTTCCTTCGCTAAACATTTTGGTTTGAATGAATGAATCATCTTACATCCGTTACAAAAAGGAGAAAACTGGATATATAACATAATATTTTTCGCGCATTTTCCCTCTTTTTCTTTTTATCAAATCAAATTCAACATATTTTATTCTAGATGGTCTCGAGATCGAGTGGCGTCGATCAATATGTTCAGCAGATTCCACTGCTCGCCCTGGTTTTTCTGCCATTGATCAGCGCGATTTTTGGGTTGAGGTATATTAATTTGAAGAGTGTCATACATTTTCAACAGGTTGGTCATACATTTTCAGCACAAAGTCTTCAAAAAAATAACTTTCCAGGGAACCCTTGGCACATCGCCATGGCGTGCCGCCGCCACCATGACCTTCCTAACCCTTCCCGTCTTCTTCGTGTGGTGTCTCGTGATTCGCGGGCCTTCCGCGATATTTTTCCAAGTTGGCGCAAGTCTCGCGCTCATTTTAACCACCCTAACTGCCTCGCCAATTCTACACTATCTACCAAGTCCGAGTCTATCGAAATATTTTCAGTTGCGGTATCTATCGGATTCTCGTAAGTTTTTTTTTGAAAAACAACGAGACTCCGCGCTTACGCGCGCGCGTTGTTTCAAAAAAGTCAATAATGATTATTATTCTCCAGTCCGCCTACTCGTCTCCATTTTCCAATGCTCTCTCCTCACTCTAACCTCTCTCATCCTCCTCTATCTCGCCTCGTCTTTTCTGTCTGTCGTCTCCGCGTTGTCTGTGTATCTCGTGCTGCCACTCATCGCCTATTTCTCGCTGTTTTCCGTGATTTTTTTCGGGACACTCGATGATGATGAATTTCAGCTTTTTGTTGTATATTTTGGTGAGTTTTTTGGGGGTTTCTAGGCCACCGAATTTGGATTTCTAGGCCACAAAAAAAGTAGCGCCACGTGGCAAAAAATCAAAATTTTTGAAAAAGCATCATAAATGCGAAAATAACCAAGGTTTCCAAACACACGCGTAGCCTAGTGGAGAACACGCGCGCCTCTCATCCACACCGCGAGCATTTTGCTCGAGTTCAACCCCCAGCCAGAACTTTTATTTTTTTTGTTTGTTTCACCAAACAACTTGAACTTTTTGGTAGAAACATGCGCCACGTGGCAGAAAAATAAATCTTTGGGTTTCTAGGCCACCATATAAATATCTAGGCCATGATCCAAACATCCTCCCAATTTTCTTCAGGTTCCCACATTTGGCATCGGAATTTTCCTCTTCTACGGCCTGGAGAATATTCGCTCCATTGACAATATCATCGAATTCGAAAAATACGATTTTGGCGCAAGTTTTTCGTCAATTTTCATCGGTTTCATCGTCAATTTCTACCTGCTGAATTCCAGTTTTTTGTATCAGGTATGTAACATTTTCTTGAATTTCCTTCTGAAAAAATTTAATTTCAGGTGTATTCGCCGATGCCAACAATGCACAAACTTCGTCTAACTCTCACTTTTTATGGTGTTTTTCAATTTTTTGCCGCTTTTTTCGCTTTCATTTTTGCTACACTGTTTTTGGATTTTTTGGAGAATCATTGCAAATTTCCAATGTCTTTTGGATCGTTTTTTCAATTTTCAAAGGTTAGTTCGGCCACCAAAATTACCAATTCGGGTTTCTAGGCCACGATTTGGGTTTATAGGCCACGATTTGGTTTTCTAGGCCAATAAAATCATAAATCTAGGTTTCTAGGCCACCGGAGGTGTGCATTTGGGTTTCTAGGCCACAATTTGGTTTTCTAGGCCACCAGAGTCCTCAATTTGGGTTTCTAGGCCACCAGAGTCATCGGTTTGGGTTTCTAGGTCACCAGAGTCGTAAATTTGGGTTTCTAGGCCACGATTTGGTTTTCTAGGCCACCATAGTCATCGATTTGGTTTTCTAGGCCACAAAAATCGTGAATTATCGTTTCTGGGCCACGAGTTGGGTTTCTAGGCCACCAAAATCACTCATCCGGGTTTCTAAGCCAACAGAGTCATCAATTTGGATTTCTAGGCCACGAGTTGGGGTTCTAGGCCACCAGAGTCATCAATTTGGGTTTCTAGGCCATTAAAAGCATCGATTTGGATTTCTAGGCCACCAGATATATCAATTTGGGTTTCTAGGCCACCAGAGTCATCAGTTTGGGTTTCTAGGCCACCAGAGTCATCGATTTGGGTTTCTAGGCCACACAGAACTTTGTATTTGGATTTCTAGGCCACGATATTGATTCTGCACTATTTTTCATGGTTTTTGATCATTTTTGGTTTCTGAAATCAGGTTTTCAGACTATTTTTCTCGAATTTTAATTTTTCTCGAAAGAAAAAATCAATTTTCCAGGTCACACTCTCGAATAAATTCCAAGTTTTCACTGTCTGCGCCTCTTGCATCTCAATACTATCTTTCTGCCTCCAATGGTGCCTAATGGGCCTAATCACTCTGATTTGGGAGGATTTTTTGGCGAAAAAATTGCGAAACTGGAATCCGATTCAACAATTGTGCTCCCTTCAATTCGCATTGCTCATATTAACCACGGCGTTGGTGGTTTTGGCGGTGGTGGTGAATTTGATGCGATGGAATTTGGGATTGCATTTGCCGAGTGTGATTTATGTCGTTTTGTGAGTTTTTTTTCACTGTTTCAAAAATTGCATTGAAATCCTAAAAGCGGATTTTTTGATGTTAGCTAATTTTATTAAAAATTCTGAAACAGTGAATTTTTTTTTTCGAAAAAAAATTTCCACGTTGAAAACTAACCGAAATCCGCCATCATAAATTCGAAAATCAACCCTGATTTCAAAAGAGCAGCGTAGCTTAGTGGATAGCACGCGCGCCTTTCACCCACAGCGCCGCATTTTGCTCGAGTTCAACCCCCAGCCAGAACTTTTATTTTTTTTTGAATTCAGATTTTTTTCAACAAAGAAAAATTGCCACGTGGCTTTTTTTCTCAATTTTTTTAAAATTAACGTATGAGTTTCTAGGCCCATCACAAATCAAATTTAAAAATCAAAAGTTTTTGCCACGTCATAACTCAAACCTTTATTTCCAGCTCATTATTCTCAATCTCCGCCGGTCTAACAATTTGCGGATATTATCTACCATTTTGCTCATCACGCGGTGCAATTCTCGCATTTAGCCTAACTTCAATTCTAACAATCCTCAATTTATCCATATATTTTCTCAATAATTCAACCGAAACTTTTTCGAATTTCTGCAATTTACAACACGGATTGGTTATGGTTGATGATCCGCTGATTATAAGTTCATCAACTACACAAAAATCAACGATTAGTATGGATCGAATTGTGTATTTTGTATCGCATTTGCCACCACAAACACAACCGATTATTACGATTTTGGTGGGTTTTTTGGGGTTAGCCTTGGTGTTGCATTGTCATTGATGTTCCGAAAATAAGGAAAACTTATATGATTTCTTTGAAACAGTAAAAAAAATTTTAAAAGTAATAAATTTTGAAAATATCAACAAAACTTACAAGTATTTTTTAAAACAGTAAATTTTTCCTGCAGAAAAAAATAGGTGATCGTAATTTCCAGAAATCCAATTTTTATCCATTTTTTTTGAAACAGTAATTTTTTTTTGACAGATGATTTGAATTCATAAAAATTTTCCGACAACAAATAAATACGTAATTTTTATGAAACAGTAAAACATGTTGCATTTTATCCTAAGTAGAGCGAAATTATGAAAACATTGAAATCTACAGAAATCCAATTTTAATCCATTTTATGAAACAGCAAATTTTTTTTCGGACAAAAAAGTTGGAATCGAATTTCGCGTCTGAAATCAAATCCACGTGGAATTCATGATAATCGCGCGTCAAACAATTATTCATCAAATTTTCCAGAAACAAAAAAAATATATGATTTTTTTGAAACAGTGAAAAATGCTGAATTTAAACCCACACCGAGAAGTAGCGAAATTTTGAAAAAATCAGGAAAATTAGTATTTTTTTTGAAACAGTAATCAAAATAAAAAATTTTTAAAAACAACAAAAAATTTAATAATTTATTTGAAACAGTGAACTTTTCTTTGAAAATTTAATTTTCGCGTCTGAAATCCACTCCACGTGGAATTCATGATAAGTCGGTTCCAAAGTGTTATTATCAAATTTTCCAGAAACAAAAAAAATTTCATGATTTTTTTGAAACAGTGATTTTTTTCGATAGAAAACAACTGGTCATCATAAGTCCAGAAATCCAATTTTTTCCATTATTTTTGAAACAGCAATTTTTTTGACAGATGATTTGAATTCATTAAAATTTTTCGGCATCAAAAAATACGTAATTTTTTTTGAAACAGTAAAAAATTCTGAATATCTACTCAAACCCAAAAATAGCGAAATTTTGAAAACATTTGCAAAATTAAGTATTTTTTGAAACAGTAAATTATAATCTTCACGAAATAATCGAAAAACCAAAATTTTATAAACAACAAAAAATTTAATAATTTATTTGAAACAGTGAACTTTTCTTTGAAGTTTCCATTTTCGCGTCTTAAATCGAATCCACGTGGAATTCATGATAATTTGGTCCTAAAAAGTTGTTTATTATCAAATTTTGCAGAAATGAAAAAAATATATGATTTTTTTGAAACAGTGATTTTTTTTAAACACAAAAAAATTGGAACCAAGTGCACTGGGATAATTTGAAATCAGAAAAATTTATTTATGAAAAATTAGAATTTTTTTTTGAAACAGTGAATTTTTCAAAAGCGTTAATTTTCCACGTGGCATTTTCAGCCCCAAAAAATCCCGAAATTTTCCAGATGTTCATCTCCCTCTGCGCTTTCATTTCGTTCCTAACCGGCGGTCAAGATCAAATGGGTCTCGACTGGAATTTGATTGCGTTCACGTGGGCCACGTCGATTCGCGGAACATCCACCAACACCACATTTTCGACGACGACGAAACGCCCGTTTTTTGTCGTCGACAGCGAATCTTTCAAATATGCTCAACAACAGAATCAGAATCCCACTCCAAGTCCTGATATTAATGTTTTTCGGTGAACTTTTTGGTTTTATTTGAATTCTGAATTTACTTGTGATTTTTACGGGTTTTAATAAAAAAGTTTTCTACATTATCTGTGAAATTTGAGATTTTTGGGGTCTAAGGTTTTGGCTAAGCTTAAGTTTTTAACTAAGCCTACGCTAAAAGTTTAGGCTAAGCCTAAGCTTTTGCCTAAGCCTAAGGCTTTGCTTAAATCTAAGCTAAAAGTTTAGGCTAAGCCCAAGCTAAAATTTTAGGCTAAGCCTAAGTTTTTAACTAAGCCTAAGGTCGAAGTTTGAGGTTTTTTTGCCCAAAAAAATCCACTGTTTCAAACTTTCGTCTTCAAAAATTCAGAATTCTACAAATTTTGATTCTTGAATTTTTTCCATATTAACAAAAAAAAAAATCCACGTGACATATTTTTGTCAGCCAAAATTTCCCCTCTGGTTCAAAAACCACACAATCTTTTTTGATAAACAATGAAAGACTGTGTAAACCAACAAAAAAAGTGTAGTAATAATAAACTAACTAATATTTTGTGATATTTTTGTGTGAAAAATGCGATTTTTCTTGATTTTCTCAATTTTTTCGGTGAATTTCTTGAATTCCGATCGAATTTCGGAAAATGTGAAATCGGCGGTTTTTGAATTCTGCGCCGGTTTTGAAGAAAATCAATTTTGTGAAGATTATTCGAGACTGAGAGGAGGTTTGCGATGGATTTTTTGAATTTTAAAAAATTTTTTCGATTTTTTTCAGTCAGACAAACACAAATATCAGGAAAATCCAATGAAACTTTGGCTGAAGATGTGAAAAGTTTGGAAAATGTTGCGGTGAAAGAGGAGATTGGAGATGTGATTTTACAGGAGGGAAATGTTACGAGTGTTTTGCATGAAGATGAAGAAGAGGAAATGGCGCCGTTGAGTGAGTTTTTTTTTTGGATGAAAATATGTTCAAAAAAATCTACTGTCTCAAAATTATTTGATAAATTTATATGGCTTTTCTGAACTGATACGTTACTTCATACAATCAGAAAATAAATTCAAAAATCAAAAAATCTACTGTTTCAAAATTTTATGAAATATAATTTTTTTTACTTGAATTTCAATGAATCTCTGGATCATATTAATAAAACCTGAAAATCTACTGTTTCAAAATTATTTGATAAATTCATTATGGATTTTCTGAACTGATATACGATATGCAGAAAATAAATTCAAAAATCAAAAAAATCTACTGCTTCAAAATTATTAGAAAAATAATTTCTTCGCCAAAATTTCAATATGTTCGATGGTTAGTTCTGCAGAAAATCTCGAATTTAAAAATTGAAAATCTACTGTTTCAAAATTATTTCATAAATTTATTATCAATTTTCTGAACTGATACGTCCAAGTTGTTCGACGAATAATCAGACAATAAATTCAAAAATCAAAAAATCTACTGTTTCAAAATTTTATGAAAAATAATTTTATGAATCTGATTTCAATAGCTTCACTTTATATGCCTGAAAAATAGCTTGAATCTGAAAAAAAAATTACTGTTTCAAAATTGAAAGATAAATAGTTTTATGAATTAAACTCCAATAATTCAATGTTATTTCGGTGAAAAAATAAGCCTTAATTAAAATTTAAAAAAATCTACTGTTTCAAAAAAAATGTGAAAAATTTTATATGGGCTATCTGAACTGATTGGTGGTAGTTGTCAGGCAAAATTTACTGTTTCAAAATTGTATGAAAAATAACTTCTTGGGTAGAATTTCAATGAATTCCTTATTGTTTGTTGAGAAAAATCTCGAATTTTAAATCTGAAAAAATCGACTGTTTTAAATTTATTCGATAAATATGTTACTTCATACAATCAGAAAATAAATTCATGAATTCAATTGTAATTCGTATAATTTACCTCTTACGAGTACATTTAATTCAAAAAAAATAATTAAATAAGTTTTTTTTTTTGAAAAATTGATCGATGACTTTATCCATGGCAAAATTAGGAAGCCTTCCTGATTTTGCCACGGGTCATTTTTCGATCAAAAAACTTGAAATTTTTCATGAATTTGATTGTAAGTCAATGTTCTGTGGACAATAATCACAGAAAAAAGTGAAACTGAAATAAATGAGAAGACTGTTACGCCTGGGAGCTAACAGCCCCTAGTCAGAAAATAAATAGAAAAATCAAAAAAAGTTACTGTTTCAAAATTGTATGAAAAATAATTTTATGAATCTGATTTCAATAATTTCACTTTGTTTGCCTGGAAAATAGCCTGAATTTGAAAAAAATTTACTGTTTCATTATTATTTGTAAAATATTTTTTTGGCTAGAATTTCAATGAACTGATTGTTGCTTAAAAAAATCTCGAATTTTAATATTGAAAAAAATCTACTGGTTCAAAATTATTTGTAAAATAATTTTTTGGCTAGAATATCAATAAACACGGTTTGAAAGTTGTTAAGAAAATCTCGAGTTTTAAATGTGAAAAAAATCAACTGTTTCAAATCTATTTGATAAATTTTTTATGGCTTTTCTGAGCTGATCGGTGGAAGTTTGTGTAAGAAAAAAATTTACTGTTTCAAATTTCTATGAAAAATAATTTTATGAATTAAACTATAATAATTCAATGTTATTCCGGTGAAAAAATAAGCCCTAATTAAAATAAAAAAATCTACTGTTTCAAAAAAATGTGATAAACTTATTATGAATTTTCTGAACTGATCGCATTACGTTATTATCAAAATAAAAAAATTTGGCAAAAAACGAAGGCCAGAAATTCAAATGACACTCTTCCCAAGTACGGTGTTTCTTTCAGTCGCTGCGAGACCCATATGTGCGTCTTTGACTTTGTTTCTCTGCCCAATGGTGTGGTTTCGAAACGGTGTTAGTGACGCAGAGGAATACCGTACTTGGGGAAATTGGGATTTGAATTTCTGGCTTCTCTTTTTTTGCCAAATTTTTTTTACTTTGATAATACTTCATCGATCAGAAAATAAATTCAAAAATAAAAAAAATCTACTGTTTCAAAAATTTTTTTAAATCTTTCATCAATAATTTTAATATTCCACACGTTTTTTCTAGAAAAAAGTTACTGTTTCAAAATTGTATGAGAAATAATATTATGAATCTGATTTCAATAATTTAACTTCGTTTTCCTGAAAAAAATAGCCTGAATTTGAGAAAAATTTACTGTTTCAAAATAATGTGAAAAATAATTTCTTGGCTAGAATTTCAATGCTTTCCTTATTGTTTGTTGAGAAAAATCAATTTAAAACTTGAAAATCTACTGTTTCAAAATTATTCGATAAATTTGATATGGATTTTCTGAACTGATTCGTTGTTGGAATAATTCATTCGATAAACAGAAAATAAATTCAAAAATCAAAAAAAATCTACTGTTTCAAAATTATTTGAAAAATAATTTTATGAATCATTATTCAAACCATTCATTTTTCTGAAAAAGTAGCCTGAATTTGAAAAAAAATCTACTGTTTCAAAACTATTTGATAAATTTATATGGCTTTTCTGAGCTGATCGACCAGAAGTTTGTGTTGCAAAAAATCCAATGCTTCAAAATTATTTACAAAAGTTTTCCTGAATGAAAATTCAATTAAAAAATCTCGAATTTTAAATTTGAAAAAAATCTACTTTTTCAAAATTATTTGATTAATATTTTTGTAAATCAATTTTTTACTAATTTTTTTCAGCAGTTGTGTACAAATTTCTCGAATTTTGAATGTAAAAAATCTACTGTTTCAAAAAATACTCATATAATTTCCAATATTTTTCCTAACGATACCAGAATTCAAAAATCGCATTCAGGCGCCGCCGAAATCCGCGAAGAGCTTCGCAAAATAATCCAAGAAGAATATGCTGCGAATCGTCTTCAAGTCGCCAAAAAACCCGATGATCCAGCATGCGATAAATTGCGATCCGAATATGATGAGGTGTGTTTCAACACTCCGCCGTTGGCTGCATTTCAAGAAACTCGCGAGTTTTGTTTGGCTTTTGTGAAGAATTGCGAGCATTCGTTGCTCACCAATATTTTCACCAATGTTAAGTGAGTTTCGGGGAAGTTTTGCAAAAATTTCAGATAAATTTGCCACGTGGCAAAAATTGCTGAAAAGCTGAAATTCAAATTTTATATAAATTTTTCAGAAAAAAAGTTTAACATTCAAATTTTCCACATTTTCGCATAGAAATGTGCCACGTGGCGAAAAAAATCAAAATTTTGAAAATTCTATTCGAAAATTTCACGGAAAACTGAAAAATCAACACAATTTTCAGAAAAAAATGCCACGTGGCAAAATTTTTATGTTTCTTTCAAAATTTCGAAAAAATTTAAAGAAATCAGATTTTTCCCAAATTTTAGTGCCACGTGGCTAAATTTTTCAAAAGCTGAAAATTACAGAAAAAATGCCACGTGGCAAAAAGTTAAATTAATTCAATTTTTTTTTTTTGAAAAATTTGATTTTTACAAAATTTTACGGGGACCTGAAAAATCAATACAATTACTTTAAAAAAAATGCCACGTGGCAAAATTCAAAATTTGGATTTCTAGGCCACCAAAAATCCTTCAATTTTCTAGAAATTTGGATTTCTAGGCCACCAAAAATCCTTCAATTTTCAAGAAATTTGAGAATTTTTGGTGGTGGCCTAGAAATCTTTGGTTTTCTAGGCCACCCTACATTTTTCCAGAAGTTTCAAAGTCGACTTCACCAAATACTGCAAAAAACATCTGGAACGCTTCCAATACGTCTGTCCGGATCCTCTAAGATTCTTCTCATTTGCCCAGCAGGTATGACCTGAAAAAATGAGCTGAAATTAATTTCAGAGCAAAATTACAAAATTTCAGGCCGTCGAATTTTGCGTTCGCTACAAAGAGCGTTGTCCGACAGAAGAAGTTCCAGCCGAGGTGAAAATGTTCAAGAAAAAGGTGAGTTTTCGCGCCAAATTTTCATTTTCCCGCCAAAATTCCAGGACGAAGGTCACATTTACACGCGGGAAATCGAAACTTGGTGCACACGTCAAAGACGTACAGTCTACAATTATTGTACAGAGCCGGATTTGCTGAAAGTTCCGAAATATATGCAATTTTGTGGATTGTATAAGTTGGCGTGTATTGATATTTATCAGAGGGTTATTTATGGGTGAATTTGTCGGAAATTGTTATTACTGAATTTCCGTATTATTTTGATTTCTCAGGTAGCAACGAAGTATTACACAATCATTTATTGTTACGGTTAGGGAATGCGGTAAATTCTCGTGATTCCGTCGATTCGTTGTGTATTTGTGTTGTGTCAGGTTGAGATTCTGGTGTTGGGTACAAAAGAAGTCTGCTTTGTGTGTGTTGAAGAGGGTTTATATAGATATTCCAGTGAGATAAGATCTCACGTACACGTGAGATATTATTTAACTGGGTCAATTTTTGACAGTCCCCCCGCCAACAAAAAAAGGAATGTATTTTCGAAAGTGTATTTGCAACAAAGTGGGGTTTCTCACGTCGTTTCAACCTCAATAATTACCTCCACTTCGTCGAATTTGTGTGATGAACAATGTGTTTCGTTGTTACTCGGACCACTGCGGATTGGCAAATGATCGATTGATACATCTGTGATTGAAGTAATAGTTGACATTATTCCAGCTTTGTATATCTTGTTGCGTTGTTGATGATTTTCTCGAGGTGTTTCCGGTTACTTAAGTGTATGTCTCTAATAGTGTCCGACTTGATGCTTTCACTGCTAGACTCTTCGGTGGCCAACCGTATAAATTGATTCCCAATATAAGTCCGTTTTCTATTCGAATAATGATCTTCAGGCGTCCCCGAAGCTTTTTAAGATGTTTCACTTCACTATATTTGGAACTTCTCTTTGCGGTGTTTTACTGATTATGTAGGTGATCATACTACTCAAGTGTTTTTGGACATTCTCCCTCCTTGCGAAGCTACTCAATGGTGTCTGAAGAAATCTCACTCCTTGCGGAGCTACTCAATGGTGTCTAAAGAAATCTCACTCCTTGCGGAGCTACTCAATGGTGTCTGAAGAAATCTCACCCCTTGCGGAGCTACTCAATGGTGTCTGAAGAAATCTCACTCCTTGCGGAGCTACTCAATGGTGTCTGAAGAAATCTCACCCCTTGCGGAGCTACTCAATGGTGTCTGAAGAAATCTCACTCCTTGCGGAGCTACTCAATGGTGTCTGAAGAAATCTCACTTCCTTGCGGAGCTACTCAATGGTGTCTTTTTATGTGTTGTGGATGTGGTTCAGTGGTAATGTGTTATGTTGTGATAATTTGTTGTGTTGTGTCTGATCCACTTGGTCGATGCACCATGTCGGAAATTGTTATTACTGAATTTCCGTATTATTTTGATTTCTCAGGTAGCAACGAAGTATTACACAATCATTTATTGTTACGGTTAGGGAATGCGGTAAATTCTCGTGATTCCGTCGATTCGTTGTGTATTTGTGTTGTGTCAGGTTGAGATTCTGGTGTTGGGTACAAAAGAAGTCTGCTTTGTGTGTGTTGAAGAGGGTTTATATAGATATTCCAGTGAGATAAGATCTCACGTACACGTGAGATATTATTTAACTGGGTCAATTTTTGACAGAATTTTCGAATTTTTATGGGCGAAAAATGAAGATTTTCTCATTTTTTGCTATTTCTCCCAAAGTCGAATATTTTCAGTCATTTCTCAATGTTTCTCTTTCCCTAACCAGAAAATAGATTAATCAGAAAAACGTAAGTAAAACTACTCTAGATGGCGTTAGCCAGCGAAGCCCTTCTAGTTAGAAATATTCACAAACGATGCTCCGCGATGACGCAAAAAAATTCGAAAATTTGGGAAAACACAACGACACTCCGCGATGACGAAACTTTTTAAAAACAATTTTCAGGGAAATTTTCAAAATTCAAATTTTATGAGAAACAACGAGACTCCGCAATGACGTCATTCAAATCCGAATTTAAAAATTCAAAATTTTCAATTTTTGAACCAAAAAATCTGGGAAATTTCTGATAAAAATGGAAACAAATACAACGACACTCCGCAATGACGCAACTTTTTTTTTACAATTTTCAGGGAAACTTTAAAAATTCAAATGTCAGGGAAATTTTAAAAATTCAAATTTTGAACCAGAATTTTCAAAAAAAAAACTACGACACTCAGCGATGACGCTTTTCGTATCATTGGAATCCAAATTTCCCGCCAAATTCAAAAATTCAAATTTTGAACCAGAATTTTCAGTAACTTGATGCCAAGTTCTAAAATTTTTCGAGAATTCGGTTTTAAAAAACAACGACACTCCGTGTTTAGACCCAAATTTCGTGCATAATTCAAAATTTTCAATGTTTAGATCCAGATTTGATTTAAAATTCCAGAAAATTCTGTAGAGAAAAACCACGACATTCCGTGTTTACACCCTCAGATTTTGAAACCAAGTTTCGTCCAAATTTCGCGCCAAATTCAAAAATTTGATTCAAATTTCCAAAATTTCATTCTAAACCCAAAAAAAAACATCACAAATTCGATCGATTTTTCCTCTCCTCTTCATCATCGATTAATCGATAAGCCGGTAAATACACGTCATTTCCAATCTTCAATGCCTCATTTTTGACCGTATTATCACGGCCTCCAAGACTCGTATATCCTTGATCATACAATTTACAATACGGAATACATAAACCTCTTAATAACATCCAAACTTCAGTATATGTCCAATCCAAAATCGGACAAACTCGCAAAACTTTCGGCCAATCTGAATCTGTCCATTGAATTGGTGATTTCAGATATTTTCCAGTTGGATCGGTTGATCGACTTCCCATTAAAACTGGTGTTATTCTTGGACGTTGTTTTTTGAGCGCTTCGAGACCCGATTTCAGAGGGCCTGGGAATTCGAGAACTGTGATGTTGTAGCTAGAAACAATGTGATAATATTATTGAAAATTTATAAAAAATTTTGAGATAAAATAATTTTGAAACAGTGGATTTTCGGGGGAACCAAAAATCATCATTTTCTTGGATTTTTTTTTTTTGAAAATTGTATACACATCATGTGATCAACAATTTTATTCCATAAAATGTTTTAAAAATTATTTGAAACAGTAAATTTTTATAAGAAATTCTGATATCAAAATCTAGGTTTTGTTACATTCTTAGAGCCTGAAATTTAAATTTTCGAGAGAAATTTAAAATTGAAATTTACAGAATTTCAATTTAGACATCTATAATTTATGAAACAGTGGATTTTTTTTGTTGAAATTTCTGTTCCACTTCGTTGTTATAACTATGACATTATAAATTAAATTCCAGAAAATCTTAACAAAATTATTTGAAACAGTGAATTTTTAAACGGAATTCATCAAAAGCCAGTTTTTTCACTTCAAAATTCAAATTTTTCAGCAAAAAAAAGTTCGAGCAAAATTCTGAAATTTTGAGCTTCAAATCCACATTTTTACGAAATTTAAGATTTCCACAGAATTCCAGCTCAACTTATAACATTTTTTGGAGGATTAAAAAAATTATAAAACTTTTTGAGATTAAATATTTTTGAAACAGTGGATTTTCGGGACCTTTTTTTTGAAATTTCTGTGCCACGTGAATTAATGTTTGACTATTCGTCACCATGAATTAAATTCCAGAAAATCTTAACAAAATTATTTGAAACAGTGAATTTTTGAACGGAATTCTGCCATGAAAACCCAGTTTTTAGTACAATTTTGGGACCTTAAAATCAAATTTTCAGCAAAAAAAAATTCGAGCAAAATTCTGAAGTTTTAAGCTTCAAAACCATATTTTTACGAAATTTAAAATTTCCATAGAATTTCAGCTTCAAAATACAACTGTCCACTAAAAAAATTTCTAAAAAATTTAGAGACAAATATTTTTGAAACAGTGAATTTTTTTTTACCATTTTTTCGGAATTTTTGTGCCATATGGATTCACTAAAAAAAAACTTTTATTAACACTGAAATTTACAATTTCCATAGAATTTTAGCTTCAAAATATCGACAACTGTATATAGATTGTTGACTAAAAAAATTCTGAAAATTAAGAGATCAAATAATTTTGAAACAGTGGATTTTCTGGATCTTTTTTAGCTTAAGTTTCTGTGCCATATGGAAAAAATTTTCAAAATTATAAACTAAATTTCAGAAAATCTTATCAAAATTATTTGAAACAGTGAATTTTTAAAAAAGAATTCTGACATCAAAATCTAGTTTTCGGCACATTTTTGCGGCCTTGCAATCAAATTTTCAGAAAAATTTCTAATGGGGTGAGTCATAAAAATAAATTGACAAAAAAAGTGCGATTAGTTTCACGTTTTTTGTCAATTAATCGCATTTTTTCAGAAATGAATGCGATTAATTGACAAAAAACGTGGAATTAATCGCACTTTTTCTGTCAATTTATTTTTATGACTCACCCCATAAATAAAAAAAAAGCTCTTCTGACAAAAACTTTTATTAACCCTGAAATTTACAATTTCCATAGAATTTTAGCTTCAAAATATCAACAACTGTATATAGATCGTTCACTAAAAAAATCTAAAAATTTAGAAATCAATTATTTTTTAAACAGTGGATTTATGGGGGCTTTTTTTCAAACTGTTGTGCAATGTACCATAAAATTATTAATCAGAAAATCTTAACAAAATTATTTGAAACAGTGAATTTTTAAAATGAATATTGACTTCAAAATCCAGTTTTTGATACATTTTTGGGGCCTTAAAATCGGAAAAAAAAAATCAATAATTTCTGAAATTGGCATGTGAAATCTTTTTCAACCTATTGTGTAATGAATTAAATTTCACAAAAAACAAATAAAAATACAAAATTACTTGAAACAGTGGATTTTTCTAATTTGAACGTTATAGATTGTTAACTAAATTTTTTTTGAAAATTTAGACATAAAATATTTTTGAAACAGTGAATTTTTTTGACCATTTTTTCGGAATTTCTGTTTCAATATTACTATGTCATTATAAATTGAATTTCATAAAAACTTATCAAAATTATTTGAAACAGTAAATTTTTATAAGAAATTTTGAAAAATTGATATAAAAATCTACTGTTTCAAATAATTTTGTAAACATTTTCCGAACTCAAATTTATAATTCTTCCTCGTCATGTCGGATTTTGGATCTACTGTCTGAATCTCTCGTTTTACACACTATTTTGGGTTCAAACTACAAAAAATTGGTAGGTCAAATCTTCAATTCGTCCGGATGAACAATAGAAATTTTCAAAAGCCACAAAATGCCACGTGGATATTTCTACCCCCAGAAAAACTCACAACTTCGCCGCATCAATAATAAACTGTGTGGCTTCCGGAAATTGATCCTCAACAACAATATGAAATCCCTGAATAACTTTTCCCGGTCCATATTTCTCATCAACCATAACTCTCAACAAATGCAAGAGTACTGTGCAATCCTTGCCTCCATTAAAAGACAGTGCAATCTCATCCAACGAATATTCATCCACGATTTTCTGCACAATTCTCTCAGCAACTTCCAATTTTTCTCGATACATTGGGGTGGATCGCAATTTGAAATCCCGCCATTTTTCCACAGTATTTTGCCAAGGCTGCGAATCATAATAGACCAGATGTCCTTGGAGCAATTCCCTGAGCTCTTTGGCACATTTTTCCAAAATTTCTGGCATTTCCGCCTCGATAATTAATTTGGTCTTATAGAATTTGCCATTTTTCCCTTCCGGATAGCTGCCAATTTCACATTTTCCAGAAAATCTTTGAGCCAGCTCCGTGAGCTTAATCGAAAAATCAAATTCATCCAAGTTAGTGTATATCGTCTCCTTGAAGACCTTAGGTCTTTCTTGAACGGGAAAAAGTTGATCTTGAAGTTCATCGAAGGCTTTTTCGCAAAATCTCGGTACTCCTGGGAGGGAAATCACGTTTTTCAGCTTGACGACCGGGAAAATCGAGGGTTCCCCGCTGGATTTTTGGGTTCCCCAGAGGAGCTCGGAGGATTTCGGGACTGTGCTCAATTTATCGGTGGCGATTCGCGTCATTTCCGAGATTGTGACGTCGAGTTTTGGCGGTTTGATGGGGTTGGCCTGGAAAATTGGGTCTAGGCTCGGGCTTTTTAAAAATTTTCAAATATTTTTCAAACATCTTGAAAAAAACTAGCGAATAATTTTTTCAGGACAGAATTTATAGAGAAATTTTGAAACAGTGAATTTTTTTTCTCGAAATTTTGGCAGAATTTCAGAGATTTTCATATTTTAAGCAAAATATTCAACTAAAAGTTGAATTTGTGTCAAAAATATATTAAAAATTTGAAACAGTGAAATTTTGTGTTTCGAAAAAAAAATCGAAGCTCAGCCACGTGGCAACAAAAAATCGATAATTTTCAGGGGAAATTTCCGATTTTTTGAAGTTTGAGCCATTTTTTGAGTTTTCAAATTTTCACTGTTTCAAAAAAAATCTCGAAATTTTGGCCGAATTTCAGCGATTTTCATATTTTAAGGAAAATATCCAACTAAAAGTTGAATTTGTGTCAAAATATATTAAAAATTTGAAACAGTGAAATTTTGTATTTAAAAAAAGCAAACTTCTATTGGAATTGAAATTCAGCCACGTGGCAACCAAAAATCAATAACTTTCAGGGGAATATTTTTTGATTTTCACTAAATTTCCGATTTTTTTGAAATTTGAGCTGTTTTTTGAATTTTCGAAATTTTCACTGTTTCAAAAATTTATCAAATATTTTTTTTCGAAATCGAAAAAACAGTAGCAAACTGACTTTTTGTGAAACTGATTTTCGATCTCGATTTTATACGTTTCAAAAATTGATAAAGTATTTTTTTGTGAAAATTTTCATTCAAAAAAAAGTTCTACCTGCAATATCTCAGCGCGTTTTTTGGCCGTATATCCGGGCAAAAATCGATTGACAGCCTCTCGAATATCGATCGAAAAATGCATTTGATCATCAAAAGCTCGCGCCAAACCCAAATACGTTTTATCATCATGAGTTGGTCCAACTCCACCCGATGTTATCACATAATCGTAGTGTTTGCTGGCGTTTCGAATCTCTCGTGAGATTTCCTCGATTTCATCGCCGACCACACAGATTTTTTTGAGATTTACACCCAATTCGTGGAGACGTTGACTGAGGAAATGCGAATTTGTGTCTTTTGTGGTGCCTTTTAGGATTTCGTCACCAATTACTGCAAAAATCGGGGATTTTTGGTGGGAAATTAGGTTTGCTTCAAGACCATTACATGTTCCTTTAAAGTTTTCGGCGAAATCTTCAGGTAAACGTGGATTTTAACAAGTCTGGCACATTTTTCAAAGAAAAAATGATTTTTGAGACCAAAAATTCAAATTTCAAAATTTCGCGCAAATATAATATTTATATTGATTTTCCATCCCAGAACCTCTAAAATCCACGTTTTCTTTGAAAAACCCAGAAAATTCCCCGAAAAACAAAAAACAACCAGGCCACGCCCCTTTCTGCAAGCGCCGCACAGATTTTCTGCAATTTTGCGGCGCCCCTTTGCGAAAAACATGTTTTTTCCAGAGAAACGTGGAATTTTGAAGAGAATAGAGGATTTTTGCAAGTCTGGCACACTTTTTCATTGGAAAATATGATTTTTGGAAGCGAAATTGCGCAAATTTCAACTTTTCAATTCAAAAATTCAAATTTTGTGGAAAAAACTTCAAATTTAAAACTTTCTGGTCAAAAATTTTTGATCAAATAGAAGATTCCTATTCATTTTCCATCCCAGAACGTCTAAAATCCACGTTTTCTTTTTTAAAAAAACCCTGGAAAACCTCAAATTCCCCCGAAAAACAAAAAAAATCCAGGCCACGCCCCTTTCTGCAAGCGCACACATTTTCTGCAAGTTCGCGGCGCACTCACCAACAATCGCCGCAGTTTTTCTTCCTTTCATCACAGATCTCATAAAACGCTGAAAATATTGATTTTCGGCTGAAATTTTTCATTTTTTTTTGACAATGAAATAGAATTTTGGATGCGATCCATTAAAATTGAAAAAAAAATCAATAAAAACAGGTAAAATTTATACATAACAAAAAAATGACGTCATCAAAAATTTCAAAAATTTATTCCACATAATCTGAGTCATCATCCTCGTCAGGCAAATGAAAATCGGCCGATTGCCAAAATAAGCTTTTTCTCTTCTCGGCTCGACTGATAAACTTTTTCGCGCGATTTTTTTCCGCGCCGCTTTCCGCTTCCGCATCCGACAAATACTGTTGTGGTTCGATCAGTTCCCAAATCTCAATTTTCGGCAAATTCTGATGCGTTTTTTGAATAATCATCAAATCTTCTTCAATCGAAATCTGTTCAGCTCCGAAATTTTGTCCAAAAATTGGGATGATTCTTAGAATTTCACCATTTTCATAGTCGATTATATATTGAAATTGTACAGTAATCGGATTACCGTAATCCGTCGATTCAAAATATCCATCTGGTGTAACATGAGCAACGTCGATTGATAGATTTATGTGCAGATTTTCGTCGTCGAATTGGGTGTCGTGGATTTTTTGTGGAAAAATTGGCTATGACGTGGATTTTTGGGGAAAAATTCGGGGATGTGGATTTACAACATCGCTGTTTTCAATAATGAGTTAGAAAAATTGACAGAAAACTTCATAAAATCTTTGAAACAGTAAATTTTTCTTGAATAAAAATTTGAAGATTTGCATTAATTTTTTGCCCGAAAAATTGGGTATGACGTGGATTTTTTGGGGAAAAATTCTGGATGTCAATTTCTGCAAAAGCGATCAAATTTGAAAAATTGACAGAAAAATTCATAAAATTCTTGAAACAGTGAATTTTTCTTGAACAAAAATTTGGACATTTGACTTGATCTTTGGCTCGAAAAATTGGTTATGACGTGGACTTTTAGGGAAAAATTCTGGCTTCTGTTTTCAAAAGAAAAATAGATCAAATTAGAAAATCTGACAAGAAAACCTCATAAAATATTTGAAACAGTGAATTTTTGTGGAATAAAAAAAATTTGAAGATTTGGATTAATTTTTTGGTTGAAAAACTGGTTATGACGTGGATTTTAGGACTACATTTTTGATTAGCAAATTTTTCAATTTTTGATCAAACTCGAAAAATTGCCAAAAAACCTCATAAAATCCTTGAAACAGTGAAATTTTCTGAACCGAAAATTTAGAGATTTGGATTGATTTTTGGGTTGAAAAATTGGTTATGGCGTGGATTTTTTGGGGAAAAATTCGGGGATGTGGATTTACAACATCGCTGTTTTCAATAATGAGTTAGAAAAATTGCCAAAAAAATTCATAAAATCTTTGAAACAGTGAACTTTTCTGAACCAAAAATTTGGAGATTTGACTTTATTTTTGGCCCGAAAAATTGGTTATGACGTGGATTTTTAAAAAAAATTCTGGGTTTCGAAATTCACTTTAAAAATCGATCAAATTAGAAAATCTGACAAAAAATACATAAAATCTTTTGAAACAGTGAATTTTTCTAGACGAAAAATTTGGAGATTTGACTTTATTTTTGGCCCGAAAAATTGGTTATGACGTGGATTTTTTTAAGATAGAAATTCTGGCTTCTGTTTTCAAAAGAAAAATTGGCAAAAAACTTCACAAAACCATTGAAACAGTGAATTTTTCTTTGCTTCAAAATTGCTGGATTTTTGGCTCTAGGCTATCTATTTTAGATCAAAATCTCCCCAAAAACCTCACCACATAATCCCACAATTTTGCCTCAATAAAAGGCGGTGTCCGCAATTGAACTCGTCGTTTTTTGGCCGGAATTTCACCACGACAATATCTCTGATCATATTCCAATTTTCGATATTCATTTCGATCCGAAACATGCGGAAATATTCGAGTTCTCCAAACTTCGCTGATTTTTAGAGGATTTGAAGCATTTTCAGCCAAATTCCAGTGATTTCCAACACAATATTTCACCGCATCACATCCCTCGTAAACCAAAAACGTGGCGGTGAAAAAATCGGGAAAAATCAGGCAACTCTCATGTTGTAACCGCGAAAACATGCCCAATTCCATAGAATCGCGGCCTCCTCGAAAAACCGGAAAATTCGCTGGGAAAATCGGGGGAATTTCAGGATTCTCGTAATTTTTGATGCAAAATTCGCGCGTTTTTTCGGTGGGAAATCCGACGAGAAGTGGCATGTTTGAGGAGCATTGAATCATCTGCAATTTTTTAGTGTAATGAGTAAATTATCTAACAAATTCAAAAGTTTGAACAGAAAATTCATAAAATTTTTGAAACAGTGAATTTTTTTCGAAGTATCAAAATTGGTTATGACGTGGATTTTCGGTGGAAAAAATTCACTGTTTCAAATTTTTCTCATGATTTCAAGACTTCATGTTCGATTTTGATAAGGTTGCAAGATCCCCGTGCGAATTGAAAAATTCAGAAGAAATTTTCAAAATTTACTTCTCAACAGGTATTTTGCCACGTGGAAAATTCCTCAATTTCTCTGTATTACAGAATTGCTATGTGGCAGGAATTGGAAAACGTTATGAGGCTGTTGAAATAATTCATGATCAGAAAATTCATAAAATTTTTGAAACAGTGAATTTTTTTTTGAATATCAAAGTTGGATTTGGCCTTTTTTTAACGGAAAAAAATTGGTTATGACGTGGATTTTTGGGGGACAAAAATTCACTGCTCCAAATTTTTCTAAAAATTTCAATACTTGATGTTCGATTTTGGTAATAGCATTTTTTGTTGAAATTGAAAAATTGGAAAAAAAAATTTGAAACAGTGAAATTTCTTTTGATTTGGATTTGGTGTAATTTTTGACGCAAAAATTGATTATGACGTGGATTTTAAGGGGGAAAATTCTGGTTTTCAAATTTAATTTAGCCACGTGACATTTTATCGATTCTCAAATTTTTCCGGAATAAATTTTTCTGTACAAAAGAATTCACTGTTTCAAATTTTGCTCAACAATTTTCACAGTGTTTTTTTCCTAATGCATTTTAGATAATTCATAATTTTCTTCGAACAAAAATTGGTTCCACGTGGAAAAATTTCAAACTCAAAATTTGCTTCAAGTATTTTGCCACGTGTTAAAAAAACTAGATTTTATTCCAAAATTAATTTTTTTGTACAAAAAAATTCACTGTTTCAAATTTTGCTCAACAATTTTCACAGTGTTTCCTAATGCATTTTAATTCATAATTTTCTTCGAACAAAAATTGAAGCCACGTGGAAAATTTTCAAACTCAAAATTTGCTTAAAGTATTTTGCCACGTGTTAAAAAAAAACTAGATTTTATTCCAAAATTAATTTTTTTTTTTACAAAAAGTTCCAAATTTTTTTCTAAAGTGTTCACAATTTTTTTCACATGATACATGTGATAAATGTTTTTTTAAATCAAAATTTCCTCAAAAACTCACCAAAAAGCTTCCCATCAAATAACGCAAAGGTTCTCCGAGCTTCGAAATCTCAAACATCACGGGAATCTCGATTTTCAGCCCAATTCTTTCACGCGCTTCTGAAAATCCAGCGGAATTCCCAAATTTCTGGCAAATTTCGGGGAAAGAGTAGAAAATCGCTTGGGATTTGGTGATAATTTGCACCAAATCCTCTTCGATTGTGATATTTTGAATCGGTGAACACCAGTCGGGAATTGCCTGTAAAATAATACAAGATTTATGGGTGGTTGCCACGTGGCAAATTTTTGTTGTTGTTGGAAAATTCACTGCTTCAGAAATTTGTTTTGAAAAAAGTGCGAAATGATTTTCTAGTCATTTAATAAAGTTTAAAAAATCCACGTGGCAAATTTTTGTTGTTGAAAAATTCACTGTTTCAAAATTTTATTGAAGCAAAAGTGTGAATTGTGAAAATCATTAATGACAGCTTTTCAAACATTTTTGCCACGTGGAATATTTTTGAACTCAAAAAATTAGGCAACGTATTTTTCGAGCTAATCAAATTCTTGCTACGTGGATTTCTGGAGATTTTCAGCGATTCCAGGAGTTTCAGCACAAAATTTCAGCCAGGAAAATTTTTTCGAGCAGAAAAAAATTGAAAAATATCTGCTCCCAGGGGGAATTGACATACATAAAATGGGTCCCCTGAATCGGGGTGAGGGGCTTAACTTTTTTCAAAAATCCGAAGGGAAGGCTGCCTAACTTGGCCAATTTTCTGCTGATAATTTACCAAAATTCGCTCAAAAATGTGAGGCAGGTGTTTAACTTTGGAAAATTTTCAAGGAGAGACCCTAACTTTAAAAACTGACTCGGGGGACCTATTTTATGTATGGGAATTGATCCCCTGACCTTTCACTTGGCAGAAAAACCATTCTAGATCAAAATTTTGTGCTGAAAATCATGGAAACATCGATTTTCAGCAAAAAACTCACATGACTATCAATCGAAAAGCTCGTCTCAAATTCAAACGGAAAAGCTTGAAACATCAAAAAACTGTGCTCTTTCCGTTTTTTCTCGCAATTCCTCTTATTGGCTTGCACAAAAATCGATTCATTGATCTTATTCCAGCCAATTTTTCTGGAAAAAATCAAGATTTGCTGAAATTTTTTTTTGGCTGTAAATTTTTGGCTGTAAACTCACTGATATTTCCAACCGCGCGGTAAAATGTAGGTTTTGAGCAATTTGGTCGGTTTTTTCGTGGTGTTTTCGAAGCAAAAAACGTCGAGGCTGGATTTTCGGAGAACTAGGATGTATTTGTGGCATTCGAAGAGCGTCTGCAAAAATGTTTTTGGGATTTTCAAATCAAGAGAAATTAACACAACAAACTTCCGGAAAATCTTTTGAAAATTCCTTGAAACAGTGAGATATTTGAAGAGCAAAAATATTTTTTTTCGATATTTTTCCAACTTTTTGTGAAAAAAAATCAACTTGTCATGAACCAAAGGCGAGGAATCGAAAATTCAAAACCAACATTAATTTTTAAAAATTCTGAAACAGTGAATTTTTCAGAAAATTGTTTTTCGTAAAATTATGTGTCCAAAAAGGACATCCAAGTGAAACTCAATTAAAAACCTTTGAAATCTTATTGAAACAGTGAAAGTTAGTTATAAACTCGATTCGAGCCAAATCAGTGAATTTTCCGAAGTTTGCAGTCTCGCAATTTTAAATTAACACAAAAAAATTTGCAGAAAATCTTTTGAAATATTGTTGAAACAGTGAAAAAATTTTCTGGTATTTTTTTGTGCCAAAAATGTGAATTTTTATGTTTTCAGGGAACAAGTGAACAGTTTTGGTATTGAAAATTTGGATTTTTGGCTCGTAGAATCAAAGAAACACAGAAAAATTGCAGAAAATCTTTTGAAAATTTTTTGAAAGAGCCAAAAATAAAATTGTGTATGTTTTCATGGAAATGCAACAATACAAACAGAAAAACGTCTAATTGTAAAAACCTAAAATTTTCTAAATTTTGTGAAACAGTGAATTTTTTCCAAATAGAAAAGTGAGAAATTTCTGGTTAATTTTTTGATTTCCACGTGGCAAATTTGGATACAGGAAACGAAACGGTACGAACTGAAAAACGTTTAAAAACCTTAAATTTCTAAATTTCGTGAAACAGTGAATTTTTTCCATAGAGAAAAATAGTTTTCGAGTTGATTTTTGCCTGGAAAACGAAAATTTGTTGATTTTCAGGGCCGTTTATCACCAGAAACTAGCAAATTTATAGAAAATAAAATGATTTTTGAGGAATTTTCTGTGAACTATACAAAACTATACAATGAAAAAACAAAAATTGAAAAATTATTTCAAAATTTCTTGAAACAGTAAAAAATATTTCAGCGATCTTAATAGAAGTCAGTTACCAAAACATCAAAAATTTGAAAAGTATTAATATTTTCTTGAAACAGTGAAATATTTTTCGGAAAGGTCTGAAAAATTGATAATTTTTGTTCAGAAATCAGATATCATATCGAATTTTATGAATTTATATTTCGCCTCCGTTTTTTCTTCCAATTTTTTTTTACTCATTTGATAAGTGAATAGATCAGCGATCGAAACTTCAATCAAACTCAAAACTAATTTTCAAAAAATCTTGAAACAGTGAATTTTTTCTAACTTCAAAACATTTTCTACCAAATTTCAATCAAAAACCGTGGAAAAAACTCACACCATAATCTCTGTCATCCGGTTCAACGATCATAATTTGCTCCACAGGATCTCCCCCAAATTCTGGAGCCAAATCCAACACCTGTTTCGGCGCATCATACGCCACAATCTTCTGCACATCTCGCATAATAATCCGCCGATTTTCAGCCCATCGCAATTTTCTTGCAGCGCCGCGGCGGCTTTTTGTGAATAGTGTTTGATCGAAACGGAATTCGCGGCATTCGGAGGCCAGAATCGCAGCCTCCAGGCTTCGTTTTCCTTGGAGATTTTGGATTTGGCCGATTTCACGGTTTTCGAGGTGAGAATAACTGTGCAAATGACGTTTTAGTGATCTGAAAATGGGAAAATTTTGGGTATTGTTTTGAAGATGATATTGTTTTTAGTGATAACAAAAATTATCGATTTGAGAAAATAAATTTGAAGAATAATAAATTCAGCATTTCATACTTTATCAAATTTTCGAAAAAAAAGTCGATAAACATAAAATTTTTTGAAATAGTGATTTTTTTCAAATTGGATTTTGATTTCTGGTGAACATCTGAATTCTTGGAATAATTTCCAGCTCACGATCAAGTTAAGAATAGTCGATCAAATTTTCAAAAAAAAAATCGAATAAATTAAATTTTTTGAAACAGTGATTTTTTTTTCTCAAAAATTTCAAACTTGGAATTTTAAGCTCAAGATTCAGAATATCTCTGGAATTGAGTAAAAATCCAGAATCAATTTCAGTTCAAATTTTATATGTAGAATTATTTCTTGGCTCAAAATTATCAATTTTCACAATTTTTATTCCTTGAAAAGAAAAAAATCAATCAAATTTTGAAAAAAATGGAATAAAGAATTTTTTTGAAACAGTGATTTTTTTCAAATTCGATTTTGATTTCTGGTGAAATTCTGAATTATTGGAATAATTTTCAGCTCACGATCAAGTTGAGAATAGTCTATCAAATTTTCAAAAAAAAAAATTGAATAAAGCAATTTTTTGAAACAGTGATTTTTTTCTCAAAAATTTCAAACTTGGAATTTTAAGCTCAAGATTCAGAATATCTCCGGAACTGAGTAAGTAAAAATCCAGAATCAATTTCAGTTTTCAAATTTTATATGTAGAATCATTTCTTATGTTATCTATTTTCCCAATATTCATCTCAAAATTGAAGAATCAAATTTTCAAAAAAAAATCGAATAACATAAATTTTTTGAAACAGTGATTTTTTTTCTCAAATTTGAATTTGATTTCTGGTGAAATTTTGAATTTTTCGAATGATTTTTAGCTCAAAATGATCAATTTCTATAATTTTTTGTTGCAAAGTTTAAAAAAAAACGATCAAATTTTCAAAAAAAATTGAATAAAGCAATTTTTTTAATGAAAAAAAGAGTTACTATCAAGCTTGCAACAAAAAATTGAATAACATAAGTTTTTTGAAACAGTGATTTTTTTCAGAATTGAATTTTATTTTATTTTTAGCTCAAATTTATCTATTTTCACAATTTTTATCCACGGAAAAGGAAAAATAATAATCAAATTTTCGAAAAAAAAATCGAATAAACTAAACTTTTTGAAACAGTGAATTTTTCTCAAATTTCTCAAACTTGAACTTTTCAGCTCAAAATTCAGTATATCTCCAGAATTGAGCCGAAAAACCAAAATCAATTTCAGTTTTCAAACTTTATATGTAGAATCATTTCTTATGTTAGATCAAAATTATCTATTTTCACAATTTTTATTCATTGAAAAGAAAAATCAATCAAATTTTCAAAAAATTGAATAAAGCATTTTTTTTGAAACAGTAATTATTTTTTCAAATGTGAATTTGATTTTTTGAAAAGTTTTAAAAGTTTTGAAATAATTTTAAGCTCAAAATGATCAATTTTCTATAATTTTCAGCTCTCACAGTTCAAAAAAAGGAGATCAAATTTTCAAAAAAAAAATCGAATAAATTAAATTTTTTGAAACAGTATTGTTTTCAGAATTGAATTTTATTTTATTTGTAGCTCAAATTTATCTACTTTCACAATTTTTATCCACGGAAAAGGAAAAATAATAATCAAATTTTCAACAAAAAAAAACTAATAAAATAATTTTTTGAAACAGTGATTTTTTTCTCAAATGTGAATTTGATTTCTAGTGAAATTCTGAATTCTTCGAATAATTTTCAGCTCAAAATCAATCACTAAAATTGAGAACAACGTTTTTGTAGCTCGAAATTGTCCTTATTTTTTTTTTTTTTGAAACAGTGGATTTTCTTCGGAATTGAATTTAATTTTTCAACTCAAAATTATCAGTTTTTCATGAATTCTAGCTTAAAATTATCAGTTTTTCATGAATTTCATCTCAAAATCCACCAAAAATCCCCCACCTTTTCCCAATGTCTCCTCTTTCCGGCGGCCATTTTCTCCACAATTCCTGCTCATCAAAACAACTCGCATAAGCTCGACAACTCGCTGGTTGCTCCAAATTCCTCGCCAATTCTTCACCATATTCCAAAAACCTATCATAAACATTGCCAATTTTCGAGTCATTTGATTTTTTTGATTTGTAGGATCTTGGAAAATCAGTTTCAAATAACATTTCTGAAATTTGGCTGAAAATCGTCAATTTTCTAGCTAAATATATAAAAAAAAAACTGGAAAATCACAGATTTTTGGGTTAAAAATCAAAAATTCAAGAGAAAAACCGTTTTATACCAAATAATGACCGGGGAATTAAATAAAAGAGTTACCGGAGAGAAAAAAATAAAATAATTTAGGGGTCCATTTTTACAAGTTTGTCTAGACAGCATGTGTCATTTCAACAATATCTCTAGCCACATTTTTGCCGTTTTCTGACACAACAGCGTCTTTGATTCGAGCGGCGATTGATTGCATATCGCGATTTTTGGCGAGCTGAAAAATTGGGGGATTTTTTTGTGAAAAATCATGAAAAATTGGATTTTTTATGAAATTTGGTGATTTTTAACATCCCACAAGCCTATTTTTCCATCAAGAATCCGAAAATCAATTTTTAGAGCGAAATTCTCTGAACCTGATGAAAAAATGATCAATTTCAGGTGCAAAATCATGAAAATTTAACATTCGAGCTACATATCAAAGTTCTAGAAATATTTTGAATTTGTGAATTTTTTGAAACAGTTAAATTTTAATAAACTGAAAAATTATGAATTAAAGTTTCTAGAATATTTTAAACTTGTGATTTTTTTGAAACAGTAATTTTTATAATAAAAATTTCAAAATTTTTGGAATTTGTGAAATACAAAAAAACAATGGAACAATATTTTCTGAAAAAATTTCTATATCATAAAATTTTTGAAACGTAAATTTCCGGGTTTTTGAAAAAAATAAAAATAAATAACAAATTTTGATGAAAAAAGGCGTTAAAATGATCAATTTTTCTATCGAAATCATTAAATTTTTGTATTAAATTAAAACTTATAAATTTTTTGAAACATTAAAGAAATTTGGGAGTTTTTGGAGATATTTTGATTCAAAAAATGGTGAAAAATAATCATTTCTAATAAAATTTCAAAACATTTTTCAAACTTGTGATTTTGTTGATCTCAAATATAAAAAGTTGGTAATAATATTTTTTAGAACAAATTTCCATATTGTAAATTCTTTGAAACAGTGAATTTTCATGGCATATTTTCTGGTCAAAAATTTGTGACCAAATCATATTTTCTAGTTACCTTAATAACATTCGATTCTCCCCACATCAAAGTGACAATAGTTTGCAAAAGTCGAATAAGAGCATCTTCAGAAATTCCGCCAAACGAGGAAATATTCTCGATTCCACCAATCACAGCTCTCAAAATATCTTCACGTGGTCCAAGTTGAGCACAGTCTTGAGATTGTTGGAGAAGCGAAAGGGACCAATTGGCCAAGGCACTTGTGGCGGCTAACTGAAATTAATTTTGGGATTTTTTTGGGGGGAGTGGGGGGTAGGGTAAAAAATCACAAGTTTGTAAAATTTATTGAAAAAAAACTGTTTTTGTGATGAAAAATCTGAATTTTCACTATACCTAAAAATCTCCAAAAGTTCACAATTTCATATTTTACTTCACTGTTTCAAAAAATTTACAAGTTAAAATTATTTCAGGAATTTTTATTACGTTTTTCATAATTTTGCACTTTAAATTGATCCAAAACCCTTCATCAAATCCATTCAAAATTTCAGAAAAATGTATTCAACATTTTTTGAAACAGTGAAATTTCGGGAATCAGGAATAGAGTATTTCAGTTCATTTTCAGCTCGAAAATCGTATTTTCAGATGAGTTTTCAGCTATTTTTTGTGAAATGTTTCTTTCAAATTTAGTTTGAAACGTAAAACTTCGACATACAGCTGAATTTAATCAAAAAATTTTAGGCCAGATTTTTCTAAAAATTTTTTGAAACAGTGAAATTTTTGGAATTTTTTAATCGAAAGCAGATCAATAAAATTTTAATATCAATGAAATTTAAACAAACTGATTCTTACGATTTTTTTGAAACCTTAATTTCCGGGCCAGGAATAGAGTATTTGAGCTCATTTTCAGCTCAAAAATCAACATTTTGATTGAATTTTCATAAGTTTTCTGCTGAAAAATTCAAAAATACAGTACTTTCTCATTTTTCAGACATTTTTTTTGTGATTTTGTGATTCCGCCGTGAAGTGAATTATTAATCAAAAAATTTCTACCAAATTTTTTCGAAACAGTGAAATTTTCGAAGTTTTTCTATGTAGAGAATATTGATAAAAAATAGAGCTTTTTTTTGACTACAAAACTTGAATTTTTGATTTATTGAGACCAATTAATCGAGCAATGACTTTCTAACCAAATTTCTTTTCTAAATTTTTTTTGAAACAGTGAAATTTTGCAAAATTTTTAAATCGAAAGCAGACTTAACATCAATAAAATTTAAAAAAAAACTGGTTCTTTTATATTTTTTTAGAAACAGTTAACCTTTTTAAAACAGGAATAGAGTATTTGAGCTCATTTTCAGCTCAGAAATCATAATTTTGGTTAAATTTTCATAAGTTTACAGCTGAAAATTAAAAAATACAATATTTTGGCTCATTTTTCAGATATTTTTTGTGATTTTGTGATTCCGTCATGAAATAAACCACATATCAAAAAATTTCAGCCATATTTTTCTTTCAAATTTTTGTGAAACGTAAAATTTCCGGGTCAGGAATAGAAGATTTGAGCTCATTTTCCCCCTAGAACCCTTCACCAACCTGCAAAATCGGTTTCGAATTCTCCAACTGTTTCACCACCAAAACCACAATCACACTCAATTCACTAGTCGAAAACAAATTCCTTCCAGCCGTTTGGCTAAACGCGTTGGCAATCACTCGACAAACAAAAACGCGAACCGCAATATCAGCGGGTTCCGACACCAAAATCGCAATCAACTTCTGAACCAGCTCATTTCCCCGATGTCGATCTCCACAAAAATATTGATTCAAGGCCGGATGTAATAAGGCGATGCGGAAGAAATCCAACACTGGAACCAGATCGACGATTGGCCATTGGAAAGCGATTTCAAATGCGGTTTGAGCGGTTGATGCGGAATCCGCGGAGAGATTTTGAACGGTTAGAAGGGTTTCGAGGGCGGAGATTTGTTCGGGCGATAATTGGAAGTGTGATTCTTGTTTTTCGTTGAATTCTTTGAGTTTGGCAACGACTTTTTGACTTGCTCCAGCTGGACCAAACTGGAAAAATGAGCAATTTGAGAAGGGTTATGTGAGCTCAAAATGGAGTTAGGCTAACTTTTCATACTTTTTTGGCTTAAAATTCATGAGAAAACCTCAAATTTCGAGCGAAATTATCAACTTTTGTGTCAAAATTCAATATTTTCGTGAAAAAGCAAAAAAAAAGGAATTTTGTGAGCTCAAAATGGAGTTAGATTAACTTTTTTTGGCTCAAAATGGAGTTAGGCTAACATTTTTCACTTTTTATATAACTTATGGCTCGAAAACCATCATTTTTGCGAATTTTCAAACTATTTCAGTTGAAATGGCTGAAAATTCAAATTTTAAGCTATAAAAATTAATTTCAGAACAATTTTTGACTGAAAATCCCGAATTTGCTTAAAATTAACTCGAATTTGATGAGAATATTGAATTTTTGAGTCGAAAATCAAAATTTTCGTGCTTTTAGTTGAAAATGGCTATAAAATTCACTGGAATTTTCAATTTTTGGTTCAAAATTAACTCAGAAATACGAATTTTTCACTCAAAAATCACTATTTCCCCTTCCCAAAGCCAAAACCCCCAAAAAACCCACCAAAAAATAATCAGGAACCGGAACCAGCGGCCCTCTTGGTCGTTTCTTGTCAGTTGGCAATGAGGAGAGCGGCACGGCGTGTTGACCAGTGTTCTCAACACTTGCACGATATCCACCATCTCCAGTCAGAGGATCGCCGGAAAATCCTGGAAAAATTATTGAGTTTTGGCTCCAGGCACCATTTTTGTTTTTCAAAAATTTCACTGTTTCAAAATTTTCGTATAATTTTTTTGTTTGGGAAATTTCTTGATATGTATAATTGATATGCGAAATTTTAACCAGGTAGAAAAATCACAAGAAATTGAATTTTCAGGCCAAAATTTTCTAGAAAATTTACTGTTTCAAAAAATTGTCATTAAAAAATGTGATAAAAAATAATAGTTCTTTCTCGTTTTGCAAAAAAAAAGTTAGGCCTATTCAGAAAATTAGGCTTAGGCTTAGCCAAAATCGTAGACTTAGGCTTATTCAAAACCTTAGGCTTAGGCAAAACTTTAGGCTTAGAAAAAATAGAATAATTTTTTCTACCTCAAATTTTGACCAAAAATTGATGATTCCAGTAAATTTTCAGCCATATTCAACAAATAAATTAGTTGAAAAACAAGATTTCAAAAATTCCGTTTCAAAAAATCCTGCTGAGCCATAAAAAATAGAAAAAATGAAAAATGTTAGCCTAACTCCATTTTGAACTCACAAAATTCCTTTTTTTTTTAGCTTGAAGAGGTTTTTCTTGAAAATATTGAATTTTGAGGCAAAAATTGATAATTTCAGTCGAAATTTGAGGTTTTCCCATGGATTTTGAGCAAAAAATATACAAACCACCTAAAACCTCGCTCACCTCCCGAATTTCCGCCAGATCCCGCTCCACCGGGCACATATCTTCCACCGCCCGTGAACGGGTCCTCATATCCACCAGCTCCCGCTCCCGCATTTCCTCCCGGAACATATCTTCCCGAACCGGTGAATGGATCATAGAAATCACTGGTGGCTGCCGAATTTCCAGACATTTCCGAGCGAATCAATTGCGACAATTGTCCGAGGAATTTGACGGGCAAGTTGTGTTTTTCGACAAATCGTTGTGCAGCGTAATCCGGATCCTCGTTGCGATTGTAGGGCATTTTCAGGACGGTGCCATTTTCCAGGGTCACATCGAATACGTGATCGTAGGTCTGGAAAAATATGGATTTTTTTTGACGGAAAAAATACGTTTCATAAATTTTATTTATAAATTATAGGAAAATTTCTGTATTAAACATTTGTATGTATGATGTATGATATTAAATGATATTCTTTGAGAAAAATTATAGAATAACTAATTGTCAAGGACTGGAGCCAAGAGAGTTCAATTTTTTAGGATTGGCACCTAGAGATTCCAGTTCTCAAGCAACCAAGCCTAGAGAACCTAGTCCACAAGTAGCCGCGTCTAGAAAAATCCATTGTCAAGTAGCAAAGCCTATAGAACCTAGTCCTCAAGCAGCAAAGCCTATAGAACCTAGTCCTCAAGCAGAAAAGCCTATAGAACCTAGTCCTCAAGCAGCCAAGCCTATAGAACCTAGTCCTCAAGCAGCCGCGCCTAGAGAGTTCAATTTTCAAGGATCGGCGCCTAAAGAACCTAGTTCTCAAGTGGCCAAGCCTAGAGAACCTAGTTCTCAAGTGACCAAGCCTAGAAAGTTCAATTGTCAAGTAGACAAGCCTATAGAGCCTAGCCCTCAATTAGCCGCGTCTAGAAAAATCAATTGTCAAGTACCCGCGGCTAGAGATTTAAATTTTCAAGGATCAGCGCCTATAGAACCTTATTGTCAAGGACCCGAGCCTTGAAAACCTAGTCCTCAAGTAGCCGCGCCTAGAGAGTTCAATTTTCAAGGATCGGCGCCTACAGAACCTAGCCCTCAAGTAGCCGCGTCTAGAAAAATCAATTGTCAAGCAGCCAAGCCGATAGAACGTAGCCCTCAAGCAACCACGTCTAGAAAGTCCTGATTTTAAGGATCGGTGCCTAGACATTCTGATTGTCTAGAGAGTGCGCCTATAGAGCGTTTTTGGACTCTAAAAATTGAAATTTGATTTTTTTTTTCAAATTTGCTTCTGACCTATGCTAACTTTTTTATATTTATGCACTCCTTCTTTAAGATATGTTAGTATTGTCCGTTTGGAAATGAGATTCACCCCGCGAAAAAATAAATTTGAATTTGAGAAAATCTCTAATTTCCCCCTACCCCCGCGACGCGTGTGCATTGCGGTCGCTTTCCCCTACAAAACCCCCGTTGGCTGTTTGCCAGCGCGCTCTCTCGCTGTCTGCGTCTCCTGCAGCAAATTCAAATTCATTTTTTCGCGGGGTGAATCTCATTTCCAAACGGACAATATATGATTTGACATCCAACATTTTCTCTAGAAAATCAAATTTATAAGAGAACATTTTGAAACAGTGAATTTTTTTTTTGGAATAAAATTTTCTGAAAACTAGGCAATTTCAATAGATTTTTTGAATTCTTGATGAAATTTGAAGCATTTTTGGCTCAAACATGGCTCGAATTCCTCGTGGCAAAATCAGGAATAGTTCCTTATTTTACCATGGATGAAGTCATCGATAAATTTTTCGAAAAAAAAAGCTTACTGGATCTCTTTTTTTGTATAGCATTTTTGAGATCTCAGTGTAAAAAGGCTCATTTTTAAGCTTTAGAGCTCCTAAAATTGGATTTATGAGCTCATAGAGTCTAAATAATGCTCTTGTTCTAGTTTTGTTAGCCCCCGCCCCCCCCCCCCCCAAATTTGAGGGCCCCAAATCCACTCACATTGCCCTCCAACATTTTCCTCTGCCCCGGCTGCAAATTCCTCGTCGCCTTCTCTCTCGCCATTCTCGCCTCCGGAATATTCTGACAAATATAATCGACCACCTCATTCGTATAACTAATCGGCAATTGATGATCGGTCACAAATTTCTCCGCAGTCAATTGCGGATCAGTTCCCTTAACATATCTCAACTCCATTTTCGCCGGTCCATCATCCAACGCAACTTTAATCACAACCGTATCATTTTGCTGCGAGGATTGTGATTTTTGTTGATTCGCAATCTTTACCACAATTTCTGCATCATACGCTTCTCTCAAATCATCCTTGATATGTCTTTGTGGATCTTTGGAAAATATAAAAATCCTTCCATCACTTCCAGCCACCGCAATATCCGAAGACGGTAAAACCTTCGAATCCCAAGTTGAAGACGATGGTGTCTGCAGAACTAATTCACTTTCAATCTTCAAGTCTCTTTCTTTTGCTCCTCCAAAAATGCTCCAAAATTCGAGTGTTCCCTCTTCACCAGTTGTCAAAATATGCGAATCGCACAGTGTTAAACTGTAGATGAAATCGTGCGATTTGGTTTTGAATTTTCCGAGACAAGTTCCAGCTTCGATGCTCCAATAGATGATATTTCCATCATTTCCAGCTGATAGGAAATGGGTATTTGAGAGGACGGCGAGCGCTCGAACTACGTCATCGTGGCCTGGAAAAAATAGAGTTTTGGGGGTCTGTTTTAGATTTTTTGGAATTTTAGGCCTTTAAAATTAGCCTAGATTTTCACTGAAATAGTAATTTTCTAAGCTCTTTAGGTCGTTTCGGACACTTAAAAATTAGCATTTTTCGCTTAAAAATGGGGCAGAGCCTAGATTTTTGTCTGCAATCAAAATGTTAATGAAAAATATATTTTCTAGTAATTTTCGCCCCGCTGATCAATATTCCGTTGCCAAAAACTGTTTAATATGAGTTATGACGTGGCAAAGATGAAAAATTGGGATTTTAGAAGGTCCGAACTAGATTTTAAGATGATTTTCATGCAAACCACTAGTTCTGATCTTCTGAAATCCCAATTTTCCAACTTTGCCACGTCATAACTCATATTAGGCAGTTTTTGACAACGGAATAATGATCAGCGGGGGAAAACTACTAGAAAATATTTTTTTTCTTCAAAATCTGGATTGCAGACAGAAATCTAGGCTTTTCCTCATTTATAAGCAAAAAATGCTGATTTTAAAGGGTCCAAAAGGGCCTAAAAAGCCTAAGCGATTTTCAGACCTTTAAAAATATCAACAGTCTCATCGCGTTTCCAAAATCGAATAGTTTTATCGGCCGACGCCGTCAAATAATAATCCTCTCGCTCCGGAAACGACGCCAACGCCCAAACCGACAAACTATGACCGACCAATTGCAACGCCGAAAACTCGGGCTTATCCAAATCGTTCAACGGCCAAAGTATCACGTGTGTATCCCAACTTCCGCTCAACAAAACACCGTGCTTCTCATTTATGTGCAAACAGCAAACATTGTTCTCGTGCTCTTTGTAAACCTGGATTGGGTCCGGATTTCCGGAGCCATACATTGCCATGGAGCCGTCTTTTCGACCAGCGAAAAGACGCCAACCATTTTCGGTTTCGGCGTAGGCTAGCGAATTCACGACTATTCCTTTGGGTTGTTTGAAATGCAGAGTTGCAGAATATTCACCAGCTCTGAAAAATTTTGTTGATTTTTCCACCTCAGGGCTTAAAAATCCAAGAAAACCCTCACTTTTTATTCCAAAAAGTCACATTTTCATCGCGTCCGGCCGAAATAATCACCCCGCTTTTCGTCAAACACAACGCCTTCACATCTCCCTTATGTGCATTCACCAAATTGCTCAACGCATATGTTTTGGGCGCTGCCAATTCCGTCATTTCTGCGTCAGCCATTTTCGAAACGCGCGAGAAAAAAAATGAAATATTGTCCGGGAGAAATACAAAGAATGATGGCCTAGGATGACAAATATTTGCGCGTTTTCTAGGCCACACACATTTTCTCTTCCATTTTTTTCTTTTTTCAGCTTTTCCCCATTTTCCCCACTTAAAACACAATTCTTGAGGTATTTATTAATGCAACTATATACAAAAAATCAATCTTTTAGCAAATCCGCAACTGTTGTAATTGTACAAGTCACCGTAGGTGCTGAAATAGGTGTAGTATTGCTAATAATCGGCGATTTTTCTCGAATCACAGTTCCGGCGGGTTGAGTTATGGGAAATAGTGGCAACATGAAGGGCGAGAGGTTTTTGCAAGCTTGGACACGTGGATATTTTGCATTTGGACGGCGGCCACGTGGCACTCGACTCACGGCGAGAATTGAGTCGATTGAGAAGGGAAATGTGGGAGCGGTCTGGAAGATTGTGACGTGGAATTTGGGAAATGACAAAATGAATCTGAAAATGTTTCTGGGAAATTTCAGATTTCGGCTGAAAATCAGGCTCGAAAACTAGACGATATTTTCAGCCAAATCTTGAATTTTCCAAGGCTCATTTGGACTCATTTTGTAGAGAATTTCAAGAGCTACAAAATGAATCTGAATATGATACTGGGAAGTTTCAGAATTTGACTGAAAATCCGGCTCGAAAACTAGATGGGATTTTCAGCCAAATCTTGAATTTTCCAAGGCTCATTTGTGCTCATTCTGTAGAGAATTTCAAGAGCTACAAAATGAGTCTGAATATGATTCTGCGAAATTTTCAGATTTTGGCTGGAAATCGAACTGAAAAAGTTAGAATTTTCCAGAATCATATTTAGATGCATTTTGTAGCTCTTGAAATGCTCTAAACAATGTTTTCCGAGAAAAATTCCAGATTTCGTCTGAAAATCCCAAAAACCCACCCTAATCGAATCAATCGTCATATTATTCTCATCAATTTTCCCGTTCCCACTCAAATTCCCGCCATTTTTCGCCGATTCCCGTTTTCTCCATTTCGCTCGTCGATTTTGAAACCAAACCTTAAGAGAAAAATGTTTTTTTTTTTGAAAAAGGTACTTTTATCTTGGGAGAATCGCAACACAACAAACAAAATAGATTTATTCTCGCTCTTATCTCATTTTGGAGCCAAAAATTCGTTTTTTCGGGCTATCTGATGGCCAAGTTTTATTTTATTTTTAGGCACAAAATTAATGACCGAGAAACGAAAAAAAAATATTTTTTTTGTTAGTCAAAAAAAAAGAATAACTACAGTAGGCTCCTCATAATAATTCCCTTAGCGTGAGCCAAAAAAAATGTTTTTGAGCCAACAAACAAAAAATACTACTGTACCTGAACTCGAGATTCTAATAAATCTAGCCGCATAGCTAGCGCTTCTCTCATGAAAACATCCGGATAGTGACTGGCTTCGAATGCTGACTCGAGTTCTTCTAATTGCCAACCTGGAATTAAATTTTGAGACAAAGTCTGCATTATCACAATTTTCAGCGATTGAGAAATTTATATGAAAATTTTGAAACAGTGATTTTTTTATTGGAAAGAACTGGTCCTCATTAAAATTTCAACAATTGATGAAAATTTCTGCAATTTTTGAAACAGTGAAATTTTATTTTTAAAAATATTACAGTCAAATTTTCAGCTGAAAAATTACAGAAAATTTTGAAACAGTGATTTTTTCCCTGAACCCTTATTTTAATTAAAATTTTCCAAAAATTAATGAAATTTTCTGGAATTTTTGAAACAGTGATATATTTTTCGAAAAAAAATCTGAAAATTGAAAAAAGCCTTGAAAATCTAATTTTACAGAATTGTTCACTATTTTCTGAAGAAACGCCTGAAATTTATTTTCTGGAAAATTTTTGATTTCGTGAAGTTCACACACACTAAAACATTATCATCAAAATTTCCCATCATAAAAAACTTATTTTGAAACAGTGAAATTTTATGAACGGAAAATTCTGAAACAGTGCTGAGCTTCTATAGAATTGAGTTTTCCATTTACTTCAAAAAATTTTTAAAAATATTTTGAAACAGTGAAATTTTTCAACAATTTTTTTCCGGGATTATCCTGAACTTCCGCTAACTTCAATGAATTTTTTTTTGTTTTTTTTATAATGATCGTACTTATTGTATAGAAGTTTCATGAAAAAATACATAAAAATTTTGAAACAGTGAATTATTTCTCGAAAAAAAATCTCGAATATTCAGCTGAAAAATTACAGAAAAATTTAAAGTTCGAAATTTCTTCTGCATATTCTCTTACAAATTAAGTAACAATGAATATCACTTTATTGTCCATAAAAAAAATTATATGAAAATTTTGAAACAGTGATTTTTTCCCTGAACCCTTCTTTTAATTAAAATTTTTCAAATTTAATAAAAATTTCAGGAATTTTTGAAACAGTGAATTATTTTTCGAAAAAAAATCTGAAAATTTCAGCCTTTTTTCCATAGCTTTTCACTAATTTCTGAAGAATCGCCTGAAATTTCTATTTTCTGGAAAAAATTTGATTTCGTGAACTTCGAGATATAATAACGATGTTAAATATAATAACGATGTTAAATATCATCAAAAATTCCCAATCATAAAAAACTTATTTTGAAACAGTGAAATTTTATGAACAACAATTTCTGGAAATTTTCAGGTGAAAAATCTGAACTTTCGCTAACTTCAATAAATTTTTTTTGTTTTTTTTTATAATCATTGTACTTATCGTATAGAAATTTCATGAAAAAAATAGATAAAATTTTTGAAACAGTGAATTTTTTCACTTCCCAAAAATCAAGCCTACCCGAAAAATTGGTCCGTGTTCTTCGTCTTTTCGCCGCCGATTCTCCACTTTCAGTATCATCTGAAAATCAATTTCGAGTTAGGATAACTCATGCCACGTGGCAACTGACCTCCAAAACAATCCTCCAATTCCTCCTCTCCAAACTCATCATCCGGTGACGTGGTTTCCTCGCGTGACGTCGATGATTTATCGATTTCGACGGGCGGTGTCGAAATTATCACCGAATTCAAATGCTGTTTCCAATAATCGTTCCAAATATCACTTATCATAACTAGATTTAGCCTAAGCTCAGCTCAAGCTCAAAAATTTTTGAAATGAAATAAAATAAAATAATTCTAGGCGCCGCCCTTCGGCTTTTAACCAATCCGCATTTCGAAAATGGGCGTGGCCTATTTTTTTTTTGAGGGACCCTTGAGACGCTGGAAAAGCTACCAATTATTAACATGAGAAGGAAAGAGGGGAAAAATTGACTAATATGATGTGATTTGTCCCTGGGGAGTATTAGTTTGGGGCGATTTTTTGGGGAAGTTTTGGCAACATTTTTGTGGGGCTGGAAATACTATTGAAATTTTATAAAAATTTTGAAACAGTGATTTTTTTGCTGTCATCTTTTTCCAAAGAAATGAGTTCAAAAATGTTTGAAAATTATTCATTAGACAAAAAGGTATAAAATTTTTGAAACATTTAATTTTTTCCAGATTTTTTTCAAAAGCACAAGTCAGATCATTGAAAAAATGTTCTCAGATAATTATGAAAATTTTGAAACAGTGAATTTGTGTTATGAATTATATTCAAACTTATGCCAAAAAATTTTTTAAAATGAATATCGCAACATAATTGAAAATGCATTGTTAAGAAAAAAATTATAAAAATTTTGAAACAGTGAAGTTTTTAAATAAAATTTTAATTCAAATTGATCACAGCAAAATCATTGAATTTTTTTAAAATAATAAATCTTGAACAATCTTTGAAAAAAGCACAGAAAATGTTTAAATCCAGAAATTATTGTAATTTCTGAAACAGTGAATTTTTTTGCTAATAATTATTTTCCATGTAAACAAGTTCTTGGAAGATCGTTGGAAAAATTTGTGGACCAAAAGGTATAAAATTTCTGAAACAGTGAATTTTTTTCGGACTTTTCTTTTACACAAATTTATAACATTATTGAAAATTTGTATTTAGACAAAAATTTATAAAATTTTTGAAACAGTGAATTTTTTTTTGCTTTTTCAAACTTAACCTAATATCTATACTACCAGAATCATTGAAACAAGAAGTTCAAATAATTATTAAAATTTCTGAAACAGTGAATTTTTGAAGTAGAAAGAATAAAGCTGATATTTATCACAATACATTTCAAATTCAATAAATATAGATTTTTTGAAACAGTGAATTTTTATACAACATTTTTTTCCAAATTTATCCTAAAAATCAATTTCAGAAGAGAAATTTCAAGCCATATCATTGAAAAAAATCTGTACACAAAAATTTGCCCAATTTCTGAAACAGTGAATTTTTCTCCAAAAAAAAATCCAATTAATTTTTTCCCATCCCAGATTTTTCAACACTCCCATTTATATTTATTCATTCATCTTCTCCAAAAATTTTTTTTCGCCAAAAATTGAAAACAAATTGTCTTTCGATTCATCTCAAATTTCTTTTCCCGCAAAAAAATTAGCATTGAAATTGAAATGAAAATTTTTCAACAAAAAAATATTTTCGTGGTGGGGAGAGAAATAATCAGCATATTAATTAGGATATCTAATTTCACAAAAATTTTCAATTTTAATTTCAATTTCAATTTTAATTTTCAGTGGTCCCCAGGGGCTCTGGGGACCAATTCCAAGTTTCACCAGGGCTCCAAAATTTGAGGTGTCAACACATTGTCAATCATTAGGAGGAATAAGGAGATAAATCTTCGCAAGATGCGCCAACTCCGGAAATTTGCATAATTTTTAGTGGGGGAAGGAAAAAAACGGGGGGAGATGAAGAAGTACTCATTTGAGAATTATGCAACATTTGAGAAAAAGGGGGTACTGTAGTGTCTAATAGGATTACTGTAGGGAACTTTTTTCGTCGAGATTACTGTAGGGTTACTGTAGATAGGTTGGATAACAGTAGGAACACTTTAGAAGTACTCATTTGAGAATTATGCAACATTTGAGAAAAGGGGGTACTGTAGTGTCTAATTGGATTACTGTAGAGTACTGTAGCTATGGTTTTCTAGATAGATTTTAGAATTTTTTCGGGGTTACTGTAGATTTTAGTGGTGAGTACTATAGCCCGTCAGTAACTCGAGTACTGAGTACTGAGTATACTGAGTACTGAGTATTTGCAAAATACTCAGTACTCAGTATTTGCGAGTACTGAGTACTTGAAAATACTCAGTACTCAGTATACTCAGTATTTTGAGTACTGAGTATACTGAGTATACTCAGTAACTGAGTACTCGAAAATACTCAGTACTCAGTATTTTGGAAATACTCAGTACTGAGTACTGAGTATACTGAGTATGTCAGTACTCGGAATACTCGATTTTAAAGGCATGTTCCACCAAAAAAATTTTTTTTTTTTTTGAAAATGAGGTATTTGGGCACGGGGAACATTTTGGTGAGGTATACGGTCGGGAACAGACTTTTAAAGGCGCATGCCAGGCTATTACAAATTTTCCGAGATAATTTTTTCAAACTATCATAACTTTTTTATTTTGGAAGCTTTTTTGAAAATTCGACAACCATTTTGACGGTCTTGAAGCGGGCTACATTTTTGGTGTTGACACCAACTACCGTACTTCGCTCCTAAGAGGTGAAAAACACGCTTTTTCTCTCGAAAATGTCGATTTTTGACACAAATATGAATAAAAATGTATTTTTTACTTCTTAGGAGCGAAGTACGGTAGTTGGTGTCAACACCAAAAATGTAGCCCGCTTCAAGACCGTCAAAATGGTTGTCGAATTTTCAAAAAAGCTTCCAAAATAAAAAAGTTATGATAGTTTGAAAAAATTATCTCGGAAAATTTGTAATAGCCTGGCATGCGCCTTTAAAAGTCTGTTCCCGACCGTATACCTCACCAAAATGTTCCCCGTACCCAAATACCTCATTTTCAAAAAAAATTTTTTTTTGGTGGAACATGCCTTTAAAATCGAGTATTCCGAGTACTGACATACTCAGTATACTCAGTACTCAGTACTGAGTATTTCCAAAATACTGAGTACTGAGTATTTTCGAGTACTCAGTTACTGAGTATACTCAGTATACTCAGTACTCAAAATACTGAGTATACTGAGTACTGAGTATTTTCAAGTACTCAGTACTCGCAAATACTGAGTACTGAGTATTTTGCAAATACTCAGTACTCAGTATACTCAGTACTCAGTACTCGAGTTACTGACGGGCTATAGTGAGTACTGTAAATTCAGGACTACTGTAACAGTTCTTGGGGAACTTTCAAATGTTTTTTGAGTTCTCGATTACTGTAGCAATATTTTGATTGAATTTTAAATCCTCTGGGTTACTGTAGCTTCTATTTCCAATGTTGGATTACTGTAGAACACTTTTCTATTTTTTTCATAAATTTTGAATTTTTCTGGGCTACTGTAGGGAACAACAGGATTACTGTAGTTAGGATAATTCCAGTTGTATTCATATTTAGTCCAAAATTTGAATTTCTAGGCCACCAAATGCATATTTTGACAAAAATTTGGATTTCTAGGCCATTTTTCTCAAAAACTATAGCCATCTTCTTCAAATTTCCACCAAAAACTAATAAAAGAGCCAAAAAGATTGCTAAAAATGATAATAATGTCTTTTTTCCCCTCTTTTTTTGCTCAAAAGTTGCGCAATTCCCAACTCAACTATTATATTTATGCCATGTTATATTTTCATAATGTATATCCTCTTGACAAATCTTTTTTTGTTTCCCCATCAAAAAATTTTTCAGTTTCGGGGACCGAAAAAATAATTGGAATTGAAATGGAATTGAAACATGGTGCAAATCGGCACATAAATTTTGAAAATCGAAATATGCTAATTATTTCGATTAATTTTGTTTTGTCGTCGAAATAGGGCAATTAATTTTTCAGCTGTTTTTTCTCGTTTTTTTTTGGTTTTGAATAAAAAATCGAGGGATTGCCGATTTTTGAAACAAATTGCGAAAAAAAAACAAAAATAAAAAAAAGTGTGATACCGTAGTTTTTTCAAGGCGCACATGTGTTGTTGCTTGGGTCTTGCAGCGGCTGTGTGGCGCGTTGTTTTTTTTAATTTGAAACAAACACTTTTTTTTTCACGTTTTCCATCCCTAAATCTCTCATTTCCAATATTTCCCGCATTCTAAATGCCGTATCATCTCACTGAAAACGATCAGCATATAGTTAGCCTAACTATCGCCTAACCCCCATTAAAAAACTCAATAATTCCAGCTGGTTTTCAATGATGAGACGAAAAATCAATTTCTGGAGATGAAAATCACCAATAAATTCAACAATCGCATGAAATTCGGATGGGAAACGGGTTTCGCGCCAATTTTGGAGATTATTCCGGCTACCGGATGTATGGAGCCGTTTGAAACTGTGAGTTGCTGTCTGTTTTCAAAAGAATAAATAAAAATTCGAAATTTAGCGCTCTTTCGTCATCAATTTCCACGGAGCGCAATTGCTGTCGACAGATATTTTGGATGTGCAAAATTTGGCGTTGAAAATGTGGTGGATGCCGGCGGAGACGAGAAAACGATCGATGCAAGAGTCGAAAATCGAGGTTCCCGTGATTTTTGCGATTCATGTTCAGCCGAAATTGAAATAAAATTGAAATTTTATTGAATTTCACATGAAAATCTCAATAATTTACAAAAATTGATTAATTAGTTAATTAATAAACCGGTTTCGGCCTTTTGTCCCTTCGATAATCAAATTGGCTAACTGAATCCGACATGGCTTCAGCGAATCTTGAACTTGTGTTCGATCTTTTTTCCGATGCATAAAAGTCTTGAGTACGATGAGATCTTGAATTTTGTGAAGGAGCTGGTGGCGGGGGATAATCGATAATTCGTAATTGATCCAATTCGATGTACCTTTAAAATTTATCGATTGATTTTTGATCAGGGGACCCAAAAATGGCTATAAATCCATTTTACCTATGAGCATTTCCAATATGTGCATAATTTGAGGCATGAATTCCAAAAAATAGCAATAATCCGATGATGACTAGAACACATCCGACCCATCCAATTACATACCAAGTGAAAGCTGTTGAGGAGAGTGCGCAGAATTGTTGAACATCGCCGCCGCAAAGACGAAGGTTCTGGAAAACACTGTGTCAGAATTGCAGAAGGGAACTTTTGATGATACCAAATCGACCATGCTGATCAGGATTTCGAAGTCAAAAATTGCTCTGTGAGCACTTTTCTGGAGCTCCAAAGTTAGTTCGTCCATTTTCACCATGTTCCTGGGTGAAAAATAAACTTTTATAACTTGGATAAGGTTGTTCATCACATTCGAAAACCTATCAGCATTTTAGTATATAAAAAAATCAAATAGTAGCTGAAAACTATAATTTTGTGCCCAAAAAACTTTAAAAATTGCTTGTAATTCCATGAATTTTTCAAAACTGTAAATTGTAAAATTTAACTGTAAATTTTTGAAAAAGTCATGAAAATAAACACGTTTTTTAAAGTTTTTTTGAGCACATTTAAAAATTGAAGTTTTCAGCTGCTATTTGATATTTTTTGATAAACTAAAATGCTGATAGGCTTTCGAATGTGGTGAACAACCTTATCCAAATTATAAAAGTTGATTTTTCACCCGGGAAAATGGTGAAAATCGACGAACCAACTTTGGAGCTCCAGAAAAGTGCTCACATGGCAATTTTTTACTTCGGAATCCTCATCAGCATTGTCGATTTGGTATATTTCACCAAAATTTCAGAACCTGAACTCACCGAATTCGAAAAACTAGCGACAAGTGGCCAAAAAACATGCAAATCAATACAATCGGCTTCAGTATAAGCTGGCAGAAGCCAACAAAGTCGATCGAAGAAAAAATAGAAAATCGATAGCATTGAAACGATGGCAATTATGAAAAGCCAGGCGACGAGAAGTATGAGATCGAAAAACATGGCTAGAACACACGCGAATTTGCCGCCGCATTGCGAATCGTTGTCTGGAAGAGGAATGTGTTTTTGGGTTTCTAGGCCAACTTGGGTTCAACTCACTATTATATACAGTAGTCCGTGTTGCTCCAGTTGCCGTAAATCCGATAATCAGGAAAAATAGGGAAAACATTCCCATTAGTGCTGCTATGACGATGAAGAAAATTTGAACCTGGAAAAAATTTAAATATGACCTAGGAATACAAAATATGGCCTAGAAAACCAAATGACCTAGAAATACAAAAGCGTGCTCCTAGTGACCTAGAAAATCAAATAATGACCTAGAAATACAAAATCGTGCTCCTAGTGGCCTAGAAGTCCAAATGATGGCCTAGAAATCCAAAATTGTGCTTCTAGGGGCCTTGAAAAACCGAAATATGGCTTAGAAATACAAAAGCGTGATCCTAGTGGCCTAGAAAACCAAATCATGGCCTAAAATCACCGAGACATACTCTTGGTGGCCTAGAAAACCAAATCATGGCCTAGAATCACCAAGAAATAATTTTGGTGGCCTAGAAAACCGAAATCGTGCTCCTAGTGGCCTAGAAAACCCCAAAAATCACCGATGCAAAATTTTGGTGGCCTAGGAACCCAAAAACACGACTTCCTTGGCCTAGAAAAGGAATATATGGCCTAGAACTCCAAAAACACGATTTTGGTGGCCTAGAATCCCAAAAAATCCACAATATGGCCTAGAAATCCAAAAACACAATTTCCGTGGCCTAGAAACCGCAAAAAATCTCACCTTATCCAACCACGGCCAATTATCATTCCTCAAAGTTCGCCTAACTTGCTCCGCAGTCGCATTAAACGCCCAAGACAACATAATCGCAAACAAAATCACACCCAAAATACACAAAAGTGCACCAATCAGTGAGCCAAACGGCAGACGATGAAAGCAGCTCTCCTCCTCGCGGATTGCGCGGCGCGGAACCGCCGCATCGCCGCCGCGCACAACGCGAATCTCCCGATGTCCACCAATTTTGGCGCCAAAAAATCGTAGGAAAATATGAAATGAAGGGGGAATGAATGAATTTGTATTGTTTGTTTTGGAAGTGAGGCGAGACGCAGAGATAGTGTGCAAGATGAGGAGGGTGGCTAGAGAAATAGAGAGAATATGTGCTTTACATACAAAAATGAGTCATGTTTGCATGGAGCATGTTTCGAATTACCTGTGCGAAAACAAAAAGGTGGAATTTTTTTCTCAAATTCTCGTCGTCCGAATTAATTCGAAAATCGTCAATTGCATAGCTTGCATCAACATCGAATAACTCACAAAATCCCGTTTCTCGAAAATCGCAGCCTCTACACTCAAAAACACCGTGTACATTTTCAGACGTTTAGATCGATCCGAAATTTCGCCGATTTTCAGAATCGATGTTCGCGCCTTGTCGAATCGTTCGATCTTTTTCGCTGGCGGGTTTTTGAGATGTTGTCTGGAGAATGGAGTGAATCGAAACACGAAATCCACATTGTATTCCGCCTCCTTTTCGAAATCCAAGATTTTCTCGAAAAATTGACGAAATTCTGGGATTTTTTCGGGGATTTCCATGAAATCGAAACCTTTTGGCACCTTCAGTCGATCTTTTTTGACTTTTCGAATTCGGTTCATCGCTGGAAACCTGAAAATTTCACAGGTAAAGTTTTCGAAAACAAAAAAAACATTCAAAAAACCTTTGCCGCCCTTGTTCGCTAGAGCGCACTTTCTTTCTTGTCGAGACCAAATGATTGTTTACGATGTTCCTTTGAATAATACCGTATACAAAAGGAGAAAGTATGCTCCAATGAACTCATTTTTCCAATGTTTTTTTTTCGTTTTGTTTCGGGCCTAAAATTTCCAGATTTCCAGCCAAAAAATCATGCCAAGCAATTTTGCGGACCCGGAAATGAACACCGAATATTATCTCCTCAAAAGCCCATCAACTTCGGCTGCATCAAGTGGAAAATCGTTTGTCGCTGAAGTTCGACAGCATTTTTTAAATTGCAAAACTTTGGGGAATTCTGAGGATGGGTAAGTGAAAAGTTTGCCACGTCATAACTTGATTTTAAGCTGAAAGTAGTGTTATTTTGCAGTTTGACACTTGAAGACAAGGGCGATTCATCAGAACTTGTGGAATATCGCGATAAAAGTTGGTGTATTTGTGTGCGAGTGGATTTATACAAAAAAGACAACGATTACGAGATGGTTGTGTACAGTTATCAAAACGGAGTTGAAAAATTCATCGTGCGGCAATCTCAAATCACCCAAGACCTCAAATCAGCCGATATGATAAAATATCGTAAATCCAATGGTGAATACGAAGTTCAACCCATCTTCTACTCGCTGAACAATAGTGTTTGGATTTCGGTGAAGGTTCGAATCAACAAAGGAATTCACATCAATTGCTATGCAATAAGTGGATTTTATGATAATCGTGTGCTTCAAGGAGCCAATGAATATTATGTTGTTTGGTCGGATGCGGTTGGAGCTGTTAGTTTGAGTTTTGATGATATTCGACAAATTCCGAATGCTTCTCGAGTTACGTTCAATCCATTGTCGCTGATTCATATCACCCTGAAAGCCGATTTCAAATTGTAAGTTTTGAAAAATACAACATTATCTGAAAATAAGCCTGAACCTTGAAATTTCAGCCAAACCTTAGAAAAAGTGAATTTGGCTGAAATTGTCGGGTTCTCGCGCAGGGAAACCTATCGTCAATTTTCCAATTGAAAATTGTAAATACATAAAAATGCCTGAACCTTGAAATTTCAGCCAAACCTTAGAAAAAGTGCATTTGGCTGAAATTTTCGGGTTCTCGCGCAGGGAAACCTATCGTCCATTTTTGAATTCAAAATCGTAACTATAATTCGGCCTGAACCTTGAAATTTCAGCCAAACCTTAGAAAAAGTGCATTTGGTTGAAATTTTCGGGTTCTCGCGCAGGGGAACCTATCGCCAATTTTTGAATTCAAAATTGTAACTTTATAATTCTGCCTGAACCTTGAAATTTCAGCCAAACCTTAGAAAAAGTGCATTTGGTTGAAATTTTCGGGTTCTCGCGCAGGGGAACCTATCGCCAATTTTTGAATTCAAAATTGTAACTTTATAATTCTGCCTGAACCTTGAAATTTCAGCCAAACCTTAGAAAAAGTGCATTTGGTTGAAATTTTCGGGTTCTCGCGCAGGGAAACCTATCGTCAATTTTCAATTCAAAATTGTAATTTTATAATGCTGCCTGAACCTTGAATCTATGGACAAAATTTCATCATTTTTTTAAGTGTAGAGTAAAAAACCTCATTTTTCCAGCGAACACGGTCTTCGTCCAAAATGGTCAATCACAAGTGTTCAACAAACTCAAGAATGTGACGATAATGCGGGAACTCTGAAAATCGGTTCGAATTTATGGCCAGCCAGATTGTTGCGATTCGATGATCTGCTCTTCAAGAAAACCGAAACCTTCTGCAAAGTTTTCCAATCATATTCAAATGAAAATGTGGTCGTAAAAGCGTGTCGCAATCTATTTGCGCTCATCGAATCCGCCGGGCCGAAATACGCACAACGCGGAATAATGACAGCCGTCGTTTATCCATCGTTCCAATTCGGCCAATTTTCACACTATGAAGCGTTGATTTTGGGACCACTGAAAGTTGTTTTGATGTTGACTGAAGAACGATTGTTGAATTTTATACCAAAAACATTTCCACCGAATTTGGACAAAAAAATGAGACATCAAACTGTGAAAGATGAGAAGAAGTATGGAAAAAGTTTGCGAGATAAACATTCTTGGGATTATCCATACAATTGTCGAAGTTTGGGTGGATCATTCGAAATTTAAGGTTTTTTTTTAGTATTTTTGTATTTTTTATCTGTGAATATTTAGAATAGAATAGTAATTTTTGTTTTTTTTTTATCTCTTTGGATCATTTGAAATTTTTTTGTATTTTTTATCTGTGAATAGAATAGTAAATTTTTGGTTTTTGATTTTTTTTAATCCCCAATTTTTCTACGAGTCGAGAAAGCCTTGGAGGTTCAGGAGATGGAGAACAAAACAATTTTTCACAAAAACCTTCATTTAAAATTTTAGAAAAATACGAAAAATAGAAAATCTCGGGCCGATTTTTTTCGAAAAATAGAAAATCTCGGGCCGATTTTTTTTCGAAAAATAGAATTTCTCGTTCCGATTTTTTTTCGAAAAATAGAACATCTCGGGCCGATTTTTTTCGAAAAATAGAATTTCTCGGGCCGATTTTTTTTCGAAAAATTGAATTTCTCGGGCCGATTTTTTTTCGAAAAATTGAATTTCTCGGGCCGATTTTTTTTCGAAAAATTGAATTTCTCGGGCCGATTTTTTTTCGAAAAATTGAATTTCTCGGGCCGATTTTTTTTCGAAAAATTGAATTTCTCGGGCCGATTTTTTTTTCGAAAAATTGAATTTCTCGGGCCGATTTTTTTTCGAAAAATTGAATTTCTCGGGCCGATTTTTTTTTTCGAAAAATTGAATTTCTCGGGCCGATTTTTTTTCGAAAAATTGAATTTTTCGGGCCGATTTTTTTTCGAAAAATTGAATTTCTCGGGCCGATTTTTTTTTCGAAAAATTGAATTTCTCGGGCCGATTTTTTTCGAAAAATTGAATTTCTCGGGCCGATTTTTTTTCGAAAAATTGAATTTCTCGGGCCGATTTTTTTTTCGAAAAATTGAATTTCTCGGGCCGATTTTTTTCGAAAAATTGAATTTCTCGGGCCGATTTTTTTTTTCGAAAAATTGAATTTCTCGGGCCGATTTTTTTTCGAAAAATTGAATTTCTCGGGCCGATTTTTTTTCGAAAAATTGAATTTCTCGGGCCGATTTTTTTCGAAAAATTGAATTTCTCGGGCCGATTTTTTTTTTCGAAAAATTGAATTTCTCGGGCCGATTTTTTTTTTCGAAAAATTGAATTTCTCGGGCCGATTTTTTTTCGAGAAATTGAATTTCTCGGGCCGATTTTTTTTTCGAAAAATTGAATTTCTCGGGCCGATTTTTTTTCGAGAAATTGAATTTCTCGGGCCGATTTTTTTCGAAAAATTGAATTTCTCGGGCCGATTTTTTTTTTTCGAAAAATTGAATTTCTCGGGCCGATTTTTTTTTTCGAAAAATTGAATTTCTCGGGCCGATTTTTTTCGAGAAATTGAATTTCTCGGGCCGATTTTTTTCGAAAAATTGAATTTCTCGGGCCGATTTTTTTTTTTCGAAAAATTGAATTTCTCGGGCCGATTTTTTTTCGAAAAATAGAATTTCTCGGGCCGATTTTTTTCGAAAAATAGAATTTCTCGGGCCAATTTTTTTTCGCCCTCTCATTAAAATCCCGTAAGGTGAAATTTATTTAGAAATGTTCATTTCTCTCGGTCACGTGAAATTCTGATAAATATATATTTATCAAAAATGCTTCATTTCTTACCTACAGGTGTGGTGTAGGCGGGGAGAGCGATGCATTCCAATCAGGCAACCCTCCTTCTTTTGTGGGTTCGAGCCCCACTCGGAAAAATTTTTTCCCTATATCGAGTAATGCAGATTTTCGGAAATTTTGTTCCTTTCTCCCCAAAATTGCGAAAATTCGACATTCCAACGCGGCAAAAAAGAAAAAAGAAGATGGAGAAGAAAAGGCTTAATAAAAAGAGAAAATCGAGACAATATCATGCGTGACCTATGAATGAGAAAGGCTGATTCATCAGATGCTATTGGCATTGTTCAAGAATTCCTAATTCCTAACGGGCCAAGAATGTTATTCAAGTCCTCAATACGAAAAAAAGATTGAAGAAGTTTTTTTTCGAAAAATTTATCGATGGCGTCATCCATGGCAAAATTAGGAAGCCTTCCTGATTTTGCCACGAGTCATTTTTCGATAAAAAACTTGAACTTTTTCATGAATTCAATTGTAATTCTTATTCTTAACATCTTACGAGTACATTAAATTCAAAAAAAAAATTAAGTAAGTTTTTTTTCGAAAGTTTTTCCAAAAAAAAAGTTACAGATTTGGAATAATCTAAAAATGTAAAAAAAATCGGCCCGAGTTTTTTCAAAAAAAAATCGGCCCGAGTTTTTCAAAAAAAAAAATCGGCCCGAGATTTTTCAAAAAAAAAGTTACAGATTTGGAATAATCCAAAAATGTAAAAAAAAAATCGGCCCGAGTTTTTTCAAAAAAAAAATCGGCCCGAGTTTTTCAAAAAAAAAGTTACAGATTTGGAATAACCCAAAAATGTAAAAAAAAATCGGCCCGAGTTTTTTCAAAAAAAAAAATCGGCCCGAGTTTTTTCAAGAAAAATCGGCCCGAGTTTTCAAAAAAAAATCGGCCCGAGTTTTTCAAAAAAAAAAGTTACAGATTTGGAATAATCCAAAAATGTAAAAAAAAATCGGCCCGAGTTTTTCAAGAAAAATCGGCCCGAGTTTTTCAAGAAAAATCGGCCCGAGTTTTTTCAAAAAAAATCGGCCCGAGTTTTTCAAAAAAAAAAGTTACAGATTTGGAATAACCCAAAAATGTAAAAAAAAATCGGCCCGAGTTTTTTCAAGAAAAATCGGCCCGAGTTTTTTCAAGAAAAATCGGCCCGAGTTTTTTCAAAAAAAAATCTGCCCGAGTTTTTTCAAAAAAAATCGGCCCGAGTTTTTCAAAAAAAAAAAAGTTACAGATTTGGAATAATCCAAAAATGTAAAAAAAAATCGGCCCGAGTTTTTTCAAAAAAAAATCGGCCCGAATCGGCCCGAGTTTTTTCAAGAAAAATCGGCCCGAGTTTTTTCAAAAAAAAATCGGCCCGAGTTTTTCAAAAAAAAAAAGTTACAGATTTGGAATAATCCAAAAATGTAAAAAAAAATCTGCCCGAGTTTTTTCAAAAAAAAATCGGCCCGAGTTTTTCAAAAAAAAAGTTACAGATTTGGAATAACCCAAAAAATGTAAAAAAAAATCGGCCCGAGTTTTTTCAAAAAAAAAATCGGCCCGAATCGGCCCGAGTTTTTTCAAGAAAAATCGGCCCGAGTTTTTTCAAAAAAAAATCGGCCCGAGTTTTTTCAAAAAAAAAATCGGCCCGAGTTTTTCAAAAAAAAAATCGGCCCGAGTTTTTTCAAAAAAAAAAGTTACAGATTTGGAATAATCCAAAAATGTAAAAAAAAATCGGCCCGAGATTTTCAAGAAAAATCGGCCCGAGTTTTTCAAAAAATCGGCCCGAGTTTTTTCAAAAAAAAATCGGCCCGAGTTTTTTCAAAAAAAAGTTACAGATTTGGAATAATCCAATAATGTAAAAAAAAATCGGCCCGAGATTTTCAAGAAAAATCGGCCCGAGTTTTTTCAAAAAAAAAAGTTACAGAACGAAAAAAATAATTAAATAAGTTTTTTTTCGAAAAATTTATCGATGACTTGATCCATGGCAAAATTAGGAAGCCTTCCTGATTTTGCCACGAAATATTTTTTGATCAAAAAACTTGAAATTTTCTATAAATTTGATTGTAATTCTTATTCTTAACATCTAACGAGTACATTAAATTCAAAAAAATAATTAAATAAGTTTTTTTTTCGAAAAATTTATCGATGACTTGATCCATGGCAAAATTAGGAAGCCTTCCTGATTTTGCCACGAAATATTTTTTGATCAAAAAACTTGAAATTTTCTATAAATTTGATTGTAATTCTTATTCTTAACATCTAACGAGTACATTAAATTCAAAAAAATAATTAAATAAGTTTTTTTTTTCGAACAATTTATCGATAACGTCATCCAGGATTTTTACTCAAAATATCGTAATTCTATAGTAATAACCACATTTCCAAAAATCTTTCTTACCCGATAGGGAAACATTTTTCGAGCGGGAATCAAGCCCAGAAAAGGAGAAGGGCTGTCTCATTGGAAATCAGATATTTGTTCATAAAAATTTCAATTGACCGAGATGAGCAGAAATTTCATTAAAAATGGAACTATGTTTTGCCTGGGAGACACGCTCAACTAGGGGCACAGCCCCTAGTCGAAAAATAGAATTTCTCGGGCCGATTTTTTTTCGAAAAATAGAATTTCTCGGGCCGATTTTTTTTCGAAAAATTGAATTTCTCGGGCCGATTTTTTTTCGAAAAATTGAATTTCTCGGGCCGATTTTTTTTTCGAAAAATTGAATTTCTCAGGCCGAATTTTTTTCGAAAAATAGAAAATCTCGGGCCGATTTTTTTCGAAAAATAGAAAATCTCGGGCCGATTTTTTTTTTTTCTAAAAATAGAATTTCTCGGGCCGATTTTTTTCGAAAAATAGAAACTCTCGGGCCGATTTTTTTTCGAAAAATATAATTTCTCGGGCCGATTTTTTTCGAAAAATAGAATTTCTCGGGCCGATTTTTTTTCGAAAAATAGAATTTCTCGGGCCGATTTTTTTTCGAAAAATTGAATTTCTCGGGTCGATTTTTTTTTTTCGAAAAACTGAATTTCTCGGGCCGATTTTTTTTTTTTCGAAAAATAGAATTTCTCGGGCCGATTTTTTTTTTCGAAAAATAGAATTTCTCGGGCCGATTTTTTTTTCGAAAAATAGAGACGTCGCGAAATTCATTTGAAAAACAAAAAGAGAACAAATGAATTTCGCGACGTGACATTGTTTCACGTCAACCTGCAAATGTTCATTTTGTTCAGTTTCTCTCTCGATTCACATAGGAAAAGGTTGAAAAGCAAAAAAAATCGAAATTTTCTATCAAAAATTTATTTGATCTACCCCGCTATTTTTATATTTTTGACGAACTAAACAATGCTCATCGATTTTTTTTGCCATTTTCAATATTTTGTGTAATTTTTGGCCGTGCGAGGATGTGAAAGATAAGTTTTTCAGGGGGTTTTAAATATGCTTTTTTGAGAAATTTCGAAGTATGACCCATGTACTCGGATCCTAAAGAACTAGAGAAAGTCTGCGCGCGCTCCCTGAGTTAGTACCGCCTACCAGCTTTTGAAACCCAAAGCCATTCATTTCACAGATGAGTGAGGATTGAATCCTTTTGCTGCGGCCGGAAAACAGTGACGGGAGTTGCATTGGGTTTTGCGTATCGTTTATGATGTTTTTTTGGTGAAGAGTGGGACAAAAAATGGGAAATGAATGAGAAAGCTTTGAAAATAACGATTTTTCTATTTTTGTTTTTTTCGCAGGCGATTCAAATATGGCTAGATGCATGGATTTGGTGTAAGATCGACGCGACAATTCATTGCAGTTTACTCTAAGGTATTTAGGAGAAAATGCAGCTTGAAAACAGGGAAACTTGCGAGAAAAAACAAAATTTTCGCAAATTTGCAAAAACCGTAGTTTTTTTCAAGGCGCACAAGTTTTCTTGCTTGGGTCTTGCAGCCGTTGTGCACCGCTGTGTTTTTAAATTTGAAAAAACAGATGAAAACATGTTCGACTTAAAAAAACTACGGTTTTTTGTTTTAGTTTTCGCATTTTTTCAAGCTCTACGTTTCAGAAATGAATCAAGAAAAGTTTAAAATCGACAAACATCGAGTGCTTCATCTCCACCCATTCTCTTCCAAAAAATCCAATTGATATTTCACTGACAACATTCGCATTTCCATTGGAATTGAATGATTTGCAAGAATCTTCAGTTTTATATGTTCAATATGAGATAGACGAACCTGATATTTGCGTATTTATTGATTTGGAAAAGGAAAAAACAAAAGGAGATCTGAGTTGTTTTGGAAAAAATGCGATTTTGATTACAAGATTGTCAGTAGACACGATTGGACCATTCGCATTCAAATTGTTAAAATTGTCTGCTCAATTTCCAGGGTATGGAACTTAATATATTAGAAATATGAATTATCACGGATTTTTCAGACATTTCGAATTGGCTGGCATTGAAATGCTATGGAGTTTATCTGGAAACAATCGATTCCAAATCAATATTCAAGCGAAATTCGAGAATTTGCTCGAATCATTTGACGATGAAAAAATCGGCGAGTTAAGCAAACATAAAATCGGAAGAACCATCAATTCCTTCTTCACCACTTTGAGTTTATGGAATTCGAATTCTCTCGCTTTATGGCCCAATAATCCACGATATAACTCAAAAGAAGGCTCGGATTTCTTCGCGTTCTTCAATGCTCTTCAAAAAACCACCGAAGATTGGCAACCTGAAAATGGAAATGAAGATAAATATGAAGTTCGTGATGATTTATTAAATAGTCAATTAATGGATTATCAAAAAACCACTGTAAAATGGATGATTTCTCGAGAAATTGATGGAAAAAACACAGAATTCTTCGGCCTTTTTCAATGTCTTCCAATTGAATCAATCTTCTATTATCCAGCTTTTGGTGTATTTTCCAGAAAATCAGGAGATTTGAGGATTGAATCAATTCCAAATGGGGGAATTTTGGCAGATGAAATGGGATTGGGAAAAACACTCGAAATGTTGGCATTAATTGTTTCGAATCGTAAAGAAGTTCGAGGATATTTGAAGAACGAGGAACTAGAAGAAAAATTGGATTGGAAGCAATATGTAAGGTTTTTGTGTTGTATTTCATATTCATTTTGAATTTCAGAAAAGGAAAAAATCGAAAAAGAATGGTCCGTTCCCTGTCAATTATACCCCCGATCAGAGTACCGCAACGAAACATTTTTGTGAAACAGTTTCACTTGGTTTTAGCAGAACATTTTACAAAATTTCAATGTTTTCACTTTCTATCTGAGTCACTTTTTTGATTTTTCAACGAGTGTAACGATTAAAAATGATCAGACAATGAAAAAGATCAAATTAGAAAAATATTAAAAACGTGACACGGTGCAGGCGTGACGTGTTTTCGATGCAAAACATTTTCAAAAAATGAAATGCTTCACGTATTTTTTCATAACACATTTAATTTCTCGAAATGTGTCAAACCAAAAAGAGTGACACAAAAAAATGTTTCACGTTTTGAAAAAATTAATTGTGTGACACATTAAAATGTGTCACACAATTTTTGTATGACACATTCAATTTTTAAAAATGTTTCATTGGTTTTCAACGAAACAAAAATTATCAGCTGTTTCGTTTCGCCACATTTTACAATTTTATGTATTAGAGAATTTGATAGAAAAAGCGACCTGGAAGTGAATTTGAACACATTTTGAAAGGATTAGTTTGTGAAGATACTATTTCACTTTTGATAACTTATGAAATGGACCCGAAAAGTCGAGCCAAGTCAGATTTTTTGAAAAAAAAAACTGACAAGGAAACCTTTCGGAACCGCCAAAAAAATGATAATTTTTCCCAGCAAACCTCACCCAATACCTGATATTCCAGGTGGGCAATTTTTTTCTCGGAAAACCTAACCTTGTAAGTGGACAAAAAATCTAAGAGCTTTCAAGGCCAGACTCAGTCGAGAAAAACATTTTCACTAGGTGGGTAATTTTGAAAAATGAACCCAGGTGGGCAATTTTTCAGCTACTGCTCCAGGTTCTTGGGTGAGGTTTGTTTTTCCAGAAACCTAAAGTCCTCCACAAAATCTTAGCCTCACCGCCAAAATTTTCAAAAATTCGGAAATTTGATTTTATGTGGAAAATAAAAACACCTATTTTTCAAAAAAAAAAAAATCAAGTTTTCATTTCAGCCTCATTTTCAGCTATACCAACTTTTTCAGAAAAAATCAAATTTCCGAATTTTTGAAAATTTTGGCGGTGAAGCTAATTTTGTGGAGGACTTTTGCTGGGAAAAATTATCATTTTTTTGGCGGTTCCGAAAGGTTTCCTTGTCAGTTTTTTTTTCAAAAAATCTGACTTGGCTCGACTTTTCGGGTCCATTTCATAAGTTATCAAAAGTGAAATAGTATCTTCACAAACTAATCCTTTCAAAATGTGTTCAAATTCACTTCCAGGTCGCTTTTTCTATCAAATTCTCTAATACATAAAATTGTAAAATGTGGCGAAACGAAACAGCTGATAATTTTTGTTTCGTTGAAAACCAATGAAACATTTTTAAAAATTGAATGTGTCATACAAAAATTGTGTGACACATTTTAATGTGTCACACAATTAATTTTTTCAAAACGTGAAACATTTTTTTGTGTCACTCTTTTTTTGGTTTGACACATTTCGAGAAATTAAATGTGTTATGAAAAAATACGTGAAGCATTTCATTTTTGAAAATGTTTTGCATCGAAAACACGTCACGCCTGCACCGTGTCACGTTTTTAATATTTTTCTAATTTGATCTTTTTCATTGTCTGATCATTTTTTATTTGTGAAGTGTTGTGAATTTTTTTGAGTGGTGCTATTTTTGTTTCGAAATTCATGAAAATCAGTGACACTTACAAGAAAACTCAGTTTCATGTTTCGCCTTGTTTCGAAACAAAACAAAATCTTGCGGTACTCTGCCCCCGATAAATATCGATCAAATCAACAAATAAAGAGGGAAATCTTGAGAAATTGTACAAAATGTCAGGAGCTTTGTGTTGAACAGAAATGTGGCTGGAAAGCAGAATTCGACGCGGAAAACATCGTGTTTCTATGCCCGCAATGTATGGCGAAAGAAGATATATTGGAAGTTGGAACAACTTTGGTTATCATGCCAGAAACATTGAGTTTGCAATGGTATCAGGAAATTGTTAAGCATTGTAATGAGAATTTGAGAGTTATGGTAAGTGAACTGGTTGCTTTTGCATTTGTCAGAACCTGCAAAGGGTAGGTTCTAATATGAGTGATGACGTGGCAAAATTGGGACTTCAGAACTAGATTTAAAATTGTTTTTTTTTCACGAAAATCTGAGGATCAATGGAAACCAGTTTCAAAGCTAGTTCTGACCTCCTAAAATCCCAATTTTCAAAATTTGCCACGTCATAACTCGTTTTTTTTGTCCAGTTCTACTTTGGCCTGAAGAAAACCGGCTATTTGAATCCGCACGACATTGCAAAACACGATTTGATTTTTGTGACCTATGAGACTTTGCTCACCGAACTCACTTTTGCCAATTTCAAAAATTTCAATGAATCGGGAGACGCAAAGTATTCGCCAAGTTCGATGAATCATGTGAAATGGTGGAGGGTGAGTTGTGCCACGTGGCAAAATGGTTTTTGGTAGCTTTACGATCCTGTTGTCTGAAATTGCAGCTCGCTGATGAGTTATGACGTGGCAAAGGGAGTTTAGGTGGTGAAAACTAGCGACATAGATCTTCTGGAGGATAAAAATCGCTAGTTTTCACCACCTTAAGTCCCTTTGCCACGTCATAACTCATCAGTGAGCTGCAATTTCAGAAACCAGGATCAGCCTGTCGAAAGCTACTGAAAAGTAAATTTTAAATCCAATTTTTCTTCTCCAGTTAATCGCTGACGAATCACAATTAGTTGAAGTTGGCTCAACTAAACCGGCTCAAATGTGTCAAATTCTTCAAGCCAAATACAAATGGGCGATGACTGGAACGCCGATTCTCAAAGATATTCATGGACTCGGTGGACTTTTTGATTTTATCGATTTTTGGCCATTATCCAATGAACATTTTTGGAATAATTTTGTGATTCCTGGTGAGCATTTTCAACAAGTTTTCTCATAAGCACAATTTTTTCTAGATTTTTTATCGAAAGTTGAGAAAAATGAGGCTGGTCAAAGTTGGCTGATCAAATTTGGATCACAAGTTATGCGAAGAAATTCAAAATCGATGGTTGAGGCACAAATCAAGTTACCGAAATTAGTGGAAATTGAGAAAATTGTGAAATTTTCAACGATTGAGGAGCGAAAATATAAAAATGATCGAGATGAGTTGAGAGATTCGATTGAAAATGTTTTACAAATTCAAAATGTTGCCGATGAGACTTTGATTAAGGATATGAGAGGAAGAGATCGGATTATGCATTTTTTAGGAACTCTTAAGGAGTCGTTGATTTCTTGTGGGTTTTTTTTGGGTGGAATTTGGATTTCTAGGCCATCAGAAGCACGTTTTTGGGTTTCTAGGCCACCGGGAGCACGTTTTCAGGTTTCTAGGCCAAATTTTGGAATCCTAGGCCATGGAAATCGTGGTTTCGGGTTTCTAGTTCATGTCTTGGATTTTTAGGCCACCAGGAGCGTGTTTTTCGGTTTCCTAGGCCACCGAAATCGTGTTTGTGAGTTTCTAGGCCACGGAAATCGTGTTTTTGGGTGTCTAGGTCATTTGTTGGTTTTCTCGGCCACCAGGAACATGATTTTAGGTTTCTAGGCCACCACGAGCATGTTTTCGGATTTCTGGGCCACCAGGAGCATGTTTTTGGATTTCTAGGCCAAATTTTTGAATTCTAGGAAACTGAATTCGTGATTTTGGGTTTCTAGGTCATCTGTTGGATTTCTCGGCCACCAGGAGCATGTTTTTGAATTTCTAGGCCAAATTTCTGAGCTCTAGACTACGGAAATCGTGGTTTTGGGTTTCTATGCCACGTCTAGGATTTTTAGGCCACCAGGAGCATGTTTTTGGATTTCTAGGCCACGGCTAGATTTTAAGGCCACCAGGAGCCGGATTTTAGGTTTCTAGGACTCCAGGAGCATGTTTCTGGATTTCTAGGCCATCAAACTCGTGTTTTTGGGTTTCTAGGTCATCTGTTGGGTTTCTAGGCCACCAGGAACATGCTTCTGGATTTCTAGGCCACCAGGAGAATGTTTTTGGATTTCTAGGCCATCTATTGGTTTTCTCGACCACCAGAAGCGTGTTTTTCGGTTTCCAGACCAGAAAACTCGTGTTTTTGAGCTTTTAGGCCAAATTTTGGAATTCTAGGCCACCAGGAGAATGCTTTTTGATTTCTAGGCCAAATTGTGGAATTCTAGGCCATCAAAATCGTGTTTTTGGGTTTCTAGGCCTCCAGAAGCATCTTTTTGGGCTTCTAGACCGCGGGGAAACCAATTTTGGCTTAAAAAAATCTTTCAAGCCCCTAGACATGACCTATAATTTTTGTCAGGCGGCGAGCATTTGAATATGTCGGTTCGGGAATGGAATAAGCGCAAATCGGCCGACGACGAAATCAGCATGCCAAACCCGAAAAACATTGTGTTCCGCATGATTTGCAAGAAAAAACGGGAGATTCGTGAAATGTTGCGACAAATCATCAATACTTGTATAAGCGACGCTGAAATTTATTGGCTGGAAAAGGATTTTGCTGGAATTGCCAAGGGATATGAGGAGATTTTGCGGATGATGGAGATTTTGCAGGATTTGAATGAGAGTTTTGAACAATTGAGTGGAATTGAGATTGAGGAAGAGGAAGAGAAGACAGGTGAGCATTTTTCATCCGAAAAATCCCATTTCCCCCTCGAATTTTAGGCGAAAACCCGGCAAAAGTGCGCAAAATTGAACCGAAAGATGAAGATGAAGATGAAGATGAAAATCCAGAAGATGATGAAGCTGAAGATGAGACTGTTGTCAAATCGACGAGTGATTTACAGAAAAGAGCGCAGAAGGCGATGAGAATTGATACGAAGTCGATGGTTCATTTGATGGTGTAGGTTCAGAGACGGAAGAGCTTAGTTTACAAGTGGTCGCGCCGAGAAAGCTCAATTTTCAAGCCTCGCCTAATTGTCTAGGCGTCGCGTGTACAGATCAATTCTTGCAAGTAGCTGCGCCTAGATAGCCGCATTGGCAAGCAGCCGCGCCTTGAGATCTCAATTTTCAAGGGCCAGAGCCTGAAGAGCCTTATTAACAAGCAACCGCTCCTAGAGAACAACTTTGACAAGCGGCCGCGCCTTGAAAGCCTGGATTGCAAGGTGTCGCGGCTTTAGTGCATCTATGACAAGTAGCCGATCCTAGAGATCCACTCTGTCAAGGATCCGCGCCTAGAGAACCGCTTTGGCAGGCAGCCGCGCCTAGAGAGCTTCTATGACAAGTAGTCGCGCCTTAAAAGCCTGGGTTTCAAGTAGGCGAGCCTAGAAAATAAAAATTTTCAAGGGCCAGCGCCTAGAGGATATAGTTTTCTAGTAGCCGCGTCTAGAGAACCCAATTTTCTAGGACTCGCGTCTGAAGATCAATTCTGGCAAGTGGCCGCGCCTTGAGAGCTCAATTTTCAAGAGCCGGACCCTGAAGAGCCTAATTAACAAGCAACCGCTCCTAGAGAACCACTTTGACAAGCGGCCGCTTCTTGAGAGCATAATTCTCAAGTAGCCCCGTCTAGAAAATTCAATTTTCAAGACCTAGAACCCAGATAGCCCCAAATTCGAATTTTCCAGAAATCTTCAAAAATTTGCTGAAATCAACCCAAAAGGCGGTGAAATCATCCAAAAAATTGGCGGAATTTCAAAAGTTCACGAACAAATCAACTCGTCAATTCTCACATTTTTACAATTCGATTTGAAAAGACTCGACAAAATGCTCCAAATCATCGATCGAAATATGGAACCGGATCAAACGATTTGTGTGAAAATTATCGAGAATTTGGCGGCGTTTTATGAGAATCAAAAGATTTGCGATGATTCGTCGTTGGTGAATTCGTTGAAGTTGAAGAAATTGGGAAAAGTTTGTGAGCAATTGCCATTTTGGCCGATTTTCGAGGATCCGAAGAAGCATTTGGTGGATGGAGCTGTGAAATTGGAGTGGGTTGGAGATTTCGGGGAAATGACGTTAGAATTTTGAAAAATGGCTCTGAAAAGACATGTGGCTGATTTTTGCTAACAAAAACACAGTAACCGGAATTTTTGCGCCAAAAATTCTGAGATAAATTTTGAATTTCAAAAAAGTGGCGGCAAAATGACACGTGGCAGAATTTTCAAGAAGACGCGTCTTGAAAGCAGAGTTTTCAAATAGCCACGCCTAAAGAACCTATTGCTCAAGCAGTCGCGCCTACAGAACCACCTTGACAAGCAGCCGCACCTAGAGAACCACCCTGACAAGCAGCCGCTCCTTGAGAGCCTAATTCTCAAGGTGTAGCGGCTTGAGCGCTTCAATGACAAGTAGTCGAGCCTAGAGATCCACTGTATCAAGGATCCGCGCCTACAGAATAGGAAATCTTTAATCACAATTCAATTTTCCAGAAAACCACAAAGCAAATGTCACAATGAAAACACGTGTATGGGAATTTGCAATAACTCGACATTTTCTCAATTATATCCAACTTATAAATTGGCAACGAATTTCGAAGTCTACAAAAATTTATCGATTTATTTGGAAAATATTGTGAATTTGAGTCAGGAATTAAAAGAGGATTTTGGATTATTGATTGATTATTTCAAGAATCTTTCAACTTATAACAATATCAAAAATGCGAATCTCAATATTTCTCCAAAATGCCAACATCCAGATCTCAATAAAATCAGTGCTGATGAAAATGACAGGAAACTCGAAAAAAATAAATTGAAATGTGAAATTTGTCGAGTTTATCATAGTTTGATACATTTACGATATTTGATTGGATTGGGAAGTTTTCATGGACATCCGAAAATTGAACATTATTTGAAGAAATTGGAGATTTCGAAGCTATTTGAGATGATTTTGGAGAAGGAAACGAGAAAGGAATTGGTGGAAAGGGCAGAGATTCGGTAGGGGGTCGAACCTGGCATGTCTAGATTGCTGGACAAACCTCTAACCAGCTGAACTATTTTTCCAGAAGCTTCTATAAATTCACATGTCGAATTCATTCATTGACCCGATATATTCATAACTATTGCATCAGATTGATGGATTATGAGGAGAAGTTGAGAAGTTTGTCATTGGTTGAGAATCGAAAAACTATGGAAGAATTGAGAAGATCGCAAGAGGGAACATCAGATCGCGAAATTCGAGAGGTTTGCAGTTTTTGGCCTGAAGTTTGGGCTTTAGAGTATAGTTTTCAAGTGGCTGCGTCTAGATAACCCAATTTTCTAGGAGCCCCGCCTAGAGGGCTTAATTTTCAAGTGGTCGCACCTTGAGAGCCTAGGTTTCAAGTAGCTGCGCCTATAGAACGACCCTGACAAGTAGCCGTTCCTTGAAAGCCTGGATTTCAAGGTGTCGCGGCTTTAGTGCTTCAATGACAAGTAGCCGAGCCTAGAGATTCACTGTGTCAAGGATCCGAGCCTACAGAATATAATTGACTAGGTTTCGCGTCTGAGTTTCCACTCTCGCAAGGAGCCGCGCCTTGAAAGCCTGGATTTCAAGTGGACGAGCCTAGAAAATGAAAATTTTCAAGAGCCAGCGCCTAGAGGCTATAGTTTTCAAGTAGCCGCGTCTAGAGACCCTAATTGTCTAGGCGTTGCGTCTGAAGATCAATTCTGGCAAGCAGCTGCGTCTTCAGAACTGCTATGACAAGCAGCCGAGCCTAGAGATTCACTGTGTCAAGGATCCGCGCTTATAATTGTCTAGGTTTCGCCTCTGAGTTTCCACTCTAGCAAGAGGCCGCGCCGAGAAAGCCTAAAAGTGCTCCCGTTGCCACTAATATGAGCAATGTTTATTTTTCCCGTTTTTCAGGCCGGCCATATTCGATATTCGGAACTTATCGAAAATTCCATCCCAAAATTGAAGCAATTTTGCCACGAATTTCGATATTTGGCCACACTTTGTTGTGAAAATGGTGATGAAAAAGCGGATTGTTGTCCGATTTGCTGGAAAGACTTGGAGGATGTTTTGGCCATTTTCCCGTGTGCACATCGAATTTGTCACGATTGTTTTGAGCAACTCAAAAATGAGAAGTTAGTTGAGGATTTTTTGGGCTTGGGGGATCAGACTATGATTTTCAGTGTTTCAAATTTATATTGCGTTTTTGGAACCTAAAAAATATGATGCAAGTAACAATGTCCATCAAAATTGTATGCTGAAAATGAAGAATTTTATGATTTTCAGCCCGAAATTCCAATCTAGACAACATTTTTTTCTAATTTTTTCACTGTTTCAAAATTTGGATAAGTTTTGCGAAGGTTTTTCGGGTGCTACTTGTCAACTGAAACTTTTTGCTGAAAATCATGAAAACACCCATTTTCAGCAATTTTCAGTGGTTTCATGATTTTCAGCATAAAATTAAGTCTAGAAATTTCCAAAATTTGTTACGTTTCAAAAATTCATAAATTTTTGAGAAGTGAATAAATTTTGATTCCAGGATATATGTTTGATCTAAAATTTTAAGCTGAAATCATGTAAAAGCTGAAAATTGCTGAAAATGAAGAATTTCATGATTTTCAGCACAAAATTCTTATCTGGAATTTTTTAAAAAATTTCTTCACTGTTTCAAAATTTGGATAAGTTTGCGAAGGTTTTTCGGGATCTGATCGTTCTACATCTACTTCTAAACTGAAATGTTGTGCTAAAAATCAAGAAAACCTCAAATTTCAGTGGATTCATGATTTTCAGCACAAAATTCTGATCTAGAAATTTCCATGATTTTTTTACGTTTCAAAAATTTAATATATTTTTTGGAACCTTTTTGATATTACCAATGGACATTTTGCATCAAAATTTTACGCTGAAAACCATTAAATTGCTGAAAATGAAGAATTTTATGATTTTCAGCACAAAATTCTGATCTGGAAATTTTTTAAAAATTTTTTCACTGTTTCAAAAATTTTTCAATTGTTTTTAATCCTAATATTTTTTGGTACATTTTCTATGATTTTGGTACATTTTCTATCAGAATTTTGTGCTGAACTTTCATTTTCGGCCATTTTCAGTGGTTTCATGATTTTCAGCACAAAATTCTGATCCAGAGAATTTTTTCACTGTTTCAAAAATTTAATAATTTTTTTGGAACCCAAAAATGTTTTGATGTTATCAATGGACATTTTGCATCAAAATTTTACGCTGAAAACCATCAAAATGCTGAAAATTGCTGAAAATGAAGAATTTCATGATTTTCAGCACAAAATTCTGATCTGGAAATTTTGTCTAATTTTTTCCACTGTTTCAAAAATTTAATATTTTTTTGGAACCCAAAAATGTTTTGATGTTATCAATGGACATTTTGCATCAAAATTTTACGCTGAAAACCATCAAAATGCTGAAAATTGCTGAAAATGAAGACTTTCATGATTTTCAGCACAAAATTCTGATCTGGAAATTTTGTCTAATTTTTTCCACTGTTTCAAAAATTTAATATTTTTTTGGAACCCAAAAATGTTTTGATGTTATCAATGGACATTTTGCATCAAAATTTTACGCTGAAAACCATCAAAATGCTGAAAATTGCTGAAAATGAAGAATTTCATGATTTTCAGCACAAAATTCTGATCTGGAAATTTTGTCTAATTTTTTCCACTGTTTCAAAAATTTAATATTTTTTGGAACCCAAAAATGTTTTGATGTTATCAATGGACATTTTGCATCAAAATTTTACGCTGAAAACCATCAAAATGCTGAAAATTGCTGAAAATGAAGAATTTCATGATTTTCAGCACAAAATTTTGATACGTTTATATTTCTAGCCCTGATTCTAACTCGATTGTTTGCTCAACATGCTCCAAATTCTTCAAACTCATCGAAATCATCATCGCGTGCCAACCGAGTCGCCAACAATCAAATGTGATTAATGGAATCACATTGGCTGTCAAATTGGAGGAAACCATCAAACTCATTCGCGAAATTCTCCAGGAAAATGAGGAAAATAAGATTATCCTCTTCACAAATTTCGAAATCAACCGACCGATTTGGACGTTTTTGACACATATTTTGGGAAAAGCTAAGGTCTAACTCTCCTCGACGAAAAATTAACCTTAAAAATTAAAAAAAAAATTCAGGTTCCATTCATTGAGGTGAATAATGTGCACTATGGAAAAAATATGTCGGAATTTGAAACATCGAAAAATTGTCGAGTTCTTTTGTGCTCTTTGTCAAGATGTGCGAATGGACTGAATTTGACACATGCAAATCACATTATTTTTCTGGATCCAACACATTTATCATCAGTTATTCAACAAGCAATTGGACGAATTGCAAGAATTGGACAGAAAAATGAGATGAAAGTATATCATATGATTGTTGAGACAAGTATTGATGAAGAGATACGGAAAATTGCCAAAAATGGAATGAATGTGGAAGGAAAGGCGATTGAGAGTGCGTTTTTTGGGGGAATTTCTCAAAAAAAAATTTTTTTCGCGCTGAAAATTATAAAAACCTTGATTTTCAGCGCAAAATTTTGAACTAGAAATTTCCAAGATTTTTTATGTTTCAAAAATTTGTCAATTGTTTTGAATCCTAATATTGAGATGCTTTTGGTACATTTTTAATCAGAATTTTGTGCTGAAAATTATAAAAACTTTCATTTTCAGCAATTTCTAGTGGTTTCTTGGTTTTCAGCACAAAATTCTGATCTAGAAATTTTAAAGATTTTTTTACGTTTCAAAAATTTAATAATTTTTTGAATAACAATTTTTCCTAATATTGGGATTGTACGACCCATTTTGTGCTGAAAATCATAAAAACCTTCATTTTCAGTAATTTCCAGTGGTTTCCTGATTTTCAGCTGAAAATGAAGAATTTTATGATTTTCAGCCCGAATATCTAATCTAGAGAATTTTTTTCTAATTTTTTCACTGTTTCAAAATTTGGATAAGTTTTGCGAAGGTTTTTCGGGATTGCTGCTCTCGTTAGAATACTTCCAGACTGAAATTTTGCTCTGAAAATTACAAAATTCTCCATTTTCAGCAATTTCCAGTGGTTTCATGATTTTTCAGCACACAATTTGAATTTTGTTATAAAATCTTTGAAGAACCGAATTTTTATGCTCGAAAAAAAATTAAAAGATTTTTGGAACGGTGAAAAAATCCAAAATTGTCAAGATCAGAATTTTGTGCTGAAAACCACTGAAAATAACTAATTTGATGATTTTCAGCACGAAATTTTATTCTAGAAATTTTTTTTCCAATTTTTTCACTGTTTCAAAAATGTGTCAATTTTTTTCAAATCCTAATATCCAGATTCTATCTTTAATGAACATTAATCATCAAAATTTTGTGCTGAAAATCATAAAAATCTTCATTTTCAGTGGTTTCAAGATTTTCAGCACACAATTCTGATATAACATTTTTTTTCTAATTTTTCACTGTTTCAAAAATTTGTCAATTGTTTTGAATCTAATATTGAGATGCTATTTCAAGTGATTTTTTCATCAAAATTTTGTGCTGAAAATCGCTGAAAATGGATAATTCTATAATGTTCAGCACAAAATTCTGATCTAGAAATTTCCATGATTTTTTACGCTTCAAAAATTTAATAATTTTTCTGAAACCTAAAAATGTTTTGATATTACTACTGGGCTTCTCAATAAAAATGTTGTGCTGAAAATGAAGAATTTTATGATTTTCAGCGCAAAATTCTGATCTAGAGAAAATTTTCCTAATTTTTTTCACTGTTTCAAAAATGTGTCAATTGTTTTTGAATCCTAATATATCTCAATAACAACGCTAAGAATCTTTTCACCAAAATTTTACGCTGAAAATCACGAAAATGCTGAAAATGGATAATTCTATAATGTTCAGCGCAAAATTTGGATCTAGGCCACGTTTGGATTTCTAGGCCACCAAATTCCAAATTTTTTCAGAAACCGATTTGACTGTTGGCCAACTTCGACAAATGTTTGGAATTCGCCCAATTTAAAAGTTTAACAATTTTTGTACTAATTTTTATTGTAATGCATTATCATTATTATTATAAATATACAATTTCAGGGCTATAAACTTTCTTGAATTGCTCATAAATTTGCTCGCCGAGCACATCTTCAATCAAATCCCTCAAACTCGCCACAAATTTTGGATTCAAAGTGGCGGAAATTAGAGAAAATGCGGCTGAAGGTTGACGGGCATTTAGATGTATTTGTTCGGCTGCCGGATCGATTGAATAGATTATCATTCGCTGGATTTGCGATTCGATTTTGGCCAATTTTTCGGGAGACGAGAATTTTTGCGAGAGTTGTTTTCGAGATTTGACGAGCGAGGAGAGTTGAGAGGAGGTTAGATTTTTGTGCAGAAATGTGGCGATGTCTGGAATGGGGTACGGTAGATTTGTAGTTCGGGGGAGGCGGGTACTGTAGTTTATTTGCAGTTTGGGGTACTGTACTCACAAAAGCCTCTGGATTACTGTAGCTCGAGATTTCATGGCTTTTTTGCAGTTCGGGTTACTGTAGCTTTTGCAGTTCGTGTTTCTGTAGTTTATTTTTTATTAAAAAATCGAGTTTTTCCATAAAAACATGAAAATTTGCAGTTCGGCTACTGTAGTTAATTTTCAAACATTGTTTTGCAGTTCGGATCACTGTAGCTCGAGATTTTAAAGAGTTTTTTGCAGCTCGGGTTACTATAGCTGTTTTTTTTCGAACTGCAAAATTCTAGGATTCTTTACAACTACAGTACTGCAAAATTAAAAGTGTACTGTATTTTTTGCAGTTTAGGGATACTGTATATTTTCCGAACTGCAAAAATCCAGGGTGTTTTTGAAGAGCTACAGTACTTCGAACTACAAAAATTACTGTCAAACTGCAAAGGTTTTCGTAGATACAGTGTCCCAAACTACAGTACCCCTGTTTACCGTACTTTCAAAAACCTGCTCCAATTTATGACCTTTATGCACACCAACCGCAAAAATATCGATTGATTTCGAAATTTGCGCGTCCGACAAAAATTTGGAAACCAAAGTCTTGAAATTTTCGATAGCTTGGGTCTTGGCTGGAAAATTTTGATTTGGAGTACTGTAGGTGTACTGTAGAAGACTTACGATTTGAATTTTGTTGTTGATGGATTTTTGGAATTTTTGGAATCGAAATTGCAAAGGAAATTGGAAGAAAAATCAGGGAAAATATCAGAAAATTCATGATTTTTTTGAAATTTTTTGGGTAAAATCGCATTTTTATAGGTATTTTTTGACCTTCTCGGGGTATTTTTTGGTCACGCCGATTAAGTTTTGGTAACTTGATTTTTCCCGCGCCGCAGAAATTCATATTTCTATTGAATTTTTCGAAGAATGAATGACCAGATATCGAGTTACGCTAAATAGAAATGTTTTTGGAAAATGTGTAAACAAGGCGCCTGAATTTTTGAACAAACACAAAATTTCCTGTTCATTTTTAGTGTGTACTTTTTTTTCATAGCTGCTTTAGAGACTCAAATTTTACGCTGAAAACCATGAAAATGCTGGAAATCGCTGAAAATAAAGAATTCCATGGTTTTCAGCACAAAATTCTGATCTTGAAAATTTTAACGAACATTTTTCACTGTTTCAAAAATTTATTAATTATTTTGAGAAGTAAATGAACTCCGGTTCGAATTCAGTTTAGACTGAAATTTCACGCTGAAAATCATGGAAATGCTAAAAATCACTGAAAATGAACAATTTCACGGTTTTCAGCACAAGATTCTGATCTAGAAAATTATTACGAATTTTTTCACTGTTTCAAAAATTTATTAATTTTTTGAGAAGTAAATGAACTCCGGTTCGATATTCATTTTGGACCGAAATTTTGCGTTGAAAACCATGAAAATGCTGAAAATTACTGAAAATGAAGAATTCCACGGTTTTCAGCACAAAATTCTGATCTAGAAAATTTTTGTCTAATTTTTTTCACTGTTTCAAAAAGTTATTAATTTTTTGAGAAGTAAATTAATTTCGATGGCATAATGGGTTTATGGAAAACCTAAATTTTGCGCTGAAAAACAGGAAAATGCTGAAAATCGCTGAAAGTGAAGAATTTTATGATTTTCAGCACAAAATTTAAGAAATTTTCAAAATTTGTTACGTTTCAAAAAATTTAATAAGTTTTTGAGAAGTGAATAAATTATCGATAAATTTCGACACAGTATATGTTAGACCTAAAATTTCACGCTGCAAATCATGGAAATGCTGAAAATCGCTGAAAATGAAAAATTTCATGGTTTTCAGCACAAGATTCTGATCTAGAAAATTATTACGAATTTTTTCACTGTTTCAAAAATTTATTAATTTTTTGGAAACCACAAATGTTTAGTAAGAATCTGCATCGAAAATTTTGCACTGAAAGCCATGAAAATGCTGAAAATCGCTGAAAATAAAGAATTTCACGATTTTCAGCACAAAATTTAAGTCTAGAAATTTCCAAAATTTGTTACGTTTCAAAAAATTTAATAATTTTTTTGAGAAGTAAATGAATTTCGATCGCATGGACTTAAATTTTGGACTTGATTTTTGCGCTGAAAACCATGAAAATGCTGAAAATTTCTGAGAATGAAGAATTTCATGGTTTTCAGCACAAAATTCTGATCTAGAAAATTTTTAACGAAATTTTTTCACTGTTTCAAAAATTTATTAGTTTTTTTGAGATGTAAATGAATTTCTATTGTTAGTCTTTTGAGTATTTTAGACCGAAATTTTGCGCTGAAAACCATGAAAATGCTGAAAATTGCTGAAAATGAAGAATTCTATGATTTTCAGCACAAAATTATGATCTAGAAACTTTTCACGTAAATTTTTCACTGTTTCAAAAATTTAATAATATTTTTGAGATGTAAATGAACTTCGATAGCATGTAATTAAATTTTGGACTTAAATTTTGCGCTGAAAACCATGAAAATGCTGAAAATTGCTGAAAATGAAGAATTCTATGATTTTCAGCACAAAATTATGATCTAGAAAATTTTTAACGAAATTATTTCACTGTTTCAAAAATTTATTAGTTTTTTTTGAGATGTAAATGAATTTCTATTGTTAGTCTTTTGAGTATTTTAGACCGAAATTTTGCGCTGAAAACCATGAAAATGCTGAAAATTGCTGAAAATGAAGAATTCTATGATTTTCAGCACAAAATTATGATCTAGAAAATTTTTAACGAAATTTTTTAACTGTTTCAAAAATTTATTAATTTTTTTCATGATTTTCAGCGCAAAATTCTGATCTAAAAGCCTCAAATTTTCCAGCCAACCTTGAAAATATTCCAATTACCCTCTGCCATTCTCTAATTTTTGCCAATTGAAAGCACTTTCCGCGCGTCGCTGCGCGGAAAAACTTTTTTCTCTGTTCTGGCTATGTATTAACCGGATTTTTAATATGCTTAAGCATACTTTTTTGGGCGAAAGAGGGGAAAACCAGTTAAATTTAGCCTATCCTATTATTTTTTTGGCTATCCCCTAAAATGCCGTGATTTAGATACATGTGTTTTATTTTATTTATGTTTTTTTTCGAAAAAGAAAATTTTCCCCAATTTTTTTACGTTTCAAAATTATTTGAAAGCAAATTTTAATTCAGCGAACTCTTAAAATCAGAATTTCTTGCTGAAAATCATGAAACCACTGAAAATCGCTGAAAATCAGGATTTCCATGATTTTCAGCAGGAAGATTTTGATGGAGTACATCAATTGCTATAGCAACACATAATCGATTTCTAGAAAAATTGATAGATTTTTGAAACAGTGAAATTTTTTTTGTTAATTTTTCTTGATCAGAATTTTGTGCTGAAAATCATCAAATTAGTTATTTTCAGTGGTTTTCAGCTCATAATTCTGATTTGGAAAATTTTGGATTTTTTTCACTGTTTCAAAAAAAGTTTATAATTTTTACACTTTTAAATCGTCGATCAGTTCTCTTAAATGCTTCGCTGAAAATTATGGAATCACTGAAAATCGCTGAAAATTGGGTTTTTCATGATTTTCAGCACAAAATTTCAGTTTAGAAGTTACTTTCAGCCTATCACCTAACATCAGATTAAAAAATAATCTACTGAAAACTTATCCAAATTTTGAAACAGTAAAATTTTTAGATCAGAATTTTGTGCTGAAAATCATAGAATTCTTCATTTCCAGAAATTTTCAGCATTTTCATGATTTTCAGCTTAAAATTCTGATCTAGAAATTTCCAAATTTTTTTACGTTTCAAAAATCTTTAACTTAAGAAATTCGATCTGATACCGATTTGAAAATAGATTTGTCTAAATCTGAAAATCATAAGACCTGAAATTTTGAGCAATTTTCAGCATTTCTATGATTTTCAGCTCAAAATTCTGTTCGAGAAATTTCCTAAATTTTTCATTGTTTCAAAATTTCATTAATTTTTTGAGAAGTAAATGAATTTCTGTTCTGTAGTGTGTTGAAAACGATAAAAATTCGAAGAAATTGTGCTGAAAATCCCAAAAAGTTCTAATTTTCCAGCAAAATCCAGTCATAACTATGCTATAAAATGAGCAATCTCTCCTCATTTCTCCTCATTTTTGCACCATTTTTTGTGCAATCTCTTCTCTCCCCATCTTCATCCAACAATCAAAATCTGGCCAAAATATCTGGTGATTGTGATGCCGAATTCTCAGTTGCCGCAACTCAATTAGCCTCTCAACATATTCAAGATCAATCAATTATTGATTATATTCATGCCGTGATGTCATCGTGCAATAAAGCGCCAATTCAAAAAATGGCCGAAGTTTCCGTGTTTTTATTGCATAAAGGAACGGTGACACCGAAAGTTATGGGAGAGATACGGTAGGTTTTGGCGGGAAAAATTTGGGAAATTTTGAAATTATGAAAAATTCACTGTTTCAAAAATTTCAGAAATTTTTTTCCGATTTTTAATTAACTAATATCTGCCAGATTGCAAAGAGCACAATTTTTGTTAAGAAAAAAATTTACTGTTTCAAAAATTTCAGAAATTTGAAATGTTTTTTCCGAATTTTTGATAACCATTCTGTTTTCTTCTCTAGAAAAATTCACTGTTTCACAAATTTAATTTTGAAAAAATTATCTGATTGTGCAATTTCAAGGCTAAAAAAAATTCGAAAAAATTTTATATTGCATTGTTTTTCACAATATTTCACTTACTCTACTTAAAAAAATAGTGGCACGTGGCAAATTATCTTAAATTTCAGCAATTTTTTAAAGAAAAAATTCACTGTTTCAAAAATTTCAAAAATTTTTCCGATTTTTGATTTAATAGTTTTTATATGCAAAATGTAGAATTTTAAGGTCAAAAGTGCCACGTAGGAAATTTTTTCACAATTTTTGTTAAGAAAAAAATTCACTGTTTCAAAAATTTCAGAAATTTGAAATTTTTTCCTATTTTTGATTCATCAATATTTCCCACGTGGCAAAAAGCACAATTTTCTTCACAATTTTTTTGTTAAGAAAAAATTCACTGTTACAATCATTCCAAAAATTTGAAATTTTTTTCCGATTTTTAATTATTTACGAAAAAAATTTTTCTGAAATTACAGAATTTTAAGACCAAAACTGCCACGTGGAAAAAAATTTCACAAATAAATTCACTGTTTCAAAAATTTGAAATTTTTTCCAATTTTTAATTATTTACCAAAATAATTTTACTGAAATTCCAGAATTTTGAGGCCAAAAAAGCCACGTGGCAAAAAGCACAATTTTTTAAAGAAAAAATTTACTGTTTCAAAAATTTCAGAAATTTGAAATTAAGTTTTCGTTTTCTCTGTAGAAAAATTCACTGTTTCAAAAATTTAATTTGAAAAATTCTCTGATTGTCAAATTTCAATCAACTATCGAGTTCAAAAAAAATAAACAAAAATTCGAAAAAATTTTAAATTGCAAATTTTTTCACAATATTTTACTCTAGTTCAAAAATTTCAGCAATTTTTCATTTAAAAAAAATCACTGTTTCAAAAAATTCAGAAATTCAAAAAAAACATATTCTTGCAATTCTGCGAATATTAATTAATCGCCAATAAACTGTGCCACGTGGCATATCTACAGTACCCCAACCAACATTTTCCCTTGTTTTTCAGCGAAACTTTCGACGAAATTCAAAAACGTCGTGACACCGAATTATCCGCGAAAATGCAACAACTTCCACCAGAAATGTATAGTGTGAGTTTTTTTTAAAAAGATTTTTGCGGCTGAAAATCTGAAATTTCAGCATAAATTATTTCAGACCGCTCAAAAAATTCTGCAAATTTCCAAATCGGCAGGTTTGTCGGGAAATGAGAGACGAGAAAAAATCGAAAAATCGTTGGCCGCAGTTCCGGGTTCATATCAATTTCGGATTTTGCAAATTTTCGATGAAAAACCAGCGAAAATGGACGCGGAACCGATTTTGGAGAAACCTGATGAACCGGTGGGTTACTGTAGTTTTTCGGGGGAGATTTTTGCAGTCCGGGGTACTGTAGTTTAAAAAAATACATTAATTTTGTAGTTCGGGTAGTCTATCTTTAAATTATGTATTTTTTTGCAGTTCGGGTTACTGTAGCTCTATTTTTAGACAAAATGCAATGATTTTGCAGTTCGGGTTACTATAACTGGGAAAATTTTTTGCAGTCGGAGTACTGTAGGCCAAGATTCCAAAAATTTTGCAGTTCGGGTTACTGTAGTCTTATTTTTTTAAAATTCAAAACAGTTGATATTTTTGCAGTCCGGACTACTGTAGCTCTATTTTCAAACAAAAATGAAATGCTTTTGCAGTTCGGGGTACTGTATTCATTACGAATCGTAGAAAATCCTACAATATTTCTACCGAACTGCAAAAAAGGTACTGTAGATAAGTACAGTAATACTGAAAAAAAACAAAAATTATACAGTATCCCGAACTGCAAAAATCTTGTTACCTAATATGTACAAATCTTGCAGTTCGGGGTACTGTAGCTACAGTAATCTTCAAAAAAAACAACAAAATTTATAAAGTCACAAACTGAAAAAATCTTGTTTTTCAAGTACAAATTTTGCAGTTCGGGGTACTGTAGCTACAGTAAACTTTGATTTTGTTCCAGATTCAACCACCCGCACCCAAATCCTTCGCCATCCAACGTCTCCACCAAATTCACCCACCTGAACAACAATTGAACCCAGAACATCTAAGTGCTCCGCTGAAAATCCCACATCTCAAAATCCCCTTTGCTCCAGCTCCGGCTCAAAAACTAGGCTCAGGATCAAGCCCAGGCCCAGAAGGCCCCCTGAAGATAACACATTCCGCACAGAACCAACTCTTTCCGGACCTTCCGCCAATCGTTCCGCAAGTCGTTCCGCAAGCGCAAAAATTCCAGCAATTTTTGGAGCAGAATCCGAATCTCAACACAATTCTCAAATCGATTGTGCAAAAAGGTGCCAAGACTTTGCCGGAATCTGTGGGTACGGTAAACCGCGACGCAACCGCGTCGCATCTCCTCAGTCCGCAAATGTGGTCGGACGCGGCGAAATACTTTGCCGCTTCTTCGAATGATCTACCCACTGCGCTCTCGAATTTCATCGAGAAATCGGGAGCTGCGCAAATTCTTCCGCGTTCCGCGGCGGCTTCCGCGCGTCAACACGACGGCGCGTTGGATAAATACGACACGCATATCGATCGATTTGCCACGTCAGGACCGGCGAATCGTTGGGAGGTCGCGTCGATTCCGCAGCAGCCAGTCATCAAGACTGTGCAGCCGCCTCCCGGAACCGCTGTGAATATGCCACTGCCTGTTGAGAGCCCGAAAGGTTTGCAGATAGGGATGCCGACGATGCCGCCGTCAAGCGGATATCACACGTATGCACCGGCACCTGCGGCGATTGTGCCGCAGGTTGTGCCGGTTTTGACGCCGGAGGAGATTACTGGGTCTTATAGGTGAGTGGGGGTAGAGATGCAGAGAAAGCAGAGAGCTAGAGATTCGAATTAAATGGGAGATACACTCGAGCTGGTCAGAGACGCAGAGAAGCTAGACGGTTAGAATGTGCAATTTTTAAAGGGACATACACTCACTAAGCTCGAGCGTTTTATTTTTCACTGTTTCAAAATTTATTTGTGAACTCATTTCAAAACTCGTGGAAAAAATTTTACGCTGAAAATCATGAATTTACTGGAATTCGCTGAAAATTGAGTTTTTCATGATTTTCAGCACAAAATTTCAGTCTACAGAAGCAGGGACATTATCAGATCCCGAAAAACCTATTTAAACATATCCAAATTTTGAAACAGTAAAAAATCTTCTAAATCAAAATTTTGCGCTGAAAATCTTGAAGCTACTGAAAATCGCTGAAAATTGAGGTTTCCATGATTTTCAGCACTAAATTTCAGATTAGAAGTTGCATTTGAAATGGATCAGAAAAACCTTCGCAAAACTTTTAAAAATTTTGAAACAGTAAAATTTTTAGATCAAAATTTTAAAAATCATGAAACGACTGAAATTCGCTGAAAATTGAGATTTTCTAGATTTTCAGCACAAAAAATTTCAGATTAGAAGTTACAATCGTTATATCAGATTTCAAAAAAACCTTCGGAAAACTTATCCAAATTTTGAAACAGTGAAAACATTTTCTAGATCAAAATTTTGCGCTGAAAATCATGAAACTACTGAAAATCGCTGGAAATTGGGTTTTTCATGATTTTCAGCACTAAATTTCAGATTAAAAGTTACAATCGTAATATCAGATTCCGAAAAAACCGTCGGAAAACTTATCCAAATTTTGAAACAGTGAAAAAATCTTCTAGATCAAAATTTTGCGCTGAACATCATGAATTCACTGATAATAGCTGAAAATTGGGTTTTTCATGATTTCCAGCACAAAATTTCAGTCTAGAAGGTATTTTCAGCCTAATATCAGGTTCCAAACATTTTTTCGGAAAATATATCCAAATTTTGAAACAGTGAAAAAATTTTCTGGATCAAAATTTTGCGCTGAAAATCATGCTGTAATTTTCAGACAACCAATACATCCGATTCTCAATCAACGTCTTCCAAACGGCCAATTTCGAAATGTGAAAATCGATGCGATAAACGAGCAAAGATTGAAATAATTTATTGATTTTTTTTATTTTTAAATTTTAAAAATGAAAAACCTGTACAGTACTGGCAAGAAAATTTACTGGAATTTTTTTTTAATTTGAAAAAAATCGCTCCAAAACATCAACAACAATCGGCGACTTGTCCCTCAACAAACGGAGTTCCGGTAAATAGAAAATAGCCAACAGAAGTGCCAAAAACGACGGATAAAATCAGGTTGACATTAAATGTCATGACAATTAACATGAGCACGTAGGCTAACAGCATTTGAATACCGTATAATCCGCATTGTGCTAATCGATATTTGGTGAAAAGTTTGCGAATGTAGCTGGAGAAAATATGGAAAATTTGAAGAAATTTGGTTGAAAATTTGGATTTTTTAGATGAAATTTGAGTGAATTTCGCATTTTTAGGTCAAAATTTGGAATTCTAGGTCACTATTTGGCTTTTTAGGCCAGGAGTTTGGTTTTTTAGGCCATGAAAATCACGAATTTGGTTTCCTATGCCAGAATTTGGTTTTCTAGGCCACGGTTTGGATTTCTTGGTCATGAAAATCACGAATTTGGCTTTCTAAGCCAGAATTTGGTTTTCTAGGCCACGGATTGGATTTCTAGGTATTGAAAATCACGAATTTTGCTTCCTAGGCCAGGAGTTTGGTTTTCCAGGCCATCAAATGTATTTTATGGGTTTCTAGGCCACTATTTGGATTCATTAGGCCATGAAAATGAAGCATTTGGTTTTCTAGACCAGGATATGGTTTTCTAAGCCACAGATATTGAATTATCGGATTTCTAGGCCACGGGTTGGATATCTAGGTCGAAAAAATCACGAATTTGGCTTTCTAAGCCAGAATTTGGTTTTCTAGGCCATTATTTGGATTCTTAGGCCACGGGTTGAAATTCTAGGTCATGAAAATCGTGAATTTGGCTTCCTAAGCCAGAATTTGGTTTTCTAGGCCACCAGAAAAATTTTACGGGTTTCTAGGCCACAATTTGGATTCTTAGGCCAGACCAAAAAACAAATTTTGAGATTTCTAGGGCATTTTTGAACTCTTGGACACAAAAAATCTATTTTTCAACAATTTTTTCAATTTTTCAAATTTCCCGCCCAAAAAAACTCACCCAGAAAACTGAACAATTGGAGCAATATGTGCTCGTTCATCAATTTCCTCCGAATCCGCTGTCGACTCGCCAATTCCCATCGCTCGTTTCTGTTTTTCCCAAATCGCCAGAAAATATCGAAAAGATTTGATGGCTTCGTAGAGAATACAGAGGAGAAATGTGATGAGCATCGAGACGGCCATTCCCAACACCGAACCAGTTTTCCACCAGGAGAAAAGGATTTTTTCGCGATCCCCAAAGTGTAGCGTCATATCCATGTCCATTTTTGCTGAAAATTAATTTTTTTTACAGGAGAAGGTTTAACCAAAAAAATCAATATTTACATCTGTTCAAACATGGGTAAACACGCATTAAAACCTGTGCAATTTGTGTGATTGCGAAAAAAAAAAATAAAAGTGAGAAGAGCATGTGCGCTCCACCGAACAGCGCGGCAATTTGAATATTCAATTTTTTTGTGTTTTTCATCATTTTCCCACTAAACTTGAGTCTCAATGATCTTTGCAATTGAAGAATGTGGGAAAAACTTATGAATTTTAAATATCGCATCATTTTTTGCACAATTTTTCTACTAATCTCACAAAAAAATTTGTCGTTCCTCCCCGTTTTTTTCGCGGCTAATCACCTTGACAACGCGCACAACATTTCAAGAAAATTCAGTTTCCCTCTCTCTGAAAATTCAGTTTCCTACTAAAATTTGAAATGGCTCAAAAATTTCCGTTTTTCGTCGAAAATTTGGAGGATTTGAATTGCACAATGCACATGATGCAAGCGGTGAGAGTTATGCAAAATCAGATGGAGGCGAAGGCGGCGGTGGTGAGTTTTTTGGTATCAAAATGCTCGAAATTTTTCCAAAACTACGAATTTGGCCCTGAAAATCCCTAATTTTCAGGCCAATAAATTCGGCGCTGATATGTATGCAATCACAATAATCGGAGCATTCGCCTCAATTATCATTCTTCTAATGTTCCGCTCAATTCGACCGCATCAAAGTGTAGATGATCAGGTAAACCCCCGATTTAAATAGATAATTTCACACAACGCAAAACAATGCACGCGTGGCCGAGTGGTAGCGCGTTCAGTTTTGAACTAGCAAATCGCGAGTTCGGTTCCTGCCGCGAGCAAAAATTTTTTTTTTGCAGGTAACATTGATGATGGCCTCAATGCAAATGCGTGTAGAAGTCGATGAGATGGCTCGACAAAAACAAAAAATGAAGGAGGCGAAGAAAAAGGCGCAGGAATGGATCAAAGAATTGAAGGAGCGAAGTCGGCGGTCGCTTTCACGCAGCTCAAAACGTAGCAAATCCACGTGTGACACGCCGCCAGTTACAATTGGTGAGTTTTAGGATTTTTTAAAAATTGATTTTTGAACGGTTTCTCCTTCCAGAAGACCAATTCCGTCGACTAAATCAATTGCTGGTCCCTCGCACCCCAAGCCTCATCAAAAAAACCTATCAAAAATGCTCAATCCCTGATGATGCCACGTCATCAACCTCAACTCGTCAAAGTATTTGCAGTGCGCCCACTCAACATTTCCTCGGCACCGATCTTCCGGCTCGCCCAAAATCTCATCTCGGATTCGTTCCCGAAATCGTCGTGACTCCCGAGACGAAATATCGATTATTGCTTGCGCCGCCTGGAAAAAATCGGCGAACATCTATGCAACCTCAAAGAAACTTCTTGGAAACTCGCAAATCCTCGATTTCTAGCTACAATTCATTTTCTCCGTCGCTGCTCGAAGAGTTCGTTTTCCAATTTCCTGATACGCCCAACGACTCGCCACCTTTTGACTTATCAATTTGACCCCACAAACTTCTCCGAAAAAAAAGATAAAAATATTTTTTTTATAAAAATAAATTATTTTTTGAATTTGTGTGTCGCTGCAAGACCTTTCTCTTTTTCAGTGTGCGCCTTTCCTGTGTATACGGTATAAAAATAATTTTTTTATTTTTCAATTGTTTTTTGCGCGCCAGCGGGAAGAAACTTGTATCTAAGTAGATTCCTATCAAAATTGACCTAGTCGACTCTCTAAATCTCTCCTCCCCTCAAATCTCTCTCCATTTTCATCTTTTTGTTGGTTTTTCGGATCTAAAGAGGCATTTTACCAATTATAAGTTTCTTTTCCAACTTTTTTTTCATTGATTTTTTGCCTCCTCAAAAAGCAAAAAATGCTATCGGTCAGTGCTGCTTATCAACTCAAAAACTTTATTTGATAAACATATTTTCTCCCACACTTTTTTTTTCAAAAAATCAGCAAAAAAAGAATTTTCTAGAAAATCACATTTTCCTTTGGTGAATCATAGGCTTTTGTTTTTTTTATTTTTGGGGATAAACATGTTTTTGTGGATTTTTTACAAAAGCCCGGGTTTTGTGCAAATCGAACTTCCAGAGTTCACTAGAGCGTATTTGCACTTTCAAGAGACAAATGCGCTCTATTGAACACTCAAAAGCTTCTAGATGTGCATTTTCGCTCTGCTGAACTCTCAGAAGTCAGAAAAACCACAATTTTTCTGTAATTGAGAATCTGCGCTCTACCGAACTTTTGAAGATTCAAAACATTTTTAAAAATCCTCCAAAATTACACGAGCAATCGCGCTCCCCTGATAAAAAATCAGCTGAAGTTTTTTTCATTTTTCTCTCAATCAAAAATTTCGAAATAGTCATAAAAAATCATGATTTTTGTTTTCCCACGAAAATCGATTCGAAAAAATTTTTTGCTAGCGGAGTTTTCCCCGAAAACATATTTCTGAAAACAGCTGAAAATTTTCGAAATTTCAGGCACTTTCAGTCAATTATTTTCAAGCAAAAGTGTCGTACTTGCATATTTTGAAATAATAGTGTCAACAAATGCGCTCTATTGCGAATTTGTGTGTGTTTGTGGTAAACAAGAGACAGAGCGAACTTCTTCTCTTCTCTCTCTATTTTTCTATTTTCCACACACACACACACTTGGTGGTTTTTTTTCATTTGTCATCAGTTTTCGAGCGCAGCATTTTTTGCTGGTCACGCCCCACTTTTTTTTTTAGTTTTGAACAAAGTAGTTAGCCTAACTATGTACAGGTTTCCCTGTTAAAAATTAATCTATTTTCTTTTGATTTTTGCAAATAAATCAAAAGAATCTATAAGGAAGTGTGATTTGTATTGATTTTTGATCAGTTTTAAATTTTCCTTAGCTCCGAAAAATAATTGATTTTGGCAGGCAGGAAATTTGATATTTTCGGTTAGCTGTGAAGCTAGGGAAAAATTGGTTTTAGTCGAAATTCCTGAATAAGAATGAGTTTAGGTTTTGAAATTGAGGATATTTTGCTGAGAAATATTGTGAAATGATTTCATGGATCTAAAAATTGATGTTTTTCATCCTAGAAAAGCCAAAACCTATTTGATCGACAATTTTTCATGAATTTCTTCTCCGCAACTCTGAAAATTGGATTCTAGACTCAGAAAATCAAGTTTTACACGATTTTTCGATCCAGAATGATAAGAATTCGAATTTTCCAGCTTTCACTAAATAAATTTCTGAAAAATCATAGTGAAATATACCAAATCGACCCAACTGATCAAGATCCTGAAGTCAAAAATTGCCACAAACCCCTGTGAGCACTTTGGAGCTCCAGAAAAATGCTCATGGTGATTTTTGACTTCAGGATCGTGAATAGTTGGGTCGATTTGGTATATTTCACTATGATTTTTCAGAAATTTATTCAGTGAAAGCTGGAAAATTCGAATTCTTATCATTCTAGATCGAAAAATCGTGTAAAACTTGATTTTCTGGGTCTAGAATCCAATTTTCAAAGTTCCGGACTAGAAATTCATGAAAGATTGTCGATCAAATAGGTTTTTGGCTTTTCTAGGGTGAAAACATCGATTTTTAGATCCATGAAATCATTTCACAATATTTCTCAGCATAATTCGATTTTCCACTATTTTTCCACCTCGAAATCTCAATTTTCACACATTTTTTATTGAAAAAATGATGAATCACTTCATTTTTGCAAAAACAAATAAAAATTTTGACACTTTTTCGAATAAATATTTAGTGATTCATCATTCTTTGATGAATTTTCTGGAGATTTTCTGGCCTTTTGCCAAGCCACGCCCCTTAGCTTATTTTTTTTTCATCTATGATTCATTTCTGTTGTTTTGTCTCACAATCAATCAATCTTGTGATTTTCATTTTTTTTCCCGGAAAAAATCTGAAGTTTTTCCAGATTTTTGTATTTTTCCTCATCATATTTAATCAACAAATCTAAATCTTGTACAAAAATTATTGGACACAGCCATGAAAAAATCGGATTTTTTCATTCTCCTCTCAACTATCAGCTGCTTTTTGCTGGTTGTTGTTGAGGGCGTTTCGCAACCTATCAAAAGTGAGTTTTTTATTTTTGAAAATCATGTGAGAAAAAGTTCAAGTCTGGCTGAAATTTTGATGGTTTTGTGCAAAGTTTGAGCGAGTTTTTGATGATGACGTGGATTTTGATTTTTATCGCTTGCCCCAGATGAACTTTTGATAAAAATATCGAAATATACAAAATCGATCATGCTTTTCACGATCCTCAAGTTGAAAATTGCCTGTGCGCATTTTTCGGAAGTTGGAATTGAGTTTCAGTTTTCACCATGTTTCAGGGTGAAAGAGGACTTTTATAACTTGGATAATATGTTGTTGAGCACTTTCGAATGGATTTTGAGCTTTTGCTTCATTTTTAATGGGCCTATGCAGAATAATATTTTTCCTATGCAGAAAAACGTCGAAAAAACAAAATATACAGTTTATTATTTTGAGTAGAGACAATGTGAAATTGAGAGAGTGCAGACAGTTTTTTGTATTTTTTGTGCGAAAAATACAAAAAACTGTCTGAGATCTCTCAATTTCACATTGTCTCTGCTCAAAAATAGTAAACTGTATATTTTGTTTTTTCGACGTTTTTCTGCATAGGCCCATAAAAAATAAAGCAAAATCTCAAAATCCATTCGAAAGTGCTGAACAATATATTATCCAAGTTATAAAAGTTCCCTTTTCACCCGGGAACATGGTGAAAACTGAAACTCAATTTCAACTCCAGAAAATTGCTCACGGGCAATTTTCAACTTCAGGATCATGATAAGCATGGTCGATTTGGTATATTTCGATGTTTTTTATCGAATTTTCATCTGGGGCAAGCTATGAAAATCAAATTCGACCAGGAAACATTCCCACGTCATCATATTTAAAATAAAAAACGTGACGTGACCTAGAAAACCACCACGTCAATTTATTGATTTTTGAAAAAAAAAGTCATTTTTCACATTTTTTAATTCTAGAAACGTCTAGAAATAGAAATAGTGAGTCAGAAAATTGAGAATTTTTCAAAATCCCGGAATTTTCCAGCAAGTTGTGCCAGCAACGAGACATTCCAATGCGACGACGGTCGTTGCATTCCACTAGCGTGGCGCTGCGACGGCGACATCGATTGTCGAAACGAGGAGGACGAGCGCAATTGCCCGAGCACATGCTCGGCAAGCGAGCACAAATGCGGTGAGGCGCCAGGCAAATCGAGCCGAATGGCCATCGAACGATTCAAGTGTATTCCGGAAAAATGGGTTTGTGATGGAGAGTTTGATTGTGAGGATAAGTCGGATGAGAAGGGATGTAAACGTGAGTTTTTTGAGGGGGAAATGGGTTTGGGTGGCCTAGAAAACCAAATCTTGACCTAGAAAACCGAATATGTGGTTTTGGTGGCCTAGAAAACCAAGTAAATTGCTGCGATGGCCTAGAAATCCAAATTCTAACCCAGAAAACCAAATACATGGTCTAGGAAACCAAATTATGGTCTAGAAGCTCGAAATCCCATTCTTCGTGGCCTAGAAAACTAAATCATGACCTAGAAAACCAAATACCTGGTTTTGGTGGCCTATAAAACCAAATACATGAATTTGGTGGCCTAGAAAACCGAATACCTGTTTTTGATGGCCTAGAAAATCGAATACATTGTTTTGGTGGCCTAGAAACCCAAATTCTGGTCTAAAAGCTCAAAATCCTGTTCTCAGTGGACTAGAAAATCAAGTACATGGTTTTGGTGGCCTAGAAATCCAAATCATGACCTAGAAAACCGAATAAACGGTTCTGGTGGCCTAGAAATCCAAGTGAATTGTTGCGATGGCCTAGAAAACTAAATATGTAGTTTTGGTGGCCTAGAAAATCAAATTATGGTCTAGAAGCTCAAAAACCCATTATTCGTGGCCTAGAAACCCGAATTCTGGTCTAGAAAACCGAATACATGGTTTCGGTGGCCTAGAAATCCAAATACATGATTTTGGTGGCCTAGAAATCCAAATTCTGGCCTAGAAGCTCAAAATCCCATTATTCGTGGCCTAGAAAACCAAAACTAACCTAAAACTTCGATTTTAACTCAACATCAAAAATTCAGCTGAAAGTTCTTGAAACAAAATTTCGAAAAAAAACAGAAATTTTGACGAAATTTGATGAAAATTCCCTTTTAGATCCGAATTTTTCAACAAAAATCCAAAATGTTCCGTTTTTCAGAAGTCTCATGCGACTCGAATCAATTCAAATGCGACGATTTCGACGGCGAATACAATCTGTGCATTCCAAAAACGTGGGTTTGCGATGGTCAACGCGATTGTGCCAACGGACAAGACGAAAAAGAGTGTAAACAGGGCAAATGTGCCAAAACCGATTTCGCGTGCAACAATGGAAATTGTATATTTGGAAGTTGGAAGTGTGACGGTGAAGATGATTGTGGAGATGGATCGGATGAATTGATTGGCGGACTATCGATGTGTAATACAACTGTTTCGAATTGTGATAAAAATGATATGTGGAAGGTGGGGGAATTTGGGAGGTTTTGATGGAAAAATTGTGAAAATTCAACCAGAAATACCTGTTTTCATTGAAAATTTTCGATTTTTTCATTTTTCGGCGATAAAAATGGCTCAAACTAGTCAAAACGAACGAAAAAATGTTTTTAAATGTTTTTTTAACATTGAAAGATCAATTCACGAAAAGTCAAAAAATGAAAACATTGTAGATTAACAGTTTTGAGTTTTTCAGCCAAAAATGATGAGATTTTCAAAGCTTCCGGATTGATTTCTGATGAAAATTGAGCTTCAGAAGTTTTTTTTTAATTTTCAAATTTTTCAGAACTTCAAAAAAAGGTAAAATAGGGTTCTGGAAGCTTATTTTCATTAGAAATCACTGCAGAAGAATCAGAAATCTCGATTTGTCATCATTTTTGACTGAAAAATTTGAAAAACTAATTTTTACCTACAATGTTTTTCAGAATTGATCTTTCGATGTTAAAAAAACATGTTTTTTTTAATTTTTTGGCTCCTGAAACAGCCCCTAATGAAAAATCAACTATTTTGACTAGTTTGAGCCATTTTTGGCCCCGAAAAGTGAAAAAAATCGGATTTTTGGAGCCAAAACCAACTTTTCAGCCTAGAAGTTATCCTAACTCACTCGAAAAACATCTCCAAAATATGATTTTTCGCAAAAGTGTACCTGTGATCCGCGTTTTCCAGCAGAAAATTAAGAAAATTAAATTTTTTTTCCAGCAGAAAATTGAGAAAAATTAAACTTTTAGCCAATTTTCAAGCCTAGAAGTTATCCTAAAATTTGTTTACTCCACCCTGACTTGCATTAACTCGATACCTTTTTGTTTATTTTTTTTCTCTGCGATCCAAACAAATTTGTTTACAATTTTGGCTAGATTTTTAATTGGTTTATTCAAAAAATAAATAAAAGTGCACGGAGGTCCAAAGTTTCAAATTTCTTATCAAAAAAAGAATTTTTTTTTCGATAAAAAATGCACACAAAAATTGGGGGATTGTGAAGAAAATTTGCAAAAAAATCAAGAAAAATTTGAATTTTCCAATTTTCCAGTGTCGATCCGGCGATTGTATTCCAAAAAGATGGCATTGTGATGGTGAGACTGATTGTTTGGATCATTCGGATGAGAAGAATTGCACTGAAGTCAAGCACACGTGTAAATTGAATGAGGTGAGAGCATTTTGAGCCGAAATGGTCGGATTTTGGGTTTCTAGGCCAGGAAAATGTTGAAAACCACAAAATTTTGACCTAAAAATACTTATTTTTATTGGGTTTCAAGGATTTTTGTCTATTTTTTACCAAAATTTGAATTAAAGCTTTGAAAAAACTCAAAAATCCCAAATTTTGACCTGAAAATCCAGTTGAAATGTTCAAAATTGGCCCAATTTCACTCATGGCCGAGCTTGGGTTTCTAGGCCAACTAAATCATTTTTTCTTGGATTTTTGTCTATTTTCCAACAAAATTTGATTAAAATCTTTGGAAAATCTCAAAAATCCCAAATTTTGACCTAAAATACTGAAAATTATCAGAAAAATCTTGTGATTTTCTTAAAAAAATGGCATATTTTGCACTCAAAAACCACCTTTTTTTCCCAGGAATTTGCTTGCAAAGCCTCAAATGCTTGTATCTCAAAAGCCTTTATTTGTGATGGCGACGAAGATTGTCCAGATGGTTCAGATGAAGCTGATTGCACTGATTTCCGCTCGGAATGTTTGGAAGGTGAAAGATCGTGTCCACCAACATATGGTGCTTATGGAACTGGTTCTGGAAGACATATTTGTATCCCGAGCAGCTCGTGGTGTAATGGAATTGAGGATTGTCCGGATGGTGGAGATGAGAGAGGATGTAATAAGAGTGTTGGTGAGTTTTTCAAACTCTCTAAAATTTGCCGGGATTTTCTACCAGAATATTTGAATTTGGAATTGTTCCTCAAATAATCAAATCATCATGAAATAATTTTTGACAAAAAATTTGGGAAATTTTTGAAACGTATCAAATTTGGAATTTTTTCACTGTTTCAAAAAATCAATAAAATTCAAAAAAACTTAATTTTGCGATTTTCTTCATCAAATTCATTTCTAAAAAAAAACGGAAATTTTTTTGTTTTGAAATTTTTTAAAGAAAATCTGAATTTGGAATTCTCTCAACCAATCAATGAATGCAATAATCATGAAATAATTTCTGAAAAAACATTTGGGGAATTTTTGAAACGTACAAAATTTTGGATTTTTTTCACTGTTTCAAAAATCTTCAAATGTTCAAAAAAATTTAATTTCGAAGTTTTTTCTTTCCAAATTTATATAAAATCAGAAAATTGCTGGAAATGTTTCATGTTTTCCGAAATTTTCTACCAGAAAATATGAATTTGGAATTTTCTCAACCGATAGATAGAATAATCATGAAATAATTTTTGACAAAAAATTTGGGAAATTTTTGAAACGTTTTTTGAAAAATAAATGTTGTATTTTTTTCACTGTTTCGAAAATCTTCAAATGTTAAAAAATATTTAATTTTGCGATTTTTTTTCAATTTCATTTCTAAAAAAACTGAAAATTGCAGTTAAAGCCTGGAATTTTTCTTCTGAAATTTGCAGTCAAAATTGTCTTTATTCCGAAATTTTCTGGCAGAAATTCTGAATTTTGAATTTTTCTGAATCAATGAATGGAATAATCATGAAATAATTTTTGACAAAAAATTTGGGAAATTTTTGAAACGTAATAAATTTTGTATTTTTTCACTGTTTCATAATTTTTTATGTTCAAAAAAACTTAATTTCGCGATTTTCTTTCTCAAATTCATCTCTAGAAAAAAACGGAAATTTTTTTGTTTTGAAATTTTCAGCTAAAATTCCGAAATGCTCTAAAATCTGAATATAAAAATTTGGGTAATTTTTCACTGTTTCAAAAATTTTATGAAAAAACTTAATTTTGCGATTTTCTTTTTCAAATTCATTTCTAAAAAACGGAAAATTGTAGCTGAAGCCTGGAATGTTTCATATTTTCCGAAATTTTCTACCAGAAAATCTGACTTTCGAATTTTTTCCACAAACATGCAATAGAAGAATCATGAAATAATTTCTGAAAAAACATTTGGGGAATTTTTGAAACGTAATAAATTTTGTATTTTTTTCACTGTTTCAAAAATTCAATCTTCGCGTTTTCTCTTTTCAAATTCATTTCTAAAAACAACTCAAAATTGTAGTTAAAGCTGGGAAATTTTTGAAACGTATCAAATCCAGTATTTTTTCACTGTTTCAAAAAAAATCAATAAAATTCGAAAAATTTTCCAGCCGACTGCAAAAAAGGCATCGAATTCAAATGTCCCTCTTCGCCCCTCCAATGCTTCAATAATACGGATTTGTGTAAAAGCGCGAGATTTGATTGTGGTGATGGAGATTTGTCGGTTTGCGCTAATAAAAATGTGATTGGTGAGTTGGATTGAGAAATTTGAATCTAGGTCATTTTTAGGTTAAAATCAGGATTACCCTAAAATTTACCTGAAAATCCTCGATATTTTTGCAGAAATGTGTAAACCTGGTTCAATTGGTTGTACTTGTCATGCCTCATATGTTGCCTCAAATGTGGTTTGTCATTGTAAAGAAGGTTGGCAAAAATCGGATGATGGAGTTTGTGTTGGTGAGTTTTTTCACTTTTTCTCAAAATTTTCGGACATTTGAGCTCGAAAACCGCGATTTCAAGCTGAAATTCGTTGAAAATTGAAAATTTTAAGCCTAAAAATTGGATTTTTTGTCTGAAAATCAACAAGTTTGATGCTGTTCTCTGAATCTCTCACAAAATTGTTTGTTTTTGATTTTTCGCCCACTGTTTTTTTTTTTGCGCTAACTAAACAGTTAGCAAATAAATGAACGAGGAAGCACCGAGGCGCCTTTTTTCGACACAAAAAATGGTCAGCTGCTGATGTTTGCACTGTGATATTGAGAAAAGGTGGAAAAGGGACTTGAAAATTGGGGTTTTGGGGGAGAAAATTGGATTTTTCATGAAAATTGGATGATTTTCAAGCATTTTTGATGTAGAAATCATGAAAAATGATTGATTTTGAGCCGAAATTGACTAAAACTAACAGATGCGCTCTATTGAACTCTACCCGTTACTTGGAAAAATTTGAATTCTCATTTTTTTTCTCTCATTTAATTAAGGTTATTTTCGGCTAAATTCTTAATTTTCAAGCTAAAAAATCTAATTTTGATGAAAACTAGCAAAAGCGCTCTATTGAACTCTATCCGTCCTCTTAAGAATTTCAAATTTTCATTTTTTTTTAAATCAAATTTACTGACTAACGTATTAAGTTTTTTTTTTGCTAAGGTTTAGGTTAATAAATTTATAAAAAGCCCTTAAGCAACCTAAAAATTATTTAAGACTACCCTAAATCCCATAATCCTCTCCCCGAATCTCTCAACTTTCTTCTTAATTTAATTTGAGCTATTTTTGGCTAAAATCTTAATTTTCGAGCTAAAAAAATAAAATTTTGATGGAAACTAGCAAATACGCTCTATTGAACTCTCCCCCCCCTCCCGTTTTCTTAAGAATTTCAAATTTTCATTTTTTTTTCCCTCTGACGAACTTTCAACTCTTCAGACATCAATGAATGCGACGAACCTGGAACATGTGATCAAATCTGCGTCAACACACCCGGCTCATATCGTTGCTCATGTCATTCGGGATATAAGCTAAGTTTCGGCGCCGAACGAATTCCGAACAGATGTCGCGCGATGGGCGGCGATCCAATTGTTTTGCTATCGAATCGCGTCTCGATTCGACAATTCGACCTCGTCACCAATTCGCATCAACCATTGTCCAATAATCCCGGAAGTGCTGTTGCCATGGATTTCCATTTTACTAATGGAGTGAGTTTTTTTGGGAGGAAAATCTGAAATTTATCTAATTTTTCTTTACAGACTTTGGTTTGGTCCGACATGACAACGAAGCAAATTTTGATGTGCAAAATTGGTGGAAAAGCTGGTTCAAATAGTGATGATAAGATTTTGACGAGCCAATCGGTGAGTATTTTCGCTCTAGAAATTTGAAAAAATTTTACTGTTTCAAAAAATTTATAAATTTTTTTCCAGATTTTTTTTTTAATTGATAGGAATATGGTACAATAAGGAATTTTGCGTTGAAAATTATGAAACCCCCGAAAATTGAGAATTTCATGATTTTAAGCGGAAAATTTTGATCTAGAAATATAAATTCTCAAATTTTTTACTGTTTCAAAGAATTTATGAATTTTTTCGTGTTTTTTTTTGGATATTTTACAACATAATCTTTGTCGTTAGAATTTCGCGTTGAAAATCATGAAACCGCTGGAAATTGCTGAAAATTTAGGTTTTCATGATTTTAAGCGGAAAATTTGGATCTAGAAATATAAATTCTCAAATTTTTCACTGTTTCAAAGAATTTATAATTTTTTTCGTGTTTTTTTTTTGGATATACGATAACGTTAGTAGTTAGAATTTCGCGCTGAAAATCATTGGATCCTTGATTTTTGATGATTTTCAGCACAAATTCTTGATCTAAACATGGAAAATTCGATTTTTTATTTGGAAAATTCTACTGTTTCAAAGAATTTATAAATTTTTTCGGGATTTTTTTGCATTTGATGAATCAATCAGTAAAAAAAATATTCTTGGTTAGAATTTTGCGCTAAAAATCGTGAAACCGCTGAAAATTGTTGAAAATTGAGGTTTTCATGGTTTTCAGCGGAAAATTTCGATCTAGAAATTTCCAATTTTTTTACGTTTCAAAGAATTCATAACCGTTTAGGGGAATTTTTGAAAAATCTATTAGAACTTCGTTTGCTTTCGAAATTTTACACCGAAAATCATGAAACCGCTGGAAATTATTGAAAGTTGAGGTTTTCATGATTTTAAGCGGAAAGTTCTGATCTAGACATTTGAAAAAAAAAATCACTGTTTCAAAGAATTCATAACTTTTTTGGGAATTTTTTGAAATTTGATACAATATTAGTTATGGTTGCCTAGATTTTTCAATGATTTTCAGCACAAAATTTCAGCCCCTTGAAAGATCATCAGTGATTCTTGACCAAATTTCTGAAATTCAACAAATATGTCAAAAAATAATTTTCCAGTGCGATCAAAATCATTTCGTCGTTCTCAACACGGAAATCAACACTCCAGATGGTTTGGCAATCGATTGGGTTCATGATTTGATGTTTTGGACAGATGGTGGACTCGATCAAATCAATGTAATGCATCTAACAACTGGAAAACGACGAGTTTTGTATTCATCGGATTTGGAAGAGCCCCGAGCGATTGCAGTCGATCCAGATGCAGGACTCATTTTCTGGACTGATTGGGGAAAAGAGGCGCGAATTGAGAGATCTGGAATGGATGGACAACATCGAGTTGTGATTGTGAAAGGAGATCGAATCAAATGGCCGAATGGTTTGGCATTGGATTATGTGGATAAACGAGTTTATTGGGCGGATGCCAAGATTAAGAGCATTTTTAGTTGTGATTATTGGGGACAGAATATCAAGACGGTCCTACATTCACACGAATATTTGAGACATCCATTCTCGTTGGCTGTCTTTGAGGATCGAGTTTATTATACGGATTGGGAACATGATGGAGTTATTACGGTTAATAAGGTGAGTGCGGGGCGAATTTTTTGGTCAAAAAATGTGAATTAGACCCTCTAGACGCTGATCCTTGTCGAAGTGGACCTTTAGGCTCGGCTACTTGACACATAGGTCCTCTAGGTGTGTCTGCTTGACTACTATGATCTCTAGGCTCAGCTCCTTGACACTTGCGTTTTATGGGCTAGCCTCCTTGACAGCGCGCAGCTACTTGAAAACCAAGCTCTATAGGCGCTGATCCTCGTCAAAGGGGATCTATAGATGCGGCTACTTGAAAACTGGGTTCTCTAGGCGTGGCTCCTTGAGACTCCAATTTTCTAGGCGCGGCGACTTTACACATCGATTCTCTAGGCGCGGCTTGACAGTATGTGTCTCTAGGTTATGCTGCTTTAAAACTGGGCTCTCTAGGCGCGGCTCCTTGACAGAGTTGAGCTCTAGACTCGGCTACTTCAGACCTAGTATTTCTAGTCTCGTCTACTTGCGATAGGAGATCTCTAGGCGCTGATCCTTGACAATCCAATTTTCTAGGCGCGGCTACTTGTCACATCGATTCTCTAGGTGTGTCTGCTTGAACTCTAGGCTCTATAGGCGCTGATCCTTGACTACTATAATCTATAGGCGCGAGTACTTGACAACTAGACTCTCTAGGCGCTGATCCTTTACAATAGTGCTTTCAAGGCACTCGAAACATTATTTCACAAAATTTTCAAACAAATCTAGATTTCCCTAGCTAACATCAAATTTCTATTTTTTATTCTTGCAGTTCACTGGCAAAGATGTTCGTACTGTAATGGACAAAGTCGCCTCACCAATGACTGTTCGAATCTATCATCTCCAAGCTCAACCAAATATGACTAATAAATGTCAAGATTCGGATTGTGATCATATTTGTTTGCCACGTGCCGTCTATCGCGAATCGGACAGACACGACGAAAAACCGTGGCATGATCGACCATTCTCGTGTGCGTGTGAAGGAACGAAACCATCGGACATATTGGATTGTGTTGCTGAAATTGAGGCGGCCGCACAGACTGGAATCTCGTTGTTCACTGTGTTTTTGTTCATTTGTATGGGAATTGTGGCGGGAATGGTGAGGCATTTTGGGAGGGTTTTTGAACCTTGAAAATTTCAAAATTTTTTAGAAGATTCTTGGTCCCGGGACATTAAAGGTTTCCTGGAGGTTTTTGGTCCCGGAATCTTGGAAATTTCAAAATTTTTCATCAAAAATCAGATTTTTGGAAGATTCTTGGTCTCGGGACCTTGAAAACTGATTTGAGAGAATTTGAGCTCGGAAACTGGATTTTAGGACAAATTTGGCTCCGGAACCTCAAATTTGAGCGAAAATGAGCCGGAAACTTGAAAATTTGAGAGAATTTGAGCTCGGAACCATGATATTGGGACAATTTTGGCTCTGGAACCCCAAGTTCTGGAATTTTTTGAAAAATTGACTCTGGAAACATGAAATTTCAAAATTTCTCTAGATTTCTAAAGGGTTTCGACCCTGGGAGCTTCAAAACTGGAATTTTGAAAGAACTTGAGCCTGGAATCTTTATTTTGGACAATTTTGGTTCTTGAACTTGAAAACTTGAAAATTTCAACATTTTCGATGAAAATTTGATTTATAAAAGGAGTTTTGACCATGGGACCATTGAAACTTTAATTTTTATCTGGAAATTCAGGTTTTTCGTTATTTTTTGACCCAGAAACCTGGAAATCTTGATTTATGATCATTTTTAGTTCAAATAAATAATTTCGAAACAAATTTTCAGTTAAGAAATTCAAATTTTCACCAATTTTTAACCTAATCTAGCAAATTTCAATATATTTTTTGCAGATCTTTGTATATATGCGTCGCCGTAAACCATCTGGCTCATTCACAGCTCTCAACTTTGAAAATCCGATTTATCGTCGAAACGAGGATGCTCATCAAATGGAAGATCCATTCAGAGATCCATTTTCGGCTGAAATTGGTGAACGAAACAGTAATAATAGTAGTGGATTGCCTGTGTTGGTTGATGATCGAAATTCGGAGGTATGGAGGGGTTTTGGGATAAAAATAAGGTTTTTAGCCAGAAAATCTGGAAATTTTTGAGCTAGAAATACGTGTTTTCCAGAATTTTCTGGGTGAAAATTGAAACATTTAAAAATAAATTATTTTTGATCCTAGAAAAATTTAGAAAAAAGATTTTATCGATTTTTCTAGAAATTTTTCATGATGATTTTTCTGAATTTTTAGTATTTTTTGACTGAAAATTTGGAATTTCAGCCCAAAAATTCTAAAAATCACGCATTTTCAGGCTCAGGAAATCTGGAAAATGAAATTTTTGACTGAAAATTTTGAATTTTTATTAATTTTCTGAAATTTTTCGAAAATTGGCGCTTTTCAGACCTAGAAAATATGGATTTTAAATTTTCAGCCGAAAATCAAGGTTTTTCTTTTTTCTGAATTTTTATGATTTTTCTGAACTTCTAGTATTTTTTGACTGAAAATTCGTAATTTTAGCCTAAAAATTCAAAAAATTACGCAATTTTAGGCCCAGGAAATCAGGGAATTCAAATTTTTTACCCGAACTTTTGAAAAAAAAATCAATATTTTCAGATCCCCAGTCATCTTGGCGTCTAAATTCCATCTCCAGAAAATTTGATTTTTTGCGAAAAATCGTTAATTTTCATGCTCCATTCAAAATTTGCGAAAAAATCGCATAATTTCAGCGATTTCCCCCTATTTTATGTATTTTGTGTGCAATTTTTCCCCAACTTTTTTTTGACACGTGGTATTATTGATTTTTTGCAAGCTGTGAGAACCCTTGGCCTTTTTGTTTTTTAAAATCTTCCCTCCCCCACATATTCCTCATTTTTCATTTTTATGTAGAAATTTCCTTTTAGTTTTTCATGTATTTATTGATTTTCCCGGTTTTTGGGACCTTTTTGGAAAAATTTATGATGAAATGACGTGTAAAAATCGATTATGGCACCCCAAATTTCTATTTTCTATCTTATTTTGCAATGATTCTGTTTTCTTCACTTATTGGTATGTTTGTATTGAATGAAAATGTAAAAATTTTTTGAATTCTTATTAAAAACAACGTGCATATAAAAAAATATAAGTATAATAAACATGTATCAAAATAATTACAAATTTTCTCTAGCAATTTCAATTCTCACTTTTAATTGATTATTTTCATTTTGCAATTTTTCAATAATTCGATTCATATTTCGATCCGAAAATTTTGCATTTTCCAATCGTTTTTTCATTTTTTCAATTTCTTCATTCTCATTTCTTCTACTTTTTCGATTTTCATCCAATAATTTCATTTTTTCATTTTTCCAATCATCCAAATATTGTTCAATTTCATATTCATATTGCAATATTTTCATTTCTCGATTTTCCACATATTTTTGATGATTTTCCACAGCTTCTTCATAATTCAATTTATTTTGTTTGATTTGGAGATTTAAAATCTGCAAATCTCCCTCTTTTTCATCAATCGTCTTTTTCATTGATGTTCGATTTCTCTCAAGTTCCTCGATTTTTCTCGCAAATGCTATATTCTCCTTCTCAATTTCGCTGCATTTCTGGCAAGTTTCCACGATTTTTGTCTCAATTACGATTTCTCTTTGCTCTTTTTGATATTTTCTGGGTGATTCCTCGATTTTTTCCGCACTCTTTTTCTTTTTGCAAAACCATTTTTCATCGATTTTCGCAAAATCGAGAAAATCCTTGGTTTCTTCTCGCAAAAATGGTCGAATTAATTGTGAAGCCTACATATTGAAAAAATAAATACAAATTATTTTTTCAGGAAACAAATAGGGAAATTCTTACATTAATCAATTGAAAAGCAGGAAGAATGACCCAAGTTTCGCGAAAAACATCGATGAAACGCTTCAAAAAATCATCGATTGACTCGAAAACATCTTCGGGCATTTCGAGAAGCACTTTTCTGGAAAAAAACCTTTTTTTTTTACACAACACTTCAAAATTTGATGAAATATTGTTTCTTTTTCGGCATTGCCAGGTTAAGAAAAGAGCTCAAAATTCAAATTTTCAAAATTTTTGGGAAAATTGAGGCATTGCTCATGTTAGAGCAGAATTAAATAATTTTTAAGCATTGCTCAAGCTATAAAAAATTTCAAAGTAAAATCAAATTTTTGGCCGAAAAACTAGAATTTTTCGGCATTGCTCAGGTTAGAAAAGAGCTCAAAATTCAAATTTTCAAAATCTCTGGGAAAATTGAGGAATTGCTCATGTCAGTCAAAAGATACAAACATTTTTTCGATAAATTTTGAAGTTTTTTATTTTCCGCCTGAAAATTCAGCAAAAATAGAAATTTTTTCTGAAAATTCAATGAAAAACTTAGTTTAAAAAATTGAATTTTCAGAGAAAAATGTTCTATTTTTGGTGAATTTTCAGGCGAAAATAAAACACTTTAAAAATGAACTTTTTTCTCCCAAAAGTTATTTTTGAAATGGAGCTATAATGAGCCAATTTTTGAACTATTGAGAGCTCAGAACTTGACTCTGAGGTCCAAAAATTTCAAGGTGTTTTAATTCTACACTAACATGAGCAATTCCTCAATTTTTCCAGAAATTTTGAAAATTTGAATTTTGAGCTCTTTTTTAACCTGAGCAATGCCGAAAAAGTCTAGTTTTTCGGCCAAAAATTTGAGTTTACTTCGAAATTTCTTATAGCCCAAGCAATGCTTCAAGAATATTTAATTCTGTACTAAACTGAGCAATGCCGAAAAATTTTCTGTTCTTTTGACCCCCAAAAGTTGTTTATGAACAAGATTCTTACGGTAATTTCTTGAGAAATCGATCCAAAAGTTTTCTTGTTTTAATTGCTGTTCGATCAGTTGACTTTCCGTCGGTCTGCATTTTTTTGCGATAATGATCATCGAGTTTGAAATGATAATGAGAGCGAATCAGGCCTGAATGGAATTCATTGATTTCAGAATCATTTTTCAGTCTCAAAATAACCAACCATCCGAATGATAATTCAAACCTTCTGTTCGATTTCTCACCATTTGTTGATAACACTTCCCAACCTTCTTACAATCATAAAATTCCATCGAAAACGGGTTATTCATCCAATATTCCATTTCGAAATCATCAATATTCGCCAACCCCAAACTCCAAGCTTTCATTATATTCTTCTTCAAATCCAAATCTTCTTGCCTATCAAAAAATCTTTGAATATTCATCATCATTAAAGTGTACTTCAAAAACACTGCAAAATTCATTGGCTTAAAGAATCGGATCTCTTTACTCTTCGACATTCCAATTGATTTCAAAAATATTCGCACTAATTTTGGAGAACACGTCGTTTTAAACGTCATAATTCCATGAATTGAGGCTAAACCCGTTTTTTCGGCCAATTTTGAATATTTAAATTTTTCAATTATCTCATCAATCTCACTTGCTAAATGATATCCTTTTGTGATATTTCGCATTTCTTCAATTATTTTTGTCTTCTGTTTTTCATGCTCTTCACTTTTCCTTTTTGGCCAATAAATATCACAAACAGCAAACTGGAAGAGTAGAAATTGTGCCTGGATTTGATGATAAACATCTTTTCCATCAGGCGATACAACTTTCATTGCACAATATCCCATGATTAACGGTAGTTCTGTGATACCTTTTGTGATTTCAAAATCTTGAACAATAATAAATCTAGATTTCGAGATATTTAATAAATCTAGCATTGTTTCGAAACATTTTACAGTTATTATCGATCCATTTTTCCGCCATTTTTCCAATTTTTCGTGTTTTTTATCATTTTCATCATCTGATAATACAACATATTCCAGTGCATTTATAACATCTTCATTGAAAAAATGCCATTCTTTCCTATCTTCTTTTTTCGATTCACACAAAAGCCTCAAATATATTGGATTATCCTTTTCATTATTATTGACGCCAGAAAAACCTTGTTTTGACATCATTTCCTGTGCAAATCTCACGGTTTTTTGCGCTAAATCGCACAAAAACTTGAGATTTTCAATATCTTTTCGAGAAGAGACAAATTTCAGCATTTCCTCTGAACAGATCTCGAATTTTTCCGCGAAATAACTTCGAGCATCTTCAATGTTCCAGAGTCTTGAACCAGGTTCGCTTTTTTTATTTTCAGCCAAGTTTTCTGGAAATATTTGATTTATTAAATATTTATTCACAAAAACGTTTACCTTCAACAAACTTTTTAATCCTAGAAATGCATATTTTGGCGTTGAAATCGTTGACAATAAAAATTCTCGATTTTTGAATTCTGAGGCTATATTCCTCTTTGAAAATCCAGCTGAAAATACGCGCCTCAGTCTCCATCATCTTCACCTCGAAATCATCAACCACCAAGTGCAACAAATTTTTGAGAAATGTGAAATTGTCCCATAGAGTATCTCCGTTTTTCAACTTCAACGAGTATCCAAGAATCCCAAGATATTTGAAGGGAGTTGGACTCAATCGATCGACTTCAACTATATTCAACATTGTTGCGCTGGAAATACTTTATTTTCGGGTGAAAACTTGAAAAAACAAGAAAAAGAAAGTAAAAATTCAAATTTTCAATTGCGTGCCACACAAATCGCGTGAAGACCCGTTAAATCGCCTCGAGACATTTCTGGATTTTATTGTGTGCCTTGAAAGTACGGTACCTAAATATTTATTTTTATTTTTTTTTTTCATTTTCATTTTCACCGTTTTTTACACCCAGGTTTGTGTTTTTATCATTTGAACTGATTGATCTTCCTTTTTGTGATATTACAAATGTTCTTTGATGCCACTGAACCCAGAGAATCACAGTTTTAGGCCGGAATTCGATGATTTTTAAGGGCTTGGAAAGAAAAATCAAATTTTTCATGCACTGAATCCTATGGTTCCCTCGATCAAAAAGTGAATTCTGATCGCGATCACTTGAAAGAACACAAAACGATCTATGCTGTTTGCAAAAGCACGTGTGTATTTTCTCCGTTTTTCTCTGCACCTCCAAATCTCTCGCTTCTTATCAAAAAACACATTTTTTGTTTTATTTATTGTTAGTTTCTTCTTCAGAATCTCTCATTTTGTATTTCATAAAATTTTCAGAAATGAGCAGCGCGGCAGCACGCGGAATTATGAGCCGAATGGGTGGCGGATGTTGTCCGCATCACGCGCATCCCTCAACTTCGCCATTTCGTTTGGCAAAATTGCATGGAAATCAAGGTTAGCTTCTTTTTTTTTGAAGAAAAATGTTTTATTGTGATATTTTTCAGGTAATACCGATTATGCTTTCGAGATGGTTTGTTCGACTTTGAGATTTGGAAAAGGTGTCACTTTGGAGGTTAGTGAGTCCGAAAGAACTGGAAAAATGGCCTAGAAAACCGAAAATATAGTTTTTACGGCCTAGAAATCCAAAAATAATAGAAACCAAAAATATGCTTTTGGTGGCCTAGAAAACGAAAAATGTGTTTCTGGTGGCCTAGAAATCCAAAAATTTGCATCTGGTGGCCTAGAAATCCAAAAGCATGGCCTAGGAAACGAAAATGTTACTTCTGGTGGCCTAGAAATCCAAAAATGTGCTTCTGGTGGCCTAGAAAACCAAAACCACAATTTTGATGGCCTAGAAATCCATAAATTTGCTTCTGGTGGTCCAGAAAACCAAAAAATGCTTCTGGTGGCTTAGAAAACGTAAAATATAGTTTTTATGGCCTAGACAACCAAAAGCATGGCCTAGGAAACCAAAAAATGCTTCTGGTGGCCTAGAAAACCGAAAATATGCTCCTGGTGGCCTAGAAATCCAAAAATGTGCTTCTGGTGGCCTAGGAAACCGAAAATATGCTTATGGTGGCCTAGAAATCCAAAAATGTGCTTCTGGTGGCCTAGAAAACGAAGAATATGCTTATGATGGCCTAGAAATCCAAAATCATGGCCTAAGAAACCAAAAATATGCTTCTGGTGGCCTAGAAAACCAAAAACATGGCCTAGAAATCCAACGATTTGCTTCTGGTGGCCTAGAAAACGAAGAATATGCTTCTGGTGGCCTAGAAATCCAAAAATGATCTTCTGGTGGCCTAGAAAACCAAAAATTTGCTTCTGGTGGCCTAGAAAACCACGCCCGCTCCGAAATCCTAAATTTTCCAGATCGGTCACGACATTCGTCAACTCGGCGCCAAAAAAACCCTCCTCCTAACCGATAAAAACGTTCAAAAAACGATCGCCTTCCAAAACACCGAACTCGCCTTGCAAAAAGTCAACGCCGACTACGAAGTCTACGATAATGTGCTCATTGAGCCAACCGACAAATCAATGCAACACGCGATTTCCTACGCAAAATCCAAAAATTTCGATAGTTTCATTGCGGTCGGCGGAGGAAGTGTGATTGACACAACAAAAGCAGCGGCGCTCTATGCGTCGAATCCCGAAGCGGATTTTTTGGATTTCGTGGGACCGCCCTTTGGAAAATCTCTTCAACCAAAGAATCCGATGCTTCCGCTGATTGCGGTTCCAACAACTGCTGGAACTGGATCGGAAACTACCGGAGCTGCTATTATGGATCTACCAGAGCATAAATGCAAGACTGGTATTCGATTGAGGTGAGTTTCAGATGGCCTAGGAATCCAAATCTCTTCCATTTTTCTAGATGCATTAAGCCATATCTGGCAATTGTGGACCCATTAAACGTGATGAGTATGCCACGAAATGTCGCAATTTATTCTGGATTCGACGTCTTATGCCACGCTTTAGAATCGTTCACCGCATTGCCATATCATCAAAGATCGCCACGTCCAGCAAATCCACAAATTCGACCGGTTTATCAGGGTTCAAATCCGATTAGTGATGTTTGGAGTAAAGAAGCGTTGAGGGTAAGGTTTACGTGGATGGGATTTTCTAAATTTTTCTGGAAAAAATCGTCAAACCTCCTAAATTTTTGGGTGAAAAGGGCAATCGCGCTCTACTGCGAATTTAGGCGCTGGGGAATTTAAAAAAAATAAATATAGGAGGCTACTGAAAATCCTGAAACTATATCATGTTGGGTGTCTAAAATCGTCAAACTTTGTGGGAAATCTGAAAATGACATCAAAAACTTCTAGAACTCCCCGGCTGAAAGTTCTGGAAGGGGTTTGAATGTCATTTTCAGATTTCCCACGAAGTTTGACGATTTTAGACACCCAACATGATATAGTTCAGAATTTTCAGTAGCCTCCTCTATTTATTTTTGAAAAAAATTCCCCAACGCTAAAGTTTGCAGTAGAGCGCGATTGCCTATTTCCATCCTAAATCCAAATTTCTTGCAGATAATCGGAAAATATTTCCGTCGCTCAGTCTTCGATCCAACCGACGAAGAAGCGCGCACCGAAATGCTCAAAGCCAGCTCATTTGCCGGAATCGGATTCGGAAACGCCGGAGTTCATCTATGTCACGGATTGTCGTATCCAATCAGTTCGCAAGCTAAGAAATGTGTGGCTCATGACTATCCGCAGGTTAGAATTATATAGCAAAATGCGTGAAAATTCCCCAAAAACCCTTTAAAATTCAGGACAAAAAACTGATTCCACACGGTCTGTCAGTGATGACAACTGCTGTCGCCGATTTCGAATTTACCACTGAAGCTTGTCCCGATCGACATCTAATCGCTGCTCAACAATTAGGAGCAAATATTCCCGAAAATTCATCGAATGAATACATTTCGAAAACACTTTGTGATCAATTGAGAAGTTTTATGAAAGATTTTGGAGTTCCGAATGGACTTAAAGGAATGGGATTCGAATTTAGTGATATTGGTGAGGGTTTTGGGGAGGGTTTATGCTGGAAATCATGATTTTCAGCGCGAAAATTTCAGCAAAAAAATGATTTTTTTTGTATTGCAATTGTGAATTAAAGGTGTGGTTCGACAAGTCTCAAAAAAACGCTCTGCAAAAATATGCGGTTTGTGATGTTTGGAAGTACGCAAAGGCATCAAACATGACGACAATTTTTTTCTTTTCCCCCTCTCAATGTTTCAACAGAAAAAAAACGTCTCTCGTGTTTTTTTTATTTTTTATTTGTTTTTTCAAAAAATTCAAAATTTCAGCTCTTTTAAATGGAAACGAAATTGAAGAACACGCGCGGAGAATGTGAATTTGACCCAACACTGGAGGAGATGGAAAAGCACCGTAGATTGATGAACGAACGAGAGATTGAAGATTCTAAAAAATGCCTGAAAAAGTTGTTTAAAGAATACGAGGCAACATGTTTATGTGGTAAATGTAATAATTTGGATGACATGGAATATTGCTGCGCGAGTATATTCCCATCAAATGTGAAATTTCAAGCGAACATAGGAAAATTGGTGTCGGAAAAACTCGAAGAGAAATTTTGGAAGGGTGAACACAACAGATGTATTGTTGATTGTGATAATTTCGAAAAATATTTGGACGAGGAAGTGGGTTCTGTACAGGAAAACAATGAATTAATGTATTATTTCAGACTTTGAAAGTGTTCAAAACTGGATATAAGTTTGGATTGGGAATTGATGATAATTCTTGGAAACCAACGTGAGTCAATCTAGTTTTTTTCTAAAATTCATAAGAGTTTATTATAGGAATTACCGATTTTACTCATATTCAATGTTTGTTGCGGATCTCAACTTGAAACTGAAAAAGAAAAGGTTGCCATTGCCTGCTTGCATCATCAAAAGAGTTCGAGAAAAATGGCCATCCTCCAGCTACACCGGTTTTTTATCTGGTTTCACTTTTAATTATGAGAATGATTGTGATTGATAATTTCTTTTATGGGATTTAATCATGAAATTATTGTAATAAAAATGAAGAGTTTTTAGAAAAAAAAGAAAATTGAAGAGTTTTTAGAAAACAAAAGAACATTGAACAGTTTTCAGATAAATAAAAGAAATGTGAAAAATAAAAGAAAATTGACGAGTTTTTAGAAAAAAAAAGAACATTGAAACGTTTTTAGATAAATAAAAGAAAAGTGAAAAATAAAAGAAAATTGACGAGTTTTTAGAAAAAAAAAGAACATTGAACAGTTTTTAGATAGATAAAAGAAAAAGATTTAATCAGCTTCATCTGGTTCATCTGATTCTTCTGCATCACTATCGCTTTCGCTTTTTTCTGAACTTGATTCGAATTCGTCGAAAACTTGCTGAAGCTAAAAAATCACGATCATTTCGATTGAAATTTGAAAAAAAGATATTAACTCACCCTTTTTTCAAAGTAATCTTTGTCGGTCAAATTCTCTAAAGAAAATTCTTCGTCACTGGATTCTTCTTTTTCCTCTTCTTGCAAATTATTCGACTTCTTTGAAAGTTCTTCACCTGGAAAAATATGTTCACTGAATGTTAAAAGTAAAAAAAACTTACCAAAAATTGAAAGTGCTGCGTTTTTGATTTCGATTCTCCAAGAGTGGTCAGACGGTGATTTCATCTTTTTGACTCGTTTTTGCTGTTTTGTTTTGTTCATCGAGCTTTTCCCACCGATCACAGTCCTTCTTCCCTCCAATTCTTCAATTTTTAAATGATTCCAGTGAAGAACTGCTAGTCGTGTTGTAGTTTCATGTGAGCTACTGTAAAAAATTGATAATTAGCTACAGTCAAACTTTTAATTTTAAAACTGTCCTACATTTTTTAGTGTCATACTTTTCAGGCTTTAGATTTTCATATTTTTCGGGCTGAAATTCATATGGATTTCAAGCATTCGAGATAAAATGTAGGGAAATTCTTGAATGTCAAGTTTTGTAGAATTTGCTACTGAATTTTTAAAAATTTGCAATCTCAAAAAGAAAAACCCACAAATATTTATCTTTGGGCGCATATTTTTTCGATAATGCGTTGAAGCTCTCGCATTCACTTGTCATAAAATGTGCCGAAATTTGACCAATATCATTCAATCGATTTCCCTTCACAAAAATTTTTCTCAAAGCTTCCCAAGCTTTCATATCCTTCACATTATTAGGATTCAAAAATCCAACGTGACTTGTTGAAGTTGGAGAATGCCGGCATTGATTCACTTTGGTGAATTTGTACCATGTGATATTTTGGAAATTCGAATGTTGATCGAGACAATGTGCGAAGCTTGACATAACCAATTCTCTCGCAATTATTGGATCTCCGCCGGAATTTTGAATGGACGAATATACATTATTAATAATTGCCTGAATCCATGGTTTAATTGGAATCATCTGCTTCTGATCTTTCTTCGGCCAAATGTCCATAGTGAGATTCCTGATAAGATGCCATAGATCAAATCGATGAATGATTTTTGGAAACTGATTTTTCATGTTTGCAGCCACAGCTAAATCGCGATCAGTCGTCAAACTTCGAATTGGATCTACATTAACGAAAGTTTCCTTCAACATATCAACCAATTCCGACAAACACTGTGACTGAGCAATAGGTTCCAGTCCTTTTGATCCTTCTATAAAATTTGAAAAATTGTTCGATTTTTCTGGTTTGAAACTCACTTCCTGCTGTTTTCCTCACATTTTTGTAATGTAAAACGAACTTTGTGAGCGTGCAAATGATAATGTACCGGCACCAGAATGCGCAATAACCGCGAGAATCGTACATTCCATCACCAGCCGCATCAATCGGAATATTCTAAATTGTAAGAAATAACACTTTTTCATTTCACGTCATTTTTATGATTAAAGATTATATTTTAGTAAAATTTCAATATTTTCTCCTCAATTTGAATAATTTTTAAAAACTGTTTCAGTTTTTTGATGAGTTAGTTTTTCTGGGAAATTAGAGGCAAACATTATCAAAGTTTTATCACAATTTCCGAAATTTTTTGTGTTGGCGTTTTTTTTTTTACAAATTTCAGAAAAGCAAAATTCACAAAAAAACTTACGATTTGTTTTAAAATCTTGATAATTTTTTGTCTCTGCTCCATGAAAACCTTATTGATCGCTGGTACGACTCCAAGCCTTCTGGTTTCATAAAAAGTGGTTTTTGAAATAAATGGTGCTTTGACTACGCTGAAGATTGACATGATATTCTGAAAAAATCGAATTTCATTTTTTTCTAGTTATAAAGATTCAAAACATACCGAATACGATAATCCGATTGTAACAGCGGCCGTTGTCAAAGAAACATTCAGCTCAAATCTTTTCGAACTTGTATTGTCGTTTTTCTTCACTTTCTGGCTGGTAGACCATCTCCAAGTCCTGCTACATTCACACGTGCAATCAAATGTCAAAACAGCTCCGAATTTCGACAGTTTGTAATTTGCAATTGAAAAGCAACTGTAGCATTTTAAAATCAAGGGCAATAAAAAGTTGAAAAGAGACGAGCACAAAATCGATATCTGACTCCTTCTCGTCGACTGTCTGGTCAAAATCATTATCAAAACTTTCATCATCCAAAATTTGTCGATATTCAGAAGTGCTGGGTTGATAATTCGGATCTTTTACCGCCTCGACTTGTTGCTGAATCAAATCATATCCGCTTTCATCTGACAAATTTGATAAATCTTCATCATCATCGGTTTTTTCTTGAATTTCTACAACTTCAGATACATCCGCTTCTTCTTTGTATGATGTCGAAGTTGGAGCAACCGCTTCTTCTTTGTCCGATTTCGAAGTTGGAGCAACCGCAATTTCTTTGTCTGATTTCGAAGTTGAATTTGTCATAACCACGTTTTCAGCAAAGTTTGAGGAGAATGGCAGAGGTTTTGGTAATGCCAATGCTGGGACACGTCCAAAACTATCTCTAACAAAATGAGATCGGCAAATGTAAGGGCGACCATACATTCTTACATTTTTCGCAAAATCAACTCCCAATTTTTCAATCCATTTTTCCAATTGCTTCTTACTCGTTGTTACTGCTTTCATTTCGAAATACTTTCCTTTCAGACCACAGTATGTGCAAAAATGATCGTTCATCGTTCTTTGGCTGTAAAATACTCGTAAATATGACTTCAAACTGAAAAAAAACAAAAAAAAACAAAAATTATTTGCTAAAAATTTGAATTTCGCACTTGTTCGCTAGAGCGCGTTTGCCCACTACATGCGAAAATGCCGACTGCTGTTTCTCTTTGTTTTTTTCTCCGATGCTCTTTTTTCGCAATTTTTTTAGTAAACGGACATTTCCAAAGTGTAGTAAGAACCCGGGAATGATTGAAACTTGTTTTTTCCTCGTACTCCACCTTTAAATATCAATTCAAAATTTATAAATATTTTGAAACCTAAATTTTCGAGGTTTTCAGAACCGGGCCGAAAATCAGGAAATCATAATTTCCAGCTGGAAATGCTGTAAATCACAAATTTCAGCACAAAATTTCAGATAGGACCATTTTTGAGCTATAGCATTTGGCTCCGGAGAAATGTCAAGTTCTTTCAAAAAATTCTCCAAATGTTTCAGCTCGAAACTTTGTGCTGAAAATCGTGGTATCTATGGGTTTCAGCCAAAAATAGGTGCTTTTACGATTTTCAGCACAAAATTTCAGCTAGGAACGTTTTCGAGCTGCGAAATTTAGAGCAATTTTTAAGTTATGTCGAAATTTTTAAAACTTTTTTCGACCCAAAAAGTTTTCTAGCTGAAAATTTGCGCAGAAAATCGTGGTATCCATGGTGTTCAGCATTTCCAGCCGAAAATAGGCTGCTTTTATGATTTTCAGCACAAAATTTCAGCTGGGAACGTTTTCGGTTCAAAGTTTGGGAATTTTCGACTGAACCTGAAGTTTCCAAAATTTTCAACCCAAAAAAGTTTCTAGCTGAAATTTTGCGCTGAAAATCATTCATCAATTTTCAGCCGTAAAAAATCAATATTTTTTCTAGATCATCTAACGGAAGCTGCCTCACATTCCGTGCCAAACATTGTGATTTCCCCAAAATCGACGGATCGAGAAATTATTTCGAAATTGTATGAAAAGTCACTTACTGTATATTAATTAGACCCCCTAATTAAGTAGTTGTTAATTGCAAAATTTCATTATGTATTTAAATTTTTATGTTTCCCCTAATTTTGGGCGTTTTCCCTGCCAAAAGTATATAAAAACATCATAAAAACTTTTGAAACGCCGCCAGCTGGGCGAAAAGATGATAATTAACGGTTTTTCAAAAAAGAAAAAAGAGACAAAGAGGAGTTACCTTAAATCATAAAATGACACGGATGGGAAAAACAGAGCGAAGTTTTTGAATTATGGAAAGCTTGGCGGCAGAAGCCGCGTTGGGTAGGGTTTTTTGAATAATTGTTGGAACAGGTGGTAATAAAAAATGATAGAAATGAGTTTTTAGAGGTGAAAGCGCTGAAAATTGATGATTTCATGATTTTCAGCACAAAATTTCAGCTAGAAACCTTTTGAGTTGAAAAAATTTGACATAATTTAAAATTTCGCAGCTCGAAAAAGTTCCTAGCTGAAATTTTGTGCTGAAAATCAAAAAAGCACCTATAGTCGGCTGGAAATGCTAAGAACCATAGATACCACGATTTTCAGCACAAATTTTCAGCTAGAAACCTTTTTGGGTTGAAAAAATTAAATAATTTCGACATAACTTGAAATTTCTCTAAATTTCGCAGCTCATAAAAATCCTAGTTGAAATTTTGCGCTGAAAATTTTGAGATCTATGGTTTCCAGCATTTCCAGCAGAAAATAGATGCTTGTATGATTTTCAGCACAAAATTTCAGATGGAAAGCTGAAAAATGCTCGGATTTTTACAGCTCAAAAAAAATTCTCTCATGAATTTCCGTGCTGAAAATCGACCCGATCCCCGATATTTCGAAAAAAAAAACTCGAAAACACTTTCTCATTTTCTGATAATTTT